TATAAATGGGCATGTGCCGTGCCAATATCAAATCATAAAAATCATAAAAATATAAAAATAAAAAATAAAAATCTGGTTACAGATTGGCAAACCCCCATCAGTCAGAGAAAGAAGCCTCAGCTTGGCGAGAGTCTCCACCAGCAGAAACACTACTCAGCCATTGTTTCCAAATATGAACATTCCTAATTCAAAAGAATCAGAACTAAAGTATCAAAAGTGAGCTCAATAATCCAGGCCAACTCGTTTATTACCTGCCTGAATACTACTTTCAATAAATTACAACTTTGAATTAATCGACATTACTCCAATATAGGAACACAAGTGTCCAATAATTGGATTCTTAATATTCACCTCCACGTACCATGAATTTGTTGGACGTGAATTCTTATCAAAAACACAAATGGAGTGACCACTAGGATCAATGGAAAGTAAGCGAGGTAATGGAATGAATCCAAAGAGATACATCTTTTTGAATTGATGTTCAAATCCAACAATTTCATATGGTGCATTTTCATAACCTTCCAAATCATTCCTATAAATGGGAACTAATTTAAATCCAAATGAAAATATTCCAAAACTTTCAATGACCAAATCATCCTTTATCGACCATTTTGAAGTCAATGCTTCTCCATCAAATGTTCTCTTCCAATAATTATCTTCAATTTTCACAATCACTTGAGCTCCTTCATTCTCCTTTGGAAGACCTCCAAGAGTGGCAAATAATTGTGAAATAAATGTTTCACCTCTGATGACTTGTAAACTACCTGTGGCAATACTCTTCTCCGGATCATTTGCTATTCCTCTGTGAAAATCTACAAAGTAAGGAGGAAGCTTTTCAATCACTTCCTTTCCGAGACCAAATTGCAATGGATCATCATTCTTTGATTGTTGTTGGAGGAGTGATGAAGTGGAAAAGAATCTTTTTGTTGATAAAAGATTACACGATTGTTTAATGAACTGTGGGCCAGTTACAAGTTTTCTCATTTTTTTTGGAATTGATTGACTGAATTTCCTAAATTAGAAGATTGGATCTTGATTGACTTAGTTTCCTTTACAATTTTCCATGAGCAAATGCATGATGTGAGAGGCTGTATAGAATCGAATGCACATCAGAAGAAACATGGCAAGAGGTCGAGTAATGAAGAGTTTTACATTGTCCTTCCATTGAATCATGGCTTGTTCCTTCTTTCTCTGTTTTTGCACGTATTTGCCTCGTTCTGGATTTGAACTACTATAATGGATGGTAATATTGTTTGTGAGAATATAGGAACGAACAATGTCGAATAATTCCACAGATGAAATTAAGAGTGAAATGTTCAATATTAAAAATCCAATCACGTGTAATGCTTCCTCTCCCAAAAAGCTCTTTAGAGATGAATTGGCAATCCATAGACAGATAGAAACCATTGGAATTATATCTAAAACAGTGAAGAGAAATCTTGTGGATAAAATGTCATCTGTTAAATCATTCAAATCATTCCACCAAGATTCATTACAAATATTCTCGAATCGAACCATGAATTCTTCTCGAATTCCATTATGCACACAAATTTCTCGGACCATTCTCTTCACTTGAGTTCTCATTAATATGTGATAGTAATAAATAAAGTAGGATCTTGCGTATCTAAAGTGCCCAATAAGAGCCCTTGCATGTTGACTAATAATTGGATCAAATGTTGGAATTTTGTCCTGAATGGGTGTTGTAAACAAGTTATTGCAAACACTGTCAATTCTAGAAATATCCCTCGATCCCTTATAAATCCAATACAGCATTGAGAATAAATAAAAGTGACCTGAAATTGAGCTCAATGTAAAAGTGACGCCCATTGTTACACAAAACAGAAAAAGCAAAGTCATGGATTCTAAAACTTGATTGGGAAACAATAGAAATACAATGATGGCTATTAGGGTGATAATGTACAACCCGTACAATGTCTTGATGAGCAAATCTTGAATAATCAGATTGGAAGTTGATAATCCCCACCTTCTATCGAGTTCAAACTTTGATGAATAGCTCTGAAATTGAACTAAATTCTTCATAAAGTTTCTGAATGCACAATACAATTTCTCATTGTCCTTTTCATCATTTTTACAATTTCGAGCCAAATCAATTACTGATCTCCAATAACTATCAAATACCTCCACATACACCAACTTGTATGGATTCTTCTTTACATTATTCAAATAATTCAATAGCAAACTATCAATACAAGTATTCAATAAATCAGCTTGCTCTTCAGAGTCTACCCTCGTTATCGTGGACGTTGAACAATTGGCAATACAACTGCCAAATATCTGTTCGTCTGCCTTTATCAAACTCAAATCATTCACTTTACCCTTCTCAGTTGTGACATGTTTCAAAATGACTTGTCTAATATACAATTGATTATTTACAGAATGGAGAAGCATATTAGCCAAAAGTCCCTGATCAATGAACAATCTCTCCACAGCCAAATATCGGAAATGTTTACAACTCATTGAAACTTTAATCAATGAAGCAATGTCATTGGAAAGGAATGCAAAGATGTAACACAATTCATCATCGGCCAATCCTTGCTCTCCATCATCATCATCTGCTCTTCTCCCCACAGAGAATTGTTTATAAACAAGCAATTGAGCAGTTGAATGACTCGAATAGCCTTCCGATGCAAGGGAAGAGTCATTGTCTAACACCACTTCATAAGGCTTGTGATGATCATCATTTGGTTGTTGTTCTTTGTCTTCGAGAATCATCTCAACTACTGCCATGGATCCTTCTTTCAATTATAATAAAAGAAGTTGTAGTATCTCGCTACAAGTAACTAGCGGTGAAATACTAAAGGAGTATGTTGTATTTCTTTTGATTTTGATTAATCACGAGAATAGGCTTTTATGGCTCCAAGCAAGATGATCTGGTGATAATAATTATTGTGGAGGACTTCATCATTGTGCGACGTTAAAATCCCTCTCAATCCGTTCGTTAGGACTTTTTTTTTCAAATTATTAAAAATATTAATATTTCGAATTAAAATTCAAAAAAACAATGGCATGATGAGAAAGCATCTGCCATGTCTCGATACCATTGATCTTTGTTTTTGATGGAATTGTGTAGGAATTAATTTTTGGTCATGATGAACAAGTGAACTTTATTTCAAAAGCAAAAAATGTCATCAACAAGTTTATTTCTACCACAAGATGTGATCGGAGAGGTTTTTAAATTTCTAGAATTGAAAGATAAATTGGTGTGAGTACTCTTTGAAGAAAAACATATTCAAACCGAACATGTTTTCCATGTAAATTCAAATAATGATCATGATCATGATGATGGAATTTTAGTTTATCACTTGTTTCGGAGGATTGTAATAGAGCATCACTGAATGAAAAATCATTTTGGAGAGCAGAATGTTTAAAACAAGTGGAAATCTTTCAAAGAAACTATTATATTGGTATGATTATTAGTTTAATTTTACAATAATTATTTACAATATATTAAATAGCCTATCCAAACAAGAAGAGACCTAATCTGAAAGAGACAATGCCTCTAGATTCAAAGCACGATTTTAGTCAACTCAAAAAGAAAATATATTATTTGAATGGGAAAATCAACAGAAGGAAATATTGGAGTAAAATTCGGACCACTCACATTAGGAACAATACATCTCAATATCGACGTTATATGGTTGGTTTTACACTGTGCATGACTGTTCTGCTGGGAATCTTTTTCATCATGTTTGCAATGGCAGATTTGGCCTTAACGAAAATTTCAAACTGGTACAACTTTACCTTCGTTCCTGTATGGTTGTTTTTCGTCTTTTTACTTGGTTGGATATTCTTCTATTCTGTGAGTGCTAACATATTGAAACAAAAGAGTGTATTGATGATGATTGGACAGATTATGTTATATCTATTCATGCATGGTGCAGTTCTCTATTCAGCAGTGTTGTGTTTTCTTAATTTGGGCGTTCTACCAATCAAGTACAATGAAATTAGTCAATCCTACATGTATACAATACCATGGGCTGCAATTCTTGCTCCATATTATATTGGATATTTAGTTGTGGTAGTGATATTTATCGCATTATTATTTGAGAATAGAGATAAGTGGTTTAAGAATGGCCTGGCTATTGCCGTATTCTCAATACCTCAACTTGCCATCAGCTCAATAATCATGCTTAATTTTACATTGGAATATACCAGTTATTTTCCTGCCTATTATTCAATGATTCCCTCACTCATCCTCATTCTGTTATTGATGGGTGGTTTATTTATGGTGAAGAATAAGCAATTGAGGATTGTTGGATGGACGGTTTTTTCGAGTTATTTTGTTAACATTTTTGTTGTGGGATTGTATAATTTGTTTGGGAGTTATGTCTGGTTTAGCTCACTGATTCCTCTCGTAATAGCTCAATCTTCCATAATATTTGTTTCTTCCAGAGAGTTCGATATCTAATTTAACGCATCTGTGATATAGTTGGATAAATTTAACAAACACTATGTAAGGAATAGATGCGTCTAATATAGGGAAGCACCATATTGACTCTCATAAATGGTCAATGTATTATCATTTTGAGGGAATTGATCACGGATGGTACCAATTCATGATTTATTACTGCATGATTCTCACTCAATAATGCGAAAAGAGGAGTGCAACGATCCAACACATCCGGCAGACATTAAGGATTTCCTAACTCGTTACTATTATCCAAATCAAGATTTCTTAATGGGTATTGCGCACCATTCTAAGATTTAATACGTACTTATAATGTGACTACTTTTCCTTAATACTCAAACATCACCATATTCAGCGAGTGAGTTTTCCCTACTGAAGAGGCATTATACACATCTCTGCTCAATATTCATCAACAGTGGGTTCATATACTACTGCACACAACGAATACCTGAATACACACTCACATACGTAGAGAAAAAACAATGAAAGTATTGCCAATCAATGATTCTTTAATCATTCAACAAGGTTCCCTCGAGAAGGAATCATCAACAAACGTGCAAAAACATTCAGCCAGTGTTCGTAAGGCCATTAACAATAACAATACCTCCTCATACAAGCTGGAAGATAATGAGTTGGAATTTAACTTGTTTCGCTCGGGGAGAGGATGCTGTCTTGATGGATTGTGTTCTATTAAGAGTGTTATTCTCTCATTCTTAATTGTCTCTCTACTCTTGACATGTGCTGTGATTTGGGCTGTACTGATGGTGCTCATCTCACAGGAGGTGAATATAACGATGGGCATTGCTTCGCTGGTTGTTTGGTGCACGTGTATTGTTTCGGTAATTGTCTTTGGTGTGGTATCCTCTGTGGTGGTCTATTATTTGATAAGGAAACCTATGAGAGAGCTAACCAGACAACTCTTCACAATGAAATCATTGAGATTCGACTCGGTTATCCAGCTCTCCTCCATAATGTATGAATTTATTCCCCTCTTCAGGATCTTCTTAGAGATGAACAATTTAATGAAGGAGATTAGACCATTCATTCCAGAATCTATTACCAGATCTTCAGAGTATGAAACTGAGAGTAATAACAGTTCAGACAATCAGGAGCAACAGAAGGAAATTCAAATGATGGCCATGAGAATGTCACTTAAAACATCAAATTCTATTGCTCAATTGGGTAAAGCTCCATCAACAGCTCTGATCCAAAATTCCCTCAAGTCTGTAAATTCTGTGGCCAAATTGAAGAGAGCCATGTCGAAAATGAGGAAATCAATGGAAGGAACTGGATCAGAAGGAGCAAGTTTCCAATCCAAAGACGGCGTGGAGCAACAGCAACATCTGCAGGTTTCACACCTCAAATCACAACCAATTTGGGTCTTGGATTGAATTCACACATTACCACCATTATTGTCATTCAATTCAGAAACTTTGATGGCAAGTGTTATCCAAACACATCCGATCTCGTCTCTGTATTCACCCTCTTGTTCCAGAAGGTTCAGAGTGCCAGTAGACAATTCAAAGGAAGATGCTCTATCATTACTCCAAAGGTTTTGATGATTAGTTTTGAGGTGGGAAAGAATGTCGAGAGAAATGCCCTATTATGTGCACTTCAATTGGAGAAACAAATGCAAGCAATTAATTCACAACTTTGTGAACAAGTTAATCTCCCACCTATTCAGTTTGGTATTGGAATTTCAAGATCTGAATGTTTGATTGGTAATATTGGAACGGCTGCTGTTAGATTTTCTGCTCTGATTGGAGCTTGTTCCAGTAATGCATTGAGATTATCATGTTTGTGTGCCTATTTGGGAACTTCCATCTTGACAGATGAATCTCTCATGTTGGCACTTCAGAGAGGATTCATAACGAGACCTGTACATTTTATTAGAAAGACATCGATATTTGATGGTGAGGTGTTGAGCTTGGAAGATGGTGATGACGACAATAAGCAAACCATTTATCAACTACTCGGAGAATCCAAACTTCAAGATGATGAATGGCTCTACGAATTGCAGCAACACGAAAACAATAACAAGTACAAGGAATTCGATAGAGCTTTTGATTTACTTCGAGTTGGAAGTGTAGATTCTAAATTGTTGGCAGAAATTTGTGATGTATTTGGTTCTTATCTGAGTAAATATCCTGAAGACAGAGTTGTCTCACTCCTATACACGCAACTGACAGAATTATCCAAGCTAGATGCCAAAGACGTGGAGAAGGCAGTTAGATCTTTCAGTTTGGAAAAGACAGACGTTCCACTCCATACTGATCCTTCTTTTATATTGTAAATAAACCATGTGTACATAGTATTTTCAGAGTGGATGTGTGAGAAGTGCGTATTTACTCTCCTTTTTTAATTATGTCTCATAATGTGAAAACTTCTAAAATTGAAGTTTATGGCTATTAAAAAGTTAATAAGTTTGGATAATAGTTCATCATGGATATCACTGCTTTATATGGCTCCACACTGTTTAAGCTCATGTCAAAAGTTGGGGTATTATGTCATTTATTTTATCAGTAACTTGGATTTTTGGATTTTTGGAATGTGAGAATACTGCTCATTGTAATCTACAATTCACTTAGACAGGGTGCGTGAAACAATGAATTACCTTCAACGTGGATAAAGCGTGATTGTTGAAGTTTAAAAGTTTAAAAAAACAAATCAAAATGAAACTGATCCAATTGGTGATTGCTGTCTGTATGATAGCTTGTATAGTTCTTTCCTCTCACACTGTTTCACCACAAGAAGTGAGAGACAAACACTTGAAGGTATGCTTTTGTCAATTATTGTATATTGAATAACGAACTTTGGTTTCAATACTAATAGGGTGTTGTTATCCATCAACCACCATTCGTATTTATCGATAGAAACACAACAGATCCCTCTCAAAGATACACTGGTTTTTCAATTGACTTGATTCAAACTCTAGTTTCCAAAATGTCAAATGTTTCCATTGAATTTTATGAAGTTCCTGATGGTACCTTTGGCAGTCCATCAACAACAAGTGGAAACTGGACAGGAACTATTGGTGAATTAATGACTGGTCGTGCAGATGTCATGGTCGGCCCTTTGACAATTACTCAACTAAGACATCAAGTCATTGATTTCACAACTAGTTTCTTTGATGTTGGTCTTTCCATTTTAACAACTAAACAAGGAGAAGAATCCAACCTATTCTCCTTCTTGTTACCATTCTCATGGGAGGTTTGGATTTTGATATTTGCCAGTGCCTTGATTGTTGCCTTATTGACTTGGTTTTTTGATCATGTTTCTCCATATGGACATTCGAAACAAGATGATGATTCAAAGAATGAATTGGATTTTAGTGGTTCTTTAATCAATGCTTGTATGACCATTTCTGGTCAAGATGGTAATCCAGGTAAAAGTTGGTCAACCAGAGTAATGCTACTCGGTTACTTTCTCTTCGTCATGATTATCCTCTCCACATACACAGCCAACTTGGCAGCTGTCCTCACCACAAAAGTTCAATCCACAAGAGTAACTGGTCTCTCTGATATCAGAACTTATGGTTTCAAGTTTGCTGTGGCCAAGAATTCAGCACCTGCATCCTTCATCTCCTCTAGTGAGGAAATGGCAGATATCAAAAAGAACATGGTTCTATACGATTCTCTGGACGATTGTATCAAGGCACTCAGAGAAGGTCAAGTCGATGCTCTGATATGGGTTTCTTCCATTCTCGAATATATGGCCAACCAGCCACCTTGTGATACCTTAATCGTTGGTGATTTGTTTAATCCTGGTAATTATGGACTGCCATTTGCGAAGGGAAATTGGATGATCGGACATTTCTCTTCAATTCTCTTGTCGATGAGAGAAAGTGGACTTGTGGAAAAGTTAAAGAAAAAGTGGTGGATTGAGAAGGGAAGTTGTTCATTGGTTGCCTCATCACAGGAAGCATCTGGAGTGAAGATTCAAGACTTGGGAGGTATCTTTTTGATTTTGGCTGGTTTTATATTTGTTGGTGGTTTGATTTTGATATTCGAATTGGTGTATAGAGCTATCTATGATAAGACGAAAAATAGAACTAAACATTTAAAGTATTTAAATAGATTCTTGGGAGGTGAGAAACATCAAGAAAGTGATAAAGAAGAACAAGAATTAAAGACAACCAATATTGCTGCTTCCACTCAATCTCTGCAAACAGATGAAAACAAAATTATCAATCAATAAAAAACAACAAGTGTTTATTAGAAATCTACCAGAAAAGGAAACTGAAATTAAGCTTTCTAATAACCCACTTTCTCATTTCATCATAAAAAATCATCAAAAACATCCAAGGAATTGGATACAACCAAAAGTCAATAATCATAAATCTCGTATTGAAAATATAATCTCCAATGAATGGAACATAAATTAAAATCACCAACAAGCAAGCAGAATAGATTAATCCAAAATAGGTCATTAAATTACCCAATAATCCATGTGTGAAAATGCTCAATCGACGAGTTTTGCAACTGAATAGAGTGGCCCATTGACAAATGACAATTGTCATGAAAAATGCTGTTTGTGCAGTGCATAGAACGTTATGTTGATACATCTTATCCAAATACATTCCAGTTTCTTCAATGTAAAGCTTTTTATCCGAATTGATATCGAAATAATCCTTGCTAGTTGCTTCCCAAAGATATTTTGGTGGAATTCCATAATAAGCAAAGACTAGGAAGTAATTTGTAAAGCATGCAAGAGTTTCAATTACTCCCATTTGGAGATAGGAAAAGATTAATAAGGAAGAGCTTACTAGTGGTTGATTCTTGGTACGAGGTGGAATGCTCATAATGTCAGATTCGGCTGTTTCGTAGGCGAGACTGACTGCACTGATGAGCTCCTTTTTAAGATTTTAAATTTGATATATTTGGATAATATAAAAATTGATAAATTAAGAATTTTCCAAATAAGTAAAACTTACAGTTCCCAAATCAACACACAAAATCAATAAACCTGTAATTGGAAGAGGCATGCTAAATACAATAAAAACTAAATAAGGGAAAATTTCTGCAGATAAATGTGAAACAGTATAAGCAATTGACTTTTTCAAATTGTCAAAAATCAATCTGCCTTCCTTAATACCATTCACAATCGAAGCAAAGTTATCATCCAACAAGATTATAGCAGCTGCTTCTTTAGAAACAGCACTTCCTGAAATATTCATAGCCACACCTACATCTGCCTTCTTTAGAGCAGGTGAATCATTAGTTCCATCTCCTGTCACAGCGACACAATGCCCCAATTCTTGGAATTTTGTAACGATAATCAATTTTTGTTGAGGTGAAGTTCTGGCAAAGACAATTTGCTTCTTTTTAAGAATTTGTTTCCATTCCTTAGATGTCAACTTGTCAATTTCTTCTCCGTGTAAAACAATGGCATCAGCTCTACTGTATGGAATGGTTTTTGGATCACAACTTTCTTCCTCTGCGATATCGTCAATGGTTCTGGCGTCTGATTCGATAATTCCAACTTGTTTGGCTATGGCTTTGGCTGTGGCTGGGTGATCTCCTGTGACCATGACTACTTGAATTCCTGCTTTCTTACATTGTCCAATACATTCAGGAACTCCTACTTTTGGAGGATCAGTCAATCCAGCCATTCCCAAAAAGCAAAGACCTTCCATTGGAATGGATTGAGCAATTTGATCAGAAGTTTGTCCAGATTTCTCAATTCTTAATTGTTCCTCAACCAAATGTTCATCAATGAAAAGTTGGGCAAAACCCAAAACTCTCTCACCCTTAGAAGCAAAGAAATCATAGGCGTCCTTAAAATTTTGTTTCCAATTATCGTCCAATGGTAAAGTTTGTGAGCCAACTCTGATGTGTGAACAACGTTGAATGATTCTCTCTGGGGCTCCTTTCATGAGCAACAAAACTTTGGAATCAGTACTGGCACTGTCAGTGGTATTGGTAGTCCACTGAGGGAGGTGATTATTCTTTCTAATACTTAACATCCACTTGTTTTTAGAATTGAATGGAATGGAATAAAGTTCAGTATAATCAGAACGAAACTCTTCAATGGTAGCACAATCAGTTCTTGTCTGAATGAATTTAACTAAAGCTGTCTCACTAGCATCTCCTTCACATTCTCTGTCCAAAATTGGTTTTCTCAAATTGTCTTCCTCTGGCACGAAATAAGTTTTCGAGCAGAGAGCTGAACATCTTCTCAACATTTGATCAGTTGTCAATTGTTCTTCACCTTCTTTTGAGTAACTTGTTAATGGAGTTAAGGTGCTTGGCTTTTGGGTCATGTATCTGTCTTGGTAATCTACAGAAGAAACTCTTCCATCTACCCATAGCTCAACAACTGTCATTCTGTTTTGTGTCAAAGTTCCTGTCTTGTCACTACAAATAACTGATGTACTGCCAAGTGTCTCAACATGCTCAAGCTTTTTAACGAGGACATTCACTGCCTTTAGACGTTTAGCACTGACTGTTAAGCAGACAGTTACTGTAGGAATCAATCCTTGTGGAATGTTAGAAATGATTATACCAATAGCAAATAAAAAATTAGTGAACCAACTGTTTCCAATAGCAAATCCTAAACAGAAGAAAATAATGGCCATTGTGAAGGCCAGAACAGCAATCTTTCTAACAAAACTGTCAATTTCTCTTCTGAGTGGAGTTTTCTTTTCAGTTGAAGCTCCTGCCAATAAAGCAATTTGACCAATGACAGTTTGATTTCCACATCTAATTACGATACCATAACCACTTCCTTCCAAAGCCAAAGTTCCAAAGAATACCAAATTATTTGTTTCCAAAGGATTCTTTGAAGTCATTTCCACACTCCTTGATTGAGGTTCAGTTTCTCCTGTCAAGGAAGCATTATCAAGTTTTAGTTGTGAACAAGAAACCACACGTAAATCAGCTGGAATTTTATCACCACCCTCAATTCTAACCAAATCACCCAAAACCAATTCTTCAACTGGAATTTTTTGTGGAATTCCATCACGAATCACCATACAGCTGTCACTTTGCATTTGTTGAAAACTCTGCAAAACCTTCTCACTCGATCTTTCCTGAACCAATGTAATGGTAGCATTCATAATCACAATAAACCACAAGATGACACCCAGAAATATATTCGGATAGGATTCAGTTGTTCTCTCAATGGCAACGTTTAGGAAGGAAAGGAGACCAGCAACGATGAGAAGAAGGGCAAAGAGAGAGGTGAATTGTTCGATGATTTTAAAGATGAAAGGACGTTTTTTGGGTGGTGTGAGTTGATTGGGACCGTTTACTTTAAGTCTTTCGCTGGCTACTTGTTGGGTGAGACCCTATAATTATATATTCGAATGTACAAAAATATATTAGAAAGTCCAATACATGAATACATCAATATTCGAAATACTTACTGTTGATTTCTCTGGTTTGTCTTGATTAAAGCTCGTTCCATAAGTTTCGCACACTCTCTCAACACTCAACTCGTGTTCAGAAATATCGATTGCTTTCTTCTTTGATTTCTTGATGAATTTCACTTCCTTGGCACTTTTTTGTTTCATGAGTTGAGGGTTTTCTTGGGCAGTTCGAATAATATCAATCGATTGACGAGCTTCTTCAAAGTACCTTGGAATATCATTCGACAACATTCCACTACTATTCGAAACATTATTCGAAACAGCTCCAGTGAGTGTATGACCAATAATATCCAAAGAAGCAGATGATGTAGTTGTACTAGTTTCAATTCTATTGTCCATTTGATGTTTTCCAACATCAATAATAATCTCTTCAGTATTGGCAGATGACATTTTGCATCTTTTTTTTGATTGGTAATAATCAAAACTACAAACTACAAACTTCAAAGTTATTCAAATTTTTGAAACCTCCCACCTACATGAACCTGCCTCTCACTGCCTCATGACCTTTGTACAAGTCGAAATCCATTGCCTTTACTAATTTGGAAGGAGCGAGGATGATGCATCATATGTTGAAATTCGTCTTGTTGGTTTGGTACTGTGGACTTGAAGAGTATGCATCTCCTTGGAACATGCATGACATGGTGGAACTTGATAGCAACGTGTCATTATGAAGTTTCGAATAATAATATTCGATTATTATTTATGATGACTTCAAAATTAATATGTGGTAATTATAAGGGGTTAGAAACTTAATTTATCTCTTAATTGAATGAGTTGTTTGGAAATATCGGAAAATTCTGGTCTATTACTTGGATCCATATCCCAACACTGTTGCATGAGTTTCGTATAATCTTCAGTGACCGATTTGAGTACTGAAAATGGAGCGCTAGTTTCTTGTCCATACACATTCATCCACTCATGCAACTCCTCGTCATTTCTAAATGGTATAATTGGTCTTTCATTATTTAAAACTTTCATTGGAACTGTATATGGTTGATCTTCACAAGTTGCCTTTCTGAAATGGTGAATTTTAGAGCTAGCTGCATTCAGATATGGATTTTCCAAAAAGTATAATTCATACATGACAATTCCAAATGAGTAGACATCAACTTTGTGTGTAATCTTTGTAGATGATCCCTGTAGACCTTCATTTCCAATATAAAACAAAGTTCCAACATTGACAGTCATTGAAGTTTGTAATTGATTGTTTCCAATGATTTTGACCAAACCAAAATCACACACCTTACAATTATTGGATTCATCCAAAAGAATATTAGCTGGTTTCAAATCTCTGTGAATCACTGAGGGTTGAAGGGAGTGTAAATAATTCATTCCATTACTCACTCCAATTAAAATATTAATCTTTTCCTTCAATGATAAAAATTCAATATTTTGCTTGCATTTGTAAATAATCTTGTCCAAGCTTCCCTTCTTTACAAACTCTGTAATCATATACTTTGAGGTCTCGGTAATACAGACACCATAGAATGAGACAATATTTGGATGTCTGAGTCTTGAAAGAATGGCAGCTTCCTTTTCAAATTCAAAACTTCCTTCTGCAGTTTTCAATGATTTAATGGCAACTTCAGTATTGACCCAGAGTCCTTTATAGACATTTCCGTAACCTCCCTCACCAATACGTTTGGTAATTTCAATATCCTGAACTGGAATAACTACAGAACTTTTAACTGTGTTTTGGTTCATGTGATCGTTTTCCAAAAGTGGAGAATCATAATCTGAATTATGTTTTGATTTGTAATAACTTGTTGATCTTGAATGAGTATAATTTGTTTCACTATCACTCATTTCAAAGACAATTTTGTTGTCTAAAATTGTTTTTTCCAAATTCTTTTCTGCATTTTCCTTCCTTTTAAGTAATCTTAATTTGGAAATAATTTTAGAAGTGCAATAGAATATTAAAAATCCCAAAATAGTTCCACCCAACAACATGAGAATACCCACAGGCACTGTGATTGAAATAATGAGAGTTTCCAAATCAATTACATTTTTGCAAACAAAAATTTGTTGTTCATTAACAAATTCTGCAACCATTCGTAATGGCATTGGACAAGGCAGCAATGTAATATTAAAATTGGTAGTTACCAACGATTCTGAGATTATTTTCACATTGGCAGTTGTGTTTTCATAGATTGCCTTTGTGAAATAGACACTTGCAATAAATCGCTTATTTCCAGCAATGGATGAATTAATTTGTAAATAGTCTGAAATTATTTTGAAATTCTCAGATTGGAGTGGTAATTCTAAACCCAGGTTTCCCAAAAATCCCATTTCTATTGTAATATTCTGTCCAGATTCCACAGAAGGGCTCACATAGTCAATTGTTAAATTTCTGCCAATTGATGAAAAGTCATCTCCAAACATGGAAGCTCTATTACCTCTGAATGTATTACCTGGTCCAATTATACTATTATTTACACTTGATACTAAAATTGATTGTTCAAAAAAGTAGAAGGCACCTCCTGTCATATTTGCAAAATTGTCAATCAGTGTGAAATCTTTAAATAAGTATGGAGATCTATTCCAATACGTGAAATACCCTACACACAAAGCTCCTCCTCTAATAGCTCTATTTCCAATAAACTCAGCTCCCCCATAAGATCCAGGACCATGTCCAATAGAATGGATGGTTAGAGCTCCACCACAACCCAGCAACATTCCAGCGATTGCATTTCCAACCTCTCTCTTGATATAATTTCCAATAAATTTGGTATTTTCAAATTGGGTTACCAACATGTCTTGACGAATGAATAAGGCACCTCCAGATTGTAAAGATAAATTTTCCTTAAATAGGCAATTAATAAATTTCATGATAAAGCTATTGGTTAAGAAAATAGCACCACCAAAAGTATTAGCTCCATTTCTAATAAAAGTTGAATTGGCAATAAAACTTTCAGTAAAATAGGCGTTTTCTATCGAATATTACAAAATTAGAAATATTTTAGAAATGAACTTACCTGAAAACGAAGCAATACTAATTGCACCACCAAAAGCAATAGCACGATTGTCTGCGAATGTGCAATTATCCATATTTAGTGAAACAATATCACGGAATCCCAAAACTCCTCCTTCATTACCAATATTTCTATAAAACTCACTGTGATTAATAATAGTTTCAGAAACGGATGTAATCTCAACCACACTCTTAACATTCTTATAAGTGTCCAATACATTACAATCAAATATCGTTGTATATTCTATCATTAAATTTAGTATAGCTCCCAATTGTGCAAACAAATCCAAATTCTGAGCTACACAATTTGTAATTTTAACCTTATCAACAAATTCCACAGCAAGTGCAGGTAAGTAATATTTTGAAATTTGAAACTTGGTGTTAGAAAATAGAGTTGAATCAGCTTTTGTGATTACAATATTCGATCCAATACAAATCGAGTCCTTAATCTCCAATGTCTTTAATCCAACAGCTCTAAAAGATAAAAAATCAAAGTAGGTTTCGGATACCTCAACATGTCCACAATTTGCAAAGGTAAAAGTAAATCCAATTGCACCTACAAAGACAACATTCTTAAATTTGACAGTTTTCACATTTGAAAAATCCAAACTGTAAGCTTCTTTAGTACAGTAGACTTCTTCGAATATGACATCTCCAGAGGAAAAGTTGTAAACTTGATAATTAGCTACAGAAATTCTGGAAAATGTCATTATGGAATTGTAAATGCCAAAATTGTAATTTAGTGAACTTGTCATGGCAGCATTTAATCTCAAATCATGAAAATAAAACCTTGTCATGTCGTTTCTGATAAGAAACAATGATGTACCAAACTGATTACATGAAAGAACATTGAAATAACTCTCTGAATAAATCTCAAATAAATAATTAATATTACTATATATAGGTGTGACCATTTCATTGTTACAGAAACCTGTCAATTTTCCTGTAAACTCCAATTGTACATGAATATTGAACTGTTGCTGATTGAATATCGATTCATTCATTGATCGTGTCCAATTCATCACCAGCACATCCAATCGGGCAAGAGCTTGTGAAATCGATGGACATGGATACTGTGAATTTTCACATGTGGCATTATCCACACCCAACTGACTCGACAAGTACAGTGTAAATGTTTGATAGGGTCTCGATTCTAACTCTACTCTAAAGTATTTGAGTGCTTCATTTTCCGAATCAGTTGTCGAACGTGTTCTACTCTTCCTTGTTGATGCCAAATATTCATCAAAATTATTTATGCTATATTCATCATGGTTATTGACATGTTGTTGTGTCCACTGATGTGATGGTTCGTTGCTGTTGCTGTTCGGCACCTGGTTTGATGAATGCAGTTAAATCCACATTATGTAAATCATGAAAAGTCACATCATGATATTGTTGTACTGTTCCTAGGACAACAGTAATGAGAAGCAACAGAAGAAGGAAATAATGATGAACTGTAGAATGGCCGAGCAGAGGATTTGCTGCCATTTTTTGTTGTTCTTTGAGCTGTCAACAAGGAAATGCCTTGATGATCAATACCCATAGTAGCGGACAAAAAAAGTAATCTTGATTATAATGCATGGACTGTAACACTCAGGAGTGATTTGGTTGCATCATATCTGATTTTACTGATTCTCAATATTCTCATTTCCCCCGAGGAGTGTTACCTTCTCTTCCCTTAATCAGCATTCTCATGAACCTCCAACTACAACACCAAAGTCATCCTCAGTTTCATCCTCTGAGAATATCATCTCTTTGAATAAATAAGTTATTTTATCAAATATACAATATGTACAATTACAGTTTAAGGTTCTCTGACAATGCTTCAGAATAGTCCAATTTGAGTTTTCTAACTTGTTCTGGATTTTGTGTAATTAAATTGTTGCCATGAGCCATAATTATATGCTCCCAATTCCAAGTGAAGATTTTGGTAAAATCCTGAACTGCTTGATTCTTGTCAGTAATTAAAGCTCTAAATGATTTTGGTATTGTTGGTCCTTTTCCGTACAAATCCAATAATTTTCCATAATGTACACTGACTGGTGTATGATTTGGATCATCAACTTTGATAGTTATTGGTTCCTTCCAATCCATTACAGTATCGCAAGCTATCAAGGTCTTTGTTGGCTTGTGACACATTACAACTTCATTCAAATTCAATCCAGTCACAACTTGTAAATCAAATTGTGTTTGCCAATCACGAGGCCATTCTCTTGGAGTTGTGCTATTGTCTGAAGGGAGTGTGTAAATGCATTTGGCAACATCTTCTTTCTTCAATTCTGGATATTCGGCCGATAATTTGGAATATAAATTATCAATCACTGTTTGCTTGTTTGGATATGGACAATAGATGAATGGTTTTTCCAACTTTCCATCCTTATTTTCCAATATAAAGTATTTCAAGTATTGACTAGCATACTTGAGATGTGAACTGTTTGGTAAAATAATTAATTTCACCTTTCCCAATCTCTTCAATTCATTCTTTACAATATCTGTCAATTCAACTGGATTATATATCATCAATTCCGATTTTCCCAAATCAACCACACACATATTGCTACTCATTGCAATAGGTGGCATGCTCATTTGAAAGTGATGTCTATAGGTAGAGAGTATTTCCTTCTTGGTCTTTCCATCCCTATGAACACAAGTAAACGACTTGTCATTAAACTTTTCATGAGAAACCTTCTCTGTTACTTTGGCATAATAATACCCTACAGTGAGTAAGCCACCAATCACTCCACCAATCATTAATAATTTCCCAAAGAATGATTTCTTCTTCTTATTGCCATTATTATTATTAGTAGAATTTTGTTTTTCTTGTTGTTTCTCTTGTTGTTGATGATTATTCAATGTATTGGCCACTGATGATCGGATTGGAGAAATCTTCATTGAAAATCCTCTTTCCATCATTCTATTCTGTAATGATAAAGATGATTTAGTTGCAACACCATTCATCATCAATTGTTGCACCACTTGTTTAATTTGACTTGAATTCATCAAACTCTCCACGAGTTTCAAATTATTTCTTCTCATCATGATTTGTATTCTTTTTCTTCTTCAATTACTCAACCCGAACTTAGAAAATGATCATCAAACAGGTCCTATACTTGATGAAAAGTACTTCTATGAGTTTGCTTGTTTTTTTTCGTTGTATTTCAAGCACATTAGACTTCATCTATTCATAACCCATTGGACGATCCTTAATGATGAAGAAAGGATCGGAGAGTTTTTTTATTTCGGCGGGATTTGGGTTATTTAAAAAAGGTAAGGCTGCGCCAAAGCAAAAGGGTTTTACAAAATTCAATCTATTTGCTTGGTGTGGAATTGATTGTACAAATTTTTTGTCCATGTACGAAAGTCATCTGTGAATTGATTTATTATGTTTTGGTGTTTTTGTTTGGTATTATTAATGTTGATATGTCAACAAGAAATGAAAGCACACATTACTGGTGCTTGATTGATTATTGTTCACTGACGTTTTCTTTTCCTTGTTGTGATGGAAATTTATTTGAACACACTTCTCAAATATTTGGCAATTGACTTGGAATTTAACATTGGAAGGTATATAAATTGGAAATATTGTTCGAAACTTGATATTTGTTGAATTTTGAATATTCCCCTTTGAAGAACATCTTCCAACAATTCTCCATTCTTTACTTTTGGGGACATCCATTGTTATTCTCATATAATCTTCCTAATTCTTCTAATGAAAGATCATTGTAAACCTCAACCACATTTCTTAAGAAAAAGACATGAAACATCATCAGTTTGATGATACATTTTTTTCCTCCAAGATTTTGCGCATCTGAATTCATCATTCTTATCATATGGATTGGCTAACATTGGAAATTGTTTGATATTGCATGTTTGCTTTCTAATTGTTGATTCTTAAATACCATCGATGACATTACATATTCCCAGGTCAAACATAGAGACCCAGAACAGACAGCTTTGGAAGAAATTAGCAAAAGATCCATTTGAAGATACTGCATTTCAAATAACTTCAATATATAAAATAAAGTTTATTTCATTACTTGTAAAGTAGTTGTCTTGTAAATAATCGTGGAACTCACCTCAATTGTTGTAAGATCATTGAAACTGGTTCGGATTTTTGAATTTAATTATTTGAGAAATAGATGTGTTGCAGATAAATATGTAAAACTGATGGAACTTTGGTACCAGTTTTCATGCATTCAAAAACAGTTATTAAAACCAAATATCTCTCTAAAAATAACACGATTCAAATTTACAAACTTTAATTTCAAACAACATTACAAAAAAACGCATTTAGAATGTTGTTCTTTTTAATACGCCTCTCTTTCTAAATATCCAATTAGAAGAAGGATACCAGATAGTGTTCGTTAGTTAAAGTCGGTGCATAACGACTCTAATCACATCACAAACATCAATTCTTTCAAAAAAAATTCTGTCTAACCAATTTACCGTTTAGACAGCTGACAGATAAGAGACCATCGTCTAAACACATTTCTCTTCTTCTGTAAAAATATGGATTTTCTCAATGGAAGCACATCGAGTGTGCCTAACTTGGTACTCATTGCTTGTATAGCAATCATTCCCATTGTTCTTTTTGTTGGTGCTGTTCTCTTTATTATTTTCTTCTCAAGTCCAGCCGATAGGTTCCAAGGAATATTCCCCAAAATTATATGTGTAAGTTTATATTGGTCATTAGCAATTTTATTCTTATCTGTTTCTTCTGTTGCTTCTTTGTATATACAAAATTTGGTGATGATGAAAAAATTGTTTAATTAATATTCGGGTGATGAAATTTTCCCTCCAAAATTAAAATTTACGATACAAAATTAACAACAATAACAAAATGACTGTATGATGATGACCACTGTATTGGTGCTTTTATAATATTTGGTTATTATTAATTCAAATAACATTATGATGGTATTATTGTGTTGAATGTTTTGATGATGAAATGTTTACATGTTAAAACACATTTCGATCATTGATGATATTATTTGATGGATAACAACAAAACTATTATGACTTGATGTATCATCCTCTCAATCTTCTAATATTCACATTATTTTGCTATTATTATTATTTACTACAACAACAACAACATTTCAAAATGTAATAATATTATAACAACAATTCTACTTACATATCAATTAATAGGTATTTGGAATGACGTTTGCAGGGTGTATACTATTGATCATTCCATTCGATGCTTGGAATACTAGATATAAAGGAGGAATAGGAAGTGCTTTGGAAATTATTTGGCAAGTTTTGTTTGGCGTTGTCGGATTGTTGGTTTGCCTTGTTATTCCATGGGCACTCATCTATTATGAATCCTATGATGAAGATAAAGCTGGTACACCAAAAGGTTTCCTTCGTCAATGCCTCTGTGGTTTGATTGGTTCTCTCATCACTTTTGGATTGTGTGCATTGATTATTGGTGTCACTTATATTTGGTTGGGTATTGCCCGAATTGATGTGAAAGAGTATACAGGTTACTATGTTGCTGATGATAGAATTTCTGCATATTCTCTATTGCCTGATAAACCCAGTCAGTATGGTACTACTTTTGATGTGAGAATGTCATTCCTGGTTTACCTTATTGCCTTGTTAAGTTTGGCTGGTTGGTTTTGCTTACTAATTTGTGGTGGTTGTGGCCTGACAGCTGTTCCTCTAGAATTGATATTGTGGTTCGTTTATCGTCCAAAGAAGATTTCCAAGTCTGAATTTATTGAACAACAAAAGAAATATGCTGCACGTGCCCACAAATTGATTGAAATTGGTAAGAGATTGGATGATTTGAGAAAACAACCTGGTAATCGTGCCAAACCAAAATCTATTCGTAGTTACCGTGCCTTTAAGGATGCTGTCTATCAATTGGATGATGATTTCAAGAAGGTCAAGACTGCCTTTGAAAGAGGAGGTGGTTGGATTGTTTTGTACATTTTCTCATTGGGTTTAGGTATCGTTTTGGCAATTATTACAGTTTTGTGGATTGTTCACTTGATTGTTTACACACTTCCAACTGTTCCATTGTGGGGAGGTCTTAATCAATTCTACATTTGGTTCGATACTGCTTTCCCACTTTTCGGTATGCTTTTGTACAGTATTTTCGCATTCTATTTATTGTTCAGTATTTTGGCCGGAAACATTTTGATTGCTGGTAGAATTCCAATTTGTTCAGTTTATCCAATTAGATGGAAGGATACTTTTACTAGTAGTTTCCTTTTCAACACTGGATTATTATTGCTAGGTTCTTTAACAGTTGTACAATTCTGTGCCTCAACTTTTGAAGCTTACGTCCAAAATTCAGTTATTGACTCAATGATGAATACCTATGTCAAACACATTCTTGGTCTTGGATATGTATTCCAATATTTGGATAAGATCTTCTTTGGTTTTATTTTCCTTGGTTTCTTCTTGGCTATTTGTAACATTGCTATCAAACAAAGAAAGTCAGAAAAGGAAATTGAAGCCATCCTTAACAGCTAAGCTTTGTAATAAAATAAAAGATTTTCTAAGGTCGCCTATTCATATTCATCCAGAATGATTGCAGTCATAAAAGACTACAGCACCACAGGTTCCCAAGTTGTCTCCAACCTCAGTACTGATGTGGCTCGACGATGCTTAACTTCTCAAATCGGACGGGATGAGGTGCATTCATCGTGATATGGCCGTAGCCATTCATAACCCTAAAACAATGAATGTAAAGAATATTGAAAATCTTAAACTCCATATTTAAGAAATTACAAATCTTCTTCTCGATATTTTGTGGAGGTTTGTACCACTTACAGAACCTCCAAATGGTCCAATGGTGGGATAAATTGGATCAAATCTATTTAAAATTAGATCCTTTGTCAACAGAGCTGTTTTTCTATACATTGGCTTGTTTTAGTTCAATAAATAATGATATTTTATATGGCACAACAGGTCTAAAACAATATGAGCAAAAAGGCATGGGTGGAGTTACGCCACCAACACTTCAGAGAAATGAGCTGATCGTGATGTTAGAATTACACTACATGCCTCAAATTCAGTACTAGTTTGCAATCTCTCTTACCTTCAGATGGTTGAAAACATTCATTTCATTATGGTATTATTCTTTCTTTAAAACCAACTCTGAAATGGAAGTTTCATGCTTCTATTAATAAATTAATGGGTTTGCTTGCCCAACAGACATTATACTAAGGAGAATTAAGGGCCCATACCCATCTTGATGTAATCGGGTGTGGTATAGTGGTAGCATTCCAGACTGTCACTCTGGCGACCCGGGTTCAATTCCCGGCACTCGAGAATAGTTTTTTGCTTTATCTCCAGGATTTGAGTTTTAATTTTTTCATAGTAGCAGGTATGATATGTAGTCGAGCTAATTACCATTTTTCAAAGTTTCATCTCTTAAAACCACCGAGAAAATAATCAAAGATTATATACTTTCATTTTTTTTAAAAATATTCCAAGTTCTTTTCAGCTGCCTGCAGTTCCATGCCTTAATTTCATTTACATTAAACTTGTTAATTAAATATTATATATTTATTAATATTTAATTAACACAATATATTTACAACGGATTTCAATGAAACTAGCAAACTACCTATTTCAAAAAACACGTGTTTTTTACAATATTCTTAATCACGCAACACGTGTTTGAAAATCATCTTGCAATATTATAAACCATTTTAAAGAAGTAGTTACAAAATTGTTAAATAAATATTACTAAAAAAAATGATGAAACAAGTAATTGGAAGGAAAGCAACATTGTTGGTGTTGATTTTGGCTTTATGCACAATATTTGTTATGGGAAAGGAATCGAATAATGATCCAATTATTGGACTTTCTATCGGAAATACACACTGGAGAGCTGTCATTATTAGAAATGGTAATGTTGAATGGATTAGAGATGGAGAAGGGCAGATTGAACACAAATCTTTTGAGAATATTAACAAAATAATAGGAAAAAATTACAAATCCATTCAATTTAAAGATCCATACTTGTTGGAATCGAATAAGATTTTTGAAAGAAATGGAAAGGTTTATTGTAAATTTGATGTAGATGGAGTTGTGAAGGAAATGACACCAGAAGATATTTATTCAAACATTCTGCTTGATGTAAAGCAAGCAACTTTAGAATATTTAAATGAGAATATTACAAGAATCTACATTTCAGTTCCTGTTTATTTTGGTCCTGATCAAAGAAATGTTATTCGAAATGCTGCTTCAGAGCAAGGTTTAAAAATTGAAAGATTTCTTCTAGATCCAGTCAACACGGCAACATTCAATACCAAGGAATACGAATCAAATAATTCAGCTAACATTCTAGTTGTGGACATGGGAAGAAAATCATTGGATGCAACTGTACTGAGTAGAAATAATAGCGTGTTTGAAGTTTACCAAGCTGAATCGAATGGCCAATTGGGATCTGAAAAGTTTCATATGAAATTGAGAGATTTATTTGTTTCGAAATTTAAGAAACAACATGAATCATTAAGAGATGTGAATTTATTGGAAAATCAACAGGTGAATGACTTGTTAATGAGTCATGCTGAGATAGCAATGATAGCCCTCTCGAATGATTGTAAATATCATATTGTAATACCATCTCTCTATGAAGGAAAGGATTTCACATACACTCTAACTCGTGATTACTTTGAAAAACATTGTAAAGACCTTCTTGATGAAATTTCCAAGTTGATTTACAGCATTATTACAGAGACAGTTTTTTACTTTGAGACTGTTGATTCGGTCATTCTCTCAGGTGACTCAACCAATAACCCGTTAATAAGGAAGTCAATTACTAATCGTTTTCCATTTTCCAAAGTTGTACATGGGCAAAATCCAGAGGTTGGTGCTGCTATTCAAGCTTACATGAGAAATCATCCTGAATCAAGTGTTCCGACTTTATTTCTTGCGCCATTTTCCATTGGAATTGAAAATTCAGATCATCAATTGGTGAAGATTATTCAAAGGGGTGACTTGTTACCAACTGTGAAACGAGTAATCTTTTCAAATTTGGATGATTTTAGTGAATCTGCTCATTTGAAGATTTTCATTGGTGAATCTGTGGTTAATATTGGACCAAGGAATGTTCATATCGGTGATTTGATTCTGAAAGGAATTGAATTGACTGAGAGCGGGAATGCACAAATTCAAATTTCCTTTCAAATTGATGGAGAGTATAATCTCACAGTTACAGCTCTCGATTTGAAAACCAACGCCAAGAGTGAAACTGTGATTTCTCTTCACAGTTTTGCCAATAATCTTGAACTAATTGATGAATTATTAGAGGATGGAATTCAAGAAGTCACAGATAATGTTAAAACTGAAAAGCTTATTTCCAGTTTCATCGTGGATCCAATTAAAAATCATGACGAATTTTAATAAGGTAATAAATACTATAAATCAATTTATTATTGTGGTTTTCGAGAATCCTCGGACCGAGAAAAATTGCAATTTATTGATATTGCAAGGAGCAAAATTCGAAAAACGCATTTTTTACCAATAAATTGCGATGAACAAAATCGCAACAAACCTCAATTATTGGTGTATGTTTTCATTCAAGGTTTTCAATTTTTCAGCCTAGTTTCCAATAACTTTTGCATAATTTTCTTCCCATTGTTGAAAGGTGAGTAAGGACTTGATGTACACAATGAATACCACCTCCTTTTAGCAAACTCGTAATATCATCTTTAATGTAAAAACAACCAACATTGTGCATCGTGATTTATCAAAAATGCACAATCTCAATTTTATTGGCAAAAATGTGAAATGAAAAAAATTCACAATTTCGCGATTTTATCTAATATCAAAAACGCAAACACGGTCCGAGGATTCTCGAAAACCACAATATTTTATAGAAATTTATCTGAAATATGGTACAATGTCTTTGCTCGCTTTGCTATAATGTTAAATTGATCAAAGATCAAATAACAAGTAGTTGGATATTTCAACCATTCTTCGTTTTGAATGAGTATCAATTCCACACTTCTATGGTTACAATTTCTTGGATTCAGACTCAAAATCTAGGATTTGAATCCAACTAGCAATATTTGCATTCTTTCCACCAAACAACTTGGTTAATTCATCAACAACAAGTTATTTACAACTAGTGTAAACTGGACAAATTGGTGGCAATCTAAACATGGTCGAGTCTACAATCGTGCTTGGAATGTAAACGTTCTGTGAAAGATTCACTTGTGGCAGAGTGAGTTCAATACTCAAAGGAAAACAATACTGCTCTGGTTGAGTTGGTTTTGTCGTCCATTGTGAATAGGTTTTGGTAAAGATATGAGTTGCTTCAAATTCTCCATGCTTCTTTCCAAATGAATTCTTACTATCCAACGGATAGCAAACCAAATCCCAATCAATTTTCTCCTTCAAAATCCTACAAGAGCAATGTCCTCTCATTACATGATATTCATAATCATTGGAACCTAATCTAAAATAATAACGACTCGCATTGATTGGTTCACCATTCGGATTGATACTCACAGAATCGATACGTTTTCTCATGGTTTCTCTATCGATCCATGTCTGGCTATTGGTTGTTGAGATGTGTTGGTGATGGTCATGTGTGGAATTCTTTCGTGTGAGACTACTTGTCATTATCATGGAATATCTTGGTGGTAAACAACATTTAGAGTCCCCAGAAGGTAAACTCTGCTTCCATGCCTGATGTATTGTCCTTCTCAGTGACTCATCTCTAATGAGTGAAAAATCTACGCATTCAACTTGATTCTCACCTCCACATATGAATATTGTTGTGAACAAGACAATTATCAGTATAATATTCCTCATCTTTATATCTTCAATATTGCTCCTCATCCTTCAAATAACTTGATGAGAGAAGTGATGTGGTGTGGTTCTTTTTTTTTCTCTGTGGAATAATAGAAGGTAGCTTGAATCATATCTCTGCCTCTAATTACAGTAACCTTAAAAGTAAAGTAAATTCTCTATTAAGGTAGGTTATGAGTACGAATGGGCTATTCTAAGGAACCAAAATACAATGATGAATCACTTGTAGTGAGTCCTAAAACTCACGTACAGAACATCACATCTCTATTACTGTTTATCATATTTATGACTTGTACAAGATGTATCCACACAAATATGAAGATGACGAGACTTTTAAGGTTGAATGGATCCTTTTAATTGGAATTTTAATATTTCCTGTGGTGATATTATTTTCCTTAATTGTACGTAGTATAGACTTTATTGCTTTGGAGATTCGAGATGTTCAATAAGTGATTGAATTCCGCCACGATAGGCCGAGTGCACAATCTGAGTCAAATCCTCACTTCTCTCTGCAGGACAATTGAATCGAACACTCCACTCAAAGAAAGTTTGATTGGTGAGTGTAATTTCACTGACCTTGATGGTTGCTGTGTAGTTTTGCAGCTCAGCAAAGGCCCCACCAGCTTGCAATAGTTTGTAAGTAAAAGTGTGATTGATTTGATCAAGGGCTATTAATTCCTCCCTTGCTGGTGTTGAAACTCCTCGAATTTTGAGACAGCGAATGGAGCCAATGGTTTGTGGATTTACAGAATTCTCAATAGTGCTCTCTTCAACAACAGCTGACCATTTTGGGGAGCCATCGAATTGACTAACGAGTGGCCACACAGTTGAGATGGAGGCTGGTAAGACACCTGATTCGTAGACTTGATAAGACATTTTTTTCCAATTTACTTGAAAATGTTAACACTTCTTTGTGGACATTTAATTGGACTTTAATTATTAAGCGCGGGCTATTTATTTTGAAACTCCCAAGATATTTTCCCACAACTTGCACATGTGGAAAAGAATCATTAACATTGAAATTGCAACAGTCTTTATGATTCCAATCTGATAAAACTTTATTCCACATATTAATTCTTTCTTCTCTTGTAAATTAATTCACTTCTCATCAAATATTTAGTGCCACTCTTGAGAACTGAGCCATAGTGAAGAATATTGTGTGGGAAAATGATGCACAGACCTGGTTCTGGCTCAACGTGTCCCTTGATTTCAAATGGTGGTGCAGGTGGGAAGGTATGTGATTTGATAAATGTGGTTCTTCCCTCTTCATAATCACCATTGAGATAGAACATGAATGTGTAAAAACTACGAGTATCACCATCGAGCTCAATACAACCATCATAGTGAGGAGCAAGGAAGTGTTGACCTGGTGTGTATTTGCAGAATCGCCATCTAGAATTGAGGAATGCCAAGTCCCAGGTATCTCCTGATTCTGGATCGACGTAAACTTGAGGAGCCATTGATTTTACTCTTTCGAATAGAATTTGTGCAGAAATCTTGTCTTCAACAATGACTCTCTTATTAGATCTGTATTCCTTAGCATAACCATACAAATCCTCATAGCTTAATTTTTCTGTTTGCTCGATCAAGTGTTGACATTCTTCCTCACTCAATAAATTATGAATCAGGTAACTGGTATTCTTGGTGAATTTGGTGCCAATTAATTTATCATCAAATATTCCCTCCAAGAATGTTACACATTGAATTGGTTTTCTCTCAGTGCATGGTTTGGCATGGTCAATGCTGAAATCTTTGAATATTTTCAGGTAGGCATGATTGGTGTGATCGTATTGCAAATCATCCGTTCCAAGTTCAAAATCTGAAGGATACTCCCATTCATATCTTGGACTAAATTTGACAAAAAAGATGGCAGAATCTGAGAGACCCAGCAAAAGAATTGACTGATCTGGAATCAACAACATGGAATTACATTGAGATCCACTACAATCCAACTCGACTGTTTCAGTTAAACTCAAAGAAGAACCACTCTTTCCAATGTAGAACAATCTCACTGTACAATCTCTGCATGAACAAATAAGCTTCTCTGGAGTGAGAACAATATTGGTGCATGAGCTTGGCAAGGATTCATTGTGTTGTAAAGAATGAATGCTCGATAATTTTCCATCCTCAAATCGTAATTTACAGGATATCACCTGTAATGTCTTGTCTTGGTAGGAAATGGAGATTATAAACTCTTCATCAGATCGTTGTGTTACCTCACAAGTTATCTTGACCCTTCCAGAATTGGATTGTTCCGCTATTAAATATTGTTTCCATGATTTGATATCTTCCATTGAATCTTCTTTACAATAGCTCATTACCACTGAACCATTCATATCCACACTCAAGAGACATACCATTTCACCAAAATTCAAAACTCTCAAAGAATTATTAATTGGAGAAGTGTGCAAAGTTGACACTTTTCCTATCACTTCTCCATTCTCAATGTTGGAGATGCAAACAAATGAATCTAATCCACTCGTTGCTACCAACTTGCTACTCGATGTCAATTTGACAATTTTTGCTATATTATAATTATGGAACTCGCTAATCGACTCTATTTGATGAATTCTTTCATACTTTTCATCAACCAATTTCCAAACATTCAAATTATTGGAAGTTGAATTCACAACCCATTCAACATTGAAATGTTCAAAATCAGAAACCTTTGATTCAATACCAGATTTAGATTCATTCAATCCACTATGAATGAAATATTTCACAACACCATCTGACGGATCAAAAACAATCAACGATGAATGAGACCCATCACTCTCATTACCACTCGAACATGACAAACACAAGTGTCTCTTTTCACATTGATCATTATGAGGAGAGATGGACATGACAACATCAGATTCTCCCACCACTTGCTGAGGTTCATAATCAAAAATCTTTAAAATCTTTCCCTCATCTCCACTATGAAAATCAATGGATTTCATTTGGAGAGTAGATCTCAAATCCCATTGACACAAACAAGCTTTCATATCACCAGAAAACAATGTTGGGATGTTAATTGTTGTCTGCTTCTTCAATTTGGAGAAGCACATTGCTTGAACTGCTGACAAGTGTCCTTCCAGACATGTCAAATGATGTAAACCCTTCTTATATCTCTGCATTATTTGTAATTGTTGAATGAACAATCTCTTATAGCCCTTTTCATTGATAATCAAGTGAGAAGATTGCTTCAAAACTTGAGAATACTCCCTCTGACACAACTCCTTCCAAACCATCTCATCATTTCCCATGAATTTAGAGTAAATCTTCGGAGAGAGTAGGAAGAGAGAATTGATCCACTCCGTGGGCTCTATCATGAGCATTAGCTCGGAGAGAATGGATGGTTCTTGTACCAATAGAGAAATCAAGTTCATAGTTGTTAGTTGAATTTGTGTTTTAAAATCTCTCAATGAAAACAGTGATGGTTTAACAGTTGCAATTTTTTTGATTTTGGAAATAATAAAGAAAGTGTATTATTGGAAATTTAACTTGAAGGTGCTATTCTGAATTTGAAGTTGAATCAGGTTCATTTTCACAAGTGAATATGTTCAATTTGATTTCCCGCCAAAAACAATGACAAAGAAGCAGATTTTTGGGAAAATGGTGCAAGACATCAGGTAGAGCTTGTTCTGAAAAATTCTTTGGATTTAATGTTGTTTTGAAATTAAGGAGCCAATTTTTTACCACTGTGTTGACATACAACTTTATGTTTATGAGGTGCTTGAATCGTGATATGGCTGTACCCACTAATTTTCTTGATTTATGGAATATTAATCATACCATGAATTTAGGTTCTTAGATTTGAATAAAATTGAAATGCAATATTAACAAGGATTTAAGCTATTCATACTGAAATCAAAGAAATGGTACAGTTTGACAGATGATTTTGTGCTCAATCAAAATTGTTTACAAAAAAAAATGAAAAGATTCCTCAACACTTCATTGCTGCCATCATCAAGATCAACTCCTCGAAATGTAAAAGGTATTAACATGTCAAAATCCAATACATTAAAATCTTGTAAAAAACACTTCATAGAAACTTATAATCCTTTCAATGTCAAGTCAACAATAACACGATCATTTTCCATCAATCAATTGAATAGATTTAGTCAACAGAATAATTTTCCGAGAACAACCTTTATCACTATTCGTACAACTTGTGCCTTGTGTGGACATGAAGGCCAATTTGATCAAGTTACTTCAACAAGTTCATTTGGGAATTGTGATTTAGATATGAGACCAGCTCCTTTGGCAAGACATACATTGGTGGATGAGGTTCAGGAGTGTGAGTCGTGTGGTTTCGTCAATCAATCCGTTGGAAAATGTGAAAATATTGAGGAAATGAAAAATATTGTCAAGTCTGACAAGTATCAAGAAGCATTGAAAGACGATAATAGCTTCCTTCTTTATGCATTAATCAAAGAAGAGGAGCAGAATTACCTTGCATGTGCATGGAGTTATGTAAAATCAGCTTGGATTTTTGATGATAGAAATGAGAATGATAAGGCATCTATTTCAAGAAGGAGAGCCATTGAATTCTTTGAAAAGAGTACAACTTGCCTAACTTTGGAGCAAAAGATGCTTATTGTTGACCTTTATCGAAGAACTTCTCAATTTGATAAGGCCTCCAATCTTGCAAATGATTTGTTGAAAAATGAAAAAATTGATAGCAAATTTCTAATTGGAATTTTGGAATATCAAAAGGATTTATGTAGATATAAGGATGTGGATTGTCATGTTTCTCCTGATGAAAATAAGATTTTCTTTCGTTAAATAAAAAAATTGCCGACACCAGGGATCGAACCAGGGACCTTAAGATCTTCAGTCTTACGCTCTCCCAACTGAGCTATGTCGGCTTCTTATTCAACTATTATTGAATGTTGTTATAAAACAATTTGTTTTCTCAGTTACAACAAACTTTGTTCAGAACTCATCATTAACGAGCAGCATAATCTCAAATGTTGTTTCAAAATGATACAATGGGTAAAACCATATTATCCTTCCGATTATTGTTTGACGATCAAACTGTTTTACAACCATTATTCCTGAACTCCTGTCTCCGAACTTTTAAACTTGTTGTTGATTGGTTCGTGTGGTGTGATTGATGAAGATAAACGATTGTCTCCTTCAAAAAGTGCTCCTTGTAACAAGCGCCAAAAATTCTTAGCGAAAAAAAAATGCAATCCCGTTTCATTATTGTCGCCATGTTGTTGGTAGCTTTGGCTGCCTTCGCATTGGCTCAAGAATACACTCCACTTTCTGAAGCTGAAATGAAGAAGCTCTTTGTTAAATTCTCCAAGAAGCACGCCAAGCTCTATGGTGCTGAAGACCACGGTAAGAGATATCAAATCTTCAAGTCCAACGTTGAAAAGGCTAGATACTACAATCATGTTGGTAAGAGAGAAACCTTCGGTGTTTCCAAGTTCATGGATTTGACCCCAGAAGAATTCAAGAGAATGTTCTTGATGAAGACTTACACTCCAGAAGAAGCCAGAAAGATTTTGGCTGCTCCAAAGGAAGCTGTCGTTACTGCTCAACAAGTTAAGGACACTCCAACCGTATGTTTTTAAATTATATTATTTATTTAACATTTTTAACATCATTTAAATTTTACCCACTGAATCACGTTATTTAATAATTAAATAATCATCATTATAATAATAGTCATGGGATTGGAGACAAAAGGGTGCTGTCACTCCAGTTAAGAATCAAGGTGCATGCGGATCTTGTTGGACTTTCAGGTTTGTATTTGTTATTTGAATGTTATTTAAAGGGTCATTAATTTATCTAGTACTACTGGTAACGTTGAAGGTATTCACCAAATCAAGACTGGTAAATTGGTTTCCCTCTCTGAACAACAATTGGTTGACTGTGATCATAACTGTGTTACTTATCAAGGACAACAAGCTTGTGATGCTGGTTGTAACGGTGGTTTGATGTGGTCTGCATTCCAATATGTCATTAAGACTGGCGGTTTGGTCACTGAAGATTCTTATCCATACGAAGGTGTTGATGATACTTGTAGATTCAACAAGTCTAATGTTGCTGTTACCATCAACTCATGGACCTCAATTCCATCTGATGAAGGTAAGATGGCTGCTTGGTTGGCTGCTAACGGTCCAATCTCTATTGCTATCAATGCTGAATGGCTCCAAACTTATACCTCTGGTATTTCTAACCCATGGTTCTGTAATCCACAAGATTTGGATCACGGTGTTTTGATTGTTGGTTTCGGTACTGGATCCAACTGGTTGGGTGAAAAGGAAGACTATTGGATTATCAAGAACAGTTGGGGAGCTGACTGGGGTGAATCTGGTTATTTCCGTATTGTTAGAGGAAAGGGCAAGTGTGGTTTGAACTCTGTTCCATCCAGCTCTTTGATCTAAATTGATTAAATGAATTTTTTAATTAATTATTGTTTTTTATTTTTTGTAAAAGGTAACTTTAATTACTCTTGTTACCAGTGGAATTTATTCTAACTGTGCAACACATTCATGAAATGAAACTTTCTCGTTAATTAATTAAATAACAACAAAGGAAAATTTTACAATTTTCATTGTAAAAACAAATCATCAGTTAAAAGATTTTTCACCCAATCTATCACCTTAATTATCCATTCAACGCCCTAAGTTTTAACCACCATAAAATCTATAAAGATATACCAATTTGGAATTACTGTCAATTTCCAATTCTTTCAATGTTTTAGCATATTCACTTAAAGGAATTAACTTTGATTTGTTAGCTATTACAACGTTTTGATCTGTTACACACAATCTATCTTCTAATCTATTGATAAACATTTCAAACGTATCATTTGGATTCATATAAACTTTCATTTTCTTTCTAATTAATGATTCGATAGTCAGTTCAATTGAGCTGACTTGTGGGGAAAATTTGGAAATTTCCTCATTTTTCAACAAATCTTCACCAACAAATCTGAAAGCATTTGGATCTTGATTCAAAGCTGTCAACACAATTTCCCTGTCATTCTTGAGAGATTCTCCAACAAATTCCAATAATAATCCAGAGTGTCTCACAATTTCCAATATAAAACGTCTATCATTCAATAAATCTTGATTGGAAACAAATTGAATAGCTCGTGGATCACATTTAACAGCAACTCTGCAAATTTCCTCATCTTCTCTCATCTCAACACTCAAATTTTTAAATAGAATCCAATTTTTCTGAACTAATTCCTTGTTAACTACTTTGGGATCTCTTATTTTCAATCTTTTCTCAAATTCATCATGTAAAATAGCTTGAGAAATTAGTTCAGTGTCATTTCTCAAACTTTTGTGTAAATATTCGAAACCTTTACTTCCATACTTGTTAATAACAGCAAGAGCCACCTCCCGATCTAAACTAAAATCGAATGGTTTCCGACTCGGAATGAAGGGCACATTCGAATTTCGCATCTGATTTATAACCATCAATTTTCTAGAGAGCTGATTTAATCGTTCCTTTGATTTCTGTAGCATTTCAATTCTAATAGATTGTAGTAATGGATCATCATTATTACTGACAAAGTCTATGAGTAAAATTGTTACACAGTGTTCTTGCATTCTTTTTTATTTTTGGATTTTTTAATATTATTCACTATTAATAGTTTAGTTTCGATTTACTTTTTTCTACTGTCCTGCATTTCCCACTCACTATCCATTGGATTTTCCTCCAAATCAACTTCTCCAATCTTGACCAATTTCTTGGCAAACTTTGGATTTAAAGCAAAATTCTTATATTGCATTTCAGGTTTAGGTTTTTCAATTTTAGTTTCTGGTTTAAGGCAACCAATTAGAATAAAGATACAACAAGTGAACATTAGAATGACTATCAAAACTGCCATGACAACAAGAGGGATCCATAGAATATCATTACCAGAGAATGTTTCAGGAAGAATAATTGGTTTAGCTTCTTCCACAATAATGATCTCTCCCCTTATTTCTAAAATACCTATCATTTGATTATCAAAACATGTGCAAACGCCTGTTGAGTTATCAGCCAGAGAAAATGAACATGAAGGTGCATTAGTAATCTTTCCATCACTTAAAGTCTTGCATTCATATTTGTAAAAAACGTTTGAATTATTGTAGCCAACTTGTTCAGTAAGTGGAATGAAAAACATGATAGGGGCTGTTAAGTTGTTCATATTTACCACTTGATTACTCGAGTTGACTATTGAAAGGAAAACAGTTGTTTTTGATTTGATGCTTGTTTTTGACTTGATAACTCGTTTAGGTTCTACAACCACAAACGAATCTGAATTGTATATTCCTTGATTATTAATGGAATATAATGAATAACTCCATGGTTTCACGCTTGAGAGGGCAAGTTTTGGTAAAGTGACTTTTACACTCTGTGATGTAATATACATTTCTGAAAGCTCATCAGCAAAATGTCTATTTGAAGTAATGGTTGAATAACCAACATTGCTACTAGATGGCTCACTCCCTAATATCATATTTCTTTTGGATAATTCTGAAATGTAAGTTGAAAATTTCAAAAACTCAGAATCATATTTCAAGTTGAATTCTAATTTGTTCACATTTTCGAACAATACTGAAATAAATCCTGACAGCAACTTTTCAACTCCATCTAAGAGTAAAATGTTCTTATTTGAATAAGCTTCGCTCAAACATTTTTCAGAAGCATGAATCAAAAGCGACAATCTACCCTCATCTAGGGAGCTTACACTTTTAGAAAGTGAAAATGCTGAATAAATAAAGCTGGTGACAGATTCAGTAGTTAATGGATTAAGAGATTTTTCCCTTCCAACTTCTTCATTAGCCAAATTGGTTATAAAATCAAATTTAAGCTCCTCTATCAATGCATCAACATTTGAAGTGGAGGTAATTCTTTTTGTTGTTGAGTTTGACAATAGTTGGTCCTTAATCATTGTAACAATTGAGGTGATGGTTGCCGTGTTAAATACATTTTGAGAAAGAGTTTCTTCTTGCTTTTCCTGGATAGATCTTCTTGTCCAAGTCGAAATGAGGGATTTCAATTCTGTAATTTCACTAACAGTTGGTGGAATAATGGCGACACTGGTTTTGACAATCATATCAGTGTCGGTATCATGATCTACAATCTTAATATAGAGATCTAAGGTTCCAGAATTTGATACTGGTAAATATTGAGACATTGATTTGTTTGATGATTGAGCAGAGCTGGAGGCTATTGGGATATTCAAACCTGAATAATTATCAATAAAACCATATTCAAAATCAAAGGAGGGTTCTGTTTCACAATTTGGACATCTAAAAGAAAATTCTGTGCTAAGAGCATAACCAAGAGAAGGGGTTACTGAACATTCACACAGCTTTGGGAATTTCACAACCCTGAATTGATAAGACAAAGTTGAAGATAACCAACTAGATTCATCATCCACTCTTAGAGTGAGAATATAAACGCCTTCATCCATATATTGAGTATCTATAATAATAGAGTTTGAGATAGACAATGGATTTCTCATTTTCTTTAGCAATGCTTGATCTATTTTAGTCCCATTAATCCTCCAAATTCTTTGAACGCGATTGATATCTTCAACTCCTTGAATTCCAACTTGAAGATTTAAAATCTCACCCTTTTTTACACTCTTTGGGTTCACAGAGCTGTAGAGAAGATTAATGACTGGTGGAATGCCAAACTTTGAATCTAAAGGGAAATTAATTTGTAAAGAGGAGGAGACATTCCTAAAACCTTTCACCACATTAAGGTTTATATCTATAGGAGCATTCCAAAAGCTTTGATTGTCTGGCTTGAAAATGGTTACATAGTTTGGTTCAGAATTGAAATTTAACAGAGAAGAACAAGTGTCCCCGTTCATAAAACAAGACCATAACATCTGTTCCTTCTCTGTTGTGTGGTCATTGTCAGTGAGGGAATATGCAAGAACGTATTTTGTCGAGGAGGCTTCTACTGCGAATAATTGCAAATCCAACTCTGAAATTCTAGTTTGAATGTTAAAGGTTGATGTAAATTTAGATGTTAAATACTCATTCATCGAGTTAAATTCAATTGAAAATGAATAGAGAGAATCCATCAGTGTAGAATATCTTGAAATAACCAAGTTGTTATAGTTATTTACAGAGAATGTTAGAGGAGGCCCATCTACCTTGGCATAGCTTGTAGTATAGGTAAAGTTAGAGGATACACAATTTGGATTGATTGTCTTTTTGAATACAATCGGTAAATCACTCACACTAACAACTTTGGAACCAATGAATACAGGAGGTTGTGGATCCGAGTTCATATCAAATGTGAAGGTAGTTTCACTTTCTGTTTTGAATAAGGTACTTTTCACTTTCAGTTTGAAAATGTGAACACCTCTGGAGTAGTCATTGAATTTGAAGAAGACAGTCTTAGCACCATTATTGTTGGCTTTCTGGAGGATAGTGTTAATCTTTGAATCTAAAGAGATAACACTCCACTCAAAAATGACAGGCTTTACATCTCTACTATAACTCTTCGATCCATCCAGAATGAAATCATCACATAATGAGTGTTTCTCTATTCTCACAGTAGGTGCCAATGGGGATGATGGAGGACTAACATTCATTTCAACAAAGGAGCCATTTGAATTCTCTCCTAGTACTTCCACATTGATATATAGGATGCCCCCTAGTCTTAATGTAAAATCTTCACCAAGATTAATATAAAAGGTGCTATTTTTCCATTCACAAGACGGGAGAGTTCCTAAAAGCTCATTATTCAGAACCACTTTTTTACAATCCACATAGTAAAGAGAAGGAAAAAATCCATTAGTTTCTAGGGAAATCTTATCGCCATTGTCTGAGAATTTCAAACCTGATTTAAAGCTCAACTGGCATTTGGCACCAAAATAGTTTTCCAAACAAGTCTCGCATTTAGTTCCTTTCCAAAATCCATTTTTCTGGTTCGAATAACATATACATGTTCCATTCATTTGGCATTCACCATGATAGGAACAAGATGAAGGTGAACTACATGGTGTTGTTTTACATTCTTCTCCAAAATAAGGATGCATGCATTGATCACATTTATCTCCACTCCAGTATCCCTTAATATCATCTTGATAACAGGAGCAAGAATTCAGTTGTTTACATTCTCCATGACGACTGCAGACACTAGTATTTGAATACTCAATACCAAAGCAATAAAAGTTTTTACATTCTTTACCATAGAAACCATCTCTGCATTCACAAATATCAGGAGATTTACAATAGCCTTGACTTGAACAAACATTATAACTCTGTGAAGATTTTCCATAACAGTTGAACAGATTGCATTCAGCTCCATAAAACCCTTCTTTGCAAGAACAATTATTTGGAGAAGTACATATTCCATTTGATGAGCATACATTTTCACTGGCGAAATCTATGCTAAAGCAGGAATAATTGCTGCACGTTAATCCTTCATATCCATTTTCGCATTTGCACAAGTTTGGGGCAATACATTCTCCATTTGAATGACAAGTTCCTGGATCATTATTTGAAATATTAAAACAATCAAATTGTTCACATTCATCACCGTAGTGACCTATGTTGCAGGAACAATTGTTAGGACCTGCACAGGACCCGTTTGAAGAGCAAGCTATGGAATCATTCCTTTCAATCCCAAAACAGGAGAAGTCAGAGCAATCAACACCAAAGTAACCACTAGTTGTACAATTACATACATCCCTTGAGACGCAATCACCATTACCTGAACAAACATTGGTATTATTATTCAAAACTCCAAAGCAGTAGAAATTTTCACACCTATCTCCAAAGAAGTCAGAGAAACAATCACACTCATTTGGTTTGATGCACACTCCATTTCCTGAGCAGACCTCCTGGCTTGTATTCACAACCCCAAAACATGACGCAAATTCACAACTATCACCACTGAAACCATCAAAACAGGAGCAATTATTGTAATCAAAACATTGCCCTAATGAAGAACATGCTAAGGAATGGTTTGAGGGATATCCAAAACATGTAAATTCATCACATTTTTCTGAAAGATATCCTTCAAAGCATAAACACTCATCACTAGAGACACATTTACCATTCCCACTGCAAACATTTGAGCTATTAGAAGAGTAACCATAACAATCGAAAAGAGAACATTCCAGTCCATGATATCCATCATCGCATGAACAGTTATTAGGTCCTAAACACATTCCGTTTGAGGAACATACAGATGTCTCTGTTTCATTCTTTCCAAAGCATTCAAAGTGTTCACAATTATTGCCATAAAAACCTTCCAAACATGAACAGTTACCTGGGGATACGCATAGACCATTAGATGAACATACAGCTGTTGAATTGTTTTCCAATGAGAAACAGGTAAACTTTTCACATTGGTTTCCATAATAACCTTCATAACAAGTGCAGTTGTTTGGTGAGGAACAAAGACCATTTCTTGAACAGGAATCCACTGTTGAACTCTCAATCCCAAAACAATCATAAAAAGTACACTCTAAACCATAATATCCACTGAAACATGTGCAATTATTTGGGGAATGGCAATCACCATTTGAAGAGCAAACTGAACAGTCCGTTTCATTCTTTCCAAAACATTGATGGTACTGACAATTATTTCCAAAATATCCTTCTTCACAAGTGCAGTTATTTGGAGAGTTACACTCACCTCTCGAAGTACAGACTAAGGTTGAATTGTGTTCAATGTTAAAACATTGATACATGTTGCACTCTATTCCATAGTATCCTTGATGACAGGAACAATTATTATAAGAAGAACAACAGCCATTATACGAGCATACTTCCTCTCTTGAATGCTCAATACCAAAACAATCGAATAATGAGCAATCCGTTCCATAGTATACTCCTTCACAGGAACAATTATTTGGACTTGAGCAAATACCATTCCCAAAGCAAACACTGGAGTTATCTTTCCTTATTCCATGACAATTAAAATATTGACACATATCTCCATAGTAATTGGGACTACATGAACAATTATTGACAGTCACACACAACCCTCTCCCACTGCAGACTCCCGAAAAGTTAGCAGGAATATTGAAGCATTTAGGTATTTCACAACTACTTCCTATCCAAGAATCATTGCATGAGCAGGAATTAGGAGAGGAGCAATTACCATGATTGCTGCACACTCCGCTCTCTCCATTGGTTTTACCAAAACAAACAGGAGAACTACAATCTTTTCCTGTCCACATTGTAAAATCTGAACATGTACAATTATTAGGAGACACGCATGTTCCGTGTCCAGAGCAAGTTGCTGGGAGGTCTTTTTCAATTGAGTAACAATAGTAATTTTGGCAAAGGTTTCCACTATAGCCATTTGAGCAATCACAATGGTCAATGTAAGAGCAAACTCCAAACGAAGAGCAAACAGTTGAATTATTCCATAAAACTCCACCACAGCTGGTATGGGTCAATTTTCTAACTCTAAAATTCGAAGTATCTGCAATGAAAACTTCATTAGAAATATTTGAATACGAAATTGAGTAAACTGAATCAATTTGAGCAGACAGAGAATCTGTTCCATCACCCACACTCCCTGAATTCCTTGCAGATCCAGCAATTGTTCGTATAATTCCATTTGAATAAACCTTCCTTATTACATAATTATCACTGTCAGAAATAAGCATTTCACCTGCTGATGTAAAGGCTATTGATGTTGGACTGCTTAATTGAGCTTGTTTAGCTTGACCTCCATCTCCTAAATATCCACTCACACCTGTACCAACAACTGTGATAATCTTGTTATCTAATCCAACCTTTCTAATAACATTATTGCCAGTGTCAGCAATAAACAACTCGCCCGTTGTTGGTGATATGGCAACATCGTTAGGGCTGTTGAGTTTAGCACTTGTGGCAACACCATTATCTCCACCATATCCTAACAGAGAACAAGTGCCTGCAGCTACACTCACAACCGTTCCACTAATTTTACCAATACAATGATAGGTATAATCTGAAAAGTATAAGACTCCACTCGAAGAAACTGCCAATCCCAATACTTGACCAATAGTAGAACTGGTTGCAGTTCCTTCAGTCAAAGCTCCTTTTGTTCCTTTTCCAATAACTGTGGAAATAATTTGATTCGTTGATATCTTTCTAATTCTATAATTTAGAGAATCACCCAAATACAAAGTCCCGTCTCCACTATAAAAAGCCAAAGCTTGAGGTTTGTTGAGCTTGGCAGATGTCGCTACACCATTATCACCAAAATACCCTCCTGAAGATCCAGTTCCTGCTATTGTTTTGATAATTCCATTCGATACTTTCCTTATTCTGTGATATGTTTTATCGGCAATGTACAAATCTCCATTCGATCCTACTTCAATAGCATCTACATAACCAATTGAAGCATGACTAGGGGATACACCATCTCCAGAATTTCCCTCATTACCATCCCCAACATAGGAGGTGATAGTAAATCGCTCGATTTGATCTGTGACTACTACACCATTAAGGCTATTCAATATGATTAATATTAATATAACAATATACATCACTCGGCTATTACGGATTATTGTACAACCATCCGATCCTTTTGACTTCATCATTTCTTCCGTGATGATATTGAAGGTAAGGTTATTAAATTCCTCACTAACTTGTTGTTGAGGCTTTTTTTACAGTATTTTACTGTAATGTGACTTACTGCAGGCGAAATATTAATATTGAATTACTAAGTAACCATTCCAAATGGAACAAATTCATTTCACAATCAATTCATCTCGAAAGTTGTCAATCAAATAATATTGGAGAAATAAAAATCACAGCATTTTTTTTATTGTTTTTTTCAATATTGTTATTCAAGTATGGTCCTTAAGAGGTCTTTGTAAACAAGTGGTTCTTCAATCATTCTAATTGAAATACTCAAATATAAAAAAATGTCTCAAAAGCTTGTGCTAATTACTGGTGTTTCTCAGGGCATTGGAAATGCATTGATGAGAAATCTATTGGCTAAGTCTTCATATAAGATTATTGGAACTGTTAGAAATGCAAGTGATAAAGAGAAAGTCATGCAATCACTTGTTTCCGATCGGACTAAAAGTAATTTGGATGAAAGAGTGACCCTTGTAAATATTAATTTTCTCAAAGAATTGCAGAATAAGCAAGAAGCCAATGATTGGATCAAGTCAATCAGTGCAGATGCTTCTAAACATTTCCAAAATACCTTTACTGCCCCAAATATTCTCATCAACAATGCAGGAATAATGTTGAAAAATGATGAAAATTTCAAGAACATGTCAACTGTTCAATTGGTGAGAGATACATTGAAGGTTAACTTTTTTACTCCATTCTATTTGAGTGAGAGTTTATTGGACATTAGTTCCTCATCAGCTCATTCCCCAACCATCTTGAATTTGGGAGCCAGAGTATGTAAATTATCAACCAACAATTATCTGAAATCAATTCCAGAAATTGGAGAAACTCTCAAAGATAAAGTATTCACTCCAGAAAAATCTCAACTCACCTCAGAAGATTTATATCATCTTCTCACTCAATCAGTTATGAAAAATCCAGATTACATGTCTACTGAAAGAATATCCAAAATTCCAGCAGCACTTCCAGATGCTCCCTATCTTGTTTCAAAGGTTTTCCTTCATGCATTGACTAAAATTGAGGGAACAACTCGTCAAAACGCTCAAGTCAATGCTGTAGATCCTGGTTGGGTCAACACTAGATTGACCTCCTTTAAGGCTCCACTCACACCAGATAAGGCAGCTCAAAACATTCTCCAACTCTTAGACACACCTCTTCAAAATGGACAACTCTATGGAGATGGAAAACTCATCACTTATGTATAAAAACCATTGTAAAACATTGAATGTGTTGTTTTTTTCAAGAGAATGAACTTGTTCCTTTGCATCTCCTTCGAACATCTCAGAACATCCAAAGCAGCTATTTTAGGAACTCACTCAAATCTATTCAACATTTTTTCAATCACAAAAAAATATCATCATTTAAAATCTGGTGTTGTTTTGATCAAATTGAAAAAATAGATCATCTTGTAAATTAAAGAGAATATATAAAGACAATGTTTGGCAAGTGGTTCGGAAGTAAGAATAAAGCAGCTGATGATGATTTATCACAAGTTTCAGCCAACACAAATAATGATGCCTTGACTACAACGACATCATCCATTAGCACCATTCCAAAATGTTTACACAATTTGAAATTGGACGATTTTGTGGGTGTGAGAATGTTGGGAGAAACCTATTCTGATAAGGCCTCTACATTATTACCACTCGTTTCACAACGTTTGCAATGTCATGTGACCTATCCAATTGTTCAGGTTGTTTCGACCATGACTTTCCGTAATCAAAATCAAAAGTGTGTAGAGGGTGAGTTGCTATTGCCAATGCCAGAGGGTGCAACCTTAATTGGTTATGCTATGGAAGTTGATGGTTCTTTAATTGATGCTGTCCCAGTTCAAAAAGAAAAGGCAAAACAAGTTTTTGAAGAAGAAGTGAGATCGGGAAGAAAAGTTGCCATGGTAGAGAAGGTAGCCCAATCCAATTCATTCAAAACTCGTCTCTATCCATTGCCATATAATACTGACAAGACTGTTCAAGTTAAATATCAAATGATTTTGAACGAAACTGTACAAAAGAATAATAATTCTCAAAGTGGAAAAATTAATGGAACTGCTTGGGTACCGCTCTCCTTTATAGATTTTGCTGCATTGAGAGATGATACAAAGATTGAATTTACTCTCAATCAAACTTCATTGCAAGGGTTTGAAACTCAAGTTCTCATGAGTGTTGCTGGAGGTTCCTCTGGTGTGGAAGATCAATTATTATGGACAAGCAAGAATGCTAGTGCAAGAACTGGTTATTTTGAACTCAAAAAGTCAGATCTCAAAGATTCCATGACAGGTTTCAAATTGCAAGTCACAAAGCAATCCGAAGATGTTAGAGATATGTTGCTTGCTTCTGAGAATGGTTACTTTATGGCATCTATTCCTGTTCCTCAACTAAGTGATGAATTGAGAAATAAGAGCCGTATTGGAAACAAGGTTCAAATTATTTGGGATTGTTCAAATAGTTCAAAGAATAGTCATGAAAAGAACCTTAAGAACTTAAAGTTCATCTTGGAAGGAATTGCACCATCTTCTATCTATTTCACCTCATTCAGCTCCGATATCATTGAATCAACTGAATTTAAATCAGTATCTGATGCTTTGAAGCACGTGGGTGGAGTGTTTTACGATGGTGGTTCAAATATGCTCCTCCTTGATAAGGGTGTTATCAACAAATCAGCTGATTATTGTATTGCATTCACTGATGGTGTTCATACCTTTGGTTTTGAAATTAGTCCATTGGCTAACTTTGAAAAACCAATTTACTTTATCACCTCTGGCTCGGTTATCAATTCACATTTATTGAAGCACATTGCAACAAAGAGTGGTGGTGTCTATCTCAATGCAAATGAACTCTCTGAAACCGAACTATTGAAGGCTATTGGCAAACCTGTTCTTTCTTTTGCAGTTGCTGATTTTGAAGATTCTGATATGGAGGAGGTTTATCCAAACGAACCAGTTAGTCTTACTGAAGGAGGTGTGTTCAAATTATTTGGTAAATTCAAGAATAGTGGAAAGGAGAGTGTTAAAGTTGCTGTTTCATTTAGATATGGATCTTCCGTATACCATGTTCAAGAATTGGACTTACCGGTCAACTTGGAACAATGCGAAGCTGCTATTTTACCATTATTGTGGGCTCAACAAAAGATTGATTCACTCTCCACATTCCCTCACTTATTCAAAGATGAAATTAGTAGACTTGGACAAGAATTCAGAATTGTAACAGATGATACTACACTTTTAGTATTGGAAACTTTGGATCAATACTTGAAGCACAATATTACTCCACCAGCTTCCCTTTCCAATGTATTCAAACAATATACTGAAACAAAGAAGAATGAGCAAGAAAGTGAAGAACGAAGAGAAAAGGAAAAGATTGAAAGAATTGTCACTATGTGGCAAGAAAGAGTAAATTGGCATAACCGTGATTTCCAATCTGTGACAAAAGATCAGAAAATTTATCATGATGCTTCAGGCGACAACGATGATGAAGAAGAGTGTGAATGTGATGACTTTGATGGTGGGGTACCAGAAATGGAATGTTGCCCTAGTGAAACCCTTTGTTGCCAATCAGCAGTACAAGAGGATTGTTTAATGTTGGACAGAGAAGAATGCAAAGAGAAGTGTTCTGAAGAAAGGGAGGAGAAATCAGACAAGAAACCTAAAAAGAAAAAAAAGGAAGGTTCCTCCAAGCAATCAAAAGGAGTTTCTGGATCCATCAATATTAAGCCTTGGAGTCCAGATGCCTCATACTGCAAAGCCATCTCAACAGCCAGTGATCCTTACAAGGAATATTTGAAACAAAGAGAAAGCTATACTGACTCACCTGCCTTCTACCTTGATGTTGCTGACTATTTCCTTTCAAGCTTGAAAAATTCACAACTTGGTGTCAGAGTTTTATCCAACATTGCAGAATTAGAATTGGAAAATATTCAATTGTACCGTATTGTTGGATATCGTTTAGATCAAGCTGATGCTCTTGAATTAGCTGAATGGGTGTTTGAGAGGGTAAAATCACTTGCTCCTTACGAACCTCAATCTTACAGAGATTTGGCTCTTGTTAAGGAAAGACTTGGAAAATATGAAGAAGCCATGCACTTATTCAATAAGGTTATTACAGGAAAGTGGGATATGCGTTTTGATGAAATTGAAATGACTGTTGCTACTGAGATGAACCATCTCTTAATCAACGATCCAAACCTTCCAATTATTGACAAACGTTTCATTCATAACTTTGAATTGGATATTCGTATTTCAATGGCATGGGATGTCAATGACACTGATTTGGATTTACACGTTCAAGAACCAGCTGATAAAGGTGGTGAACATGCCTATTTCGGACACAATAGAACAAAAATTGGAGGTTATGGTAAGTATTCAAAGTAATATTTGTAAATTAATTTTTTATCAAATTAGTGAGTAGAGATTTCAGACAAGGATACGGACCTGAAGAATACATGATTAAGAAAGCTCCAAAAGGTCAATATAGAGCTACCACCAACTATTACAGTAGTCATACACAGACACTAACCGGAGGCACAACAGTTTTATGCACCTTTTTCACTAACTACATGAGACCAAATGAACAAAGACAAATGTCAACCATTAGATTAGCCACCCACAGATCCGATGTAGTTGTTTGTGATATTCAAATTGATTAAATCCAAATTCTAATTATCTTCCAATTATAAAATTATTGAACTCCCATCAAATTGACCTTCAATTTCATTCCTCTCTACTATCAATATACATTCGATCACAAGAAACCATTCAACTCTCTGCTTATTCCCTCCATTATCTTTAGCACAAAACAAACACAACTTGTTTCATCAAAACTCCGAAATCTTTTCGGGTCACAACTTAAAATCTTTTGAACACAAAAAAATGGCCAAAATTAACAAGGTGGTGTGTGCCAACGTTTGTCTATCGATTGTTTGTGTGTTGGGCATTATGGGAGCAATCGCATTGGCTGCGCTCTCGATTGTGGATGCTCTTGATTCGGATTTGAGTAAACTTGGCGTTGCTTTCCCAGATGGTTTTTGCAAAGATACTCGTATGTATTTTAATAATATTGATGGAATATAATTGATTGAATGATAATATCATGTTATTGATAATGAATGTTGAACAATGATGACAATGATCGTGATTGATCAAATAATTAATTATTATTTAAATATGTGTGGATGATTGTGTGGATAATGATCGGAATAGACCTGAGTGAACGTCGTCCATTTTCAATGACTTATAAAGTTGTAGATGGTGTTAATCACACTGCTACTACCTACAAGATTTGTGCTGATATGCTTCCAGGACATCTTGAAGGATACAATGGCACCTTCTGTCTCTATCCACCAATTCCAAGAGATGCCGAAGGTAACCCTGTTCTCTCAGATATGAACTTTCATTGTGGATTTGATTTGGCAGTAATGTTTGAAAGATTTGGTTTTGCTGCTGGGTTTGCTCTTGGAAGTCTTTTTATTTTACTTTGGATTGTTCTCACTAGAAAGAATATTGAAAAGAATTCAGTTAAATGGGTTGGAAGAGTTTTTGGAGGTATTCACACCGTTTGGACTATTTTGAGTGTTGCAGCTGGATTTTACTTGATGATAAGAGATGCTCATCGTGTCCAACAAAGTAATGAATATTGTGAAACATTTAGACAAACTTATTGTAACCCTGTTGGATTTGGTGATCCAATTGTTGGTTGTACTTGTAACAATTTGAACTATGTTGGTATGCCATTGTTGGAAGCTATTTTGATTGTAATTTATACATTCTCTGTCATTTCAACTATTTTCAGATGGTTTGCTGATTATAGAGCTGCCAAAGAAGGATATACTGATTTGGATGCAGCTGTGGCTGATTTGACCAGAAATCAATAATTATTTCTTTAAAAGATTACAATTTTGTTAATTTATTCAATACTATAAATATATCTAAATTATTATGTTTGTTTGAACTTATTTCGTAATATCTCAATATCATTTGAAAATATTTTTCGTTTCCTTTACAATTTTTTTTTAATTTATAATTTAAATATTTTTTACAATTAAAATAATTATTCTTCCCATTTGGCGTGGAAAGCACCCTTCATGTCAGTTCGTTCATAAGTGTGAGCACCAAAGAAATCACGTTGAGCTTGAATCAAATTGGCTGGCAAACGTCCTCTTCTGTAAGAGTCATAATATGCCAAACTTGAAGAAAGGGCAGGAGTTGGAATACCAGCTGAAATGGCCATTTGGATGATCTTTCTCCATGCAGCTTGTCTTTCAGCAATTTCCTTATTAAAATCTGGGTCCAAGAACAAACTTGGCAAGTTTGGATTGAGATCATAGGCATTCTTAATACGATCAAGGAAAACAGCTCTAATGATACAACCACCCTTCCAGATACGAGCAATTTCACCGAGCTTCAAATTCCATCCATATTGCTTGGAAGCTTCAGCAATCAAATTCATACCTTGAGTATAAGAACAAATCTTTGAACAGTAGAGAGCATTCTTCAATTGTTGAACAAAGACCTTCTTGTCAACAGTTTCAGTCAAATCGTTTGGAGTTGGACCAGTCAATTGAGATTCAGCACTCAATCTTTCATCTCTCAATGATGAAATATAACGAGAGTCAAGAGCAGAAGCCATAGTTGGGATAGCAATTCCTCTTTCAGCACCTTCTTGAACAGTCCATTTACCAGTACCCTTACTACCACTCTTATCTACAATCTTATCAACGAGGTGACCTTCACCCAAATCGTCCTTCTTCTTGAAAATCTTGCTTGTAATTTCAATAAGATAACTCTTCAATTCAGAATTATTCCATTCAGTGAAAGTTTCAGCAATTTCTTCATTTGTCAATTTACCAACACTCTTCATCATGTCATAAACTTCAGCAATAAGTTGCATATCTCCGTATTCAATACCATTGTGGACCATCTTGACATAATTACCTGATCCTCTTTCACCAATATATGTGACACAAGGTGGTTCATTCACGAGTGGAGCAGCAATCTTTTCCAAAATATGTTTGATTTGATCATAAGCTTCAATTGGACCACCTGGCATCAATGATGGACCATGTCTAGCACCTTCTTCACCACCACTAACACCCATACCCATGTATAATAATCCGAGCTCAACAGCCTTCTTGGCACGCTTTTCAGTATTCAAGAACCATTCGTTACCACCATCAATAATAATGTCACCCTTTTCCAAAAGTGGTGACAAGAGTTCAATAGTTGAGTCAACTGGGTTACCAGCTTGAACAAGCATAATAACCTTACGTGGCTTGGAGAGACTGTTTACGAATTCTTGCATGGTTTTGAATCCAGCAAGTTGATAAGAACCCTTTCCTTCGTCTTCTGCTCTTTTAACCTAAACACAATTTAAATAATAGAATAGAAAAATTCAATCAATTAAAAAACAATAAACACATACTGTGTGTTCAGTCTTTTCATAACTTCTATTGTAGACTGAAATTTTAAAACCCTTATCAGCAATATTCAAAGCCAAATTTTGACCCATAACAGCCAATCCGATCAATCCGATATCTGCCATCTTGTTTCTATTATCATTTTCAATACATTCCGATCCATTATTTAAAATAGATTACAGTAATAAATTATTTTTCAAATTCTATCAATTTTATCATCATAACAACATACAATATTCTCTATCTATTTTTTTCTGTTGTTTTTTAAGAAGCTTAAAATTGGTGGAGACTTGCGCCTGAGAATGAAAATTTTGGACAGAACCCATTTGGAAGAAGTCTCAAAAAAGGATAGGAAAGCGCAGGAAGCTTTAATAATAAATATTACTTCCTTAGTTGCGACTTTAATTTCTCAATCTTTGCAACAAGCAATGAATTGAGAAGCAGAAGTCATTGCAAAGCTCATGGTTAAAATCTTCAATAGCCGATATTTGATTTGAACGATCAGAGGTAATGTTCTGTATTGCAACAATACATTCGCCACAATTAAAAGCCTTATGCGTGCGTACCTATGAGTTTCTCCATTGTCCACTCTCTTTAAGCTTCATGGCGTAGGAACAAATAAGAGGAGTTTATATAATTATGCTCGCAGTGAGGGCGAATTATGTTTGATGTACATCCTTTGCTCATCGAATCATTTTTTGATCATTCACTCCATTGGGAGATGGTCAACCACATCTAACATGTCCAATTCATTTATTTAGTCCTTCTTCTTTTAAAATCAATCAAGAAAAAACAACTCAATACATTGAGAGAGTTTACTATTATCAATATCCAAAAGTTTGCCCTCTGTTTCTTTCAAAGTAAAAAGAACAGAGCCCTCCAAAGAGAACAATTCACCTGATCAATTTTATCTATATTCCCAACGCGTAAGCAGTACCCACCTGAATATGGTTCTTTCAACAAAACAATCCGAGCGTGGCAAAGAAATTAAATTCAAAGAAGAAGAAAATAATTATACAACAATGGTCTTTCCAAAGAATGTGGATAAATCCGACAATATGACGTAGGTTTTTTTCTTCGAGATATATGTATTGAAACTTATTGTATTTGCGAATTATGATTGGTTGACAATCAATCTGATATGATGATCAATGTTATTATTCAATGTTATTATTGATGTTACTCCTTCCATAATAATACTCTGTGATTGCAACAATATTATTCATTATTGAATCAATTAATCTATTACACGTGTTACTATTTTTGCAACAATATATATTGAATAATACCATAAATTACTACAAATATTAATATTGATATAACAATCAATTATTATTTAAATACTTTATTACTAATGATATTAAATAGTATTGTCATTCTCGGAGCCAGTGGAGATTTGGCTAAGAGAAAACTCTTCCCTGCCTTGTTTACAATTTTCAAAGAAGGATTTCTCGGAAGTGCTTGGAGAGTTATTGGTTATGCCAGATCTAACTTGACAAAACAAGAATTAATTGATACACACTTATTACCATTCCTTAAGAAACACGATAAGAAAGATTTGGATGCCTTCTTTGAACATGTTTTTTATCAAGCAGGTCAATATGACAAGGAAGAAGATTTCCAAGCTCTTAACAAATTGATGGAACAATGCGAAATTGAAGGTGAAAAGATTTTGGAAGCTGAACACAAATCTCAATTGGAACACAAGTGTTTGACCGATGATGAAGTGTTTGATGACTGTAAATCTCCAACTGCTCCATTCAAACCACGTCGTCACAGATTCTTCTACTTATCTTTACCTCCAAATGTTTTCCTTAGCTCTGCATCAATGCTCGGAAGAACTTGTAAATCTCAAACTGGATATAATAGAATTGTTATTGAAAAGCCATTCGGTAGAGATTTGATCACTTTCAAGAAACTTTCAAATGGTTTATCTAAAGTTTTTGGAAAGGATGAAATTTACAGAATTGACCACTATATCGGAAAGGAAGTTGTTCAAAACTTGCTTGTTCTCAGATTTGCTAACGTAATTTTGGAACCATTGTGGAATAGAAACACAATTAAGAGTGTTCAAATCATTTTCAAGGAAGAATTGGGAGTTGAAGGAAGAGGTGGCTATGTAAGTACTTAATCATATTGTGTGGAAATTTATTCATTTCAAATACAGTTCGATAGTTATGGTATCATCAGAGATGTTGCTCAAAACCACTTGCTCCAAATTTTGGCTCTCATTGCTATGGAACCACCAGTTACATTGAGCCCAACTGATATCAGAAATGAAAAGATTAAAGTACTCAAATCAATTGAACCTGTCAAGATGGAAGATATCGTAGTTGGTCAATACAAAGGAAAGGTAATTAATGGTGAAAAGGTTCTCGGTTACAGAGAAGATCCAAGTGTTGCCGATGATTCTATCACACCAACCTATGCTGCCTGTGTCCTTAAAGTTAAGAATAGAAGATGGGATGGTGTTCCATTCTTCCTTGAATCAGGTAAAGCTCTTGATGAAAGACTTGCTGAAATCAGAATTACCTTCAATGAAGTTCCAGCCAACTTGTAAGTTAATCTACTTTTTATTCAGCAATATTAACACAGATATAGATATACACATGCTGTAGTTAGTCCAAATGAATTGGTTATCAGAATTCAACCAAATGAAGCTATCTACTTTAACATTGTAAATAAGGTTCCAGGTTTGGGTGAAAAACTCTCTGAATCTCAACTTAACTTTACTTATAAGACATTGTATGATGCCAAGAAGATTCCAGATGCTTACGAACGTCTCATCCTCAATATGGTTCAAGGAGATGAATCTAATTTCTTATCAGAGGATGAACTCAAGTATTGTTGGCAAATCTTTGATCCAATTCTCCATGAATTGCAAGAAAAGCTTGTTCAACCAGAGGTATGTATTTTGTAATGTATTTGATTGTCTCAAATCGAAATTATAGCCATATCCATTTGCCAGTGCTGGCCCAACAGCAGTTCATTATTTGAGAGCTCGTTATGGTTTAGTAGCAAGCAAAAATGTGAGTGTTCTTACTCGCTATTCTAATCTTTAACACATTTATTTACAATGATTTTTAATTAATAGGATTCTGATTTGTAAAAATTGTAAAATTACACATTTATATGACATTGAGAGCTTTCAGATTTTTGAATTTGGCTATCTTTGAAATAACCTTCGTTAGAAACATGCATTCCAAATCATCCTTATTATTTCCTTTCATTATTGTAATGATATTTTCAGTTTCCCTCATTAGAATATCCACTACTTGTGGTTGGTAATTTTCGAATATTATTGTCACCAAGTTATCATAAATTTTCAGAATATAAAATGGTTTTCCATTATACAATTCCTTAACAAATGTCAATCTGTCTTTTAAATGTTTGAATACTTGTTCTAGGAGTGCGCTTGTAACATTCTCAAATAATTTCAATCTGTTGGCAATGTACATTAGTCTTCCAAATACTAGCTCACTCATTTTCCATTCATAAGCAATCTTATTGTCCTCATAAATTGAAGTGTTGAATACGCTCATCAAACTGGCAAAGCAATTCTTCCAAATTTCATCACTTCTCTTCTCAATATTCTTCTCCATGAGTGATGCAACAATTTCTATAATTCTCTTACAAAGCTCCTCATCCTCATTAAATCTATCTGAAACAAATCCCATCACTTGTTCCAAATGATTAGAAATACAATTCAGTGAGTAAGCATCCGAAAAAGCCTTCGAGTCTGACATTTCTAAAACTCTTTCCAAAAACTTGACGCTTTTAATAATATGCAATGGTTTTTCAAAGCCTTGATCATCAATTCTCCACATTGTCTTTTGATGTCTTCTCTCTTCAATAACTAATCTTTCCTCCTCAAACAATTTAAGATTATCGGAATCACAATAGTCCAATCCATGCATTTCTTCCACCATTGCTTCTCTCTTCTCTCCACTCTCAATTTCATATTCAATATAAATCACTTCTTCCTTCTTATCTTGCTCATGATTTGCATCGAGAATTTGTTGCCCCAAAATAATGAAAGAGTTTAGTTCCATTTTTTTATTTAGAGACTGTCTGAGTGAAATTTTGTATTCCAAGATAATGCTGCCTTATTGCAACACTGAAAAGGATTTCAATTCTGTTTGAAGCCTTCTCAGAGAATCAATAATACTATTAAATTCTCCATCAGCATGTTGTGAGGTAGAAATCTCAATTTCAATACTTTCAGGTGTCTTGTTAACATGATCGCATAGCCTTTGAATTGGTTCATCGTTGATTTGAGAAGGAGAGAGAATGTCATTTGTGTTGAGGAATGGATCTGTCAAAATTGTTGCAGGATCTTCCTGCTCTGGTGGTTTTACATTCTCTTCTTTTATGTCTTCCACAACATATCTCTGGAGTGGGCGTGGGCTACTCTTCTTAATTTGCTTGTCAAGGTCATCCTCATCGTCGAATAAACTGTTGGATCCTGATGCGGATGAGTGTGAAAATACAAACGTCTCAGGACTAATACTAATCTTCTTTTCAAATTCATTCTCTGAAAAGGATGTTTCAAATAGCTTTTCATATTCTCTTCGTTTTTCGGGACTAGTTACTGATATTTCCTCAATATTATATTGTGGCACTATTGTATAGTTAACATGGGGAGATTCATAATATTCTGTACGAGGTATGTCCTCTAGCTTAGTTTTCTTTGTTTGTTGCTCTATTCCTTCTGTTCTATCCGGTGCTATTTCGGATGGATATTCATCCAATGTTGGAGGGTTTGAGGCATTTGTGGAAAGGTTGTGTTGGGGTGTAATACGAATGAGTATTTGTCCTGTTTTTTCTTGCCTAGAACTGTCATACAGGTTATACCAACCACAAATATCAGACGAGTAAGAAAGAGGAGAAACATCAATACATGCCTCGCCCACCAATGTAACTCTTCTATTTACAATATCATGAATTTGAAGGGTTATTTCATAATTAAATTTGGAAATATCTTTTCCAATAGTAATGGTTGTGAAATTTTTGGATAGCAATTCTTGTTCCATTAATTTTTCAACTCTTCCCATCAATATCGAAAACATTACTTGAAAAGGTTAGAGATCTCTATCAATTTGGTAACTTACATTTTCCTTCGAATTCAATATCATGAATTCTCTCGATTGTTATTTTCACATCCCCATTGAACTTAAAAGATTTTGTCATGTTTGATTCTTTTGTTGAGGACAATTTTGGGGACAAGGTAGTGTTTTGTTTCTTTTCCATAGTGACTACATTATTTTGTTTCAAGTCACCAAGTGCTTCCTTCATTTCTCGAATATCCTTCCCAATCTGAGTTAATTGTTGCCTGTAAATTTTCTCTAATTTTCCAAAGGCACAAGTGAGGGCTACAAACGAACTTGTATTCTTAGTCTCATTATCAGATAAATAATTTACAAGATTTTCACCCTTCTTGTGTTGAAGGTCTTTTTCCCTAGATTCCACCATAACCTTTTCTGGTGATGCTCGCTTTTTAGTTTTATCATTCAGTAGAGAGGCTAGCATTATGCTCTCCTCATATATGGAATCCGTAGTCGTGTTATTATTGTTTTCCTTTGGTTGTTCTGATATTGAAGATCTATTGTGGGAAGCCTGTATTTGCTCCTCTTCAACCTTATTAACATAGGCCACAAGGATTGGATTCAAACCTTCCTTTTCAGCCTTTCTTTCCTCCTCGGTTAGTTTTCTATAGTACATGGTTGATGAGTCCAGTGAGTGAAAGATTGGTATTTTCATTAAGTTCAAAGCACTTGGTCTTTTTGCTGGATTGTATTCAAACATGCAAGCCAGTGTTTGTAATGCTATTCCAGAAATTTCAAAATAGGGATTGGAGGTAAGGAACCCCTTGAGAGCTGCCAATTTGTTAATCTTGATATTCTTTTTAGCAAGAGCAGCAAATAGCCGATTTTCCCAAACATACTTTGGAGTTTCAGCTCTATTATCTGATGAACCATACCCCAGCACTGAAATAGTATTGGTCACTTGATCTTCTAACGTTTTGGCGCTAAATAATGGATATGGAAGAACCATTTCAGCAAATATGCAGCCAGCAGCCCAAATATCAACTTCTAGAGAATTAACAAAATTATGTTTCAGCTCTTTGTAAACTTTCTTCTTGTGTTTCGTCATTTTGTAAATGTCAATATCGTTACAAAGCCTGAAAACAAACTCTGGGGGCGAGTACCAAATCTGATTTTCAAAGAATTCCTTCACCACTACCTTGTTGTTCTCAGTGAATTTGACAGTGTATGGATCGATATGACTTTCTCCAAGTGGTTCATCAATGTACTTTCTTAAAAACTCAAGCTTGTCAATAATAAACGGCCTCATTGAAACCTTTCTAGTCCTCTTATTAATTAGAATGTTGCATGGCGAAAGTGAAAAGTATGGCTCTCCTAGTGCATGCAGTATTCGACAACTCTCCAAACAACAAGTCATTATTGAGAAAATTAGACTATTTTTCAGTGGTTGATGTTCCTTAGTATTCCTAGATCTGTTCTTGTACAGCAAGTATCGTAACGATACAATATCATCCAATTGTTCCACTGTACAAAAGTATTTATCTGTGTATTTAGAATTCTTCTCAATTTGTTCAAAATAAAAACAATCCAATAAATTAACAATATCCTTCTCTCGCAAAAATAATAAACAATCAATCCTCTCATGAATATCCTTGTATTTGGAGTAGAGTTTTTCATCTTCCGAAGTATATTTTTCATGATCATATGAATAAAGATATTGTTTGGTAATCAAGTAATGCGGTCTCTTCCGCTTTCGTTCGTCTCTATGTTTCCTATATGAAACTTCATCGCTTAGTTTCAAACATATGAATTGATGATCACTCAAAGTTTGAATGACCTCATATTGGTTCATTTTTTTGAGTATGAAATTGTTTTTATTTGGGCGGGAATACTTCAAACCCGCCATTTCATCTACATTTCTGTTTGTTTGATGGCAGGAAATTAAACAGCTAAATAGCTTTGGAAATTATTGGTAACATAATATTTTGAATAGAAGCAGTGAGATTTCTTAAATACTGTAACAGCCTTAATGACAATCTAGTCGACAAATCCCCGAAATAACAAATCAACTTCTTCCTCAAACAAGAAGTCATCTTCCTCATGAAAATAACAATACGGTTGAGCCAGGATAATAATTTAAAGCTTCCTCCTTTCGGACCAAGATTAATAATGTCAGGTGAACTCTTTGGCCAACTTTCCTTCATAGCATTGAGTCATATTTAATATTATTATTCTAGCTTGGCCGGTGATGATGAATAAAAGAATCCTTTTCACAATCGTCATCGCTATGCAGGTGATGGAAAAACGTAAAAAAATATTTCCACCATCCTGTAACAACCAATATCAGAGGCTGCTTGTTTTTCATCAAGCGACAACAACATTATCGGTTTGCAATTCTCAGATTGCGTCATCTTGCCTCTTCTTTAACCCAACAAAATATATTAAATTTTTTTAGGTCTCTTTTCTAACCAAAGTTAGGAGATTCAATGGTTGGATTTTTTCAAGTCTTTTAAAAATGTTTAATGACCATCATCAAATGGCATTCCGATTGGAAGATTCAGAAGGTTTGAATAGACAACAACCTCATCAACAGTTCATGTCCTCGTTCCAAGTTAATTCTCCAAGTTTTTCCTCTCCGACTCAAATTAGTCCGTCTACTAATTCTTTCCTTCATCCTCAAGAGGTTGTTAATATTCCATTATTTGATGCCAATACTCAGGAAACTAATGGAACAAATCAACCAAATGTTGAGAAGAAGGTAAAGAAGAAGAAATCAATTCAATCCTTACCTCAACTTTCCACTACCACTGAAAGTACAGAGGCTCAACTGTCTCCTATGGCATGTCAACATTGCAGGTAAGTAGTGGTTGACATAATATGATGACATTCAATTTCAACCTATTATCATCAATATTCTCTAGGTCTTTGCATAAAAAGTGTGATAGAACTTTACCAAATTGTTTGAGATGTCTCCAAACAAATCACCTATGTTTTTACCCGGATAAAAAGAGGAAAAAATCGGAAAGTTTAGACAGTTTGGATTCACAACATAAATCACCAACAGGTACTCAACCACACCAAGAACCAAAGAAGAAAAAGAAGTCAAATGAACAACAACATCATAATAGCAACAACCAAATGAATAACAATCCAATGATTAATCAACTATTTGGTCAATTGGGTGGACATGTGAATAACCAAATGAATAATCAAGCAAACAATCAGATGAATAATCAACAATCTCAAATGAATATTACAGCCGATAATTTTTCCCAAAACCTTCAACAATTAGCCCAAAATATGGGTCTAGGATTGGGTCACGACATGAATGAGGCAAACCCTATGAATCCTCTGTCCTTAGGTTTACTTTCCTCCAAAATATCTTCACTCAATACTTCCACTCAGTTGCAATTGCTCAACATGGCAGCTAATGCCTTGTCAGGCAATACCAACTCTCTTAATAACCTCATTTCAAATATACCAGCAGGAATATTGTCGGCATTCACTGGTGGGGCAAGACAAACCCCAAATGTGGAATCTGTTACTCCTCTTGTAGCCGTTCAAAATTCTGCTGGTCATTTCCAACATTCTGTTAAACCAATTACGGCATTTGTATTGGATATTTATTTCCATACTTATAGTTTTGGATTCCCGTTGATTCCAAAAGAGAGAATGTCAGCCCTATTGGATTTGGTGCTGTTAAAACAACAACAGCAATTATCATCTACAGTTGAGATGCAACAACATTGCTCTATTCAAATCAAGACATTCTATGAAAGAGTTGCCAAGCAGTTCTGGTCTTCAGCTGTTGATATGGAGAAGGATCTTGCAGTATTTTTTGCAGTGTTAGCAGCAACACTTCAATGTTCTGGAAACTTTGTCTATCAACAGTACAAGAATTGTGCAAACCATTTGGATTTAATTTCATCTGCAGGAGCTGCAATTAATCTTCACCAAATTGGTTCACAATACGAATCTCCATTGGAAAATACTATGGGAGGTAGTTCTATAAATGGTACAGACTCACCACATGATGATTTATTCATTCAAGACCTTAAGAATAAGTGGTTCAACAATTCAAAGAATATCATTGGTAAATATTTCGACGATTTGGACAGCATGTCAATTCCTATTGCTCTTACATTTTTGGTTTACTATCTTGTTGGTGAAGGTGAGCTTCAAAGAGCCAGAATGTACACGAATATGGTTGAAAACTTGTGTCAAAAAGTATGGAGTTCAATGAATTGTTTTGGTATTGGCTCTAGAGGTTTTGTAAATGGCTCCAAACCAGTTGTGAGTACACTCTCCAAAATATCTGGTTCTGGAGGTGCTTCCAGTATCATGTACGGCTTACCTGCCCTTCTTGTTCACAGGTATTTAAGACCTATTGAAATCTTTTTGGCCGAATTTGAGGAACCAACAAATTCACTAAAAAGAAAGCTGCAAAACATTGGAAATAAGATTAGAATAGATTTGACATTTATTGAAGACTGGGAAAATATTAAGGATCATGAATTGGAAGAATTAGAAAGATTAATCAAATTCCTAAACAAGTATATTGATTTGCTATTCTCTACCATGATGAATAAGGAATCAATGTTATACATTACAAGCCATTTAACCTTCCATGATGTTGTTATGGATGTTTATAAGCGTGCACAAACAAAGAATGTAGATTCACTCCTCAGATTTGCTGCAGAGGTTATTGAAATAACTAAAATCCCTCTATTCACCTTCCTTCCAACAGCCTTCATCAATACTATAATGAAGGCCGTGCAAGTTAGACTTGCCTATGGGAAGCCTTCAGAAAATCCAAATATCAATTTGAGAGATGACATGGCAGCCCTCAAACTTCTCTCAGCTAAATATCCAGTCATTACCAAACTCTTCGGTGATACTATAAGAGAAGTAGAAACAGTTCTCTATCTTCAATCCTTTTCTCATTCTAGTATTATGCGTCATATTTTACCAGAGCAACCTTACACTCAAACTACCACAAACAATAACAGCAATTCCTCAGAGTTTGATTTTGAAGATAATAATTTTGATATTTTGAACTTTTTGAATGGTGAACCATCACACGGAATGTCTGGCGTGTCTGGAATGAATTTTGATGATGAATTGATTGGAGAAATCTTTGGCTTTTCAAACTTGGACAATGAGAGTACAACTTCGAATACCAGTTGCGAATCCATTTTCATTGATGGAGAAAAACTTGAAATTCCTTCATGTGTTAAATCAGGTTCTTTCCTACCAATTCTGATTAAAAATCTTAGTAAGCAAAAAGAAGTTTTGCTTCAAAATGATCCAAACAAATCAGAGATAATCAAAATGTTGAGAACTCAACTCATTGATGAACTCACACAACATGTAGGAACTGATGAAAATACCAAGCTACTCATTCAATTATTTACAAAGAGTTACGTACACAAGTAATACCTACCAATAAAAACTAGTAGATGAAGATAAACATATTAATTTTTATTTTACATAGCGGTAGGGTTGAACTCAAAGTTAATATTTTTAGAATATTCTCAATCAATTGTTAAAATATTCAAACACAGATGCAATGAATAATTGAATAAGATCCTCATTCTTCAAATTGCACAAAAGTGATTGAAAAAAAATGCAACAACTAAACGAAGAAGAACCTGCGGAGAATTTTAAAGATTTGATGGAGACTTCTTCCACTCCTCCATTAGACAGAGAAGTAACAACCAATGAAACAGTAATAGAATCTACAGGAGTAGGAGATGCAGGAGATGAAAAACCAATTGGAAATGCAAAAAGATGGTGGAGAAAGGCAGCAACGATTCCGATTTTAAAACATTTTGTCTTGTTTTTGCAAACATATGGTACCTTGTTTTTATTTAATCATGCGTATCGGTCGTTGTTTTTTATGGTAGGTGATTAGAATTGCAATTGAATTATAATTTGTTCAATATTTTCAATGATTTTGTGAATTTTGTGTCAAAATGGGAAAGAATTTAATTTCTGGTATTGGAAATTTCTTTTCAGAGATTGCAATTGTTAGTTTAATTGAAGGTGGAATGCATAATTCGACGATATCTAATTCAACACTTTCGAATTCGACAAATTTGGTGAATAGGACGAGTATTGATTTTGGTTTTCACTCAACCAGCTTTTTAACAAGATTATTAGTGACCAGTAATGATGCAATTTACAAAATTACTCAAGAATATGATGTTCCTTCAGCTGCCGAATCTGAAGCTTCAGGAAGTGCTGTTTCTGGAATTTTTATTTCACTTCTTTTACCTGCAGGTAAGAAATTTCACACAATTTTGAATGTTAATTTGCTGATCATTTTTCTAACTATTATTAATTATTCAACAACAGTCATTTTAATGCCAATTACTGGAATTGTGGCTGACATGTTTGATAGAAGAAAAATTCTTTTGATTAGTGATATTTTAAGAGGATTTATTGTTTTACTGTTTTTGGTAGCTTATTTTATAGGAGTTGACCAAGTACAATGGTTAGTCTATCTAACAATTGTATTGCAATATTCGTGTGGCAGCTTTTTTGAACCTTCTCGTGAAGCACTCGTCCCATTAGTGGTCAAACAGGAAGATTTACCAATTGCCAATGCATTGGATTCATTGTGCTGGCTTGCTGTTAGTTTCTTGGGAAGTTCAGTTGGTGGAATTGTTGTTGCATTGCTTGGTGTTGTTGTGAATTTTGCATTTGATAGTTTTTCATTCTTCTTATCTGGATTTTTCTGTGTTCTCCTTTTCAAGTATAAACATTTGGGAATAAGTGGAATTGAGGAAAGAAGAAGACAAGAATTGAAAGAATTGAAAAAGAAGGAACAAGAATTGAATAATACTGAATCAATAACTTCAAATAATCAACAAGAAGTAACTGGAGATTTGGTCATTCACTCAAGTGAAGCCAATTTGGAAGATGATGAAAAGGTCAATAGAAAGAAAGAAAAGAAGGAGGAAAAGAAGAATATGCTTGAAGAGGATCAATCACCTTCCGTCATTGAAACAAAACCAGTCTCTGAGAACTTTCTAGTTCTCTTCTTCAAGGCCATCAAGAATCATCTTGTAGAGTTAGTGAGAGGTGTTGTTTTCTTCTCTAAGAATCCACTCATTTTCACATCAACTATTGTGAAGGGAAGTGGTGCATTCTTTTGGTTCAGTTGTGAGCTCATTCTCATCAGATTGAGTTATGGATTATTCGCAGGAGATAATAAGAAAATGGGCGGCTTGTACATGGGTATTGCAAAGTGTTTCTCTGGAATAGGATCAGGAGTTGCTCCAGTAATTTTGGAACGTCTCCTTCCTAAAAAGTATTCCACTAGAACTCTGAGAGGTATTCTGACCTGTGCCTCTTTTGGATTTCCAATCTGTTTCACATGCTACTATTTTTCAATCTTATTAGCCAATGATCCATCCACAAGAGATTTAGGATTTGCAGGTGTTTGTCTATCTTCACTAATTTTGGGAACATCTGGAGGAACCTTGTGGAGTTTCTCCATTACTCACCTCCAAATGGTTTGTCCAAATGATTATTTGGGAAGAGCTTTTGCTATTGATCTTGGATTCTTCTTGAATATGGCTGGAATTACTTCAATAGTATTGTATGGAACTATTTTGGATGATATTTTCAAATTTGAGCCAGCTCATATGGCACTATTCGAATTGGGATCAAGTTTAGTTTTATGTGCATTGTTTTCTCTTTGGTTCTTTATCTTTAGAAAGAATGTAGTGACGAGAGAAGATCACTTGGCATCGAATAAACAAGATGAGGAAGTACATAATCCTTAGAATAGGATTTTTGAATTTCAACCGCATATTTTCTTAATTTCATTTCCTGATAATATTAATATTCACATTAATAACAAGTTTTTAAGGTTTTTAAATTTTGGCTACACAATTTCGAATGAGGCAGATTACAAAAATTATTCACTATTTGCAACAAACACAAACTACACACAGTTAATAATAAATTATTTACTCTGGATCTACAGCACTAGCTCGAATCTTTTTGAGTAATTTGTTTGTTACTGAATCAACTGTTCCAACACTTCTCCATTCAGATTTGAATTTACATCCATTTCTGTAGGCACAAATTCCAACCATTCCTTCAATTTCATCGTCGTCAGCAGTTGATGTCTTCAAACATGGAGCAACCAATTGACATCCATAATAATAATATTGAGAGGTGCAACCAGTGTAGAGAGCTCCAATGCCTGAATATTCCTTCATACAGTCAACTCTGCAAGCAACACATTTGGAAGAGGTGCTGCTACTAGTGCTACTTGTTGAAGTTTTTTTAGTTTTCTTCAATAATTTGTTCATGGAAGAAACTAATCTATTGGCTAATCTTTTACCTAATCTTTTACCGAATTTTTTCAAGATGGATTTCTTTGCTTTCTTACTCTTTCTCTTTGTAGATTTTGCAACCTTTGAAGCAGATTTAAGAGTTTGAGTGGCACCTGTCACAGTACTTAGCGAACTACCATCAAATTGACGTCTAGATTCCAATTTACTTTTTGTTGGACCAGTATATCCATTGAAAGTTTGAACAGAATTTGCAATAATTTGAGCAGCCTTTCTTCTTCTGAAAACACCTGTCAATTTTTTAACAAGTTTGACAGCTGCTTTAACCACACGTCCAACAGCACGACCAATTCTTCTAACAACACGTCTAAGTCTTCTAAAGGCTCTTCTGAATCTTCTACCAAAACGTAAAGTATTCACTTGTTCACTAGTTACCTCATGAAAATATTCCAAATCTTCTTCATCTAATTCTTCCTCAGTTGACAATGTTAAATGAGCAGATAAGAGTTCAGATTCTAATAATTCTTCAACATGAGCTGCTGAAAGTGTGGTGGTACGTTTAGAAGATGATGAAGATGTATCAGATGGTGATCTACATGAGGAACTTGTTGCTTTCGAAAAAGTGATAACGAAAGAAAGCAATAGAATGAGAATGCATGCAAAATATAATGAATGTTTTGTGTGCATTTTTTTTATGTGGATAATAGGCAAAGAAAACAACTATGTTGTCGGCTATTTGTCCATTTATAATGTTGCAATAATTTCGCTTCACTTGCCAAATGTTGATGTGACATGACAGTTTGCAGAGATGTATTTAAATTCGAATCGATTAATAAAAGAATTTGCTTATTTGGTTTCGAATAGGATTAGATGCAACACAATGTTACAATTGTTTACAAAAATTGTATTCGAAACTTTGAAAATCAAACAAAAAAATGCATAAACTGGTTAAATTGCATTTACTCTGGATTCTGTCCAGCACCACGAATTCTACCAACCAATTTATCAGCAACAAGTTGATTATCAGAAACTTCTTTCCATTCTCCCTTAAACTTGCAATCATTTCTATAAGCACAAATTCCAATCATTCCTTCAATTTCATCATCTGAGGCAGTTGATGTTTGGAAACATGGTTTAACAGCTTGACATCCATAATAATAATAACGTTGTCCACATGATGAGAACATGGATCCATCAATGGTTGAATATTCCTTTAAACAATCAACTCTACAAGCAACACAATTGACTGGATGATTACCATCATTGGCATTACTCTTTTCCAAAGCTTCCATCTTGGATTTCAAAGATCCCTTAACCTTATCAGCTGCCTTCTTTACTCTTCCAGCAATTCCCTTAATTCCTTGACCAATCTTGGTAAAGATACTTGTTCTTCTTCCTCTTCTACTTCTTCCAACAGCAGCTGGAGCATTAACTGGTGCAGCAACTCTTCTTCTTCCAATTCTTCCAATTCTACCAATTCTTCCTCTAGCAACAAATGCTGGTTGAGAAACTGGTCGAGAAACTGGAACTCTGAATGGTTTTGTTGAGACAATTCGATTATTATTGACAATTGGCATTAATACTGCTCTTCTTCTATGACTTCTTCTTCTTCTAAAGAATCCCAAAGTAGTGGCAGCAGAAGCAACAACAGCAGCAGTTCTCTGAGCTCCACCTCCAACGAATGGTCTTCTCAATTCCAATGCTTCTCTATTAGGTCCAGTAAATCCATTGAAATCCTTCACTGAATTCATAATAATTTCTCTGGCACGTCTTCTTCTGAAAATACCACCAATAGCTCTGAAAGCTCTTCCAATGGCACGTCCAATTCTTCTGACGATTCTTCCAATTCTTCTGAATAATCTTCTGAATAGCAATGTATTATGAACATGTTCAGTTGTTAATTGTGTAAAATATTCCAAATCTTCTTCGGTGAGTCCTTGTTCAGCAAGAGTAACATGTGCATTCAATAACTCTGCTTCGATCAATTCGTTTAGTTCAGTTTCGAGTGTTGCAGCAGCTCCACGTTTACCAGATGATGAGGAAGTATCAGATGGTGATCTACATGAAGAACTTGTTGCCTTGATTGACTGATTGCTCAAGATGAACAACACGACAAGAATCGAAACCAAGAGAAGTGAAATTCTGGAAAAGTTTGTTTTCATTTTTTTTAGATGATAACTTGTCGGTTTATTCGGTCAGGTCATTACTGCAATGAAACAAGTCAACAATCATCGTAATATTATTGAGTGAATTATAATTGACGAGTGAAGTTTAGTTGCACATTAAGTGCTTAGTATTTAGAGTTGTATTTTGAGAATGTTTGTAACTGTTTGGTTATGAATCGGGTAGAATGTAACGATGAACGATATTATAATCATTGTTGATTGGTTGTTACAAGGTCAGTTTGTTACAACCATTATTCGAAAGTCAAGTTTAAAAAAATTAATGACAGCTAATGTGGAATGTTTCACAATATTAATGATCTGTTTAAATAACAACATGTTGTGAGATAGCACTTGAAGTTTCGATTAAAAGAAAGATTTCGAATAGAGCATAACAAGGTAAATTATTTACTCTGGATTTTGACCTGAAGCACGAATTCTACCAACCAATCTATCAGTAACAATTTGATTTTCACCAACCAATCTCCACTTGCTCTTAAATTTACAACCATTTCTGTAGGCACAAATTCCAACCATTCCTTCAATTTCATCATCAGAGGCAGTTTTAGTTTGGAAACATGGAGAAACAGCTTGACATCCATAATAATAATAACGTTGTCCACATGATGAGAACATGGATCCACCATCAACAGTTCCGTATTCCTTCAAACAATCAACTCTACAAGCAACACAATTGACTGGTTTACCATTTGCTGCAGGTTCTTGATTTTCAAGAGCTTCCATCTTCTTTTTCATACTACGTTTAGCAATTGTTCTGGAGATGGCTGAGAAGAATCTTCCAACCTTTCCTCTTCTCTTTAAACTTTGTTCATTGATCTTTCTGAGAGCAGCTCTACCAAATCTTCTGACAGCTCTAACAGCTCCTCTAACTCCAAAGTGAGCTCTCTTGGCAGCATTTCCCAAACGTCTGACAGCTCTCAAAAATCTTCTACCAAATCCTCTTCTTCTTCTCAAAACAACAGCTGCAGCAACAGCAGTTCTCTGAGCTCCACCTCCAACGAATGGTCTTCTAGATTCCAAAGTATCTCTATGTGGTCCAGTATATCCATTGAAATTGGCCACTGAATTTTCAATAATAGCTCTGGAACGTCTTCTGAAAAGTCTGAAAACTCCTCTGAGAAGTCCTTTAGCAATTCTAGCAACAGCTCTTCCAATACGTCTCACAATTCTACCAACTCTTCTGAAAGCTCTTCTCAATCTTCTACCAAATCCTAAAGTATTGATTTGTTCTTGAGTTAAGAGAGCCAAATATTCCATATCTTCAGCATTGAGTCCTTCAGCATGTAAAGATAATAATTCTGATTCGATTATTTCTTCCATTTCAGATTGATGTAAAACGGTGGCACCTCTCTTTGCTGATGATGAGGAAGTATCTGCTGGTGATCTACATGATGAACTTGTTGCTTCTACCAATGATGATGAAGAACAATAGACGAAACATACAAGAAATACACAAAGGAGTGTCAATCTTGCAATGTTATTCATTTTTTCGTTATGTGATATGTTCTTCTTGTTGTGTTGTCGTTTGTTGTCGTTTGAGAAGTGACTTGATGGATGACGGGACGAAAGGTTTAGGGCACTTTCCACTCTACGGAAAAGAAGTGCCTATTCGGTATGACACCAGTATGGATATCATTAATTATTTGTAATGTATTTAACGAATATTATGTTGCGTTTTGTATATTTAGGTATGATTGCATCTCTGGAGGACAATAGTTGTCAACTCAATTTGTACTGCTTAGTTGAATTATAATTATAAATTCATTAAGATTGGTTCGTAAAATGGTTTAATATATTAAAGAATTAAATATTATTCAAATTTTAAATATTTATTTATTTAAAAAAAATAACCCTATGACTCAGTTCCCTGTTGTGCTTGATCTCGGAAGTCATACCTTCAAAGTGGGACTAGCCTCGGAAGATGCTCCCTCGAATATTGTGCTGAATCGTTTGGCTCAAAATAAAAACGACACAAATTCAGAAATAATGATCGGTGATTTGATACCTGTTGGTAATTGGAATAGATATTGGAGAGGATTGACTCGATTGATATTTCCTGTTCAGAGTGGAATGATTTCGGAGGAGAAATATTTAAATGCAATCATGAAACATTTGTTTTATAATGAATTGAGAGTTTCACCTGATGAGTCGAGTTTATTGATGAGTGAATGTCCTGCTGTGAGTGTTGAGGAAATGCCATCCTATCGGAGGAAAATGATAAATTACTTGATGGAGGATTTGAATTTGAGAGAGGTGAGCTTTATTCCAACATCGACTTTGTCTGCATTCGCCCAAGGAGAATTGAATGCAGTGGTTGTGGAAATTGGAGAAGAGACTAATCATGTCTCTTCGGTCGTTGAGGGAAGGACAGTATCTGAATCAATGATGAGAATGAATTCAATATCTGGACTCGCTCTTTCTGAACACATGTCAAATATTTCACAAGTCTATGCTACTCAACGAGAGATTAGAGAATATGGAATTGGTGAAATGAAAAAAGATTACATGTACGTTGCCCTTGATTATGAAAAGGAGATGGAACAGTTCAATTCTCAAGCTAAACTTCAAACAAAATCATACGATTTACCAAGTAGTGGACCTGTAGAAGTTCCATTTACTGCTGAGGCATGTAAATACACTGAGGCATTATTTAATCCAAATATTATTGGAATAGAGAATGGTATTGGAGTTCATGAATGTATTTTACAATCTATCAAGAAAGTGAATAGTGATTCAGTCGAAAGCAAGCTGTATAGAAGTATTATTCTCAGTGGAGGATCTACCTTATTAACTGGATTTGACACCCGACTTAGGGAAGAAATGATAGAATTAATACCAGATAGTAAGATAAGAGCCTCTCCAGAAAGAGGCAATCTTCCATGGATTGGTGGTTCCATAATTGGTTCAATGTCCAATTTCCAAGAAAAATGCATAACAAGAGATCAATTCTTAGAGGAAGGCATTGATATGATTTTACAAAAATTTCAACTATTATAACATCTGATCATTCACCATCTCAACAAATTTATTGATAGTGTGTATCACTTTTAAAATAGATTCCAACAATTAATGAATCAAAAGTTGAAGAGCTTTTGGTTCAATTCTGGAACTGCTTATTACAATATCAAAAAAAATGCAATACTATCAATGTACAGTGAACCTACTTGATCTTCCTCAGGAAATTATCTACAAAATATTCGAGTATGTGATCCCTTCCGAGTTTTATTGTGATGCGAAGGATATTCCTCCATCGGAAGAGGATGATGCAGTACTGAGGTGGTTTGGTAGCAAAATACAAAGGTCACAGTATGGATATATTATTCCTTCGAATAGATTAAATTTATTCAATGAATTTGAACGATTACAAAATTATTTATTGATTCATAGGGATTTGTTTTATAGAAATTTGATTGAATGTCATTGTAACAGAAATTTCATTGGTGTTTGGAAGAAAATTTTGTTAATGCATTATTTGGCTTATAATTCGGAAAGCAGATCATCGCAATTTAGTTGCACGATGGATATTAAGAATCTATTGAACAGTGCAAAAACTGGAGATCATCAGTCAGTTCATAAGTTAGTTGGAGAAGTACTGAACAGATTTAATGGATCAAGAACACTTTTACAGACATTTTTCAAAGTTGAATTTTCAGGAGAGGAAACCAAATATCCCTATTATGTTTACCAAAGCTATGAAATAATGTTTGATATCTTGAAATCTGATGATGATAGTGGAATTAAGAAAGTTGAATATTTGAAAGGCCTGCTAGCAAGATGTCCTTCTTGCACAAAAAATCCAAAATTTTTCTTTGCCATCATACACCAAGTGTCCTCCTTCTTTGTTTCACAATCAATTTATTCAAATGAGATTAGGAAAATTAAGAAAAAATCTAGTGAACTCAAATCTTTGAAAGAATTTCTACTTTTACTATTTTCTGATTGTGGTGTAGTTCCTTTTTATGCAGGCAGTATTGAACACTTGAGAATAATTATGGCAACAATCAAGCTAGTTGGACTAGACGATTTATTTAAGCAATTAATGTACAAATGGGTTTTGAATAACCCATGTAATGCAGGATCTCATAATGCATACTTGATACTATTTGGAAATAAGAATGGGGCAAAGACCTTAAATGGCTTCGAATATTGTATACTGGAATCATATGTAGTCAAGTGTGAATTCGATGAATTGGCACTTGTAATTTCTAAACTAGAAAAAGAATCCCCAAAGAATATTATTGGTGGAGTGGAATATATTATTTCCATCTTCTTTAAAAGATATGAATTGTTTCAATCAAACCTTGAGGAAAATTCTCAAAAATTGATGAATCTGATACGAGCTTGTTGGAACCTATTCGACAGATATTGTGAAGAATCATTTATTCTAATCTTGGAATCACTGGTATCCAATGCCTGTAGAAAGGCCCTTACCTTTAAAGACGAGAAGCCAATTGTCACATCTATTGAATATTTCTATTTTGAATTATTTTCAAAGAAATTTTTGGGCTCACATCTTTCCTCTATGGATAATATTATTGAAAAATCAAAAATTCTAAATCAGGCTATTGAACATCCAGCTATATTCAAGCATTTCATGGAAAATATGGGAAATAAGAAAGCCTATAAGAATCAACTTAGAAGGGTTTGTAAAGACTCTAGTATACTCAGCTCAATATTGGATTGCACAGCACATTTTATGGGCAATTCAGATAATGTAACCTATTCCTATAAGTTAAGAATTGAATCTAATTTATATGATTCATACGATTTGTTCGAGAAGAGAATGAAGCTTGTTAAAGAGTATCTCCAAAATGATTCCCTTCTTCAAAAAGCACTCTCTGACAAGTCAACTAAATTCAATAAGGACATTGAGAAAATCCTGCGCTATTGTAATACCTTTGACAGTATTATTCCATTACACAAAACAATGAACAGGATTGGAGATTACTTAAAAACTTTGTAAGCTCCAAGCAAGATCATTCAATCAACAACGATTTCAACCTTGTAGGTACGAGTGAAGACTTTCTCTAGGAATTGGTGGCAGGAAACGTAATAAACATTACAAAAAAAACGCCACAAACACGTGTTAACTAACATACTGCATACAGATCATTTAAACTATTTAATATCTCAACCACACAACAAATGAACAATTCCGAAGCTCATCAAACATTTGAATCGTCACCTATTTCTGCAGAAATGACCAAACATACCTCGGAAACTCCACTCTATGATATGTTTGCCAAAAACATTGAACAATTTATTGATGCTGTTCAGAAAAACCAATACAACAGACCAGCTAATTTGTCCAATTTGGCAAACATGTTTTCATTGCAAATGTTCTTAATTTTTGTAGTGTTAATGTTTTCGATATTTTACTCCCATCCTCCTCCTGCATGGCTTGTCTTGTTGTCGATTGCTGGTCTTGGATGTGGTTTTTATTCGATGGCAACAAGGGATCCACTTGGCATGTTCATTTACAGCCTATTTAATTTTATTGGATTCGTTTATTGTTTTATTTATTTAGGTTATGACAGCTCCATTGCAATGTCCTTCATCTTGTTATTATTGAATCAGGTTAAATCTGTTGGATATGTCATTGAATTTGGAAAGGCAAAACTAGAGAAAAGACAAGTATTCGAAGCCAACATTTAAACATTACAGTAAAATAAAACAAATATTAGTTGTTTAATAGGTTTTAGAGGGCTAATTTTTGATAAAACAACAGGGTGGTTAGCTCAGCGGTAGAGCACCGGATTGCAAAGATATTTGCAGCAGACATCCGATGGTCACGTGTTCGATCCACGTACCACCCTACCTTTTATCTCTTACAACAATTTGATACTTCATCAACTCTCTTTCAAAAACAAAAAAAATGAGAAGTAGAGAGTTGAGTAGAGAAGAATGTTTTTCCATCCTCCAATTTGAACCTTCCTTGTTTTCTCTAATGACCGGAAGGCTGATCTGTAAAAATTTCTATGAGGCTTGTGTATTGTTGCAGCTCAGAATTAAATTTAAAACTCGGAAGGAAATTTTAGCCTTTGCCAAGTTGTTGGATCGAAGAATATTGAAAAAAGTGGTAGAAATCAGTGCCAAGAATTGTGATCTTGAAGATGATGATATGCAAATCATCGGATCAATGTTTGATAATTTACAAATTTTAAATTTAGAGAATAATTTATTGACTTTGAATGGATTGCACTGTTTGGAGGGCAGTGGAATTGTTAATTCTCTTAGGGTAATCAATATTAGAGGAAATCAAGGAAGTTTAGATATTGATGTATTTAAAAATTTGAAAATTCTTGAATGTGAAAAAGTAGATAAACCAAAAAAGATTCATCAGTTGGAAGCTTTAACTACCAGTAGCATTTCAAATCAAATTGTTGAAAGTTTACCCCATTTAAAACATATTACAATAACTAGAGGTAAAATTGGTGCTTGGGACTCTCTATCTAAACTTTCTAATTTGGAAACTCTTTCATTGCAATGCGCTATTGGGAATAATGTTTCTATTTTCAAAAATTTGAAAAAGTTGTTAATTCAACATGTCTCTCTCACCATTGAGACTGTTGAAACTATTGCTAAGAATCTAGATCACGTAGAATCTTTAAAATTATTGTATATTGCAATACAAGGAGATGATATTATTACAACATTATGTAATTTGAAAGTAACTGAGAGAGTTAAAACACTCCATTTGGTTGCTAATAATATTTCTGATGTTGGTGTTGATTTTCTAATTTCAAATTCAAACCTTGAAAAATTAACATCACTAGATCTCTCTTTTAATAAGATAACTGAAAATGGTATCAGATCTATAACTTGTACTTCAAAACTTACAAATTTAAGAAAGCTGTCACTTAAAAGGTCGAAGGGAAGTTTATACTTGGGTCACTTTATGAACAGTCATTTAAAAAATTTGACTTCATTGAATATTAAATCAGAAGATCATGCTTTCGAAGGTATAGATGACTTTTTACTTTCCCCATTTGCAAAGAAACTTCAAAAGTGTAGAATTTTCAGCAAAGATATTCCAAAATGGAGATTCTCAAGAAAAATCAACATTCTAAAAGAGAATGAGGCCAGTGTTGACACTCTCCTACAATTTATGCTAGACAGGCCATCAATAGAAAATTCAATTGGTATTAATCATGAACTTCCTGATACTATTAGAAATGTGAATGATCATTTTAGAGTTCTACTGAATTATATTGATAATTTATTACCTAGCCATTTAGGATTCCATCCTTCTGGGCGTATTATGATAGTGATTGAAGCCGAAATATGTTATGGCACTACTATTATTGAAAAATGTTCTGAAACATTCTCATGTGATTATTCCATGTCGATCAATTGCAATCATTACTTCAACTTTGCCAAACGTTTGGTAGAATTACCATTAGAGAGTGTCTTGAAAATCAAAATTTTCGTCTTGAAACTCTCATCAATGGGAAAGAAACAAGTAGCACATTCTATAACGCCAATATTCAATAGGAATGGAAAACATATTAATGGCATCATTCAAAATGCTATGCATAGCAGTTTTACACCAAAGGAATTTAAGATGATGACAACCTTTGATAAGTATGATGATTGTGTTGGTCCTTTTGAGGGAGATTTAGCTGAATTACATGAACTCTCAAACAGTAAAGAACTACCAAGCAATTTTGAAGAATTATTAACAAAGAAAGTGCTGACTGATGAAGAAAAAAACATGATTTGGAGTTTAAGAAAAATTATCCCAAAAACTCATCTAGGTTTGAGAGTTTTGATGGAAAGCTTTCCCTTTATGAATCAGCATGCCCTCGAATATATGAGAAACCAAATCAGAGAACTTGTCAATACCTTCTCAAATCCATGCCAATATTTGGAATTATTAGGAGAACCATTTATTGATACTGAAATCAGAGATTTAGCATATAAGGCCATTAATCAAATGACAGATAGCCAATTATTCAATTCTATGAACATTATTATAGAATTATTGGCTTGTGAAATGGAATTAGACAATCCACTCTCACAAATTCTCTTGAATCGAGGATTAAATAATGTGGATATAGGAAGACATTTATTCTGGTGCATTCAGGGCAACCTGCACAATTCCAGCATTAGAGGCAAACTAGCTTGGTTAGCAGTACAATTTTTGAACAATATTACCCATGAAAGACTGTTGGAATTTTACAATCAGTGTCTCTATATTTATCAAATAGAAGAAATCGATTTGAATATCAAAGAAACACCAAGAATTAACTTGTCGACACATACAGAATTATTGGTCCAAAGAGTATCCGAGTTGGCATTCCCTACACCATTCATTCTCCCTTACCCACCTTACAGCTCAGTTCAACGTATCATTGCTGAAAAGACAAGCCTTACTGACTCAAGAAATAGAGCAGTGATAATCACATACGAATCGAATGGGAAAACTGGTCAACTTCTAATGATCAGCCGTGAAAATAAGGTTGATAGTTACATGTCCTCAACACTAAGAATTCTTTCAGATATGTGGAATAGCACCTACCCAAATGAAGAGAGAACTTTTGTGCAAGGTTCGGTTATCCCTATTGATAATGATATTTGCATTTATGAAAAGGCCTCCCAATCCCTTTATGAAATTCAGGGCAGTAATTTGTCAAGAATTTCTGATCCAAGCTCCTGGATAGAAATTGGAAACAATCAATTTCCAAATTTTGAAAGAAATCTTTTACGATCATATGCGTTTCACGCTATTTTTGCAATGACTTTAAAGATTAGAGATTTGCACAATGACAATATTGGAATCAATGAAGAAGGATTTCTCAGCTTATATGATAAGAATTCTATCCTAGCACCTCCCAAGTTTGGTTTCCTTTCAAGAAGAAAAGGATTCTTTGGTGGTATGGGATTACTCAAACTTTTGAAATCCGATGAATTCAGAGACCATGCTGTAAAAAATTTATTCCTGCTTTCTCAAAATTCTCGATTACTTTATGCACTAATGTGCGAAATGGTTCGGTTAGATTTGAGAAATGACATTACGTATCAAATAATAGTCAACCAATTCAAGGAAATGTTAGATGATAACGATACTTTTAAAAAGTGTCAGCATGCAGTTGATAAGTTTATTAAGGAAGGAACAAATCTACTTAACACCGATTTTATTCACATGCTAAGACATGATTGAGTAAACATAAACATATCACTCACATTTTGATGGAATAATATTGGATAAATTACACAAGGCAATTACAATTTATAAATATTCATAGATAGCTCATTAACTTAATTTTGATATCTTGGATGGCTACGGCCATATCACGATGAATGCACCTCATCCCGTCCGATTTGAGAAGTTAAGCATCGTAGAGCCACATCAGTACTGAGGTTGGAGACAACTTGGGAACCTGTGGTGCTGTAGTCTTTTGTACATTTTGAGCCACAGAAGTGTAGTATTGGCATAAACACTCAATAATTAAAAGCGATTTCAGAAACATTACAAATATTGATCTTCCATAGGACGTAGACGAACTTGAAGAACAAATCAAGTTTCGGAAATGAAGATTTTGGATGATTACAGTTCGTTGTGTTTGTTCTGAAACTCCATTAAAAACAAGCCCATTTTGATAGTACCTTGTAATTGAACTCTTAAATTGGAATGTGTTTCATCCACTTTCATTCCTCTTTTATGAAATATCCAAATGAATGGAATTTGAGATTCCTTTAAATTGCATTCAATTTCTGAATAATAAATTTCATAAACAAAGCAAAATGAAAAGATTTATTTCAAATCTCTTGATTGCATTAACTTTGGCAATTTTGGCTCTCACATTGACTGCTGACAATGTCAATGCAGAACAACAAACAATGTCCTTGTACATTAAAAAGCACCACAAGAAAAATCAAAGAAAACTCAGAAAGGTATTGAAAAAGAACCACAAGAGAAGAAACAATAGAAAGGTTCACAAGTATTTGGATTCCTACAAGCATAATAGAAAGGGAGCAGTTGCTCATGTGTTGGGTAATAATGGAAAGAAGAAAATTATCAGAAAGAAGATTGACATTTATGGAAAAAAGAAGAGAAGAAATAATAAGAGAAAAATCGACACCTACAAAAAGAAGAAGAACAATAGAAAGAATAGAAAGATGAGAAAGAACAAGAAAAGTGGAAAGAGAAACAAGAAAGTTGATCTCTACAAACGTAAATAGATTTCTTTATATAGAAAAAGAATATTGTAAAGTTTGAAACAACAATTTTGTCAGATACGATATTTATCAATAAACTTGTGTGAGGAACAATTTGTGAAAAACGTAGTCTTAATAATTTCAATAATCGAATACAAAATAAAAGGAAATGCCAGCGGTGGGGTTCGAACCCACGAACCCATTCGGGATAAGATCTTAAGTCTTACGCATTTGACCACTCTGCTACGCGGGCTGGTGATCATTTTGAAAAATTTCTTATCTGGTGACTAAGGGAGGATGAATGACTTACTCTAATTGCAAAGTAATTGATTATTCAAAAGTAATTGATTATTCAGCCATCTTTTGAAAATAAACACATTGTTTACTCGTCATTACATTCAATTATTATATCAGAATTATTCCTTGATTGGTATTGAGAAAAGATTTTGGCTTTGAACTGTTTTTCTCCCTTGCTTTCATTAAATTCTGGATCCAAACAGTAAAATGTAAAATGTCCTCCAGCAATAGGTTTGTTCACTTTGATCACTCCATTATCTAGTACATGCTCTGTTTTGAATTTTTCATAAGTGGATCTGCTTTGAGTATCCCCAAGTCCTTTAAACAACTAATATACTTTCAATTCCCATGTAAATTACTTACCTAATCCACCATAATTATTAAATCCACAACAGAAAATAGTCCCATCAGATAAAACTACAAATGATTGCTGATATCCAACTGTTAAATAATTAATTTGAACATTATTCGGCACTGAAAATGTTGCCTTCACCCATTCAGTCTTATCTCCAACTGAACCATCACCTAGCTCTCCAACTGCATTCCATCTAGATGGAATTAAGATGAGTGTCAAATATATTTTAGGATCATTGAAAACTTACCCTACTCCAAATATTTCATTTTCTACAGTAACGGCAATGGTGTGAAAATAACCACACTCTGCAAACTTTATAGGACTCTTGACAATGGTCTTATCTATCATGATAAATTCAGTTGGCGTAATCATCGGTGCTATGCCTAATTGACCGTAAGTATTTGATCCTGTTGTATATAAATTTCCACTTTCCGATAATATTAAGGAATGAGAACTATTTCTATGGTTATAGAAACTGAAAATAAATAATTACCTTCCAAAACTGGCATGAGAAAATTTTGAATCCTTTGCTGTTGATACTTTTTTGAAAGCTTTTCCATAATTTTCACAAATATACAATTCAGAATTATGTGTGATAAGAGCAGTACCATCAAACTTGGAAATTAATTTTTTTACATGTTTAGGATTAATTTCTAACTCAAGTTTTTTGTATTCTCTGAATATTGACTTGTCAGTCATGATTATGAACGAATGACCAGCAGCAATTTTTAGAACATTTCGATCATCAAGAGGTAGATTTTTAACAAGATCAGTATTCTCTACATCTTGCAACATGATCAATTTGTTTTCCGAAGTGAATAAAAAAACCTTTGATGATCCAACAGCTACTTGTTTAATGAACAAAGTTCTGGAAAGAGTTAATTTGTTTAACAGTGACGAATTGTTATATGTACTCGATGAAATAATATCTCCTGACAGGAAACAATTGTTGGTATTCATTTTTTTATCTTTGATATCGTATTGGAGGTGATATTATTATCAAATATAATGTATTGATGATTATTAAATACAAGTATTATCAAGTAATTACATTTTGATTTATAGAATTTTTTGTTTTAAATTATTTATTGGTAATTTAGACAACGCATGAAGCAGATGAAGCAATACGTGGCCACATATCAGCACATTCCTTAGCAACTGGACCGGCAACAGCAGAACCCTTCATTTCACCCTTGTTGTTGACAATGACACCAGCATTATCTTCGAAGTAGATGAAAGTACCATCACGTCTTCTCCATGGCTTTCTTTGTCTAATAACGACAGCAGGCATGACCTTCTTTCTGAGTTCTGGCTTACCCTTCTTAACGGTAGCCATGACCATGTCACCGACACCAGCAGCTGGCAATCTGTTCAATCTACCTTGAGTTTGATTGACAGCAATAACGTAAAGGTTCTTAGCACCACTGTTGTCAGCGCAGTTCATGACAGCAGCAGTTGGCAAAGCAGTAGAAATTCTGAACTTGTTACCAAGACCACCGGTAGCTCTCTTTGATGCCATCTATTATTCAATGATGAAGAGTGGAAGACTTGCGTAAGAATAAAATGAGGATGAATGCAAACTTACATTTTGATATTTTTTTTCAACAAAACTTTAAATTTTTCGTGGTTTACTAGAAGAGTCAGAAGTTTACAACCAAATTTTTACCAAGCAAAAATAAATATTTTGCTGCTCAAACTTTTGCAACCAACAACTTGATATTGAAATTCAACACATTTGCAAAGATGTTTTATCTGAGTATCATTATATAACGTTGTTCTTCTTGTAGTCAACAACACGCAGATAACACGGAGAAGATTACTCTGCAAGTACTTCATCATCACCACACAACAATAAGAAAAATGCCATTCAAGAACAACAAATCTTCTCTCTTGTTGGCTACTCTCGTGTTCTGTCTTTTGATAATCAGTACGAGAATTGTTGAAGCCTCTTTGCAACATCAAAAAACATTTACCATCAAGGCTGGATTGGAAAATTATCAATCAACAGTTAAATTGGACAATGTAGCTTGCTCTTTTAAATTCTCAACAATTGCTTGTTCGGAATTAAAGAAGAAGGAAGAACCAAAGAAGGAGGAAAAAACAACTATAGTTTCTTATTCGGAGGCTATCAAGAGATTATCCAAAGCAACATGTCTTAACAAGGTGGAAGGTTATTGGACCTATTCTTATTGTTTGGAAGGAAAGATCAAACAAAATCATGGTGCTGAAGTTTATCAACTCGGAACCTTTTCCAAATACAATCAAGATAAAGGAATCTTTGATAATGGTGAGGAATGTGCCCTTTCAGGTGGTAAAAAAGTTAGAAGATCCACCGATGTAATTTACATGTGTGGTATGAGTACTGAAATTGTGAGCATTAGAGAACCTCAACAATGTAAATATGAACTTATTGTGACAGATCCACAACTTTGTGGTAAGGATTCTCCATTCCCATCCTATCACCATGAGACAAGTACTTCATCCATTACTGAAACTTCAATCTATGATCATTTTGAAATGAAAATTGAAAAGACTCTTTTCGATAATCAATATCTATGTACCGTACAATCAATTCTTAGAGATTTGAAATCAAAACCAACCTCATGTTTCACCTATTTCTCAATGACCTTAGATGGAAAGGAAGATGAATCATCATTGACAGCTCGAGCAATGCATCATGGAAGAATTCCTTTCAAAAACGAAGAACTCAAATACACAAAGAATGGAAAACAAGTTAAGACCACCAGCTCATTCGATGGTTCTCTTGATTACATTCAAGTGAAATAGATAATATTAAAATTATATTGTAAATATCCAATTCCATTTCTTATTTCTGTTTTCTGTTCACACCATCGACTACACAAAGGCCAAAAGAAATCACCCATCCATTGAATGTCGTCAAATTTAACCCCGCCATCAAAAACTTCAAAGACAATAAAAATGCCTGGCTTGGACGAACAACAATCATCATTAGCCTTGTCTGACTCGTCACTGACTGAAGTTGGTGCTTCATCGCATTCTCATCAATTGTCTGATGTGCCAAGAACCTCTTCGTTCGTATCATCAACATCCTACTCAAGTCATCATCCACAATTTCAATTTGAACAACAATATGCTGAATATCAAGTAAAAATTGATCAACAATTTCCTTCCGTAAAGGATAGTGTTCTCTTTCCTGATGATTTGGTAAAGATTATAGAAACATCAAAACCTTCGAATGGATCAAGAGCTAATACTGTTGGAAGTATAAGTAATGTACCTCATCATATCAAGGAACAATTTAGATATTTCGAATCACCACACATCTCCATTGATTATGCAAATCATGGCAAATTTGAAAAGGCTTCATTGGAAAAGCTCAAAGTAAGAAGCAAAGAACTCGAATATGAAGTGGATAAAAAAAAGCCAACTCATACTGTGTCATCATCAAGTATTGATGTTTCTGCTTCATCAGCAGAGGAAACTTCAACATCACCTTCAACTTCTGAAAATAATTTTACAAAATTAATGAAAGAAACTGAGACAACACAACCAGAATCTGTGACACCAACAGAAAATTTACTTTACAATGTTGAAGATATTGTAGATAATATTGACAAAACATCACAAAAGATTCACAGTAATGTTGCCTACATTAAGAATGCCAATCAAAAGTTAAACAAAACAATGTTCATGTATGATATGAGTACTCAATCAGTTGAATGGGATTGGAATGGAGGTGCAGAAGCTCAGATCTGTAAGAGAATGAGGGATAGGAAGGTTCCTCTCAAACACTCACCAATCATGATTGAATTGTTGGATTTCATGCCAAAACTTTTTACTGAAAAATATGACTCTGAAAAAATTGAACCATTCTTCATTACATATTGTCTTGTGGATTTTAATACAAGAAAGAGAATAAGTGAAGAATTCCACTGTGATGTAAACCATCAATTATCAGATGAATCCCTAAGAAAGTTATTGACATCATCGGATCTTAATGTAAATTTATCAAAGAATAGAGCTATCTTCCAGGTCAGTGAAAGATCTCCTGACATTTCTTTGTATGTTAGAATTTACAAAATTATTCAAGGAGATGAAGATGATGCAGCAGAACCATATGTTAGACCAGAAAAATGTAAAGATGCCAAGTCTAAATTTTTCAAGAATGTTCATGATAATGTTTTCAAGATGAGACCATTCTTACAACCTATGGCATATTCCTTCCAACAAATGTTCAATGAAAATGAAGATCTTTGTCTCAATTCCGAAATTAGTCACTTCCTCAGAACAAAAGGTAATATGGGAGATGATCAATTTTTCAATATTTATTCTGGTTCTGCCACAACTCCATCAGATTCTTCACTTGGAGCATCTGGAACAAAGGGAAAGTTGAAGACCTTCCCAGCTAATATGAAACTGAGAGTCATTGAATTGAATTCTGATGACTATAATGAACTTAAGAACGAAATTGATCAAGTTGACTGTACTGTGGATATTGATGGAACCAAGTATGATTTGGCTGAAGAAAAGTTGAAGTGTCACCTTATCAGAGAAATTTCTTCTTCCAAGTTAAATTATTTCCATGAATATGATAATACACTGTACGTCTATCCTCAAACAGTACAGATAGGTTCAAGAGGTCTTATTGGGACAAAATCAAAGAGTGTCAGTGTCAAAATAGAATTGAAGAATAATGACGATAATCTAGATGCACCAGGTCTACCACTTATCTTCAACAGATTCAATAAGGATAAGGATAGTAAGACAACACATGACTATTCAACTATAACATACCATGCTAAGCATCCAGAATTCAATGATGAATTTAAAATTCAGTTGCCAACACACATAACTGACAAGCACCACTTGTTATTTACATTTGTACACGTTCCATGTAAGAATAAGGAAAGCGCTTCTGGAAAAGATGAGCTTCCATATAAAGCCAATATTGGAAACGTTCTTGGTTATAGTTTTGTCCCACTTTTGGACTTTACTACACCAAACAAACAAAGAAGAAAGACTATTGAAGATGATACCTCTTCCATGTCCTTCAATTTAGGAAAGTTGCTAAGTGGAGTTGAACAATTACCAATCTACCAAGAATTTAGTGAAAAGAAAGGTTATACAAGCGAAAGAGTTAAGGGTACAAGCAAATTAATGGAGAACGGTAAGCCACTCTTTACAGTCTCATTCCAACCTTTCAGTACAATTTACACTACAGATAAGTCTCTTGCTCACTTCTTTGCTTCTCTTCCTCTGGTTATTAGTGACAATGAAGTTAGAGATTCTGTCATGATTGTACAACGTCACTCAACTAGTGAACCATCAGACTTGGTAGGCAGCAGTTCTGGTCTTGTTAGCTCACCTTCCATTATGAAGAATATTGCATCTGATGATTTATTTGATGGTGAAATGCCAGCCATTGGTACTAATAGTCCTCTCTTAAGAAGTAGTAATAGTGGAGCCTTGTTATCAAGTATGAATCCTGAAATGATGGTAATCAAATATCTTTCTGAAATGTCTCATGTTCAAGTTAGAGATTTGGTTAACTTCCTTCCATCTATTTTCAATCAACTTTTAAGAACTATTTGTACTGGCATGTGTTATAACCACACAATGAAGAATGCTCAATTCCAAGCATTCCAATTATTACTTGTAATAATAGATCGTGTAAACAGATATTATTTGGAAACTAGCAGTTCTAGGAATCAAGATGAAGAGAGAGTCTCATCTGATTCATCATCTGAGAGAAATAGGTTGATTAAGGATTATGTTGACAAAATTTTTGTTAACTTCCATCACTGTGACTCATTCGTATTTATTGAGCTTATCAACCAATGGATTAATATGTTGGAAGATACCCAAATTAGAAGATCAAAGAAATCTGAACAAAGTAAACTGAGAATGGCTGCTTTGGAGAACAATGACGACAACGAAAGCAAAATGTCTCTCATGTACAGTTGGGTACTTTTTGATCTAATTATCAAGTCATTGACTCTTTATTTGAAAGAAAAGAAGCTCCTGAATACCTCTGATAGAAGTAAGATGTTTAGTGGAGGAAATGGAAGACTTGTAGAGTTCCAAAACTTACTTTTGAGATTGGTACGAATTATGGGTGTAGAAACAGCCTATAGAGCTGGTGCTGGATTCAACGTTGCTAAGATTCTCAATTCTAACTTTGCCCTCTTCTTGAGAGATTTGTTCAACATTATGGACAGAGGCATTGTTTTGGGCCATATTGAAGGCTACATGAACATCATTACTGATAGAGCTGGAACAGAAGGAAATGCCAATTATGAAGTTATTCAAGAATTTAGAAATACTTTCTTGGAAATTATTGTTGATTACGAATTCTATGTTAACATTTCTCTTCCATACTTTTACAAACCTGGCAGTAGCCATAATCCAAATGAGGATTGTGAAGTTATTACTGATGAGCAAAAACTGTGCACAAACCATTACTTGTGCGGTCTTTTGATGAAATGGTGTGTTGATGATCTTGCCAACAAGGAAAGAGTTGTCAGAAGTAGATCTATTTCTCTTATGAGAAACATCATTACTAAACATGAATACGACAAGAGATACCAAAACAAAGATGTACAAGTAGCTATTTCAAACATGTACTTCGCATACGTGCTCTTATTTATTGATATTTTCCACAAATTTAAGAAGGCCAGTGAATCTAAGTTAACTGAAATTAGAAACATTGTGAATAAGGCCAAGAATGATTTCCAACAAAAGTTGAACGAGTTAAGCAAGCAACAACAAGAACAACAAGATCAACCACAACCACAACAATTGAAAGACCTTGAAGATAGTGTACAAATTTCCAAAAAGCAATACAATGACACTTTGACACAATTCAAGGACGAGAAAGAAAGATCAAAGCTCGAAAAACAACAAGCTTTGATTACTGTTATTTTCATTTTGTTTAATATGGACAGAGAACTCTTCTTGAAGTGGTTTGAAACAGAAAGTTTCAACAGAAAGAAGATTTTACTCCAAATTATTTACATGTCTGTACAAGTTTTCCAATATAGTGGTAGAAAGAAGATTGAAGAAAATCACAAACTTGGTATTGGTGCTCATACAAATACTGGAAAGTCTCTTAATGAAGCTAAATCCAGATTAGAAAACCTTTATACTTCACTCGATAGAAGAATTCCAAACAGACCAAATCCAAACACTGGCCGTCGTAACTTTAAGGACAGAATGAACTTTACAACACAAAACAGATCTGTCAGAGGTGGACAAACAGGAAGCATTACTGAGTCATCTCTTGCAGCCCAAATTAACAAATCTGGAGGTGGTAGCATTTCTTCAAGATCTACCGTTTCTTCAACTAATTCAACTGGAACAACAAGAAGTAACATTCCATTCAAGGAAAGCGAGAAGAAGATCATTGATGATTTGGTTTTATGGGAATCTAGATTGAATGTTGAAATTTCAAGTTGTATTCTCTCTTTAATGCTCGACATTTGCAAGAAATTCCAATTCAGTTCTATCATGGATTTGATTCTTAACTTGGAAATCAACAGAAAGAGAAACGAACTTGAAATATTCCATCACGTTTTCCATATTTTGATGTCCTTCTTCAAGACCAACCAAGCAGACTGCTCATTGATTGCTCTCTATCACCTTTTAAGAGTTTTTGTTAAAAAGTTCAGATCAACAATCTTCACCAGTAAGAATGCTGAATATATTGAAGTATTGTCAAAACTTGTTCTCAGACAAAGTCAATCTGTCGTAGATAGAGTCAGAGCTGAAGCAACTGCATTGCTTTATTGGATGATCAAACAAAATTATCTCAGCGATGAACTCTATAACTTTACTAGAACAAAGATTCAAACAACTGTTGCCTTGTCCTATTTGGCTTCTGAGTTTGAAAATGGTGTAAATATCCAACTTTTGAGAGAAAGTTTCCAAATTATTTCAGATTATGCTGCTGCTGATAAGTCTGTACCTCAACTCCCTCCTCAAGATGTTAAATCAAATCAACCAAAGGTATTCGAAATTAAGAAACCAAGTGCTGAGGAAGATGACAGTGCCTACAAGATGCCTTTCAGCCAACAAGTCAAACAACTTGTTGAGAGATTGAGAAAGACACTTCTTGATACTGTTCAAATCGAAGAGCTTAAGAAGAGAAAGGCTGATCAAGAAACTATGTGTGATTTATATCACCGAATTGCTGGAGGTTACAAACATGCTCCTGAACTCTCCGTGACATGGTATCACAATCTTGCACAAGAACATATCAAGCACGAGAGATATATCGAAGCAGCTGAGTGCTATGTCTATATTGCTGGCGTAGTATTTGAATATTTGAAATTGAGACGTGATAAGGCTGTATGGGGTGGTCAATATGGTAGTGAGCAAAAGAAGGTTAACGAACTTTCTCAATACTTACTCAATATTTCACCATATTTAAGAAGTGAAAACTTCTCAGAACTTAGAGCCTTGTTCCAAAGAAAACCTTCTGAAAATACTGAAGGACCTGTTGGACCTGAGTTTGAATCACACTACTTCAATAGAGATGGTATGGTTCAATTGATTTATAGCGCTATTCATTTCTGTAAGGAAGATGGCTACTATGAATACATGATTGAATTGCACAAATTACTTTTGGGCTTGTTTGAAATTGAAGGTAACTTTGAAAGAATGAAGAGTGTTCACAACGAACTCAGTAATTTATATGCCAAGATTGCTGAACCAAAGACCAGATCAGCTCGTCTCTTTGGTGCCTACTATCGTATTTATTTTGTTGGACAATTATTCCCTGAAAATGTTCGGGAAAAGGAATTCGTTTACAAAATGCCAAAGACAACTCGTCTTAACAGTCTTATGACCTATCTTAAGGATCACTTCAGATTTGGCAAAGAACTCAAGATTATTGGTGATAGTCAAATTATTACTGACGCCATGAAGCAAGAGGATGAAGCCTATGTTCAAATTACTTCAGTGAAACCATACTATGATCCAACAGACGCAGTTGCCTATGAAATTTCCAACAGTGATAGATACTTTAATGAAAATGTTAACATTTCCAAGTTCATTTTCGAAACACCATTCACTATGGCAGGTAAGAAATCTCACGGAAGCATTACAGAACAATGCAAGAGAAAGACTATCATCAAAACTAAGATTACCTTCCCATCTGTACTTAACAGAAGTGAAGTACTTTCAAAGGACCATACAGAATTGACACCAATTGAAAATTCTACTGAAATTGTTGAAATGTCAATTCAAAGACTTGCTACTGCTTGTTCAGGAGCTGATCAAGTTAATGCATCTGAAAAAGATGAAGGAAAGAACAAGCAAGTTTTCAGATTTGGTAGAATTTTAGATGATGACTTTGATGTTGACGAAGAGTTTGCTACTGACCAAACTGAAGCTACACCAGTCACTATTTTGCCAGTTGGTGACAACAATGTTACTCCAACTTCACCAAGTGATGATCTAGTGAATGTAGAAAAGAAGAAACAATCTGCTCCTATTGATGTCAGTCAACTTCACCTCGTCTTGACAGGTGTTGTCATTCCATCTGTGAATGAAGGTATTCCACACATTGTTAATTCATTCCTCCATCCTGATGAAGTTTCCAAATATGAACCACAATTTGTCAAGAACTTGAAGAAAGCTTGTGTTGAATTTTTAAGAAGCTGTTACAGAGCTATTCTTATCAGTAATGAATATTGCAGTGATGCCCAAAGACCATTGCACAACAAATTCGAGGAAGGATATGTTACACTTATCTCAGTATTTGAAAAATGCATTGATATCCCAGAAGAAATTAGAGAAATTCGTAAGAATTAATTGTATATTAAATTAGTATTATTTTATTCCTTTTTTTCCTTGTTCATCAAATCAGATTGTTTCACTACCTTTCCATAAATTTCATCCAAATTCTTCTTATCGCCTATCCACCCAAGATTATCTGCTATTAAATGAAGTTGTTGACAATTTTTGCATCTAGTAATTACAACACCTTTATGATAGGAATGCTTAGAAAATTCAATATAATGTCTTTGTTTACAAGGTTTGCATGTATAGAACATTCCCATCTTTTCGGACTTTTGTCTCTTTTCTTCACTCACTTCGTATTCCTCGTTTGTACTATTTGGATTGTTATTCATTTCATAAACTTCTCTATTTACAAGACTATGTGAAAATTTCCTAGAAACTTCCTGTTGCATTTTCATCATATTTGATTTTCCGTTACAACATGAACAATTATGTTGATGATGCACGGAATGAATATTCCTAATTCCTATCATGGTGGACAACATTTGTCTCTTTATCACAACAGTGTTTGAAACCTTGTTGCAGGTTGTTTTAATGACTTGTTTCAACATTTTTTTTATTTTTATCTTTTCAATCAAAATCTGTATTAAGAACGAATCTTGATGGTTTTCTTTGTGTCGGTAACGAGTGTGTAAATTGGTGAGATGAATTTTGGCAGATTTGAAATGTAAGATCCAAACTCTGATTTGAAGAGCTTTTTGGTGTTTTCACTGTGAGTGTAGTGAGAAATGACTTGAATGGTGAATTGTCTTGGAGCATTATCATTGAGATGAATGAAGAATTTCAAAATCTTGGAGAAATCTCCTCTACTGCTTGCATACAGGTGGAAGAAGGTCAGATAGTCTCCTTGTTGCATATTTTCAATACTAGAATCGAGGATGTGTTCTGGTTTGAGGTAGATTCGTATTTCTTGGGAGAGTACGAGAATGTCAGATTCTAATATTATGGTAATATTATTCCTACTTCCAAAGGTTAACATTTTGACTGGATTATTTCTAAAGTAGTTGTTTTCTGAGTTTTCCTCATTCAAAGTGACACAACTGAAGCTGTTATAGTCGAGTGAAGTTACTTGTTGAATAGCTAGAGCTGGTATCAAATATATTTCATTCTTTTCCGAGTTGGTAATGGTAACATTATCATTTTTGAAGAGGTCATTCATTACATAGGTTACAGGAACACTATCAGTATGCAGGAATGATATGTAGGTCCTTTGAGTGTCTGAAAATTGAGTAGAATGGTCCGATTCAGTTGTTTCCTCTATGTCTGAAAGTTGAAGGTTAGAACTTCCCTTCCTCACTCCAAAAGAAAATGATTCCTCAAAATGATCTTCTGGAAGTACTACAACCTTCTGTATGAGTACTCTCTTTGGAGCAGATTCAGAGTAAGCTGACAAGAAAATACCAGCCACAAACATCAACAATAAACTAGCTCCCAAGAATATGAAAAGTGGAAGTTTGGTAGAGTCTGCTATTTGAGCTTTTCTTTGATTTTCTGACACAATATAAGGATATAAAAGGTTAGTTCCAAGGAATGCAATAAATCCAATCAAACAAGCAATTGTAACATCACATTTCCAAATCTCATTCACAAAACCACTTCTAGACATGATTGGCACGAAAATATTTACAGCAATAAGAATATGTTCCAATACAAATATCAAATATCCGGCCATCATTATAGTTATGTGGATCCACCATTTGGTATATTTCTGAATAGTATGTGAAGAGGCAATAACAAGTGCCAAAACAACTACAACTGGTAAAAAGGTGGAAACAATATTAAAATAATTGAAAACCAAAGTGACAAGAACCCAGAATAGCCAAACAGCTACATAAATATAGAAGGAACTGGTATATCTACTAAATACTGACAAGACGAAGGCCATTCCTAAAATTGATGGTAAAGCAAAAAGGAATAGAGTGAATACAGGGCCAGTAGCATACCAAGACATTGGATTTTTGAAAAGATAGGTCAAAGTAAGAGCAACCAGTGAAGGAAAGACCAAACTTGAAATAAGGGAAAGCAAAACAATTCCAAAAGCTTTGGAAAGAGAGTACAAATACCTTTCATTTTCCTCAACGTGAGGTTCTTCCTCAACATTCTCTACCTTTTCATTGGAGAGAGATTGCTTCCTTCTTCTCTTTTTCTTATTTTCAAGCTTTTCAGCTTCTTTGACATAGATTTTTCTAACCATGAAAGTGAAAGCTATCAAAATGATTACATAATGTACTGGACTTGCAGATATTGATGAGTAGCAATAAATATAAAGGGATAATACATCAAAGTATACTGCTGGGGCGGTAATTTCCTCGTAAACAGGATCTTCTGGAGAAGTATTATTCACATTTGGGAAATATGAATTAAAACTTGCTAGTTTCTTGATGAAAGGAGTCAAATTTTCACCCATATGTTGAAGGGTGTTACTATTAAGCTTATCAAAGGTATCTCTGTTGGTATGATGTACATAGCCATTTCTATAAAAGACAGAATCAATTCCACCAATTGTTAAATTGAGATAGGATTGATAGACATTGAAATCGCTCTGTGAAGGAATCAATCCCAAACTGAAAAAATCTTGAGCCACTGAGGTTGCTTTAGGATATTTACAAACACTGGCAAACTGTTTCATAATCCAAGTATTGGATGATTGGAAGGTTAGATCCCTACTTGCACCTGAGCCAATTGATTCCATATTGATGACAGACCGAACTGATGAAGCCCAAGGATGACGTGTTGCAAATATTTTAGATCCAATCATGCCAATTTCCTTTGCACTGTTAAACATGAAAATAACAGGGTGGTGAATAGAGACAGGATCATGAATCAAATTGCTAATCATTTCTAAAGCAATAAATGTAGGAATTGTTCCAGAAACTGATTGAGTTGATGGAACACTATCAAAGTGAGAACTCACAAGTATTGATTCATTCAAAAAGTGTACATGTTTCTTTGAATGTAATCTAACCAAAATATTAGTCACATTAGAATAGGACAAGATAATTTTCTTACTTGAATCCAAATGTTTCCTCGAGAAGATTGCTTGTCCATCTTTAACATAGTGAAAATCAATACTCATTTCAATTCCTGGATTTGATTTATCATTCTTTGCTTTCAATGTTGATAATTTCTTTCCCAGAAATTGTAAGCTCTTCCTATATTCATCACTTCCAACAATTCTTCCAAAACACTCACCATCACGAGGAGTAGCATAGAATTGTTTAGCTTCATCAATACATCTCCTTGATGAAAATTCCGATAGTGGTAAATTATTATCTATTGAAAAATTAGGAACCTGCTGTCTGATATAAACAACAGATAGTACAATCAAATGTATACCAATCAACACAATCCAAAATATCAAACTCCTAATTTGTTTATCATAAATAACAATTTGTTGATTTTGGTAGGTGAATACAAATTTTAGTTGCGTACTAGTAGTACCATGTGAATGATGTTGCTGATCCGATGATGTAGATGCCGTAGAGGATTTAGATGCACTCGATTGTTGATTATGATGATGATTACTGCTAGCTTTTGAATGATGATGGTGGTGTTGACTCATTTCTTTCTTTATGGAAAAATCAAAGAGGAAAATTGGCCACGTGGTCGGTCTTTGCAAGAGGACTTTGGTTGCAAATTGTTACTTCACACAGGATCCCTAAATCTATCAAGAAAGTACTGATAACATACGTAGTGGTGTGTTCTTCTTTTTTTAATTGCAAAAGAACAATTGAATGGATTCATGGCTTATCAAGTGATTTTCCCGCCAAATGTAGTTTGTTCAAAATTAAAAAAATGAAAAGAATACCCTCAAATACATCCACAAAGAGTTCCTCATCATCGACAACCAGTAATAGTAGTGTAGGAGGAGGTTCATCATCATCGGCTCAAACCAATGGGAAGGGATCTGCAACATTATCAAAGATTGCCTCGGTTAAGCAAAGCGGAACATCCTCAACAACATCTTCAGCTGGATCAACAACGAGTAGGAAAAGTAGCGCCTCGTCTGTTGAGAGTGGCACCTCTTCAAAATCAACTTCGAGTTCAAAAGTCAAATCCACTCAATCAACACCAAGAGCCACTGCAACAGCGATAGAATCAAAACCATTTAAGTTTACTTCATCAACTAAAAAGAATGACCAATCTCCATCAACACCTACAACATCAGAAAAGAAACCATCTAAAGAAGATCCTAAAACTGCAAAACCTAAAGTAGTAGAGGAAGAGGAAATTGTTCAAGTTTTGGAATTACGTCATCAGAATATTTCTGAGATACCCAGAGCTCACACCTCTAAAATTGAATTGCTCAAGTTGGATATTTCATTTAACAAATTTACAGAAGTTCAACAATTGGAAAGGTACACTAAATTGACTTCTTTAAAAGCGATGTATAATAAGGTAGCTTCACTCAATGGTATTGAAACGTAAGTTTAAATTCATATTGCACTCAATTAATCATGAAATAGACTGGAAAATTTAAGGGATTGTACCATGGTTGGAAATATGATTACAGATGTTTCTAAACTTGCTTTTTGCAAAAAGTTAGAAACTCTTGCCCTTGATAATAACATGATTCAATCTTTCCCAAGCTTAGTTTCTTTGAAAAACCTGACGCATCTATCAGTTGAGAATAATTGCCTAATCAACTTTGAAGGACTTAGTGGATTGGAAAATTTGAAATCTCTTTCTGTTTCTAGGAATAGTATTGAAAAATTGACTGGTCTTGGAAAGTGCAGATTTAGAACTAGCTTGATCGAGTTGGATTTATCTAATAATAAGATTGATAAGGCTGATTTTGCATTTCTTCCAACTTTTGAAAAGTTGGAGGTGTTAAGAATGAAAAGTTGTAACTTTAGGACAATTGAAAACTTCCCTTCTTGCCAACAAATTAGAGATCTTTCACTATCAGGAAACATGTTGGAATCTGTGCTGTGGATTGAAACAAAATTTCCAAACCTCGAGTCCTTAACCATGAAAGACAATTACATTCCTCATGTAAAGCAATTACAAGAGGAACTTTCGAGGCTAACGAGTTTGGAGATGGTTGCTGTTGCAGGTAACCCTATGTGTGATATTAATTCAAATTATGTAAAAATTCTATCGACCCACTTGAAAAATCTTAGAATGATTGATGAGGTCACTGCTAACGAGTTCATTACACCTGAAGTAGATACTTCTGATCCATTACTTTCAACTATTGGATATGTTGAGCCTAATTTTGATGACGATGAAGTTCTCAGAAATGTTCTCAAAAGGGAGGCTACCAGCATTAAGGAAGCCGACGAGGTTAAAGACCTCTTTTTAAACTTACAACAGCAGACCAAACGACTAGAAAAAACATTCGAAAATTCATTGGCTAACTTGGATTTTGGAATCCGAGAAATGAAAAGAGGATTGGATGTTGATCTTGGAAGTGGACTCAGAAAGCTGGAAACAACAGGTTCAGAGGATACATATGATATCACTCCAACAACTATGGATGTACGGTCGTCTCAAACGTTAGACATGTCAGAGATAAGAAAGGCGCTGCATTCACAAGCCAAAAGGGAGACAACAAGCAAGAAGGAAGAGCAAATGGTTGCCAATGTGAGAAGGTCCTTAAACAATATGGAACGAATCAAAGCAGCTCAACAATACTCAAAACAGAAAGAGAATACTGACCTAGAACTTGGAACGCTGAATACAGAACAACACGAAGCAGAGGTTGAACAATTTTTACATATGATCAACTCGGCCAGAAGCGCAGAAAAGAGAAGACCTCCATCGGCTGTGGGAGGTTCAACACTTAAAGTTAAGAGAAAGTAATGATAGATCTACAATAAATAAAAGATTTATAAAAACAAATCATCCACATTGGTATTTGATGATGGTACAGAAGTTGTTTCTGGTTGGACTACAGTGATGAGGTATTGTTCTTCTACAAAACTGTGAGGAATAACTCTAGCAATATTACTTTGATCCATAAACTTCCATGAAATTCTGAATTGATTCAAATTGTACACGCCAGGGGAGAAGAAAGTAGCTTGCACCGTTACCTTAACCTCACCAGAGTTTGGTTTCAAATCTTTCATGAAAAATCTAGTTGGGCCAGACCATAAGTAAAAGTTTTGAGGTCCTGTGGAGGTTGTAGCAACAGTTGTTGGAAGAACTGATTGAGCTCTCAGTTTTGAAGTTCCTGAGGTGGCGAAAGGTGGTAAAAGTTCGAGAGTGATATCAGTATGCAAGTCAGGAGAAACGTTGCTAATTTTAACATCAAATGCTACAGAGCATGAAGGTTGAGATGATGTAAACTGGTGAATGATTTCTCTTTCGTATTCTAAATTAACTTCTATTGGACAAATAAGATTTTCTTTGGAAGGGAATTTAGCAGCCATGTGAATTCTCTTTGGTTTTTTAGCATGAGGTAAGAAAGAAACCTTGCTGTGATAAGTGATACCTAACTCACAAGGACCTCCCCTCCAAATGGCTTGTAAACTTAAACTATTCAATTGTTCTTCAATATCTACAAGTGTGTCACCAGAACCTGTAGTGACTGTTTTACCAAAGAATGTCAACTCGTGCTTCTTGGATTCACTAAACAAAAATTCAAGATATGGTCTCTTGGTAGTATCAATTAATCTGTCACTATTTCCAGTAGAGAATGATCTGTGGATAAGTTCAACATCAGGTAACTTTTCCTTGGTTGAAATTATTCCAGCCATCTTTTTCTCTTGTTCAGTATTCTTGAAAATCTTAAGGTACAATGTGTAGGATTCTTTTGGCAAGATTATTATTGATTGACTAGCAACTGGAATAACAGGTGTAATCTCCCAAAGTGGAGAAACGCTGACTAATTGATCAAGTTGAATGAATTGATCTGGTCTAAGATTGTGAAGCTTTACACCACAAATAAAACTGCCAAGCTCGCAGTAGCTAGAGTCACAGAAAGTTGTTACTCTTAGTGAGTCCATAACCTTGAGCGTGGTGTGGAAACGATGTAATCTATACTTGAGATCCTCCACTGGTTCAACTGGTTCATAATAGAACAAGAACTTGGCATCATGTACACCAGAATAAGATCCTCTCACAAAAACTGGAATTTCAATCTTGCTGCCAGTACTAAGACTCTCAGAAATATCATAGTATGTAAAATCACGTTCAATACCATAGGTATTAGAAATGAAGGTACTGTCTCTTTGGGGTGTGTTTGTATCCATAAATTGGAAATTGTTCATATTTGGATCATCTGATAGGAAATAAATAGATGGGTGGTTAATTTTGAGTTTCAAATTTTTCAAATCTGCTTTTCCAATATTAGTAACAATCATGGTAGTCTTCTTAAGCTCTCCATTCCACAAGTGATCAATTGATTCAGTAAATTGAACATCCAAAAGTGGAGTAGGATTAATAACCTTAAGAATCAATCTATTATCTTGTTCGTACTGAACTGATGTTCTGTGTTGTTTGTTTTCATTCAATCTTCTACCCTTAACACTAAAATGCTTGAAGCCTTGAATGTTATTCAAAATCTTCCATCTCACTCCTCTGATGGAAAGGTCACCAACTTCTGTTGGTGTAATCTTTAATCTTACAATAATAGTATCATTTCCTTGAATAGATACATTAACAGCTTCTGAAATAAATCCCTTTTCGTTTTCAGGCAAATTTGGAGACTTGAGAATGGCGTCAAGAGAAATATCTCTCACTTGGATAGGGACAATCAAACTGTTGGAAATCTTAACATCGACATGAATTGGTTCACCAACAATAGTGGATTCAATCTTTTTCATGTCATTGATTCCCTTCTCCCACTTGAAAAATACAATTGGACCTCTGACCTTTCTTACTAAAGTTTCTTCAAGTTTAGCCCATTCTTCATCAGGTATCACATCAGTATAAACTGGTTCTCCATAATAAGAGTTTAATAAAACTCTAACATTGGATTGATCTACCTTTGGCATTTCCAAAAAGTCAAACTTTACATCCATCACACCTTTTTGCTTTTGCTCGTTAATGTAGGAAGAAACGGTTTGAGAAAATACTTCCATAAACTTGAACTGTTGATCTGGACCTTGCTTACAAACAGTCAAAAATTCATGATAGAACTCAACGCTGGACTTTAAATCCTTCATATCATTTGTGAGTTTACCCATAGTATAACTCAAATGTTCATAAATTTGAAGCCATTCCCTATTGTTATAAATTCTAAAGGATGTTCTATAGCATCTGAATGAGTGTTTCATTTGGTCGGTATGACTATATCTGTATCCAGCCAAAATTAAAAATAAGGCAGACTTTCTAGTTAATCTATCCATAGATCCTCTGTAACAAAGTGCTGTTTGTTCGAAAAAGAGAGCAGCTTGTAAAAAGTTATTTTCATCCACATTTGAAGCTCTAGTGAATAATTCTCCAGCCTTCTTAAATAATGTTTTAGACCTATAGTAACAAGCCTGAATTAACAAGAGTCTGAGTGTATAATTTGGTTGATTGGCAGTCTTGTATGCTGTTAGGGCATTATCCATATTACTTTCAATTTCCTTCTTATTACTGGTTTGAGCTGTTGGACTCAAAAGAGTACAAATGGCCATCATCTCAAGACAACCAGCATAATTCTTAGGTTCCTTCTTGAAATCACCACTGATTAGCTTGTAAACTGAATAAGCTTCATCGTATTCACGTAAAAGGAACAACAAGTCAGCTAATCTTCTTAACTGCATTTCTGGTGTAATACCTTCTTCCTCTGCCTTTGTCTTTTTCGTAAACCAAGATTTAATGGTATTTTTAATACCCTTCTTGTTAGCTAAAACAGTGTTAGAAACTGTTTTAATTTTTGCATCCATTGATGCTACTACTTGATTCACTATAAAATCTACATTATTTGCAATATATTGTACATCTTGTTTGGATAAATAAAATCCATTTGGTTGCATATTGTCCAAAACATACTTTTGGTATAAGTGACGTCTTGGTAAAACAGGAGACCAAATATCACCAACTAGATTTTCAACTAAATGATCTCTTGAATTGACAATGAGCATTCTACATGAAGAGGCTGTATACTTCTCTTTAATCTTGTTGAAAATAGAATTGGCTTTTTCGGAATTTGTTGTTGGTGATGATTGATCGTGAATCATGATTACTAAATTCAAAATATCAGGATCCATTGTGAAATCTTTAAACATTTTAGGTGGATTATCAGGATCAAACAATCCTTTCAAAATTTGAATTGGATCTCCAACTTCTTCACTTGAAATCACTGATACCACTGCAACTGGATGTAAAAATGTTTCATGTTCCGAAATATTTAAATTTTTGATGAATTCATCCCTGAAAATATCAAACCATGGCGTATGATCCACTAAATCTTGATTAAGAGCTGACTGGTTTGTTTTTCTCAAGTATTGATCATAGGAATGTTTAATTATATGTCCAATAAAATCAGAATGATGTTTTTCTCTGAGATGTACTTCAGTCCTATTAGCAATTCTGTTTCCGTTTTCACCATATTCTTTATGAAGATCCCCAAGAGTAACAAAATTAACTGAAAAGTTTTGGAGTGAGATTGCTGAATAATTTACTATTAATTCCACACGTATAAATTGATCATCATTTTATCACACCATCATCAAATAATATTATTTAATATTATTATTCTATCATAATGTTGCAAACTTACGCTGTTTGAAAAATTGATATGGACGCAAAAGATCAATAAACTTTAAACCATTCTTTGCACATGAAGCCTCCACAGAAGGTGTTGTTCTCACCAAAACTGTTGGTGAAAACATGCTCTCAAACCATCCACTCAATTCATTAGCATTCCGAATAGGAAACGAGTCCGGAATGTTGAATTTATCTGATGTTTCTCCCAAGTCTGACGATGAGGAATTGGTAATGTTATTTCCCAATGTCATTGTTCTGGTGGGTGCATCAGTCATTTTTTTTATTAATAATAATAATAAATAACTTGGAATCTTTTATGAAGGGATGATAATTTGATTTATTGTAGCCTGATTTCACAATAGCAACCATTCTTTGAGAATGAATTCTTTCTCGTATTTGCTAGTATTTTGCTACAAATTGCAGAAACAAAGAATCATCGTTTCTACTAGAGCTAACGGCTTTTGAAAGATGGTTGTCCGAAATCAAATTTCAGACGCTGCCTATTTCTCATAAAAAATGTTTAAACAACCCAAAACCAAATCATCTTCATTTTCTCCTTCCAATTATTGTGTTCTATTCAGCGAGGTCATGGAAGTCGACGAGTCGAGAGAAAACTTCTTCAAATATCTGGGAGAGGAAGCACTATGTGGTGAGTGCGTTGATTTTTTAAATGATTTTTCCAGTTTTTCCCACGAATTTCAAAAAGTAAAAAATTTGGTGGGAAAAAAACCTACAACACGTGCTGATAATGAGGAAAATGAGCATGGTAGTATTATTTCATCATCGTCATCATTGGCATCATCATCGGGTGTATGTTTGGAATTAAATGATGAAAGCAAAGATGAAAATTCTCTTACACTGATTACTGGTAATAAGATGATTTTGGAAAAGATTGAAAATTTGGGTGTAATGGTCAGTGCTATTAAAAAGCTATTTGTGATGGCTGATAGAATGATTTTTGAGCATGTTCAATCTGGAGTATTGAATGTTCCTAGTTGGATTATTAAGGAAACGAAAAATTATTGGACTGTTGGAGTTTTGGAAAAGATTAGAGAAATGATTCTATTGAGATCGTCTACCTTGTTGGAAAGTGATGCTTTTGAATTGAATATAAATTCATTATTGGAGAATGTGAATGAGGATAATATTGATCCTTGGTTCATGATCAGATTAGTGACACCTTCCAAGTTGCTGCTCAGATTGTATGAAAATATACTCATTGACTTGAAATTGGACACTTTTTCAAGATATTCCAGAAGTGAATACTTGTATCAGTTCTTAGAAAAGATGGGTGAGACATTCACAACAAGAATTGCCATTCATGTGGATGAATTGAGTGATGATTATTCTTCAAACAGAGTCTCAACAACTAATTCTTCTTCTGAAATAATTGCAAAACCAAAAAAGATTAGGCTGAGATCTGACGATTGGAATTCAAATACCTTCTCCAAGGAATTTATTTTCAGTTGTTTATATTATGCAGAAGATTCACCAAGATGGAAGCAAACAATACAAGCAAAACAAAAACCATTCCCTCAGACTTGTTACATTACTGAAAATGATTTTGTTATGGGCAAAAACTCAACAGGTCAAAAATGTACAAAAGTAGTTATGGACATTCCTTACAATAGAGATTTTGTCTATGCTCTATATTCGTCGAGTTTACAGAGAATTGAATTGGATCCATGGATGAAAGGCTTTAATTACTTTGGTATGACAACGAATGAGCACTCTATGACCACAACAGCTTTGGAAGTTATCTTTTCCTTTGGGCCACTCCAAAAACGAAGTTCCACTATACTTGCAACAAATATCTATGATCCAGATGCTGATTGTTTCATGTTCTTCTTCAAAACCAAAGAATTTGAGGAGTATCAGAGGACTCCAAACACTGTTCCTTCAGATGGTTTTATGGTTTTCCTATTCTACAAACATACTGACAACTCAACTAGATTTGTCAATGTATTCTTTGGAGATTTGAAATTGCCCTTCTCAAATGATTTCACATTTAATTTTGCTACAAGTTTTGGACTCAAGAAGATTAACAAATTATTGGAAAAGGTAGCTAAGAAATATCTTCCCCAATACGAGGAATTTGAACGACTAAATGGAATACCATCTTATTATGATTACAATAATCCAGAAGATTACGTTGATAGTATTTTCAAATTTAAAGATGATTTGAAATTCTATGAATCCGTCAAGCAAAACCTTATTCATTTTCCAGTGAAAAGTTGGCACAGAGAATTCTACAAAGAAATGAAAGAATCTAGATGAATTTATTGAAACATCAAATGGAGATTAATCCTGGGAGTGTTTGTAAATGGATTTTGCTTCCATTTTGGAATGTGTGTTAAATTGATTGGAAATGTGTTGGGTATACCTGTAGTTTTTGAGTTTAATTTTGGTTTTTATTACTCGTCAATAGAGAAAATAAAAAAAGTGCCTGACGGTGGAGGGAACTAGCCACTGAGCTACACCGTCATTGGAGTTTATTATCATTGCTTGTTAGTTAAATTCAAAAGTGCATTTTAGAGATCCAAGCTGACTTCTGAAATTGCATCTTGGATTTCAATTTGTTGAATATTCTTTCTACTGGATGGAAAGAAAGAGGGATAATGCTCTTTAAAGATAATGTTTGGGTTTAGCTCCTTTAGTTTATCCCAACTCAGTACTTTTGAAGCGTTTTGTCCTTTAGCCAATCTCCTCATATCATCTGAAGTTAGTGGACGATACTCTACAATTTTCAAACTTGGATTCTTTTCAAAAGGATTGCTTGTGAAAAATACCTTTGGTAGAATAATGTGCTCCAATGAAGGTAGCTTTACAATTTTTGTAAAATAATCCAAAACCAATTGATGCTTTTCAATGTGAATAAACGAAAGATTTGGAGAGTTTTCTGAAATGAGCTTTTAACAGTATGTATATCAAGTATATCATAAACAGTCAATCGTTTCAAGTTCTTGAATGATTCCAGAGCTTGGTGAAGGATTTCCAAATTAGTAACATAGGAATCATAAGGGACATTAATATTTCTAGAATTTTCAACAAGGAATGGATTTTTCATTACCTCTGTCAGGATATCTCTAACTGGTGGGATTGTATCCTTTGGTAAGAAGAGTTTACTCACCAGCGATCTATTATTATTAATTTCCTTATTATAGAGTGAGTCACTACTAATTTCAATGTCGAATTCTTGTAAAAACTGTTTGACCAAGTTTCTGGAGTACCTATTGAGCGAGCTCATTACTAATAGTTGCTTTGTTTGGAGGAATGACATGATGAGGCACAAATTATCATCATTTAGTAAACGTAAATGGAATAGAGGAAGAGATTTGGAGAATGGATTAACTAATTTGGCTTTGGCAACATCCAAATCTTTCTCTTTGATCATTCCCAACCTACCATAAGTTGCTGCTCTCATCAAGTAAGGTTGTTCTCTCTGTTTCAATAGTGGCATTAATGAAATGGATTTGGAAAAGTCTTCTACAGCTTTTTTCAATTCACCAAGATAATAATAACAGAGTCCTCTATTGTAATATGAGGATTCTACCAATTCTGATGAGTATTCCTCTCCAAGTTTGATTGCCTTGCTCAGATATGGTACAGCATCTGAATAAAATGTTCCAGAATAATACGAAATACCAGCCCTAATATACAGCAATTCAAGATTGAAGAAAGTTGTTGGTTTTGATTTGAGAACTGGTTGATCAGATCCCATCATTAAATTGTGGTTATAGAAATTCTTGGCCATATTTGAGAAATTGGAAACACCAGTTGAATATTGATTAAATCCTTTCGTCCACGAAGTTAACACCTTCTCAACAGGTTTCTTTGCCTCCAATTGCATGGCAAAGAATTGTTCCTCCAAACGAGTCAAACTCTTCTCCAAATCTTCCCTCCCACTTGTACTATTCTCAGCCAACAGCTGTTCAACATGTTCCCTGTGCTTAATGGCATTCATAAAGTGATGAGCTGCCTCTTCAAACTCACCCAATCCATCACAACAAACACCCATCAGATATTCAGCCAAATAGAAATGTGAGCTAAACACTTGATCTTGCAATTGTTGAATGGATTGACCTGATTGGTAAACAACCTGATCTTTCATAAACGAAAAGGCTTCCATCAAGTCTTGTTTAGCCAACAGAAATTCCTTCATCTCCAACCTAGCACAACATCTCTGAATCAACAATTTGTCCAATTCTTCCCTTTCGGATACATTCAACGAATTCAAATCAACAGATTCTTGAATTTCCTTGATAGAAAGTGTTGATTTTCCTTCAAGTTTACTCGAAGCAGTCTTGTCAAACTTTTTCCTTGTCAAAACTTCATAAATCTTTAAATTATTGGCACGGATAGATTCGTCCACTGATCGAAGATTCTTTCCAAGACCACCAACGGCTTCAATTGCAATTAGGAATGGCAATAGATAGAGAGGTGGACAGTAACAGCCGTGACACATTTTTTTATGGTTGGAAAATTGAAAAAGTTCATCAATAGGAACGAAATCAAAAATTTATCAAGAGATAACTAAGATATATGATCTCACACAGATATTCAAATTGTATCAAAATAATTCACAATAGAACTCAGCATGCATCTTGTAATAAACAAGATAACACTTTTGCTTGCGAAATCATCTCTTAATTTGCTGTCGTACTTGTTAGAAATTGGTGACATTATAACTATTACAAAATAAATATATTACCCATTCACTTTCATCATCAAACTAATTTGAAAAACGAGTGAAGTTTTTGATGCTTACAGTTCCACCAATAAGAGCAATAAAGGAAGGTTAATTTGTCAATCTAAACATGTTGTTTAAATTCCAAATTGAATTCTTGATATTTTCAATAATTGAGATTTAGATTGTATTAGTTTGCATGTAAACTCGTATTTCAAATCATACATGATAATTGTACATGTGTACATGTCCACAATGTGTGGTAATTTTTTAGGTTATCAATTTGGTGATTAGACAAGTTTCAATGAGTTCCCAAATAATGGTTTAAAGCTTTGCGATCATTACGGTTAAATGAGAATATTGTAAACTAAATATCCTCCCTTTTTCAATAATCCTATTTTTACTGTATCCTATTCGATAGTAAGACGCATTCGAAAGAAACTGAGGTGTTACCATTCCTCTTACTGACTTCTCAATAAGGTTGTTCCACAAATGTTCAACCAATTCAATTCTCAGAAAACCATTGAACTCTAATAAACTCCATTGTAACTATTGTAATCTTATTCATTAAAAACTGCTATAAATTCAATTTACCATTCATTGGATGATTAAACAAATCAAAAAACAAATTCAATATTTGAAAAAACTCAAAAGCTATTAAAATCTTAAGAAATGACTGAACAAACTCACGAAGAATTATTCAACCAAAACGTATGTGGAAATGGTTTGGCATTCAAGAAGGTAGTTCGTGAATTATTCAACAATCGTATTGTTCCTGCCACCAAGAATCTTCAACAAGTCAATCCAAAGATGATCATCTTGTTGGATTGGGCTTCTCTTGCTGCATTGCCAACTGAAACCAAGTACAAGTATGGTGATAGATTTGCTGAAGATACCTTGTTGAATAATTGCATCAAATTCTTAACCGAATGTCCAAGATTGAGCAATATGAGTGAAATTGCCAAGGTTTTCATCAAGGATCCTGATTGTAAGGATGCTTTCATGGGATTGGAAAAATTGATTTTCAGAGTTGTTCACAATGCTGAAAGTAAGGAATCTTCTGGTTTCCTTGGATATTCTTACAAGATTAATGGAGTTGATTTGGTTGTCACTTTAGAATGTAATTTGACTCTTGTTATGAAGGTTGCCAATGAAAGACAAAGTCCATCTGCTGATTCTGAAGCTAAAAAGTTGATTAATGCTTTCTAATTCAAAAGGTAGTCCAATGTATTGTTTTCCAATAAAAAGTTTTTTAATGGAACTAAATAATAAATAAATTAGATTTGTGATGAGGAGATTACCGCTTTAGCTAAATAATAAATAAATCTTTGCTGACTGAAATCCAATAAAAAAGACTACAGCACCACAGGTTCCCAAGTTGTCTCCAACCTCAGTACTGATGTGGCTCGACTATGCTTAACTTCTCAAATCAAACGGGATCAGCTATTTTGACAAGTCATTATTCGAAAACAGAGAATTTTTATTAGCACTACTTAAAAAATATTCCTATAATTGGGTTTTCATTAACACATTTGATGATGAGCTATACGAATGTGGAGTGGTAGATTCTTCATATTATTTTGGAAAATATTTGGAAAAATATTGTAATAATAAGGAATATTTAATAAGGGCCATCAAGAGGAACTCTAATTTATTTGAAATTCTTTCTCATAAGTTAGATGAAGAGGATCGTATGCAACTGACAAAAAACAACTCAAAAGAGGTCAAAGCTACGAATTATTTGACAGATAGAATTGAGAGACTTTCTGATGAAGAAAAGAAAGATAAAGAGCTAATTATTGGCCACCTCAAAATATCACCCATGTCCTTCCCATTCATTGATCCATCCTTAAAGAACGATATAGATGTGGTAATGGCAACCGTCACCAAGCATGGAGGTGTTCTGAAGCTTCTCTCTCCAGAAATGAAAAAGAATAAGGAAGTTGTAATGGCTAGCAAACATCAAGGTTTTGCCTATGCAGATAAGACACTTCAGAGAGATATACAAGTCATTCTTAATGCAGCACAATATTTTGGAGGAATTTTAGAGCTATTAGATAAGGATTTGAGAAATGATGAGGAAATTGTTCTTCAATGCATCAAGACAACACCCATGGCATTAGAATTTGCAAGTGAAACTCTGAGAAATAATCCAGAAATTGTGAGAGTAGCTTACAATTTAGATCCAAAAGTTTTGGAATTTACTGATCTTGGTTCTTTTTAAAGTATTTCCATAACACTCAAAATAACTCAAACAATGAACCATATCCACAAAAGATAAAACAGCCGAGCAAGGTTTCTTTACTTGCAGCTTCTCCACAAATAGTTATAGTACATCCTTTCATTTCTGGACAGCTTTTTCAGATTACTTTATGTCTGAAAACTAAAAATCAGATACCGACAATGGGGCTCGAACCCACGACCCCAGGATTAGAAGTCCTGTGCTCTATCCAACTGAGCTATGACGGCTTTACATCATCTTATATTGAGGCACTAGGTCAGACAACAATCAAGTTAACAATAATGATTATTGGTTCGTTCGTGTTCAATTGTTAAAATTCTAGAAACTGCAGCAACTCATTTCTTTATATTAATTTCATACTATTTTCGGAAATTGTTTAATGCATTGAACAATTTTAAACAATCAATACTTGAAAAGATACAGTTGCTGCAACAAGCTCATAAAACTTCATGACTATGTTGATAACAATTTGGCAACAAATAATATCACCAAATTAAGATTAAAACGTTATCCATGAAAAACCGTTACCCAATCTATTTCACTGTTATCGCTGCAAGAATGGCAGTTATTGTATTATGTTAAACAATTTAATCAAGTAATGAATGCTCACAAATGGAATCTTCTTGAATCCTTAATGATTCATGGCAAGAAATTCAATTCATGATTCGAATATTTTGAATCGTCACAGCAACCGACACTGATTGGTTTTAGATAATTTAATGGTTGGTTCTACTATTTGGGTGTTTCATTCTCAATTGTATTTAAGTGTATCATCCAATTCTTAATTTTTCAAAAAGAAAAAAACAAAGAGCCTTCTCTATTCGATTCTAACTAAATAACCCATTCACAATGTCCTCAATTTTCAGTAGATCTGCTAGTTTGGCACACCTTGACTCTCAAACCGTGACCTCACTTAATGAACTCAAATTGGAAACAAGAAAAAATTACCGAAAAACCACAACAGAAAATGTGTTTAGTCATCCTTCGTATAGAGAAATGATAGCAGATATCGTTAGAGCCAAAGAAGAAGTAACCGAAAGAAAACTTGCCCAACGACGTGCACAAGAAGAAGAAATCAGACGAAAAGAAGAAGAGGAACGAATTCAAGCAGAAGAATTAAGGAAAGAATTAGCAAAAGTCAAAGTTCCAGTGAATAATAGAAAAAATCTATTTTCAAACAGAATGCAATCGAGAAAAGATAGTCAGGATTTCACTCCTCTCATCATTTCTAAAAATGTTGAATCTCTTGATTTGATAAAAGTTTCGTCCAATTCAAGTAAGATTATTCTCAGAGAAAGACCAAGAAGAAACACAACACCTGTACCCTTACAATCGAATACAGAGAATGAATCAGCAGCGCCAATAACTCCTCCATCTCCAGGTGATTTCAAATAACCGAATGCACTGTCAGATCATCTAATATTAGTTTCCTGACTCTATAAGAAACTTCATTTCAAGACTTTGTGATCTTTCAATAGTCCAATTTTGTAATATTTTATCACAGATCTCGAAAAGCTTGAAAAGAGATGTTATTGAATAAGTTTCTTTAATGTCACTTTCTCCACAACTTTCCAATAAACAAAATCTTTAAAAATGTCTGCAATTCAATTCATTTCTTTAAACTCATCAAGTTGCCATCCACTCCTCCTCAATCTATCCATCTCAAATCCATTCCTATTCAGAGAACCACTCACTGAATCATCGCTTCAATATGGCCTGTGTCCAGAAACTTATATTGCATTTAGTTTGGCCACAGTTGTCCTCCTGCTCTATATTGCAACCATGATCATTGCCATGATTGGATTAGTTTGGCAGAGGAAGAAAACTCACATTCAAGCCAGGAGTTTACCTCTGATTATTGCCAATATGGTGGCTAATTTGACACTAGTTCTATTGGTGACATTGAGAGTGATTGTGAGTAAGAAATTGTATCCGTGTTTCTTACTTTCATTGACATTCATGTTGTATCCACCATTGTTGACCTTGCCATCGATATTGAGAGGTCTTCGTTTGTATTCGCTTTTTAAGCTCAATTTGAAAAAGAAGAGAATATTTGGTTCGAAACATGATGAAAGTCTTGAAATGCAACAATTGAATGAATCAAGGAGATCAATAGTGGACGAAAGCTCAACCTCATTGGAAAGCATGTCATCCCAACAAACAAATACCAGTTGTATTCTTTCCATATCAGAACCACAATCACTACCTGCAAACACATTCGATCAAATATCGAATAGAAACCAAACTATTCAATGCTCTTCCGATGAAGCTCAAAAACCATCCAATCAAATTTCAACTCGAGATAGAGTCCTTATGAGGATGTTTGAATTTCTATCTAGTTACAAATTCTTCATTACTGTATATTTAGTTTCGTTTCTAATACATCTGGGATTATGGGCAATTGTTGGTGGAATTGAGATTGGGGTTTACAAGTCAAGTGGTTCTTGGGTTTTTGTGGAAAGTGGATTCTTTGAAGCATCACATGGTTGCAACATTACTCCAAAGATTCTAATTGTTTTGGGAATTCAAGCAGCTTTCTACATTGCATTAGTTGTCATTGTTAATATTTTGTGTTTAGTTTCAGATAGAGACACCTTCAACATCAAATTGGAAGAATTAACTCTCACTGCAGTGTTTGCTGTCATTATTATCCTATACACAATTTTTGGGTCAATTCCTGTAATCACAACTCTGGTTGATTATTTTGTGCCATATGTTTTGATATTTGTTGTTTACACATGGTTGGAAACAGTTATTGGTGTCATTCTACCAGTTTATTATTCAATTAGAGATTCGTCAATTTCTACTCCCAATCAAAACAATTCCACATCTGAAAAAGACCATTCGCTCAATAACACCATAACCTCCCTCCTACATGATAAGAAAGCATTCGAAATCATTTCAGATTTTGCTAGACGAAGCTATTGTTTGGAAGATGTTTTAGCGTGGAAAGAAATTCAAAATTTCAAAAAGATGAAAAAACGAAGAATTGCAGCTTTTGAATTTTTGAAAACTTTTCTAGTTTCTGGTTCACCACTCGAGTTGAATATTCCAAACGGATATAAAACTCTAAATAGTCTTCAGGAGAGTTTAGATTCGAATATGGAAGAACCACCTGCCAATTTATTTGCTGATATTGAGTTTAATTGTTTGTTTAACATGGTTGACTTGTTACAACGTCTCAAAGTTAGGAATGATTACATTGCCAACAAACTTTCTAATATCACTCAATAGACATCTATTGACACTTCGAATACGCTGTTCGAATACATTTGTATTATTGAAAATATTAAATTGTCTATTCATGTTTTAAATCATTGAAAGAGTCCAGTATTGTAATTAATATTTTTAAATTAGATGAAAGATTGTTATTTAACATGATATCCTTAACAAGACTTTTGACATAATAAAGCCACATGCTCAATATTTTTGACAGCCACTAATTCGAATTTGCTCCAAATAAAATATTGACATTTGACCTCTGCCAATACTGTGTGCCTCTAAACATCGCCACTGCGAAAACAACAAACAAAATGTCTCTAAACAGCACGTTTCCACTCGCTTCCACATTCAACTCTACAAGTTGTCATCCTCTCCTGTTAAACATGTCCATAACAAATCCTATGATATTTCGTGAGGAATTTTCACAGTCTTCACTTCAGTATGGATTGTGTCCGGAAACTTATATTGCCCTATCGATTGCATCCTTTGTCCTTTTCGTTTATTTAGTCACGACATGTATTGCCATGATTGGATTAGTTTGGCAGAGGAAGAAAACTCACATTCAAGCCAGAAGTTTACCTCTAATTATTGCCAATACGGTGGCCAACTTGACACTGGTTCTGTTGGTGGCTCTGAGAGTGATTGTGAGTAAGAAATATTATCCATGTTTCTTACTTTCATTGACTTTCATGTTGTATCCACCATTGTTGACCTTGCCATCGATATTGAGAGGATCACGGCATTACTTTTTATTTAGACTAAACTTGATGAAGAAGAAGGTTTTTGGAACGAGTGTTGATGAATTGTCAGAGTTGCAATCTATTTCTTCGATGAGTGTTTCTGGAAAGTTGGAACATAGGAGGTCAAATTCTAGCTCATCACTTGGTCAACTCTTTTCCAGAACTAATAGTTTTAGTACAACAACATCTGGGCCAACAAGTAGTACAACAGCTGGTCAAGATAATAACAATGCTTCATCACAAGAATTTCTTCAAATTGATGAAAAACAAACTAATTTGGAAGATATCTTATCGAGAAGGGATCAATTATTGATGAGATTTTATGAATTTATGGCCAGTTACAAGTTTTTCATCACTGTGTATGTGGTATCATTTCTAATACATCTTGGATTATGGGCAATTGTTGGTGGAATTGAGATTGGAGTTTACAATTCAAGTGGTTCTTGGGTTTTTGTGGAAAGTGGATTCTTTGAAGCATCACATGGTTGCAATATTACTCCAAAGATTCTAATTGTTTTGGGAATTCAAGCAGCTTTCTATTTGGTTTGGATGTTTGTTATTAATATTTTGTGTATTCTTTCAGATAGAGATACATTTAACATCAAATTGGAAGAATTGATTTTGACTGTGATTTTAATAGTAGCTTTGATTTTGTACACGATTTTTGGTTCAATTCCTGTAATCACAACTCTGGTTGATTATTTTGTACCTTACGTTTTGATATTTGTTGTTTATTCATTGTTGGAAACAATTATTGGAGTCATTCTTCCAGTTTATTACTCAATTAGAGATACAATGAATGAAACAAATCATGATTCGGATAAATCCGCCAGTCATATGGTCAAAGCTCTTCTCAAGGAAAAGAAATCTCTTGATAAGATTTCAGATTTTGCTAGACGAAGCTATTGTTTGGAAGATGTATTGGCCTGGAAAGAAATTCAAAACTATAAGAAAATGAAAAAACGAAAGCAAGCTGCTCTGGACTTTATCAAAACCTATTTACTTCCTGGAGCTCCTCTCGAGTTGAATATTCCAAAGAGTGCCGCAACATTGGCAAATTTGAGGGAACAAATGGATAGCTCCACTGATGAACCTCCTGTTAATTTGTTTGATGTTGTGGAACATCAATGTTTATTTAACATGACTGATTTGTTAAATAGATTGGTGGTTAAGGATGAATATATTGCTCAAAAGATTGCTGAGTGTACTGGTAATAAGTAGAATTCGGAACTATTGTCACTTTTCAATAATTGAAGAGTGCCATGAAAATTCTACATCATTTGACTGTTCAATGAAAGTCAATTACTTTCATGAAATGGAGGATTATTCAAGACGAGATTTGACATCCTTTTCCAATGCTAACAGATACTGATCGACATGTTCCTCTCCAAATACTTCTCTCATCTTGTCGACTAACTGAAATAAATACTCAGAGTTTTTACCACTTGGCCCAATAGCAACTGAGATAATTTTACCATCGTCACTCAATCCATGAATTGTAGGACCCAAAAATTCGGTATTATCATCATGATTGGTAGAACCCACATATACAATTACATTCTTAATTTCACTCTCTCCATTTTCATGAATTAAATTACAAGGAATAAACTTTCTATAATATCCTCCCTTTTCTCTATAATCCAAATCCTTGAAAATCTCAATTGCTTCCTCATTTGAAATCAGATAACACATTCCATATAGATCTGTATCTTTTCTTTCAAATTCAGCCTCTTCTCTTGCAACATGTGTATCAGATCCAAACTTGGTCACTTGCTCTCTATAATCTGAATCATTCATTATTGTCAAAACTCTGCCAGGAAATTCAAATGATCCTCTGTGATCTCTACTCTGCTGCCAAAATCTTCTCTAATTCTCATATTTGAATATAATTCATAAATTCTCGAACCTACCTTGTATCCTTTAATAAATCCCTTACATTTATGTTTATAAGACCATCCAACTTTCCAAATCAAACTTCCATAACCAAACAAATAAATTCCTCCATCCTTCTTAACCTGTTCATCATGATTAATCAATTGTTCAATATCCACTTCATGATCCTTTGCTTTTAAATGTAATTTGTACATTTCCTCGAGTGATAATTCAGAATTCAATGATGCTTGTTGAACATTAACATCATCAGCTTCCGAAAGTGGTGCAAGTTCTTCCGAATTGTTTAATAACATTTTTTTGAAAGATTCTTGTTTGTGATGATTACTTGTAGAAAGTAACTTGAAGAATCTGGTTTGATGATATTGTTGTTTGGAAGTGGTAATTTGATTTCTCAGATTGAGTAAATTGTGCTGACGAGTTGTTAATAATGAAATGAAGAGAATCTTTCTGCTGCAATTCATTGTTTTTTTACAATATTAATAATAATACCAAGCCAATAATTCCCAATATGATACCAACAATCATTCTTCTTATTATCCAGCAATTCATATCATCATCAATTAACAATTTCCTTCTAGCTACAGCACATCACTCCCTTATCATCATCATGTCTTGTTTATTGTAATCGATTTTCTCTAGAAGCAATGCTAACAAAGAGTGACCTGTCGCTTTATGAAGGACCAAAACAAGACCAATTTTGTTGCAGCGAGTTTTTGTGGTGATGACGCAACGAGGAAATTCAAGCCAAGTTGCTACTTGAAAAGCACGGAGAGCAAAATATTATTACAAAATTAACAGATAAAAAAAATGGCCAAAGGTTCTAGATTGTTGGACTTGCTCCGACCAGCCATGGCAATTTTGCCAGAAGTTGCAAAGCCATCCAAGACTGTTAAATTCCAAGAAAAGGTCTTGTGGACTGCTGTTGCTCTCTTTATTTATTTAGTCTGTTGCCAAATTCCAGTATATGGAATTCGTAATGCTTCATCAAGCGATCCATTGTATTGGATGAGAGTTATTTTGGCTTCTAACAGAGGTACTTTGATGGAACTCGGTATTTCACCAGTCATCACTGCTGGTTTGATTATTCAATTGCTCAGTGGTGCTAGATTAATTGATGTCGATGAAAATAGTCAAGAAGATCAAATTTTGCTTAACGGTGCTCAAAAGTTCTTCGGTCTCATCATGACCATTGTTGAAGCTGTTGCTTATGTTGCTTCAGGAATGTACGGTGATGTCAGAGATCTTGGTTTGGTTACTGCTTTGTTGATTGTCTTGCAATTGTTCGTTGCTGGTATTGTCTGTTTGCTCCTCGATGAATTGTTGCAAAAGGGTTATGGTTTGGGAAGTGGTATTTCCTTGTTCATTGCTACTAACATTTGTGAAACTATTATTTGGAAGTCATTCTCACCATCCACCATTAACACTGGTAGAGGTACTGAATTTGAAGGTGCTATCATTGCTCTTTTCCACATGTTGATTACTCGTAGTGATAAGGTTAGAGCTTTGAAGGAAGCTTTCTATCGTCCAAATCTTCCAAATATTACCAACTTGTTGGCTACCATCTTGGTCTTCTTGATTGTCATTTACTTCCAAGGATTCCGTGTTGAATTGCCATTGAGATCCTCCAGACAATCCGGTAGTGCTGGTGCTTATCCAATTCGTTTGTTCTACACTAGTAACATGCCTATCATTTTGCAAACTGCTTTGGTTTCTCAAATGTTCTTGTTCTCTCAAGTATTATACAAGAGATTTGGAGACAATATTCTTATAGCCTTGTTGGGTAGATGGGAAACTCCACAATATGGTCAATCTGTTCCAGTTGGTGGTTTGATCTATTACATTTCTCCTCCAGGTAACTTGAATGAAATGTTGGTCGATCCAATTCACGCCATCTTGTACATTGCTTTCATGCTTGGTTCATGTGCTTTGTTCTCTAGAATTTGGATTAACGTTTCTGGTTCTTCTCCAAAGGATGTTGCCAGACAACTTAAGGAACAAGGTTTGAACATTGCTGGTCACAGAGACGATCCTAAGGAAATGATTAACACTTTGAACAAGTACATTCCAACTGCTGCTGCTGTCGGTGGTATGTGTATTGGTGCTCTCACTGTCATTGCTGACTTCTTGGGTGCTATTGGTTCTGGTACTGGTATTCTCTTGGCTGTTGGTATCATTTATCAATACTTTGAAATGTTCGCTAAGCAACAAGATGAATTGGATATTCCTTTCTTGAGTGGACAATAATTTAATTTGTAAACATATAAAAAATTTAATAATTATTTAATAATTTTAATTTTTTCTAACTTCAAAAATAATACGGAAATGCATTCAGTTTTTAAAAAAGGTCTGCAAGCCAAAAGTGGAGTCATAGGGAATCGAACCCTAGACCTTCTGCATGCAAAGCAGACGCTCTACCAACTGAGCTATAACCCCTTCTCTTCAAAATTACAAAAATATTGATATTATACATATTTTAAACTCTTCCTAGAGTTAAATTTATGTAAACACTGTACCAAGAATCATTTCACAAGCTTTTGGTATCGGGAAATAAGGGATTGTGCTAATTGAAATTAAAATCCACATCACTAAAGCTTAATATATTTTTCAATAAAGACACATTTCTTGCTGAATTATACAGTATCAAATCTCCATCCAATACTAACTCCAGTTCGTAAACATTCCCATCTCGTCCAATTATAAATTTGTAATACTGTTCAGGGATATGGTCTATCATTTGGAAGGAGCAATGCCCATCAAACTTATTCATAACTTCAGGTGGTAAATTGAAAATCTTCCACTCTAATTCTTCCACAACATCCAATTTATCCAGTGGCAAAACTAAGATTCCCACTTGCTCAACCTTATTCTGATCACTATCCAAACCACCAAATATTACTCCTGCAATATCTTTACCATATGGTACATAACTTGTTGCAAATGGTGAAACTTCAATGCCAAAACAGCCATATTTTACTGTTCTAATTCTCTTATGTCCTTCTTTAGAAAAAATCCATACATCTTTATCTAGCACTCCATCTGAAAAAGCTTGGTATGAAAAACATGTTGTACCAATTGCAATGACCCTATCGTTCCACATTGTAAGAAAATTAGGATCTGGATATTCATAATTAAAACTATTCTCACTAACATCAGTAAACATGTACTCAGTATCCAATGTATCCATTGTTGTATCATATTTCACTAGATATGAGGTCTGTGATTTGAATTTATTCCCATAAAAGAATACATCCTCATTATGATTCAACATGTCCATATAGAAATATCTCAAAACATCATGGTCCTTATTAATAATTTTCAATTCACTTGTATAAATATTATATTTGTAAAATCTTGATAAATAATAGGAAACAATGCAGAAATACATATTTCCTGTATGTGTTATATATTTACAGAATTTACAATTATCATAGATATTAATATCAAGTTCATCCAATTTAAATTGTTTAACCAATTTCTTTGTTTCATAATTAAAAACAATAAAAGTTCCGGGATAAGAGATGAAATACACGTGATGATTAATTGTATCCATACAGGCTATTCTATCAATTTTACATGGAGAGGAATTGAGAGGATCAATAATTGATAATTCATGAAGATTAGCTTGAAAATAATCATCATGTTGTTTCTTATCATCTTCCCGATTTTGATCGTCATCATTATTGTGATTTGTATTTGAAAACATTTTTTAAAATTTAAATTAACAACAGATTGTGCTATTAATGTTTTGAAACAATTCATGTTCATTGGATTGTTGGATTAAATCATTAAAAAACGGATTTGGGATGGATGTTATTATACTCTAGTAATATTTGCAGATTAATTGAGAGAGTCAATTCTCTTATTCATTCACCCTTAAAACCAAGTACACAAGGAATCATGTCAAGTTTAAGAAATTGATTCATCAAGATCAATTTTTTTGTTGCTCAGTAATGGAATTGAGAGACACAAACAACACTTGCTCAATAATTTAGAAAATTTACAGGAAATTGACGCAATCGTTGATTATTTATGGTTAAATTGCATCCAATCTAATTCAAATAGGGAAGTCAATATTCCATCTAAAATTAAACTGCAATTTTCAAACTTGAGAAATTCGTTGAGAGAGCAAAAAGCAAGTTTCAAAAGATTTAATTAATCAAGTATTTTCTATTTTATAGGATCAGATCATGTTCAATTTGGGTGACAATTTTTCAAGATTTAGTTTCATTGATGAGTATTTAAACTGTTCGATTGTAATGGAAAGGCAACACGAGTTGATGGATCAATCAAAGTTGATATAACATCTTATTTGTGTGTAGAGTTACAAACAATAAAATATTTAAATCATCGTTTAATGAGATATCCTAAAATTAATAACATTAGGATAATTGTTCTTCTAATTTACAATTGAAAATTCTTACAACTCCATATTGAGCATCACAAACAAGTAATTCACCATTTTTGGAATTGAAACACATTCCACCAATATTTGCTCCATGTTGTCTATTTTCAAACGAATCAACAATGTGACCATTTTGTAAACTAATTAATAATAAACCATGACCTTCCTTGTTTAGAATAATGTATTCATTTGTTTCGTCTAGAAGAAAGGAAAAGGATATATCTTCATCTTGAGGCAATGAGAATATTTCTTCCTTTGGGATAGAATCATGAATGCACCAATCGCCTCTTTCATTTTGTGAATAAATTTCGAATAAATTTAATGTCGTATTGTTTCGAATACCAACAATCATTGAATTATCTTCTGAATTAATTACTGGTTGAAACCCATCAAATACAGTGAACGAATCATCCTCATCCATAACTCCTCTCAAACTGTCAATCTTTGCAATACTATTCTTTGGTGAACCACAAACATAAATCGAATTTCTATCCTTTTCTTTGACAAGTGTCATTCCCATAAATTCACTAGTTGCGTATATTCTCCATAAACAATCAGAATATCTTTTCTGAATTGATGATTCTATTAAATGACCGAGATCATATTTGAGCATTTCATCGTTCGACGAAACTATTAAGGCGTCTCTATTCGAAATGTAATTTTCTTCAACTAGGATTCTTAAAAGTGGGCTTATTGGAATGAGTATTGAAAGCTTGAAGGCTTTCGTATCAATATCAAGAAGGTGAACACAATTATTGTAAAAGTCAGCAATCAGAATGCAAGAATGATTATACGAAAGTTTGACATCAACTGGAAAACCTGGAACTCTTCCCCTGAATTGAAACTCATCATCAATATTTGTAACCATCTTTCCAATAGTTTGTACACATTGAAGTTTAGGATGTTTATGTGGAGCCATTTTGTTTCGCTTTGTTTCGACAAGTTTCGAACGCTGACACTGTTTAAATCAGGTGCTTTTTCTTATCTCCATTACTTTAGGTAAACAATGAATCATCTTTGAATTCTTTACAGTTGTTGAAGTATTGCCCTATTTTGGGTATTTGTGATTCGTTTTGAAAGGTCTTTACAATTAATGTTCATCTGTTTAATTAACCTTACAAAACGAATAACATTAATACCCTACAGATGGGGTACTTTCTTGACTTGTCCTAATAAGAAAGAGACCAAAAAAACAATTAGTGAGTTTAGGCAGATGATGGATAACAGATTCAGATGCATTGCCAATAATGACAGACCTTTTAATCATTCCATTCATTCAACAAAATGGTAATATTATTACAGTTGCTGGAAGTGGACAACAAGGATACAATGGAGATGCACCGTTTGATATTTTGGAATATCCTCATATTGGTTCTTTATTTAAAACACTATTCACCAATTTTACCAATCTCAATAGACTGGTTGATGTTAGTGTAACATGTCATGATCATTCAAAGGAATTTAGGAAAGCTATATTCAGGTGACAACTTTAATATTCCAGAAATTAAGAAAGCGAATGGCTACGGCCATATCACGATGAATGCACCTCATCCCGTCCGATTTGAGAAGTTAAGCATCGTCGAGCCACATCAGTACTGAGGTTGGAGACAACTTGGGAACCTGTGGTGCTGTAGTCTTTTTTATTGGCTTTCTCCACAAGAATCTTTCTAACCACAAATCAATTTATTTATTATTTAGCTTTTGCGGTAATTCTCCACATCATGCAAAAACAGCAGCACCTCCAATTGCAGCAACAACTGCAACAATCATTGGATACTGAATCAATAGCATGAAAAGAGAGCGAACACAATCTTGAAAATCTGAGGACTGGTTTTTAGTTGAAGTGAATGAGCTGTTTCAGTTTCAACTTTGTATGAAATGAGTGTCGATTTGAAGGAAGTCCATTGTAATATTCACATTGATTCACATAAAGGCATCTTCCTCTTCCATACAGAGCTTGAACTTTCCAATATTCCATAGCTTTGGATACGAAAAGAAATTTAAAAAAATGCCACAACCAATCACCAAAAGGCCAAACCTTATTGCCGTTTTGCTGTTTGAGGTATTGGTTGAAATATTCAAAAATTTACATTTCCTTAACGCTTCTCCACTTAAATCTGTTTGCAGAGAATGGCAAGATGTTATTGAGGAACTATTCATCTTTTACCCTACCGGTCCGAGTCCTTTCAGATTATCCGTAAAGAAGTATTATGTTAGAAAACATTTCTGTTGGAACAAGATGATACTCAACTTTTTACAATATGTTGTTCCAAAAGATTGTGGTGTAATACCATTGGTCATCAGAGTGATGGAACATGAACAATGTTTCTCCGATTGTGAAAATAATCAAAAAGGGTTTCAAAGTAAGGTAGCTCAAATAGCGAACACAATGGATGTAAAAGGGTACATACAAACCCAATCATCGTATGAAGATAATTTGGAAAATATGACCATCAAAAGAGTTCTTGATATTTGTTGTCAAGAAAAACCTTCAAAGTTAAGGGATTTCTTAGAACAAGTTTCTGACATTGTTAACGAAGATGGCGCTTCTTCATTCATAATCAGAACCACAGATATCGTGAATCCTGTAACACAAAGCCCTCATTTCATTCAATAAGTGATGAAGGCGAACCCCCTGTTTCATCTGGAGAATCAGTTTTCACGTTGAATACACATACATTCACCAAAGACAATATTGCCAAGATCAAGCCCAGTTCGATGATTGACCAGATTTTTTTGGTTCTTGTTTACGTAATGACTGTCCACCAACAGTTTTGGCTGTTCTTTCTTTGCATTCTTTTGAAGATTTCAAACAACAGATATTGGATCTCATTTCAGGGATGACTAGCCATGTGTTGCAAGTTATGCAAAAACTGACTAGAGATGAAGAACAAGTAAAACAATTATTGATTCCATATTGGATTGAACTAAAGAAGGTTTGTAGTGAGTTTTTGGAGCAAAATACAAAAGTAAGACATATCCTTGCTTGTTCCTCAATAAAGCTATGGTAATGCAACACTATACAACAGCATGACATGATTCTATTTATTGGAATCTGTAATAAAACAACATAAAACACAGCTATTTATGTTTGGTTTCTTTTCTATTTGAATCCCAATTCAATGTACAACTGAGTGTCGTTAATTGAAGTAATTTTCCATTACTGAAACAATTTGCGCACAGACTATTGAATAAAATTAAATCCATTTAATTTTCATCAATTTTCTATCAGCCCTTGAATTCAATTTCCTTTTTTTTTGGAATTGATAGCTTATCAATAGGAGATCATCTATGAAATATCTTCTTTTATCATTCATTATGGGAACATGGTTAGCTTCAGGTAGATCAGGATTCGTTATTGAATTTGTATTCTGCTTGAAGAAAGTTAATTGAAAGTGGACTTGAGCACAGCTAATTACAATTTGTTGACACCTTCAGAAACTGCACCACCAATGACTACATATATAATAAACCAAAGAATAAACTTGACGATGAACCAGAGTACGCCCCACATTTTTTTGAATGTTGTGTCAAGTGGATTGGTAGACTTGTCACGTTTCAACAGGTAAAATGTTCAATATGAACTAACTAGCTATGAACTATTGCAAAAATATTCAAATTCTGTTGATTACAATCTCATTTTGTATAATCATGACAAAGAACCATTCTTCCAGTAAATTGTCAATACAGCAAAATGTGCGTGAGGACTATTTTCGCTCGGAAATCCTTGGATCCAAGGTACCACTGTTGTATGCCTTATGGCTCCTTAAATACTCAGTAGTTGCCTATCTCCACCACAAACAATCAAAAAAAATAAAATGTTAAAAAGAGTTGGTTTAGCTTGGACACAAGCACTTGTACCTGAAAATTTACTACAAGTTGACTTGAAAGGAAAGATTTGTTTAGTAACAGGTTCAACTGTTGGTGGAATTGGTTATGAAACTGCCAAGAAAATGTATGAATTGGGGTGTAATGTTATTTTAGTTTGTAGAAGTGAAAAGAATGGAAAGGAGGCAAGGGATTTAATTCAACAAGAGTGCTCAGCAAGAATGAAGCAAATAGGAACTATTGATTATATTTTGATGGATTTGGATGATTTAGAGAGTGTTAACAAGGTAGCAAAACAATTCAAAGAGAAATTTACTCAATTGGATTTCTTGTTCAACAATGCAGGAGTAATGTTTTGTCCACACAGTACAACTACTCAAGGAGTGGAAATACAGTTCGGAACCAATTATCTTGGCCACTTTCTTCTAACTCTTTCCTTGATGGATTTGATTAAGAAGGTTAATGGAAGAATCATTAATGTTTCCTCAATTGGTTCAAAGGCATTTGTAAAATCTGAAAAGGATATTACCAACTTTTGCTCCTTCTCTAAGGAAAGTGTAATGGGAGACTGTGAAAATGTAGCTTCAAAACAGCAACTTTATGGTCGTTCCAAATTAGCCCAAGTTTTATTCTCAAGAAAGTTGGCAAGGGAATTCAAATCGTCCTATTGTAAAGTTACATCTTATTCTCTCCATCCAGGAGCTGTCAAGACAAATTTAGAAAGACACACCAGTTTTCTCTTTGATCTTGCTACCATAATTGTAAAACCATTATACAAAACTCCATACGAAGGTGCCCAAACAAGTCTATATGTTGCATTGGCTCCAATTTCTGAACTTGAAAATGGTGGCTACTATTCTGAATGCTCAATTGATGAAGCTAGCCAATTTGCAGATAGGATTGAATTGCAGGATACATTGTGGGATACTAGTATGAAACTTGTTGAGGATTATTTGTAAATATTTCTGTATTGTATAAATCTGCACTTGATGATCGACTTCAACTTTAAACATATAAATGGGAATGTTTACTTGGTGTTTTCGAAATATTATTGTTTATAATTGATATACACGATGCCCTCTCTCGTTTGGATAATTATCATTGTCTGATTTTTTGTAATATTTGAGAAAACACTTGAACTAGTCAAACTTACAAAAAAGCCCTTGACTACTTTTCTTAATAAGGATATATGTTGACAAGTTGAAATTGCTCCTGTATGGTACTACTACCCTATAATATCACCGAATACATTTGTTTTGTGTGGAATATCGTCCTTCTTGAGTAAAGTTGGAGTGATAATGTTGATTTTCTAGGTTGAAATAGAATCCAATTCGACAGTTAATGGTATGTTTTAAAATAATTTTAATAAAAGTCTGAATCACCTCTTTCAGTACTTACTTCGAAGCATTATATAATAGGTTGAGTGAAATGGATGAATATGGAGAAGAAACTTTGTACATTATCAAATATTGTTATGAAATGATTGATACAATCCCACCAGGCTTAATTATTAGAGTAATGAATGAGGCACATAAACATGAAATTAAGGAATTGAATGATATTGCTTGTGATCAAGTGGAAATTACAGAAATTAATTTTGAAGAGTTCATTAATAGTCTTTACGACCATGTAGAAGATGGCTTTGAAATACTGTCTCATTTGCAAACATTGAAGTGCTACTTAGAACTACGTTTAAATAAAAAAATGACAACAAATCCATTGCCAATTCTTGTGCTTGATAATGGTTCAGGATTGAGCAAAGCAGGCTTTTCGGGAGAAGATGCTCCTCGTTCTGTGTTTCCAACAGTGATAGGAAGACAACTTCTCAACAAAAAGAACGTTAGATGTATTGATGCCTTTGTTGGAGAGGAGGCAATAAAGAGAGATCTCTCCTCTGTAAAAAAGTATCCGATTGAGAGAGGAATTATAAAGAATTTTGATGATATGGAAGTGATTTGGAATCATACATTTTGTAATGAATTGAAGGTTAATTCGGAAAATTGTTGTGTAATGTTGAGTGAAGTTTGTTTGAATCCAAAGGAGAAGCGTGAAAAGATGACTGAAATATTGTTCGAAACTTTTAATGTTTCCGCTCTTTATTGTTTAATGCAGTCAGTTTTGTCTCTGTATGCGTCTGGAAGAGTTACTGGACTAGTGATTGATTTAGGTGATGGTGTTTCACATACTGTCCCAGTTTATGAGGGATATGCTTTTTTATTATCAAGTTCAAGATTGGATTTAGCTGGAAGAAATTTGACAGATTACTTAACTACATTATTATTGGAATCAGGGCATAATTTTAGTTCTTCAATTGGAAATTCTAATATTTCAGGACATGAAATTGTAAGGAATATTAAGGAAAAGTTATGTTATATTGCTTTGGATTTCGATGAAGAATCAAAGAAATCAATTTCATATGAATTACCAGATGGCAGCAAAATAACAGTTGGAAATGAGCGGTTCAGATGTCCAGAAATATTATTCGAGCCAAATTATTTAGGAATTGAGCGAGATGGAATTCATAAGCTGGCTGCTAGACATTGATTTGAGAGGAGAATTATATTCGAATATTTTACTTTCGGGGGGATCATTCATGCTCGAAGGATTATCTGAAAGACTACACAAAGAACTGACAACCTTAGTACCCATCTCTACCAACATTAATATTATTTCTCCTCCAGAGAGAAAGCATTCAGCATGGATTGGTGGAAGCTTACTCTTCCTTTCCAACATTTCAGAGTATGTGGATAAGAAAATACGACTATGAAGAGAGTGGCCCTTCAATAATACATAGGAAATCATTGTAGGCAGGCTATCCAATAATCAATTTGTAAATTTTGAAATTGAAAAAAAATGTCTCAAGATGTTCTCTGCCACGCCTTCAGTTTTCTTGATTATTCCTACACAACGACACTCTCACTAGTTTGCAAGGAGTGGTATCAGATTGCCAACTCAAATGCACTGTGGGAATTTTACTTTCATTTATTAACGAATAATAAGAAGGGTAAAACAAGGGTTTCGTCTTGTTCAGTTTCCGTAGATGATTTATTCTGGAAAAACAAGATTCGGGATAATTTTTCGCAATATGCCTGCAGAATTTCAAAGAAATTGTCATTGGAATCAAAGTGCTATTTGAATTTGAAGTATAAATTTCCTGATAATTTCTCATCTCAAGTGGTAAAGATGATTTTATCGAGAATTTTATTGGAAAGTTTGGAATCAACTGACAACTTTGATTTTCCATTCAAAACTCATAAGTTATCAGATGATTATGAGGACGGACCACTACATTTCAAAATGAAGTTTAAAATTAGTGGAATTGATGAGCCATTGATCGTGAGATGGTTTGGAATTGTTCAAAATGGTTTTTTCTTATTTGGATATTATTACACAAATGGATATTATATATATTTTGCTACAGAGAGTGATGATAAACTTAATGCTAAATATTTTGCAGGATCTTCTGTTGATCTAAATGGAATAGCTCAACAAGGTCGAGCATTTATTTACCATTTCAACTCGAAAAATATGCCAGCCGATGTTTGGGGAAGACAATATTTGTGTAGTACTATTCTATCTCACATTGTTCCAACCGTTAAGCAATATGAATTATCCCCAATTGAGTTTGTTCCGTATTGGTGTTTTTTATTTCCATTAATCATTCACTCCATGTCAGATAATGCAGTAACTTTTTCAAAAGAATTTGTTAAACACTATCCTAATATCATTTCCAATCGATTAATGTATCATTACATGGCTAATTATTATAAGAATAGATACACATTTGATAAGAAAATTGCTTTGATTTTTGAAAATTACCGTCCAAACACTGAAATTCAGAAAAAACTCTGCAAGTGCATTATCAAAAACAAAAAGTTGCCTCCTTTCAATCCAAGAAAGAAGCAAGAATCAACTCTAATGCAAGAAACAGTGACTTTGTTGAGAGAAATTATTCCCAGCCGTACTTTGAAATTTATTTGTGGACAAGCGCCTCTCAATCTAAAACCTGAAGAAGAATTTATTCGAAATGCACAAACATTAGCAACATTTTACAAATTGTTAAAAAATCCAGAAGAAATGAAGGAAGTATTTCTTAATTACAAGTTTAAAAGACCACACCAGCTCGAACAATTTCCTTAAGGTGGCGGTTCGCCTATTTTAATTGGAAGTGCAAATGTTGGTTTACAAATATTCGAATATCTATTTTTGGCAAAATGGTAAATTTAGTAATTTTAATAAAAAATCATTTATGAACACAATTCAAACTTTCTTGTTATTAGTACACTTATTGGGAGAACAAGAACATTTTGATGTACAAGGCTTTCCAGCTTTCTTACATGGACACGCTTTCTTACAGGTGGAACTCTTGGAACAAGTGCATTTTCCGATCATTCCTTTGCTTGGTGGTGGTGGCTTGGTTTCTTTGTTAGCCTTTCGCAACTCTACTCGCCTAACTTTGTACGTTTTAGATTGTTTTCTGATTTTATCTTGTTCATATTTTGCATCCAATTTACGAGCATCAATTTTGGACATTATGAATGGAGCTTCGGTAAATTTTTGAATTTTCCTTAATTGACAAAATTTTCCCATTAAGCGTTGCCCTATTGCTAAATCAGCTCTTCCACAATAATTATGACTAAAGTCCAATGTTTTTGGCGTGGTGTGACAAATGGTACTATGTAATGATTCATTGGTTTGGCTGTTATATTCAGAGTTACAAAATTTGTGACAATATTTGATCCTCTTGTCAAATATTTCTTGCACTATGATTGCTTCTTCTTTTGTAATTAATTTTTGACTTTTTGTTGTTCCAGGACAACCTTCATCGCATTTTGAGTGATCATTTTGTAAATGATATGGATATGCTGTTAATAATTTTTTCAACTTCTTCTCAGCTTCTGAATCAGAGAGAGAACTTGTCATTTTGATACATTTTCTGAATGATTCAACCACAATGACTGCAACACGAGGAATTCTCTCTTTAGCTTCTTTTCTAACGTTTCTGACAACGTGATTGGGATCTAATTTTTCTTCGGCTGTTGGTTCAAGTTTCTTGATTATGGTGGAAACAGTCGAGTCCTTATCATGCACATATGAATTGATCTTGAAATGCAAAAGTCCATGACCTGTTAGTGGAAAAGATTTATGTTGCAATGATGTGATAGCCATTTTGCATGCCTCTGGTTCCATTAATTTGGAAGCGCCAACAAATATATCTAGACAACCTTTTAAGGCAATGCTACGCTTCTTTAAAGTTCTCTTCTTAATCACATGTGATCTTTCAATAATTTTTTTGAATTTAGTTTCGAACACAATTAATGTACATTCGTGAGCATTTCGTCTTGAAGAATATCTTGCATCAACAGAAATATCCAAAGGGATAGCAAAACCACAGACGTACAAATAAATTATTGCCACAACTTCATTCCCTAAATAATAAGACTTTCCACAAATCTTAATTTCACAAAGCATGAACAAGGAAACAGCTGCCTTCATTCTCTGATATGCCACAGAAAACAATTCCTCGTTCATTTCTTGATTTAACAATCTACTCATATTGTTCCATAACTTGTTAGCATATTGATAATAAACTCCTTTGCTAACTAACGGTAATTCCACAACCTTTGAAAATGTTGACAATGATTCATAAGTACCTGATGACAGTTCGTACGACTGAATGATATGTTTGTTCAGTTTAAGATCTTTTGGACACGTTCTGAAAGTGTACGTCTTCTTACAATTGCTGCAAGAAAAAATCAACGTCTGCTCAAAGCCATACTTGGTAATACTTTTAAAAGGTACATCACTATTATGGCAACAAGTGCAATGCTTTGGTTTAATACATTGAATGAGGTACTCTGTTGGTATGATGGATAGATTGGAATCTATTTTCTCAATGATTTCATTTCTGTCAAGTGGTGCTATAGTTCCAATAGTGGTTTCAGAATGTAAATGAAATTGATAAGATTGATTTTGAGTAGAGGTATCGTGTTGCACTGTTTGAATTGTCCTCAAGTTTGAGTTTGTGAATTTTTTCTCCATTTCATGATATTTGTCAAGAAATTGCTTATAATGTCGACAACAAATAGTGCCATTCAGTTCCTTGTGGTGAATAGGAACTTTGCCAACAAATCCATTCTTTACATTATAGAATCTTGGTGACAAAACACCTGATTTTACTACGCACACAAAACACAACTCTCTTTTCATTTTTTTGTGATTATTTTGTTGTTTGATTATTTTGTGTGTATTTCAAAACAGCCAAACTTTGCTTAAAATCACAATCAAAGCATTAGCAAACATCTCGGAAACAATTCATTAGATAGACAACTTGTAGTTGGATCGTGTGTATTCTCTGATGAGTGAAACTAGGTGAAACTGGCACAGTAACATTCAAATTATAAATAACAAAAATTAAATATTTGTGATGACGATAGAAAATTGATGATTAAAAACTTGAAGAGTATTAGACATCAAACAGGCAAGCAGAATAAAAGATGAATTGAAGATGGTTTATAATAGCTTGTCCAATGCGAGTGTAAAGGAGCAAAATTGTATTTCATTGCAAACATTTTTTTTTTCATTGAAGGAATATTTTTGGAAGACCCACCTTAACAAACTTTACAAAACCTTGTAAGTGAATTTAACTGTTGATTAAAAATAGCTGGAAAAAATTTAAAAAAAATGAGAACAAGGATTGTGATTGGAAAGCATTCATTTCAATCCATTGAAGATGAACAACACAAATCGGACAAGAAACAATTAAAAAGTAAACTAACAAAAGAGTTTGAATCTTCCGAAGATATTTTGAAAAGCTTTGATGACTTGAAGGGAGTTATTGAAAACTATTTGAAAGAATTTGATGATCAAATAGAAATAGCTACTTTTAGAATTACTGCTAGAATAAAAACCACAACTACGAGACAAAAACCAATTGGTTTGAGAGATGAAGGTGATTTCAGCAAATTAGTTGAGTTGGTGAAAATGTTGAATGATCAAGAAGAAGAGGCCATGTTGACCATCAAGTTGGATAGTAAGGAAAAGAAACATCATAAAAAACATAAGAAGGAGAAGAGAAAACGAAATGAAGTGGCAGACGAAGATGATGGTAGTGATGAAGAAATTGATAACAAGAAGAAGCAAATTAAAACACTAACAGAAATGATTGAAAATAGCAAGCAACAGTTGAAGGGTTTGCAATCTGAATTGAGTGAGCTTAAGGTGATGAAATCTAATGAAAATCAAATAACTGGTATGATGAATAGTGTATCACTTGATTCTCAACCAAAGGAAGAGAATACTTCATCTTCTAAAACAATTGAAGAGCGTCAGCAAATCAAAAGAGAAAGAAAGAATAAGAAAGAAAGAAAACATGACAAACATGGTAAAGATAAATATGAGAAAAAGAAGAAACATCTCAAGTAATAGTTGGTACTCACACATTTGTTGTGTTGAGAAAATGCATTTATAGCTGGATTCTGGAATGTAACTATATGCCAACAATAAACATCTCAAATTACTCAAATTCTAATGTGCTAGTGTACCATTTAAATATTTCGAAATGATGAATAGTCATTATTGAGCTCAAGCTCTTCTCCTCCGAGCTTGGATGGAAGACGCACTTTTTCCAGCCTTCTCTTGGAGGTTGTCAAATCCATCCATGAATTTGAATATCTTAATGTGTTGACCATATTCTTTCTCATCTTCCATTTCTTCCTTCTAACATAAATCTTTCTACATAGCCAAAAACTTGTCAACAACAGTAAGAATGACACTAATAACAACACCCCAGTAGAGGTTCCAATTGTAATCCACATACTTGTGCTGGATTCTTCATCCATACAATATCCACAATAATTACAACTCTTTCCTTCTTCAATTCTCAACATTTGAAGATATTCGTCTGGAATTTTCTTTGGACAAGTAAATCTTTGGGCTCTTTCTTTGAATTCTGTTGAATTTTCAATAAATCTGGCCGAAATGGCAGCTAATGCAACTCCCAAAAACCTTCCCTTAGAAGTTGAGCATGAAGTTGAAACAGTGACTACATTTCCCAACCCTGTTACATCACCAAAAGGACCTATCCAAGTTGCATCTCTTTCTTCATATCTTGCACTGAGATATTCATAGTACGATCCCATACTCGTGGTTAAATCTTGAATTCTTTTATCTTCAATTACACTCCAAAGCCCACGATTCTCACAAGCAATTCTCTTTGGTATTTCTGTGTCTGCCACTGATCCCAAACTAAAGCCAAATATTTTTGCTTGATATTCAATGTTTCTTTTACGTATAAGTGGAATGGGATTAGCTCCTTTTGTAATTGTGCCATCAGTAAGGAACAACACCACCCTGTCACATGTAGAGCTGGCTATTTCCTCAGATCTATCAAACAAATTAAAAGTTTCATTGAATGCTGCTTCAAAATTAGTTGAACCAAAGGGCATCATATTCTCAATACAGTCTATCAAAGTTTTCTTATTCTGTGCTGTTGCCTTCAGGAGGAACTCTGTTTGTTTTTTGCAAGTAAAAGCGCCAGCATTAAACAGTACTATTCCAACATAATCCTTCTCTGTCAGATAATTGATAACTGAACGAGTTGCATAAATTGCATTCTCCAGTCTATGGTAAGCACCCATTGATGATGAAACATCCAAGATAATTATAATTGATTTGGATGTTGAGGCTGTGCCCATAAACCATCCTCTTAACCTTGGATCAAATCCTGGACAATCCTTTGGAGGATCTCCCAATTTGCATGCTGTTGGAGTTTCTGGTTCAGCAAATCTCCATTTATAACCAGGATATATTTGTGAAACACCTTTTGGTGATGTGAATATTTGTCTCTTAATAAATGGAAACTTCTGCATGTTCGAGATGAATGTTGGACGGATTGAGCCTGCCATACATTCAACTGATTTGAGTTGTGGCTGCTTTCTATTAATGTGTGGTGAGTATAAGACCTTTCATTTCACTATTTAACATTTCCCTCAATTGAATTTAACATACCACTGGATATTTGAGAGAAAGCTTCTCTCCTTGACATCGACATTCTCCACCTGTTCCAAATCCTTGAACACAATCAAAAAAAGGTATTCTCCTTTCAAGTTGTGGGTCACATGTATCAAAATAGACACATTCACGTTGATCAAAGGAAGAGAATTTAGAGTAAAAATCTTCTGCAGTTCTGCACAAATCAAAAACAGCTTTTTCCAATTGATCCAATAACTGTTTATCCTCCTCACTTCCGACAATTAAATGTACTCCAATAGATATAATAACGAGTAATATTAATATTTTGTATTGTGTTCGGTGGCTGTTCCATAACCTTAATAATTGTTTGGATGGATAATTTTTCAGCTTGACTTTTCCTCTGTCCAATTTGCGCATTTTGTTTTATTAAATTAAATCACTAAGGATTACATTCGTAATAATTCTTCATCATTGACATTGCTTTCCACATCTCATTGAAACTAACTTTATAATTTGTATTGTACTTGTTATTGAAAAGTAATTTCCCGCCAAAATATTTACAAGTTCAAAACCGCTTTAACACTTGAAATAACATCAAACCGCCTCATCAAAACAACAAATAAAATGAGTTACATGGACCATGGAGGTTATCACCAACAAGAAGAGGATTTGTATAGCTTTGGAGATGATGGTATGGAAGATGATATGATGCAAGGAAATGCATTCTTTGGAGGAAATCCATTTTCAAATTACGGGTTTAATTCTACTGAAACATTGATGAACGATTTTGGAGAATCTAATATGGCACCAGGTACAAGAGGTGGACCAACAAGACCACTTGTTTCTGGAAATCCTTGGGGAGGCGTTCCTGGAACTGCTTCTAGAGGTGCTTTCGGAACAGCCTCGGCAGTAGGTGCTGGAGAAGAAGTACAACAAAGACCAATGACTTCTATTAATGCTGCTGGTTTTTCTTCCAAAAAGAAGGATCCACTTTCTGAAAATTTTGTTGGTGGGAGAGGAAGAGCTCCTGCCCTTCAAAAGAAGAGTGAAATCAGTGATGAGGATGCTGCAGCAGAAATGGAATTGGGGGTTCATAGATCAGTCGAAGAAAGTGCTCTTTTGTGCCAGAATAAGGATTTTGCTTTGGCTTTAGATAAAGCTAAGGAAGCAGAAAAGAGAGAAAAAGCACTTTTAAGATTTAGAGAGGAGAAACAGATAAATCAAGAACAAAATGTGGAACTTTCATATGTAGTACAATTCAACTTAGCCCGAGTATACCAATTAAACGGAATGTATACAGAGTCTTTGGAAACTTATGAGGCTATTGTTAGGAATAAGGCCACATTTGAACATGCAGGAAGACTTAGAGTGAACATGGGTAATATTTATTTTGAAAAAGGAGATTACCCTCTCGCGATCAAAATGTACAGAATGGCTCTGGATCAAATTACAAACGATTACAAGACCATCAGAAATAAGATTAGAAAAAATATTGGAGTTTCCTTAATTAAATTGGGACAATACTCTGATGCTATCAGCAACTTTGAGGAAGTTATCGAAAATAATAATAACGATATTGATGCTGCATTCAATCTTGTGGTTTGCCATTTCAGTACTGGTAATAAGAAGGAAATGAGAAAGGCTTTCCTCAGATTGTTGAATGTTAATATTCCTGGTTTGCCAGCTGATGAAGATTTGGATGATGAACATAATTCCCTGATTAATGATGCATTAAGAGATTATTTAAAGGATCACCAAAGAAAGCAATTCGATTTCATTCTTAAGAGTGCTAAACTTATTGCTGAACTAATTGAAGACGACTGGGAGAAGGGTTATGATTTCGTTATTGAACAACTCAAATCTTATGAATTGAAGAGAGAAAAGTGTAATATTGTGAGTGAAGTTGAAATGACAAAGGCCTTAACATACATGAAACACAAGCAATTCTCCAAGGCTATTGAAGCCCTCAAGTCATTCGAAAAGAAGGATAGAAAACTTCAAGCTAGATCAGCAACCAATCTCTCATTCTTATATCTTCTTGAAGGAGATATGAAGAATGCTGAAAAATATGCTTCAACAGCTGTAGAATCTGACAAATACAATGCCAACGCCTTGGTTAACAGAGGTAACTGTCACTACTTAAACAAGGAATTGAGAGAAGCCAAAGAATACTATCAAAGAGCTCTTGAATGTGAATCTGACTGTGTCCAAGCAATCTACAATCTTGGTATTGTAACTAGAGATTTGAGGGAATATGAGGAATCATTGGCTTGTTTCAGAAAAGTACATTCTATGATTCCTGAAAATATTGAAGTCATTTATCAACTTGCAAGTGTACATTCAAAGATGGGAGACAATATCACAGCAATTGAATGGTTTAATGTGCTGATAACTCTTGTTCCAACAGATCCAGGAGTTTTATATGATTTGGGTACAATTTATGCCAAAGAAAATGATGAAAGTCAATCATTCAATTATTATTTGGAATCTTACAAGAATTACCCAATTAACCTTGATGTTATCTCATGGCTGGGCTTCTACTTTGTCAAAAATGATATTTATGAGAAGGCTTTGGCATATTTCGAAAGAGCTTCTGAAATTCAACCAAATAAGTCTGATTGGCAGTTGATGGTAGCCAGTTGTCATAGAAGAATTGGTAATTTACAACAGGCCAAGAAATGCTATGAAAGAATTCATAATAAGGATCCTGAAAATTATGAATGTGTACAATATTTAGAACAAATCTGTAGAGATCTCAATTTAAGAAAGGAGGAAAGAATGTATGCTGAGAAGAAGGCAAAATTAAAGAATAGAATGAAGGAAAAGCAAGAAGAGCAAGAAAGGCTTAAAGAGGAATCAAAGGAAAATACTAAGGAAGAGCATGACAAATTGCATCAAGAGCTTAAAAACCATGAAAAGACAATTGACATGGTGATTGCTGCCAACAAATCACCAACAGCTAAATCTAAACCTCAACCAACATTTGATATTGAAAATGATACAAATGTAAATGATCGTAAAATTGAGAATGAGGATGACATGCTTAATGTTGATGCTGATGATTACATAGATAGTCTCTATAATTAAATAAATTAATTATCAAAGTAAAAGTTAAATCTAGGAAATTGAATCTTTTCCAAAATAATAGGTTCAATCCACAAAATAAAGGAGCAAATAACAAAGAAGATGAAGAAGAATGTAGCTAATCCCAAGCAAAGAACTGTTCCTCCTGTACCTCCTTGTTTGTTCTTTCTTTTTCCGTGATGAGTTTTAAATTGATTTTGAACTTGTTGTTGTACAAAAGGTGATGTTTTTAAACTTTTAGTTGGTGTAAATAAATCTATTATAGAAATATCATTGAATTCAGTAAATTGATCATCGGCATCATCAACGTTCATGTATTGCCGTCTTCTTCGGGAGGTTCGAAGGTTTCGTGATGAAATGGAAATAGATGAAGGTGATGCTGGTAACGGCATTTTTAATGTCAATAATTATAATCAGTTCTATCACAATGTTTTGATTTTCATAAATAAACAATTTTATTGTACACATCATTCAGATGATGAAAGATTTTGAGAATAGTTCTTATACTTCCCTAAAATCTCTAATCCTTGTATGAAACGAGAGTATCAACCTTGTGAACACTTGTAGAGAAGGATCTCAATCTAACTTCTGATGATTGAGTAATGTATTTTGGGTCTGATTCTTCCCAAGCAAAAGGAGTACAAATATCCTTTGAAGTATAAACCAACAAATCGAATGTGCATGGCTCATTCAACAATGGAAGGAAGGTAACACTGGCAGTGATTTGACGAATTACAGCTTGAATTTCACTTGTAATTTGCTTCAAATCCTTCGTGTTGTGTCCTTCGTTTTCAGTGATGTTATCATCAACCTCCAAATCAAATTGCCATCTTTCTAAAACCTCGGAACTATTAACACTTGTAATGACAAGAACAAGCTTTTGTACTTGCTTTTGAAGAAGCCAGTTTGAAAGTTGGTTGAGCACTTGACTCAAGTACTTTCTCAGCTGTTCATCAGTTGTTACCATCATTGGCAAGCCATATTTTGATACTTTGGTGAATGTTTCTGGTGGATAAATTCCTCTCTGATAAAGAATACTATTGATACTATATCCGAAAAATTCAGCAACAATTTCAGTGGAACCCTTCAGGGTGATGGTGTTTTTTGTGGCTTGAGCAGTTGAAGACATGCTGTGGTGATGATTTTTTTAAATTTTTGTTTATAACGGTTATATTGGTTTGGCGCCTGATGGAATAACTTTTTGAATTTTTAAAAAAAATGTGGGATGCATTCGACTTGGATCAACAGCAACAATTATCACAACAAGAAGCTGGTGATGAGCATTCAATGATGGATCACACTCTTTCGGAAAATCCAAATGATGATGATTATGTATTTTCAATGCAAACAGATGATGAATCAGAGGAGAGGTATTCCGAATCACATAAAATGGATATTAAAGAAAATCAAGCCATTTCCTTGTTTCATATTCCACAGGAAGTTCTAAATGAAAATCCTGATTTTTCCAGGTTATTACAAACAATTTCTAATCATATATCTCCGGACAGTGGAATTGGAAAAGATGAGGAATACGAATTAGAACATTTGGAAAGACAATTCGAGAAGGAGAAGGAAAGATATTTCAAAAACACAATCATAATAGATACAATCAAGGAAATGATAGACGATAGTCATCATTATTCTGAGCCGATTCAATCAACACTTTCTCATATAGACAAACTGCTGATAAAATCAGAAATTGAGATTGGTATCAATATTTCAGATACTCTCGACTGTGTAAATTTATATGGACTTGATTCTCAAATTTTATCAGACACTATTAATGAGAAGGGGGTTGAAAATTTGCAAAATAATTTAAGAGAATATATTTACCCTGAATTAATACAGAAATGGGAAGGGTTATATGAAGATTTGCTCACCTTTTATCAACCTTTTCCTGAAGAGGCAACAAATCTGTTTGCTGACGATTCAAAGAATAGCAAACATTTTTCTCAAATCATTTCAAAACATCTTTCATCTATTAAGAAGGAGAAACACCTCATTTTGGAACAAAAGCAAAAACTTCAAGAGTATACCTTTACATACTTTAGCAAACTTTCTCAATGTGTACAAATACTCTGTACATTAATTAATCATTACAAGTGTGGGGAATTCAGACAATACGATGAATCTACCTTGTCTTGGTTAATAGAAAGAACTGAGGCCATGAAACTCAAGTTATGGTATGTATTGATTTTTATTCTATTTGTTAACAATTTAATAGTTCAATCAAATATGAGTATCTTGTATCTATTTATGACAAGAATACAGTACCAATCTATTACAAAATGCACAAAATACTTGCTTCAAATTATAATAATCTAGAAAGTCAAAATAATCAACTGAATGCTGAAATTAAAAAGTATTCAACCTTAGGAGAGGATTTCGAAAAGCTTGTCGAGGAATTTTCTATTATTCAGAAAAAGATTAATGAAAAGAAATGGGAAATTGAACAGCTCCACAATCCTAATGACTAGTTACTAATATTTTTGGATATTTCTTCAATGATACTGTCTGCTCTGGCTATTACTTTTCTGCACTCAGTTTCTGTTTTTTTGAACTCATTGCTATTCAATTTGAATGTATCATTTACAAATGTTTTTACATCAGGAAAATCATCAAAACTGAATATTGACTTTTGATTACTATCTACTGTCCATGATTTGATAGGTGGAACTTCAAAATTATCCTCTTTTTCATCAAACATTATTGAAGAAAACCTAAGGGCAATATGTTCTCCATTGATAAACTGAAGCTTTTTACATAATTGCTTTAATGTTTCATCAAAGCCTTCCTTTTCACAAACTGGGTTTCCCTTTAGATTGATTGATTTCAAGTTTGGAACGTATTGTAATTCTTGTATATCTGTCAAGTTTTCAATATTATTCTTCTCCAGATTGAGGTGCTGTAAGTGTTTGAGAGAGGAAATACATTCAAGTTTCTTAATTTTGTTATTTGAAAGATTTAATCTTTTTAATTTTGTAATATTTTCCAATCCTTCCATAGTTTCAATATCATTATGACTAAGATCAAGGTATTCCAATCTAATACATCTTCCTAAATTTTTAATTTTACTAATTCCTATTGAATTCAAGTCCAATTTAGCAACACTTCCCAAGTCAAATTGACCCGAGACAGTGCTAATTAAGTTATAATCAATTTCAATTTGTTCATGATAGCCATCCGATATTGAATCACTATCATAAGAGATGGCAATACTAGGACTTCCCTCATCCTCACCTGTAGTCAACAAATAGGGTGAGATACTTATTGTAGGGAGAGCAGTCATTTTTTTCTATTTTGGCGCCCAATCACACTACATTAAAGGCGCGAGAACCTCATTGTGTGTAGTTATTGTTCACCACCAACAAACAAACGAAGATAAGTCCAGTTAGCTGAATATGATTGTCTGCTGAAAATACCTGTTGTAGTGAGAGTGGATTTGCTGTTCGTAAATTTAAAAAAATGAGCCAAAACAACCCAGAGAGACTCAACCAGCTCATTCTAGCCTGTTATGACACTAAGAATAATTCCATGAAGAAGCATCAGATGCTTCAAACAAGTGGGCGAGAATCTCCTCTCAGTTTTTCAATGCCATCAGTTCTTCCAAAAAGTACGAAACAAGCAATGGATAGATCTAAGGTGAAAAAAGATAGCGAAATCAGAGAACGAACAATAACACCCTTACCTGTAAATATAAACGGAAAGTATAATCCAAAGATTAATAATCCACTTCGAGATAATATTGGATTTAATTCTGTAAAAGTTCCTTCGGAAAAACAAGACTCTGGATTAAAACATTTAGGAATAACAAACTCTTTAATCAAGGTATGTAATGAAATAATGTGAGCACTAACAAAAATTAGAAATTATGGGAATCAGTTTTGCAATATGTAGAAGAGGAATTAATAGAGGGAAATCCTGTAGAGATTCCTAATTTTTGTATTATTTCATTCAACACTGAAACTCAAGATTGTGGTAGCTACACAAAGAAACACCGTAAGCCTGTGTTTGTTCTTCTGGATAAGTTTGAACAAAAATATGGAGTATCCTCTCTTAAAGTGCCATTGAATGAGGGAAAAAGAAAAATGGATTTAGGAAGAATAACATCAAACCTTAAAATATCAAAATCAGTTGCTAAATCAATTTTGGATTCAATAATTAAAAATATTGGAGAGAATGCAAGGGAATCAACAAGGAAAGAATATACTGTGAATCTTAGAGTATGCAAATTGAAATTCAAAGGAAAGAGCTGCTTCTCTAAATGGGATGAAAAATTCCTTGAAAATGTGGAGGATAGGCTCACAAAGACATCTCTGTCACTTTCATTTGATTCTGAAAAAGTTCCAAGAGGTCAATACGAGAATGCCAAAAGAAATAAGCAGATAATGAGGGACTTGGGAATGTCCAAGAGATCACCATCCCCAATTATTTTGGAAAGCAATAGAAACAGGTCCTCTAATTTCAGTACTATGTCTACTCAATCAACAGTTACACTTGGACCACCATATGATGTCGACAAGATTACATCCATTTCATCACTAGATATTAATCCAGAGGTTTCGACTCATAGCGCCAAAGAACTTCAAACAAGAAAGAAAAATATGAAAGATTCACTTACAACTAAGGTTGGTCAAGGAATTGCTGATAATTACAATCCAGGGCAGTTTTCCTTGTTTCACAATAGACCAACAACTCCGTTTGAGTATGATAAAGAGAAGGCAGAGGATTTAAGAGAGGGGTTACAAAACTTGGACATTGATAAGCATAACAGGAAAGAAGTTCAAAAATATGATAACGAGAAGGAAAGATTCTATAATGATTGGGTAGTAAAGCAAGAAGAGGAAAATGATACAGATTTCAAACGAGAGAGAGCAGCAAATTACCAACATGCTCACAAATTTAATATTGACCTTTCCAATAACAAGAAGCAACATAAGGATGAGCATGTTCCTAATATGAATGAAAGCTTCAAGAAAATGCACAACTCATTAGTTGAATCATTTATTCAAGAAAAGGAAAAGAAAGAAGCATTTGTTAAGGGTTTAAAGGAGCAACAAAGACTCCAAAAGAAATATGAAGAGTCTACCTCTGATTTTGACAACTCATTATTTATGAAAAATTCCTATAACCATGATTCAAAGCCCAATTATGCCCAACAAAGAAAAGAGAAACAAGTTGAGTTTTTTAAATCCCTTTCAGAACAAGTTAATCAAAGACAAGAAGAAGAGAAAAGACAAGAAACGGAAAGAAAACGAGATATAAACATGTTAATAGTTAAAGGAAATGATGACGAATATAAGAAAAGGCAAGAAGATAAAAGAAAACAAACTAGGGAGGAGTTCAAGTCCTTTATATCAACTAAAGAAAAAGAAATTAGTGAATTAAGAGAGTTAGGATTCGAAAGAAACAAAGAAGGAGCAAAAAAACAAGCAGAACTCATTCAATCAATGATTCAAAGTGACTTTGATAAGAAACGTAGACAAAACGAACACCAAAAATCTTATCTCGACAAGCAAGTTTATCAAAAGGAGGTAGAAACCTCAATCAATAGAAAGATTGAAAACTCTTTCATGTTTTAATGAACATTGAATAACAAACTTAATAAATACCGCCATTTTTACTTTTCCGCCAAAACTAACAGACAATTCAAGAGTTGTTGCCAGTATTGTTGAATTCTGAGGGACAAACCGTTGAATTCTCCATGTTCACCAATCTCCTCTTGATTTGGTTTACCAACAGTTAACGCTAATTCAAACCTTAAAAAAAGTTACCAAAATCCCACACTACAATGGTGACTCATGTACAGAAGAATAAGATATTAACTGAGGCGCAAGTCCTTAATACCTCCTTGACACAATCAAAGGAAAATGTAGTAATAAGCAAGATGCTCGAAGAACACAAACAAAATAATGAAGCAAAACTGTTACAACTAGAGACGGGTAAAAAGAAGAGTATCATCAAGTCATTCATCTCACGTGTATTCTCTATCAAACTTTGTCTTTCTCTGATTATTATGTTATTGATTATTATTTCCACAATATCAATTTTTGTTGCTACGATTGTTTTGCAAGGTAAGATAACTTCATCATTTTTATCCTTAATAATAATAATTATTATTATTAATACTATGCAGGCGCATCCATTGATGAATCAACACAAAAACTAGGAAATCAAATCAAGCTTAGAGCTGCTGAATATTTAAATAACTTTATTAGATATCCATTCCAAATTACGGAGGGTATTGTCAGAAGAATATCAAAATTAGATAATTTGAGCCCTGATATGGATGACTGGGGAAGGAGAATTGAAGAATTAATTTCTAGTGTTGCAAGCTTTGAAATCAGCTATGCTTCTTTCTTAGCAGATGATTATTTCTTTGGTGTTTCAAGAAACACTGATTCCCCAACACTTACCTATCAACTGGAATACTATTCGAATGGCATGTATTATAAGCCAATATATTTGGATAAGAACTTTGACTATACACTGACTAAAGAACAAAAAGGAACAATGTCGATGGACATATTTGAATGGTGGACAACTGCAAAACAAACCAAGAAGAAGAGTTTTAGCAAATTGTATGCCACAAACAAGAGCTCTGTTTGGCTTACTGCCTCTCATCCTGTCGTTAATGCAACCACAGGAGAGCTTGCATATTTAATTACAACAGATCTTACAATGCTCGACCTTAGTTCATATTTGGAAAGTATTGTAATCAGTCCTAATTCATATATTTATGTCATTTCAGCAGCAACATCTGAAATGATTGCATGTTCTAAATCATCAAACGAAACATTATATGTTTACAATACTCTTGCTCCACAACATCTTGAAAGAAAGAGGTTGTATGAAAGTTCAAATCATATAGTTAAAGCTGTTGGTGAAACTTTACGTAAAAAGTATAATAACAATCTTCAAAATTTTACAGGTACTGAAAGAGTAGTGGTGGATGGAAATACGTATCTTCTTAACATGGTAGCTGTTGAAGACAAGCTCAATTTAGGGTTGAATTGGAATGTTCTTGTTATCATGTCAGTAGATGACTTTATGAGTTCTGTCTATCTAATCAGAAATATTGTGCTGATAGCTGATGGTGTTATTTTGTGTTTGTCTTTAGTTATTGCAATTGTTGTCAGTATGTTGATCACAAATCCTCTTGTTTCTCTTGGAAATGATATGGATGCTCTTGGTAAAGGCGAGTTCAAGGTAATGAAAAAGAAAAAATTGATTCTTTTCCATGAAGTCAAAAAGCTCAGAAACCACTTCTCTAAAATGTCATCTGCAGTTGATGGTTTCATGAAGTATGTTCCAAGAGAAATTGTCTCCTCTTTCATTGGAAGTGATGCAAAAACTTTCAAATTGGGTGTTGAATCAAAGCACATTGCTATTCTCTTTTCAGATATCAAGAACTTTACAACTATTTGTGAAGCAACAGAACCAACTGTTTTGATTACTATTCTTGGAAAATATTTTGAATTGACTTCAGAAGTTGTATATAGAAATAGGGGAGTTTTAGACAAGTATATTGGTGACTCTTTGGTAAGTTTGACTAATTTGATTTAAATCTAATAAGAGTTTGTAGATGGCACTCTTTGGTGCTCCAGATACCTATGAAAATTATGTCTTTCATGGTTGTAATGCAGCTTTTGAAATGCAAACAGCTCTTCAACCATACAATGATCAATTACATAAGGAGGGAAGAGATACATTGTACACTAGAGTTGGAGTTAGTTGTGGAGATGTTTTGGTTGGTAACATTGGTTCATCATTTCGTTTGTCCTATACTTGTTTGGGAGACTCTGTCAATCTTTCTTCGAGATTGGAAGGTTTGAACAAGGTATATGGAACAAATATCATGGTTTCTGAATTCTGCTATGAAATTGTTAAAGACCTCTTCCTGTTCAGAACTCTGGATGTGGTTGCTGTCAAGGGTAAAGTGAATGGTGTTAAGGTGTATGAAATTGTTGGTAGAAAGTGGTCTCCCTTCCAAGGTGATTCTGTCACTGTTTCTCAAGAAAGGGTTGAATATTGTAGAACATACAATACTATTATTGAAGATTTGTACTTTAAGAAAAAGTTTGGTGTGGCTGAAAAAGCATTCAGAGATTTTGCTGATAGGTATGAGCAAGATTCAGCAGCTCTTGAAATGGCTTACAGATGCAGAAGCTATGTAAATAATCCTCCTCCAGATTCTTGGAATGGTGTATATTTTGCAAAAGACAAGTAAATAAATTAACTTGCCACAGTAAATTGAAATTTATATCATTCCTAAATAATACTTCAATAATATAAATAGTATATAGATTGCAACGGTAACAGTTATTTGTTCGATACAAAATTCGAATTGTTAACTTGTTAAAAAAATGCTAAATCAATTTCAACAGATTTTTCCGACCAATACACCTCGTTTTCATCCACATATTCATCCACAACATCGAAATGATCCACCAGAGGGTACAATAGAATTTTCCAAACTCATCCAATCCGTTGGCAATCACTTTACATTCAACTCGGAGTATTGCAGTGTAGAGCAAATAATTTCACATCATCATGATGAGTCTACCGATTCGACTATTATCGTTTCACAATGTAGGAGACCGTTTTCATGTTCATGTGTATTTAAAGTGATTCGACGAAGGGTAACAAATGGTCAGGATGAAAATTCAGATATTTCAAAATATAATTCTGCAAAATTTAATGCCGTGGATAATAATCAAAATCCTAATTATGTAATAAGGGAATTTGAATATAGGAGTGAAGATGGAATGGAGCTATGGAAGGAATATGTCATTGTTTCTAAATATTATGGAGAATCTCTGTTTAGAATGATGAGGAGTCGTCGTGCTGGAATTGCTGAGGATATTTCTGTAATTTTCATGTTGAAAGTAATTTGTTCATGTTTGGAAAAGTTGGAAAATTTTCATTTGAATGGAATAGTTCATTGTAATGTGGAACCTTCGAATATTTTTAAAGGTGATGATTTAAATATCGAGTTGGGCGGTTTGGGTTGTGTTCAATTATCAACTAGAAATCCAGGAGTATTGGTTGATTGTAAAGGATTTTTGAAATGGATGCCTAAAGCATTTGTTGCACCTGAAGTTCAAACTAAACAATTGATTGGGCTTAAAAGTGACATTTGGAGTTTGGGAATGGTCTTGTTAAGGTTCTTATTTCCAAATCTAGTAAATCTTGTAGTCAGTGATTCCAATATTGATGAGATATTTAAAGGTCTATCCAATGTAGAAAGAGATGATGCTTGTTGGAATGAAATTAAGAATTTAATCAAATCAATGCTAACAATTGATGTGAACAAAAGACCAACCAGTGGACAATTATTGAATACCATAACTAATGGTAGTCGTTTTAGAGATTCTGCTGAAACATTGACGAAATGCTTTAAAGAAAATCGAGGTGTTGCTCTTCACCTTTGTAAATTTAATTATGGCTCTTTCAAATACCTGGAATCATTTCATAGTGATAGAGAGATGGCCCTCAAGTATAACGATTCTTTCCAGTATATGGATGAGGCTTTTCTAGATGATAGGGATTTCATATTGGAAGCGGTAAGAATAAATCCCTACCTGGTGGACGAATTGGAAGGAATGGATTTGCTAGATAGAGAGATACTTGAGGAGGCTATCAAGGCAGATGGAGAAGTAATGAGTGGACTAGATGAAAAATATCTATTAGATAGAGAGCTAGCTCTTTTGGCTGTCAGACAAAATGGCCTAGCTCTAGAACATATTGCTAATTATTTTGGTGATGATGAAGAGGTAAGAAGTGTAAACATTCATTATTTCTAATGTCAAACTTAAGGTTGTTTTGGAGGCTATTAAGAACGAAGGACGTGCCATTGAATTTGCCTCAGCGAGATTGAAGCGTAACAAGAAACTTGTTTCAATGGCCCTTAAAGATAATCCAATGGCATTAAATAATATTGATCAAGAGGAATTCGGGTTGGAAAGTGATGATGAAAGTATTTTTCATTCTGGTGGTGAGGAAGATAAGGGCAATGAATTTCTAAATCCACAAATTATATGTATTAGTGGAGGTTTCATGAGCAACCAATACGGTAATATGGAGTTTTCCCCTCAATTACCACGTTTCAATAATTCTCCTCAAAATATTGGCCTATTGCAAAATAAGCATGAGATTATTAATGCAGTAACAATGGATGGTTTACTATTGCAACACATTCCAGAAGTATTTAAAAACGATGAACACGTGGTAATTAATGCAGTTCTAGGGAATGCAATGGCTCTTCAGTATGCCTCCCCTATTTGGCGAGATAATGAAACTGTTGTTCTGACAGCTATTAGAAAAAATGAATCTGCCCTTCAATTTGCCTCTCCCAGGTTGAGAAATTGTAAAAAGTTTTTAACTTGTGCCCTTAGTATTAATGGATTGACTTTGCAATATATTGATCCATTACTTATAGATGAGGAATTAATTGTGGTTGCTGTAACTCAGAATGCACGTGCACTTTTATACACTCCCAACCAATTGAAAACTAAACATGTTGTCATGCAAGCTGTATCTCAAAATGGACTGGCTCTTGAGATGGTTCCATCAATGAACAATGATAGAGAGATTGTTGGACAAGCAATCTGTCAAAATGGATTGGCCTATAGGATGGCTTCTGATACTTTGAAACAGGACCAGTCATTATTTGCTCTTGCATTGAAAGGAAGAGGTGATAATTTGGCAGCAATTTACTCCAAGACAACCCATAACCACCAACAGGACAGTTTATCAGTCTTTATTCAATTTCTAGATATTATCAGAGAGGCACCAATTGAACTATTGAGTGATACTCGATTTGTTAAGGAAAGTGTGAAAAATGCAGCATTTCCATTCTACCCAAATTTCAACCTTGATGACCAGATAGTTATGAATATCTGTAGAAATAATCAAGTTAATATTAAGAGGAAACATTATGGTGAGGAAGGTGTAGTAGAAAATCCAACCAAACGAAAAAAGTAAATGTTGCATGTGTATTTTCAACTATTAAAAAATTGGTTCTCTATTTAAATCCAGATAATTGGTATTAGAAAACATGACTCATTCCTCACCAAACGAAATTTTGACTATTTGTAAGAGTTTATTTTGTTATTTACAAGTGTTTGTTTAGATAGTTGATATCATGATCCTTAAATCCAGCTATATCATGATTGACTGGTACATTTTCAACTATGAAGATTGATTCTCTTTCTCTGTCTTGACGCTACACAACAAATGTGTAGGGAGAATGTGAGATGTTCTTCTTAATAGTTGTTATAAATTATTCTAAACGAGTATTAATTTTGAGCAGGAGTGGAAACTTGTTGCTTTTCTAACAATTTTCTTTCCTTTCTCTCTTGCTTTTGACTTTGTCTTTCCAATTTTCTTTGAGCTTTGACCATTTGCTTTTCAAGCTTCTTTTCCATTTTCAAGGCAATCTTTTGTTCTTTCTTTTGGAGTTTCAACAAAAGGTTTTCATCAGAAATTGGAGCACTCTCCTGGGTAATTGTAACTTCAGCAACTTGAACTTGTTCAGTAATAACTGGCTCAACAGTTACGCTAACTGGAGCTGATGGTTCAGTAACTTGAGTTGTGACAGTTGCAGTATCAACAGGTGGTTGAATGGTGATTTCTTGCTCTTTTTGCTTTTTGAAGACAATCTTTTCGAGCTTTCTTTGACCCTTGAGCATTTTCTTTTCTAATTTGAATGCCTTCTTTTCTTCCTTCTTTTGAAGTCTGAGTTGGAGCTTTTCCTCTTTGGTTGGTGTTGGCTCAATTGTAGTTTGAACAGTGTTAGCATTTTCAGTTGGAGAATTGAGATCTTTGGATGACTTTCTAATAGATTTCATTTCAAATTTGATAGATTTCAATTGTTCCTTCTTCAGCTTGATTTCATCGTTCAAAGTTTCAACTTGTTGCTTCTTTTCTGAAAGAATTTGAGTTTGTTCTTCACTCAATTTAGGTCTTTCCTTGATGTATTTTTGTCTCTTTTCCTTCTTTTCAAGATTCAACTTGTTCTTATTTACTAATCTAAGGAGAATTGGCTTATCCAATAATTGTTGATTGCTAACTAATTTCATCAATTCGGAAAAATCATTTTCATCATTAATAATAATTGTTTTTCTCTTCTTTTCACCAGATGATGGAACCATTGCCTTGACTTTAAAGCTGGTTGCTTCTTCACCTTGAACAAATTCTCTAATAGAATTGGACAAGTCTCCGAAACTCATCAAATTAATAAGTTTTTCCATCCTATTTTCTTCCTTGTTTCTCATCATTAATTTACCAGAAATTTGAGCGTTGGTAGCAGTAGTAATAGCAGACATTTTGTTAATTGTTGAATTATCAAAACAAATCAATTGGGTTGTTTTTAATCTCAAAAAGAACCAAGCAATGTTCACCACCAGAATCCAATAATAGTTTTGTAAGGTTCCAAACAATTTTGCAATTTACAAAGAGACGATAACGATTTATTTACGTATTTACAAGTCAAAGAAGAAGCATTTCTCAACATTACATTTCTTTCTATCTTAATGTTTAGCAGCCAAACCCAATTGTAAAATTCTGAATTGGCAATGAACAGTGGATTTTTGGCGCCAGAATTCAAATTCAACAAACTTTGAAAAAAATGGATTCAAATTATCATAACGTTTGCCACAGAGGATGTATGATTGATATTATTGATCGGGAGTGGATGATGGATGTACTTCCAAATGATGATATTACTATTATTTTACCAAATGATAATTCATCTAAAAATCCAATTCAAAATACATTGTCTCAACTCACGAATAACCATCCGAGCCTGGCAACTCATCCTCTCTTTGTTGAAGATGGAGTGGCTATTGCTGATATGAAGGATAATTCAATACTCGGAGATAATCACTTGCAAGGAATTGATAGACCACCAAGTGAATTTGTTCATCATGTAAATGAATGGAATGATTTAAATCTTTTCAGTTTACTGGAGAGACAAGACGAAACGGATTAATTTACAAATATTTACATAATATATTAGATTATACATTATACAGAGGAACCTCTGACATCATTCCTAAATACTTTCAATATTATTAATATTATTGATTGTAGCGACAAAACAAATTCTTCTCGGTGGCATAAAGTTTTGTGTACATTTTAGCCATTGAATTGAATCCTCTATCATCATTATTTCTAATTAAATTTCCAGCATCACAATTTAATGGTGAATCGGAACCTTCCTTTGGATTAGACATCATTGATACAATAGCCCTACAAACATTTAATAAAGTCCAAACAGGGCTCCACTTATCCTTCAAAATATCCATACATATTTCTCCACTTTCAAAATGTACATTTGGGTGAAAGATTTTAGTAATAAATTCAACTTTTGGTGCAGAAATTGGATATTCTTTCGGAACTTGAATTTTTAATTCGAAAACACCATCCTCATAACAAGTTCCCTTTGGTCCAATGCATTTTGCATACCACAAATAAATATTATTTTCATCGGGTTGAAGAACAAGATCAGCCTGATTGGCTTTTTGGATCTCGTTATATTCCTTCATGATTCGTTTGCTTGCCATTTTTTTTTGATTTTGCTTTCCGATGATGATGTTTCCATATCATTCCTCAAATATAAAAATAGCAAGTAGTCTTATTAGCAGAAAACAAGTTGAAAAAAGCATTCTTTGCTTCTTTACTGTTATTAATCAAACTCCTCATTGAAATACAGTAACTCCCTCAAACACTCATAAGGAAGGAGCCTCAAACAACAATGCTGTGTCCACCACTCGATTTTCCAAGGTTGCAAAAAAATATGACGACCACGAATCGACCTTCTCGTGGGCGGAAGAAGATTCCAAGGTATGTGCTCGGGCATTTATTAATTTTTTCATCTTCATTATCTATTGTGTGATGATATCATTCTGTATTATTAAAATAGTGCATCCTATTATTTGGGCTATGTTGAAGATGATGAATCAATAGAGTCAATTATGCAAAAGTTCGACGAATTGGAAAAATTAAAATCATCAAATCTTTCGGAATGTGCTGCTTCTTCATCGTCATCTAAAAGTATGGTGAATGGAAAAGGGAAAGAACCAGCAGAAACAACATTGGATGGAGGAGCAATTACACCACTTGAAGAAGATTCCTATCTCAATGAAGAATTGCAAGAGGAATTGTTTAAAAGAACTTCACATCATTCCATTCAATCAAATATTTACTCAGAAATTATGTCAAACTATAATACTGAACAAGGTGAATTGGATGAGATGGATGATGGTGATGGACAGGAGGCTTCTGATTATTCTTCTGATGAGGATTATGTTGATAATTTTCAAGATGGAGAATCTGATGGATCAACTGAGGAGAATTTGAATATTTGTGTGAGTGACAGTGAAATTGTCAATGAGGAATCCTTTGACGAAGAAGAAGAGGAGGAAATCATTGATGATGAAGAATCTAGTAGAGCTAAAAAGAAGAGAAAATCCAATCAGACCAATGGAAGGAAACGAAACACTCAGAAAAAGGGTGATAATACTATCAAGGATTTAGTCACACTCGATCCAAATATGAACTTTTTGAATTCATTTGAAGGAAATTCGACGACCAACTCAAAGAAATCCAGAGCTACCAGCAATATAGAAATTGTAAATATTCCAACAGCAGAGAAAATACTCAATTCCTGGGCTAAACATATACAAAGAGTAACACCAAAGGAATGTAAAAAATATAAGGCATACAGTGAATGTCAAACAATTGATTTGACCAATTTTGAAGAAGATTTATCAGGAAAATTAATGTTTAATAGAACTAACTCAAAGAAATCATCAACCTTTGTATCAAGTGTATACACATTCGATACTGAAGAGGATGTAATCATAACGAACCGAGTTTTAGATTATAATTTTAAATCGATATGTAAAAATCAGCCGTTTGAGGGGATTTTAATTGATCCACCCTATCACTCAATACAAGTGAAAGATCTGGTATGTAATCTCAGTAATCTCAACATTGTAATCTTAACAATTGTAATTTCGGATAATTAAGAAAAAATTACCACTCGATAAGAAATGGTTCATAGAGAGAGGTTACTGTTTTGTATGGATTGAAAAGGAATTTACAGTTGAAGTTGTTAAAATAATGAAAGGATTTGATTTTGAATATGTAGATAGTTTAACTTGGGTTAAAGAAACCATTCATCAACATTCCTCAACACTCCCATCTCAATTATTTCCCAGAGGCAAGTTGAATCTATTCATCTTTAGAAAGATGAATGATCTCACTAAAACCATGCACATTAAACACCAGAGAAATGCAGATGTGGTTCTTGATTTTGAAAAGGACAACCCACGACACAGACCACCAGTCATATTTCACATGATTGAAACTCTATTATCATCTTCTGATAGATTTTTGGAATTGTGGGGAGAAGGTTGTTATCAACATTGTAAATTCAAAACATCCTCTAAATGGACTATCATAAAGGAAGAATAGAATATAGATATAGATTCATATTGTAACAAAGGGAGTTGTTTTTGAACATTCCAGTGTTGCATCTTTAATTGATAAACATGTAAAGTTTGTCTAGGTTTGACTCCGGAAGAATAGGATATCATACATTTTTAACTCACGCACTTTTTCGTTTTGTCATTTATCAGCATTACTCCTCAAACCACACTGCCATTTTCAATTCTCACCTCCAATACCGTAGTAAACGAATCATTACGAAAATCGAGTCATCATTTTCAGAAAAAAAAACAAGAAGAACATCAACTGGTGGCACACACTAAAGCTGCTGCACTTGCAAAAAACATCTACAAAGGCTTTCAACAAGTCGCACTCGAATCTTCCGCTTCTTTAGAAAACAACACAAAACCTTCACATTCAAATATTATTTGAAAACAATATCGATATGAAAAAGTATACAGTTTCAGCATCACTGAGTAGAGAAGATGAAAAGGATTTCTTTACTACTAAGAAAGTCAATTCAACCACTGATGATTTTCCAGAGTCAACTACAACATCATCAATTTATAATAACAAACAGAGGAGAGGAATTGTTCATCGATCACAAACTCAATTACAGGCCAACAAGCAAGTACAAATAATAGAGGAATTAAAAGAAGAAGAAGAAGAACCAGCAGAAGAAGAAACTGTACAGAACAAACAAACTACAAGACCAATAGGTATTAAAACAACAACTATAATAGAACCTTCATCTGTCAATGATAGTGCAGAGAATAGTATTTCAGATGCGAGCGTTGTTTCCTCAGTTGCTGCTAGCAGTTTATCATCTAACACATCTTCATCTGTTGCCTCATCTGTGGAATCAAATCCAAGTTCTTCACCAATTATTAAAAAGAAAAAATTCACATTTGGAGGATTAATCAAGAGAAAACAAAATGCTGATAGTGATGCATCTAGTCCAAATGCCAATGGTTCAGCCTCTCCTAACCTCAATGATTCCCCTAATTCTACATCTACCACTAATTTTGAATCCAATTCCCTTCCAAAACGACCTCAAGTCATCAGTGTAAATGATGGCAGTGATTTTAGGAAAAAGTTACAAGATAGAAAGAGAAATGCAGGTGGAACTGGTATGAAAATTGTCAAACAAAATGATCAACTTATCGTATCTCAAAACAATTCAACTCTAGAAGAATAAGAATTACTTTTTCCTTTTTAGTTTTTTTTCGAGAAATGGTTGGTTGTTAAAACAAACTAACTAAATAAATTTTGCAATTAATTTTAAAAACCTCATTACAATTAAAATATGGAAAGCAATTTAACATTTTGCACTTTCTTATCTATTTTTATTAATAAAACCTCAGAGCGAACAATAATTAAGGTTGCAACCTGATCTTTTCGAGAAATAGAGGAAAAAAAATAATTTAAGGAGTGCACAACCTTAACGTGACCAAGTTTTGGCGCCATTAGTCTAAGAAGGAACTACGGAATATTTTCGAAAACCGACTAATTAGGGAGAACCTGTTGACATTAAATATTCCGTGCTGGTACTTAAAAGGTGTGGTGTGAAATAATATTAGCATTAGCTTTGGGAAGTGTGGATTACGTAGCCATTGTAAAGCGAAAGTGGAAAAGAAACCTATTGTCCTATTACAAATAGCATAGCCATGAATTTTCCTCTTCTAACAACTTGCTAGGCAAAGTTTCGTCAAGCTACCCGCCTCACCGATCACATCCTCCATTCTTCCGAGCACAGTTTAAATACAAACGATTCTTCCAGGCCAGTCAAAACACAACCAAAAAAATGTTCACCATCTCTACTATTATTTTCTTAACGATTGTGTATAATATCTATTGGCATTACTACAGAAAGGAACTCTCCTTGAAGGGTAAAACTGCATTGATTACAGGTTAGTATTTTTTGTATTTTTAAATGATAATAATGCATTCATTTTACAATTTTAATGATGATCATCATTTATCGGATCATGTAATAATCTAATTATTTTGATCAAAGGTGGAAGTAGAGGTATTGGTAGATTATGTGCTGAAAAGTTATTGGAAAATGAACAAGTTAAATGTGTAATTATTTGGGATGTTGATGAAAAATCACTTGCCGAATGTCAACAAACATTGAGTGATAAGTATGGCAAAGATCGTATTGTTACTCGTCAAGTTGATATCACGAACAGGGAAAAGGTTTATGAAGAAAGAGATTTAATCTTCCAAAATCATGCTTCTGTTGACATTTTGCTCAACAATGCTGGTATTGTCAATGGTAAGAAATTGTTGGACACTCCAGATGATGCCATTGAAAGAGTTTTCAAAGTCAATACTGTTTCTCACTGTTATACAGTTAAGGCCTTCTTACCTAAAATGATTGAGACCAAGAGAGAATCTCATATTGTAACTATTGCCTCTGCAGCTGGTATTTGTGCCACTTCTGGACTTTCTGTAAGTTTTTAATAATTATTGAACTGTTTTAACTTTTTCTATACAGGATTATAGTGCTTCCAAGTTTGGAGCTTTCGGATTTAATGAAGCTTTGAGAATGGAATTAAAGTATCAAAAGTTGGATCATATTCACACTACTTGTGTTTGTCCATTCTACATCAAGACTGATTTATTTGCTGGTATTAAAGATGTAATCCCTTATGTCTTCCCAGTTTTGGATCCTAATTGGGTTGCTCAGAGAATTATCAAGGCATTGAAGAAGAATGAAGAAGTTGTTATTTTGCCAGAGACTTTGAGATTAGTGTTTTTATTCAGATTCTTGTTACCTGTTTCAATTTGTGATAAACTCATTCAATTGATGGGCATTAGTAGCAGTATGGAAACTTTCACTGGTAGAAAATAATTTTTAATATAATTTATTAAAATTTAAAATTTATTAGAAAAAAATGATTGAAGCGATACTGTACTGTGAATTTGATAATGCTAAGGGTTCAATGATCATGTTCCAATACCCACGTATGAAAATATCGAACGATTTATTTGAAACCTATTCGGAATTTGTTATTACCAAGACAAAATTATGTGGGAAGTGTGTTTCTTTCCGACATGAAAATTTAATATTTATCGGAGTGCCACAATGTATAGAAGGATCGAAATATGAGAGAAATGCTCTCTTGTTTAATTTAGTTTTTGTTGTTGATATTACAAAATTAAAACCTCACTATCCACCAGAAGCCTTTAAACCAATTGCTTCAAAATTATCATACTACTTGAGAAATTTGGAATTGGAATCGGAATACTTATTTAAACAGGAGTCTAAGCAAAATCTGCAATATATATTGGAGAAGATTTATGTGGATTTATCAACGAAACAAGAATGTTCAATTTACATTGATTCAGCACATTCACTTCATTTGAAATTAATTCCCTATTTACAGAAACCACCAATTGTTCATGCTCATGATGTACCAATACCTATTCGAAATTTACATGCTCTAATATTTCAACAAAAGGATGTGTGGGATATTACATTCTCCCAAATTATTCCACACATTGATGGTGTTTCATTTGTGAAGCAAATTGCCATTCAAAGTAATGTACACGTAGAATTTGTGAAAAAAAGTTTACAGCACTTATTGTAAGTGAAATATTTAAAAATTTGGTTATTAATAACTGAGAATTTAGGTATTTTCAGTGTATTAAATTGATTGACATATTTCAATATAGCAACATGTATGCTTTGAAAAATAAGAAAGTTGTGATGCAACTCTTTTCTAGAAGAGACCTCGAGGAAGAAATGATACATTACATATGCCCTGGTATTGACAAGGGAAATATGCCTGATTCCTCTCAAATTCTTCATCATATTTTGCAAATTTATTGTAAATTCAAACCTGGTCTAAGATTACAAGAAATTGTGGAAAAACATCACCACCTCTGTCAATATATTAATCCAAAGTAAGTTACTACTCAAAATTATTGCTTACTTAATCAACAAAATCAAAAAGATGCTTAATTACATATGGTCTATTGAAGGGATTTATCAAACGAGTTCACGAATATCCATTCCTTCTCAAAGATGAACCTCCAACATTTGTACCATCAAATGATGAGCTGACTAGTTCTCAGAGTTCTGAAAATCTCGATCAAAGTGGTTCTCCAATGTCTGGATCTTTTGAATCCTCTCCATCCAAAACATTTACCGTCATTACAAAACAAAAGAAACTCAATCCAAATTTCCACATTGTCAATAGAGAAACACTGAGGCCCTACATTACTGGAAAATATTGTATCGATGAAATATGTTGTGAATTGGAAATAACGAGAACAGAACTCATGAAGTCCTTAGAACAATTCGAAAATGTACAAATTCTTTTCAGATAAAAACTAATATTTAATAGATAATAATATGTAATATTATATTTAATAAATTTTTAAATTAAATTAAAAAAAATGACAAAACTTGAAACCACACTACGATCACTATTCAAATCCCTGATTTGTCATATTTTACTTTCATCAATATTATTTATTCTAGTATTGGATATAAACCGATCAACGTTCGGAATCAATGCGGAAACAACAACAATACATCAGACGGATTTTTCAAATCCAAAACTACAACAAGTCTTGGAAAAATTCTTCTCTAAATCATCGGATGGAAATGTAAAACATTCTAACAATTGGGTTGTATTATTAAATACTAGTAGATTTTGGTTTAATTACAGACACATTGCTAATACATTATCATTCTATCATATTGTGAAGAATCTTGGTATTCCTGATTCACAGATTTTACTCATGTTAGCTGATGATGTTGCTTGTAATCCTAGAAATAGATATCCTGGTGAGGTTTTTAATAATAGAAATAGACAAAAGAATATCTATGGAGAAAATGTTGAAGTTGACTATAGAGGATATGAAGTGACTGTGGAACAATTTTTGAGAGTTTTAACTGGAAGACATCATGACTCTGTACCAAGAAGCAAGAGATTAATGAGTGATGAGCATAGTAATGTATTAATATTTATGACAGGCCATGGTGGTGACGAATTTTTCAAATTCCAAGATCAAGAAGAAATTAACAGTGCAGATATTGCTGATGCTGTTCAACAAATGGCTGAAAGAAAGAGATTTAAAGAATTATTAATGATTGTAGATACCTGTCAAGCAGGCTCTTTATTTGACAAACTTTATACTCCAAACGTTTTGGCAGTAGGAAGTAGTTTGAGAGGACAAAATTCTTATTCAGTAAGTATTTTAGCATTATTTGATTGGAATTGAAATTAACATGTTTAGCATCATTCTGATCCTGATATTGGAGTTGCTGTTATTGATAGATTTACTTATTACACTCTTGAATTTTTCGAAAATCGTAATTTCAGACAAAATCCACCATCCATTGAAAAATGGGTAAGTTCTAACTTGAAAATAATGAATTCACACAAATAGTTCCGAACATACACTTCTGAAAACTTGATTTCAACTCCTAACATGAGAAGAGATTTATTTGAAAGAAATACAAATAGTGTTCCACTCACAGACTTCTTTGGTTCGGATATTAAGATTGAATTCCAAGAGGATTTATTTAAACGTGAAAATATGACCCGCTTTAACAAGTACACCCCAAAACATTCTAATAACGACTACAATCAACAATTCTCCAATGAGAAACTTACTGAAAATGAAAATGCTGTTGAAATAACCTTCCAAAAATCAGTTTCATTCCTAGATATTAAGGTTATTTCTATTGTTGCAATTGGATTATTGATTTTCTTAATATTTAAATAATTAATTTATAAATTTATTAATTTCTTCCCAACAACTTTTAGAAAACTTTCAGAAACGAGGTATTGCAAGCAATTTGCAAGTTATTAGATTTTATGTCTATGAAAGGACCAGATATTTACATTTTTCTTTACAATTTACATTAATATTAATATTTATTACACCCTTAAATAAATAGGTTATTGTTTTTGTTCTTCTGTTTTCTTTTCTTCTTCAGCCTTCTTCTTTGCTGCTTCTTCTTCCTCTAATTCCTTTTGTTGGAAATCTTTGGTCTTCAAATAAGCATCGAATTGAGCATCATTACCAAATGGTCTATGACCGAGCACATCAACCATGTCTTGCGCATCAATCTTTTCCTTTTCCAGTAATAATTTGGCAACTGAAACCATACCATCTTTGTGTTTCATCAAGAGTTCTTCAGTTCTTTGATAAGCTTCAACAACCATTCTCTTAATTTCATGATCAATTAATCTAGCTGTTTGGGCACTGTATGGTTTTTCAGCTTGGAATCCATCATTTGTATCTGGGAATGAAACGTTACCAATCTTATCACTCATACCATACTTAGTAATCATTTGACTGGCAATTTCAGTGACCTTTTGTAAATCGTTTTGAGCACCAGTTGACAAGTGACCGAATATTATCTTTTCAGCAGCTCTACCACCAAGAGCAAGACACATAAAGTCAAATAATTGTTCCTTTGTAGTAATATATCTTTCTGATGGAAGGTATTGAGCATAACCCAAAGCACCTGAACCTCTTGGTACAATGGAAACCTTCAAAAGTGGGTCAGTATGTTCCAAATACCAACCAGCAACAGCGTGACCAGCTTCGTGGTGAGCAACAATGTTTCTTTCTTCTGGAGATAAAACCTTATTCTTCTTTTCCAAACCACCGATAATCTTATCAATAGCTTGTTCGAAATGACGCATTGTAACATGATCAGATCCTTCTCTAGATGCAATAAGAGCTGCTTCGTTACAAACGTTAGCAATATCAGCACCAGAGAAACCTGGAGTAAGAGTAGCAAGACGAGTAGCGTATTCCTCTGCTGGTTTAGCCAAAACAATACCCTTCATGTGAACCTTGAAGATTTCTTCTCTACCCTTAATGTCAGCAATTGAAACATCAATGGATCTATCAAAACGACCAGGTCTTGTAAGAGCCTTATCCAAAATTTCAGATCTGTTTGTAGCGGCCAAGACAACTACACCAGTAGCTGGAGTAAAACCGTCCATTTCAACAAGCAATTGATTGAGAGTATTTTCTCTTTCATCGTTTCTACCCATGAATTTACCTGTGCCTCTTTGTCTACCTACAGCATCAATTTCATCAATGAAAATAATAGATGGAGCATTATCCTTAGCTTCTTTGAATAATTTACGAACTCTTGCTGGACCAACACCAACAACCATTTCAACAAATTCAGAACCGGAAATACTATAGAATGGAACACCAGCCTCACCAGCAACTGCCTTTGCCAACAATGTCTTACCAGTACCTGGAGGACCAACAAGCAATGCACCCTTTGGAATTCTAGCACCAATATCTCTGAACTTCTTTGGATTCTTCAAAAAGTCGACAAATTCTGTAATTTCTCTCTTGGCTTCATCGAGACCAGCAACATCTTTGAATTTTACAGAGTGTTGAGATGTAGCCTTAAATGATTTGGTGAACATATTAGTTGGATCCATAGCTCCTAAACCACCACCTCTTCCTGGCATTCTCTTGTAAGCATAGTACAATAAACTACCAATAATGAGCAAATGAATAGCTGCTTGAATGGTTTGAGCAAAGTTCTTTTGTTCCTTTCCTGAATAGAAAATTTCAATACCAGAAACTTGAACACCATTTTGGTGCATTTCTTCCAATAAATCATAATATCTTCTTTCAAAGCTATCACCACCAAATCCAATGCTGTATTCTCTTCCTTCCTTTGTTGTGACTGTTGTAGAGCGTTCAAGAATAGTGATCTTACGAACGTTTTGAGTTCTCAAATCTTGACTGAAATCATCAAAAGATGCTGTATAACCAGTTCCTTGATGTAATTGTTGGTATGAAGTGGCAATCATGATCAAAGTGACGAAAAGCATACCATAGAACATGTAGTCCAATACGCTCATTTTTGGTTTGTCTTTTTCTTCTCCTGATTCTTGCTTTACTGTTTCAGTTTTAACTTCTTCCTTTGGCTTAATCGTACCCAATTTCAAGTTTGAATGGACAGATTCTCCTTTTTTGACCTCGTGTGAAATAATTTTACCCTTTTCGGCAGCTCTGACATTAATTCTTTGAGGAGTATCTTCATCTGTATATTTGACTTCAATTTCAGCAATAACTTCACCTTCAAAAACTTCATCTTCAACAAATTTGAACCATTTGTTAATGTATGCGCTTTCAACATTATCTCCCAAGTGTGGAACAGTAATATCAATTTTAGCTGGCTTCTTTTCCTTCTTTTCATCATTTTCTTTTTCTTCCTTGTCCTTCTGTTCCTTCTTTTCTTTCTTTTCTTTCTTTTCTTTCTTCTCTTCAGATTTCTTTTCGGAAGTCTTTTCCTCCTGTTCAACTTTTTCTTCAGTTTCGGAAGTCTTTTCCTCCTTCTTTTCTTCCTTCTTTACTTCCTCTTTTTGATCCGATTCAGATGATTCCTTTCGTTTAAAGTTACCAAATCCTTTTGGTGTTGAATAGAATCTTTTAGATACAAAATTGGTCAATACAAAGTTGATGTTTTTCTTAGAGAAAATATTTCTTTCTGTTTTTCTAGACAAAGGATATGAACTCTTTTCACTAGTATTAATATATTCAATATTTCCGTATGATGAAAGATATTCTTGTTGGAATGATGGAAGACGATTAATTACAGCCATAATATTCTTAAAAGATGAATATCTTAAATTAAATAAACCATTATTACTATTCACTAATCCACTTCTTTCCCATAATTTTTCAGCCCAAGCAGGTAAGTTGATTCGATTCATCAACGAACCAGCCTGCAAACCCACGGCCTTCATTTGTTGTTGGAACATTTTTTATTTAAAGATTCTCCAAAAATACATTGGCTGCCACCGCTTATTCAATCAAAACACAATCGGGCGGTGTAATTTTTTTGAGTGAAAATGTGCTTTTTGAAAAACAATGCACTTCCATCTCTTCAAAATAATCCTTCAAGGATGAATTCATACAGGTGTAAGGATCATTCTTATTGATTGAGAGGATTTTTTGTTAATGGCCGATGCACTGTTGAATTGGTTGAAGGGTTTATTGAGGATAAACCCTTTAAATTGAATATTAAATTTATGGATTTCCTCAGGAGTTTCTGTAAAATAATCAACAGCCATTGCCTCAATTAGAATAATGACAATCTCAAGAATTATCATTGTAATTGGTTTATTATTTGGGCATTCTATTGATTTGATGGACGGGAAGCCTGCCAGGAATATGGCGACAATCCCGCTACAGTCTTTGACTGTATGAACAGTGAAGGCAACTAGACGAATCTTGTTGGTTCAGTAAGGTTTGTTGAAGAAATTGAAAGGGTTGATCACCTTCGTATTTATTGAACATTCTATGTTGCATTGGTTGGTGCAAATTTTGGTATAACATTTTCTTTATCAAATCGAAATTGAAACTTCATCTTTCTCAACATTTTGTGTTAATCATTGTAAATAAAACCAAAAAGTTACTCGATTCTTCCATCCATTATTCTTTCCTTCGAATTCCTCTTAATCTCCTTATCATAAACTATGATATTTTAAGATACAACTTCCAAAGTAATAGTTATGCCAGTGTATTCAAATGTTTTACTAATGAGCATGTTGTTATTAATCCTCATATTGAATCATCAATTTGTTAAAATGTGATGAATTCCTATTTGAAGAGATATCTTTGATCACAACTTCCAATCATGCAAAGAGCATGCTTACATGTACATGTAGTACAGCTAATTTTTTCGTTATACTAATAGGTAATTTTATTTGTTACACTGAGTTCCAAACTAATTATTTTAAGCAGCACTATCATGACGGTTAAATGAGAATATTGTAAACTTGTATCCTCCCTTTTTCCATATCCAATTTTTGGTGTTCGATAGTTAGATGATACTGAGGTGTTACCATTCCTCTTACTGACTTCTCAATAAGGTTGTTCCACAAATGTTCAACCAATTCAATTCTCAGAAAACCATTGAACTCTAATAAACTCCATTGTAACTATTGTAATCTTACTCATTAAAAACTGCTATAAATTCAATTTACCATTCATTGGATGATTAAACAAATCAAAAAACAAATTCAATATTTGAAAAAACTCAAAAGCTATTGAAATCTAAAGAAATGACTGAACAAACTCACGAAGAATTATTCAACCAAAACGTATGTGGAAGTGGTTTGGCATTCAAGAAGGTAGTTCGTGAATTATTCAACAATCGTATTGTTCCTGCAACCAAGAATCTTCAACAAGTCAATCCAAAGATGCTCATCTTGTTGGATTGGGCTTCTCTTGCTGCATTGCCAACTGAAACCAAGTACAAGTATGGTGATAGATTTGCTGAAGATACCTTGTTGAATAATTGCATCAAATTCTTAACCGAATGTCCAAGATTGAGTAATATGAGTGAAATTGCCAAGGTTTTCATCAAGGATCCTGATTGTAAGGATGCTTTCATGGGATTGGAAAAATTGATTTTCAGAGTTGTTCACAATGCTGATAGTAAGGATTCTTCTGGTTTCCTTGGCTATTCTTACAAGGTTAATGGAGCTGATTTGGTAGTCACTTTGGAATGTAATTTGACTCTTGTTATGAAGGTTGCCAATGAAAGACAAAGTCCTTCTGCTGATTCTGAAGCTAAAAAGTTGATTAATGCTTTCTAATTATGAAAATGGTGGTCCTCAATGCATCAATAAAAACATGCTTCCAACTTTGAAGCATATGTTGATAATAAGTAAAATCTTTATTTGCAAAAAGACTACAGCACCACAGGTTCCCAAGTTGTCTCCAACCTCAGTACTGATGTGGCTCGACGATGCTTAACTTCTCAAATCGGACGGGATGAGGTGCATGAATCGTGATATGGCTGTAGCATTCACTTTCGCAATTTCTGAAATTTTAATCTAGCACAATCAGTTTTTGTTTCATTTATTGAGCCTTTTTCAAATTAATTATGGAAACAAACCTCTGTCATTCACCACCGAATGTTTTCTTTTTGGATGGAATTACTTAGAATAATTTATTCTATTGACCAGATATTAGAGTTTCATTGAAGAAATGATGGATTTTCTCGTGTTATTTCCATCTAACAAACTCTTGAATTCTTGTGTGAAAGAAGAAATGAGAGGAAGTGCTTCTTCCAACCATAAACATTGCTCTGTAATCTTGAAAGAGGTATCACAGTTGACAGTACCAATTTCTAGAGGAGGATCATGCTTGGCAATAAATTCTCTATTAACATCAAGCTCCTGAACAATATCATATTTTGAAGGATGTGAAAGAGCATTTGGCCCAAACACAAGAAAACCTCTTTGTAAAGATTCTAAATGGAAAATATCATTAACTTCAGGCATGAGATCAATATAAATAATTTCGCCACTTTTCATTTGAATTGAGAAAATATGGTGATCATCTCCCCATCTACTCAAAGCACCTCCTCTATAAGATGGTGCAGTATTCCAATTTACAGTACTACACCTAACCATTGTTTTTTGAATTCCAATCTTCTCAATTTCTTCTCCATTCCATTTGAAAATTATTCCACCTTGTTGCACCTTGTTAAACAATGAACAAAATGCTAAAACATTTAAAATTCCCTTACTTCTTTCACATCCCATCACATATTTGTTATATAAAGGAATGGACATGTCAGGATTTGCCAAGTAGAAAATTTCAGGTTTAGTAATTGTAAACTTGGATGATTCTGCAGTAGGATCAAAATTATCTTCTAAAATCCATGTTGTATGGTGTGATTTTTGTTGGATTCTCCTCAGTGATTGATCAGTCGAGAAGGTGGATCGGAGCACTTTTCCGAGAGTAATCAACTCTTGATGTAAATCAACTTCTCCTGCTACTTGTGATGGAATCATTTTTTATTAAATTATTATTTTAATATTTGATATTGAATTAAATTACAAAAAATTGTGATGATATCTGCCAACAGCCGTGACACACAAACTTCAAAACAAAATTCCATTGTTGTGGAGAACAATCAATCCAATGAAGATCAAGATGAAAAGGAAAAATTAAATAATATTCAACAAGATTCATCCAACAACAAATCAATTCCTCCTATCAATCATGAATCCCGAACAACACATTCATCATCATCATGGAATTTCATTCTCCTCTCCCTCCTCTTCATCACTATAGAATTGATCATTTATTTATATAACAACAAGATTGCTTCCTACTTATTAATTGCTACCAATTGTTCATCATCATCAGAACAATCTCCTGAATTTTCTACTATTAGTTGTTTGTCTCCGAGGAGAGTTATCTATGGCTGGTCATCAAATGCTCAACCTCAAATTCTACTTTCAATTCTTCTCTATCCAATTATCTTTCCCAATTGGATTACATTAATAGTTGGTTTGATTATTCTCTATTCAATTCGTGAGAGTGATTCATTCTCAAAGCCTTCGATTTTTAAGCATTTAATTAGACTCTATCAGATACAATATAGTACTTTTATTATTAGGATGGTGTTATCTTTCATTAGATTTAGAGCATTTGGATGGACAGAGGATTTATTGTGGGCCTTTGATGCTCATCATTTTGTTTCGTGTAATATGGGAGGAACAAGTTTTATATTGTATCATCTTGTGAAATACTTTTCTGATGTGAGTAGTCAGCAACATGGTGGAATATTGAAAATGATTGTACCAGCCTTTATTGCTTTTATTCTTCACTTTACAAGTCATTTACCACTTGCATATATTCCTATGGTTTCGTCCACTTTCGCGAACCAGATTCCTTCCAACTATTTGATTGATCACATATCTGCCATCATACTAACCATTGTATTCTCAGAATAATTCATTGTAAAATCCAAAAATTGAGAAAATACAACTCTTTGATTTTAAGGCTAAACACAATTTAAGGCTTTTTTCACTCTGATTCAACTCTCTCTCAATTCTAAAAAAAAATAACTCAATTAATTAACAATGTTTTTTGGAAACGAACTGGTCTCAAAGAAGGGTATGTATTCTGAAAATTTTCAAAGCCTTACATGTTATTTTCTGTAGAACCTATCCGAGTATTGTGGTTGGCAGCAACACTTGGAAAGAGAAGTAAAAAGCTGAGTAAGAAGAAGATACTCGAGGCTAATATTCCATCGTTGACAAGTGAAATTATTGAGAAGGGTAGTAAAATGATCATCTCTTCATCTATTAATGGTCAATCATCAGGTAACATGGATGGATATGTTGATTATTCTAGTTATTCACTCCGTCTATCAAGTACTCTTCTATTGGGAGTTGTTGTCATCTTTAATAAGAAGGCTCAATATTTACTATCGGAAGGAAATCAAATGGTTCGTAAGGCTAGACAAATTTCTGTTCGTTTAGATCAAACAACTGACTCGACATTATTGGACAAGAAAGAGGCTAGATTTGAAGCAATTACTTTAAAGCCTTTCAAAGATTTCGAATTGATTGCTGACACTTCAGTTTTAACTATGGATGAGGAATTGATGGCAAGATGGTATAGATTAGTAGGAGCAAATAGTAACGGAGAGTGTAATAATGAGGAGTTGAGTAACTTGCAATCATCATCAGCAATAATAGAAGCTGAATTGAATGGATCCAAGACTTTGGAAAATGAACAACAGGGTGCTGACATTAGTATGATTAAACCAGTACGTGAGTCTGACATTTTCATGGCTGGATTAGATATCTTCGAAGCTGGTATTGATCCTATGCATGAGCAACATGAGGAAGACTTGAACAACAATGGTGGCGATCATGAGTTGGGTGGATTGGAAACCTCAATAATTGAGCAAGCTCCTATGATGATAGGGAATGATAATGAGCTCGATACTGCATTCACCAATCCAAAGAAGAGAAAGAGAACCTCTGTTGGTAAATTAATTATTGATGACCAAACTCAGATATCAAGCGATACTATGCGTTCCATGATACAGGACTGCTCCTCTCTACTAACTACAAGAGGTTCCGTAAAGAACAATCCATTCTCAAAGACTGATGACTGGTTCAGTACAAACATCTTTTCCAGAGACAAGCTTGATAAGATAACAATGGATAGATTATTCTATACAATTCCATGTGGTTATGACTCAACCAACCGACAGTTCAATAACGACTTTTCTAATATTTGCACAAAGAGTTTAAAGAGACGAAAATCCAACGAACCATCTAATGATAACAATAATGCAGCAGTAGAAACATCCAAACAGCTACCTGATGAAGATATTCAACATCTTAACAATTTCCTTGATGGAGAGCTTGGAGGTATTGATGTAGACATTGAACAACCTAGAGAGGAGCATTTCGATATTCCAGAAAGACAACTAGATGAAGATGAGTTGACTTCAATATTGCTTAATCCTGGAGACCTTTCTGTATTACTATCACCAAACGGGCCAACATTCCAAAAACAAACCTCACCTCAAAAGAGACCATCTCTAATTGCTGACGAAACTGACGAATTGTTAAAGGTATTTGAAGATAACTCTGCAATTCCTGCATATTCTGGATCAACAATGGTACCTAAGAGTTGGGGAATGTTGGAATACATGAAAAAGAAGGTTGAAGAGGAATCATTGAACGTGAATAATGGTGGAAAGGTTTATCTGTCATTTGACAAGCTTATTAGGGAAGGTAACAACACCAAACGGTTGAGGGAAAAAGCAAGCCAAGGTTTTTATCAGTTATTGGTATTGGCCTCAAATAATCATATTGAGATTAAGAGTTTGGACAAAATTTATGTAAAGCAATAGAAAATACAAATTGCTCATATCTCGAAAGCTTAATGTAACTTGGTAAACACTAATAAAACTAATTGAATAAGAATCAAAATCATTGGATTGAAAACAACAAAATATCTAGTCAAATCCAAAACACTCAAATAAAATTCAGAATCAGAGTTCCATGGATTTTTCTATAAAATTATTAATTTCCAATAATTATTTCACTTAAACTTACCTGAAGCAAATCCTCTTGTTTAGTATTGACAACTTCCTTACAAATTGGGCATGAATCCTTCTTACCAAGGATCAACCAACCATACAAGCAAAACTCATGGAATTTGTGTTGACAAGATAAAACCTTAGTTTCTTGAATTGTCTTTCTCTTTGATTCTTGAGCAGCATCACCAGTAATTCTTCTTGTGAATGGTTGATCTGAAGAGCTTTCAAAATCAGCTGCAGATCCACCTCCTTCAAAATCTAAATTGGTATCATTCTTTAATTCCTGATTACAAATTCCACAAACATGATGTAATTGAGAAGGTGAAACATAAAACTTATTTCTATCAGCTTCCAAAGATGCACTAATAGCAGTAGAACAAATTTCACCACAATCTCTAACAAGAACACCAAAATAAAGTCCATAGAAAATCCAAATTTCAGCTGAAGGGAAAATAAATCTTCCAAAATCAGAATCCATAAGTAAATATTTGATAATTAAAGTGTGAAATCCAAATAATATTTGTAAAACAAGCATTACTGTTCCGAACAAGACAGAAAAGTGAGAGATTTTGTAAACTGAGAAAAACCAAACATAAACCTTCTTTGGTGTGTTAGGAGCCAAAGCCCTTCTGAGAGAAATATAACCAAGATAAACTGTAAATAGAGAATAAACAAGCCACACAATCATCATTCGTGAAAAGTGTGTCAATCCTCCGATAAATATACAATATATTGCAGGGAATAACCACATTAAAAAGAAGGAAGTCATCACATATGAATGTCTATGATATTTCTTCCACAATTGTACAACAAGTTGTAAAACAATAACCATCACAACAACAAAAAGGAAAAATCCAGCAGGAGCTGCCGGATGTTGTTCATGTTGATTATGTAATTGTTGGTGTTGTTGCATCACCAAGTCTTGTTGTGATGCCATTTTTTAGTATTTTTATATTAAATTCTTAAATATTTCAGATATTTTGTGATTTTAAAAAAGAAATATCAAAATTATTAACAAAATTGGTTTTTTAAATAATTTAATCATCTTCATCTTCAATTTCAACATCAGATCCTCCTTCAACTTCTTCTTCATCACCATCTCCCATTTCAGCATCACCATCTTCATCATCGGAATCAACTGTGATAAAAACATCATCCTCAATTGGTTTAGAAGCAACCATTGGAATAAATTCATTATTTGGATCATTGACACTTGTCAATTTGTTAAGAACATTAGAATCATCAATTTGCATCATTGCATTATCCATGTTGAATTGTTCCACAACACTTTCTCCTCTCTTTGGTGGAAGTGTATAGAAAGGTATTTTACCTGTATTCCAATCTCTCAAAACAATTTTACCTGCTTCTTTAATATTTGGTTTAGATCCCTTCAACAATTTACCACTTTGTTTAGCAACTTGTGTCAAGAATTCTTCTGCTGTTGTGAATGCTTGAACATTATATCTCCTCATAAGTCTTTCTGGTTTACATCTCTTCAAAATAATTCTAACAGGTTCCACAGTATCTTCCAATTGTTCAATTCTGACAGCATTACGAAGAATAACATCTGAATCCAAAGAAGCTGATGAGAAAATAATACCTGGACTATCAATAAGTTTGATATTACTATCTAATTGAATTTCCTTAGCACAAGTTGTGACACCAGGTCTTGAACCAACAACAGCAACACGTTGTCTCTTTAAAGAATTGATAACAGAACTCTTACCAACGTTTGGATAACCAATAATACCAACTGAAATAGACTTTTTGATATCTTCGCTTCTGGCATAATTCTTCAATAATTGCATTAATGTATCAGCACCCAAACATCCTTTCATATCTTCTGTTGATCCTTGTGAAAGATTCTTTGATTGTTTTTGTGTATTAGATTTGAAAGCAATTGTTGGGAATTCCTTTCTCAAATATTCAAGCCATTGTGTAACAACTTCACGTGGAACCATATCAATCTTGTTCAAAAGAAGAATAATCTTCTTATTCATATGTTTAGAAAGAATAGCCTTTTCAATATTCAAACATCTACAACCCATTGGATCTCTGGCATCCAAAACTTCAATAATAACATCACTTGCTTCAACAGTCTTATTGAATTCCTTATAATAAGCTCTCTTAGAAGCTGTTGAAAGTGAAGCTTGTTTAATATCTCTAGCATCAAATGCATCACCTTGACCATCTTTCATAAGTTCTTCCTTGGCATTGAATTCCATTTGTTTACGTTGGGCCATATATTGAAGATGGGCCATTTCAGAAAGACGATTATTTTCCTTTTGTGTTTCTACTCTATTGGTCTTCTTTGAAAGTTGGTCCTTTTCCTTTTGTTGTTTTTCTTCTTGTTTCTTTTGATAGATCTTTTCTAAAATTTGCTTTTTATCAGGAAGAAGATTTGGAATTCCGAGATCCTTCTTAAGTTCTAATCATCATCATAGTATTGGATGAAAACAATCACATCGGAATCAATAATTTGAATCTACTTGAGAACAACTTACTATTTCTTGGGAGAGCAATACCCTTCTTGGCGGCCTTTCTAACCTTTCTATCACGTTCCATTTTCTTCTTGATGAGATTAACCTTCTTCTTCTTGGTTACTCTACTACTCGATTGTTTGCCCATCTTTTATGTTTAACGTTATTTTTTTTGCGAATCACACAATTATTTGAACAAGAGAGTTTCAACATCATAATGTTGACCATAATAAATATAATAAATAATTTATTTTCGTTTATTGGAAGCAATTAATGACACTGTTTACTTTTGAATGGCAATGTTGAATGAATGGAACTGTGTTTTGCTTCAATTCTATGGTTGATGATCTTGATTCGTAAGGGAAGTGAGCATTCTTTCCGTGAGAGGAAAGGTACTATGAGAGCTACTCTATTTTAACTTCTTTAATTTGATGAGTGTTTGAATTTTGGAAATGGCCTCTGTGAATCGATCTCTATAGACACTGTTTCCAATAATTATTCTAATGAATATTATGAATCCAATTATTGTTGTAATCAGAAAGAGATACTTTTGAAGTTTTGAGAAATAGGAGAAGTGAATCAAAGACTACATGCTGTGTAAATAATTCATTTGAAATAGAATTAATACTTACATTTGTTGAATTGATAGATTTTTCCAATATTTGATATGATTCTTTCAGATTCTTGAGCAATCCTTCAACATTATCATCTGTTCCTTTCGAATTTCTGATCAACTCTTCAACTTCCTCAATTGATAAGTCAGGATTATTCATTTCTGACAATATATGTTCCATATCATTAATTTCTGCCACTTTTTCTTGAATTTTCTGTGTGTAAATGCGTGTTTCTCTGATCAAATGCTCTTCCATCTCAACACATTTGTTTTTCAAATCACCAATTGTGATCACTTCAACTTCTCTGGGTGGTAGCGTATTTTCATCTGGTGTCAATTTGTTAATGAGTGAAAATGAAACAATATCATTATTACTAAGTTCAGATGTTGAAGATGATTCGAGAGTGATCGTCTCATTCAACCAACGAGTCCAATTATCATCCAGTAATCCACTATCTTCTTCTACTTGAATGCATTGTAATAATTTAATCAAATATTGTCTTTTTGCATCAACACTTTTTACACCATTTAGGCTTTTCCACATTTTGTATTTCACACTTTCCGAAAATTTAAACCAATATGGCTTCATGCTATCTAAACAATCCCCGATCATTGCTTGCTTAAAAAGAGCAGACATTTCCACTTGATCTTCCTCATCAGGAAAAAGATCTACTGGCAATTTTGGTAAACCTGTTGTTGTGTTGATCAAATCCAAATTTATCAATTTATTGAAATTACTTTCAATAAGTCCATCCATCACGGTTGATTCTTCATCCTCCGATTGAGTACTTTCCTTCTCATATTCTTCAGCCATTTTTTTTAAATTTAATAAAAATCAAATTTAATTAAATTTTTAATATCATGGAAAGGGAAGAACACTACTTTATGCAAACAGTGGACCTTCCAAGCAATAAACTTAAAGAGACATAATTTACAACATTTAAATTATTCTAATGTTTAATGGAAAATATTTTTAAAAAAATATGGAAAGATGAATGAAATATTGAGTAGACTTGATGAAGCGAGTGAATCCTCGTCATTATCACCAAAGGATCTATTGAAATATTTAAAGGAACAGGAGCAAACTATTGAATTGTTGATCACCAACCATCGGAACGATTTTAACTTTAATCAATTTGTTTTGAAAATTATACATCATGCTCACAAGTGTGGATTTGAAGAGTTGGTGAGGTTGATATTTGAAAGGATTCAAAGTGATGATTTATTACGAATTTTAAAAGAATCATTGGAAAATTATATTCTTTCTAATGATGATTCTACTTTATGTAGTGTAAATAATTTATTCATGGGGTTGAGATCTTTTCAATCACCATTTGGAATGCTTTCGGAAATGGTTAGAAATAATGTACATAATAATTACCTATCAAAGCAATACGGAGATAAGAATCATGTATATACATTCCTCAAATATTGCTTCAATGAATTTGTAAATATAGTTTTTTGCAATGATCCATACTCCTTTTTCAAAAGTTTGCTGTATAGCTTGATTGTGATTAGGAAAGAGGAAGTTGGAAAGCGAAGGAAAACAGTACAAGGAGCAGATGTAACCAGCAAGGGGTTATACCAATTCAATTTTAAGAACATATTACAATTGTGTGATACAAGCGCTCTGAGGAAACAATTCTTTGGACTTCTTATTCTAGTAGTATTGGAAATACCACAAGAAAAATTGGAAACTCTACTTCCCTCATTCATAGAACAGGAAATTTTAGAAAATGAAGAGATTCTTGGATTATTATTGGAAACTCTGAAAGAAAAGAATGTTGAAAATAGTACTATTGCAATGATTTATAACGCCTTGGTAGTTTTGGAAGATGAGTTAGGACGTGAAGAGGAAAGTAGAGGAATTAACTCGTTTTGTAAAGTCTCTACAATGAAAGACAAGATCTTGAACGATTATCCAAATATGTTCTACTCTGAAGATGAAGTATTCTTGAGAGAAATCAATGCTACAAACAACTTTGATGTCATCATTTATCAGCTTGAGGCAAAATCAATTGAGGATCTGTTGAAACTGTTAAGTTTATCTGACAATACTCATAATTTGACGAACTCAACATTGGCTTGCATTTTTATAATAATTGAACGAATAATGAGTGGAGCAATTGAAAGCTCTCTTACCGAAAAATTATTGTTAGCACAACAGATCAAAGAATATTTACTTAAATTTATCAATTTTGCAACCACTGAGTTCTGTAATTATTACAAAGATATTGTACTGGAGGGAAAGGACGTGTTGGATATGAATCCAAATACAAAGAGATGGAAAGAAACAATGGTTAAGATATTTCAACTGATTGGAAATCTTCAAACAGTTTTCTTTGATGACAATATCACCCAGGAACAAACGGGCTTAGCATTGCTATCTGTAGACAATCAAATCATTCAAAACATTACCTACCTTTACCTGTTTTCCAAAGTATTGGAAGCCACTGGATGTGCTGAGCTCAGTATGGGACTTTCTCAAACACTTCTGAAATTATTGAATATTTCCAATACAGATCACCGAGTAACAATCAATAACAACGATATCAAAGAGGTTTGTATCACATTTTCATTACCAAAAAATCTAAAACTCTTAAAGTTATTCAATGGATCACTGTATATAACACTCTGTATTATGAAGGATGAAAGCATGAGAATTTCAATGGGAGCGGAGGAAATTGAGGCAGTCCAATATATGCATGATCTTTTCAAAAAGACTGAAAGCATTTCAATTCCTAAAATTACTGTGGAAACTCTTGGTTTCATGATGTATAGTATTGTAAATAGCGAAGAAGAGGCGAATAATATTATTTCCAATCCCATGATGTATGTTATTACACGGCTTGGCCCTTTTAGAGATACTATTGAAATCAAGTTATCTTCCAGTGGAACTGTTAAGACTAATGTTCCTCAACCTCTTTATATGTTGACCAGTAAGTATTTAGATATAATGTTGATTTATTAGAAATGATTAGAGTTTATTGAGATTTTTGGAAATGACAAAACAATTTCACCAAGAAATGTTTACACTGCAATGTGTTTCATGATTGGTATAATTGAATCCTACTCAAAGCATTTTTATGAAAGATTAGATTCCACACCATCAGAAAAAAGACCTGCCATGTTTTTATACATTGAAGAGTGTTCAAAACTTTTAGTTTTCAAATTCTCAACCTTGATACCATTATTGAATACTGGAATGAATGCATTTAAAGGGCTAGATAGTATATATTTGAAGGCTTGCACCTCATACATGTCATTTATTAGTGCATTTCTATTGAAATTATCAAAGTCAAGAAAAATTGAGCTGGTTTCAGTGTTAATCAAACAGTGGTATGATAGGTTGCTCCAAGAACCAAAAAATCCCAACTACCATTCAGATCTACAAGCTATGGAACAGGTTCCTGTGTTCTTCATGTTTCATCACCTTCTCAAAACTAATTATTTCTTCAAAATGATGTCCCACGAAGATTCAATTGTTGGAGTTAAACTCTTGAATTCAGCAGAAAAAACAGGAAAGGTATTTGAATTTTTCTCGATATATGTGGATGCATGGCTAGACATAGCAATGAATACTGATTCCCTTAATTTTGACAAGATAACATCCAAATCATTGACCAAAGCAATATTGGAAATATTTAATCAATATATTTCCGCTAAAGACTCTTTCGAGTCACTTTCAAATATTGATATGTTTGTCAATTCCACACTCAAAATATTCAAAAGCGAATTTATTAATGATGCAAGAGGTAACCTTTTGAAAATATATGATAAGATAACAGAGATAGATAAGGTAGCTCTTGCTTTCTTGGACTCTTTGGAAAGCTTGGATAACAAGCATCCATTACATAATTTTTTGGAAATTTTGGAAAAGAAGCCAAAAGAAGATGGTGTAACATTCTCAGTCAAATATAATACTCTAATGATTTTTGAGAAAATGGCCAAGCACATGAAACGAGTTATTCCCAAAAATCCTGAAAAGATTGATTCTCTTATTGATTTTTTGAAAAAGCATTCCATAGTTCAGAGAATGGTTGCAATAATCAATATCAAAGATGTAGATCCTAATATTAGCGAGGAAAGTCTCACTTCATATTTCAATTACTACGAGTCATTGTTGGATGCAATCCTTCCACTCTTGACAGTACTTCCTAAAAACGAGGAATACTCTATCAATTTAATTTCTGAACCACCTCTCACTACATTGTTGTGTAAATTATTCCAAAATAACCGAAAGCACATACTGAAAAAGTTTCCAAAACTATTGAGCACACTTTTTACTCTCTATGAGAAGTGTCTACAAATATTTGTAGTCTATTCCAAAACATCAAAAGAACATGCAAAATTAGAAGAATTGCGTGAGAAACTCTTTTCCAAATCTTTCATTTTCATTATCAAGACATGCTTTGTAAATATTCCACTGAGTAATCAAGATGCTTATTTGTGGAAAAGAAGTGATGATCCTGGTAGAGATCTTGCTAACTCATTAATTAATATCATTTCAGAAATAACTCAAGCGATAACTTCTGCTCCAAACTTGTTCAGGAATTATTCCCAAGTTTTAGAGGAAAATGGTGTGTTGCCAATTTTACAGAAAGTTGATCTTCCACATCCAAAATTGAAAATTATTATTGAAAGATTATCCAATAATAACTCATCATCTCCCTCCTTGAAACAATATCCTTCATTTGCTAAGCCAAGCTCATCAAGTTCTGTACCACCAGCCACAAATACACCACCAGCAAATGACAGCAGTAATAACTCAAACAATGCAAGGTTTCAAACTACAAATGCATCATCGTCCACACCAAAACCTCCTGTTTTTAGACCTCCAGATTCGGCTTCAAATCAGACAGCTACCAAACAAGTATTTAAACCACCTCCTAGAAAATAAATTATTTCCTTCTTTTTTGATTATAATTCTTACTGTTATTATTACTGCTAGAAGCATTAGAATTAGGATTTTTAAGCTTTTCAATTTCTTGTTTTGCAGTATAATATAGTTTGGAAATATTAACACGAAGTTGATTGTTTTCAGTTTCCTTCTCCTTCAATTTATGTCTTGTTTCATCCAATTGTTGTCTGAGTTTTTCCACTTCAGTTTTCAACTCTTCTATTACTTTCCGATCATAGTCCCTTCCTAACAAATCACTGACAAAATCGTGTACTTCTTCGTTAGACATTTTTTATTATTAATTTACAACCTTTAGACAATATTCAATTACAATCTTTCAGCAAAGATTTGAGTCATATCAAACTTGATAAAGGTTCTTTGATAGGCAAACAATGGTCCAGAAGCATTGTCTTGTCTTTCGTAAGCAACGTAGACGTTATTCTTAGCAAAATCAAAAACAGCAGCTTGAACATTACCAGTGGCAGCCATACCCATAATTTGAATTGCTGTTTCAACATCATATTGACCATAATACTTTTGCATCAAAGCACCAAGACAGTATGAGTGAGTTGGTTGTGGATGCTTATCCCAGTAAACAACTTGCTTCAATCTTGGATGTTGTGGATAGACAGGTTGAGTCATCCAATTGTAGACATTGAGTTGTTTGGCACTATATTCAACACCTCTGAATTCACCATTAGTACTAGAACCAATACCAACATGAATACTGCAAGTTCTTTGAGTATTAATCAATTGAGTGAGACCAGAATCCAAATCAGTAGCAAATTGGAGAACATCACGAAGAGCAAAAGTCCATGGCTATATTTTAAATCCATATTAAAATTATATTGTTATAATTGAAATAGCATTGATAAATTATAAAAAGGAAAATAAAAATCTTAATATTAAAAATCATCACTCAACACTTACCTTACCAATTCTAGCATTATTTTCTGGATGGCCCAACCAAACCTTTTCAGAAATGGCAATGCTTGAATTACTGTAACCAGTAATAGAACCAATCAAACCACAGAAACCAATGTTAGCAAAAGCTTGAGAACCAGGTTCAGTTGGGTGATAAACAACCATAGCTTTGCATGATCTGACAGGACTGTGAATATCCCAATCCAATGCACGAATTTGCAACAAGGTTCCATTAATTGATTTAGTAGCATCACCCCAAGCTCCGAACATTGAGCATGCAGCTTGAATAATTTCAGGAATATAATTCATACGGATCAATGATTTAAAACTCATTCCAGAACCATCAGCAATACCTTGTAATTCATCAATGAAACGTTTAGGAACATATGATTTAGTAAATTCATAATTTAAATCAAGAGCAGACTCCAAACCAAATTCAACAATATATTCAGCCCATTCCTTTGGCAACTTATCAAGAATATGTGTCATATTCAAGATTAAGTCATCCAAATACTTATCAAAGGTTGGAATTAAAACACTCAATTCAGGTTTAAACAATTCACCATAGGCTTTACCCATTTCATAGGCTGATCCATAAACATGAACCAAAAACATGGTATCATCACCAGCACCAGCAAGGAAACGTTTACCATTTTGTGTTGATCTGACAAAGGATGGTGGTCTTGTATAGATGGTATTAGTATTTGGTGCTCCATCACAATCAGAGAATTTATCTTGTTGTTGTGCTTGTTTGATAATGTGTGAGAGTTTTCCCTGTCTCGATTCAACAAGTGTTGTAGAACAAATCGACAAGATAACCAACAACAAGGTGATGGTCAATAAATTAGATATTTTGATCTTCATGATGATAGATAGCTCACTCCTCCGAAGATTTGGTTTTGTTTTTTAAAAGCATCCAGTTAATTAGCCAATGTGCTTCCTTCCTCACATCTCTCTTCAAGACAACATATGGAAAACAATGTTCTTTGAAGAATCATCAACAAAAAAAATGGACGGTTGACGATGGAGTAAGCCTCAAACCAAGTTAAAATGGAATATTAAATCAGTAAGGAGTTATTAAAGGAGTTAAGAATGGTTTTTTGTAATCTTGAGTTTAAATAAGAGGTTACAGAGGGAGGTGTTATTAGTTTCGAAATTGTATGCTCTGTTCAACAAAGTGATGAGTCAAATCATGTTTGCTGCTTGTTACTTATTGCATTTACTTGAACAGTAGATAACTTAGTAAAGAATAATTTTGTTTTAAGTGTTATACAGAATTTACAGATTAAATAATTATTTCAGTTTTGAGCCAAAATACTCCAGGTCCTCTAACGATATAATGTTCACCATGTGGACAAATAGAAAGAGATTCTTCAAATGCAGTAAGTCTTCCAATATCCTCAATAATAAATTCATCACTGGCTGTTAATGGAATTTCAATATGTGTGTCAGTGGCAAAGACAATAACTTGAGATTCTTGTGGATCTTTAGCTCTCACTTTATGGAAGTTATGAGCGGATTGTGTTGTGCTATTGCTAATGGTTACTTCTTCCACTTGGAAATTTGATAATGGCAAAACTGTTGTGACAAAGAGAATATCTTCCAATGATTTCAAACAGAGTACAGGATTTTTCTATTCCATAATTAATAACAAGATTTAAAACACTCAAAAACTTACACAATCCAATTCTAGGGCTGTAATTCTTTGATTTCCAGACTGTGTTGATAAATAAATGTCATCACTTCCACTATTACTTCCATTTTGGAAAACTTTAACTGGTACCTTATCTTCAAAAATGTTGGTCAAAGAAGAAGAAAGAGATGCTGCTCTTGCCAGAGTTATCACATTGGAATTAAGCATAGGTACAATAATCTTTTGATTCTTATTGTTTAAAGTGAGATGTACAACAGAGTGATGTAAAATATTGTACTGTTGGAGAATCAATTTGAGAGAAGATGGTGGACTTGGTGTTGCAATTGATATGATATTTCTGGATTGGTGGGTTTGCAATGGTGGTGGTTTTTTCTTAAATGCTGGAACAGGGGGAAGATGAAATTTGGACATTTCCATTTTTTCTGCTTCGAATTGGCTCTTTTTTGAGTTAAATGGTGGTGGAACTTTTGGTGGTTGACTTGATCTCAATAATTCGTCATCAGTAAGATCAGTTGAATCAGCAGTAAGGGAAGCGATTGGCTCGGAAGTATGTTGAACAGAGCCATTTCCAACTAATAAATCGAGGGCTTCATCATCTTCTGGGCTTTTAATCTCCTCATCCAATCCACAGGTATTTAAACCTGTTTCAGTATTTTGATAACACAAATCAACAACAAAATCATTTGCACTCATGTCCTCACTCTTCTTTGGGGTAAGAGTAGATTCTGAAGATACAGTTTCTGTATGGAAATAAGTAGTGTTCATAGATCCAAAAGTTGAGAATGAAGAAATCCCCAACTCTGAAGATGGAGTTTGACTATATTTTTCATGAAGTCTTTCCAAATATTCATCCTCACTAATAGATTCGGAACTACTAACAGTACCAGCTGATGGATTGATAATTGTCAAATGATGTGGAGAGGTTGGTGTTGTTCTATTTGAACGTGGTTGTTCTGTTTCTAACTTGGAACCAATAGTGAGAGTCGGTTGTTCCTCTTGATGATGATCATTATTACCTGTTACTGTTGGATCAAGTAGAGGTTTATCCGATACTACATCATCGGATGCTGTGAGTTGTGGTGTTGGTTCTTGATGTTCTTCAGCCATTTTTTATGTTGATTTTTCTTCCTTGTCCTTTTTTTACATTCAAAGGTAAATTTAGAGGTCGGTAGTAAGAGCGGCAGATGACGAAGTACTTGTGAAACATTTTTGGAACTCAAATATTTATCTCCTACCAAAAATTACATTATTAATCTTTTATAAATTCTTCCTAAACAAGAGTTTTAATGATTGGGGGAATTTATAATTTTAATTAATATCCAAATTTTATTCTAAAAATTGAAATAAAAAAAATGGCTAGTCATGATGAGGAAGTTTACATTGCTGAATTTTATAGTGGTATCGGAGGAACAAGAATGTCTCTTGAAATGATTCAAGCCTTTTTTGAGGCACAAGTAAATGGAAAGAAAATTAAATTTAATTGGATTGAAGCTTTTGATATTAATGAAAATGCAAATACTCTTTATAATAATTTATTTAATCACAAACCATGTGCAAAGGATATTGTGCATATTCCTATTGGTGATTTTCAAAATCATTATTTTAAATTATTTAAAAATTCATCATTGGAGCAAGCAAAGAAGAAATTAAAAACTGAACAAACAAGAAAATTAATGTGGACCATGTCTCCTCCTTGTCAACCATTTACTTTGAACGGAAATAGAAAAGATAGTGAAGATGATAGGTCTAAGAGTTTTCTCTTCTTGATGGCAGATTTATTTCCTCAAGTTCTACCAGATTACATTTTTGTGGAAAATGTAAAGAATTTTGAAATATCTAAAACAAGACAACATTTAGTGAATCAATTGGAAAATTTTGGATACAAGTATGAAGAATACTTGATTTGTCCAACACAATTAGGACTTCCAAATCAGAGAGTTAGATACTATTTAATTGGAAAGAGAGTAGCTAATATTACACCTCCATTAGAAAAAACAGAAGAGCTTAGAGAAATACCATTACATCTGATAACAGATCCACCAAAAACTATTTTAAGAGATCAGGAGCCTTTACGACCAAAAATTGATTTTGAGAGCTCATATGGAAAAGAGAAAATTCTACAATTAGGAGCAAAGTTAATCGACTTGTATGATTTAAATTCTATTTTACTCACACCTGGGGAAGAGAAAAAATACCAAACTGATATGATTTATTTGAACGAGAAAAATATAACAAAAATCAAAGGTTACAGATACGACCTAATTTTCAAAGATCCATATGGAAAGAAGAATTTAACACCAATCAAATCTGAGTGTAGTTGTATCACAAAATCATATGGTCAAGTTCAATTCCTTAGAGGAACAGGACCTATAGTATTGATTCTTGATGAAAATCAAATGTTAGATATTGATTCTAATGAAACCATTTATAAGAAAATTGATTTTGAAAATCCAGTAGAAACCATGATGCCACTTGGAAAGCTTCGATTTTTACATCCAATTGAGGTATCACGACTAATGACATTTGTTCCTTGGATAATGAACAACACAGGCAAACTTACCGTTAAGCAACTTTACAAGTTGATGGGAAATTCTGTTAATCCAATTACTCTTGCAAACATAATTTATTTACTATTTTCAAGTGATTCATTTTTGGCTTAATTTGTCTACAATCCTCTTAAGGTTATTTTTTGCGCTTGTGTAGCAATTGTCAATCTTGATTGCAGTTTCGAAATCAAATCTAGCTGCCTCCAGGTCTTCCATACATGTTTCGTATATACGACCCCTCATATTGAAAAGCACAGCGTTGGAAGGATCATTTGCTATTGCTTGATTAATGATGCTTAATCCTGTTTTGTGGTCTTTTAATTTGTAGCAATACAAGTTAGCACGATTTAAAAATACATGGACTGATTTCGAATCATACTTATCAGTGATTAAACTATAATCCTTAAGTGCTTGTTGATAGTTTTGCATATCCTCGTAACATAATGCTCTTATGAAATGAGTAAGTGCTTTAAACGGTCTACAACTGTCATCCATATCATGTATTATTGAATCTAGGTCACTGAGGCAATTTTCATAATCCTTTTTGATTATTCTATTGTACAGAACTCTTATCAACATAGATTCATCTTCAGTAGTAGTGTTAATATTTGCTTCTACCATATTTTCAATGAGTTTTTCGGTTATAGAGTGTGATTGCAGTTCCAAAACATCTATAATGGTCAAATATATTTTGAAGGAATCGTTAAGACTTCTAGAATTCCTTATTTCCTTTGATTTAGAGACAAGAATGTCCAATATGTGAGTGTGAGATTTCTGAGCTGGTTTTTCTTTCTTGACATCTTTGAAAATTTTCTCTATTCTTTGTAAATTATCCTTCGCTTCCAGATTCTTTGGATCAAGCTTTAATGCAAGAATGTAATCAAGCCTAGCTGATTCAAAATTTTTAAACCCAACTTCGAAAACCTTTCCTCTTCCAACCAAACAAGGTACTGAGCTGGCTTGTATTTTCAATGCTCGATTGTAATCTGCTAAAGCCATATCAAATTCACTAATCTTGAAGAATAATTGAGCTCTACTTAAAAATGCTGCAAAGTAATCTGGAGATAGAATGATTGCATGATTGTAATCTCTCAATGCGCTTTCCCAGTCATCTAATGAATTCTTGTACAAATCTGCTCTGCATTTATAAAGCATTGCAATGTTAGGATGATTTTCAATACCAATATTTAAATCGTTGAGAGCTGCCTCTACTTGGTCTGATCTTTGTAATATTAATGATCTGGAAACATATGCTTTGTAATAGTCGTAATCCTCAATTATTTTTCCGAAATCCATTTTGGCTTCAGAATATCTTTTAAGATCAACGTAGCAACATCCCCTTATATAGTGTGTTAAACATACAAGTAAATTGTGTTCACTTGTTTGGATTTCCAACAAATTAGTGCAGAAAGAAATGGTCTTGTGATTGTCCATTAAAATAGATCTGGAAAATATAGCACAACAAAATAAGGCAAGGGTGTAGTTTGGACTTTCTTTAACAGAATCCAAAAAGGAATACATATTATGTTCTTTGGAGTCCAGAATTGATATTTTCCTCTTCATTTCATTGTATATTTGTTCAGCTTTTGAGCATTCTGTTTGTACAATTATTTCATTTGATAAAAAGAGCAAATAATCCACAGTCATTATTTCATCAGATGATGAGCTTGGTTTGGAATCATCATTTCTATCAACTCTTTTGGGAGTGTACTGTCTTGACCTTGCTGTTTCCTTAACTTCATCAGCAGCATCCTTCTTGATTTTTTCAATCAGTGCATCCTTCTTCTTTTCAACCATCTTCTTAGCTTCATTGATGATATTCTCGATTAGATTTTTAACAAGCCTTTCCTGTTCCTCAAAAATCTGTTTTACATTTGTATCCTTACTAAGTTCTGCTTGCTTTTCCAATTCCTCGATCATTTCATCAATATTATATTTAGGTTGCTCCTCTTCCATCAAAACTTCTGGTTGATCACTTGCTCTCAACTCCTCTAGCTTTTTCGTATATTCCTGTTCGGTAAGAAATCCCTCCCTTAGTAGTGTGTTGAGAAGTATTTCCGAACTGGGACCTTCAGTATTGTTGTTCATTTTTTTAAAATCTTTTTTCAAATTAAACGGCTAGTTATCAATAAGGGTTATGGAAAGTTTATTCATTGATAAGGAACAAATATCGAATTGTGTTTACACCTTTAATTCTTGCTAAATATCACTCTCAGATGAACAAAATGATGTTTGCCGCCAAAACCCATACAATTTTTGCGCCAACTTTAAAAAAAATGTCAACAGGGGATATTAAAAACAACGTTGAAAAATTAAGAACGCAATTAAGAAGTATTCATTATAATGGGAGTTTTGATGTTGAGGGAATAATAAACGGAAAACCAGAAGTGTTTCTGCCGTTATTGAATTATACACTGCTGCAGTTTAGCAAATCTTTAGCCAAATTCTTTATACAAAAGGGATATTTATTCCATAATCTTTCCGATTCAAAGTTTATTGAAACTGTTTACCGATTATTAATTAACGAGTTTGCATACAATCCAAGTTTGAGCATTATTTACTTCTTATCTAGCGGATTTTCAGAGAGAAAGGTCTTGTTCCTTTGTGATGTAATTCATTACTGTAAAAAAAAGCATAATGAATTGGTAAAGACTAAAAAGAAGAGCCTCTTTGAAAGAGGAAAGGAAAAGGAAAAAGATCATCCAAAGAAGACTGAGGAATCAAAATCTCAACAGCCAGAAGTACAAAAGAATATTCCTGATATTGTTAGAGAACCAAAGCATGTTGTTTTGGTCAGAAAAGAACCTGAATATCAACTAGATGTCGATGACTCGAACGTCGATACTACAGTATCTTCTGCTCTCAATGAGAGTGACATATTTATACGTGCTTTGAATGATCTTTCGCATAGAATGATGGATAGTATTCAAAAGCTTGACGATAAGGTTGACAAGAATTTATCCAGTCTTAGAGACAGAGTATTTTTAGTGGAGAGAAGAGTTCAAGCTCTGGAAGAAAGTGCAAAACAGAAAGCTCAAAAGGAAGAAGCACTACAACTAAATCCAACATCTCGAATTTCTCGATCGCCTGAAAGGATACCAAACACAAACCACATACCTCAACAATTTTTTACACCTGCAGTGAATCATGGCAGTCCGCCAATGCCAAAAAGGCAAATCAGCGACACTGAAGATTTTATCAACCAACTAGCTCAAAAACATAAAATAAAATTGTAATTTATTGTAAAAACTTTTCAAGTTGAGATTCTTGTGATTTTTCAGCATCTTCTGCTCTTAACACCTCAATTGAACCCTTACTATCACCAACCAACACAATTGGAACATCTTCAGCGAATATTGTGCAATTCAGCTTTCCAGGTTTTGTCTTGGAATATTTTGGTCTAACTGTTGAATAGCTCAAATCCCAAAGCTCCAAATCTCCAACAATGGATGAAGTAGCAAACATTGTCGAGCAATACTTACTCCAAGCAACATCTGTCACAGAGTAAGAACGTTGATCACTCTTCTCAGAGTATGACTCGATAGTAAATATTGGTGTTAATGATTCTTGATTCCATATCTTCACTGTCCAGTCAGCACTACAAGAAATAAACATGTCAGGAACGACAGGATTCCATCTCACAGAGTAAACAGGACCTGTGTGATCAATGTATGTTTCAAGAGGGTGTTCATTATATGAGCTAGAGCACTTGAAGATAGCACCATCTTCTGTACCAACAAGATAAATCAAATTGTCAGAAGGTGAGAAATCAATACTCATACCACCCGATTCTCTTGAAATCATGGCATCTCCTCCCATATCTGTTGCTCTTCCTATTCTCTTCAATCTCATTATTTCTGATGATTCCAAACCTTTCTTAATTGTCCATGAATTTACTCTACCATCTACACCAACCGAGTGCAATTTCTCGCCAACATCCTTTCCTCGATTTACCCATTTTAGATCCCAAACTGTACCTGTATGACTCTTAATAGTTTCCATTACTGGCGTATTTTCCTTTCTTCTGATATCGTAAATTGATACAGTACCATCACTTAAACCAGCTGCCAAAATACTAGGATTAGTGGCAGAGAAATTTACACTGTTAACACCAGCTCCATCTACCTTAAGAATACGTTCTGGGTAGGCTGGATTCTTAACATTCCAACAGAGAATGACACCATTAGATTGATGTAAATCAGTAACATCTCCAGATCCATAAGCTGCTGCCAGTATGTCATTATTCTGCTTATTCCATGTGAGGTTGTTGACATTGTAGTTTTTAACCACATCACAATTATATTCCCAAAGAGTTGTGAGAACTCCTGATGGTTTAGTGTTGACAACATCTTCTTCAGTATCACTTTCAGCCTTATCTTTTTCTTCATCCTCCCTTTCCTTTTCTTTTTCGTCCTCTCCTTTAGCAACTTCTTCCTCTTCGAAAGTGTCACTTCTTGGAGTTTCTTGAGAGTCGTTTGGCGATTTTGAGGCAACCTCCTCTTGAACTTCTTTAGTTTCAGATTGTTCTTCAGGAAGTGGTAATAAAGGCACATCTCTATCATCTGCATTAATGTATCGTTTTTGTCTGTTATGGAATATATTTTGTACAACTGCTCTTGTTATTACAAGTTCTTGGTAGGATGAAACAGATGTCTTTTCGCTGCCAACTCTTCCACTCTTAACACTGATATCATCAGCTCCATCATCCTCCAAATCTCCTTCTTCCTCGTCTTCCTCATCTTGCTTGTTTGATAGTGAGGTCATTATTTCCCTTTCTTCCCTTTCTCGTTCTTCTCTTTCTCGAATATCTTTATAATCATCAAATATTTGATAAGCTGAAACTTGAACTTCAACTTCTTCGTATTCTGTCTTCGAAGTGTTTGTTCTCTTGTTTTTGTAAAACTTTTCCATTGTTTGTACATGTTTATCCATATAATTATCTCTATTATTTTCCTTATTTTTCAGCAATTCCTTATAGACCTTGTTTTTTTCTCTAATTTCTTCAATCTTAGGATCGTCAACCTTTACACTCTCATCAAATTTATCAAACAGGAAAAATGTTTCAGTTTCTGTTAAGGATATAGTAAAATCCACTTCTTGTAACATTTCCAATTGTTTTTCAGTTAATTTTTCCTCGTTGGAACGATCCAAACTTATTGAAGGAACGTCACTCTTTTTAATAAAACTATCCACTGCTCCAATATTATCCAAATCTTGAGCTAAACTCAAATCTACAGATCCAGCAGTGCTGAAAGTGTCATCATTACCCACAGGACCACTGAACACAAATGACTCCTCATCGTCACTCACAACAGATGGACTTGATGAGCCAGCTTGACTAGCCTCTCCTTGAGGAATATCTCTTCCGAAACTGTATGAAGAAGCTCTATCAAAATCAGAAATTGATTCACTCTAAAACAATATTAAATACAATTCCATCTTATTAAAAACCTACTGCTGATGAAGGAGAAATATTTCCCGATTGATATGATCCTGCCATATCTGCTGATGTATTTTGAGAGAATAATGGTGCAGGATTTTTGATTTGTTTTGTTACTGGGTCAACAGCATCAAATGAATCCTTAGTTTTTCCTAGCATTGTTTGAAATCTCTTCTTCATTCCTTGAAGAGTAATTGATGATCCAACATTCTTTTTTCCAAATCCTTTTTTCGAATCGGATTTTCTTGATTTTGATGTTCTCGATGTTGACGACCCTGTATTGAGTTGAGTGGACATTCTACGAGATTCCCTGTTTGTAGAACTGCCTGCTCTAGAGGACGTTGGTGGATCTTGGAATGGGTTTCTATTCATTTTTTTTTGTAGATAAAATTGGCGGTAAATTTTGAACCAACAATAATGACAAAATTGTGTTTTTAATTTAGAAAGCAGCAAGACCAGTAATGCTTCTACCTAAAATCAAAGCATGGATATCATGAGTTCCTTCGTAAGTATTTACAGATTCAAGATTGGCAGAATGTCTAATAATATGATATTCATCAGCAATACCATTACCACCCAACATATCTCTACAAACTCTGGCAATTTCAAGAGCTTTACCAGCATTATTTCTCTTCAACATTGAAATCATTTCAGGAGCCCATTCACCCTTATCCTTAAGTCTACCCAATTGAACACATGAAACAAGTCCTAAAGAAATTTCAGTAAGCATGTCAGCCATCTTCTTTTGTGGCAATTGATTTTGAGCAAGTGGTCTACCAAATTGCTTTCTATCAATTTGATATTGACGAGCAGTGTGGAAACAGTATTCAGCTGCACCCAAAGCTCCCCAAGCAATACCATATCTAGCACTATTTAAACAAGAGAATGGACCACCAAGACCAGAAGCATGAGGCAACAAATTTTCAACTGGAACATGGACATCATCCATACCAATTGAACCTGTAATTGAAGCTCTGAGAGACATCTTTCCTTCAATCTTTGGTGCAGTGAGACCCTTCATTCCCTTTTCAAGAATGAAACCTTTAATTTTACCTTCGTGTGCTTCACTTCTAGCCCAAACAACGAAAATATCAGCAATTGGTGAGTTAGTAATCCACATCTTTGAACCATTCAAAATATAATATTTTCCACATTGTGATAACTTGGCTTTTGTTTCCATACTACTTGGATCCGATCCGTGATTTGGTTCAGTTAATCCAAAACAACCAATTAATTCACCAGTAGCAAGTTTTGGCAAATACTTTTGCTTTTGTGCTTCATTACCCCATTGGTTAATAGGATGCATAACAAGGGAGCTTTGAACAGACATTGCAGAACGATAACCACTATCAACTCTTTCAACTTCACGAGCAACAAGTCCATAAGCAACATTTGAAGCACCAGCACAACCATGTCCATGAATATTGATACCTAACATACCCATTTCACCCATTTCTCTCATAATTTCAGGGTCAAAATGTTCCTTTCTATTGGCTTCCAAAACTCTTGGCATGAGTTTTGCTTGACAGTAACCATGGACTTGATCACGAATTTCCTTTTCTTCTTCGGTGAGCAAACTTTCAACATTAAGTGGGTCTTTCCAGTTGAAGCTAACCATAACTTCCTTGTGTTGGGTTGCGTTTGTTGAAAAACATCTGGAGTTATTGCTGATGAGTGATGCAAGACCGGACTTGTTGGAATTTTTGGTGATGACTTTTCTAGCTGATGAAAGCATCTTGGTGGTGATTTGAAATTTTTTAATTGTTGTAATTTTAATTTCAATTCGATAGACCACCTCAAGCACAACATTATCCTGCATGAAGCTTCAACGGATATTGAGTGAAGCTCATTTTTGATTGAGGTGATTCTATTCAACCCCAAAGAGGTAGTTAGTTTTGGAACAACCCCAGCCGCTCATTCAGGTTTACATTAAGAATAAACTTTTAAATTGCTGCACTAGTTCCTTACTTGATGACATATCATTTGCCTTGTCCATTAGTATGAATAATTTGACACGATTAATATCTCAAGGAACATTTCTGAATTTCTAACAAGTGCAAATGGATATTTGAAATTGAGAGAAGTTTCAAATCTAAATTGTAATACTGAGTGCAGAGGAACAACGCTTCATCTTTTAATATATTTCCTTATTATCTTTTTTGTAATAAAAAATTAAATTTAAATTGAGAATATTAAATATTTTAGTTTTTTTACATGCTATTTGGAGTTAGCTAGCTTACAATGTACAGTTTGAATTGAAATGATGATGACGTTGTTGTTGTTGTATTCAAACCTCCAATCCAAAAAAAGTTTGATTAATTTAAACTCGGTGGAAATTAACATTAATACCAAAAGCCTTTTCAGCTGATGCGTGAGCATCGTCTGATGGCAAGCTTTCTGACATTGTTGGATCGCACAAGAAATCCTCAAATTCAATATTTTCATCGTCTCCCATTAATACACTCAAGCCAACTTTGTTTGATTGAAGTGATGGCAATCTTAAAGAAGCACCGAATATCTTTTTTTGCATCTCCATATGCATAGGCATATGACTTCCGAAGTTTCTAGCCATAATAAAGTATTGTCTCTTCAATTCATCTTTTTCATACTAAAATATACAATCATCACAAGATCAAATAATTATTCTACCTACCTTCCTGAGCACTGATTCAACAGGATGAGAAATTGGTGTGGCAACTCTTTGGGTACCAGTGGAAACATTAACGGATGGAGGATCTAATGGGATTTGGTTCATTTTTTATGATTTGATTAAATGACGCAAGTTATTTTTAGCATCCATTTTACGTAAATACAATTTTTCAGAGGTGTAGAATCGAACACTTGACCTTTGCAAACAAGAATTTAAATTAAAATATTTATTATTAAATCATTGTTAGTAGTGACCTGATGGTAAAACATTGAACTCTTGGGTGTTCACAGTTAAAAAAAAAAGTTAAATGAAGGAGTATAACTGTGATGAATCAGAGTCTAGAATTCCAAAACTCATCAGATACTTTATTAATCCTTATAATATTATTATAAGGGTGGGCTCATTTGTTGAGCGAATTGTTTATTAACTCTAAATAAGGTTGTTTACAGTTCAGTAAAGTATCTCCATTTTCTAGGTCAGTGACTTTTTAAGCCTCTAGACGGTTCAAATACATTGGCTGTATCTTCAATAATGACTCTAGACATTGTATCCAACACACAATTTTCACACAAAGCCAATCCAATCATTGGTAATACTTTGCATGAGGGAAGTGTAAGGGTTTCATTTTCTGTAGAATACATGTTGTAATCTTTGTTTCACACAGAGGTTGTTGTGTTGAAAAATGGACTTGAACGCACTGCATTCATTATTTGCGCTCTCCTTTGAAAACAATTTGGCTAATTTGAATTTTTGAAAAATTTATTGCATAAAAAAATGAAAAACGTCGCTAGAATTATTTCCAGCAAAAAGTTAGCAAAGTCATCATCTAGAGCCCTTGCTTTAGCTAGTACCCAGGAATGCAAGAATAGTTTGATCAGATCAACAACAGGGTTTGCTACTCCACAACAACAACAATTTTCTACATTTATTAATCCTTCTGTTTTCAAGACTACTAATTATGTTAGAGCTCCAGAAACCAACGATCAACCAAAAGAACATTACTTTAACAAAATCTTGATTGCCAACAGAGGTGAAATTGCCGTCCGTATCATTAAAACTTGTAGAAAGCTTGGAATTAAGACCGTAGCCGTTTACAGTGATGCTGATGCTAACAACAAACATGTTAGAATGGCTGATGAAGCTGTATATATTGGTGGTTCTTCTCCTGCTGATTCATATTTGAGAGCCAACAGAATTATTGCTGCAATGAAGCAAACCGGAGCTGAAGCTGTGCATCCAGGTTTTGGTTTCTTATCTGAAAATGCCTCTTTTGCTAAAGCTATTGAAGATGCTGGACTCGTTTTTATTGGTCCACCATCATCTGCAATTTCTGCTATGGGAGACAAGATTGAAAGTAAGATTATTGCTGAAAGAGCTAAAGTTAACATTATTCCTGGCCATCAAGGTGAAGTTTTCAGTGCTGATGAATGTATCAAAATTGCTGCTGAAAAGATTGGTTATCCAGTCATGATTAAAGCTTCCGCTGGTGGTGGTGGTAAGGGTATGAGAATTGCCTATAATGAACAAGAATTGAGAGAAGGTTTCAGATTGAGTCAAGATGAAGCTATTAGAAACTTTGGTAGTGATAAGATGTTGATCGAAAGATTCGTTGAAAATCCAAGACACATTGAAATTCAAATTATTTGTGACCAACATGGAAATTATCTTTATTTGCCAGAAAGAGAATGTTCCATTCAAAGAAGAAATCAAAAGGTCATTGAAGAAGCTCCATCTTCAGTAATTGATGAAGCAACTAGAAAGGCTATGGGTGAACAAGCTGTTGCTTTGGCTAAGGAAGTTGGTTATTTCTCAGCTGGTACTGTTGAAATGTTGATTGACTCAAATAAGAACTTCTACTTCTTGGAAATGAATACTCGTTTGCAAGTTGAACACCCTATTACTGAATTCATTACTGGTATTGATTTGGTTGAACAAATGATTCGTGTTGCTGCCAAGAAGCCATTGTTGCTCAAGCAAAAGGATATTAAGATTACTGGTCACGCTACTGAATCCAGAGTTTATGCTGAAGATCCAATGAATAACTTCTCACCATCTGTTGGTACTCTTCACACATACATTGAACCAAGAGATGACGAAGGAAGAATCAGAGTTGACTCTGGTATTTTGGAAGGTTCTGAAATTTCAGTTTTCTACGATCCAATGATCAGTAAGACTATTGCTTACGGAAAGGACAGAATGGAATCTATTAACAGAATGGTTGAAGCTCTCGATACCTATGTCATTCAAGGTGTTCGTCATAACATTTCTTTGCTTCGTGATATTTTGGTTACTGAAGATTACAGGAAGGGTAACATTACTACTAAATTCATTCAAAAGCACTACCCAGAAGGATTCAAGGGTATTAAGCTTTCATCTGATGCTAAATCATCACTCATTGCTTCAGTCGGTTTGATGGAATATATTGCTAATAGAAGAGATTTCCAAATTACTGGTCAATTGCCAAGAGCTCAACCACCTAAGACTACTAAACTCTTCGTTAACATTGATAAGGAAGCCTATCCAGTTTCAATTACCCAAGAAAAGGGCAAGTATATTGTTGAATTTAAGGATCACCTCTATGTCGCCAAGACTAGCTGGGTTGTTGGTACACCAATCTTCCGTGCTGTTCTCAATGATAATCAATCAGTCATTGTTCAAGTTGGTGAAAGAAAAGGTACTACTCAATTTGTCAGTTTCATGGGTACTGAATTCAAGTTTGATATCAGAACTCCAAAGGAACAAGAATTACACAAGCACATGCCAGTTATTATTCCACCAGATCGTTCTAAGATGTTGATTGCTCCTATGCCAGGTGCTATTGTTTCAGTTGCTGTTCAACCAGGTCAAAAGGTTTTGGCTCACCAAGAATTGGTCGTCATTGAAGCCATGAAGATGCAAAACGTCCTTAAGTCTTCTACTGAAGGTATCATTAAGGAAATCAAGGTTAAGGCCGGTGATATTGTTGGTAATGAAGCTGTCTTGATCACTTTCGAATAAATTGTAAAAAATCTCTTTGTAATATTTACTACAGTTAAAATGTGATGTATCAGGATAATGTTTTGGATATTAAACTACAATACTGCTTCGTCCAATTACGTGATATCAAATTATTGTTTTTATTAAAATGGGTGATGAAAATCATAAAAAATAGACCTATGGCTGATGAATCAACCAAAAAAAACCAACCATCAACACTTGTCCCATCAAGTAAACTCAATGGGTGATGTTTTTGCCCAACAATTTAAAATTCAGTGCACTATGATGTTCAAAGGCTTATTTTACGAGTATCTCCATCAACACATTACCCACTCATCATGAATGGCAACGGCTGCTGCTGTGGTGTTGCATCAAAGTCTGATTGAGGTTGTTATTATCACGCTGCAACAATTAAGAAGAATAACAATTAGAAAAAAAGAAACAAATGTTTAGAATTTCTCCTTCGACTGGAACACCTCCAAGACCAGTTATGAATAATCAATTATCATCACAACAACAACACTATTCTAATACTAACAATACTACTCCTAATAATACAACTAATCAAAAGCAACAACTAATGCAACAAGATAATCAATTATCATCTCCTACCACTACTCAATATCCATCACCTCCAACTCTTTCAATGTTTACCAATTCAACTACTTCAAGTAGTAGTGACAATGCCAGTACTAACGACAGTTATATGAGTGATGATAGTTCGAATTTGAGGAGAAGAAGAGACTTTGATGCACTCTCCTCAATGGAAAATACCACACCACAAGGAACAATGGAAGAAGAGAATCAAACAGTTTCATTTTCCAATATTTCTGCAGCACAACCAACTAGAAACAAGAAGAGAAAAAAGAATTCCTCACCAAACTTTGAAGAGATTTCATCCCCAAGTTCTCCTAAAGGACGTGATACAAATAATATTGAGCTTGATGACTCTTTCGAACAAAAGTTTTCTAAAGCAATTTCCAATTTTGGTGACGATAGTCCTGTACTCAATAATGATTCATGTTTTACCAATAGATATACAGGACCTAAATTTGAATCTACCAATAAGACAATAGCAAGATATGGTGACGATAATAGAACATTCATTGTTGGTCTTCTTGGTTATGAATTCAATGAGAGTGAAATTGAAGTAACACCAAGTAATGATTCGACAGGTCTATTGCAACGTTTGGGAAGAATGTTTAGTAATATATTCTCATCAACCAGTCTCAATCAAACACTTCCATTCAATAATGCTAATGCTGTCACGACCAGTAATTCAACTCTGAGACATCATACACTTCAAGAAGATCACACTGTTATCCATTCGAATCCTGCTGTAGAATGTGAGTTGATTTCTCATTGGAGAGAAGTTCCACTCTTGAGAAATGTTAAAATCAAACAAATTTCATGTGGTGGTTATCACGTTTTACTTTTAACTGAAGATAATGTTGTATACACATCTGGGTGGAATAAGTATGGTCAATTAGGTACAAGTAAGAGTGGGTCAAGTAGCAAGATTGTAAAGATTGTAGAGAATGAACAAACTGATTATTGTGAAGTTCAATCCTTCCATAGAATTGAATTCCCTGAAAAGATTATTTCACTGAATGCCAGTGGTAGACACAGTTTGTTTTTGAGTGAGAGTGGAAGAGTTTATGGAACTGGTTGTAATTTGCATGGAAGAATGGGATCTGAATTCATTGAACCAGAAGAATTGGGATTGAAGCAATCCCAAGACTTACAACAAGTTACTGGAAATCAAATACTAGAACCAAATATTAATTGTGGTGTTTTCTCTCCAATTCTTTTGGGAGGAATTTTGAAACAAAAGAGAGCTTACTATGTTGGTAAAGCATTTTGGCACTCTATCATTGCAACCTGTGATGGAGGAGTTTATGTAATGGGACAAAGTGATGAAGGCAAGCTGGGAATTGGCTCTGTAAAGGCTAATCCAATTGACCAAGATACACATTGTTATGAACCAACAGAGATTATAGAATTGAGAGGAAGAGAAATCATTGAAGCTGAAGGTGGAGCATGGCACACAATTTTCCTTACAAAGGCCAAGTCAAATGAGCTCAATAATGATTTATGGGTGTGTGGAAGTAACTATTGGGGTCAACTAGCTCTTCCACCAATTGGAAATAAGCCCGTAACAAGCTTTTTGGTTCCAGTAATTCATCCATTCTTTAGTGGAAAAAGAGATCCATCTAAGAATGCAGTTCAAATCAGTGCTGGGTCAAACTTTAACGCAGTTTTGACTGAAGATGGTTCTATTTATTGCTTTGGTTGTGGAAGTAGTGGTAAAACTGGATTGGGTCATGCCAGAACTGTTAGAACTCCAATTAAGGTCAAATCAATTCCAAAGGATGTTATCAAAATTTCAACAGGATCAAATCATTTATCTGTAATTACAAAGAGTGGAGAATTGTATAGTGTTGGATGGAACTTTTACGGACAATGTGGTTATGATTCAGACATTTCCAATATTTCGAGAGTCGAAGATACTAAAACTGAACTGTCTCCTTCTTGTGATGATATGGTAGAGAGCTACATTATGCCAAGAATTAGAAGACTCACTGGAGTGGAGGTGAACTCTGTTGGCAGTGGTGCCTATTTTACAATAATTACAACAAGTTCGACAAGTAATCCAATCATTAGAAAGCAAAAAGAAGCAAAATTCAAGGGAATACAAGTACGAAGAGGCTTTAATGATATTTCAGTTAGATGTACAAAATAAAACTAAATAATAATCAAATCAGATAATTGTTTGTGTTGGGTTGTATGGAGTAACTTTTCAAAGAAATCAAGAATACTACAGCTTAGACCAGTTCTTTTCACATAAATATTTTGACTACTGTTGCATGAATAGACTTGCAAGGAGTACTGTTTTAGAGAATCGAATAAAATAGGTTTTGGTATTTCATTAACAATTACTACTCTTCCAATTAATGAGTGTGAGTGTTGGTACATGATTTGGAAATAATAGAGTTGATTCTTAGATTGAAGAATTATGGCATCAGAGGTTATATAAACCTGTCTAATGGCAATATTATGTTTGTTGAAGTAATCTAGTTCATAAAAACCAATTGCTTCTTGTTTAGGTAGCTTTCTACTTCCAATATTTTGAATTGTTGAAAATACCCTTCCCTTATTAGTAATTGCAACAGTGAAATATTGACCACAATTCACTTCCTTAATCTTATCAATATTATAATCAAATTCATTCAATGTTACTTTCATCACATCTATAATACAAATATATTCCTTCTTTTTTCCAGTTTGTTGATAAGTATTATCTCCACACACATACAAATATCCATTCAATGTTAAGAATACAGAATGATAAAGTCCACATTTGATATCTACCACTTGATCCTTACTTGATTTTGGTAATATCTTAATTTCTGTCAATACATTCGAATAGTTATTGAGAACACTCCATTGATTAGATTCAGAACTTCCAAATCCGAGAACCTTCCTCTTTCCAGTGCTCCTTTCTCTCACCAGAATGAGAACATGTCCACATCCTGCTGCAATTTTCTCAGCATGAAACAAACTCTTATCAATATCCAAAACTGATCCAATCAGAGCTCCATTCTTGTTCTTTACCTTTTTAGTTGCCAATGATTTACAATCTGAAAAAACTCTACCATCATGAGTTAAATAGACACTTTCATCCTCAAAACATGCAATTGAAACAATAGTATTGAATGATTTTCCGTCGACCATTTCATATCCTTTCTGAATAAATTCCTCCAAATCATTCAATCTTTTAAAATGTGGCATTCGATCAGACTTTGAATATTTCCACATAAATAACATGAATGGAATTTCAGTAGCAGAATTCATATTGGCACTACTATTAGAACCATTGAATGGTTGACCATTCTTGTCCACCATTACCACTAAAATTCGTGAACTGCCAGCAATCATTGAAACGTTACATGGCATTGATTGACCTTTTTTCACAATACTCAACTCAACTCTATCCAATACATGATATAATTCTTTACCATCATATCTATTTGTTGAAAGTATTTCCTCCGATGGCACACTTGCAAATTTCGTTGGGGTGAAAATTAATTGTTCCATTTGATCGAAATTCTTTGCAAGCTTTTTTCTATTAGAATTTGGTGCATTTTTACTGAAAATGTAATTAGTAAAGAGGGAACTGTCGTGTTGTTGCTGTAGTTGGTCTTGAATCATTTTTTTTTTGTAATTTACATAAATTTCGAAATTGAACTCATTTTGATATTCAATGCTTTGAATATGAATAATTTTCATGAATTTACAATTTTATTCAATTGTACAATTATATTTACAATTAAAAAGTAATATTACAATGCAGCAGAATATAAATTAATAATTGGTGGTCTAGTCAACTCAAATCTTCCAAGAATATTTTCAAATCCATATGTAATACTCCATTGAAATTTACCAGATAATTGTTGATTCTTCTTTTCAATAGCAAATGAAATAGCTCTCTTACATTCCCTATGAATTTCAAAATTATTCCTTCTTCTAATAAAAATCAACCATGTGAAAAAAACCACAGGTGGAATCCACAACACATACATGTAGAATAAAATTAATCCCTGACCAGCAGCTGATGCATTGAATGTAGCTCCCAATCTAATCACCAAGAATAGTCCAAATAAGAGGAAAATTACAATGGAAATCAACATGGCACAACTGGCATAAAATATTTCAACATCTCCTTCTTTGAGTTGTGTATGAAATTTGTTTAAAATTGTGGAAATTTGTTCGGTGAAGGAGTGATAATCTTCTTGGGACATTTGGTTGTTTAATTCTTCAGGGTAGGAAGAGGTAAATTGTTTAAAGGAATAATCATATGGAATGGAAATGATGCAATTGGAAATATTCGAAACTAGATTGGAAGTGTTGGTAATTTCAATCACGTGTTCTACTTCATCATCGTGGTATGATGATGGTTGTTGTTGTTGGTCGGTTGTGGATTCTTCCGTGTAGAGCATTTTTTTATGAGGATTTTTTATGGAGTTTCGAATAAAATCAAACGTGTGAAATTCGAAAGAGGAATGAATTACATGCTCTATTGTGAACATGTTAAAATACATTAATTTATTGAAAAACAATTAGAAAATGAATGAAATAATCAAACTAATCAAAATAGCCAACATTCCAACGTTATTCGAAACAACTTGATATGAAACTCCAGCACTTGTAGAATTAAATGCAGTAAAAGTAGCAAATCCATATGAATCTCCAAACAATGAAACAGAACATCCCTTACAACTATTACCATTCAAACTCATCCAATTTCTATATTGAATAGCATCTCCAATAATAGCATGAACTGATTGATCCAAAACTCCTTGATAAGATGAAGCAGCACTTGAGAATTGAACATAGGTAGCTTTTGGAAGATAGGTTTTAACGTAGGTTGAGTAAACAGTTCCTTCATAGGCACCAACAATCATATCAGGTGAATTGAATTGATTAATGTCTGTAATGGAAATACTTTGATTTCTGAGTGATCTTAAGAAACCCTATTAATTTGATGAAATTGAAACGTATTGGAATTTTGATATGTGAATATTTGTGAAAAAAGTTATTGGAATTATAGTCATGAAATTTGTGTTAATAATGAATTGGTTTTTTTGGTGGAATGAACTTACATTGGATCCAGTACCATAATTACATTGGAAGTGAGCAACTGTAGTTCTTTCAGGAAGAGGTGTAGCCTACAAGTTTCGAATATAAATTTTCACACAATTTCCAATAGAAACTTACATTACTTGTAATAATATCACATTCTCCATCATCAACCAACTTTCTCAATGTATTAAAATACCCCAAACTACTTGTATTATACTGAGTAAAAGAGGCAGCATAATTTGTTGAATATTTTGCATTAATTTTCTTAATGATATATTGACCAACTGTTCTCTTGATGGTCAACCATGGATCTTGAGTACCTAATTCAAAGCATAATCTGATATTGCTTCTAGATGCGAAAGGATTGGTGGATGGCCAAACTGGTTTAGAGGTAGAACACTATATGATTCGAATAATTATATGAGAAATGATAATTAGAAAGTAGTAAACATACAATAGGAACTGGGAAAAGCATCAAGTTGGAATATGTTTGTTGGAAATCATTATCAGAAACAACTTCTTGCACTGCAGCATCAAAAGCTGCTGTCATTTGGCTGGTGATGACTTGTGCCTTCACGCCAACTGTCAAACACACAATAAACAATAACAGGATAACAATTTGTTTCATTTTCTCTAGTAGAAGTAATAGGTGGATGATGTTTTGTTAATTTTTTCTTGTTGATTTTGGTACGAAATGCAAAATGCTTTTTAACTCGCACACTTACGCATTTATCCAAATTTAGAAGGCGATTCTTTGTTGAGTGAATGCTAAATATTTTCAATAATATCTAAATTCGATAAGAATACACTAATGAGAAAAAGTGAATTGTGTCTCTTCTCCAAAATGCACCTTTTTATCTCTTTTATCTCTGATGCCAAATGTCAATAAGATAGCAAACACATCTATAAAGAATATGGCAAGATTTTGATGGCAAGACGAATCAGAAGAGAGAAAGCTCTACAAATTCCATTCCTCCAGTAATAGTTGTGAAATATGGATGGTTGATTTCCGTGAAGTATGTCAGATGCCAATTTCAAAGTTGTTTCGGGGGAAGTATTGAAAAGGGTATGAGAAATGTGTCCTGTTAGCATTTAAATATTTGGAAAGTAAATTGTGAACGAAGGATTCGTCAATTGCATGCTTTGTATTACACACTGTCAATTGTTTCTAATATTTCTTGAAACTATACTGTAAACTAAATCATATATGAAGAAATTCCATACTTCTTACTCTTCTTGTGTTTTCTAACTGGCTAAATGTCGTGGCTATAATCCCATCTTGTTATCCAAATGAAAGCTAACACGAAATGGATAAATGAAAAAATGTAAAATGGGTTATACAATGCTAATAAACATTTTTAGTATCCACTTCTGCTAAAAGAAATTATCAAACTGCAATAGATCTTATGGCACGTTGTTGCAAACTTATGAGAATGCAGTACTGATTCTCACCAAGAACCCCTTAAAATTGTCCAGGAACATTAATCATCCGATGCTTTGGTCTGGACTACTCAGTGATCCCTCACTGAGGTTCACCTTAATAACAATAGAGCACTCAGTTGTAAACACACAGTGTAATACTTGTTCAACAAGTGAAAATTTCCTTTTGAATTTGGCCGACATTTATCAATATAATTACTCAGAAGCACTTGCCACTGAACCTACTGTTAGAGTTGTTGGAAGTGGTGATCCTGTAGTATTAGACAATTCTTGAATGTCACTAATGGAAATACAATCAATGGTATTTATTGGACTTCAAGTCCATCAAATCCAGGTCAATAATAACCACTTCCATAAACCTTCTCCACAATGATGAGATTTTCCTTTTCATTTAAGGTTACACGCATCTCATAGAAACTATATGGTGCACCAGCATTGAAAAAGATTGGAAACATTTGCTTATCATAATCTTCCCACGAGGATGAAGTTGATGATTGGCTTGTGTAATGTCCATCCAAGTTTGAAAAATAGCAAAATGGTGTAATTTGCTGAGATAAATATTGTTCCAATTTGTCAGTTGATGTTTCCTCCTCTTCTTCTTCTGAATCATCATCTGATGTTATAATATAAGGTGATACTCCATAAACAATCTTACTGTACTTGACATTACAATTCAATCTCTTTTTGAAGAATAACAAATCCAAACATGAAAACCATTCATCTCCTTCACTAATCAAAATAATAAAACAAAATAATGAGAATGGTATTAAAATTTTGGCCTCTTTCACAATATCTGAATTATCATCCCAGAAACATTGATGTAAAATAACTTGATCTGTCACAGGATTAGGTCTGTATTCATCCGAAATTAAACTTGTCATAATCACAACCAATTTCATCAAGTTTTCTCTCCTCCGTATCTCAAAAAACTCTCCAACCAATGTATTCTTCAAGAGAGGAAAAGAAAATGTAAATACTTGTTCCAAACTCAGAGAATCTCCTTGAACAATTGTAACATCTTCATTCCTCTCCTCCACTGATATAAATTTAGGAATGATCGAAAAGAGGTACTCTAAATAATCATAATGATCAGATAAACCTTCATCGGAATTTTGTAATTCAATTTCAATTTCAGGAAACATTGGATTCACAAAATCTTCCCATCTAAAATGTGTATTCAACAGGGCAGTCCACAATCCTAAATTTCCAAAGGCAGCCTCTCTCCAATACTTGCAAACGAGCATTTTACTATTCACCAAATCCTCCAATGGCAAGAATGAAAAAATCACCGACAATTCATCACGACAAGGAAACATTTTTTTAAACTTCAGAATTGCACCAAAGTTTTTTCAAAAGGAACCTAGTAGGAGGAGGAATTGAGAAAATAAAGAGATAATGAAGTGTCAATGCCAATCAAGAGTTGGATTTATGTGAAGAGATAATTGAGTATTTCAATAAAAAAATGTTGCCATTTGAAAATCAGTATTGTTTGAAAGTGGAAATTAATTCATTGGACGATATTATTGGAAAGAATATGACATTGGACGAGGTGATGGAGGAAAATAAGGAATGGTTTATTAGAAACTCAATTTTGGTCTTTTTTACTGACTTTCTTCCAATTATTACAACACCATTTGCTAAAATTAATCAAATTATTGAAAATCTCAAAGTACTCAAATCTGATATTCATAAAAAGGAAAGCTGTATAGAATTTCTTGAACATTGTCAAGTGGTGTGGGGTCACGATAAGTTGGGAAATATATTTAGAAAAACTGCATTGGATGAATTGGTTTCAACTGTTATGGCATTGTTTCCAGATTATTTGGATCCAGTACTGCTATCACATATGACATCCATATGAATCAATGAATGAAATATATATTTGTTTCTTTGAATTAACTATTGAAAACTAATTAATTTTGTGTTTTTGTGTTTTTTTATTTAAAAAAAATAGCACAATGATTATTGATAGGACCATTATTTCATTCGGATTGATCACGTGTTGTATCTCGTGGTTGGTGTGGTCATGTTTATTATTTAGAACAAGTATTGGAAGATTATTGATTGATTTGGAGAGTGATCCAACGTTAATTTTGATAATGATTATTGGAGGAATAATTCCGTCCATTGTTGGACTTTCATTCGTTGAATCTTCTTTAAAAACCTACTTGAAGGAAACATTTTCAATTAGCAAATTACTTAATTTACCTAGTATTTGTTGGATTAGTTTGTCAATTCCTGTTGTAGTTAATTTATTATTGTTCCTTGCCATGCATAGTATTTTCCCATTAAAAGTACATTTGTTGGATATTGTAAAAGAAAGAATATTTCCTGGTTTAGTTATGGGTGTATGTGCTTCATTGGGAGAGGAGTTTGGATGGAGAGGTTGTGTTTTATTTAATCTCATCAAGACAAACAAACCAAAGGAAAAATCAGAGATTATCAAAATTGGAATAATTGTTGGAATTATGTGGTCAATTTGGCATTCGTTTGGAAATTATATTGCATTGGGTCATTATCAATCAGTTGCCCTCATTATTTTCATGAACGCATTCATTAATTTGACTAATTATTCAATAATCTTGTCAATGCTCTATGTGAAAAGTGGAGGATGCATGCTTTTAGAAATAATCTTTCATTCTATGATATCATTTAGTAGTTTTACATTCAATCACAATAACACAAGTGAAAGAGAACAATTAGTGGAATCCTTCCTTGGATGCCTCTTCAGTTTTATTGGAATGTTATTCATTGTAAAATTGATACAATTGCCTTCACCATTAAGGTAAAATTATCGCCTCGTCGTTGTGCACAATAAGAACGACTCAATTATTTCCAATTTTCCTGAAAAACCCACTCCCGATTAGTTTTTAATCCAACTAATGTATCCTGTTAGTTTTAGGCACTACATCATGTCCTCATCATCGAGAACAATTTTGCTGATGATAACTTCATGAAGTATGAAAAGGTTCAAATTTGCAACAGGAAAAATAAGACAAAATTTTCATCACAGAACTAAAATAATTGACTTTAAATTGTTTTCTGAATGTATTATGATATTATTATCAACATTCTTCATCTACTCTCCCTAATATTTAAAGTCAATATATTTATTGTTTTTACGCTTAATGAGCCTTATTGGGTGGGAGGTGCTTGCAAGTAAAAATTAGTCTTGATAAAACAAAATTTGTGTCTTCAAAAAAAAATTAGCAAGCCCTTGAAAAGTGTTGCTTCTTCTGCTTCACAACAGCTTTCACAGTATAAGAAGTAGTACTACAACTGACTCTCTGCGATTTGTTTTTGTTGCAGTATCGAAAAGGCAATTATATAAAATTGCTTAATCTTGTAGAGTTTTTTTCCGACTCGGTCTATTCTTCTGATCAATACAATCCACTTGTTCGGATTACAACAACAACATTTACTAGTATTAATAGCAGTTAAAAATGACTTCTGGAGCCCTTTGTGGATTTTATGATACAAATAATGGCTTAATAAGTAATTTTGTTAATAGATGGAGTTGGTATGCAAACAATGGTGCTTTTACATCTCCAAGATATCCTCCTAAAAATTTTGGTTTATTACTTCCTGTGGTGAGCGTTTTAAGTTTAATCTTTCACTCTCTGATTTATTATTACGGGGCAGATTGGTTTTCAAAGAAATATAGTACTACATTTAAGAAGAAGATTTTTGGTGATGAGAAGGCAAGAAGAGAATGGAATAGCAGAATTGTTTCAAATGTTCATGCAATTATTTCTTCTCTATTTTCATTGTATTGTATCGTATTTGTTTTTCTTCCAGCCCCTTACGAAAGAATTTTGTCAATTTCCAATAATTCATGTATTTGCTTGATTGGCTATGGTATTGGCTACTTTTTATATGACTTGTTCATTGTGACTAGAAATTATCCTCAACTGGGAGGTATGGAAACACTTCTTCACCATTCTATTTCAATACTTGCATTGCTAGGAAGTTCCATCTGGGAAAATGGTATTGTGTTGGTGGTTGTCATGATGTTTACTGAAATTTCTACACCTTTTGTGAATCAAAGATATTTCTTTTCTAAATGCAATATGAAAGATTCCAAAATATATACTTATAATGGTATCATGATGTGGTTGACATTTGGTATTGTTAGAATTTATTTCTGCTATTACATTCCACATTTTGTGTGGGAAGACTCTGAAACATTTTGTTCATTCCCAATTGGTTGGATTATTCTTATTTCTTTAATGATGACCTTAATGAGTAGTTTAAATATTTTCTGGTTCTATAAGATTACTGTGGGTATCGTGCAAGTTGTTTTTGCCAAGCAACCAACTTCAGCTCCATCCACATCCTCAACTCCAAGTGCTCCTGATAGTATCAATGTTAAGGATGATAAGAAAAGTGATGAAGATGACGCCGACAAAAAGGAATTGGACGAAAAAGTTGCCACAACTTCACCTTTAGTAAGAAGATAATCATAAAATGTATAATATTGCAAATCATCTTTTGATTTTATATTCTCCCCCGTCGCATTCCAGAACTTCTTCCTTTACAAGGATATTCAAGAATGAACTCAGTTCAGAAAGTGATTTGTCGAATGGAGGTAAAGGATCAAGAGCAAACATTGCCAACATGTTATGAATTTTGGCAAGTGGCATGCTATCAAAGTTTTCAATCATATTAATGATAATATCTTGATAAACTCTGAGTTCTTCTTCTTGACTTTGAGCAGTTGTCATCTCTTCCATGTTTTCATCTTCTCCTTGTTCAGTGGCGGCAGAAGTCAGACTATCCACTAATCTGTACGTCTTATTTCCCTCATCTATAATAATTCCTCTCTTTACCCAAGTATTAATACGTTTTTGGAATGTTTTATCGTCAATCTTCATCATTTCCATTATTTCATCCATAGTCCAAACATTTCTATCAGAGAAGTGGAATAGAATAGATGCAGCAACAGGATGAATGTTGGTGAGCTCTAGCTCTTCACCTCCAATTTCAATATCAAAATCTATTGAACCCATTTGCTTTTCCCATAATAATTTTCTAGGGGCCTTAATAGCATTATATTGATTTGCATATTCTTCCATTAATTGTTCAATAAATGGATGCAATAGGATTGTAGGCTTGTTTTCATCAGTCATCAATTGCTGTCCAGGAGGTGCACCTTGATTGAATACTACCTGAGGCCAATAATTCTTAGATAGCATGAACACACTTGGAATTTGGGAGTCTGCTTGAATTGAAATTTCAGCAATTTGACTGTTAGAAAGTTCAATGTAATCACTTCTATTTGCAAGTCTAGATTGAATGCCAGAGTTAAGGAATTTGGAATCGGAAATATCTTTCAGCATAATTTCACAATTTTGCATATTCTTATCACCAAACCTAATTTTCAACAATTCAGCCATCTTGGCTTCGTTATTGGTATCATAGGTTTCATTCTTCAAAAGTGACTCAGCCAGTATCATTCTATATTCATTAACAAATATTTCCTTATTTCCTCTGTACATTTCTATGAATATTTTGATAATATCAGGTTTCTCCATTTTAGATTTAGATGAAGAAGGATGAATAGGTTTTGGATTCCAATTCTCACTTGCATCATCCGAATCGTAATCTAAACTGCTTTGTGGTTCTGAGGTCAACAATTCACGGTAAAGAGCAGAATCATTTTGTTCATCGGTCATTTCATTAATTATACATCTGACAGCATCTGGACGTTTTTCACGTAAGTATTCCTTGATATGGAATGATACGCTTTCTAACGAAATCCCAGTTGGATCAATTATGAGAAGAGATTTGATTATTCTAATAAAAGCCATTATAATATTCTTGGTTTCTACACTCGCTAAAAGTAATCTAGATTTTACACCCTTACTTAGTTCTTTAACAAGCTCATTATGCATTCCACAATGATTTAAACAGTCCTTTAAATCCGTTATTGCTTGTTGGCTATTTGGGAAATCAATAACGATATCGAAAATTTGACTTATTCTAATCTTGGCTAAATTTTCAAACACAAAATAATCAACCTGTGATTTAAGAGTATTGAACATTTCGTGAGAAGAATCGCCACAAAAATAAATTTCCATATACGAATAAATAATTTGTTCTTTCCATTGTTGAATATAGGTCAATATTTCCTGTTCAAAGTCAGTTGTTGATACTTCTGTGATTTTCTCTTTGATGGCTGAAAACATGAATGCTATCCAACTGTTTGAACAAATTGAATTCATGAAATTAGCTCTAAGTAATCTTAATTTGTCACAAAATTGTCTAAAATTTGAAATAATGTCTTCCATCTCCTGAGACGATTCTCCTGATTCAATACTTGTCGAAAAAGCATTAAAAGTCTCTCTAAAGTATTGTACCATAATTTCTGAGATATTCCCTTTGATTAAATACTCTCTTTGGTCGATATTCAACTTGTAAAATAGAGCTGATTGCACAAATACTATAAATTGTTCTCTCAGTCTCTCTTTAATTTCCAAACAGTTTTCTAATGTCGAAAATACAATTAAATATCGTTCTGTTATATTACAAATCATATGTACAGCCTGTACCAATGAATTAATATCCGAAATACTATTAAATATTGATACATGATTCTTAATAAAATGTTGTCTCATATTTTGAATATATGGTTCAACAATTTGAGTTTTATCCATCACATTCCTCTCTGCCAACAATTTAATTTGCTGAAAACAAATTCCATTCGGATTTTCCAACAATTCTGCACAATGAGCTGCATTAATTGCAATAGTTTTTAATAATTCCTGATGACCATCTAGCAACCAATTACTTTTTAAACTAGTCGATTCCGAACCCGAACCAGAACCTCCAACACTATATATTTCTTGTTGTTCTTTTTGTATGGATAATGATGATGCTGAGGAACAAGCCTTGTTTAAATTCCCAACAGCATTCCAACTTTGCACTTGTTGTGCAAGAATTAAATTGTTCATCATTTTTTAATTTTGGAGGGAAATTATGAAAAAATATTTAAATTTTAATAAACAAGTTTTACTTTCAATTCTCTCTCGACAACAGCAGCAGAAACAACAACAACAACGAGTAGATAGCTTTGAATCAAAAATACATAATAGAATAACAAATATTGAAGGATTGAATAGGAGTTTTATAGTACAAGAAAGATTTTATAATACAAGCCTCATTAGAATGTCATCATCATCCGATAATAATAATAATTCATCATCACATGATGAGAGTATTGCACCTTCCTCTTCATCATCAGAACAACAAGTAGATAATAATAATACAAATTTTGAACAAGTGGGATGGAATCAAACTAAAATTGATAGACCAACACAGGAAGATATTCAAGTCATTGAAAAGATACAATTGAAGAAGGCTATTACAGTGCCGAATGCTATTGTGAAGAGATGTAAATGGGGATATCCACAAGTGACATTTGCATTCACTAGTAAAAACAAGGCAGAAACTTCTGAGAATACCTATGTACCAGGAACATTCCTTTGGTTGACATGTCCTAGAGTTAATTTAATTATTGATAAAGTGGAAACATCTGATGAATTTAATGAAATAAGAAGAGAATTCGGAGCAGAACTTAACTTTTCCAAGACTAAATTGAAAAATCAAAATAAGAGAAAATCAGAGAATAATAATTCTTCAGAAAAGAAACAAAAACAAGAATCTGAAGCAACTGTTACCATTCATGAATCTCAAAAGAATAATTTATTGATGGAATCATTTGAAAATTATGACAAGTGGTTGTTAGAAGAAGCCAAAGTAACTGAAGGTCAAGATAAGGGACAAGCTTTATTGACACCAGATGAATTTAACATGTGGAAATATTCCGTATATGAAAAGGATTTGAATAACTTGCCACCTCAAAGAAAGAGATATGGTAATGCAGGTGTTTCACATCCATCCTCAATCAAGTGTCTTCATTCACACATTTCTTCGTATTTTGCTGGTTCAAAGGATCATGTTGGTAAACGAGCATTTGAAGCAGGTAAACGAGTCATTACAGAAGTTTTGAATGAAACAGATATTGAAGATTTGGCCAATCCACTCGATTGTCGATCCAACTGTATCAAGTGTCAGATGAATAAAAAAGATTAAAAAAATGCCAACAAACGCTTATTTCACAATTGTTGCTAAAGATTGTCCGATTTATGAATTGGAAATTTCAACATCAAAGGTTGGTTATCTAATGATGATTGAATTTTATTATAATCATTATGTTTTTTTAATTTATGTTCATTCCGATCATGTGATGATGATATTTTAAAATATTAATAATAATAATAATGATGAATATTTGGAATTAATTGTGATGATTTGATGATGAAAATATATTTTTGATGAATAATAATAATATGATTAATCCGCGAATATATATTTGTTTAATTGTTTATTAATTAATAATAATAATAATAGAAAACCGATCAATCACAACTTAAACAATTTGTTTTACATGCTTCTCTTGATGCAGTTGAAGAATTACAATGGACAACTAATGCTTTATTCTTGAAATCTGTTGATAGATTTAATGAATTTAACATTTATGGATTTGTTACTGGTGGAAGTAAGTATGAACATTAATAGAATTAATTTTTAAATATTATAATAATGATAACAATTTAATTATTTATTCAATATTTCCTAAAATAGATATCAGATTTTTATTACTTTTTGAAAATGATAAAAAGAATGATGATCAAACAATTAAGAGTTTCTTTAGTGATGTTTTTGAATTGTATATTAAAATCCAAATGAATCCATTCTATGAATTGTATACTCCAATTACTTCACATGATTTTGATACAAGAGTTAAACAATTAGCAAATAAGTATATTTCGTAAATAAAGACAAATTAGAGTTGTGTTATTGAATTGGTTATTGATTGAATTATGAAAGGTTCTTTTTTAGACATTTTCAGTCAGTAATCATTAAAAAAAAATGTCAACATTTAAAAAGTACTCATCAGAAGATATTGCAACACTAACAATTGCTCGTAATATTGGTTCTTGCAAAGGATGGCATGTTACTAGCGAATTTTTATGTTTTGGAACTATGGAAAGTGAAGGATGTGTTTATGTGTAAGTTTTTCACACTCAATTGACTAGAAAGTGGTAATAAACAGATATCGAGTTGATAAATTAGATAATTTACAAGAAGCAGTTCACAGTATGGTAAAAAGTCCATTCAATAAGACCTTTCCAGTAACTGTTTTTTATTTACCAAAATTAGATTTAATATTTGTTGGATATGATAATGGATGCATTGTAATATTTGATGGAAAATCAAGAGAGAAAAAGTCAATTATTAGAGGTTGTCATCATATTAAAAAGATTCAAGTAATTTACAATAACAAATTGGATAAACATTTACTTGTTGCTGCTTGTAATCAAGGTGAAAAGAGTCATTTACTTTTTTGGAAGATTACAAAGAATTCAAATCATAATGTTGATTATTCTTCAACTGATTTGAAACAATTTGAGTTTAATTCACAAATTTCAGATTTATATACTACTGATATCTTTATTGAATCAATTAATAAGGAAAATAGAGTTTTAATTTGTCCATTAATGGATGATTCATTTAAATTACTTTACAATTTATTTGAACATGAAATTGTTGAATTACATTTCAATAAGGATCATTTAAATATGAATGGTGGTATTAGTAGTATGTCATTCGATCAAGATAAGGAAGGAATCAATGATTTAGCATTAAGTGGAATGTTAAATGGTAAATTCCAAGTTTACAATTTATCAAATGGTACTTTACAAAAAACAATTAAGGCTGAAAAACATAATAGTATTGAATGTATTGCATTTGATGGTGCATTAATGAATGTTTGTATTGGTGGAAGTGAAGGAAATGTTTCAATTTACAATATTGAAAATCAAGAACCAATTCTTGTGAAATGCATTGAAAATTGTCATGATGGATTTATTACAGCAATTGCACAATGTGAAAATTTCTTTACAACAGGTTCACAAGATGGTACCATTAAAGTTCTAGATAAGGTAAGTTAAATACTCATTGTAAAGTGTTTCAAACAATACAAAGACAAATGGAACATTAATTGTAAACTTGGATCAAAAACATACAAGTTGCATCACTCATTTGGAATTTATTGAAGAACATTTATTAATTTCATCAAGTGAAGATGGTACCATTAGAATGCACATTTTAAATATTGCCAAATTAGAATAAAAAAAATGTCACCAAAGCTTTTCAAAGATTTTGACACTTGTCACGTGTTTAGGTTTTTAAATTTTAAAGAATTATGTAAAATATCACTTGTTTGTAAGAAATGGTTTATTACAAGTCGATCGGATTTATTGTGGAAACAACTTTATAGATTTTATCAAATTGATGTTTTTTGTAATCAACCACAAGAATTAAATCAAGTTAAATGTTCAATCATTTCGGATTTTACTCTCATGAATATAATGTTGAGATTGGAAAATTTATCAATAGCGGCACATTCAACATCATGTTGTGCTGAAATTTCAGTACCAATTTATTATATTGCCATGTTGAAACCTAAAAAACAATTTAAATTGATTTTTGCTTCGGAATATTCATTTTCACGTACATTTGTCAAGTATGTGAATGTGAGTTTGGATTCAAAATCAATATTTATGCAATATAATCATGACAAATTTCATAATAATTTATTCGAGTTGATTTGTGAACATTATGTGAAGAAAATTATGAAGAGAATGAAACCTGAAGTTTTTACAGATTTGATAAGGAGTGAAGATATTTCGGATAATAACATTTTGATTAGTAAGAATGAATTTGTGTTTGCCATTTCAATTCCATCAATTTATTCGATTTGTTATTGTTTATTTAATGTTCAGACAAGACAATGCTATCATGTTATTACAAGTAATATGTATCCCTATCAATATGCTATTCGATTTGTACTATTATTACAAGCTCAGTGTAGAGATTCACTTTCAGAATTTGATTTTAATAAGAATTTAACGAAGACAGTAGAGCATTTATTTTCAATTTTTGAGTTGAACAGGAATAGTGAAGGTCAATTTAAGATTGGGGTTGATAATAATGAACTTTATGAACCAATAACATTTGAAGATATGCATGTAATTGATATTAGTGAAATTTAATTTTTACTTCTCTTCAAAATCAAGCATTCATTTGTAATTGATTCAATAATTAAATTTTGAGCCATATTTTGATAAGTTAATTCAATATGTACACCACCGTGTTGTTCTACAAATCTCCAAGTTCCGACCATCGTTTCTCCATGGTTTGACATACTGACGTGACCGTGGGAAGAGTATAAAATACATTCACTAAGAGAGCTAGAGCCCAAGTTTGAATCTCCCAAATGTCTATAAACAGTAGTACCTGTTTGCTCATTACTTTCAGACTTGGACAAAATCCATTGTTTTTCACATAAAAGCAAAGTATAAGCTTCCTTATTGAAATTTGAATTTCCCTTCAAAATAGCATTAAGGGCTGGTTCTTCGTCAATTGGCTTTGTATGACCTCCCAAAACATGTCCACCAGTTGTTCTACCACCAGTTACTGGTAAAGTTGGTTCCTCATCTCCACTATCACTTCCATCGTCTACAGGCATTGTGGTTGTTGGCATTGTTGTATCTGATTTGATAACTACGCCTTTGTTTTTAGTCAATTGTAGAATTACAGAACCTTTTGGAACTAATCCAGCTTGATCAAGAGTTGTGTTTTGCCAATCTTCCTCGAAATATTCTTTACGAGGGAATGGAGTCAAGATACTATATGCTTCATTAGAATCCAAATGTGAAGAAACAGCTTTGAACAAATCAGCAAGAGTTCCAGGAGTATTGAGTTGAATCTTTTCAGTACTACCTCTTGGTAATCTAACTTGAATGAGTGCTGATGTTGCAGAACTTTCAGAAGGCTTTGGAGTTACTGTTGAAGAAGAAGAAGCTGTTGAACTACTAGCAGAAGATGAAGATCCACTCAATCTTGCTTGTTTTTCTTCCTTTTCCTTTTTCATTGCATCTTTCAAAGCCTTTACTCTCTTCTTTTCTTCCAATTTTTCCTTTCTGATTCTTTCTTGTTCTTTCAATCTTTCTCTTTCTGCAAAAGCTAATTTAGCTTCAACAGAATCTCCTTTCAATTTGTTTGGATTTGTATAAATAACAGGAATACTACCACCAGAGTTTAAAATTGATGATGGTTGATTATTTACAGGTTCAGAAGATGTTGTTACTACTGGAGTCGGATTGGTTGTTACAGGAGTGCTTGTTGTTGTTGTTGAAGAAGTATCCATAATTTCCTCTTGATCCAATTCAGCAAAGTGATCATAAATATATTGAATTGCTTGATCAATAGAAACATTATTAACCATTTGAAGCGCTCTATTAGATTTGTATCTAGAAAAGCCCATATCTACTAGAGTTGCCGACATTACAGGATTGGCGATCACATAATCATTGTTGTTGGATCCAGTGTTTGGACGTCCTCCGAGTTTGAGTGTTGGTTGAGACATTTTTTATTCTTTTTTTAAAGAATGAACTTGTGCTATTTTTAATTTCCTTCTTCCAACAGCTGATAATATTTTTGTAAAGTATTGAATATTTTAATATTCTTAATTTATTAAGGTAATTCTTTCAATAGTGATTGAATAAGTGTTTTAAAATATGATATTGATCTATCCATTTGAGTATCAATGGAGAGAGGTGTTTCATTTCGGAGTAAGTTGAGAGTGTTCAGAGAAACAAGTTCTCTATGAATGGAAGTGTAAAGTTTGCAATAGGATACATCCTTTGTTAGATGAGCCAATTTGTAACACAATTGTTGGCTCTTGTGTAAACAAAATGATTTCAGATAGTGTGATAAGGATACTTTCAAATCATCCACTCTATTGTGTTTTAATCCACGTAATTCATGATAATAGGCAATATCAGTTTTAGATCCATGAGTGAGAATATGTGAAGAATTAGTCAGATAATCAACATCCTTGTATAAATATAATAATAATCTGTTTTTGTGAGTTTCAAAATGATTCTTTTCACAGAAATCAATAGCTTTCAATAAATAAGGAAGAATTAGGGCAGTGGTTTCTTCATTCTTTAACAGCTCACAATTTGTTAAATATACAGTTACTAGCTGGATAAAATTGAATTCTGTTGATGATTGAAAACAGAGTTTCATCTTTGTGACAGACTCGTGTATGTTATTGTCAAGATGATAGGCTATTAAAGATTCCAAATATAATAAATCACATGTATCTATTACCAGTGTATTATCCATGATATTTTTGTATTGATTCATTAGTAAATTTACATTTTCTCTATCTCTCAACTCAATAAAGTGAGTAATAAGCAATCGGTAACATGAACTATCTGATGTTGGAATAGACCTCGAAGATAGTAATTCATAGTCGCTATATAAATCGAGACTGGACTTGGTATAACCAATAGAAGATGTTTGATTCTTGATTGAAAGTCTATTGTGACAACTATACAACATCTTATCTCCAATAAGTCTGTAGAAATGAGCTTTGACATTGGTTAATAATGATTTTGGAAATATTTCAGTTAACAACAAAGGTTTAGATTGATCATAAAGATCCAATGAGTTTTGTTGTTGTAATTGTTCACATTTACGAATTAAAGAATATATTTGTTGGCAGGCTATTTGATTGTTGAAACCTGTCAGTAACTTGAATTGAATAAAATCCAAAGTAATATAGAATAAAATAGAAGTGTTATGACTTTGAGCAAACTTGAGTGCCTGAAGAATGAATAATTCAACATTCGAAGATTGATTATGGAAATATTCAATCATTTTGATTTTGTACAATATTATAAAAGAAAGCAATAGGCAATCATGCTCATTGTTTTGTTGAGATATTTTGATACTTTCCTTTAAAGAGATAGTAGCTTGTTTGTAATATTTAAAATGATAGTACAGAAGTGCCTTATTCAGTGCCGAATATGATCTATTTTGGAAATAATCATAATAGATATGTACATAGAAATTAGCATTAATAAAATCCAATTCTCTACAGCTCTGTATATAATTATTATAATAAAGTTTCGGAAATATTTTACTAACACCAATAGGGCTAGTTTTTTTCATACTTCTATTAGAATTACTCTCAATAGAATCATTATTTAGCAGCAAAACTTGGGAGTGATTAGATTTAAATCTATTAATACTATCATATAAAGTTTTAACTCCATCAAAAAGTAAATTATTAAATAATAAAATAATTTTCCTGAGAAATATTCCATAAATTGAAGTTTTGTTTGCATCAATAGATTTCAATGTATCAAATAATGTTAATAATGCATCAACACTGTCAATGGTATTGTAAAGTGCGAAAAATCTTGGTATTACTTCGGAATTAATATTTGTTAATTCCGCAATAAATTTATGTATATTTCCATATATTGGTGTTACTTTATGTTGTATACAATCAATAATAAACTTGTTTACTCCTTCCAAATTTAAATTCTTACATGATACATCCTGAGTAATACTAATTAAAATTGCTGTACAAATATCATGAGGTGTAATCTTATTGATGGAATATTCTAATAATACTGATGATGGAAGTGAAGGATTGTTTGATGGTATTATTGCTTGTTGATGCGTTGCAATACCACTCATTTTTTTACTATTTATTTTAAATTTTAAATTTAGGCGGGAATTATTTCTTAACGTTATGATGATAGCATAATTGTTACTTTCTTGGTGTCATTAAGTATTGATACTAACAGCCTTGCAAAGATATAAATTAAAAGGAATTAGAATTTTAATTATTATTATTTTAATCTTGGTTCAATTTTAGAAATTGAATTAAAAATTATTAAAAAATGTTCAAAACTAAAGTGATTGGAAATCAATGTTCAACATTTTATAAAATCGGAAGTCAACAACAATGCATTAATAACAATAGTATTAATAGGAAATTTACAACAAGCTTTAAAACTTTGGACCATTCTTATAATTTGACCAAACTCTTCCCAATTTATAATCCTAATAATTTTAATAATACAACAAAAAGCACCACAACACCTGCTACTAGTAATAGTACAAATACACCAATTCAACAAACGATAGGAAGTGGCTCTGGAGAAAAAATTGTATTTAATCAATTTCAAAAACAAAAGAATAGTACACCTAAAAAGTTGAATAAGAGTTTATCAAAATTCAATTCATTGAGTATTATTACAAAACATACAGTCACATTTAATGAAGTTAAAGATGGAAAGGATGATTCTAAACTTGTACCTCAAATAAGTGCAGGTACACCTATTTTACGTATTAACCATGATCCAATATCAGATGTTATTGATCTGAACAAATTGGGAAGTAGTATGAATACTATCAAGGCATCAAACAAAATTCAACATTATAGACTTCATGCAATAATTTATAATTGGCATAATGTTATCGAATGCTTAAATTTTGAATCTAAATTACAAAATACTTTCACTTTGAAACAATTAATGAACAAACTTGCGAACGTTCTTTCCAATCCAAACAGTGATTTTTATCTTGGAAAAGAATCAAAAGAGACCAATACTATTTTAAATGAAGGTAAAACTCTGCATTTTGCATTCCTGTCTAGAGAGATTATTGAATGTATTTCTTCAATCAACAATCCTTTGTATAGAGAAATGATTTCAAATTTTTCGACTGATTCTGATATTATCAAGTCCACAAACTATGATATTGTCTACAAGTTAGATGATGAATTGTTGAAGAAACATGACATAAAAATCTAATTATTTTTCCACTAACTTCATCCATTCATGCAATTCCTTTTTTGTTGACATGTACAGTTCTGACAATCTTTTGATTTCGTCCTGTTGTGCTTTTCTTTCTTCCTCTCTTTCCATCATCAATTTAGTAATGAATTGATTTTTTGTGTGTAATAGTTTTTTAAGCTCTTCATAGCTGCAAATTGTAAGCAAAAATCATTCCAATAACTTACTTGTACTTGTAAAAAGTCAAATCTTTCATATCTCCTTGATCGTATTCTAATAAGGTTGTCATGTATGAGGGGTTGTCAATTGAGAGGCATAAATTCTTCTCAGATAAAAACATTGATTCTGTTATCAAATTCGAAATGTCTGAAAATGTTGAATACTCTGCATTAGCCGGAATATCGTCTCTTCCTTGAGTTAATTCCAATCCAACCTTATTCGAGAAAATCTGTATCTGATTCAATTGATTTAGAACACTACTTTCGTCCTGTTTTAAAACAAGCATTTTGTTTGACTCTTGAAGATTGAGATTGTTGATGAGTGTATCCATTTGAACTTTATACTCATTGCACAGCTTGTCTTTTGCCTTTCTAACCAGAGTCATTTTACTCTGTATTTTGTATAACTGTGACAGAAGAGATTGTTTGGTTGGAATTAATTTAGAGTTGATTAGGAATTGAAGTTCTGTAAGTTGTTTTTCATAAACATGATTATTAATATTTCTTGAGGCAATAAAGTTTAGCTTATGTAAATCATAATTTTGAGAGGTGGGTATTTGATTTTCTTGAGTGGTCTCAACCTTCTTTGGTTCCTCAATTTTAGGCTCTTCCTCACTTGTTGATTTTCTTGATTTTTTAGATGAAGATGATCTCTTTTCCTTCTTTTCCTTTTTATCTTTCTTTTTCTTCTTGTCTTCCGATTCATCTGAAGATTTTGATGATTTGGACTTTTTGGAGGATGAGGAGGAACGAGACTTTTTCTCTGAAGGCATTTTTTTGTACTTTTTTTGGCGCCAAAAACATTTCCATTAAGAAAATTATAATGCTGTTCACGAGAAATGATTAATGATATTATTATGTTATGGATTCAGTAATTTACTGAAAAATCCATTGTACTTTTTCACAGCAACTTTTGCAGATTTTTCTCCTTGTTCAGCTAATTTTCTAATCTTTGATATGGCAGATTGAATTCCAGCATCTGCTGCCTTTTCATAGTAGTGACAAGCTTTGGCTAAATCACGTGGAACATAATTTCCCTCTTCATACATAATTCCAAGCCATGCATTTGCATTGATATTGCCACCACTAGCACTCCTGGAAAAGTATTTGAATGCCAATTCTTTATCCACTTTAGTTCCAATGCCCATCAAATGAATTCTTCCCATATCACACATGGCTGTCATATTTCCATTAGATGCACTCTGTTCATACCAATATTTTGCAGAATCATCATTTTTTACAACACTTCCACAACCATTTTTAAAGAAATAGGCAACATGTAGTTGACTTTCATGAAATCCTAATTTTGCTGATTTCTGGAAATATTCAAAAGCTTTATCAACATCTTTCTTAACTCCAGTACCATTTTCGTACATTAATCCTAATCTATTAAGAGCCCACGGAGTATTACTCTCCAAATAATATTCTGATAAAATTAATTACAATAGATTAATTTTCAATAAACTTACTAATAGCATTTCTATAGTTTTGTTTCACACCATACCCATGTTCATGCATTGCTCCTAACAGAAAAGTGGCATTTGAATTGCTATTGTTTGTCATTTCAAAATTGCAGCAGTCTAATAATCTCTTGAGATCCTTCTTGTCTGAATAATATTTCAACAAGTGAATGATATTTTGCATGGAATTGAAATCAAAGTTTCTATGTGTGGTGAAAATTTCAAACATTAATTGAAATGCTTCCTTATAGTTTTTACAATCCATGGCAAGAATAGCTTTTCTCTCACTTTCAGCAATAAAAGTTTCTGCTCTATCAGAGCTTTTCATTATTAATGGATTGGATAATATGCTTTCGTAGGAAGGTCTTGAGAGAGGATCCTTTGCCAACATTTTGAGCAATAGGTCAATAATGGAGCTATCACATTTTGCTAATTTCAACGAGTTTTCAATTTCTTCCATGGAAATGTTAGCACATCTAGAACGTAAATCAAAGGTTAACAACTGATAAACAGATACTCCAATTGCAAAGATATCACTCTTAATAGAATAGGGAAGAACCCTCTCATTAGACGAAAGTATTTCAGGTGCTAGGTATTGTTCCGTTCCAGCCAAACTCAAAGAAGTTAAACTATCTGATATAACAGTACTTCCACCAAAATCCGCAAGTACAATTTCAATCCGATTTCCAATAGGATCAAACTTTCTTAGTAGGATATTCAAAGGTTTAATATCTCGATGCACAATTATTCCTCTTTTCTGTTGATTGAAATAATGTAAAGCAGCACACAACTGATAAATACATTGGAATATCATTTCATTGGAAAGAGGTATCTTTTTTTCAATAATGGCCTTTTTCATGCTTCCTAGCTCCATATATTCCATTACAATACAAAATACATCAAATAATGTAAACATTTCATAAACTTTGATCGAATAATTGTGACTGAACACTATTGTCTTGGTTCCTTCATTAAAATCCATCGTCCCCTCAATACAAGTAACTGGAACAACTTTGATTGCTACAATTTTAGAGTCCAACTTTCGAGTTGCTTTAAAAACTTTTCCAAAAGCACCTTCTCCAATTATACTCATCTCTGAATATTGATTCAATAGTACTGAGAGAATTTCACTAGCTCTAGTACTCTTCAAACCCACGATAAGTTCATCATAATTCGAATCAATTGAAGTAGAAACAACAGGTGCTTCATCATGATGACTTGATTGATTCGTACTATTTTCAGTAGTATTATTATTCGAAAGACTATTTTCCCTACTATCGGTTGATGTACTACTACCACTATTACTACTAACAGTACTTTTAGTACTTGTAATACTGCTATTGTTAGTAGAAGTATTGGAAGTGTTACTATTAATTTTCTTTTCATTACTTTCGAATACTACTTCAACAATCAGTGGATGATCTAGTTGAGTACTAAATGTCTTCATCATGTTTCTTACATCTGTATCATTTCTGAGTGTAATTAATAAATTTGCCGTTGGATGTTTATATTTCAAAAAGAAGTGAATTTCATTTGATGATGAGAGAAGATCTAGCACTTGACTTGTTATGAATTCCAATGTTGAACATTCGTCCAGAAAGAGGAGAATATTATGAGATAAACACTGAACAATACATTGCATTGTTTAATATTTTTTCAATTATTATTAAAAACAACAAATCTCCTTTTCACAACAGTTTTCAACAGTTCAAAAATCTTCACGTCAAACAAAATTCTTTTAAAAAATGTCTTCAAATTGGTATAGAGCTTCACCTTTCGGAAAGTGTCTGCTCATATTGACTTGTTCATGTTTTGTGGGGTGTTGTGCTGACAGAGACACTGACATTGAAGAGTACGAACAAGATGGCAATAGTAGATTCCATAAATTTCATTCCACTGTGTAATTGGATATTTATTTTTTTGCAATGTTTGTTGTGATTCTTTTAATTGGATTTTGATGTTGTGCAAAATGTTGTAGCCTTAGTATACTAGTAATCCATCTCATGTTACCTGTACATTCATTGTAAACTATTTAAATATTAAATATAATATTCCAGAAATTCAACCCTTAAGAGAAACTAATCACAGATTAAACAGTTTCATTTTCTTTTGAAAAAATATGTAAAAAGTTCTAGTTACTAACTTTCTCTGAAAGAACTGTCTGTTTGTCTGTTTATCTCATAAACAATTTGGAAGTTCAAACTTTAATTTATCAAAAAAATGTTAGCACAAGACAATGATATAAAGAACAAAGTTAGAAGATTTGTTAGAAAGTATCACATCAAACAACCTCTTCAAAAACGAATCTTTGATAAGCACAAATTCGAACCATTAACAGAATCTCCCTTAATAGCATCTGAAGAAAATACAGAGTTTCTTTCCCATCAGAACTCTGCCTACTCGGGTTTATCCCAATACCAAATACACAAAACTGCAGAATTGAAAAAAGGTCCTTGTGGAGTTGGACTAGCAAACTTTCAATTCTAGTTGAAATGGAAAGTTTAGGAGATGATGCTTACTTTACCTTTGATTCCACCACGCATTCAATGATAGGAATTGCAGATGGAGTTGGAGGTTGGAATAGGAATGGTTCCACAGGTATTGCAGCACTAGTTAGCAATAGAATAATGTCGGAATGCTTAAAATGTTGTGAGAATGGGGAACGTGATCCTAGAAATGTAATGAAACAATCATTTGAGAATATTGTGAAAGATAACTTGAGTAAAGGTAGTTCAACAGTTTGCATTGCATCCATTGATAAGATGGCTAACAAGCTCAGTGTTTGTAATTTTGGAGATTCTCAATATGATATCATTCTATTATTTACAGATGGAGTGTGTGATAATCTCTTTCAATCTGAAATTCTTGAAATTTGTACTGGACTTGATACATCCTATGAAATTGCTTGTTCAATTGTGAAAAAATCAAAAGAAAAAACGAGAACACCATCCACTGACTTTGCAGAAATCTATCCCACACCATTTTCAAAAAGCAGAAATTTGAAATATACTGCAAAACCAGATGATATCACTTGTGTATGTCAAATAATTGAATAACTCAATAAAACCTTAAAACAACAATCCGATATATGGATAACATCAATTATCAAATATCTGAATCAGTTGTTTAGATATTTTAAATATTATTTAAAAAAAATGTTTAGAGAACAAGAAGAGGAGGAAATTTATCAACATCAACGAAATAATCTTGGTCGACATGGAAACAATGAAGATGATGGTACTCTGACAGAGTATCATCATCGTGATAAATCTTCATCAATTCTACAATTCCTGAGGAATAACAAGATTTATATTGCAATCTTTATTGTAGCCTTTATTATTTGTATTGGATTATTAATTGGATTAATTGTTTATAATATTGTTAGTAAACCAAATATTGTAGATCATGTTTCGGATAGGAGAGTCTTGATGATCTCTATTGATGGATTCCGACCTGATTATTTGGACATGTTTAAGGATGATTGTAAGAATTTAACTCGTGTATTTATGGATGGTGTTAGAGCCAAGACAATGAAACCAATATTTCCATCAAAAACATTTCCAAATCACTATACGATTGTTACTGGACTTTATGCTGAATCTCATGGAATAGTTTCAAATTCGTAAGTTTGTTAAATTGATTATTCAACCTGGAAAATGTTAGTTTTTATGATCCAAATTTCAATGCCAAGTTTAGTATGGGATCTGATGAATCCATCAAATCTAGATGGTGGTTAGGAGAACCTATTTGGGTAACTGCTGAAAAACAAGGAATGGTTGCAGGAAGTTTCTTCTGGCCTGGCTCAGATGTGGAAATTCAAGGAAGATATCCAACCTATTACAAGAAATATGATGGAGATGTTGATTATGAGACAAGAGTCAAAACTGTATTTGAATGGTTAGATTCAGATAAACCACCACAAATTGTATTGACCTATTTCAGTGCTGTGGATACTGCAGGTCACAAGTAAGTTTTATTTTTCATGTTTACAATATGGATACAAATATAATAATAATTAAATAACTATAGATATGGACCTATTTATTCTGAAGAATTGAGGGCAGCTGTAAAAGAAGTGGATAATTCTATAGGACTTGTTCTTTCACAATTGGAAAAGAGAAATTTGACTGATAAAGTAGATTTGATTATTGTGAGTGATCATGGTATGGCTTACACTCCAGAATCAAAGATTGTGAGAATGACAGATATATTAGGAAGAAATGTTTTGGTTGGAGATGAAATTTTCAGTATGAATGATGGTCCATTCTTTGATTTGTATATTAAGGACAAATCTAAAGTTGAACCCCTATTTAATGAATTAGCGAATTCAATTCAAAATAATAGTACCTTCTCAACTGCCATTCAAGGTGTTTATTTGAAGAATAATATGCCAGATAGATTCCATTTTGTAAATTCTGACAGAATTCCAGATATTACCATACTTGCCAAACCTGAATACTCGATTTTAAGATATTCTACTAGTACCTTGTACGGTAAGTGCTAATAATTTAGTATTATTGATCTTAATGCGATTTAAAAGGAAATGGAAATCATGGATGGGATAATGAATCAGATTTAATGGGTAGCTTATTTATTGCCAGAGGAAAGCACTTTAAACAAGGGTTTACATCTGAGGAATCTGTTAGAAATTTGGATGTTTATTCATTACTTTGTAAATTATTGAATTTAACACCAGCTCCAAATAACGGTACTGCTGATAATTTTTCGTCCTTCTTGAAACTCTAAGCATTGATTTCAAATGAATGAAAAATGATTATTAATCAATTGACTACTTCAATTTATTTCTTATTGGTGAGATGTATAGTGGAATCTTTATACTGTCTCATGAATTTCAATCCATAAACACACGTAAAAACGAAAAATGTGATAATCCCTAGATAAACACAGCCAAGATGAAGAATGGTATAATCAATATAGGGCACGTTTGTGGAAAGCATTACACTACTTGGAAATCCATTGATTGGATCTGCATTGGGATTTGTATAATCGTGTTGAGAGACAAATTTACCACGTCCTCCATATTTTCTATGCTTAATTCTATGTCTCAAACTCCAAACATCAATACATGGTGGTATAATTAATAAAATGGGTTGTAATAACCAACGGATTAAACTGAAATCCCCCAATGTGACCAACCATTTAGTGAGCTCAATTTTATGTCCACAATAAGCACCATAGATTATAAATTCTTGTTCATCATCTTCATCAGGTCTGAAAACAATGGAATCACCCTCAAAAGTTTGATTCTCAATCCTTCCCCAACAAATTCTTTGATCCAACTTGTAAAGGTAAAAGTAGTGCATGAGTCCAAGTGCTTTCCATAAGCCAAGTGATGTAATATCTAAATAGGTGTTCCAAATACAAGGTAAGATCATTTCGAGGTTTCCATCCCACTTTTTATCTGTATGAGTAAGATCTAGATATCTACCTCCAACCCTTGTACCTCTCATCTCATTTCTTACAATAGTGAAAACAAAAAACGGTTTCAAGAAGAATGTTACATCAATAAGCCAAACTAATGTTGGAAAGAATCCATGAATAATATTGAATATCTTATTTTCTATTTGGAGAAGCTGAGAAGAATCATCGTTCGTATAATCAGATGTATTATCATCTTGGTCCACATGTGATAATAAACCAATATTACTTTCATTGATAGATTGATTATGAGAAGTTGTAAAACTAAATCTGCCACCAAAGTCAACCTTCTTTACAACCACCAAATATACCTTCATAGCAATAGTAATAATAACAGAAATACAAATGGGTACAATTAATAAAACAAACAATGGAGCCATTTTTTTTATCAATGCTCCTGTCGAATGGAATTCTCATGTCAATATTTATTTGTTCCATTGAAAATTCATTAACTACACGTGTAAAAAACACTGCAAAACCATTTAAAAATTATTTGTAAATTTCAAATTTTCATGTCTGCTGCTTGTCCAAGGAAATTGAGATGTTTCAATCATATAGGAATTAAGCGAAATATAGACCCAGCGTGAGAACTCTAGAATACACAATATAACATTCGAATAATAGATCAATGACACAAGCAATCTGTCTCAACACTACTTCCGTCTTTTTAGAGAAAAAGTCGTTTTTTGAGGTTTCCACAGTGAAAGAGAGATTAACTTTCAAAAAAATGCCATCAGTCAAACACATCAGATTTTATCTTCCTTTGGTATTAGTTTTCTTTCTTTTCGTAACCAGTATCAACTTCAAATAATCTCTTTACCAGAAGTCTTTCTAATATTTCTTTTACTCAACCGGTTACAGACCCTTCACCTCTCGGATGTCAAATTGTTCCACAACCAAATTTTCTCTCACTACAAGTGGCATCAATTTTCATATCTTCTATTCGTGGTAATGATTATTTAACACAATCATTGAATAATTCATCATCATTAATTAGTAATAAGTGTAATTTCATCAATAATCCATGTCACTCAATTTCACATGCCTTGTCTCAGTTGAGTAACACAACATGTGTAATTAATCCTTGTACTGGATATGTATTATTTTTATTGGATGATTTATTGGATGATGAAGCAAAGAGTTGTAATTTGGAAATTCCAACTTCAATTCCAATCATGTTTTATGGAGTTGGTTCAAGTAAAAATTGGAAGTGTGTTTCGAATAGCATATTTAAAGAAGGAAATAATGTATTGTATCAGGGATTCTTTATCTCAAATGTGAAAATTAGTGGAAATTTCAATTTACGAGTTTGTTTATTGTATTTTGTAAATTCAATTGCATTTAATTTTAGATTTTCCAACAAGTATTTCTTGTAAGTTTCGTTTTTTATTTCTTTTAAAATATAATTGGAATAGTACAATATTTTTTCACACTTCACAACTATTAGAAAGTGTAATTGAAGAAACAAGTCAAGACATAACTTATTGGAATATAATGAGATATAGTTCTTTATCATTTCTTAGTTCTACAGTTAACAAAACTAAAATTAAGTCCTATGCTAAAGTTAGTTTTTCCTCATCTAATGTCACTAGCACTGAAAGCACGACAATACTAGCAACGAGCATGTTTCTCGATTCCTATGTAATTCCATTTGCTTTAGTTTTTGACTCGTTATTGGAAAGCTCAAGCTTTACGTTTGAGTGGAAAACTGCATCATGTATTACATATGACAAACAACCACAATTTGGATTTTTTAATTCAAAGCTCATTAATTCAAAGATTTTTTCATTCAATTTTGGAAGATTAGTTTTGGATAATAATTTATTTACAGGTACGAGTCAAATTCTATTAAGAAACAGTATTCCTTGTGACAAGGCAATAGATGTCACAAGAAATGTATTTGAAAGTCTTCCTGACCTTTCTACATTATTAATACAGGATACGATTGCAATTTTGCTATTTTCTGGAAATTCAATTAGAAATTTTAATGTAGCTTTTGGATTATTTCATTTTAATACCTTAGCAGTGGTTAAATTTGAAAATAATATTGTTACTGGAATGATTATGCCACAAATTGCTCTAACAAATTCTGGACTATTTACATTCGAAAAAATTAACAATATTGCTACTTTTAATAATACTTTTATTGGTAATGTAGGATATTATGGATCGTACTATTTTAAAGAATGTGGAAATATTTTGATTATGAATGACAAGTTTTCAAATAATAAGGCAATTATTGGAGGAGCTATTTATGATTCCAATAATGGTTTTGGTAGATCGGTCAATGTTACAAATTCAATATTTTCCAACAATTATGCAAGTTATGGAGGTGTTATTGGAACAAGTTTAGTGAATGTAAATCTCTATTTCACTGGAAATACATTCGAAAATAATAGAGCCAAGTGGGGAGGAGCTATTTTAGCTGATATACCACCTTATTTTATGGATGGAATGTTACAATCTAATCAATTTGTAAATAATACTATTGAATTTCAATCAGAAGAAAATAATATTGCTGGTAATCCTATATTTACTCTACTTTCACCTAATGGTACTCTATTCTTATATCCAGGAGAATTGATTAATATAGAAGGAAGAGTAACAGACCTCTATGACAAGGTAATACCTTATAATTCAGATTTTAAAATTGATATTACTGCATCACAACCAAATGTAATGATATATAGTAGTGTGATTGCAAATCAGTTGACTAGTAAATCATTTAATATTTATTGGAAATATGGATTAGTAGGAGCTGAAACTGTTAATGCATTCTCTCAGTTTAATTTAACAATTTCAACTCGAATTCTGGATAAATCAACTTTTGGAAGAGTTATTGTAATGGTTAAGGAATGTCCATCTGGATTCTCATTCATGAATGGTTATTTACTTGGAAATACCAATTCAAATCTATTCGAATGTTCACCCATTCCTCTAATTATGTCTCTGTCTATAGTTGGATCTTCCTTATTATTTGGATTCATTACTGTAGGAGTTCTGTGGTTGTGTATTAAAATCTATACCTCTATAAAACCATATAGAACAGCCAAGCAACAAACCATGATGGTTCTTTCCATGCAAAAACCTCAAAATGAAATAGCAAAGAAAGTGAAAATATTCGATCAAGAATTGGAAACTAAATTAAGCAGATTATTAATGAATGCAGAAAATTATACTGTTTTGAAAAGTAATGATATGGTGGAAGTTGTTTCATTCACTTCTAATTGGGAGAAATATGTTTTAAAGATTGACAAATCTCAGAGAAGAGAAGTTCGATTGAATGAGGAATATTCTGCAGTACCGTAAGTAGTTGTTATTTTGATTTAACCTTTGATTTTGAAAGAGTTGAATTGGTTGATACGAATGAGGCAAAACAATTTATTGCGAATGCAGAGTATTACTTTGTTATTCCTGGTGATAATAATGAGAAAACAAGATTTTTGGGAATTGATATCAAAAACAGATCTGTTTTTCATCCTTGTTTGATATTTAGAGGTGCAGATTTTGATCTATCTCACTATTTGTCTGTTTTTGGTCATTTTAGTAAGAGAATTGAAGAAAAAATTGATATTTTACAACAAATTGTAAGTAATATTTCTCAACCAATTGATTACTAACGTCTCGTAGGTAAAACCAATGAAATGGCTTCATTCCAATAACATATTCCATCGCGATTTGAAACCTGCAAATATTTTTGTTTGGTGGGATGTTGGAAAGAAGCCAATTTTAAAAATTGGTGATTTTGGAGCTAGTAGCAGTAATTATGTTTTAGAAGGAACATATCCATATATAGCTCCTGAACTAATTAATGAAAATGATTTGAATGAATTAAGCATTTATCATTCTCGTATGGAGTGGTTTGCTCCTGCAGATGTTTATTCATTCTCAGTCATAATGTGGGACGTATTATTTGAGGACAATTCAAGATTTATCAGACATTTCAGAATGAAAAAGTATTCCAATGATGATTTCTCCATTAACATGCCAACATTGGAGATGTTACTAGAATATTGTGAAAAGGAAAATAGATTTGAACTCAACCCAAAGATAGAATTAGCCAAACAATTGGAAAATTATTTGGAAATATTCAAGAGATGTAACAGTGAGGATCCAACAAAAAGACCAACGTTTGAATTTATTGAAAAGGCATTGAATGGAGAGGTAGAGAATTGGAATTCCTATCCAACCTATTCTAGAATTAAGGAATCAATAGATGTTGACTCGTCCCATTATTATCATCGTGACAATGGTTCGAACTCTAATTTTGTTAAAATTGGATCAGATAATGAGGAGTTAATTGAAACTGAGTATACCAGATATTAAGCTTATAAAATGTCTGACTTGATCTGTGAAGTTCCTTCAAATTATTATAAACGTGAGAATTAGCCTTAAATACAAGGGTATTTTCATGCTCAATAAGGTGGCCCACGCATATTAAGTTTAAGGGTTATTGAAAATTATTGAATGTAGCCCGTCTAGCTCAGTCGGTAGAGCGCAAGGCTCTTAACCTTGTGGTCGTGGGTTCGACCCCCACGGTGGGCGATTTCGTTTTGTTTTGAATTGGGAATCAGTCATATAATGCGTTAAGTTTTTATCTGAATGGCTTTAAATTTTGTTCATTCCAACCTCTTGGCGGAGATATCATTAGTCTATTTAAAGAATATTAAAAAGGCTATTATTAATTTAATTTAATTATTTTAAAAAAATGAAACGACGAGCAAGTAGGAATAATCTGCAAGACAATAAAAAAGTGGAGACTCCTAAAAAGAGTACACCACCAGTAGTAGTGGATAATATTTCGGATCAGGCTTTATCAGAGTCAAGTATAAAAGCAATACAAAAATTAGCTGGACAATTAGCGAGCGGGAAGAAACTTTTATTTGTGACTGGAGCAGGTATTTCGCAAATATCAGGTAAATATTTATTATAATTGATGGATACGAACTGTTTTGGAATTTTATATTGGATATAAATTATTTTGAAATTAATTTAGGAATTCCAACATATAGAGGAGATGCCAATTCAATTTGGTCGAATCATATTCTTGATATGGGTACTAGGAAAATGTTTCAAAGGGATGAATTACATTGGTACAATTCATTTTGGTTGACAACCCATCACAAGAGAGAATATTTTGTTGCCAAACCAAATGAAGGACATTTAGCTATTGCGAGATTGAGTAAATTATGTAATTTGAGATGTATTACACAGAATATTGATCATTTACATTCAAAAACATCTCTATCACCATCCCATATAATAGAGGTTCATGGTAGATTAGGTCTTTATAAGTGTATTAATTCTAGAAAAAAGAATCCTTGTCCATATGCCAAAACACATAGTATTGATACAGTACAATTGGAAAAGCATAGTAATGATTATCATCAAAATAAGCCCACTTTTACCATCAAATCAGTACCAAAATGTCCCTTCTGTAAAACTCTTCTCCTTCCACAAGCCCTCTTATTTGATGAGAAATATGAATCACATGATTTTTATCAATGGAGAAAAGCACTGCAATGGATTGCTGATTGTGAAGTCATTTGTTTTGTAGGAACATCATTTTCTGTAGGTGTTACAGCTGAATGCTTGTCAATTGCCAAGGACAATGACAAAACCCTCTACAATTTTAATATTAGGGTAGATAAGGAGGTTAAAAATCTTCCAGGAATGTATCATATTGTAGGAAAATCTGAAATTTCACTTCCATTCTTATTTAATACATTGGTGGAAATTGGGAAGAGTCAACATTTATCTCACAAGCCACGAATGCACTTTTATTCGAGCCAATATTCAAGTACACACAAAGTGGTGAAAAGAACTAATCTGAAAAGACTACAAAGAAACAGTAAAGTCATTCACAGTGATGATGAGCAACAGCAGCCTGTTGAAGAGCATGAATATGATAGTGACCATGAGAGAATCTCTAAAAAGATCAAATTCAAGGAGTACTCTTCCAGTGATGATGGTGCTAGTTCTAGTGAGGAAGGAGAAACTGAGGAAGAATTTGACGATTCCGATGAGGATTATTAAAAGAGCATGCTATAGAAACAAATATCTGAACCACACTACAGTAAGCTTTGTAAACAACTCCAATTTCCTTATAGTAACATTGCCAATCTCGCTAAAATTTCTGTTTTTAAATTTTCCACAAGCAATTGCCCGGAGCGAGTTGTGTTTCTTCGCGCTGATTATTTTAAAGCAAAAGAACCAAAAAGAAGTGAATCTTAACAATTTTTCAAACTCAAAAAAAAGAGAAGCAAACAACAAACACATACAACTTTCATAACAAAAATGCAACAAGTTCATTTATGGCTCCGTGATGAAGTTAAACCATTCGAACAACGTACAGCTTTGACTCCTTCCGATGCTGAAAAGTTGATCAAGGAATTTAATTTTAAAATTACAGTTGAAAAATCTGTTACTCGTGCCTTTGATGATGAAGAATATGTTAAAGTTGGTTGTCAATTAGTTGAATCAAATTCATGGATTACTCAAGCACCAAAACTTGAAGAAAATGATAATTTCTATATTTTGGGATTGAAAGAATTACCACTCGGAAATACTCAATTAGGTGATATTCAAGTTCCACACTTACTTTCTCAACGTCATATTTTCTTTGCTCACTGTTTCAAGAGACAATCTGATTGGAAAGATACAATGAGTAGATTTGTTCAAGCTGAACCAAGACCAGGTCAAATTCTTGACTTGGAATTCCTTAATTTAGATAATGGTAGAAGAGTTGCTGCTTTTGGTTATGCAGCTGGTTTTAATGGAATGGCAATGGGTTTACTTACTTATTGTAAACAAAAATTACATTCAAACGATTTGGAAGTTTTGAATGAAATTGTTAAACCATTCAAGAATAGAACTGAACTTGTTAATCATATTAAGGATTTACTTTCTAAATTAGATCATACACCAAAATGTTTAGTTTTAGGAGCATTGGGTAGATGTGGAAGTGGAAGTGTTAAATGTGCTGAATTATGTGGAATTCCAGAAAGTCATTTAATTAAATGGGATTTGAATGAAACCAAAGCAGGTGGACCATTCCCACAATTATCAACAGATGTTGATATTCTAGTTAATGATATTTATTTGAGTGGTGAAATTAAACCATTCTTAACAATGGAAATGGCACAAAAAGGTGATCGTAGAATGAGTGTTTTCATTGATGTTTCATGTGATGTTACAAATCCATTCAATCCATTCCCAATTAATAATCAAGTTACAACATTTGATAGACCAGTTAGAAGAGTTGATAATACTAATAATCTTCCATTAGATGTTATTGCAATTGATCATTTACCAACAATGACTCCACAAGAATCATCAGATGAATTCTCAAATGCTTTGGTTACTTATTTGGCTGAATTGAGAAATGTTAATTTTTCAAATGAACAAGGTGAAACTGAAGGTATTAGAGTTTGGTTACGTGCAAATCAATTATTTGAAAAGAAAGTTCAAGAATTTAAACAAGAATTGTAAATTGCTATAAAAAAACATTAAAAAACCTTTTGAAAATTATCCAAATTCATTTTAATATGTTGCTGTCAAATGTTCTTTCACCACTCTCATTTCAAATCCTTGTCAATTATAAATTCCATAAGATAAAAAATGTCTTTTAATCAATTATTACCTCCCACACTAAAACCTAGATCCTACAGTGCTACCAATTCTAAGAATGCTACACCTACTTCCAATACACCACTTTCACCTGTCATTACCATTGAAAATGATTCATCATCATTACCTTCATCATCATCACAAGCAATGAATCAACAACATCAATCTAATACTACCACTACCACTACTACTACTCAACAACAACAACAACCAACTAGTGCACGTACAGGTCATCGTCGATTACCCAGTTCCTTCCTATTACCTTCTACAGCAGCAGGAGTAGGAGGTGCAACTTCATCATCTTCACTTGCTATTTCTCCACTAACAGGTGCAAGTGCAAGTGTATCATCATCATCATCATCATTGAATAATAACAATTTATTAATGTCCAGTGGAACACCACAATCACCCTCTCCTAATACTACCTCCATGATGATGATGTATCACTTTAATACCTCATCCAATTCTCTACTAGTTGGTACACCAGGTAGTACAACAACAAGAACAAGAACACCCAACAGTCCTCCAACCAACAACAGCAACAATAATAATTCAACAGCATCACTATTAATTCATCAAGGTAATAGTAGTAATGTTGCAGGTGTTGCAGGTCAACAACAACAACAACAACAACAACAACATCATCACTTTGTTCCTCCACTCATTCCACCAGTCTCTTTCAATGCACTATTCAATAATAATAATAACAACAACAACTCGACGGAAGAAAATAACAAAATGATGAATGCTGGTGGATCATCATCAATAATTGGTCCACAACAGAGTGGTGGAATGACAACATCATCAAGTAGTGGAAATTTACTTTCCAATTCAGCAGGTAATTCATCATTTCAAAATCCAATTTCACACAATGTTGAATACTATCATGCTCATATGGCCATGTTTATAAAGAAAAAGTTTGAGGAAGAGGAGGAATATCTAATGTATTCATATCCGAATGAAATATCATCTCCCAATATACATATTAGATCATTAAAGGAATTGAGAGGTACATTACACTCTGTATTTGGTGAATGTAATGATATATTGAATGAACAAGTTAGATTTTGTTATTTAACACCAACTGGAAAGAGTGTTTCATCATCGTGGTGGAATGTTCATTCTAATACTACTAATACTACTAATACTAATAGTGGCACAAATCATAATCCATTATCATCTGCATCCTCTTCTCATCAACATCAACATATTCATCAGGGTTCCATTGATAGCATTTCAAGTCCAAATCAATCGACACCACTTCCATCATCTGTAAATTCAGCAACTTCTGCACTTCCTAATACTGATACCATTAATTCGACAAGTTCAATTCATCATCATCATCAATCCATTCCATCCAATATATCATCATCCAATAATCCTACTATTACTACTACAATTGGTGTTAATGATACAATTTCACAAAAACCATCTCTATTAGAATTTTTACAAGAAAGTAAAAAGATTGAAAATGCAACAGAATTATCAAATGTTATTCAATTGAGAGAAACTATTGAAAAGAATAAGAGACCACTTATTGTAACATACAAAATATTGAAACAGTATATATTTTTATTATATTTACCAATTCCAACTGATTACAATTATGGAAATGTAATGAAATCAGTTTATGAACAATATGTAAATGAATTATTTGAATTTTTAGATTTTATTTATCAAGATGTTGAAGAAATTATTACAAATATTTCAGATTATCAAAGTCAATTAGATACAATATTTAATAGATTTTTTGAAATGGTATTTCATGATAGAGATTTTAGTTTTGTAAATAGTTTTCAAGATGGTTTTGTTAAATTTCAACCTTCTTTTCATATTTCTCAAACTATTGATGCTGAATTATCAAATTTAGAAACAATTATGAAAGAAGATTGTTTTAATATTGGAACTTGTTTAATTTATAAGGGTTTATTACAATTATCTCATTTACCTAAAAATATTACAAAACAAGTAATTAGATATTTAACACATTTTAATATTATTCATAGAGCTCAAGATTCACCTGAAATGGTTATTATTGAAAAGGTTTTTATTAAGGAAAATTCAAATCCTTTCGATTTATTAACAATTAATGAAACATCAGGTGATAATGGTTATGATTATTTATTATCTGTTATTACTCAAGGTGAAAAAGTAATGTGTAGTGTTTTATATGCAAAGAGATATCCACAATCTTATTATGAAGGTGATTTATATTATGTTGATGAAATGAGAACTTGTTTATTACAATTAGAAAAGAAGGGAATTTTTAGTCAACTTAGAGGTCAATTTAAAACTTCACATTCTTTAGCTAATGTTTTTTCAATTCCAACTGTTTCTGTAACTGCAAATACAGAATCATCAAGAGATAGTACAAGTGGTCTAGTTGGCTTAGGAAGTTTTACTTCAAATAGTTTTTATGGATTTGGACTAACAAATGATCATACAAGTCCAACAAGTTCTAATACTTCTAGTTCTTCTAGTAGTAATTCGAGTAATGAAACAATTATTGGATCTAACATGAAACATTTCGTCACACAAGGACCTTACAATGTCTTGTTAGGTTATGTTGTCCATTCAAATTCGAATGGTGTAATTTTATATCATAATAGCAGTAATCCAGCTATTGCATCAGTTTTTTCTCTGAAATGTCAAGTTGTTAGACAAGTATTACAAAGTAAGAGATCAATGAGTGATGACCCTATCGTAGAATTTGGTATTCACATTGATCAGAAGGTGCCACTTCCAAACAATACTATTGGACATATTGGATATTGGATTTGTGGTAGAATGAATGATATGCTGGATGAATTTTATGTTTGTTATGAAGATTCTATTCCTCAAGATGTTGTGGAATTATCTTATAGATTGTACAGTAGACTTTACATTTAATTTCCCCAATAAACTCTTTAATTTATTCAAACATCTTCTAGTTCAACTACTTAAAAACGAATGGCATCCTTTGTCAAACTGTTTACAATGTGAAGAATGAGCTTGATGGTCTTGATATCACTTGGCTTACCACGTTCAAGAATGATTGGATGTTTAGCAGCCAAATGTTCTCTAATACCTTCCAAGATTGGAGCTGAAAATTGGGAAATGGCTGGATCAATTGGGTTGATATGAATAATAACTCTTTCCAACCAAGACAATTTAACATCAGTTTGTTCAGTAATATCATAAGCCAATTGTTGAACAAGGGTAAGAAGGATTGGTTGAGAAATTGGAATATCAACTTCAAACAAACGTGGATCAATAACACTACACAACCAAACTAATAAACGTAAATCAGCCTTTTCCAAAACAAGTGAGAAAACTTCCTCAAATCTTTGGTTTTCAACCAAGTTCAAAAGTTGCTCCTTGGAAATGTCTCCATTATTATTGCTTGTATTTGTTGCTGTTTGTTGAACAGCTGGCATGTTTTGAGCAACATTCTTCAATTCTTGTCTGATAGCTTCAACAGTTGAATCATTGACTTCCTTACAGTATTGCTTCAATGGTGATTTAACCAATTCATCCATTCCTCTTTCAAAGGTCTTACTAATTTGTTCAAACATTCTTCTGCATGATGTTTCAAATGAAGGAAGAACTGTAGACTTGAGAACTGTTTGGAAACTATCTTGGATAACCTTCTTAATAGATCCTGAATCAGAAGTATCAGTCAATGATTGGGTAAGAGCGTCATTGACAACATCAGACATGTTATCGGTGAGTGAGTCAAGAACAGATTGAGAAATTTCATCTGGTAAATCATTAGTAATGGCAGAAGAAATAGTTTCAATCAACTCCTTTTGTCTAGTTCTTTCTTCAGAGAGTCTTGTCAATCTTTCCTTTTCAATACGCTTGTAAAGTTGTTCATATTGTCTTTCAGTTTGGGTTTGAATCATTGTTTCCATTTGAGTAAGAATGCTTCTTTCCATTCTCTTCAATTCAGAAATGAGTTCAAAATTAGAACCACTAGAAGCAGGTTGAGTAGGAGTGGCTTGAGGAACAGATGGATTAACTGGTGGAATAATATTTGGAGATTGACGAATAGCTACACCAGTATTAGTATTAGCAACAACAATTTCCTTTGAAGAGCTTGGTTGGTGGACTAAATCTGGCATTGGAATTGCAGTTTTAACTTGTTGGCTTAGAGCACAAATTTGGAAGTTTCTAATATTCAACAAGTGAATACCACTGGTTTGTAAACAGAATAAACCAAAGTTAATACCAATAGTCATAGCAACAAGACTAACAATTGGATATCTACAATCAAATTCAGTGATGAAATCAAAATGTGGATGATCTTCTTGTTCAGTCAAAGGTGTCTTGTTTAAGCGAAGAGTGAACAATACTGGATATTGCAAATTTGAAACAAACAAAGCAGATGCTGTAGAATCAAGTTCAACATTATTGATAGAAACCTTTTCATCAAACTTTTCAGAGGTTTCTGGTCTAATTGATACTTGTTGAACAAGTTCAATGTCCAACTTTGGTGATAAATACCACAAACAAATATCAAAATTGTTTTGTGAAGATGTAATAAAGTATCTTTCAATATTAGTCTCAGTGCCTGAGCAAAATTGGATATTAATCAATTCGTTATTGTAAATATTGGCTGATTTTACAAGTGTCATGTTTGTTCTTCTATCCCAAATGTAAATATTACCAAATGATGAAATGCAGGCAAGATACTTTCCATCACTAGAGAAAGATAAATCGGTAATTGATTCATTTTCAGCAAACTCATTAGACAATACACGAATACCACGCATAGTGTGAATATTATCATTATCTAATTCAATCAAGTTGTTATACATTGCTAATTGATCAACATCAAGCAAAATTAATTGGTTATCACTAGTAATAGCACATAACTCCTTATCTGATTGTGGAGCCCACAAAATTCTTCTAAAGAATCTATGTGATTGATCAGAAGAAAATGTTAAATGGACCAATTTAGCATATCCTACTTGATCTTCCTTAGGGTTTCGTAAATCGTTTGGATGGATTTTTTCATCAGTTTCAATAATTTTCCACACAATCAAAGATCTATCTCTAGAAACAGATGCCAATTTCAAATTTACAGAACATTGTAAATCGGATACATATTGTTTGTGTCCCTTCAAAAATACTTTCTTTCCAACCTTTCTACTAACAACACGAATAGCTCCTCCTTTCAAACTCCAAACCATATAGTCATCCAAAATTCCTATACATTTACCATTTGTGAAAATTTGGTCGCTTACATAAGGTGTAATACCTTTAATACTGGCCAATTGTTTTCTTTCTTTCTTAGCATCAAGTGAGGATGTCACGTAGGTATAAGCCTTCTTATCAATTGGACCTGTAATGAATGGATCAATCATAGATTGTGGATTTGTTACATATTTTTGTATGGAGGAAGAAGATGGAGAGGTAGAACCATTATTAATTACATTGCTGCTTGATAAACTTGTTGGGGAATGGGAAGGTGAATTATTATTAACATCAACTTCAGATGGAGAAGTTGGGGAAAGTTGTGAAGTATTAGCTTGATTTAATATATACTCGGTTCTAGCCTTGTGAGAACTAATTGGTTTAGATTCTGGGACTGGGGTATCTTGTCTTGTAATTGTATTTCCGCTAACAGTTGTATTAGTGGTAGGTGGAATTGATTCTTCTGATGGTGGTGTTGATTGTCCATTGTTATTTTGTAACTTTTTAATTTCTTCAAGAATTTGTGATTCATCAAACATTCCTCCTTCTCCCATCATAACCATTGAAGGATCCATCATCATGTGTGGATATGGTTGCATAGGTTGCATTGGTTGCATTGGTTGCATAGGATGAGGTGGATAGGCGAACATTGGAGTTTGATGAGGAAGTTGTTGTTGTGGCTGCGATGTTGTATTTTGTTCATTAGCCATTTGAAGGCTTTTTAAAAGATCTGTTGGTAATTGATTCATCTCAGATTAAGTAAAATTATTATTAGATTATTTAGGATGATGATCAATAATTTAAAAGATAGTGATGTATTATTTGGCTATTAATCACTTATAAAATTGTTGGTGATGAATTTGCACGACGCTCTTTTAAAATTTTTTTTTGATGATTAAAAATTATTTTATTAATCTAAAAATAGATCTTTAAGCCACACAGATTCGAAATCCAACACTGAAAAGGTGCAAATTGTAATCTTTACAATGAAAGGATGTGAAAATTACTTCTTCTCAAAGGAAATCAGTAATGGTTCTCTTGGTCTCAAAGTTACATGATTATCGAGATGTAATTTGTAATTTGGTGATATTGAAAATTTGTAATGTTTAACTAAAAGTGCTAAACAGAAACAACTTTCAATCTCTGCAAAATATCTTCCCTGACAAATACGATTTCCAATTCCAAAACCAGAGAATGCAAATGGATTTTGATGAATTTCAATATGTGGATTGAAAATTGAGAGTGGAATTGTTTGAGATTTGAATTCTTCAATTGTAATACTTTGAGCAATAGTTGAATCTTTCCTTTTAAGGAATCTTTCTGGAATGAATTCATTAGGTTGAGGCCAATATCTTTCATCTTTGTGAATATCTAACCATGAAGCAGCTATTTGAGTTCCTTTTGGAATTGTAATATCTTTCCATTTAAATGTTTTTGTTACTTGTCGAGCAGCAAATGCCACAACTGGATATAATCTTAAACTTTCTTTAACAACTGCTCTCAAATAATCCATTCTTCCCTCTTGATAATCTTCAAAATCAAATGTTTCCTTTCCATATAAAGTTGGATAATCATGATCAATGAATTTATGAATTCGATCTTGAGCATCCTTATCAGTAGCTAATGAATATAATATAAATCCTAATGTTCTTGCAGTTGCTATTTAATAATTAATGTTTTTAAAGATGAATATTCATTGTAAACTTACTTTCATGTCCAGCAACAAGGAAAATGAAACAATTTGAAATAATTTCCTCATCAGTCATACTTTCATCTTTACTCCAATTTTCTCTTGCATTTAATAAGAGAGATAGAATATCAGAGTGAGGAGTTTCTTCTTCTTGATTTTTAGTTTTACGTTCATTAATAATATCATTAATGGATTTAGTGAATTGATTGGAAATTAATTGAGCTGGTTTATGTGGAAATATTCCAACATGTTGTCTAATCCATTTAGGAAATATATTGTAAACTGGAAGAATTCCAAATAATTTCTGAGTTTGAACAGTTAAACTATCTTTTTGATTAATATTAAAAGAATTGAAATCATAATTAAATCCAGCCAATCCAATAACCTCTACAAATATTTTACAATAATACATTACAATATTATATCATTCAATATTATATATCAATATTAAACATCAATATATTCCAATTAATACTAACCTAAAGTAAGATTTGAAAAATCCACTTCAATATTTCTCATTAAAAGATTCTTTTCAATATTTGGTATTAAAAATCTATTCATACAATCAATTGTAACTTTTGCAACAATTTTCAATGATTGAGGAGCAAAAGCAGGATCCAATAATTTTCTCTGACGATGCCAAAATTCATAATCATTTTCAACAAATATATTTGATCCACCAAATAGTTCAATAACACTTTCTTTCAAATCAGGTAATTTGTTTGTAATCTTTCTAGTTGCCATTTCTTTTAGAAATAATGAATCACCAATTACAATCATTCCAGTACTAACAATTCCCAATACAACTTTATACATTTTATCATTTCCACTCTCTTTCATAAATCTTTCAAATATTAGAGGTGATAAATTCTCTCCAAATCTTGTTCCCCACTCTGATGGTATTAAAAACTTTGGTAGAAATTGACATAGAATAGGTGGTATGAATTGACATCGTCCAATTTTAATAAATTCATACTCTTTACATATTATTAAATATTTACAATATAAATAAAGCAGAAATAGTATTATTAATATTAAAAAACATGTCAATGATAAATAAATAATATCTAACAAGGCGGAGGAGGTGGATGATAGTAATGTACTCATCAATATGTGATTGATTTAACGTTATTTTTTTCAGGATGAGATTTTAAAGACCTCTTTAAGATCATTTTAATATTTAAATGGTTGAATATCATATGTTCTTGATGTAAACACGTGTTTTGAAATGATGTAATGGTTTTATCTATTTAGGAATAATTGGAAGAAATGTTTTTATTGTAATTCATTAAACAAGTTGGAATGAAATGTTTGAAGTTGCATATTTCTTTTCAGTATTCTTCTTCTTATTCGTTTGTTTCTTCTTATTAGTATTCTTATTATTATTGGCATTATTTGATTTTTTAGAATTTTCACTACTCTTTGCATTGTTATTTGCATTGGAATTATTTGATGACTGTTCATTATTTTGAGTAATAGTACTTTCTTTTGGTGTTTGTTTCTTTGTTTTCATCTGGTCAACTAGACTTGAAATATTTCTTTGAGTTGAATTTTTATGTGCCATCTTTCTTAAACGAGCTTGATTCTTTTCTTTGGCATATGAAACTTGTTGATCCATTGAGGTTTTATCACCATACATCATACCCATAAATGTTGATCTCATATTTAAAAATTCTTCTCTTTCCTTATCAGTTGCATTTGGATCCAATTTTGCTAATTCTTTAAGAGAGGTAAAACTTTTACCTTTCAACACATCTGATTGTTTAGATTCTTTTGAATCATTTGCTCCATTATTTTCTCCATTATTATTAGTAGTAGTAGTAGAATTATTTGATGGAATTGTTGAAATAACTTGAAATGCTTCATCATTTGAAAGTTTACATTGAGATTTAATCCAAGATTCAAAATCATCTGATGACATAATTTCATATAATTTGTAAATAGATGCATAACCAACATAGGCATCAAATGCTGCATATCTAACAAAATCATCATTTTGTTTTGCATTCTTAGTCATTGTTTCCATTTTAAGTAATTCCAAAGCAAGTGATTTAAGTGAAACTAAAGAAGAACCAAATAAATGGTATTGACTTGAAACAATTGCTAAATCTACTAAATTTGGTATTACTTGTTCTTTTAAATCTGTTTTTTGTGTGAATAAATGTTTAATATCGTTACAAACACCAACTCCAAGTTTAACAGTTTTTGATTGTAAAAATTCAATTAATTCATTTGGAATTTCTTTTAAATTTTCAATTTGAAAAACAAAACAAATTCCTGTAATGAAATTTGAATATTCGAAATTTTCCAATCTTTTCTATATTCCGCATCAAATCCAATTGGAATTAAATTTGAAAGTTTAAATTCTTTAGAAATTTCCATATTATAAATTGATTCTACAAGTGATGGAACTTTTTTCATTAATTCTCTTGCATTACTATATATAATAAAGAAGGGTGTTTTATCAGTTGGTTCAAAACTTTTAAATATTTTAAATTTGTTTACAATTTCATTACAAATAAATGTTGATATTTCTTTAGAAACGAAAGAATTATCAATATTTAATTGAATTTTCTTTGATGATTTTTCATTTCCTTCTCTTTTTCTCTTTTTATCGGAATTATCGGAGGCTTGTGTTGATGAAGGCTTTGAATTTTGCATTTTTTTTCAATTTATTCAATAAATTAATTGATACCAAGCCTACTAACTAGGCTGACATGATGATAATAATGCAAGTAATAAATTTATTGGAAGGCTTTTTGCATGACGAATCAGAGAGAATTGAACAGAGTGCAGAGAGATGCCACGTGTACTCTCAAAAAAGCCTTTTTTTAAAAACTCCAGAAAAAAAACAAATCCACGACTATTCAATATAATATGGCTGGATCTAAACAAAAGAAGCGTGTTACTACCAATGCCACTATAATGAGAAATCATTATATTGCAGTTGGTGTTGTTAATGTATGTTGTTGAAATATGTTCATTCCGAATCAAATAACTCTTTTATATTAAATTACATCATGATGATGGTGATATAAATGATATAATCAATCAATGGATTAATAGTTAATTTATTTAATTTATGTATTATATAATTTTGCAAACATTTCGACATTTGAATGGATTGCCTTTATTTCTCTTCTTCTAGGATATGGATTTTGTCTCAACTCTCTATATAAATATTCCAAGCCAGTTGAATATACTACAAGTGAAGGAAAAGTAGTAATGGATGTTAATGATTTAAGTGATGTTGCAGGATCACTAACTGAATATACATTTGATATTATTTATGTTGAATGTTTTGTTCAATTAACTTCAATTATTTCTAATTGGTTCTATTTATTATTATTAATCATTCCTGGATTTGCTATTTTCAAATTATATAATTCAATTATTAAACCTTATTTATCAATGAATAAGGCTCAACAAGAATATGCCAATTCTCAACAACAACCTGAAATGTCAGATAAGAAAAAGAAGAAAATGGAAAGACTTGAAAAGAAAAATCAACAAAATATGCAAAGAATGAGAATTAGACCAAATTCAAATGATGATGAATAAATTATTAATGTTTTGAAATAATTATTAAATATGGTAATTTTAGATATTTAAATATTCAAGAAAAAAATGACACAAGGTAAATTATTAAATAATTGTGATTGAGTATTTTTAATGATTCTCAGAATTTTCAATTACAAAGTGTAATTTATGTAATCATGTAGTATTGACTGATAGTATTATTGATCACTTGAAATTACTTCATCCGAATATTCAAATTCATTCAAACCCAATTTCAAATAACAACAACAAACAACCAACCTTATCAAATAATAACAATAACAACACTAACAATTTAAAATCAAAGCCTTCTTCATCGTCATTACATCACAACAACACCACCACCACTACTAGTACTTGTATAAAACAATCAAACAATAATATTTCTAACATACCGATCAAGAGGAAAGTGAGGAATCAAGAGGAAGAACATTCTAATGATGATGGAAAATCAAAGATTGGTACATCTTCTAATACTAGTAGTAGTAGTAAGACTCCTATAAACAATAATACATCCAATAGTAATAGTAATACTCTAAATTCATCGACCACATCCGAAAAATCAATATCACCAAACACCTTCTCCATTAAAATTACCAACAATGAAACTAAATTAATGAGTAAGATTCCTAAAATCACATCTAACAGTACAACTACAGTTCTCAATAATAATAGTACTAATAATGGTAGTGTTGGAAGTAGTAATCAACTCAAAAGAACTATTTCACAAGTCTCCTCACCAACCACTACTACTACTACAAGTACTCCAAAGAGATTTGTTAAACTTATTGAACCACCATCTCATATTCAGAATGAAAGACTTTCAAATAGTCATCATCATCATCATGAAAAGAATGTATTATCACCTAAACCAAATAGCAACAATACACCCTCGCCTTCAAATCTAGATGTTAGACCAAAGAGTGCAGTTTCAATTCAACATATTGTTAATACTAATATAAATAATATAAGGCCAAGTGATGGTGCTCCCCTCATTCCTAACAATAATATTCATAATAATATTAATAATAACATTAACAGTAGTAGTAGCAATAAATAGTAGTAATAATAAGTAGCAACAATCATAATATTTCAAATTCTACTTCTAATAGTAGTACAACAACAACAACAACCACATCAATTCTTCCAAGCACTGCTGGTAATAACAATTATGCAAAATCAGCCTTAGTTAATTTGAAGGCTACTGCTATTCATCCTAAACCAATTCTTCCAAGATCAACTACTACCACATCTCCTCCACCTACTAGTGCTGTTAATACATTGCCTCATCCTTATTCCCCACCTTCAAGTCCTACTACTTTTATCATCATCATCACCCTAATGGTGGAACAATTTATTCAACTTCTCCCTATCATCCACCACCACCACATCCAATTTATCATCATCATCACCATCCACCACCAATAGTACCACTCTATTCACAACCTCATCCAATGCCTCAATCACCACATCACCACCATCCTCCTGGTGTTTATTATGCACCTGTTTATACTACACCATCTCCTACCTATCCTATTATGACTTCTCCCTATCATCATCCACCACCACCACCTACAACAACCAATCATCATTCTCACCACCATCAACAACAGTAGATTCTTTTCATTACTTGTCAATTGTCGTTTTTCTACAGAGTTTACTACAAAAAATGTCTCAACCAAGTCCTGTAAGTGATTGTATAATTTGAATCAATTGTTGTATTAATGATGATCGGATTCAATAAAGAGAAATCAAGATACAATTTCTAGTTCAATCATTTTGACAATTATTGGAGAAGGAGAATTTAAAGTAATAATTGATGATCGTTCTTTTTTAAATGAATTTAATCAATCACAACCACAACCACAACAACAACAACAACAATTATCATCATCAATAAATGAAGATGAAAAGAAAAAGAAGAGAAAATCATTTTCTCAATCATTTTCAGAATCATTTACTCAAGTTTTACATCAAACTACTTCTGGAATTACAAAAGGATTATCAACTTTTACTTTTAAAACGAGACATGTTCAATTGAGAACAAATGAATTATTAATTTATGCTGTTAAAGGTTTGTTTTAATATTTGTTTTTAATAATAATTAAATATTTTATTACAATGAATTACAATAAAAAAATAGATAATTCCAAAAATAGAAAATTAAAAGCTAACATTTCACTTATCAAGGCAATAGTTAGTAAAGATACACTTTACAAAAATTGTATTCGTATTGAAACTCAAGATAAAATTGTTCATATTCAAATAGATTCAGAAGATACAAGACAAAAATGGTTAAAATCAATTACAGAACAAACACAAATTCTATCGAAAAGAAAAGAAGAAAATATAATTGCATCACTCTCTTCAAATTCTTTAATTTCATTAGACAATGAATATACTATTAATAATATTAATAGTGGTGGTAGTAGTGAACAATTATTTAATAACAAATCATTGAGAGGTTCAATTGTTGATAGAGAACATGAGGAAACAAGTGAAATGATTCAAAATTTTATTAATGAACTAAATAATTTGGATCCTAAAAAGTATTTTAATCCTGCATCAAATTTAAGTTCAAATCCTTCATCTTCTAAAAGACGTCACAACAAGTTGAAAAGTTTAACTGAAATTTCAGGATTAAATAATGATTCACTTCATGGTATTAAATTTACTAAAAATGATGATTCTAATAATAATAATAGTGGTAATAATACTAATAATAAGAATAATGGTGAAAATAATGAACAAGATAATGGTATTTTAAAAGATAATGATCAAGATTTAAATAATCATGTTAAAGATCAATTATCAATTTTAACAAGTGAATTTTCACATTTGAATAATTTTACATTTATAGGTGGATTAGCCCATTTAACTTTAATTGGTAATAGAATTATGGAAAAGGCATCTATTCAAGTTAATACTCAATCAATTTTAAACATGTCAGGTGGTTCACAAATATTAAAACAAGGTTACTTATTAAAAGCAGGTCCAAATTCACATCAACCATGGAAGAAACGTTATTGTGTTTTAACTGAATCATGTGAATTTAGATATATGAGTAAAATTGGTCAATCACCAAAAGGTTTATTTTCATTACAAGGTACTTGGGCATCACGTATTAATAGTAATGATATTGATGATAATGATGATATTGATATTAACAATGATATTAAGAATAATACTAATAATAATACTATTACAAATAATTCAAATAATAATAATAATAATACAAGTATAGATTCAGATACAAATCATAATGATGAAAATTTCAATGAACAATTTTTAAATATTCATTCAAATTCATATCAATTTCAAATTGAAACAAGTGAAAGAATTTATAAATTTCAAGCACCTTCTTATCAATCTTTAAAAAGTTGGTTAAATTCACTTGAACAAGTTGGTTGTAAAGTTAAAATTGATGAAAATGATGGAATTGTAAAAACAGGTTATTTAATGAAAGAGAGAACAACTAATCATTGGAATAAGAGATTTATAACACTGACGGAATCTAATGAATTAAAATATTATGGAAAAAACAAATCAAATCGTTCCTTAAAAGGTACTATTCAACTTGAAGATTCTTATATTACTAAAATTATTGAAAAATATGAACAACAAAATATTGTAACAAGTACAATTGAATCTTTAACTGATACTATTATGTTAACTAATCATCATACTTTCAATAATAATTCTAATAATACTAATAATAATAATAATAATAGTAATAATGGTAATAATAATAATTATATTATGAAATATAAATTTAAAATTCATACACCTGAGAGAAATCACATATTTGAAGCTGAAAATGAAATGGAACTTGATCATTGGATTCAAATAATTTCCAAATATGGTTCAATTCAAAGAAATGAAAATGATCCAAAACCAATTTTTAAAAATCGTCTCGCCAAATACTATCTCAAAACAACAGAACAAGTTATTTTGGAAAGACAAGAAAAGCTACAGGAATACATTGTTAGTGAAGATAGTTTGAGAAGTAAATTGGAGAGAAATAAGAATAATGCTTCATTTAGATTAAATAATTCAAGTTTTCTTAGTAGTAATAATACTAGTTCAATTAGTATTCATTCAAATAATGTTTCAACCAATGCCATGAATAATGGAGGTGGTGATAATAATCAACATCATCAATTATTAACAGTTCAAACAGCAACTGGAAATTATAGAAAACAACGTAATAGTAGAGCTTATTCTAAATCTGAAACAAGTTTATTGAATCATCATTATAATCAAACAAAGAGTTTATTGAATTTGAAACCAGGTGAAACACCTCCACCACCAACAAGTCCAACATTTTCTCTATTATCATCAATTTCACATAATGATGAACATAATCATTCTAATCATTTAATATCACCTTCATCACCTTCATTGAATGTTTCATTGATTGCACATGTTCCAGAGGATGAATTTATTTCAGATGATGAAATTGATGAAAATCTTGATATTCAAGTATTGAAAATTGAACCAATTGAAAAATACATTCCAAATACTAATAATAATACTAATAATACCACTATCACTACCACTACTACTACTAATAATAATAATAGCAGTGAACAACAAGTGGTTGTTAATACTACTGCTGTTGAATTACAACAACCATCAATTGTTATTGAAAATAGTGATGATGATAAACAATTAATTGTAAATAATGAAAAAGTACCTTTACAATCATTAACAGTATACTCACATAATAATATTGGTGTTAGTGATTCATCAGATGAATTCCAAATTATTGTTGAAGATTTAACAATGAATGAACATGAAATTGAAACTATTAATAATATTGATAATACTGATAATATGAGTGATAATATTTCAAATAGATCTTTATCTCAACAATATTTAACTAATGATGATGATATGAATGATATGAATGATAATCAACCATCTCAACAATATGATTCAACAAGTGAATTATTAGTGAATCAAAAAACTCATCAACATGATTCAATTGATATTCAAATTGAACCACCATTAAATGATGAACATTCCAATGAAATGGAAATTGATTATTCCTATAATACATCAAATCCAATTCAAAGTCAAGGATATTATACTAGTTATCAAATAATACCCAACTTGAAACCATCTATTGTAATAGATAATGGATCAGGTATATTAAAATCAGGATTTGCTAATCAAGATTTTCCAATTTGTGTTTTTAATAACATGATTGGTCGATTGAAACAATATTCAGCAACGAGAGGTGTTGGAATTGGAGGAATGAGTGGAATGGGTGGAATTGGAGATCAAGGTAAAAAATTATATTTTGGAGATGGAGCTCAATCATTGAGAGGTGTTTTACAATTATCATATCCAGTTGAAAGAGGAATTGTAAAGAATTTTGATGATTTTGAAATGATGTTACAATATACTCAAGATTGTTTAAAATTGGAAACATTTAGTGAAAATCCATTATTAATAACTGAATCAACAATTAATCCAAAACAAAATAGAGAAAGAATTACACAAATGATGTTTGAAACATTTGATGTACCATATCTATATATGGCTAAATCACCTGTTTTATCTTTATTTGCACATGGTTATACAACTGGTTTAGTTTTAGATTCAGGTGATGGTGTTACACATACTGTTCCAATTTATGAAGGTTATTCTTTACCACATGCTGTTCAAAGATTAGAACTTGCAGGTAAAGATTTAACAAATTACATGTTAAATTTATTGAATCAATCTGGTCAATCAAAACCATTTCAATCTCAAAATTCTTCATCTCATATTGAAATTGTTAGATGTTTAAAAGAAGATTTATCTTTTGTTAAATCATTTAATGATTCACATAATTCATCATCATCAAATACTATTAACAATAATAATTCTTCATCATTACAAGTTAATTATGATTTACCAGATGGTACAAGTATTAAAGTTGGAGAGGAAAGATTTAAATGTCCAGAATTATTATTTAATCCATCAATTGTTAATGGAGGAAGTGAAATGTTGGGAGTTCATGAATTATGTAAAAAAACAATTTATGAATGTGATATTGATTTGAGAAAGACTTTGGCTTCAAATATTTTCCTTTCAGGTGGTTCAACTAAATTTAATGGATTTCAATCAAGATTACAAGATGAAATACAAAATTTATTACCTTATTCTAATAAGGTTAAAGTTAAAGGTTCGAAAGATGTTCAATTTTTACCATGGATTGGTGGTTCAATCATTTCAAAGATTTCACGTTTCCCTTACGATTGTATTAGTAGACAAGAATATGAAGAAACAGGTCCATATTATTGTCATGTTAAATTTATGTAAATAATAAATTCAAATAATAATAAAGTGAATATTATTCCCATTCAGCATTTGTTTCCACTGCCCATTCATCCACAGTTGCTGTTTCACAAGTTATAACAGATGGTGCAATCACTGAAATACTTCCTGTTATTACATTCTCTGCAATTTTAAATATATGAATAGAACCATCTGAACATCCAACAAATAATTGACTTCCATCATTGGACCAAATTAATGATTTTGGATTTTGAGCTTCCTTCTTTCTATTATTGAATGATTTTGAATTATTTTTTCCAATTAATTGATGATGAACTATTGTTTTACTCTCCAAATCAATAGTACATAATATTCCATTACTTTGAAGCAATGATAACCAATATCTATTAGGTGAATAACACATATCTATACATGTAACAGGTTTAGTTTCTTTTTTTCCTTCTTCTGAATTTCCATAATAATCATATAAATTAGTATCATAACTATTTTTCAAACAACAATCATATAAATGTTTAAATTCACAAGGTTGTGTTGTTACTATAACTTCAATTAATTCAACCTTATTCAATGAACCAGCCAATGAAAAGAAACTTCCATCTGGTGTTAATAAAAATTTCTCACCATCAAATTTTCCTTCCAAATTTGCTTGTGAAATTAATTTTGATTGATTTTCAACTTGCCACAATTTCATACAACCATCACTATTACCTAATGAAACAAATTGATAATTATCTGAAATTGGAGTTTCATTTTCACTAATTATACTATTACCATTTTCATCAAGAATAGCTTGAGTTTGACCTGCCCAATTTTTAATAAATCTAACCATTTTAACAATATCTGAATGTGAATCTTTAGAATTTGAATTCAACTTTTTCAAACATTGACCACCACTAACACTCCACAATCTCATTGTATTATCTCTTGATGATGATATAATTAGAGAACCATCTAATGAACAATCAATTGATAAAACACTATCTAAATGTCCATTTAATACTTTTTTACATTCAAATGTTTGCCAATTCCAAATTCTAATACTACCATCATTATAACTTGATATTATTGATTCACCACATATTGTTAGACATATATCTGTTAATTTAATTTCACTACTTTTAGACCAATTCGTTAATTGTCCTCTCATGACAAGTAATGTTTTTAAAGAATTATTATTATTATCATCAGTGGTAGTAGTAGTAGATGTTTGTATAATATCCCATAGCGTTATAATAGGATGATTTTTACTTGCTGTAACAAGTACATTATCATGTTTAGGAATAACATGAATAAAATCGATGGAGGAATTTTCAAGCCTTGTCAATGCTCTATGAAATTCAATACCAGTAGATGACATTTTTTTTCAACAGTGATTTTCACCTGATGCTTACTTCAATAATCGGAAGTTACGGAAACTTAACGAAATCATTACAATAATAATATTACTCTAAATCTACTGGTTCCAAGTTTTCTAGAAATGGAACGTTGGGGAAGTAGTTTCTAATTTCTAAAATTGCGCATTTTTTTTCAATTCCTTATTATCAACAAGCCTTAAAAAAACGATTACATCAAATAATAAAAATAATAACAATGGGAGTTAGAAATAGTAGACCTGATATTCCAAAACTTCCAATGGAAATGTTGGAAGAATTAGCTGAATCGTATGTATGATTGCGATTATATTGTCATCATCTTTTAATATTTAATTTTGGATTAAAAGTGTATATTTTGATGAAAATGAAATTGAAGAGTAAGCATCATCATGATGAATCTTATTAGTAGTATATACTATTATTGTATAGTCATTATATTTATTTTTGTACACAATTTCATGCTAGAATAGATCAATTTGTAAATATGGCTCAAGTGAGCAATATCACGGCACTTCGATATAATCCATTCAAGAAGAATATTGTGGAATTATTTTGTTGTACGTTCATCATTTAATCATCACAATTAAGGAAGTCTTATATTATCATCACAATGTATTTCATCAAAATAGCTGATCCAGAATCAGGATCAATGAGTTTTAGAGACTTTTTAGAAATGTGTTCAGTCTTTTCAAGAAAGGCTCCAAGAGAAGCTAAAATTGTTGTAATTTATTTATTATTTACATCATCATCAATGGATAATTTAATTAGACAATCGGATGTTGAGAATGTTCTTGCTAGATTTGTAGGTGAACAAATGAAAACAAGTTCAGATATTAAGGATCAAAAAGATATTACATCTATTGCAGGTGCTGCTGATTGTGTCATGAGAGAGGCTGATATTGATAACAGTGGTGAAGTATCATATAAGGAATTTCAAAGATTGTGTTTGCAATTTAAGGATTTTGATAAATATACCTTTACAGTTTTATAATATTACACAAACAATTCAAAATAACAACTAGTTTATATTTTGGCGCCAAAGCAGTTACAGTTTTAATTTTAAAAAAAAGCATCACTAGCAGTTATAAAAAAATGTTTGCAAAATGTAAGGCTATTTTATTATTGAAAATATGAACGTTGAAATCGTGATCATCGTGATCATCACAATAAATTCTTAATAACAACAACAATACATCATTAAAGTTAGAGGACGATCGAAAAGAAATGAGGATATGTTAGGTGAGGAATCTGGAGAAGTCTTCGGAAAGGATCTTAGAGAGAGGATTGATGAAGAACGTAAAATATATCAAGATCCTTCAATAATGATACCAACAATTGTAAAATTTCTAGTCGATTTCTTACGGGAAGCTCCTCCTAGACAGGGAATATTTAGAGAAGTTGGAAGTGTATTAAATGTTTCGAATTATCGTTCGAAGGTTAATGAATATGGTACAAGTAAGTTTTAAAGCCTTTAACGATTTAAAATTGAATGATAAAAAGAACCTGTTGATTATCGATCATTATTTAAACATGAATTGACACCAAATGATGCTTCATCACTTTTAAAATCATATTTTAGATATTTACCTGAACCACTTGTAACATTTAATGGTTATGACAGACTTGTTGTTATTGGACGTATGTATTTTGAATTGATTTAAATATTTTTAATTTACAAATATAGAAACTGAATTGGATGATAAAAATAGAATTTCCAAATTAAAAACAATGGTAGAAGGATTACCAACAGTTAATTATGAAACATTAAAATATTTCATAGATTTATTATTTGGAATATCAACAAGAGGAGTATATAATATGGATGCAAATAATTTAGCAGTTTGTTTAAATCCATCAATTTGTTTTGCTAAAGATAAAGAATCATCAGAATCATTTTTAAATTTAAATTATGTCATTACATCACTATCTTCAATGATTAAGAACTATCCACAAATATTTGATCAAAATATTAAGAATGATCAACAACAAGAACCAATAAGTGAACCTAAAGTAATTGTTGAAAAGAAAGTAACACCACCACCTTCACCTAAACTTGTAAAACCACAAACTCAACAAACTCAACATATTACTAATAGAACACCTTCTAAATTAATAGATAAAGGAACATCAACACCAAAATATAAAAGTTTTGATGAAGATTTTCAAGATACAATATTACAAGAATTAGATAGATTAGATTCAAAAATAGATTTCAGAGAAACTGAATTGGAATTAGAAAGAGATTTAAGAAAGAGTGGTAGAATGGATGATTATGGTTATAAAACATTTTTAGATACAAAAAAACTTAATACAAGTGAAATGTTTAAAGAATTAGAACAAGCTGAATCAACTGAAACATTAGGTGAAGATGATGATTTACTTTTAAAGAGAAGAAATTTTCATTCTAATTTATCAATTATTTTACCAGAGAATGAACAAGATTCATTTCCTGCACATCCATTACTAGCTTCAACTGCATCACCAATTTCTGTTTCTGCAACAATACCTCAAAATGATCAAGAAACAAAACGATTAATGGAATTAATTAGACAATTACAAAATGAAAATTCACAATTAAGAAAGAATCAAACTGAAATGTTCAACACTATTGAAAAATTACAAAATGATGGTGGACAAGCAAAACTAGGTGATGAAATGGAAAGAGTTAAAGCAATTGCAAATCATGAAATTCAACAAATTAGAAAATATATTTATAATGTTGAAGGTTTGTTAAATTTATTGTCATTATGGTTAATTATTTAACATTTATTAATTCTATTATAAAATAGAACAAACAATTGAGGAATTAAAACACATGTGGACTAAAATGGATCATTTAGAAGATGGAACTAAACAAGCCTTGTTAACATCAGATCCAGGTCATTTTGGAAGACAAATTTCACATTTAAAAGATGAAATTAAAAATATGAAACTTGAAATTCGAGATATATATGGCGGATTTGGTGAAATTAATGAAAGAATGAAAAGTATTGAAATAGATTATAGAGAAATTAATTCAAGAATTGATGATGTATTAAAAGAAGAACGTTTTATTAAGGCTAGACATGATTATGATCTTGAACATTTAAAACGACTAGTTGAAGAATCAAATTCAAGAATTAGACAAATGGGATTAGAAATTACAACAATACGATCAAGAGTTGATTCAAAATATTCGAATTTATCTTCACCAACAATGACTGCAAGTGCTTCAAGTAAATTAGCATCGCCTCAATTTACAACCACAGCAAATATGGAACATAGAACAACAAGTCATATTGCTACAAATTTACCAATTTCAAAATATAAATATTAATTTATTTGTATATATATACTATACAATACTAATAATAAATACTAATAAAAACACAACTTCTAGGCTTAATACTAGAAGTTTCTTATTTTCTCTTTTTTGTAGGCTTACAGGTATCATTATCAGTACTACTTGAACTTGTTGCAACAACAGATGATGTTGATTCATATTTTCTTTTCATTGTACTTGGTAATTGAACAATACATGCTAATTTGTTCTTATTGGAATAGTAGGATGGTATTTTGTAACGTTTCTTTTCATCTTCATCTAGTGTAATATATGGTAAATGAATTGATTTTGAAGGTACAGAGGCTAATTCATGAATCCATATTTTAATAAATTCACCATTCTTATCATGATCCAAACCTTGTTTAATTGGATTGAAATATCTTGGTCTAAAATCACAACCAATACCAGCTGACCATGCCCAATTACCATAATTTGAACAAGAATCTGTTGAATCTAATAATTGTCTTTCAAAATATTCAGCACCCATTCTCCAATCTATTTTCATATCTTTAATTAGAAATGATGCAACTACCATTCTACCTCTATTATTCATAAAACCTGTATTTAGTAATTCTCTCATACATGCATCTACAAATGGATATCCTGTTTTACCTTTACACCATTGTTGAAATCTTTCATTTTTATATTCATTCAATGGTACTTCCCATTCATAATCTAATTCCTTATTAGGTTGTAATGCTTTTTCATAAAAAAATGAATTTCCCATTTTCCATGCTAAATATTTATAGAAATCTCTCCATAATAATTCACTCACTAATATATTAGCACTTGATTTACTTTTTTCATTACTATTTTTTTGTATTTCTGTATATATATATCTTGAACTAATACATCCTAATATATATAATAATTATAAAATATTTTTAAATATTACAATAAATTGAAAAAAATTATTATTAATTAAATAATTAATAAAAAAATTAATAAATTAAATAAAAACATACCATTTGCTAACCAAGGTGATAATTTAGTACTATAATCACCAATATTTCCATTTCTAGTAGTTGAATAATTTTTTAATTTGTTTTCAATATAAAATTTACATCTTTTTAAGGCTTTATCTTCACCTCCAATAAATTTAACAACACTTCTTTGATCATATTTAATTTCATTATCAAATTGTGTTTTTTCCATATCTGGATATAAATATTCTTTCATAAATTCATTTACATTTTCTAATTTAGTAATTAAATTACTATTTTTAGAAAATTGAGAATGAATTTTGTTAATTTCTTCTTCACTTAATAATAATTCTTCATAATCTTCCTTTTCAATTTCATAACATTCAATTTCAATATCTTTTTCATCAATTGCCTTTTCAATCTTTTTTCTAAATGCAGAAAATACCTAAAATAAAAAAATATTTAAAAATTTAAAAAAATAAAAACATACTTTTGGTATTTGATTAGGTAAATCAGTATAAGGTAAATCATTTTTATGTATTAAAGTTGAAGACCATTTTTTAATAAAATTAATATTATTTCTATTACAAATATTTTCAATTTCCTTTTCAAAATTTTGTTCAAATAAAGTAACTTCACTATTAATATAAATATCACTAAAATTAAAATGTTTAATTAAATTATTTGTAAAATTATTAATTTTATCAAAATTAAAAGTTTTATCTTGAAAATTAAATTCATTATAAAATTCACAATCAATTAAAATTGAATTATTAAATTTTTTTAATAAATTTAAAATAGATTCAGTTATAAATTTAAATCTTTTAGGTCCACATGAATTTGGTATTTTAGAAATACTAAATGGGGAAGGTAATTGTGATTGAGATTTATCAAATATATAAATAGGTAATAATTTCTTATTTTCTTTTTTAGCTTTTTTAATTGCATAATATAATGCTTCATTATCATGAATTCTTAAATCATTACGAAACCATATACCAATTATAGATTCATGAATTTCATTTTTTATTTCATTTTTAAAAGTGGATAAAGTAATAGATTCTGGTGATGATTTAATCTTTGATTTTAGAGACATTTTTTTTTAAAGTTGAAAAGAAGAACATTTATTATCATTGAAGTTTTATGTGATGTAATTGAAGTTTGATGAAATTCAAGTTGTATATTTGAAGTTTATGTTCAAGTTACTATGAAATTTTTACAATATTGTCAGATTTTGCAATATTTATTAGTATAGTACAATATGATTAAGAATTTAAAAATCAGTTTAAGAAGGGAATATCCCATATATTCATCATCAATCTGTTGAAAAAATCAACACACAACACTGAAAAAAAAATGTCAATAACCATCAATACATCATTTCTTCAAAGAATAGGAGGAGCAAGTAATAATTCAACTATCGGAGGTGGTCAATCATATATAAAAAAATCAGTCAATACAGCCATAACACCACATTCAGATGATTCTGCTTCTTTTCATGATCCACATTCACCTATTAGTTTACATAGTATTATAAATGATGATAATCATCAGAATCAGAATCATGATAATGAACAATATAATGAAAAGACACCAATATTATTATCACAACAATCATATAATGAAAAACAATATTTATTAGAAAATGGTATAAATAATATAAATAATTATATATATGGTAATAATAATTTAAATAATAATTTAAATAATGATGAAATAATAGATGAAGAATTAAAAACAATTCAAAACAAATCAACAAAAGAATTACTTTCAAAAATTCATGATAATGATAAATCACTACTATTAAAATCATTTCAAGATGAAGAAGCTCCACATAATTTTACTATAATTGTTATCATTTCTGTTGTTATTTTCTTTTTTTTACCTTGTTTGGCTTTTTTACCTTATATTTATATGTGTAAATATAAAAATTCAGTTTCAGATATTGGTATGTTTTAATATTTTAAATATTTTTAATATTTTAAATAAAATAATTGGAAAATAATTTATTAAAATTTTATATTAGCTAAAGCATATTATAATATATCTAAAGCAATAATAGTAATATTAATATTATTATTAATATTATTAATATGTATAATAGCTGTACCATCAAGTATTGGATTTTCAATATTAATGACAATTAAAAAATAATTAAAAAAAATAATTAAAAAATATTTATCTTCTTTTAACTCTAATTGGTTTTCTATTATTATTTGAACCAGGTGCATTCATAGCAGATGATGGTTGAGCAGAGAATGGATTTGACATTCCACTACCACCACCCATATTCATACCACTAGATTGATTTAATCCAAATGAAGAGGCTTGTGAAAATGGTGATGAAATTGATGGTGTTACAGGTGTTGATAATCCTCCAAAACTACTTGGAATTGAATTTGAAAATGAACTTGTACCTAATGGTTGTTGTTGTTGTTGAGATGAAAATGTATTATTATCATTACCTCCACCAAATGAAAAACCACCACCTCCCATACTATTATTATTACCTAAACTATTGATAGCAGTAGTAGCAGGAGCACCACCTCCAAATGTAAAACCACCACCACCACTTGGTGTAGTTGTAGCACCACCTCCAAATGAAAAACCACCTCCCATACCACCACTACTACTATTAGAATTAGTATTTAATGGAGTTGAAAAATTAAAAGTATTAGATGTTGGTTGACTAGCTGCAGCAGGTGGTGATGAACTACTATTAAATGCAAAACCACCACCATTACTATTAGTATTTAATGGAGTACTTGCAGTGGTAGTAGTAGCAGGAGCACCACCAAATGTAAAACCACCTGTTAAAGTAGTTGGTGTTAAATTACTTTCATCAGGTTTAGTATTACCAAATGGTGATTTATCTATTATTGAATCATTAGTTGTTGTTGTAGTATTAATTATTGGATTAGTAGTACCTCCAAGTGTAAATGATGATGGTGTAGCAGTAGTTGTAGCAGTATTACCTCCTCCAAATGAAAATCCACCTGTTAATGAACTACCAATAGTAGATGATCCACCGAATTTAAATCCACTACCACTACCTGTACTATCTGATAATGTTGTATCTTTCTTTTCTTCACTTGGTGTAGTTGTAACACCTCCAAATGAGAATGATGATGATGTTGCACCTCCAAATGATGTAAATGATGGTGTTGTTGTAGTAGTAGTAGTAGTAGTATTTGATTCATCTTTCTTTTCAGTTGTATTAGTGTTTGATGTAAAATTAAATCCACCAAATGATGATGATGGTGCAGGTGCAGCAGTATCAGTAGTAGTATCATTAACAACACTTGATAGTGGTGTAGATGTTGGAATTTTAAAAGTAGCACCTCCAAATGAATAACCACCAACACTTGGTTTACTTTCTTCTTTCTTTTCTTCTTTTTTATCAAGTGCAAATGAACTAGTAAAATCAGTAGAAGCACCTCCAAATTTAAATCCACTACCAACATTACTTGTTGGTTTATCTTCACTTGTAGTAGTATCAGTATTAGCAGTAGTATTAGTAGTTAATTTAAATCCACCACCAATAGAAGATGATGAGAAATTAAAACCAGAACTAGTAGTAGATTCTTCCTTTTTATCTTCAGTTGGTTTAACAATAGCACCTCCAAATGAATAACCACCACTTGATGGTATACTACTTGTTAAAGATCCACCAAATTTGAATCCACCATTTACACTAGTAGTAGTAGTAGTTGAGGTATCTTCATCATCTTTATCATTTGAAGATGGAGTAGTTGATGATGATGCAAAATTAAATCCATTACTAGTAGTTGTTGTTGATGGTTTAGTATCATCCTTATTAGTAGTAGTGGTAGTAGGAGTAGTAGATAAAGTATTACCAGTAAAATTAAATCCACCAAAAGATGATGTTGTTGTATCCTTCTTTTCTTCACTTGTAGTAATTGCACCACCAAATTTAAATCCACCTAATGTAGTACTACTACTACTAGCAGAAGTTTCTTCCTTTTTATCATCTGATTTCTTATCATCTATTGTTGTTGGAATTGTAAATTTAATACCACTTGTTAAATCTAAACTAGTAGTATTATTTGATAATGATGCAAAATTAAATCCACCCAATGATGATGATGATGTAGTAGTAGTATTTGATTCTTCCTTTTTATCATCTGATTTCTTATCAGTTGCTCCACTAAATTTAAATCCACCAACACTAGTAATTTCCTTTTTCTTTGGTTCTTCTTCTTCTTCTTCTGAAGATGAAATAATATCATCATCATCTGATTCTTCTGATTTCTTTTCAGTAATAGTAGTAGTAATAGTAGGAATATTACTATTAGCTAATACACCACCAAATTTAAAACCAAATGATTGAGTTTCTTCCTTTTTATCATCTTGTTTCTTATCATCTGATTTCTTTTCAGCTAATACACCACCAAAATTAAATCCACCCATTGATGATGATGATGATGTAGTAGTCTTTGATTCATCATCCTTCTTTTCATTTGTATTATTACTTAAAACACCACTAAATTTAAATCCACCTGAACTAGCAGTAGTAGTAGTAGTAGTTTCCTTTTCATCTTCAGAAGATGATAAAATATCAATTTCTTCATCAGAATCTTCATCTTTTTGTGTTACTTCCTTATCAGTATTAGTAATAGTAATAGTAGTGGTTGGAATTGTAGTAGTTTCCTTTGTAGTAGTAGTAGTAGTAGTATTAGTATTATTAAATGTAAAAGGTGATGTAAGAGATGGAGAATCAAATTTAATACTTGAAATATTAAAAGCAGGAGTAGGAACATTTGATAATAATTTAGATTTTTCTCTATTAACTTGTTCAAATGTTTCTTCTTCTTCTTCTTCTTCATCATCTTCTTGTTGTTGTTCTTGTACTTTTCTAGCATATGGAGTTGAATCTTTTCTAATAGATTGTGTCTTTCTTTTAATTGGTGTTTCATCTGATTGACTAATATCAAATGATGTACTCTTCTTTTTACCATTTAAAGTAGATTTAGATGATTTAATGGCATCCTTTTTAGCAGTAGTTTTAGCATTTGATAAATCCATTGATTTTGTTGGAATTTCTTCATCATTTTCATCATTCATATCATTAATTGATTGTTTAATTCTAGATTGACTTCTTTGAACAGTTGATAAACGTAATGCTAATGGTTTAGGTGGTACTTTTTCAACATCAATTAAAGGTGATGATAATTGATCAAGTGTTTCTAATATTCTTTTAGCTGTTTCACTAATAGTTTTAACATTACTTGGTGATTTTTCAAAATGTTTAATACGTTTAAATGGTTGTTGTTGTTCTTGTTCATCTTTATCTTCAATAGTAGTAGTAGTAGTAGTAGATTGTTTTCTTTTAAAATTAGATGGAAATAATACTTTTTTAATTGAAGATGATTGATTATTATTATTATTATTATTAGATGATGATGTATATTGATTAAATGTTGGTGATAATATTGTATGTTGTTGTTGTGAATGTTGAATAGATTGATTAGATTGAATAGGAGATGGTGGAAAATTAATAGAATCACTTGTTGTTGGTTGTTGTTGTTGTAATAATTGTGAATGATTAAATGATTGTCTTCTAGTTGGAATTGGTTTAATAACATTATGTTCATCATTTAATTGTTGTTGTTGTTCAATTGTATTATTATTTTCATATTGTTGTTGTTGTAAATGATTATTATCTTCTTGATGTCTACTAGTATTATTATTATTATTATTATTTTGTAAAATATTTAATAATCTAGGAGAAGTAATAATTTTGTTAATATCATCATTTGTTAAATCAGGATATAAATGTTTAATTTCCTCAAATTGTTCACGATTATAATATTCAACACTCTTTTTAGAAAACCAACTAGTAGGAATTAATTTTTTAAAAAAGTTTGAAAAACTAGAAAATACAGAATATTCTTCTTCTTCTTCATATTGTCTAGTAGTACTATTATCATCTTCATCTAATAATATTATAGAATCAGAGATAACATCTGAAGGATAGGGATTATTAGTACGATAGGATTTAGTGTGTCTCCTTTCTGTACGTTGAATTGGCATTTTTTTTTAAATTCAGAATTTAAAATGAAAACAAAATCAAATTTATAGTTGAGGAGTTCAATGTAGTGATGTTGTGTTGTTGGCGTGGAATTGGAGAGATGAAGTTAATATTTATTGAAGGATATATGTTGTGTTGTTGGTTTTGCAACTTTTTTTTAGATTTCAAATTGAACAACAAGAATAGAGTGTGTATCAATATGAATGTGTTTCGTTTTGAAGAATTCCTTTTAAAAGAATTTATCATCATTGCTGAGGATAAAAGAAAATAATTGGAATACTTAATTCAAATATTAACATGTAGGAAAGAAGAAGAAGCCAATTAGAGATATTGTTGATAACATATGAAACCAAACTTGGCGAAGAACTTCGTTACAAGATTTTGAATTGTCAACTCAAAGCAAATAATGGTTGGTAAACCGTTCAACAACTTAAAAGAAAGGCAACCTTACTGTAAGTCTTACTGATCATCTTCAACAAAAGGATCATGTTTTAGATATTGAAAACATTGTTGCAATTGATTTAAAGAATGTCGTCAGATAATGAAGTTATAGTAAGGAAAAATCTGATTTGCCTTAATTGAAATAGGAAGCAATGATGGAAAAACTCAAAAGCATGAATTGATTGTATTCCCAATCAGATACGCTGCCTGACACAGCTTATTCATTGGACGGTAATAACAAGCTGTAATTGTAAACACTCACCGAAGATTGTTATATTACAGTATCTTACTTAATACACGAAAACGATAATCAAAAGCGATGATAACGCAATAAACCAGAATCTTCTTGTTATTATAAATGTTACCTATATATCATAGGATCACATTATATTTTACCATTACATGGAATAGATGCGCTGTTTGTAGTGCAGCAAGTTGTTGTTTTGTTGGAATCGGATAGACATGAATGACCGGTCAATTTTGATGCTATTGATTAATCAAGTTCCTACAATTATGATTACAAGGAAGGCTGGGATAGATAGTGTAAGTGTAACTCTTTCGAAACATAACAAATACGCAAATAATTCATACAAATAGTTACATATTGATTACCTAGCCATTCATTGAAAACCAATACATATCTGCAGTTTAGATTGAACTATCTAAAATTACATTCAAAGTGAAAATAGAAAATACCAACAAAATGGAAGACACTCGCATTGCTTCTTCCTACTTAACACGGACCTAGCACCGCGCTTTTATTAACATATTGTTATCACTTACAATATCCATTTGAGTAGTTAGTGGATGAATATCCTATTTTCACCAGTTTACAAAGTATGTTGAGTGCAACACTATATGCTATATTTTTCGCTTATCATAATATCACATACATAACGTGTTATATACATACAAGTGGCAAGTGGAATTGGCTTTGATGATGTTGATAAATTTGATTATTTTGCAAGGAAAACATGCTTGTTTGCATTAGGTTTTCAATAATATGATATAATACAATACAATTCATTTATTTGATATGAGAGAGGCTTTTAATTTGTTTCAAATGTTTTCCACTTTAGATTTAGTCTCAAACAAATTTATTCACACAATAATTATTTTGAAATATCTAAAACTTTGAGAATTGAATTGTTGATAAGATTAATGAAAAAGTTTGTTGGGAGATTGATGTCAAGGATCACAAAATTATCTTTGGTGTTAACTAGAAAAAATATTGTTCTATGAAGGAGACAAAATTCAAAGTGTTTCACTTGAAGACATATGTGAAATTATGAAACCCAAAGGCACAATTTAAATATCATTCAGATTCTTTTCAAAGAAATCAGAAACAGACTTGGAAGAATTGAGTAGAAAATTGGAGGCAGAACTGAAACAAACTTCACACAACAATTCAAAGTTTAGTTCAATTCAAAGCAAAGAAACAATCAACAAAGAAATCAAGTTCTTCAACCAATTCCCAAACAAGAAAACAAGTTAACACTGACAATGTAATTGAATTCGACTTGAGCGATAGGGAAGAAGATGCACAATCAGAAGTGAATCATGACTTATTTGAAGAATACGCTCCTAACCAATAAACTCTATCTTTATGATAGATATCATTCCATCGAATATCTAATTGAAAAAAGAAGAAATAACATTCTTCCATCATTAGTATCAATATGTAAATTCAATTTAATTATTGCACTTTGAAAAAAAATGTCTTCTTCACCACCATCAGAGACTATTGATGATGATGGTGATGTAATTCATCATCCATCCAATGATAATGTACAACAATCATCATCGGATGATAATAATATTAATACATTGGATAATAATATTGATAACAATAACAATACATTAGATAATAATAGTATTGATAATAATATTGATAATAATAATAATAATAAAAAAGAAATTAAATTAGAAGATTTATTAACAGAAGAAGAAATAGAAATAGCATCTAAAGTATTAGAAAAATTATCATTTCATTCATATTTATTAACAAATCCTAAATTATCAAATTTAATATTATCAGGTTCTTTAGTTTTTAAAAGAAAAATTACAAAAGAAGAACAAGTTGAAATGAAAAGAGAACAACGTAAAAAAATTAAAGAAAAAGTTAAAAATCATGATACAAATATTTTAAATGGAACTTGTATGTATACTTTAATTTTATTTAATATTTAATTTTAATTTAATTTATTTAATATTTATTTAATTAATATTTAATATATTTTATTAAATAAATATAGTAATGAAACAAAAGAAAATGAATGAAGTACATTTTTTAAAACAACAAATTAGAATGATACCAAATGCACCTAATAGTGAAGTACCATCTTTAACATTAGAAGAAGAAGAAGTAATTATTGAATCTATACCATATGATGAATCATTACATTCACATTTAGATAATAATCCAATTACAAGTCCAAATATTATTATTATTAATAATAATAATAATACAAATGATAGTAATGATAATTCAAATAATTCCAATGATAATAATAATAATAATAATACTACATCTGATAATAGTACTACTACTACGACATCCAATTCTAATTCTAATAATTCTTCTAATAATTCCAATTCTAATAATAATAGATTAAAAAAAGCCATTAGATGTTATATATGTCATGAAAAAACAAATCAAATTCATGAATTTTATCATAAAATGTGTTGTAAATGTGGAGAATATAATTTAGAAAAGAGATATCAACAAGTAGATTTATCTAATAAAATATGTCTAGTAACAGGTGGACGTATTAAAATAGGATATTATACAGCACTTAAATTATTAAGATCTAATGCTGAAATGGTAATAGTAACAAGTAGATTTCCTAAAGATACATCTATTAGATATTCTAATGAACCTGATTTTAATATATGGAAAGATAAATTAAAAATTTATGGTATTGATTTTAAACATATTCCATCTGTTATTAAATTTACTGAACATTTATTAAATATTTTACCTAGATTAGATATTTTAATTAATTGTGCTGCTCAAACTATTAGAAAACCAACTGCTTATTATGAACATGTTGCTAGATTTGAATTAACTACTTCTTTACAAGATTTATCTCAAAATGAAAGAAATTTATTACCTTTAGATTTTAATATGGAAATTAATCATGAACAAGAATTAATTGCATTAAAAATGTTATCTTCAATGAATGTTAATAATAATAATATGAATATGAATCAATTGACTAGTAGTAATGATAATGATAATAAGAGTAATGATGATAATAATAAGAGTGATAAGAATGATAATAATAACAAGACTCAATCATCAGAACATATCAATAATGATAATACAAATGAAATACATTTATCTAATAATACAGAAGAATCAAGACTATTATTAAATAATACTAGTAATAATAAGAATGAAATTAAATATTCAAGTATATTAGATCCTATTAATATAAGTACAAGTAGTTTAATATGTCAAATACCAATATTAGATGAAGATAAAAGTTATAATGAACAATCATTTCCACGTGATATTTATGATGTTAATCAAAATCAAGCAGATTTTAGATCAACAAATTCATGGATTGCTACTTTACAAGATGTACCTGTTTTTGAAATGTTAGAAGTACAAACTATTAATGTTACTGCTCCTTTCATTTTAACTTCAAAATTAAAACCTTTATTAATTAAAGGTTCTTTATATTCACATTATTTATTAAATAATAATTTAAATGAAAATATAAATGAAAATATTAATATAAATAATTTAAATAATAATTTAAATAATAATATTAAAAAAGGAATGAGTTTTATTGTAAATGTATCATCAATGGAAGGACAATTTTATCGTAGATCTAAAGGAGTAACACATCCACATTTAAATATGGCAAAAGCAAGTTTAAATATGATGACAAGAACAAGTGCATCTGATTATGCACGTGATAATATTTACATGACAAGTGTTGATACTGGTTGGAATAATGATGAAAATCCATTAACTGATTTGGATAATATTTCACAAACTTATTTTTGTCCTCTAGATGAAATTGATGGTGCTGCTAGAATTTTAGATCCAATTTATCAAGCAATTACAGGTAAACAATTATATTTTGGTGTTTTTTTAAAGAATTATGAACCATTTAGATGGTAAATAAATTTATTACAAAATTATTTCTTTCTAGATCTTTATGTTTGGGTAAATTTAAATTTAGTATATATTTGAAAATAAATGTTTAAGGTAATGTGAATCCTTAATAACTTGATAACTGTTTTTCAATTAACTGGTTCATGTGATTCTAATAAAGGGAATACTCTAATTATGTGATCATTCATTGTATAATTGATAATGATCAATGATGTTCAAGTATCAATTCTGTCCTCCCCTCATAATTCCTCCTTTATTCTAGTTTAACTTTCTTGTTGATAGCAAAGGAAGGAAGAAGAAAATACCCAACATTTGTATCTTATCAAAATAAATGTATTAGTGCAAGGATTTCTTTTTTTAATCTATTACCTTCTTATACCCCCATTTTAAAACAGCATCTAATTTAGATGACTTGTAACGATGTGATGGAACAATCCACATTTATTTTTTATCCTTAATTATACATCATTGTAAAATTGTTTTGACTTGTGTTTTATTAAGAGACAAAATATAAGATGACTTTTTACTCCTTAATAGTTTCATATTTTCTTTCGTGCATATGTATACAATGTGTTGTTATTCTTGTTGTGGTTATATCAGTTCATTAAAATGGATTGTCCACGCACTCCATAGCAAGCAATGGATTCAATGATTAATTACTTTGGATTCTCTGGATGTGCTGAGCACTGTTGTCCATACTCCGTCAACAAGAACACTACTTGACTACCCATTAATTGTGATCAAGAGGAGAGCAGTGTTCAGTGAAAAAACAGTTCTTGATCCCAACGCTCAGATGCGTTGTTTCAGACTTTAAAAAAACCATTCTTTAACAATCTCCGTTATATCTGGATTTGAGATTGCCTCTGAGCGGCACAGAAATACCAAACAATAGTTGAGAAACAGAAGCAAAAAAAAGCTTAAACTTTAATTTCTCCAATTACTGAATAATATCATCACACACTAGTCCACAACTTAAAATGACAATTAGCAAAAATCAAAGAGTTGTGATGAATCTGAACCAACAATCATCTCACATTCATCAAGCCTTCAGTACATCACATCCACCACCAGTATGCAATACATCCTCTTGTTTTACTGCTTCTACTACTACTCTAAAAAAGAATATGAATAAGATCATATCTTCATCAACAACTAATAATCATTCTAACCATACATCATCATCATTGTCATTCACTAAACCACATACATGTAATAATTCAAAGTTAACTCATCCCAATGTTCAGGTCAATACTCAAACTTTCAGCTCCTCAATCTCCTCCTCCACCAACAACACCAACAACAACACCAATACACAACAACAACAACAACATGTAACTCAATCCAATCATCCTCATCCACAACAACAAGGCTTTTGTTTAATATTAGATACACAATCAACAAGTATACACTCCAATAACTCACTTCAAATGCACTTTAGATGTAAGAAGAGTTACAAGGATTACACTTTGGATGACATTTCCCAATATTTTCATTTACCTATTAAGGAAGTTGCTTCTTCATTGAATGTTAGTGTTACATTTTTAAAGAAGGTTTGCAGGTATGTCTTTATATTGATATTAATATTGATATTGTATATTAACATGCATGTAAATAGACGATTGAATATAAGTAGATGGCCCTATAGAAAAGTAACATCACTTCATAAGAAAATATCAGATATTAAGCAAACAAATATTACATTATCAAAAAATAATACTATTATCAATAATAATAATACCATTGACAATATCAATGATAACAGTACAAGTGTTATTATCACAACTGGTGATGATCAAAATAACAAAATGATTATAGTTAATGAAGAGATTTCATTGAGTTCATTCTCATCAACCACACCTCATTCAAATATAATTACATCAAGTATTGAATCATCTACATTACAACATGCTATAAACAAGTGTAATCCTTGTCCAATTATCAATACTACTAATAGAGTCTGTGATTATCATCATGATCTAGCTGTTGGTGATTCAAATGAGAATCATCTTGAGAATCATTCGACGTCAACAACATGCTGTAGTCACAATAAGGAAAATAATATGCATCCAATTCCATCAATGTATTCAAACGACATTAAGAATCCTTCATCAGAATCCTCAACAACTCTTTACAATACTACTCCAACTTTTAATACAACAACATCATCCTCCTCTTGGAATACTTCATCTACAGTTAATACTACTACCACTGCCACTACAATGAATACTATTCAATATAATAGTCCTCAATCCAATTGTCAATATAATTCATTCCATTCTTTACCTTTCACAATAATAGCTCCAAAACGTTATACTTTTGATTCATACAATTGTTTTAATTGTAATACTTTTAATACTACTGAGAAGGAATGTAATGAAACGAGAAGAAGTAGTATTGATTCAATAATTGAAAGAAGAAGTAGTATTGATCAAGTTGAATTATCTTCTTCAAATTATAATAGTAGTTTTGAAAAGAATAGTGTAAATACTTCATATAGTGATGAATCAAAGAATGTATATAGAGATTTAACCACAAGAGAAGTTATTTATTTACCTTCATTTAATGATTTTTGTAAACAAGCTGGTTTATAATAAATAGCTTTTTCAAAATACTATGATAATAATTCAAACATGTAATGATAAAACATGAATCGTGACAATTGTATGATAATGTAATTACATGTCAACTTACATGTTGTGTATTAACATTCAATGAACATATGAGGATAAGAAAATATCTTTTAATGAACAATAAGTTTGAATTCAAAGTTGAGTTCAATACGAGGAAATGTTAATCTCAATCACTAAGATATTGCCCCTCCATGTCCTCTATTCATCTCCTCTCTTTATTACCATATAAATTTTATTCCTTTTTTTCTTCCTCCCTTAATATTATTATTACTTTCAATTACAATTATAATTGAATGAAAAATTTGAATTAAAATTTATTATTACTAATAAAAGTATCAAAATTATTTAACATTTCTTCCTTTTCTGGCCAAGTTAAAAATGAATATTCAAATCCATTTCTAATCATTTTAATAATTTCATCATTTGTAAAATTAAATAAATTTTGAATTCTAAATAATTCTTCTGAAAGTGTAATATTACTCATTAATGTATTATCAGTACATATACAAACTATTATATATTAAATATTAAAATAAATATTAAATATATTAAATTAAATATTAAATATTTTACAATAAATATTAAATATATAAATAAACATACCAGGTATACCAAATTTAAAATATAAAGGTAAAGGATGTTCCTTATAAGAATTAACAGCCTTTGTTTGATAATTTGAAGTAACACAAATTTCCAATGCAATTTTACAATCTCTCACATATTTTAATAAATTTTCATCTTGAAATAATCTTGTACCATGTCCAATTCTTTGTACTCCACAATTTATAATTGAATCATGTATATAATTGGAATCAGTTGCTTCACCTGCATGACATGTTGATTTTAAATAATTCTATTATTATATATATTAAATATAATAAATATATTATTGTAAAGTATATTAAATATATTATTAAATATTAAATATATATTATTAAAAATTAAACATACTTGATGTATTAATTGATAAGATTTTAAATGTAAATTAGCAGGATAATTTAATTCTCTTGAAGCTAAATCAAAAGCAACAACTTTATGATTTTGAAATTTAATTGCAACTTGTGCCATTTCATAAACAATTTGTGGATCTAAATCTCTTAATCCAGAAACTATTAATCTACATTTAAATCCATTTAATTCTTTTTCTGCTAAATTTATACCATTAATTACATATTCCATTACTTGTGTTAATGTTAATCCTAATTTAGTATGTAATATTGATGCAAATCTTATTTCTAAATATAGTATACCATCTTTATAGGCATCTTCACATACTTCATAAACTACTCTTTCAATTGAATCTATTTAATAATATTTATATATATTTAATAATATATTTAAATAATGATAATACATACATTGATCCTATATATAGTAATATTAAATAATTAAATATAATTAAATAATTAAAACATACTTGTAATAAAGGAATTGTATGTGAAAATGCTTGTAAATATTGTTAAAGCCTTTTTTAATTCATTAATTTCTAAAGATGGAAGTGAAATATTATTTCTTTTAGCCAAATCAATCATTGTTTCAATCTATTTTATTGTAATGATAATGATAATAATGTTAAACATACTCTTAAACTACCATCTAAATGTCTATGAAGTTCTGCTTTTGGAATTTTCTAATTATTAAATATTTAAATATTAAAAATATTAATAATTAAATGATGATGATATTTAACATACAATTAATTGTTCCATTGTAAATGGTTGATAATTAATTAATTGAGTATGATATTCATCATGTTGATGTTGATTCAATCCGATATTCAATACATTATTATTATGTTTAATAATATTACTACTATTTAATGTTCTTATTGATGATATTGTTGATGATGTTGTTGATTTAATAATATTTTTTAATTGTTTCATTTTTTTTCAATTAATTTTTATTTAAAAAAAACGTCATCTTTTTGACATTTCTAATAGTATTTGAAAAAATGGAGGTAGGATGATAACCATGGTTGAGGTTATAAATCCATTTAAATTAAAATATTTAATAATAATCATATAACATAATAATAGAATAATAAAATTAAAAAGGCTTTTAAATTTTTTATTGTAATTTTTTAGCGCTGAAAAAAAAATGAACTCACTTTTACGTTCCTCGTTAAAGACAACTTCATCATGTCTTCAACGTTCTTCTTTTATGAAGACTATGGTTTTCCCGAATATTTCTCATCAAATGTCTTTTTATCATAATAATATTAGTTTATTTAACCAATCAAAACAAGGAATTAAAATTGGTGGAGAAGAAATTAATACACAAGCAACAATAACTGAGGAGGAACAACCAATTGTTGAACAAGCTGAAGAAACAACAACAACATGATGAATTCACTAGTTCTGGACCAGTACGTCTCAGCAATGTTGTTGGTGGAGAAAGTGATCCAAAATTTGAAACATATTCTGCTCCAAGTTTTACAAATCTTCCAATGGATCAAGTTAGAGAATTAAAATTCGCTGTTGTTCAAATTGGAGGTCATCAATATAAGGTTACTAATGGAGATAGAATTACAGTCAATAGAATTCCAGTTGAAGTCGGAACACAAATTAACTTGAACAAGATTTTACTTTTAGGTGGTAAGGACTTTACAGCTGTTGGAAGACCAATTGTTGGAAATGCATCAGTTTTAGCTACAGTTGAACAACATACAAGAGCAGCTTATACTATTGCATTCAAGAAGAGAAGAAGGAAAAATTCTAAACGATTCAAGGGTCATCAACAACAAATATCAACTCTTCGTATCGATGATGTTCAACTTGTTGATATTGAATCAGCAAAGAATGCTGAACTTAAGGTTGTTTGTTACGAGTAAATTACACACACATATCTACACATTTATTGAAAAACTTTAAAAATCATAAAAAACGTTTTTGGATGATTCAAAATTTATTGTCTTGGGGGAACTTGTTGAGCATAACTAGGATAGAATGGAAAGCCTTGTTGTGGAGGTGGTGGAGTTTGATAGGCTGAAGCAGATGTTTGTGAAATAACACCCTTCACTTTCTTTTGTTGAGGTGGTGGTGATGATGAGGCATTAGTTTCATCTACTTGTTGATCATTATCATCCTCTTCATCATTATCATATTGATCTTCATCATCTTCATCATCAAGGCTTCTTCTCGAAGATGATGTTGTAGAATTACCCACAAGACCCATTTGAACAATGGTTGGATTGAGTGGAGGTGCTAATGCTTGTCTAGTTGACTTTTTAGTTGGAGAACGAACAGAGGTTCTGAATGGTTCCGAAGAGAAGGTTAATAATTTCTGATTATCCATCAATATATGTACATTTAATCTGAACCATTCTACAACATTATCGGATGATGTTTCTCTAAATCTAAAATCAAGTTTAGCCTTTAAATTACCATGTTTTGATAAATCAAATTCTTCCTTTGTTTTTCCTTTTAAAACTCGTTTTCCAGCACGTTCTCTTTTTACACAAGTTACTTCTACATTTGTACGATCATCTACTAATTCTAATCTAACAAATAATCCACTTAATTGTGTTTGATTTGGAATACAAACTCTTAAACCATATCGTATGGAAGTTAATAAATAATTATCCTCATAAAACTTTTCAAAATAATAATTTTTAGTATCAATGACTACATCATCTGGTGATAATAGATATCCACCTCCATTGGGATTTATATTAATATCATGAATTTTTATACTAGAACCTGAATAACAACATGTTGTATAGGCTTTGGCTGATTTTTTACTACTATATCCTTTACTCATATTATGTCACAATAATTAGTTTTTTTATCTATGGTACAATGATGACGGAATCAACAGGATCTTGTTGGGTTATTATTGTTGATTGAGATGCAAGCGGTGCTCTTTTGTTATTTTTTTTAATAATTATTATTTTTGAAATTAAATCTTGTCTGACATATTATGATAATTGAAATAAGAGTCACTCAAAGTCAATGATGATTAAAGTAACTGATTGAAATTTAGAATAATTTCAAAGCCTTGTTTCTAAATTTAATTAATTGATAATCAATTGATAATTAAATCAATCTAAATCAATTTAATAAAAAATGAGTTCAGATCAACAAGTAGCCTATCCAACCATTGTAGAAGAACCATCTGCTACTACTGTAGATGAATCAACACCATCATCAACACAATCAACATCTTCATCATCATCGGAACGTTTACCACTCACTCCTCTTAAACCAGCATCAAAAGGTACTCCATTATTAGAAACTGTTAAAAAAGTATTAGGAAAGGTATCTGTTGTAGTTATTCAACCTATTATTGCTGGCTTTTGTTTTGGTATGTAATCAATTTCATCATCATCATTAATTTAAATTGGAATTTTTAAAGCCTTTGGACAATTCTTCCTTAGAAAAGTTGTTTATTATACTCATTATGAAAATTTAACTCTCGGACAAACATTAACTAAAGGATGGGAAACTTTCCTTAAGGATTACATTCACTCAAAAAACAATACTAAATAATCATGATCATAATTTAACCACAACACACTCAATTAATACAAAATTAATATATATTTATATAATATGATAACATTGTTCTTGTTTAATTGATATTGGATTATTAGGGAAATTATTTACATTATAAAGCCTTTTCTAATTTCTTTTCAAATATTTGAAAAAAAATGATTAAATAATGATAAATCATTCTTCTTCGTCAATAGATTCATTCATCGGATCAAGTAATTTATTTAATGATAGGGAGGTTGGTAATGGTGATGATTATCATTCGGATTTATATTCTTCATCTTCTTCATCTTTTAATCAACCAATGAATCATTCCAATAATATTCATCGTCATCATAATAATAATAATACAGTTGTTAATGATAATAGTAATAATAATTTAATTCAACAAGGAAATGTTTCTCTTTTTAATAATACTAGAAATAATCCATTTGATGAATCATTATATTCAACAACACCTTCATCATCTTTGAATAATAATAATTACTCAATTAATAATCGATCATCATCCTATCAATCTCCATATTCATCTTCTTATCAACCCTATAATAATTACAATAATAATACTCCTTACAATAATAATTATAATAATAATTATAATAATAATAATTACAATAATAGTCTCAATAATTACCATACTAATAATAATCTTAATAATCTTAATAATCTTAATAATAGATATCATAGACTTGATGAAATGGAAAGAAGATTAATATCAGAAAGACAAACCATTAAAATTCTACAAAAATTATTTAATTGGATTGAATCAACTTATTTATATAAAACATCAATTGAATATGCCAATCAATGGAGAATTAAAATGTCAAGAAATTCATCCTATGTAATGAATGAAAATTTACAAACCAATCCAATTGAATCTAATAGATTTTATTCAAATTTTAATCAATCAAGTGCAATTTATTCAAGACATGAATCTTTTATTAGAAGTATAATTGATTCAATCATTTCTTTTAAAAGAACTTTATTATCTTCTATAAATGGTATAAATAATAGTAATGGTAATGAAACAACAACATCTTCAATTGAATATCAAGATAATCAATTAGCACAAGATATTGCTAATAGAATTGATAGATATACTTTACAAGAAAGTAAATATAATAGATTTAATCAATTTAATAATCAACAACAACAACAACAACAACAATATAATATAAATATAATGGATAGAATTAAAAGAGTTATTAATTCAATATTACATATATTTAAAATGATATATTATTATTATATAAAGAAATGACATTGATTTTTAAACTCATCAATTATATTTCCATATTTGTAGAATATAATTTTTATAGTAATGAACAACAATTCACAAAAACAAATTGAAAAAAAAATGAAACCAATCTATATGGTTATTACAATAATATCAAGTATATTACATTATTTAATGTTTAGACCATATTCATTCATGACAGCATTTAAATTATATTTTATGGTAATTCATATTGGTGTTTGTTCTTCTATACGTGGAATTAATCATTTATTTAAAAAGCATGATAAAATAGATTTAACTAAAAGGAGTATTTATGAAAAACAAGTTGGATGTGCTCATCTATCTTTGGGTATTTTAGGTTTATTATGTTTAGTAATGGGTAATAGTTTTGAATATTTATGTGGAATTGCTATTGTAATGAGTGTTTTTCATATTGGATGTGGTATTTTACAAGGAATTGATTCTATGAATACTACTACTACTACTACTTCTAATGGAACTAATAGGAAGGATGATTGGTTATTACACTTGTTATATAATAGTGTATTTGTACCTTGTTTAACTATTTTAATGGTTTATTCTACTCCAAGTTATTATCAAACTACTTTTGCACCTCCTTCTACATTTGAGTGAGAGAATGAGATAGAATCTATATATGTTTCTTTACTATTTTTCCTATTATTCTTGATTTCTAATGATGATATCAATCCATTCTTTTCAATAAAATGATAATTTGAAAGAAATATAGAGTCATAATTTAGATTTGTCATTCAAAAAAGATTTGATGATCTGTAGGATTCGAACCTACGAAGCTTATGCTAACGAGTTTGATTGCCGTACAATCCATTGAAACATGAATCAATATTGTGTCGCCTTAACCACTCGGCCAAGATCACCAAGTTTCAACGCCTAACAAATTGATTAATTGATTAAAACTTCAAATTCAGAAGTGCATAGTTTTTTGTTCTATTTTGTTAGAAACGCATTTTGGGCGATTTTCAAATGAATTATTCTTTCAAATCGATCTGAAGGTATGAACGCACCTCAAAGCATCAGTATGGATTCCTGATTTTATGAACTTTCTATGTTTTCTCAATTAATTGAATCGTTTCTTAAAGAAGTATCTGAGGGAAACAACATCATATAGTGCGAAATTCTTTAATGAACACCTTACTATTTTAATGTTAGAAAGAGAATTTTACTCTTGAACACATAAGTCTTAGCACATATGATAATTACCATGTCTTGGTCAACCAATATTTTTAGAACATATATTTATTGTAAAGATTACGGAAAACATAACCAATAGCTTTCAAACGTTACAACATGCCATTTAAATTCGTTTGAAGGATTTGAACCAATCAAAATGAGATGACAAGGTCATTTTCTACAATATCACCAATCTCATATGGATTCATCTCTTAAAAAAATGGTTGCAAGGATTTCTGCCAATTTAATACTCCTTCTATTCTTGTGCACGGTTTCAGTTTTGCATGTGGTGTTGGCCTCTCGTCCAAATTGTGCAACTCCATTGAATACTAAAGGATCTAACACAGTTGACTCTTTTGGCAGACAGACATTGATTAATGATTTTGAAGATCATCATATTCATATTCAGCAAACTAAATCTCATCTTGGTGGAAAGAGTGTCAAAGTTTTGAGTTCCTTGTCTACAAATTTTGGGTTTATTTCAAATTTTATTGCTAAAATTTCCTTCAACTCTTTACCTCCAACTACATTTAATGGAGTTCTTGGACCAACTAATGCAAATATTCCACAAGTTGCATTTACATCAAGTGCTAATGTAAAATGTTATGCATGTCAAGTGGCATGTGAAAAGGCATGGGCTGGATTGTCTAATACTCCAGTTTTTGAAAGATGTCCACACAAGTACTTTTATTATGGATGTGATAGACCTTGTTACTCAACATCATCTGCTTCAGAACAAGATATTGCACAAATGATTGCCATATGTAGAGTTAGAAACAAGTGTGCCTTCAATCATAAAATTATTAAAAAATACAGAAAGGGAAGTAATAAGAATATTATCCCAAATGTTATCAAAGGAATTAGATCTGTAAATGAATCAACCAGAGAATAATAACAAAATATTGTTTGATAAAGATTAATCTTCCTTTTGCTCTTCTCAATACAAAAACTTCACTTTTTAAATCAGAGAGTTATAGGAAGTTTCAACGAAATGGAACATATCGAAATTCAAATCAGATGCTAATCAATTTTTATGAGTGAATATTGAAATATCTGTCAACAAGTTTTGTTTTACAATTGAAAAACCTTTCAACTTTTGTGTAATGAAATGATTGTGAGAAGGTAATTGTAAAGCAAGAATTTTGTCTGTTGAAATTACCTCGGTAGGTTCATAATTGGTTTCATCTGTATGAAAAATCAATATTATTCCCTGTTCTGTTATTGTAAAGAGATTAAAACCCAATGATTGCATGAATTTGAATTCAACTTGATTAAATCTTTTTAAGCTTTCTCTGTGTAATTCATATTCATTGTGATTGTCAAGATTAATTGTTGAAATTGACTGTTCAGTTAATACAAGTACTTGATATCTCATAGCAGAAAAACCAATATCACAAACTTTTGAATGTGAGTGAAATATATTTAACTCTCATAACCTACCTCTATATTTTGGATTCGAATAGCTATGTATTACTGGAATATCGTTTCCCATAGAAGGTTCAGATAAAGTTAAACCATCATGAAAACAGGTAATGGAAACAGATGCATCTGGGGAATAAACACTCAGAATTGGGTTTCTATCCATCTGATGAAAGTGAACTAATTGTAAAGTATTACAATATGGAGTCAACATGAATTTTGAAATAAACTTTCCAGTCCAAAACACAGAAAAGTGACTAAAACAGGAAATTGAGCTCACCAAATGAACATTTCCGACTTGTATGCTATTATTGTCTATTATTTTTGGTAAAAAGTCAACCAGATCAAACATTTCACTAAGAATGAATTCACTTTTTAAATCCAATTTTGCAACCTTTCCACTCTCAAATATCACAAGCATCATTTCTTCTCCTAAAACATGTACTCTAATGATATCTCCACCACCTAAACTACTACCTCTACTACCACCACCACAACTAGTGATGATAGGTTCTAAATAGTGTGAAAGATTCTTCTTAACTTTACCACTGAGTGAATCAATGATGGAAAGTTGATTTTTACTCCAACAAGCAATGACACTTGTTTGTCCCATAATTATCTCAACAAGACCCAATACGGCTTGTGAAAGTACCTTTTCAACATGTTCCTTTCTATCCTCAACTACCACAACAGTCTGGGAATTATTCCGATAGGAGATTTTAGAAACATTTCCATCTTGATGTCCAACATAAATTGAATAGGCTCTTGTTGATGCCTCTGTTGTGTTGTTTGTGACTAGAAAACTGGTGATGGGAGCGTGTTCTAACATTTCATTTTTTTAAATAATTTATTAGTGAAGAATATTTAGTTTTTACAATAAAGTTCTAAACATGTTCCTGTGAATGATGAAACAAAATGAGATTTTTCACTTGTGCATTATTTTCTTTTGACGTCAATTATATATGTTTGTAAAGTTAAAGACAGAAAGTCCATACTCTCAAATTGTCCTTGTTCTTCAGTCTATGTACCATTTCATCACATATTGAGCTTTTTTCACATTATCTTGCTATTTGTGATTTGATGTTTAGTGCCAATAATGTGAAAGGATATGTAGATAAGAACGGAAAAAAGGTTGATATTTTGATTTCCATTCACTTCAATGTTATTCATTGTCGATGAAGGTAAAGGTTTTGTCCAAGAACCTGATTCTTCATATGTTGTCTTTCCAGGTTGGCAACAATTAGCTTGCTCACCAGGAATTGGAGATAATAATTTCTAAAGTATGTAACGATAGTTTCAAACCTTAATTCCAATCCGCTTTGTTGTTCTTTTAAATATTATTAATGGATATGATACCTATTAAGGCATTATTCATTGCACGTATCGTAAAATCTGGAAGCACTGAATGTTCCAATGGAAGCTACACAATCATGATCATCATAAAATTCCTGGATAACCTTGTGATTAGCACCGTGTATACTACCATCATCTCGTGGGTCAAGATTTGTCTCAACAACTACATATTTCAAACATTTTGATAATTGACTCAATTTGGAAGTAAACTCACACATATTGATCCAACCATTAGTGTACCTTGAATTATAATCAAATAAGATATCAATATTGTGTAGCTGTTTGAGAAATTCTATCTGATGGAACAAGTATTCACTACTTGAAAACCCAGACAAGACTAAATATTTCAAATTCGGTAATACCGTTGGTGATACGAGATTTTCTAATATTTGTCGAATTCTTTTTTCTGCTTCTGCCCTTCGTTCGTTATCATAGTAATAATCTTCATACCCAAAACTAATTCTCAAATATTTCACTCCTGGAAATGTGCATCCATTAAAAACCAATCCTTGCTGTTTTTTACTCCAATCAAAACAATCAATCGATAGAAATCTAATACTGGTTGGAAACTCAAAATTCTTTAGAGGATCCAAATGGAAAACATTTACAAAACTCAAGAGTATTGATCCTGACAATCTTTCCCTTAGTTCCTTCTCTTCAATAGGTTCAGGCAAATTTGTATTTGACTGCTCACTAGTAGTAGTAGTAGTAGTAGCAGATCTAGTATTGAACCATCCACCATACTTGAAAAGTAATAATAATGGTGATGCCAATACAAAGTATGAACTCCAATACGACGACAATAGGGCTAGTAATACACAACAAATATAAATGATACCATTATTGTTATGAATTTTTGTTTTTGTTTCAGGAATAATCTTACCATTCGATTCTTTTTTTGAAAATTCTTGATTATTGGTGTTATTTTTCACAAATTGATACCAACCACTCGATGATTCAATTCTAATTCCTATTTTCCTTTCCATTAGTTTTTTTCCAACCAATATCTTTACCTGAGACATGTAAGACTTGTTAGGCCAGTATTCCATATATTTTTCTGGTAGTAGATCATTTTCATGAGTTTGATACTCGCTTGAAACCTCTGAGCTCATAAATTTGTACATTTCAAGAGATAGAATTAGGGATTGAGTTAAAAACATGTCGAATGAAGATCCACTAGGCTTGTAATACCTTTCATAATCATCAAAGGAAATATTAAATCGGTTCAATCTTGATTGAATCATTTCTGTACAAGTACTTTCATCACGATAAATATCCATATTCAAAGGATTGTCCAATGTAGTTGTTAAATTATTGTAATCTACTGCTTTTGATTTTCCTCTTTCTATTCCTTGAATAATGGCTTGAATTCTATAAGATTCATCCATCTCTATAGCATTCAAATCTCCTGTACATAAATTCAATTGATCAAAAGTTCTAGTCCTAATCCAATACGAAACCTTCTGATAAAAAACAAATCCATTCAACCAAAACCTTTCAAAAGTCTCATCACTATTTCCCATAATTAAATTCCTCATCTTTTGATTAATATTCGCAAATTGTTTGAGTGATTTAATATTTTCAAATGGTGGTATGAATGTTTTAACTTGTGCAACAAGTCTAATATCAACCCTATTGAACCAATTCAAATCACCAACCAAAAACATTACAATCTCTCCGATAATCTCCTTCGGCAATTGCTCAAAGTGACTGTGGCAAATTTCCTCCGTGTGATTTGAAAGCATTTTTTTTTGAATTTTATTTTGAAGTGTGAAATCTTAAATGTAGCTTTCAAGAAATTCAAGATTTTTATGAAAGTCAATATCGAAAAAGCATTTGGCAAAGGATATAGAAAGAGAGTTTACTTTACAAATTTCTACAAGTTTTATGAAATTATTGTTTTGGATTAATTTCGAATAAATCTCTTTCACTTGTTCCCATTACAAATACTTTTTCAAATCCCTTATTATATATTGTATAAAGAAATTCCTTCACACATGCATCTGAATTAATCATTTCCTTACTCAATCCAATTTTTTCCATTACTTCCTTAATTATATTCTTATCTGAATTGGTAAATCTTTTTATCCAACTTCCTTCATCTGTTTCTTGGTTTTGGCTTAAAATTTCAGTTTCAACAAGTGTAACAGTTCCTTCATCCATTGTAATTTTGTTTGATCTAAGTAAATCTCCATTTCCATTTCCGTAATCACATCTATAAACTGTGAAAAATAATTTGGTCAATTGGGTAGTTCCTTGAATGTTTGCAATAGTAAAGTTAATTTCTACATCTGATTGATCGTAGGAATATGTGGAAATATCGAGTTTTTCAATAAAAATGAAAGGTGAAACGAGACGAATCATTTCTGAAATTAATTCATCATTGAATTCATTGAGGATAGCAGGATTATAAACATAGGTTTGTTCATATTTGTATTGGTCCCACTCTGTTAAATGATCAATTGTATTTCTCGCAAGGAATGAGTTTCGAATGCAATTCAACATGAAACTATTCTTGTCATCCTTATTTGGAAATTCAATTTCAATCTTTTCATCATTGCCTCTTGCTTTCATTGAATTCTCCAAATTTTTAATCATGAATTGATTCCAAAAATCAGAAGCATTCACAAAACCATCATTCCAATCTTTGCAAACTAATCTTAACGAAACTAAATATGAAAGCCTTTGCCAACTTGTTTCTGCAATAGATTCTTCTGTTTCTTCCTCAATTGGTTCTTTGTCGGAATATTCTTCTTCAGCACCATCGAGGTTCACAGGTTTTTTTGGAGTTTTTTCTTCCACAAGGAAAGGAATAACTTCATATAAAAACACACCACTGGATAACAGTAATTGGATTGCTGACATTTTTTTTGATTGTCCAACCAAATGTCCAACAAATCAAAAGGCCAAAAGATTCTCAACAAGTTCACAAAATGAATTTTAAAAAGTTCATTGATAAGCAATTTTGACATTATTTAATATTTTCGAAGGAGGAATTGACAAGAATATTGAAGACTCATCTTTCACTTTCTGTCAATGGCAGCCATGATATAACTATCAAGATTCATTTCTGAAAAACAATAAAAGCAGATCAATTTCCTTTATAACACTGTCTCAGATTGGAGTAACCCCAAAACAGTGATTATAAAAAATAAATCTTAATAAAAAATCCTCGATGAGTAATCACAGTTATTCCGTTTCTTTGCTTTCGGGAAGTGTGAGTAATTTATCATCCAATAATATAAGTGCTAAATTTGAAGGATTTTGTGGAGAGTTATTTAGGTTAGTTTCTAAGGAGAATAGTTTAGACTTTTTTTCCGACTTGTACGTTTCTTACAGGTTAAATTCTTACAACCATTTTTGAATAAGCTACAAGGTCATAATTTCTGCTGTTGGTGATTGCATTAACTTGATGAAATATATCTTTGAAAAAACAGGATATATTTATCCAATTAATCTACCTAGTATTCATAATGCTGGAACTTATTATAGAACTAGTTTAACAAGAGTTTTGCCAAAACCTTGTTATCTATATCTTCAAAGAAAAGAAGAGATTCCTTATTTGGAACTAAGCAAGATTAAAGACTTTTATGAGCAATTGATTTTACAAACAAGCGAAGAATCAAGAATGAAGGAATTAAAATTCAAATCTGAAACTTTTCAAAAAATTTTCCCAACTTTATTATTTGGAGATGAAATAGTGATTGAAAATAATTTTGTAGATATGTTATTTAACATTACAACAATTAATGATACAACTGTTAAGGTTAATCAAGTTAAGTGCAAAGAAGACACAAAACAACTATTCAAAACATGTTCTGTTCTGTGTCAAAGAGCATGATATTATTACTGAAAAGTATCTGTTCAGAGCTCAAACTCTCCCTTCACACTGATAGCTCATTGTTGAGAGATGTGATTCCTTTACCTCTAATGGAAGAGATTCGTTTCAAGATCTTGGTAAGTATTTAAGTTGAATTATTATCTTCAAGTATTATCCAGAGAAATCATGTCAACAAAGTTTACTTGGTTGAAAAGAAAGTCAATGGCAAATGGAAAAAAAAGGAAATAATTAAAGTTTGTAAAAGTGAGGCTGCATTGCAAAAAGAGATGTTATATGGACATTCATCATTTACTAATGCTAATCACAAACTTATTGGTATTCCATACTATGAGTCGATTAAAAAACTAAAGTCAAACGAAAGAGAAGCTCTTTTGAATATGGCCATTGAACAAGATTTGCTCCACATTTCTAAACTTGTTCATTGCGATTTAAAACCAGACCATATTGTTATAGATCCATTGAGAGATACTGGATTTAGATTATTGGATTTTGAGTTTGTTGTTACGGAAGGTGATGAGGTCATTGGCTACACAAAAGGATATCATCCTCCTGAATATGATTGTCTTGAAAATCAACAATATGCAATTGCATCAAGGAAATCAGATGTTTTTTCACTTGGTTTGTGTATGCTCCACTTTATGAACAATGAATTCATTCCCAATAGATTAGAAATACCAGATTATTTAAAGGTAATTGAGGACATACTTTTGAGGGATGTATTAACTCAAATGCTTGAATTGGATTGCTCAAGGAGATTATCAGATGCTTCAGATATTGTTACAATGCTAAAAGATGATATCAATCAATTTCCTTAATAAAGAGGTTCGACTTTGCAAAGTTGTTTTTTGATTTTTTCAATATTTCCTTCTCCCTTAATTGAATTGATTGTAAATTTATGGATGAGGATTTTCCACTCTTGTTTCATCAATATAAGCAAAGTCTTTTTAATTTTTTCATTCCACTTATCAATTTTTCTCCTTTATCACCAATTCGATTATGACGAATATCAAGATCTGTTAATTGTTTCATTTCACTTATGTATTTGGCCCCTTCGTCACCAATTCTATTGTAAAATATAGAAAGTTCTGTTAATTGCTTCATTTCACTGATAAACTTGGCTCCTTCATCACCAATTTCATTGTGACCAATAGAAAGTTCTGTTAATTGTTTCATTCCACTTATCAATTTGGCTCCTTCATCACCAATTCCATTACCATAAATATAAAGACATGTTAATTGTTTCATTTCACTAATGTATTTAACTCCTTTGACACCTATTTGATTGTCACCAACATGAAGTAATGTTAACTGTTTCATTTTACTTATCAATTTGGCTCCTTCATCACCAATTCTATTTCTATTAATATCCAGTGCTATCAATTGTTTCAGTTTACATAGGTATTTAACTCCTTTTGCACCAATTTGATTCTTAGAAATACCAAGTGATATTAATTGCTTCATTTCACTTATCAATTTGGTTCCTTCATCACCAATTCGATTTGTTGGCACAAAAAGTGCTACCAGTTGTTTCATTTCACTTATGAATTTTACATTGTCAGAGTCCAACAAGTTTTCAGAAACATTAACGTTAACAATACAATTCATAAATTGACTTTTCATTAACAATTCAATTCTATGCTCTGTAAATTCTTTTTTAAATTCAAGACAAAGATATGAACGTTCCTTGATCACATTAAACCATTGTTTTGAAATTAAGGAACAAGTATTCAAAATAAACCACGAATTATCAATCATGGAAATTATTTCAAAACAAACATCATCTGAAAATATATTATTCTCTACTAATCATTGATTAAGCATTCAAGAAAATATATACCCACCTTCTTGTTGTCTTATCTCCATGGTGAAATTAGTACAAATATTTCCCATGATGATGATGATGATTAATATGAAAGTGGGCTGATTAGTACTGAATGTTGGCTAGGGCAGTAGGTAGGTTTTTTCTTGACTTGTTGCAGTGTTGGCCCAACAGCACGAAGTATTTAACCTCAACAGAAGAATCTCAATCCGTGTTCTTTTTTCTCTCCGATTGTTCCATTCCAGATATTCCTCTTCAAACAGTGCTGGCAAAACTGTAGTTAGACCTATTGAAAAAACAGCTCAACAAAAATCAATACACAAACACCAAACCTTGACCCTGGCATTCAGATCTGTAAGCCTTCTAACAATTGTTTGATTTTAAATTTTGTACAGACAATATCAAGAGAAGTTATCTCCAGCTAAATTGATCACAAAATTGTTGCAGTTTCAATTTTGAGCTTGTTTTAATTTTATAAACCACAGTTTGATATTCATTCCCATAGAGTTCATTATCACCACTACGAAAACAATCGCTATTCCATTGGGAATTACATTAGTTTCTAATAACAAGATGCTTAGACCTAATTGTTAACATTTCTATCGTTTGGGATACGCTATAGTTCCATTGATGGATCGGTTACACTTAAGGTAATGTGTTGGTATGAAATGTTGTCATGCCAATTGATGAACTGCTGCAATTCTTTTAACTATTAAATTTTAATGTTTAACAGCTTGGACACCAATCAACGTTTATATGATGAGGGCAGACGAATCTTCTTTGTAATCCTCCAGAAACATCATTTCACATACAATTATAATGTTTCCGCTCCCAACTACATTTTTGAATGCTTGCTAAGTTGGGAAAACAGAGTTCTAAAATAAATTTGACTAAACAGTTTAAACATAAAGTGAAAGTAACCAATCTCTATAATAGTTTCACCAATAATTTTATAATGACTTCCAGGATTATCCATTTCCTTTACGAAAATTCATGTGATTCCATAGAAGGAAACCTTAGAACCAAGTAATCCCAAAATTAAAGGGTAACACCACTTTCATTTGAGATTCTCCACAACGTTACTTCTAAATTTCAAGAAAACTAATCTCAAAAAAACAGTAGAAAATGAATAGAGAGAAATACATACAATCATTTGCTTGTGGTCAACCGAAAGTTTTCCAATTGCCAAGTATTAAACAACTGTTGTATGGAGACTTGTCATCATGTAGAACCAATCATAATACGAAACAAGAGGAAACTAATGGTTATCATCCAGTCATGCAAGGTCAGACATGTCACCAACCTTTCTCTACATGTTCAACTAAATGCATGCCACTCCAATTACATGAAACTTCTCCACAAGTAACTTATTCGAAACCACAGCTGGAAGTTAAACGACTCGAACATCAAGTAAGAATTATGGAATCTCTTGTGAAGAAACAAGCAAAGGTAATTGAAGATTTGGAAAATGAAAAGAAGAGAAAGTTGAAGGAAATTGAAAGACAACTCGAAAGTCAACCAAAGAAACTAAAGCAAACTAAATCAAATTCCTTCATATTTAAAACATGCTTATTAGAAAACAAAGATAATTCAGAAGAAGAAACGTCAATCTTGGACGATTTAAATAATCATACGGTAACTTGGAAAAACGAGACTTTCGTATTAATTGATGCCTTTAAAAACCGAAACAAAATCCTCAATTATTTCATTCCACTCTATCAAAGTCAATTCCCAAATAAGAAATGTAAATTAGTTCTTTCAAGTGAAGAATATAGAAAGCTATTTAAGGAAAATTCACATCGGAGTCAATCAGAGAGGAAACACGCTTGGAGAATTTCAATTTTCACTTTGGATTTCTATAATTTCGTAAAGAATCAAATGTAAATAATATTGCTAATGTAACTGTTTTTTGTAATAAAAGAGAATACCTTGTTTATGATATTTTGTTGGAAGAATTCATGTTCCAGAGCTTTAACTGGATCTATCTCTTTCATTCTCGACAACCATTTTAGAAATCAAATCCATAGCATCTATATTGGTTGGATCATTACTGCACTGCAACATTTTTACAAAATTCCAGATCAATAATTTTCAAAACTGAATCAGTGCAATCGAATATGATATTATCAGGTTTCAAATTATTGTGAGTTACAAGATTTCTTCTCATATAGACACATGCATTCAAGAGTTGCTTCATATAACTTCTAACCTCATTGATATCTGATGGAAGATACCCTGCTCCCTTCTTATATTCCATAATGAGAACTATTTCATCATTGGCTAAACTGAAATTGAAATCTAGAATTTCAAGAATATTTGGATGAGAAAACTTTCTATGAAATTCAATCTCACTAATTACATCTCTATAACTACGCAACTGATAATTCTTCTTCACCAAATCAGTCTTTCCATCTGAAAACTGGTTTGGATTTGCTGCTATCCTTCTTACAATTGGATATGCATATTGCAGGACAGAAACAATACTGCAATCATTTTCTTTCTCAAACTCTAAATGTCTCTTTGCAATGGCTGACCACTTTTCAATCTTATCAACTGTAATATCAAATCTGAAACTGTCAATTTACTCCCAGAAAGGAACCAGTAATGGAATGGTAAGGATTTTTTCTCATCCTCTATTAGAAAGTACATGGAAAATAAGATGAATGGATGCAATTTTGAACTATATGAATTTACACGAACTTCTTGTGGAGAGTCAATAGAAACTTTGTGATATTCAATCTTTGAAAGAAGTGTTTTTGTAAAAGCATTATTATTTGGAAAGGATTCAGCTATGGAGAATTTGAAAAAATTTGCTTTGTAATCTCCATGATAACAAATGATTAAGGAATCGGTTGAGAGACCGAAAGAATTCTTCTCAATAGAATTGTTAAATTCAAACAAACACTTGCATTTTTTTTAGAGTTTGTGAGTATAATTTGAGACTAAGATAGGGTTTCATATGTTCTTTGAACATGAAAGAACAGTAACTACAGTAACTATGTTGTAATGGAGCTATATGGTGTCTTTACAAATTACCTACCCCCCTGTGTCAACAAAAGGCAAATAAAATAACAGCATGTAAAAAGTATAGCAAATCTAGGTTTCGATCCTAGGACCTATGGGTTATGAGCCCATCGCGCTTCCGCTGCGCCAATTTGCTTTGACATACTAATTCTAAAAATATTTATTAAATATTGGAAGGAGAAGGATTTTCCCAAAACAAAACCAGTTCAATTTTTAAAACGCTCTGATTGTCACTTAGTGATTATGAGATTACTTTTATTTGGAATTTTCTCATATTAATAATTGAGATAATTTGTTTGGTGATAACCTCAAGTCATTACCTCCACAACAACATGATATTTCAAATAAATTAAATAATAAAAAAATGTTTAACAGTTCAGCGCTTGGAAGTGGTACTTCCAGTCATGCAGAAATTCGGAAAGAATATACTTTTGATGATATCATTAATAGAGATCATGATTACTTTTCAATGTTTGGATTAAAAAAGCCATCACCATCGGCACATTTACTTGGAAATAACAATGCTATTATTACTTCCTATTCAAGTAATAATGATGAAGATAATAATTTAAATAATGATAGAAGAAATAATGGGATTGGACGTAAACGATTATTTCAGTGGTGTATAGGATTATTAATATTATTTTCATTTACTTGTGGATTAATTTTACTTTTAGGTGGAATTATTTTCGGAATACTTGTTAATGCTAATGTATTAGATGATTATTGTATAATGCAATTTGAATTTAAGAAACAAGTACCTGGTAATTTAAATTATGATTTTGCTTTTACAAAGATTAAACAAGGCGTTTCTAAAAGTCCATTCGAATTAATTTCATCATTTCCTAATAATGGAACAATTAAAGCAGTTAGAAAAGAGGCTTTGAAAAATTTTGATGCACTGGAATTTACTATTTATGAAGAAGGATTGAGTTTAATATTTATTAATGCATCAAGTATATCAGATTCAGGTGTTTTTGATTTTGGACAGAACTATAGAAATATTAAACAAGTCATTGATTCTTCATTAGGGAAAGATTATTTACAGAGAATTGTTTCTGGTTGTAATTAATTTAATTATTTATTGCTTGACTTTATCCACTAAATTATAAATGAAAGTATTTATCAAAATTGGAATGCTTCAATAATTTATTTATGTTTGCTCTGATTATTCATAAAAGAATTGAGATTAAAATCTTGATATTGCTTATCTTGATCATAATCTTCCATTGTTTCCATAAGTTGTCCAAGTCCAGATTTCTTTGGTTTTTCAAGTTGAGCAGCAGATGATGAATCTGTTCCATTTGAACCTGAAAAATTGAACAAATCAACCAATTGATCTGTATCCATAGATGATAAACTACTATTTTCCTTATTAATAACACTCTTTGAAATGTTTGTTTTAAACTTTTGTAAACCCATAATCTTTTCTTCCAAAGTGTTTCTAGTAATAAGTCTATAAACATTAACAACTTTCTTTTGACCAATACGATGCGCTCTATCCATAGCTTGTAAATCAGCAGATGGATTCCAATCATGTTCAACAAAAATTACAGTATCTGCACCTGTAAGATTCAATCCTAAACCACCAATCTTTGTAGTTAATAATAAAACATCAATAGTTGGATCACTATTAAATTTTGTAACAATTTCATATCTCTTTGTTGTTTCAACATCACCATCCAATCTCATAAATGTTACATTTGGCATATATTTAGCAAATAATTCATTTTGAATAATATCAAGCATTTGTTTCAATTGACAAAATATTAAAACACGATGTTGATTAGAACTATCAACATCACTATTACCCGCTCCAATACCACAATCATTTAAAAGTTGTTTCAATGATAATAATTTTGGTGATAAATTAACATCTCTAACATCTAATCCTTGTTGTTTGATTTCTTGTGTTACAGATTCATACATTGGATGATCCGGTTCTAATACCAAACATGGATGATTACAAAGCTTTCTCAAATATTTCAAAGCTTTAAATACATGTGAATTTTCAGATATTTCCTTGGCTTTGGTTTTGTCTTCTTGTTGGCTCTTCAATTCTTGTGAAACTTTGGAAATTTCCTTCTTTGCAAAAAATTCATAAAGTTTTGATTGAATAGGTGAAAGATCACAATAATAATCTTGAATAATCTTTTCAGGTAAATCATGTAAAACATCTTCTTTAACTCTTCTTAAAAGGAAAGGTAATACTTGTCTATGTAAATTTTGTAAAGCAATTGTACCTGAAGCTTGTTCTTTAGAATTTGCTTTAGCATCTCTACTTGATTGAATTGGTTTACTGTACTTGGCATTAAACTCCTTTTCTGTTCCTAAAAATCCTGGCATTAAAAAATCAAATAATGACCACAATTCTAAAACATTATTTTGAATTGGAGTACCTGAAAGTAATAATCTGTGATTAGCCTTAATTTGTTTAACAGCTTTGGTAATTTGAGTCTTCTTATTCTTAATAATATGACCTTCATCTAAAATACAATAATTCCAATTTGATTGACAAGCAACAATATCCTTAATATCATTTCTTAATAAATCATAAGAAAGAATGACAATATCTTGATTATGAAATTCAGATCTCCATAATTTTCTCTGAGCAACTGAACCATAATATTGAAGTGATTTCAAATCTGGACAAAACTTTGAAATTTCATCAGCCCAATGCCCAAGTAAAATTGGTGGACATACAACCAATGAAGGTAAATGAACAAATTCTTGGTTACCAGTTTGTTGAAATTGAATCTTTCTCATATGAATATCACTATAAACCATACAAATTGTTTGTAAAGTTTTACCCAAACCCATATCATCGCATAAAATACCATGTAAATTATACTTGTTCAAGAATGCTAACCATGAAACTCCATCTTTTTGATATTGACGAAGTTCTGCATTAATTTTGATTGGAATATCAAATGGAACAACTTTAGAATTATCTAAAAGTTGATCAATAAATTCATGTTCTTCTGCTAATTGTTTTTCAAGCCCTTTAAGTGGAATGGCTGATTTTTCCAAAGGTAAAAGTTTGATAACTGAACCAAAACAATTTGATGAAATTTCACGTGTAACATCATCTTGATCGCTCATTCTCTTTAAAAGTGGAACTGCAAAGAATGCAACTGCTGGTAAACATTTCATTTCAAGTCTTGAAATTAATGAAAATATTGCCAATGATGAACCTCTTCTTGAATAAACATTTGTTGGATTTGCAAGTAGTGGTACAAGTTGTTTTACAATAATAATCAATGCTGGTTCTTCCATATAATAACAAATTTCTGAAATTGTAAGAGCTGCATGTTTTCTAATTTCAATATCTTGATGTGGAACATAATTTGCAATAATTGAACCCAAAACATGTGATAATGTTTCATAGAGTTGAGAATTAATTGATGGAACAATACTTCTCAATATATGAAGTGCATTAACAATAGTCTTTTCAGGTGGTTGAGGATTTGTCTTATTCAATAAACTAAAATCAACTTGTTGGAAAATTACATCAAGAGTATGCATTCTTAATGGTTCGAGATCAATGAATAGCCTCTCCTTGAAAATTGTTGCAATTTCATTCAAGGAAATTGAAGCACCTCTTTGTGCTATTTGAGAAGGATCATCTTTTGTAGAATCTACTTGAGAAGCTGCATCTTTCAATTCATTAATTTCATCTTCCTTAATAGAACTACCGCTAGCAGCACCGGTTGTAGTAGAACCCTTCTTTTTTCTTCCCTTCTTTTGCTTTTCCGTTGTTTCAACTTCATTTGGTTGAGCATTTTCCTTTTCCAATGCCTTGTGTACAGTTATTTTTGGCATTGTCTTGGATAAGAGATCTAAAAGCTTCTTTACAATGGCTGAATTTGGTGGAGGTATTAAATCCTTACAAACAATTAACATTTTTGCAATGGATTTACATGCAAGTTTTTGAAGTGTTAAACTTGATGCTTGACTTTCCACAGTTGAAAGAAGTTGAACCATCATTTTAGATAAAACTGATTTTTGTGGAACACCTCCTTGGAAAATTAAAGCAGATGACAAAATTGATAATGCTCTATTTTGAATGAGTAACCAATTTGTAAAGTAAGTATCAAGTGCTGTCTTGACTCTACCAGCAAGAGTTTCCAATTCTTGAAGAAGTGTTGGATGTTCAACCAAATGTTGAGCATAATATTCACGATATTTCCCAATCAAATCTTGTGCAACAGCTGTTGACATGTTCAGAGATGGAAGACCTTCTTGATTATATGAATAAAAAGAAGAAACATCCCAGCCAAGTTTTGAATAAAATTGAAGAAGGTAATTACATTCAGTGACCAGTGGTGTGAAATAATGTTGAATTTCAACCATATTACTCAAATTAACAGTATCCACTATTTGAGAAAGTAGATTTAAACCCGTTTCTGGTAAATTAAATGTTACATTTCTTTCTCCACAAGTTTGGAAAATATTTTGAAGTAAAATACCAGCTGTTTCTTTGTGAAGTGCAAATGCTGATCTTAACAACAAGTCAAAAGTGGTGAAAAGTTCGTTCAAATTTTGTGGTTGAGTTATCGATATGGTAAAAAGTGCAATAGCCTTTGAAGTTGCAATTCTCATTAAAGTGAGTTCTTCCATATCTGAAACTTGTAACCTCATAGAGAATGTTTGTTTTTCTGCGTTATCCAATGATTTAGATCCATCATATTTTCTCTTAAGAGAATCTGTTGCTCCCCATCTATTAGAAATTGAATTGTAAACTTCTTCTGGTAAAGTCATTAATGAAAGGTCAAAATTATTTCCAACTGGAGTTGACATTAAAGAAGCCCAAGCACCAATATATCTCGCCATGATCGGTGTGAGGTAATCTTCTGGAATACGTCTAATGAAAGCTTCCCAAACAATCAAAGACTTTTCTACTATATTTTCTTTAGGATCCAAAATTAAATTTTGGAAAATAAGAGCAATAATATGTTTTAGCACATTTTCTTTAAGAATCCAAGAATTTGCTGTAATTTCAGTTCTTTGAATAAGCTCTTGAAGTGTTTCCAATGCTGACATTCTCACAGTTATAATATTGTGTCTCAAGTATGGATATAATCTTGGTACCAATAAATGTAATCTATCTGCAAGAACAAGTTCATACATTGGAATGGAATATAATTTAGCTAATAATGTCATTATACTTGCTGTTGAAGATGATAAATCATCCATATCAATAAGTGAATCCCATAAAATTGAAAAGATACCATTCACATAATTTCTATCCATTCTCATAACATGTTCAGCAATAGGAACCAAACAATCAGCAGCAACTGCTTTAACATCATCGGCAGATGTAGACCCAGCTTCATCAGATAAACACATAATTATGGCAGGAAGAACCATTCCAAATAATTCATCTATTGCCTCTGTTCTAAGCGCAACAGCATATTTCAACCCCAGCAGTGCATTGTGTCTAACTTTCCATTCTTGATCATGTCCCATAAGAATAACTAAATTTGTAATCACATGTCTCACTGTTTCACTATTAAGATATTTGAAAATTAAACCTAGAATTTGAGCTCCTGTTTCAGTAATTGGAGATATTGGTAAATCCGATAAATAATCTGTAAATTTGTCAAGTGCAAATAAACACAAAACTCTAACACAGCAATCTTCTAACCACAATTCATTTGCATATTGTAAATTTTGAGTGAATATTGATTTACCAGCAGATTGAAGTTGTTCTGGTACTTTAAGAATTTCTCTAATTGCAATAGCTGCACCATGTCTTATTGTCCAAGATGAATTGAACAAATCAACTAGGAGACGTTCAGTTAAAATTTGGAATGGCCATCTTTCATGTTCAAACATATCAGATGTATCTACAGCACTTTCAATCACTATTTTGTTTTCAGATTGTGGTTGTTCTGTAATGACTGTTTTCATTTTCTTAGCTTGTCTTTGATCTTCCTCGATTTGTTCATCAATAGACTGATTATTTTGTTTCTTATTTTGTTTTTGCATGAATTTTTCTCTTCTTTCTTTTGCACTTAGGGGTTGACTGTTTACTTCTTCAGCTTCATGATTGTTTACAGGTTCCTTCTCAGTTGCACAAAGCAACAAGGATTGTTTTTCTTCAAATGATAAATATCCTAGACGCCCATAAATTTGACGTTTGTGAAATGCTAATTTGTCTTTAGGTTTGAGGTGTTTAATTTGTTGTTCCTCATCGGGCACTGCAAGATTTGAACCATATAATGGTATTCCATTCTTTACTACATGCCTAATATTAAAGTTGGCAAAACGGAATTTCTCTTGTTGTGTCTGGTAGTCTTCTTGTAATTTTTCATAATTTCGTACTTGTTGTTCTTGTGTTAATTCTTCCTTTTTAATATTTGCTTGTTCTGGTCTGTAGAGAGGAACATTTTGTGCAATAGCATTGATTGCTTCACCAGCAGCAGAACGTGTTTCCCAAGAACTTGATCCTAGTAAAACACTAATTTTGCTCAATACAGAAGGTATTTCGGCTTGATGAAATTTTGTTGCTTCTGCTATTTGTTTAGCAGCCGCGGATCGAACAGCAGGTGAACCACTGTCCAACAGATTGAGTAATCTATCAAGACGAGAAGTCATGTTGTATGACAACTAAAAACGATAAAAAGAAATATAAATTGTTTTGTAGGTTATGTGTTGTTTTATTTTTTTGCGGTTGGTTAGAGTTAATTTTGTTATTCTCCAACGCATGTTTCGGTTGTGTTCATTACAACCCGCAAAACCAATCAAAAACAGACAACAAATAGTTACAATGAACTGTTTGTGCGCATTGTCCATACAAACAATGCAATTCGATAACACGATCAATTCAATCTAAACCAAATTTTTCAATGCTCAATTCAATACTGTTCTTGTAATTGGGAAAGAAAAACTCTATACTGAACATATTCTCTTTCTCTCTTTATTTAGTTTTCAAAAATAGCTTCAAGAACCTTCAATTAGAAGTATTTGACTCATTTTACACCCATGTTCACTCTGGCTTCTATTTTCTGTGGGGATTGCAAGCCTTGTTGATGTGGTGTTAAAAAGCCTTTGATTAAAAATCAATAATTATAAGCAAAAAAATGTCCCTACATGTGATGACTTCAAAGTCATCATCATCTGGCAAGACAACAACAAACAAATCATCATCTTTGTCATCAACAATTAATTCCGAAGATGAATTATTGAAAAAAGTATTTAAAGTTATTGATGAAAGTAAACAACAACAACAAAATTCAAGAGAATGTTTAAATAAGATTATGATTGATCATGAACATGCTTTATCAATTCAATTGGATAATTTAAGCGAAATTCAAACACAAATTCAATCGATTGAAAAGAGAGCAGTACAATTAGGAAAAACAATTTCCAATACATTTAAATTAGCTGAAGGAGTTAGTTCTAAAGTAAGACAATTACATGGTGTTCAAGAACGTGTACAATTAGCTATTGATGCTGTTGAAGCAAGTATTGGAATGAAAAGTTGTGTTGAAGGAGTTGAACAAGCTATTAAAATTGGTGATTATGAAAAGGCTGTTGAATATGTCAGTCGAGTTTTACATATTAATAGTGATAGTAATAGAAGTAAATTAGCTTTACAATTAAATCAATCACAAAATGGTGATCAACAAGAAAGTGAAGATGAACAAGAAAGAAGAAATACTTTATTTAAGAAATCAGAAAAGAAAATCAAGGAAATTGTTTCTTCAAAGATGAAAGAAGCTTTGAGAGATGAAAATGAAACTCAAATTAAGAGATTTTCTAAATTATTTTCACCTCTATGTATGAATGAGGATGGTTTATCATTATATGTTGACTTTTTATCAGATAAATGCAGAAAGGAGCTTGAATCACTTGTTCATGATAGTTTGGATAAAGTATCGGATTTACCAATTGAACTAAATGCTATTGAGGACGAAGTAGAAAGATTAACATATATTAGAAAACAACAACAACAATATGTTAGTTTTATTGATATTATCACCCAAATTTTGGATATTATTGTATCATATATCGAGGATTGTGAAGATTTTGTAACAAGTAATTTTGGAGGAGAAAAATGTACTATATATTTGATTAATTCACTCCAACATGTTTGTGACAAGATGGTAAAAAAGGTTTTAGATGTTTATGAAAAAAAGAGAGAATTGAATGATATTTTAACAGCTGTTTCTAAAAAACCTAATACATTACCAATCAAAAAGGATCTTAATACTAGTAGATCTCCTTCACCTGTTCCAAATTCTATGGAATCATTTTTGAAACAAACAAAAATTAGTCCAGATGATCCAAGAGTTCTTGATCTTATTTTGGAAGAAATTGCAGAAATATCATCTAATATTGAAGTTTACAAGCAATTTATTGCTGGTAAATGTATTAATATTAAAACTGATGGAAAGAATGAAATGTATACTTTAACAAAAGAACCAATTATTTATAGAAGAATTCAAGAATTGATGAGTTTTTATATTCCCATTGATATGTCCTTTATGAAACAAAGTTTTTTCAAAGCCATTCAATTGGGTGACACGAACCAAATTAGTTTAAATGCTAATACAGACTTTTTTGAATCTGATAGTGAAGAAGAGGAAGAAAGCGATGAGGATGAAGATGAGTCATCAAAGTACTCTTCCATTATTAATGATGTATTTTTCATTTTACAAAAGAGTCTTAGTAGAGCTATGGATTCTCAAAATGTTTCAGTAGTTTGTGCTATTGTGAATCATATTAATGGAATACTTGCCACTGATTATTTTGAATTTGTAAAGAAGGATGTTAGCCTGATATCTCTCATCCAATCAAATAATAAGGATGATTTTGTAAAGATTTTGGTACGTACTAATAGAAAGATTTTATTTTTATTTACACATTGAATCAAGAAATCTTTAAACAATATTCAAATATCGAGTGAATACATTCTCAAGTTAAAGAAGGAATTTGAAAGAAGTTATGAAATCAAATTCTTCAAGAACAAGAAGGCTGAACCAAACTCTCCAGATAGAATGAAATTGAAGAGTGGAGCATCTGATCTTGTTCAAACCTCAATCTTCTTTTCTGATGAATTAAGACGATACACTCAAAAAATGGTCAGCGCCAAGGAATATTGTTTGAGTTTAGAACAAGACATTAGTTTTTTATTGGATAGTGAGCTTAAACATCCTGCAAATAGTATTGCTTTTTATAATTTATCAGAAAGCCAATTTGCTGCAAGAGAGCTTAACAATATATTCACTACCAAATTCATTGCAAATATGGAGAAGGTATTGAATGTATATAAGAAGTATTTAACCAAGTTTAATTTCGAGGAACTGGTTGAATTAGCTATTATCATTCTTTGTGACTATTTGGAAAGACAAATCTTTGCTAAAAGATTTAGCTCTTTTGGAGGTTTACAATTGGATAAGGATGTAAGAGAGTTTATGGATTATTTCAGTAGCAAGACAGATAGATCTGTTAGAGACAAATTTTCAAGATTAACACAAATAGCTTATTTATTGAAAATGTCAGAAGTGGATGATATTTTGGAAATTTGGGAATCAGCTCAACATTGGAAATTATCAGTTGGTGAGATTAAGAATGTTTTATCTTTGAGACTAGATTTCAAACAAGAACAAATCCACAACTTGTCCATTTAGAATAAAATCAATAAAATGTACAAGATTATCTTTTCTCCACCACTCACTAATCATATGAAATGATTGTGGAATAATTTAACGTCTGTGATAACCTCCACCACCACCTCTATGAGAAGGTGGTCCCATATCTTCTTCCTTTGCAATTTTTCTCTCTGCATTCATCTTTTCGAAAAACATTTTACCACCATCATTTTCACTTTCATTAATCTTTGTATCAAACTTAGGATGGGAAAATTTACAATTTGGACCTTTAGCGCAAAATCCAGCTAAATAATCTGGACAAGCAATTTTTCTTAAATGTTTTAATCTACAATCAGGTCCATGTTTACAAAATCCTCTTTCATACCAAGGGCATGTTTTAATTCTGTCTTCAGGTTTAATATGCAAAAAGATACATTCGACATTACTACATTCTCCATATTCAGAAAAGAAGTGACATTCTGGCATTTTACCAGCTTTGTATTGATGAAGAAATTCACATCCGTCACCTTTTTTACATAAACCTCTCAGCCAATGTTTACATACAACTTCCTTTTCTTTCGGAGCTTGTCTTTTATCATGAGAATAACTACAAGCATCTCCTTTACGACATTGCCCTTTCATAAAAAATTTACAAATGGGTCTATCCTGTTCCCTCTCCTTCATATCCTCATCATCCAATTTATATTCAAAATTAAATTTTAGATCAAGTGTATCTTCAAGTCGCAGCATTTTTTTTAAAATTGTTAATCAAAAAAATTTTATTGTTTTTTTTAAAAATAGATACGAGTTAAAGTTAAATTGAGACCTTTTGATTCAATTTGTTTTGGTCAACTGAAGAAACAACAAATAACATTATTAAATCAAAAGGTTAGACAATAATTATATTTAATATACATAATTCATTTCACCTAAATTTAATTTGGGCTGAAATGAATAAACCGTAGTTTACCAGTCATCGTCTTCATAGTCGCTTTCATTTTCATCTTCCTCATCTGAATCACCTGCAGCATTACCGAACTTTTTACTCAAAATATCAGCAACACTCATTGACTTTTCTTCTTCTTTTGGAGCTGCCAATTTTCTTTCAGCTACAGATTTCAATTTAGCACCAAGTCTGATATCTTCCAACAAGTTACCTCTACCAGTAGTTGCCATAACCTTAGTTTGAGCCTTACTAGCTTCAACAGATTTCATAATATCAATGTTACCTTCACCACCACTACTACTAGATTGTTGTTGAGGAGGAGGTGTAGAAACTACAATATTATTACTTGGAGGAGGTGGAACATTGATAGCACGAGTTGGAGGAGGTGGTACATTGGAAGGAGGTGGAGGAACACTAAATCCATTATTATTATTATTAATTGGTGGAGGAGGAACACTATAACCACCATTATTACTGACAGGTGGAGGTTGTGGAACACCATATCCACTATTACCACCAATTGGAGGTGGAGGAACAGTCTTTACAGGTGGAGGAGGAACACCATATACACCACTATTAATTGGTGGAGGAGGAACACTTGTATTATTGACAGGTGGAGGAGGAACACCATATCCTTGATTAGTATTGGTAGGAACAGGTGGAGGTTGTCTATAATTTGATGAGTCCATATAATTATTTGAGGAATTATTTGGACTATATTGTTCATCCATTCCACTTCCAACACTTGATGAGTTTGGAATTTCCATATTTCTTGTAGAGGCAGCTCTAGACAATGATTGACTTGAACCACTTTCAACCAATTGACCTTCAGAATTGTACTTTTTACGATGGATTTTCATTTGCTTGACTTGTTTCTTTTCAGCAGTTGCTGTTGCCTTTGAACGTTCAGAACGAGCCTTCTTACGTTCTTCCTTTCTCTTTTGTTTGGCCTTCTTTAAACGTTCCAACTCACGTTTAGCCCATTCATTGAAGAAGAAATTAGAATCAGTATATGCTTCAATGCAAGTCTTGTACTTTGGCAATGTGTTGATTCCTTGTTGTTGTTGTTGTTGTTGTTCTGCTTGTTGTTGTGCTTCCTTTTCAGCTTGTTGTGATAATTGTACGTGAATTTGATCCAACAATGGAGAGAATTCAGGAGGAGGTAAACAATTATTTGTATATTGCCAATTCAATGGAACTGGATTGTTTTGTTTGGAAATGTTTTGATGATCCTTCTTGTACAAGACTGCTAAATTGGCTTCAGTTAATTCATACAATGAAGTTGAGAAGAGTAATTTAGAATTATTCTCATGCATAAATTGTTCATATTGTGGAAGTTTGTTGTTAATTTGTTGAATACGTGTATTGAGAGCATTTAATCTGTCAAATGTTTCACGTGCTGATTCATTCAGAGAGTTGAAAATTTCAGAGGCAGTCAAGGCTAATGATGATAATTGGAAAAGAATACCATTCATTGAATTCATATTTCTACCTTGAAGTACATGTCCACTGACACTACTACTTTCAATCAGTGAATTACCAGCATTACGATAGCCATAACTATCAAAATGTTCAAGTGGACGTTTAATGACCACCATTTTTTTTAACTTTGATCACTTGTTGATGATGATAACTCTTCACAAGAGAGAAAAACTAGTTAATAATTTTGAAAGCCACCAGCAGCTGTTGAATTTTTTTTTTAATGATGACTTTGTGCCAGTTGATGGTTGATTGATTTTTAGGCTTCCTCGTGGTGAAGAGTAACAAGGAAGAAGTGAGTTCACTCTTCAATCTATTGGGTAAAGTGTTACAACTCTAACAAGAGCAAATCTGAAAAGTTAAGATGGTTAAACTTCTTTTAATTTCTTTGTTTCAGATATTATTTCCATTAAATACTTAATTGTTTGTTGGTGATTCTAATTAATTCACAAGTTCTTCATGAGAAACGAAATTAAGGTAAAAATAGTTCAAAAAAATGTCTGTTTTCAATGATCTGGTTTCTTTCACGTTGATAGATTTTTCTTTTGGCAACACTTCGGATCACCAACTTAAATTAACGGAAAAATACAAATTACTAACAATTCATAGAAGAAAAATTGAGGAAAATATTCAAATATTCATCAAAGCAGGAAAGATTAAAAACGAACTGAGAAATGATGAAGAATATTGTTTCAGAGTAGTTCAGATTGATGGAACTGCTTTGAGTAAAGTTAAATGTCAGAATAGAAAAATTGCATTGGCCGCTGTTCAACAGAATGGACATGCATATGTTTATTTGAGGAAGGAATTTAAAAAAGATTTGGAGATTTTATTCGAAACTGCAAAATCCTGCTCTTCTATTATTGCTTGTCGAATACTTTCAGATATGGATTCAAATACTGACATGCCCATTAATGACAAGGTTTGCTTGGCAAGGTATTTCTTTCAGAACAAACCTGAGTATTCAACCTTTCTAGGTTATAGTATACCATTGTGTTTGAAATTAGAAAGAGAATTTATTTTGGAATTAATTAGTAATCATTTATCGATCATTCCCCCTTTTTTGATTTCATGTTTCAATAATGACAGAAATTTCATATTGGAAGTTTTGAAAAAATTCAAGCATCCAATAAGTGCCTATTTTATTCAAGGTTTGTCTACTGAATTGAGAAATGATTTGGAGGTTGTATCAGAAATTATTAAGAGAAATAGGGATTTAATTAAATATGTTCCTGAACTATTAAAATCCAAGTTAAAGATTTTTGAATCTGTTAAAGAAGATTACAATGCCTCAAAAAGGCTATCTCCACTCGATTCTTATTAAATTAATTCATCCTCCAAACATTGTATCACCAGAAATAGTCCAGCTTTGGGCATCTATCCATTTCCCCTACGTTTTCCAAAGGTAACAATGTATCGACTTGATGATGTCAAGAGGTGCGAAACAGAAATAATAAAAAAAGAATTAAAAAAAATGATGACGACTTTGCTGGCGAGAAAGAGACATCAACAATCATTCTTTCATCTCACTCTTCTCTTAATTTTAATAGGAGTGGTTGCTGTAGTAAAGTCTGAAATATTTAATTTTAAAGATTCTAAAGTACATTATGGATCATTCATAGTAAAAAGATTATCCATTGTTACGGAAAAGAGAGCATCATCATCTTTTTTAACCTTGTCTAAACTCCGAAAGCCATCTCTCACTTTGGATTTTAATATTAATCATGAAGAAGGTGTAGATAATACAATGTTTTCTATGGTTGTATTTGGTGAAGATTTGCAAACATTATTTAATAATGCATCGGAGAATTATTATTCGTTGAGTAGTCTTTTAACTGATAAAGTTTGCGAAAATCATGTTGCCATATCAAAGAGATCACATTTAACTCGTTTCACTCATAGAATGCATGCAAAATATGAAGATTTTACAAAATCAGGAATTTATTATGCAATTATTTTGAATTGTGACACTGATAGTAGTCAAAAGTCAATGACAATTACCACTGGTACTATCAGATACACTAATCCTTTTGGTCAATTGAGTGCTGAACAATATAGTAATCTTCCATTTTATGCTATCATGTCTATTGCTACGTTCAGTATTGGTATCATTTACATTCTTTCAGTTCTTGGATTTGAAATTGAGTGCAAGAGACCTTTTGGAATTCAATTTATTAAGAAATTGTTATTCTGGAGAAAGGATACTACTAGGGAAACACAGGCTCCAAAGAAGAAACCAGAGAAACTTGTTGGATCTTATTCTATTATAGTCTGGATTTGTGTTGTACTTTTATTATTCCTCTTTGAAAATTCATTCTCTTTTGCCATGTATCAATATATTGATATGAATGGATTGAATAGTAACTTTTTATATACAGGAGCTTCATTATTCCACATGCTTAGAAAATTGTTCAGCAGAGTATTTATTTTATTGTTGTGCATGGGGTATGGATCTATCAGAGATATCATTGGAGGTGTCAAGTCAATTTTAATATGGACCTATGCTTTTGTTTATGCTATGGCAGTTATTGCAAGTGAATTGGTAGATATGCTTTTCATCAAAGTTCATTTAATGAGCCCATTTGTTGCCAGTATCCTATCAACACCAATCATTTTCCTTGATATCATTGCATTCTTATGGATTATTGGTGAACTCTTCACACTCATGAAACAACTAAAGAGAAAGGGTCAAGGAGATAGATTAAGCGTATTTATTTCCCTCACAGTAACAATTATTTTCTATTTTATTGCTACTGTTGGTTGGGTTGTTTACTCTTACTTTATTCTTGATAACTCTGATCAATTCCAATATGATAAGAGGTGGGAAACTAATTGGACTGTTGGAGCTGTATGGTCAATTATATTTATGGTTGTAATGATTGCTATTATGGTTATCTTCAGAAAGAGTAACATTATTAAGGTCCAAAGATTAGGAATTGAAAAGGAACAAAAGTATGCCCAACTTTCACAAAATGATGACGAAGATCAAGATGTCAAACAAATTCATGAAAAGTTAGAAAATGAAGAAGAATTAGATGAAATTATTGACAGAAAAGTCCAAAAGAAGGAATCGGTTGACACTAAACGACCAGGTTTTACAATTGATGATATTAGTGAAGAGGAAGATGATGGTGATCTAGAAGCTGTTGTCAAAAACAACTAAATAGTATGAGCATTATATTTAATTTATTGAGAATATAAAAAAACAATATTCAAATTAGAAGAGGATTGTAATAAGAGTGTCCAGTGTGTTTGAATAATATCATTGTGAAAATCCTTTTGCATCATCGAAAGATTGTATTTCATGTTCACTTGTTCCATCAACACTTTGGAGCGAAGAGACACTTCCTTATCTCCTTCAAGTTCATAAACGGGTACAAGTTTTTTAAAAACTGTACGGTTTTTGGCGGTTTTATCAAATAACCTCAATAAAAAAAATAACGAAAATGCCTCTCAATTGTTGCGGTAAGAAGAAGAAGGGCGAAAATGGAGTAGAGGAAAAGGATGATTTTGATAAGAAACAAGTCCCATCAGAGTATGGTGTAAATAGAAAAAGATCTTGTACCGATGTATTATGTATTCCAGTGTTTATTTTGTTCTGGATTGGCTTATTTATTATTGCTGGTTTCGGTTTTTGGTCAGGAAATCCAGCAACTCTTGTAGAACCTTTAGATTATGCTGGTAATATGTGCGGATATGCTGTTGGAAAAGGAAATTCTAATGTCTTTGATTTATCGAACAGGACATATTTATGGTATCCTTTCGAGTTCAGACCAGACCAATTGAAAGATATTACTACCTCTAGGTTAATTTCTGCCTTAGGGCTTGGCATTTGCGTGGAATCCTGCCCTGAGAATGTAGTCAGCCTTATTAGCCCTTTAACAAATCCTCTATGGGATGCAATTGTTTGTAGATATGACTCTAATGCAACAACTGCTTATGATAAGGCCTTGCTTGCCTACAATGGTGATGGCTGTTATTTCAACTATTTTACTCATGAACCATGTAAGCATTTCTTTTTACATTTAACTTCAACAACAATCAGTCTTTAAAAGATGCATTCCAACCTTTGAAAATTCAACCATTGATTCATTTACTAAATTAACTTTCCAACAAACTTTGAAAATTTCAAATGGACTCAAACAGGGATTGAGTGAGGTTGGAAAATCATGGCTGCCGATTCTTATTTCATCAGTTTTATGCGTGATTTTATGTTTTGTATTTGTATTATTTATGAGACTATTTGTTGGAATTGTAGTAAGGGTTATTGTTATGGCATTCGGTATTGTTTTGGGTGTTGCTGGTGGTTATATTCTATATATCGGTGTCAAGAAATATGTTGCATCAGAAGTAGATGGTGTTATTGACACTGATTTAAGAACTGCTGCAAATTGGTGGTTGGCCATTGGTGGTATTATTTTATCAATTTTACTTATTTACTTAGTATTAATGATTTTCCTTTGGGGTAGAATTAGTAAGGCTATTGCAATTATTAAGGAAGGAAGTAGAGCTGTTAACAAATTCCCATCTATGATTATTATCCCAGCAGTTATGTTCTTTTTAATTTGTGGTTTAACAGTATGGTGGGCAACTGTTTCTATTTTCCTTCAAAGTACTCAAAAGCCTGTCACAATTAGCTCAACTGATGCTAGATGGGCTTCCTATATGAATTCTATATCGGACTTTATGAACACCTCTAGATTGGCAAATAGTTCAATTACTATTGATCAAGGAACAACAGCTCTCCAAGTATTGAACTTGTATAATTTATTTTCATATTTCTGGGCTGTTGCATTTGTAGATGCCTTGGCATATGTAACAATTGCAGGTGTAGTTGCATCTTGGTATTTTGGTGGTATTGGTGATGACAAGAAGTCTGAAAAATTCTCAGTTGCAAAGTCATTTTGGAGAGCAATTAGATACCATATCGGCTCCATTATCTTTGGTTCGTTGGTAGTTGCGATTGTTCAGATGATAAGGTACCTATTTAAGAAGTTAAAGTCGCGGTTTGAAAATTTAGCAAAAGCAAACACAGTAGCTACATGGATTTTGAAAGTATTTGATGGAATATTGTGGGTGATTGAAAAGATTGTCAAGTTTATGAACAAGAATGCTTACATCATGATTGCTATTCACGGTGGAAACTTTTTAATGAGTTCTTCTAGAGGTTTTATGATCGTGCTTGAAAATATTTTGATTGTTGGTACTACTAACACAATCAGTGATGTGGTCTTGTTCCTTGGTAAGATTTTGTTAACAGTTGTTAGCTCTGTAATCTGCTATTTGATTATTGACTTGAACAATATGTATCTCTTCTTTAACCCAGTACTTCCAGCAATTGAATATGGTATCATTCCCTCTCTTGTTTGCGCTGTCATTACTTTCATTATCACCACTCTTTTCATGAATCTTTACGATACAGCTATTGATACTATTTTATTGTGTGTCAGTTATGAGTTGTGGATCAATCCTGGTGAATGTAAGGGCCCATACTTTATGACCTCAAGATTGAGAAAGATATATCTTGGAAAGTTAAAGATGGATCGTATTGGTGATTTCTCAAGTTGTTGCAGTTGTTTCAAGAAGGACAAGGATGAAAACAGAGTCACCACAGTGGACAATAAGGAAATGGATACTTCCAATAAGGACACGAAATCCAAAGCATCACAAGATAAAAACAAAATGTAAATAAATTATCAGTTTAGAAAAAGTCAATGTCCATTAATTTGTTTTCATCTAAAAATCGTTCGTTATCCATTTCTATATCAAATGGTTTGGTGAATGTGATAGAAAGTTCAGATTTTCTCTTTTCTTCTTCTTCTCTTTGTTTCCTGTCCAGAATTGATTTGTGTTGGTGTTGTTGATATTGGAAAGCTGTTACTGCAGCTTGATATTGTCTTTGTTTGAGTGTTTCTTCATCCATTTGATTCAGTTGTTTCTTATTATGTTGAACTCTTCCCCAAGAAACTCTTACTCTATTTCCTTGAATTTCTATACCGTTCATTTCAATAATTGCTCTTTCTGCATGTTCTGTTCTTGTAAAATTAATAAAACCACAATTACTATTAGTTGGTATCTTTACAGAGGTAATTGGTCCATAACCTTGGAAAAATTCTCTTAAAATCTTTTCATCAGTATTAGGTGACAAGTTACCAACATAGACAGTTGTATTTTCTTGTTCAAGTGGATCAGTTGTAATAATTGTAGTTGGCATTAAATCTTCTGGAATAGTTTGTGGAATTATATTTGTTGGTATAGATGGTAATGCATTATTATTAAATAAATTTTGAGAAAGACCAGTTCCAGCCAAAGTACCTAGAGCTCCCTGACTCTTGAAATTATTGGTAGCATGTGAAATTTTAACAGGTCTAGAAGAAATATAAACTCCTTGCATTTCAGTCATTGATCTCATCATATCATCTTCATCAGCAAATTTTACAAAACCATAACCTTTAGAAATACCACTTTTTGGATCCATAACAACTTTAGCACCTCTAACACTTGGATATCTATTTCTAAATGTTTGTTCTAACATGTAATCATTCACATCAGGTGCTAAATCACCAACGAAAATAGAAACAATATTTTCCTTTCCACCTGATGATGGTTTTCCACCAGGTTGACTTGAGAATAATGGATTTGATCCTTGATTTTGTGCTGCCCAATTTAATCTATAAATCTTATTCGGAAGTGTTGGTATTGGTTTTCCTGCATAGGACTCTAAAACTGCTTTAGCAATTTCTATTGATGCAAATTCTACAAATCCGTAACCAATAGATTTTCCTGTATTTCTATCTTTAATAATCTTTACAGAATTAATTGATGGTCGAATATCATTAGCAAATAATTTCTTTACATATTCATCGTCCATAGAATCATCCAAATCACCCATCCACAATGTTCTTGCTTTTTGATTACTTTTATCGTTCATTCCTCCCGATGATGATGATGGAATGAAGCCTCCTCTCTGTTCACGTCTATTAAACATTTTTTTTATTTGATCTTTTTTTGAATGTGTTGTTTGCGAATGAACAGAAATTAAATAATTGAATAATTGTAAATATTTAAACTTACTGATTTGATAATACATTCAATTACTAAAGCATTACGATAATTAATGTGCACTAAAATATTCTCTAAATTTCAGTTAATTTATTTTTAATAGTTTTTTTAATTCCTATCATTGATTATTCTTTTAATTTCCAAATAAATTTGTTCTTCTGTACTGCTTCTTGTCACTGAGACTATTTTACATTTGGAGACAGCTTCAAAATATTGGAGTGCAATTTGTACATCAGAGATTTGACTGGTTGGAGCTTGTTCATCCTTAAAGTATATACACATTTCAAATTCATTAATTTCTTGTTCCGTATTGACAACATCTGCTATTGTTTGTGGATAATTAATTAACATGAAATCTCTGTAATTTGATATTTCCATATATTCTTCGATTTCAACTTTCAATTCTTGCATATTTGGGAAGTTTTTAGTGTTAATGCTAGTTTTTAAATCAATTATTCCAATTTCTATTCAAAACATGCAATACCTACATTTTCATGTTCATATCTGTTGCAATATGTTTGATGGCTTGATGTATTTCAAAATCTTCCTTAGTGTCTGTAATAATACCTATCAATCTTGGCTTTGGAGATGTAGTAGCCTCCATTCCAAATTCTTTAATTTGTTTTAACCGATCCACCAATGCAGGATATGCTTGATTAGGTCTATGTACAATCAATTCATAAATTAATTTTGAGAATAATTCCTTAATTCTATGTGATGCTAAATAATCTTGTGCTTGTTTGATTCTCTCCAAATTTTGTTTTTGTTCCTCCGATGTTGGCAATGAACCATACACCATACCTGCTTTCTCCTTTGATGACATTTTTTTTAAATAAGTTATTGTTGTAGATTAAAAATGGCGGGAAATGATAGTCTTTGATAATAGTAATTAAATAAAGTTCAAACTGGTCATTGACTGCAAAATATTTTCAAAGTTACAAAATTGAAGGATTTATTGAACTAGGCCCAAAATATTTTAATGTGTTCGGATACAGTTCTACAAAGTGGACACTCTTTCTTAGTTTCTACCTTCTTTAATTGATCTACACATTCATGACAACATACACAATGCTTACACTCTAAAAATACAATATTTCTTAATTTTTCATTACAAATAACGCACAACAGGTGATCTTCTTCAATTTCTAATTTTTCTAGTTCACCAAACTTGTCAGATGTTTGTTTTTTCAAATTTTCCAATCCTTTAGTCTTTTTCCAAATATTTAAATGCTTTACATCTACAAAGTGTTGGAATGTATGATCGTGAAGGTGAATAGGGTTTTCAGTTCCGAACTGTTTAAAATTCTCATGGCAATCTTTACATAAACAATAATCCTCACTTGGTGACAATTCAAAACATGTAACACATTGATGAATATTGGTTGATACTGAAGCACTACAACAGTGACATTCCTTTTTTTCCTTGTTTTCAGTACTAGTGGCAGTGCTACTACTAGGAGCTACATTTGAAGAAGATGGTGGTATAATTTTTACAGCAGAGTTCAAAGTTGTGCTTGTAGTCAATGGAGTTTGATTAATGACAGTACTTGTTGTCATTGGATTGCTAGAGATACTACTGCCTACAACACTCGGAAATTGTTGTGGATAGGATGGTGGAGGAGGATTGCTTCTTGGATAGGATGGTGGTGGTTGATAGATATTATTATTCATATTTGACGGATAAGAGCTTGTGATTATTGGTTGTTGAGGATTGTAAGGTCTTGGAGGTTGATAAATCATACTATTTGACATATTATTTGATGTTGTACTAGTAGTGGTTGGTATTGTTGATGAATTAATCATTGGATTATTCGTCAACATGTTATTATTATTTCTTGATGGTGGATTATTTACAATAACTGAAGAGGAAATTGGTTTTGATGAAGTCATCATACTATTATTATTACTAGCAGAAACTCCATGAGTTAGGAATGTATGAAAAGAAGGATGAGAAATTCCCTTTTTCGTATGAAAACAATTCTCGCAATAGTCAAAATTGCCACACGTTGCACAATGATATCTAACTCCAACAATAGGCTCTACAGAACAACCATCACATCGATAACTGGTATGAACAGTTGCTTGTTGTTGTTGAGCAGATCCTGTATTATTATTTGTCGTTGTATTACTCCCATTCACTGATGAAAACATTCTATTACCACCATGATTCACCATAGAGGAGGCTAATGATGGTGAAGATGATGAAAAGTTGAACATTTTTTTTAATGGTGTTGTTTGATGTTCCATGTTACACCATAAAGCAAATGTTCTAAATATAAAATAGAACGTGAGAAGAATTCCTTTGTTTTGTAAACGTGGCAAAATTAATGATGGGTTTCCTTAATGATAAAGGTATTTCAATTTAGAATCTGTTCTTCTGAGAAACAATTTCTTAAATCTTTATTAGCCCATTCAGCAGTAGTTTATTCAGATAAGAATAGTGGAACGTGTTGAACTCCCAAACAGTAGCCAAGAATACAAAGGTACGGTTTTGTTTAAATCTGTTTCTTCAGCTATTATTCTTTGAAAATGCACTCACAGATCAAATGCTTGTGCATATTTTAAGTTACAGGAACCTTAATTTAAGATGGTTTATGACTACGGCCATATCACGATTCATGCACCTCATCCCGTCCGATTTGAGAAGTTAAGCATCGTCGAGCCACATCAGTACTGAGGTTGGAGACAACTTGGGAACCTGTGGTGCTGTAGTCTTTTTATTCTTTCTAATATTGAGCTTTATCGATAAAGTAATCGAGTAAACATACAAGTATTTATCTATCCATCTCTATCATTTGAAAATTTTGGCAAGTTAAAATTGATATCATTCAGATGCGTCGACCGGGAATTGAACCCGGGTCACGGCGATGGCAACGCCGTATTCTACCACTAAACCATCGACGCTTCTTACTAAGGTATTAAGGATTGTTTGGTTCTAGAAATTAAAGTAAATTGCCTTTATAATCTGACAATTGTCAAAGTTGGAGCTTTCCTCACAATATACTGCTTCGGATTCCTCTGTAGCAATGTTTTAGAATACTTAAACCTTGTGTTTGATTTGTCAAATACTTGTTTCAAGTTCTCTGTGAAGATATGATTGTTCCATACTTGTATACCTGCTTAATTGCTCACAATTCTTCAATAATGATATTTGTTTAATAAATATGTTTTGAAAGAGTGATAACAGATTAAAATATCAATATTCCATTCAATGCAAATACAATACAAAATACAAGTAGCTTTATTACAAAAACATTCCAATCAATGCCAACATGACAATTAAAACGCTTCCAAACTTAATACTAACAGCATCACTTGTGGAAGATGCAGATGTATCCTCAGTACCAACACTAGGGTCCCAAATGAAATTGGAAACTTGTTCAGTGAAGGAAACATAAAATCTAACAACCTTTGCACTGGAAATATCAGCAGTAATGGCACCATAAGCCAATGTATTAGTATTTGCAATGGTGGCTGTTGAAGTTGAGGTAGAAACCAAAGTGGCTTTGGAAACAACAGTAGATCCAGTGCTATACTTGGAAACATAGGATTGGAATGAAAAGTATGGCTTTGGAATATTGAAAGTACTTGACAAATTCCAAGAAGAGAGGAAACTAGATTGATCGAATTGGAAAACAATTTGATCAGATGAGGCAGAATCTGGTCTTTCTTCTGAGGTGGTTGCAAATAAATCTCTGAGACTTCTACTGGATGCCTTCTTGGCCAATGATCCACGATAGGCAAGGAGTGTGGAAATTGCCAATTTACCATTTGAATTCAAATAATTAATTCCAGTAAATTCCAAAGATGACTTGTAGGATGATGGAACTAAAACTTGTGAAACTCCTGATCTAGCAACCAATGATGAATCAGAGAATGTAACCTCATTAGTTGTTAAATAGCCAGTGAATTTAACAGTACACAAAGTTCCAACAGATGCACTTGTTGTAACTTGATAAATATAGGCAGATGAAGAAGATGAAATGGAAGTTTTCACAAGAGTTGGAGTTGACCAAGTAAGACCAACCAAAGGATATTCCTTGACAATTGTATCTCCATTTCCTTCTTGATACCCACTAACTCCATCATTGTCCAAATATTCAATTACTTTGTCCACACCGAATGCAGCTCCAACATCAATAGAAATAGTGGTGGACAAGAGAGAGGTAATCTTGATGGAAACTCCAGCACTGGCAACAGCTTTAACCATTGGGATAGTACCAAAAGCAGCATAGAATTTAAGTTGAGTGAAGGTTGACAAGCTTGTTCTGTTAGTTCCCAAATCACAGGTGGCAGCAGAAGTCAAGGAAACTTGTGAACTTGTTGTGGATGTGGTTACATCTCTCTTACATGAGAGATTGTTAGTTTTCAAACTGAAACTGACAGATGATGCAGCACTAACGACTTGGATAATGAGAAGCAGTAATAAACTAGCTCCAATTACAACGTGTTGTTTTGACATTTTTTTTTGAAATGTTCTTTGCAGAGAACATTATGTGCCTTTTGTTCGCTCTCTTAGATCTTGTAAAGTGACGAAAGAAATGAAAATGGCACCTAGATTACTTGATTGAGTTGGTTAGGAAAGTGTTCAATCAGTCACTCAACGGAAGTTTAAGGTTCTAAAAGAGCGAAATTAAGAGTGGACCATTCCAACGTCTCTACATGGGCTTATTGTATCTACTCATTACAATATTCTAGTTCCTTTTGTGAAAATCATGCTGAAATTAATTGCATTCTCAGGTTCCAATTCTATAACTCTTCTTCAACAGTTTAATGATTATTCATCTTGTTTGAGGAGTTTGAGCAACATGATTGAGGAAGTGAAGAGGGATAGAATTTATCATTCATTCCTTATATCAGGAATTTATTGACTAGGATTGTAACTGAATCATTGATATTAAACAAATTCATTGAAGATAATAAGTGTTACCAGAGAGGTTTTGCCATTCTTCATATTTTCAAATTGTTTGGTACAAAAAACTTTGAAAAAATAAATATAAAAAATTCCTTCAAAACTGTGATAATTTTCTAGATGATTAAAATAGATGAAAACATGAAATTTCAGATTTAGGTAGACACAAATGTCTACTTTTATCTATAAAAAATTGAATTATTGAGGTTTAGTATCTATAACCTAAAAAAGTAATTCCTGCGTCGACCGGGAATTGAACCCGGGTCACGGCGATGGCAACGCCGTATTCTACCACTAAACCATCGACGCTTCTTACTAAGTAATGAAATTTTACAAGCACGATACAACCTTATTGGGTTAGAAAATATTAGCTGAAGTAATAAAACTACCACATCATACTAGAGCTAGTATTAGAAGAGTTTCGGCTCTTTCGAAAATGAAATTTTTCTTCAAATATACACATTCATTTTCATGTATAATTTAAAATAGGTTCAAATTCAATTTGGTAGAATTACAATTGAAAAGAAAATTGCTTGTAAAATTTTCCTTATGTTCCTTAAAGAAATTGGACCACCATTAAATAATGATCACGAACATTCTAATGAAACGTAAATTGATTATTATATAATACATAAAATCCAATTCAAAGTCAAGGATATTATACTAGTTATCAAATAATACCCATCTATTGTATAGATAATGGATCAGGTATTAACATGTTCGTAAAAAATTCCTGGTATTCCTTCCTTTTTGTGCAATTCAAAAAGTAGGAACAGACAACTATCATTGTCAAGCCTTTGCTAAATATCTTCTTTAATAAATTAATTTTATTTTTTAAAAAATTCATGAAATTGTGCTGAAGCCTAATAATTGATCGGAAGAATGACAACAAATATACCTTCATCTAATCATCAGAATGGATTGTTGTTGGCGAGGAATAAATTTAGAGAAATGAATAATGATATTTACAGTGTAATCATGTCCTTTATGGATGTGATGAATTCATCATCGTTTTATTCATTCCTCTACCAGAAATATAATGATCAGAGTGATGAATTGTTGAAATTTATATTCCCAGCACTTTATAATTTGAGTAATAATTCTTCATCATCGGATCAGCCAACAAATAATAATACTACTATTAAAGTTAATAGTGAATTGACTGAGATAACATTTATATTACATTGCCTTGGATTAGTGAATCAATTAAAATCAGCAGTTACATTTAATTCACTGCCTCCTTTGGAAGTTTTCCCTAACATTGACTTGTACAAGGAATGTGATAATTTTGTTTCCTTGTTGGAGTTGATTAAAACCGAATATATTTACTATAAGAAAGTTGACCGTCTAAAATTATTTAAATTTGTAATGAATTTAGATTGTTTGGCAAGATATATTGGATATGGGCTTTCACACTTTAATTTAAAAACAAAGTCTTTGAAAGATTCCTATTTTACAACATTTTCAGCTTTACCATTCTTGAAGAAGGTAAAGGAAACTCTTTTAGAAAAGTTTGAACCAATCCAACTTTTTGAAAAGTATCACATACCAATTACTTCACGTGCAATGAAGGAAATTTTGAATCAAATGACCTTTAGATCGAATAAGTATATCAGCTCATTCTATTACTCTACGTATGGTTACTCTCTATGCATGGATATTATAAGAGTTACTGAACATGAAATTATGGAGGAAGATTTTGTCAATACTCTTTCTTATTCATTTAAACTTAATTTTTTGAAGGATTTACATATTTGGGCGGATTTCAGAAAGATAAAGAATGAGAAATTATTTTTTGATCAGCTTTTGAAGCTCATCGCAAATTTGAACAATAATTTGAATTTGCTCTACATAGATATTGACTATTACGAAAATGAAGATCAACTTGTCAAATTAATGGAACTACTCAACTCGGTAAAGAAGAATTTGCACCATTTGACAATATCTACATATACAGAATCAAAAGATATGGATCCTTTCGTTAAAATTTCAAAACTTGACTTTACTCACAATATCAAACACTTGACTCTCATCGATAAGAATAATTTCAACTTGTTGAATAGGCTAATTTTCAAGAATGCTTCCAGTTCTGAAAATTCAAAACTTGAACAGCTAACAATATCAAATATTGACTATTTATACATGTTTTTGAATGCTCATACATCCCTTAAGAGACTTGATTTTTATGGGAATTTGAATTCAACTAATGAGAGCTTTAACGATACAAACCTTATCAAGGAATCATTTATGAACCTCAAGTCCTTAGATACTGTCTTTATAGATGATAGAAATGAAGCATTGGGATACTCTGTTCTTGGAAATATGGGAATTTATATCAATAACATTATCTTCAAATATAGTAAGAATGGATATACACTTTCCTCTCTCATTGAATGCTTTAAAAGAAACGCCAGAAGAGTTGACAAATTAACTATTATTGACAATACTAACTTTGGCACAAATATCCAATTATTGTGTAAGATTGTTTCATCATTTTTGTTTGATAATATTCTGAACCAATTGGTCATACACACAAGACATGTGTCATTGTTGAACGAATTGACCTTCTCAATCCACCACATGTTCTCACCAACTGAGCTCGAATTGAAATATCTTCAGATTATTAAGAAGTTGAATTCTATTGATTTTATTCTATTTATTGGAAAGGCTAATAATCCAAACAATAACTTTACCAACTCGAATTTAAATGTAACCATAACAATAGTTCATAGCATACCAATATCTGGAGAATTTAATATCAAGGATGAAATTATTGATAAAAGAGCAGAAATAGAAAGTGTAATGAGTAATGTCTGTATTTTGGGAAGTAGTGTCCAATTAGATCAGGTTGATATTCACACATTCAGACCACCTTTCAATCATTATTTATTCTATAGATTTTTGCATTCACTCTCATTTTCCAATAATTTAACACTGACTAGATCATCACTTTATCAATTAATGATTGTGAAATAAATTATTTCCATCGTTTAATTTGTGAAATTTCTTTAGAACATATTGGACAGTTCACAATATGCTCACTCGAATCGTTCAATAATGCACTTTGAATACAGTAATAGCAAAATCGATGTTTACAATCCCCATCATGACTTGTGAATGGAATAAGTATTGGGTTACTGTTACAATATGGACATTCATCATTCAGTTTGTCAACATCTACACCGTCCTGACTAGTCAAATTCTTTGCAATAATACTTGCTGTGGAATTTGGTGTACTTTCTCCAAGATGGAAAATTTGTGATTTGATTGTCAAATAGAATTTTCTGTACAAGAATGTAAAAAGCTTTTTGAAATTGATAAGGGGAGCAATAAATAATATTGTCTCTGCTAACCCATTCCAAATTAATTCAGTATTCATGTAATCAAAAGATAATTGTCTTATCATAAACCTAGTGGCATAAACCTTTCTCCAATTAAAAACTCTATCTATTACAGACTTGTACTTTCCCTGGTAGAGGAAAATTACAAAGTTTATAAATTCCAATAATTTGTAATAATATTCAAATTTTTTCAAATAATTAAATGATTCTCTTTTAGATAATCGTTCAAATAAATATGGAATACCTATACAAGAAAGTCCATATATTACTTTCGAAATTGTTGATGGATTTTTTAAATTGACTGTATTATATTTTAAATTCTGTATTCCATCACCAAAAGATTGATTATTATCAAAAATTGAATATTTGTATATAAATATTCTAATAAATAACATTATTTCCGGTTCATAATTTTCAACACTATTAAAATGTTTAAATACTCTTTTAAAATAGCCTTTTAAATAATTTTCAATTTCGAAATCTAATCGATCCGAATCCAATTGATTAACTTTTAAAATTTTAATATCATTCAACATGTTGTGATGATGTAAAGATGATGATCCATTCCTCTGATGACTTAAATATTCTTTCAAATTAAAGTATTGTTCCGATTCTGATTGATTACTTGAAGCATGATCCAAGCCTTCGTTCCCTTCCATCATTGATGAATTCCCATTGTATGATACATTACCATCACGTGCTTCACTAACAGATGGGAATTCATTCTCTTCACTGTTCACAGGAGAGTTTGTTGCAACACCATTATTGTTATTAATAGCAGACAATGTCGATGGTATTGTAGAAGACATGGCTCGAATTATTTTTAAAGAAGTGAATTGATGAAAAGCAAAAGAGAAAATTCTTAAGAAAAAAAAGGCGCAACTTATCTTCAACTTCGACTTTTTCTCTCCAGCACCCAACTAATATTGGCCAACTCCCCAGAGAAGAATAAAAAATGTATCCAGGAGGCAACAACGATCCCAACAATGTTGCTAGGATGGCTCAGCTTTTGAAAAATCCGCAGTATTTATCCATGTTGGCCAACAAGATGAACACTCCTTTTTTGCAAGGCCAGCCAACTTTGATACATCACCCAACGGCTGGCACTACAATTACTCCCAATGCTATGGCATTAATTCAATCAGCTGCTCTTCAACAACAACAACAACAACAGCAGGCTAATATTAATGCAACAACAAATGGAGGAGCTAGAATAATGCCATCAACAGCTAGTATTATTCCTAATGGTAATGGTGGAGTAAATAATAATAATAATGGAGCAGTTAGTAAATGGCATGACGATTTGAGTAGACATACAAGACAGGAATTATTCAATACAATAGTAGAGATTAAAACTGGTAAATCGTTTAATGGTGACAAATCATCTATAGACAGCAATTTGAGCAAATCTATTCTTAATCAAATCAGTAGGATATGGAAACAAACAAATTCTAAAGAACAATTTGCTCATGAGTTATCACAATGGCTTGCAACTGAAAATACAGGTGTTTCTGAAACAGATATTGAAAAGAAATTGTTGGAGCTCATGAACAAACCTGGTCAACAACAAAAACCATCTTCATCTGTGGGGGTTGAAAACTTGTTTGGAATGATGACAACAGCTGCATCATCAATAGGTACAAACAGTTCATTCCCAAATATTACAAATCCCATCAATTCAGCCAAAAACCCAACTGGAGGAACAAATACAACAACAGCCACAAGCACTTCTACTACCACAACAACATCCAACACAAACACTTCCACTACTACTAATACAGCTGTAAATAATACCAATGGTGTAACCACCACTAGTGCACCTCCTGTGCCTAGCACCAATCCAACTAATCCACCCATCAAGAAAATTTCTCCACAAGACATTGAAAAGTATTTAGGATTTGCCGATTTCTTAAAGCAACACGAGGATATGATTAGACAATACATTAGATCAGTTGCTACGCAGCATGCCGATTTAACTAAACGACTCAAAACTTTTTCAGTACTCTCATCTGAGGAACAAAACAAGGTAAAAGCTAGTATGCAAAAGAATCAAATGATTTTAGCAGAATCTAAAGCACTAGATAAGTTACTTTCATTGACTACTAGAGAAGATCGTGTGAAACTTTTGGAAAATTTAACTCAAAAATCCTTTGCATTTGCAGTTCATATTAAGGATGTTATCGAGAAGAAATTAAAACCTGTCAAAACTGATACTGCTCAACCTCCAACTGCTACTGCTCCTCCACCTCCACCTACCACTTCAGCAACAGCCACAAATAATACAAGTAGCACAACCGTTTCTTCAGTATCGTCTACATCCTCAATCAATAACGCTACTGCTGTTCCTGTTACAAATCAACCTAGTGTTACTCCAACTCCAACTCAATCGGCAAATCAACAAACAGCACCTGCTAGCTCATCTAATCCTCCTTCAGCTGTCCCTTCCACAAATCATAAAAAGGAATCTGGTGATGATGGATTTTTCAATTTGAAAAAGATTGGAGAATCTTCTATTATAACATTTAATCAAGATTCCTTTTACTCTGCTTTAGGAGAAATGAATATCAAAAATCTAACACATTCTACTAAGAGAAAACTTATACCTGAGTCTACAGAACATGAAAAAGTTCTAAAGAGAGTCAAAACTCCAATCGACATTTTACAAAACAATTTAACTAATTTAATTGAGTTTGATAATGTAATAGAATTTAAAAATACAATTAATATCAAACTTATCGAAGATGCTAGATACCAACTCGATTTTATAATTAACCCTATTGAAAAAGGAATTTTGAATTTACCAATTTTAACTTTATGTGTAATAGTTAATCATAATGAAATAATACCGTATTCTATATCATTTTCTCAAAACTATGCCAATGAGAAGAATTCTATATTTGTAAATATTAGAAAATATTTTAATAATTTATTGATTGAAAACACAACTAGTTTTATTAATACAAGTGACATGTTGAGCACCCAAAACAACACTTACCACATACAAAGATATAACCTCTCCTTGAATTGTATTTTAAATAGTTGGATTACCTCAATTAATACCGTTGTAAAAAAAGAATTGCAATAATTGTAAATAAACATTGCTATGTACATTCAAATATTAAAATAACTGACTTTTGTATAACGTGCACTATTCGAAACTTGTCTAAAGCTTTTTCAATAGATTTAGTAATAAGGGGTATCATTAATGGAAATAGATATTTGTTTATTACAATTTGGATATCATGTTCAAAAGAAAGATCAATTTATTTGAAATATTTAACAAGTGAATAGCCTAACAAACCTGTTAAACCAACACCTAATAATGCAGAACCAATCATTTTGCCATAATATTGAACTGGGTGATGATGCTTATAGTCAATGTCATATATTCCAAACCAATTCTCAACCTTGTTAACAACAGAGTTGAAATCCTTCCTTGTTCCAATAACTTGAATATCAAACCTATGTTCGAAACCAATCTTTTCATAAATTGGTCTGCCATCCATTGTTGCATGCAATACACAATATTTGTAATTATTGAGTAGAGCAATTTCTAAAAGTAGAGTAACCACCAATGAAGCAAAGCCCTGACCCTGATAATCTGGTCTTGTTGTAATGGAAAATAATGAGGATATTTCCCTTCCCTTAATGAGTTGACCACATGCAACAACTCTTCCATCCTTTTTAACAATGACCCATTCATAAACTTCTGATTTCAACACATATTGAGCATATAATTGACTTGCATCTTTTGGTAATTCTTCACCATAGAATGCTTCATAGTAAGTTTCTGCAATTTCAACTGCTTCTTCAGAAGTACTCAAAGTTTTAATTACAAAGTCCTTTCCTTGAGCTAGAATAACTCCAGATTCATGTTGAACTTTTTGTAAACTTTCCTCAATAAATCCAAACTCATTTTTCAACTTTTCCAATATTTTCTCTCTCAATTTCCTACTCTCCATCAAATCACAAATCATTCCAGTACTAACTTCAATCCAACTAATTGGCATCTTGTCAAAAATTGTTTTTTGCAATCTATCAAACTTTTGTGTCCTATTTTTCGAATCATACATTGGAATAAATAAATAAACAGGTACACCATCCGATTGTTCCCGAACAGTTTCCATAAATTGTAAGCTATTTTCACTCCTGGTAACATAGAAAAGTTCAGGTGCTGGCAATTTTTTCAGTATTTCCTTCTTAAATCCTGGCATGCTTGTATTCTCATTCTCATACAGGTCAAAAACAGAGGGAAAACCTTTAACAAGTGCTGTGTTATAATCAAAGAGTCCATCAATGATGAGTTTGTTCATTTTTTTTGTGGAAGTAAAAGAAAATTCATTATTTTTTCACACAACAAAGAATTAAATAATTATTGAGAGAAAATTGTAGATTATTGAATGAATTTATTGTCAATAAATTCGAAAGAAAGTAAATTGGTAATGACAAGGTTGGATAATTTAGATAATGATATCAAACTCTACTTTTGAAAAAAAGATTTCACATGATGAACTTTACACACCATGATTTCACCTCAACTCTTATTACACTTAAATCAATTTGACCAACATCAATCAATTGTCAACTATTTGATAGCCAAATAACAATAAAAAAAATGAGTGAACAAACAACACCACAAATTTCCAACAGAAGAAGAAGAAAGCAACAACAAGAAGATGCAGCAATCACTACACCATCTTCACCTCAACACACACCAGTTGACACACCATCCTCACCAATCAATGCCTCCAACATTCCAACACAAGTCGAACAAAAAGATATCAAAAAACTCTGTGAAGAATTACAAAATAACAATCCACTGATTACCACTGTTGATTTGAGTCATCAAATTCTCTCAGTGAATGATATTGCTCTCCTATTGGATGCTCTAACAAAGAATCACTATGTAGTAACTGTGGATATGACTGCATGTGGTATTATTGATCAGGCTGCTGAGTTTATTGGTGAATTTATTGGTATGAATCATAAGAGTATTAGACATTTGTATTTGGATTTGAATCCATTCTCTGATGAAAATGCAATTCTCTCAATTTTGGATGGTTTACAGGAAAATCATCAAATTGTGGATATGACTTTGAATGAAAGTCTTTTACCTCAAGAACATTTAGATGAAATGGATAGATACTTGTTACGTAATGATGATAGTAATACTACTCTCTTAATATTTTACAAAATATTGATGATTAAAATGATAGGAAATTAATTTCCTTTTTTTAATTATTATTGTCTCTTGTCAATTTACAACAACAACTCGACGATCTTCCTATTTGATGATGCTTGTGAATGTTGTTTAATAGTCAATAATAACACGATTAAATATTTTTGTAAATTTTAAATAACACAAAAACTTTTGTTTCTCTCAAAATAAAATTTAAGCAAAAAAAATACATCAAAGGCTTTTTCCTTGCCGTTTAAAACTGATTACAAGCGTTTGAGTTTACAAGTATATAAATAATTTAAATCCACCAAATAATTAACAACCTTAAACATTCATCGGATCAGAGAGATGGAGTTTCTCAAAAGAAAGTTTGATGCTCTTGCTGATTATTTTGATGAATGGAAATTTAGAATATTATTCTTTTTTGATGAGGATATTTATGATTACCTTTCAGAAAATGTCTTGTTTTTAATTTTTATATTATTACCAAATATTTTGGTATTAGTGTGTACTTTTAATATTTGGCCATTCAAGCCAATGTATACATTTATATTATTATTTTTATTTAGTGTATATAATAGTATTGTCTTTTTTGAAAGAAAGAGGACTTATCAAATATTTAATTCAAATATTAATGAATTGGATAATCTCTATTCTATTAATAAGAAGGATGAAACTAATTTTACTCGTGGTAATTTTTTTAATGAGAGGCCAAGACCTGGAATTCCAAATTTCAGAAAATCTGTACATCCCTTACTTGGTGCTCGATATGAAAAGGAACACCAAAAACCATTTATTCTTATTAGATTATTTAAAATGATTTTGGGAATTTTGGAAATTGTCTTTCATTTTCTAACTGTTGGAGCTCTCAGAAACAAACGTGTGAGGAAGAGCAGATTATTTAAGGAGAGGGAAAAGGTCAATAGAATGACCTACTCAGAAAAGAAGAGACAGGAGGAAATTGATAATAGACCTGCCAATATGACTACATATTATGACGATATGGTAAGTTGTCTCAAGAAATTTACAATAACCAATTCAATTAAGGGACCCAAAATTGAGCCACAAGCCTCTGCACCTACTCATGAATCTGAAAATAATATCTATGAAATTGAAATGTGGGAATACTCTCAGTATGACAGAGTGTTGGTGACCTACTTTTCTCCAATTCAAGTCTTGTTCATGTTTGCCATTTACTGTTTTGTAACTGGTAATTCCTCTACTATTATACTTACAAAAGCTGTACTTGTTCTATGTGTATATGTACAGTCTATTTTCTTAGATAGAATTATGATTAATTTGGAAAAGAAAGAATCTGATAAGAAAATTATTTATGCTCAAGCTCAAAAAGAACAAATTGAGTTTAATAACAGATTTAATCAGGTCAAGAATCAATATTTGACCAATATTATTAGGGAAAATAATATAAATATATCATTACCAACTGATTACCATCCATTACATATTGTTGGTAATTCTATATTAAGCAATTCTAACAATGGAAATAATACAGATGAAATTATTGAAGAGGATGAAATAATTATAGAAGATAGAAATCCAAATCAAAACAAACAAGCACACCAAACCACTAGGAGAGAAGAAATAAGGACAGATAGATTTCTGGTACCATCATCCTCAAGGCAATCAAATTCAAATCCAACCAACTCAACCACTAACAAGATGCAACTAATTGTCAATCCCAGCGAAACCTCAATTTTTGAGTCAAGAAATGAGCATAGCAGAGTAAGGGAAGAAATAAGGCAACAAAACCTCCTAGATATGGATTTGGATGAAAGTAGAAGAAACGATAATAGAAAACAACCAACTGTAAGTTCATCCACAACTTCATCATCAGTTGATGAGGAAAACCAAAAAAAAAGAAAAGAAAATGAAGGAAATATCTTCCAAAAACACACCAGAAAAAAGGTAAAGCATGATTAAAATAATTCAAAATGATTAATTTGTTACAATATTTTGATACTTTTTCAATTCAGTATGCTTAGGTTTGTATAAAACAACAGTACAAAACTTGTCCTTGTATCTTTGAGTGACACCAACCTTATTCATGTTATCTCTTTCAGCAAAGTAAGCATGGTTAACAGTGACGTGAAGTGGAATTGGTAAAAGACCTGGATCATAGTGGAATCTCTTGCTACTATTTAATGGAGTGTAACGCAAGTGAGGAGGTAAAATTGGTGGGTTTTTCTTATTTTCTGGGAAGATTTCTTCTTGATATCCATATACATTACTATATTGTTTGGCTTCGCCATCCTTAGCTTCAGTTTTTTCATTTTCCTTTGTGTGATGAGCTGTTGTAGTGTGTGGTTGATGATGTGGTTGTTTTACAGTTGGAGAAACCTCATGAGTTGGAGAAGTATGAGATTGATGATGTGGTTGTTGTTGACCTCCGTAGGCACCAACACCAACTGGTTGTGGAACACTAGTGGTGGCTCTTCTTGGTGGAGAAGAAGCAGGAACACCAACGTGAGATTTAATTTCATGTTGTCTATTATTTCCTCCAATAACAATTGGTGATGAAGTTGTGTGATGATGATTTGATGACGATGATGAATTTGATGAAACATCTTCTTCATCTTCCTCTTCTTCTTCTACTTCCTCACTTTCTTCATCAGCTGTTATTTCAACAACATTACTCAAATAGCCATGTTCATCCTTCTCAGTAGGTGAATTCAAATCAGTTGTATATTCTCCATCAACAATAAACTATTTTCATCAATAAATATTAAAATCATCACCATATCGGTTATAAATAATAATTCCAATTAATAAAACACATACTCTATAAAAGTGTTTTCCAACAGAAACGTTCAAAATAACAACGAAAGCCTCTTCTTCGCTATTGTAGGACATTGGTATCTTTTCAGACCAATTATTAAAGCTACCAATAATATAAACTTTTCTTCCTCCGTATGGCCAACGAAACATTGTTGGTACTTTGGTTTCATTAAAAGCAGCTGGCACATAATTATCATAATATTTATCATCCTTTGGAGTTTGAGCATGAGGAGAGTGGGCTCCACCAGATGGTGTTGCTGGATTTTTACTTCCGGTCACACCCATTTTCACTATTAAAATTGATCATCATTAATAATAATTATATTATCCAATATATAATATACATATCATATAACACCATCATCATCAACAATCAAAATTTTCAATACATAAAACAATCAGAAAACAACGTACATTAAAGTATTTTGGTGGTGGAGGATATTTTTTTAGAGTTAGAAGGAAAATAAAAATAGCCTTCAAAAGAAAAAACAAGCAAATTGGGTTATTTTGAATAACCAAGTTGAAAATATCCGAAATTGGGTTAAAGAATAAAATTCACATTGAAAAAATGTTTATACAGTTGATAAACCCATTAATTTTCTCAATTCTTCATAGAGAGGAAGTGTAAGTAAGCAATGAGATCCAATTCTAATATAATTTGGTACAAATCCACTTGCAAAAGCTCTCACTCCATTGTTTTTCAAAGTTTTAACAGTACAATCAATTAGACCTGTATATTCAGTCTTGGATGCCATCAATCTGGTTTTGATAACATCAGCTGGATTAGTTGTAATGGTACTCAAAAGACCAGCAACAAGAGAAGCTGTCACGTGAGTATAGATATTATCTTGGAAGTAATCAGTTTTGAGAAGTAAATGTTTCACATGATCATAGGTCGATAATTGAGTTGCAGTTAAAATTGAGGCACGTAAAACATTTGGTGTTGATCCTCTGAAAAGTCCCATAATACCACCTTCGTATTTGGTAATATTATTTACAATTTTAACCCAATTATCAGGTCTTTGTTGAGTAGCAGTTTTAACAAATCCTTGCTATTTAATTATTTAATACAAAAATTCAATAATAATTATTAATATATAATTATTCAGTTTTTTGTATTTTTAGATTATTAAAATTCAGTTATTAAATAAGATTAAGGTTTCTTGAAATACATACCTGACGAATTTTAACTAAATCACATCCATTACTAACAATACTTCCCAACGAACCTGAAATAGCTCCAGATAATATTTTAGTTGTCAATCCAACATCTCCACTAACAGTTTGTCCATTATGAACAATATTAGAAATGACACTTTTCAATGGATCATACATTCCCATTCTTACAGAGCTATAAAACTGCTCTCTCACAACAGCAGCAAATAATCCTCTTCCCACAAGTATTCCAAATCCCTCCTCCTTATACAAATTATAATATGACTTGGTGAATGATAATTTTTGATGTGTTAATTGGAGACGTGTTTTAACATGATCTGGAGAATTCATCAATCCAGATACGATACCTGCCGATATACCTCCTTTTGACAGAATTACAATTTGGCCATTTGATAAAACTTACCTGCAACAAACTTGAGCACAGTCTTGTAAATAGATTTGTTCTCTTCCAATCTCTTTTCATATTGCAAATGTTCATAATTTATCTTGTCATCATGATGTTCGGAAGTTAACAATGACGATGATTCGGTTGTTGGAGCAACTAGAGAGAATTGAACATCAGCAGTTGTTGTTTGTTTATTATTGCCAACGATATCGGAAGTGGACTTATTGAGCGACATTTTTTTTCACACTTTAAAAACCCTCCCTGCAGATTTGATTGTATCGACTTTACTCTTAATTCTTCCTTTCAAGTGGTACTGTAGTGAAGATTCTTAACTGAACGATAATTTACAATGTAAAGTTTATTAAATAATATTTATAATTCATCACGATGGATGGTTGTGTTCGATTGGTTGGATTGACTTTGGTCAGAGAGATGAAGATTTCGAATGATTTGACTCAAATCCTTAATTTCCTCATCAGAAACAAAGTGACCAACACCATTGTAGATTTTAGTTTTCATATTTTCAACCTTGACTTGGGTTTTCAAGTATTCAAAACCAATATTAGCAAAATCAAACTTGATAACAGGATCTGAATCTCCATGCAAAATATGAATTGGAATAAATCTATTACTATTCTTGAATGTTTCATCATCCTTGTAGAGAGTAACAAATCCAGAGGTAGAAATTATACCTCCCAACTTGTATTTACTTCTCAATCCAACTAAAATACTCATAGAACCTTAATGAATCGAATGTGAGATGACAATGTTGAATTGAAACAACATGCATAATTTAGAAAACTCACCTCCTTGTGAAAAACCACCAACAATGATTCTATTTGGTTGAATATTGTTGTCACTGATTTGTAATTGAATAATTTCATCAATTAAATTCTTTGATTCTAAAATTCCATCCCTATCCCAATCAGTAGAGCCAATCTTTTTCACATTGAACCATGCATTCATCTTTTGATTATTTACAGTTATGGTTCTAACGGGAGCATTTGGAATAATTGCCAACATGGAAGGAGGTAAAATGTTCTTAAATAAATTGGAAAATCCTCGATAATTATCACCCAGTCCATGCATCCATATCAATACCGAGTCCACCTTGTTATTGTTTGGTGTTAAAATTGCACAATTTAATTTTCCAATTGTGGAGTGTGAAATTGTATGTTGGAGGGACATTTCTATCAAAAACGAGAAAATGAATAGGAGAATGAAACTTTGTCTTGTGTTCATTGTTTTTTAAAAATTCAACCATTAAATGTTCTCTTAAATATTAACAGGTAAGTAAACTAATTTGTACGCACTCAACGTGGTCTGTCGGATTCTATTTACATGTTAAGGAAAACCATTCTTTTTGAAGAACTCAACTATGTTTGGATTTAAATTCATGATGGTTCTATGTGTACTGGTTATGAATCTAAATGAAGGTAATTGGCGAATAACTCTATATTTCCATCTTGACTTTCAATATCACACAAGGAAATCAATAAAATTGATTTTGTAAGAACTGGTGAACTATCATACGGTTGTTTGTAGAAAACATTTGGAATATATTGTCTGAGGTGATATGGCCAGTCATTGTATAAAAAGTCATATTCAAAGTACATGACATTACTCTTAAACTTGTTATCTTCAGAAACTGGTGAATTGATATAATGTCCAATATTTAAATGGTTTAAAATTGAGTATTGCTTTCTAATTTTCCAATAATTTTCAACATTTCCATCATCGTGAATATATTTGAAATTTAACCAGCTTGAATCACATTGCTTAATGTATTGTCCATTTGAAAGAATGATATTATCTCTATTAGCATATGATTTAAAATAAATTTTTGATATAAATCTATCATTTCCATCCACTCTACAATAATCAGATCTTTGATTAATAAACATATTTCCAATAGATTGAAAGAATATTGGATCACTAAAATCGTATACTAATCCAGGATATAGACAAAGAACTTGTCCTTTCTTCACACTTCCTTTCAGAAATATGCCATCTCCTTTAATATTTTCCAAACTTGTCTCCTTTTTCAATAACATGAATTGGCTATTTGTATCTATTAACTCCTTTCTTTCATGATAATCATGAATTGATTTAAAATAATTTAATAATTGATTTGTTATGTAATCATGAGAGAGGCAAGCCTTGTAATTTTCATCCTTGGTCAATAATTCATTTCGGAATGGATCTTCGCCTGTTTGAATATTTGTGAGTTTAAATCTTTTCTGATGATTATCACAAATAATATTAACAATTTTACTTGATAAATTCCGATGATGAAGAGATTGGATGAAAGGGCTTTGAAGTTTCTTCATTTTTTTAAAGTTTATTTACAATTTATCTTCTGTATTCACGTTGTCTTTCTAATTCGACATCAATGAGAGGAGTGTACTTCTTTCTCAATGTTTGAACCTTTTCGTGTGTAATCTTTGAGAAACCGAATGCTGTCTTCATAATCTTTTGACAATCAAATTGAGTTTTAACAATATCTTGCATTGTTAACATAATTTCAGAAACATCTGTGGTCTTTAAGAGAGCATCTTGATTCAATTTGAGAATGGCCAAAACAGTTCTGAACATCATTTGACTTCCATAACATAAGAATGCATCCCAGAATCTCAAAGTTGTTTCAATTGGGAAATCCACAGTAAATAGTTTCATAAAGAAGGACATTGTGAAAGTGGAAATCTCAAAATCTATTGACTTGAAGTGGCAAGCTAACTTGTACAAATTTACACTCAATAATTCATCAAATACCATGGCATCAACAAGTACACCCTTCAGCTCTGGTGAGTAATAGTTGGCAGGTAAATAATCTTCCAAAATTGCAACAAACAACCAGAAAACTTCTTCCTCTGACAAGTGGAGTAACATTAAGCCAGCAATATAATTGAAGCTTTGAGAGTAGGAGACGAGAGGATTTCTCCAACAGTAAGCAATTAAAACTCTTCTCAAAGCAGCTTGAACCTTTTCGTCATTGTTAAAGTATGGGTGTTGAACATAGGTTCTCTTCAAGTCCTTTTCAATTTGGTCTAACCATGGTGTCTTATTCTTGTTTCCATGAACGGAAAGAATCTTCTTGTAGTAGCCAGTGTTTTCATTTAGTTTTTGTTGAGCTCCACTGATTTCCATCCAAATTCTAGGTCTAAATATTGGACTGATACCATATTTCTTAATGAGATTCTTAATTCCGCTTGGATTTGAAAGCATTTCATTGATATTCTTCTTGGTCCATTCCTTTTCAAGCTTTTTAGATTTTGAAGTGTAGGATTTCTTCCATTGTTGATAGAGTTTGTATTCGTTGAGATTTTGTGGTTCTGGGAATCCCAAATTATCCATGACAAAATATTTTCTATTTTGTGAAAGCAGATTACCAGCAAGCATTTGGCTGAATTGTTCAAGCTTTTCCAATTCAGTAAACTTATCAAGACAATGGTCCGAAATAGCTTGCATTTGATCGTAGGCTTCATGTAAACATTTTTGATCAGGATAGGTTGAATCTGATAATTTGAATGCCATTTCTTGCAGCCAGTTACCATAGAATTGTACTCTTTCGATTGGAATCTTTGACAAGACATCTGACAATTTGATTATAGATTTTCCTGCTCTGAAGGTAACAGAACCATTACTGAAAATAGTGCTTCCAATACCCAAAGGTGTACCCATTGGTCCACCTCCTGAAAGATTAATACTAAGTCTATTACTGCTTGAAGATGATACTGATTGTGAGGCGCCTGCATAAACACTGAGTCCTCTGGTTCTTGCAGAGTTTTGAGTAATTGGGTTGTATTTGTAATTTTCCTTTTGATATTCAGAAATGGCTTCAACCAATTCTGGGAGGACAGTCTTATCATAGTAAGAACTGTATGCAGTATTCTTGCTTTCAATCTCAGCAAGGGTTTGTAAAAGTCTTTCTAAATTGTTAGAGTATGTCTTGTACAATCTCATAGTTGGTACTCTCTTCAAAATTAATCTACCAATTTGAATTTCATCAATCTTCTTTGGATCATCATTGCATGTTGTGTAAACATTTTCTAATTCTGTAAACAAGTCCTTGTTTATCATTCTGATACAATCAAAATCACTAAATATCTCGCTATGTTCTTGCTTTCCAATGTATTGTTTGATGTTTTCATTGGTAACTAAGTATTTGTCAATAATTTCCAAAATACTCAAGTATAGTTTTTCAGATTGGTAAAAGTTAGTTATCTTTTCAACACGACGATCCAAAGTAATTTCTCCATTAGGTTTCTTTGGAGTAAGTGGCTGTCTTGGAGTACTGTTTGGAGTTTCAGTTTTCTTTTCTGCCGTTGAAACACTCAAATCATCCATATCGTCCAAGTAATCATGAGATTGAACTCCAATATTTGCCAAAATATCCATATCATCTCTATTTTCATCCACCATTACATCAGAATCAGAGTCAGAATCGTTTTGAGCTTGAGTGACCTCGATAAATGTTGAAGCTTCGAAGGCACTTGGTGTTGTGTCATCGAGTTGTGAATCTGAATCTGAGTCCACTCCTGTGAATTCACTCACAACATCTACTCCCAAAGAAGGTGAAGATTTGTTAAGGAAATCGTTTGCAGTCTTTGGAGTGATTGCCTGTTCAGGTTCTTGTGTGTGAAGATTGAGAGATGGAATATGAACCTTTTCGTGTGTGGCAGGAGATGGAAGTTTTGCTTGTTCCTTTGGTGTTTCTACCACAACTTTCTTTGGTTCTGGTATTGGTTCAACATTTTTGATAATAGGTTTAACTATTTCAGGTTTCTTTTCTACAATAGGTTCAGGTTTAACTTGCTCTGGTTCCTTAATCTTTACTTCCTCAACTTCTTCTGTTGGTTTCACAGTTGGGGTTGCTTTTTGGACTGGAACTTGTTTAGGAGTTGAAGGTTTTTCTTCAACATATTTCATTGTGGATTCAATAATCGCTGGTTCTCCCTTTGAAATAGTGACAACTGGCTTCTTTTTCTCAATTGTTGGTTTCACAGTAGATTCAGTTTTGATAACAGAGGAGAATTTTCTCTCCTTAACTGGAGAGGATAGGTTTTCAGTGTCCTGCTTTTGAACATGAACTGCTGCTGCCTTCTTGAACTTGTCTGTTGGAATGACAACTTCCTTCTTTTCCTCTTTTGCTGGAGTTTTAACAGGTTCAATAACTACAACAGCAGGTTCTGGTTCTTTCTTTGGAGATACAAGTGGCTCTGAAGCATTGAACCCCTGAATTATGGAATCTTCCTCTCCAGAAATACTTCCCCAATGTCTCAAAATGTTTCTTACTTGTGCACTTTGTTCTCTTGTTGGTCGAGAGCTGGATGGTGTTTGAGGAGGTTGGTAGACAGGTTTTTCAGGAGTCTTTACTTCAGGTAAGTCATTGTTAACCTCCTCAACCTGAACGCTTAAGCTTTGTCTTTCAAAAGCCATAACTTCCTCTTCATCAGTTGAAGAATTTGTTGATTTGACTTCGTCATCTTCATCATCTGATGAAATATCTGATAGAACTTCCTCTTCCTTTTTTCTTAATTGAGATTCTACCAATTCTTCCAAATTAGTTTCAGGAAGGAGATGAACAAGAGGTTTCAAACCACCAACTTCTTCGATTCTCTTAAGATTCTCATCTTGGAGCATTAAATTCCACAATGTATGGGCAGCCTTCTTCTTAACATTATTAACATCAACAATTGGTGATTCTGATGTCTCAATATCCTCCTTAACGGGATCAATGGATACAATAGAAACCAATGACTCGATACCACCTTCTTCACGGATACTATTTGAAGATTCGTCATCAATAGCCATATTTGTAAGAATATTTGATGCTTTTTCAGCAATTTTCAATTCTTGAAGTGATTTGTAGCTCTTCAAAAATTGAATAACAATAGGAATACCTCTCAATTCATAGATTTGCTTTCTATTTTCCTTTACAATTGACAAATTGTTTAACAATGTTAAAACGTTTTCCAAAGTTGTAAAATTATCACTTTCACTAATTGGATAAAGTTGTAACGAGTTGAGCAAAGATGGTATGAGATTTGAATTACTACCCATAATCAACGCATTCTCTTCATCTAGAGAAAGTGAGGCCATGGCACCTGTCACTTTATAGACAACATCTCTATACATTTTCATATTCTTAGATGACAACTTGAGAGCAGTCAAAATAATACTGCAAAGAATTTCTAAACCTTTCTGTTCTCTTATTTTGTCTCTAACTTCGCGACTATTTCCAGCCATATTCCATAGAATACCACTGGATGTTTTCACTTGTTCAATATCGTTAATTTTGATAGAACTTGCGGATTGTTTGATTTCTGTGAGTAATTTTTGGATCATTTCACTACTTTCGAATAAATTGTCATTGACAGGAGTATTATTAGTGGAAGGAGTATTGTTATTGCCAGACTTTTCATTTCTTGGAGATAAAATAAGTTTAGATGAAAGAATCTGAATGATATGTGAAGTATTTCTCTTCACATTCGCAAATTTAGAATTAGATAATATGATTAACTTTTCCACTAGGATCTTTGTGTCAATAGTATTTTGATTCAAATTTGGAATCATGACAAATCTTTTAACATTTTCAATCAATAATAAATTCCACAAGCAGGCAGTCACACCTTCAATTATTTCCTGTGGGTGATCTTCTTCACTACCTGCATTGATTTTACAAATCAATGAACAGAGGAAAGTAACTCCACCTAATTTCATAACCTGTTCACCAATTGTACTTTCTAAACAAAGAGATGAGAGTGCAATTAGTAAATTATAAATAGTTGTTACATTCTGCTCGTCAACTAATCCACTAGAAACTAATTCTTCTAATGTCTTTATCATATTATTCAAATATTCATTGACTTTTCCTAATCCAACAAAGTATTCTCTATTCTTTTCATCAATAAATGTATTCAAAAAAGTACAAGTAATGTTTTCCAATACGGAAATATCTTCTTGATGTTCTGGCTTCATTCTTTCACACAAACTTTCAATGAGTGTGTGCTTTCTCATGACGGAACCACATTGCTCAATTGCAGAAATGTTACACAAGGTAGCAACAGCTCTCTTTCTTGTTGTTGCATCAGAACTTGCTATTAAATTTGTAATATTTGCAAATCCATTATGTTTTTCTAACTCCTTGACATCATTTTCTATAAATTTCAAATATTCGATACAAGAAGAATCAATAATATTCAACAACAAATTGGTGATTAATTATTACTATTTAATCATAATATCCACATACCTTCTTTAATTAATTTTTGAAACATGCCAGCAATCTGTGATCGTTTCTTATGATCATCCGAAGGTGTTGTACCTTCCAAGCTACACAACTTTTCAATATTCATCTCCTATCCTAATCTAATGGAAACTTGTCAAAGTTGCTTGGGTCAAAGAGAGAAAAAAAGATTTGCTTCGTTTTTTTTAAATGTCTACTTTCGTTCGGGCTATCTTGCGTCACTGGAAACCAACAAACATCATCAAATGATTCGTAGTTGAGCAATATTTGTTTTTGGTAATTTAGGAGGAGTGGAAAGGAAATGGTAATTAACTTCGGTTTGTGTATCGTTTTCTGATGCAGGCTAGTACCACTCTTCATCGATCTATCACTGCAAGGCTATAAATGATATTTCACCAACGTTGGCAGAACATCAACACATATTAATATCACATCTTTTATGAGTGCTGTAATCATCAGTGATGATTTTAAAAGAGTTGTGCGTTGATCTATGAAGGTAAATGAACAATTTTTACTTCCTTAATTTAATTGTGGTCCTATTATCAATGCAAATGTAACTTAATTGCTTGTAGGGGAATTCCTTGTTATTGTTGTTCAATTTTTATAAAAAATAAAATTTAAGAAAAATTATTTATTGAATTTCAAAAAAATGCCAAGCACCGTTGCTTCCATCGCTTCTGCTGGCGGAAAGTCATCAACAAACAATAACAATAATTTTAAAATGGATTTAATGGATCTTTTGGATAGGTCTCAACAATTGTTACCGGTTGTTGATAATTTTATTCAAAAAGATTTGGAATCTATTCATGAACAATCTAAAAAATTAATTCAAAAAACAGCAAGAGGAGATGTTCAATCAAAAGGAGATTATTTGCTTGCTGCTCACGGATTTGATGTGGAAAAGTATAGAAGAACAGTTAGTAGATTAGATCTTAAACAAGCCTTTGAACCTTTGGAACCTATCGGAGAAACAGATATTGAAGGTTATTTAAAACACGAACACGATATGATTCTTCTCTCTTCTGTAGAAGAATCTAAAAGACATACTAGTAGTTGTTTTTATAAGAACTTTAATGATCACTTGGAGGATGATTGGAAATCAGCTAAAGAAAGCTTGATGAAAACTTTGAACTTACACAAAGCTTACCAAAGTCAACAATTTAGACCATCTCTTGGTTTGAATGACTCTGTCAGAAAACCATCTAAGTATTCATCATTCATTGTTTCATCAGGAAATTCTACACCATTCTCGTCTCCTATTAATCAAAATACAACTCTTATGGCTCCAACTCCAAAGAGAGGTAAGACTACAATGGACGAAAGAATGATTGCCTATAGCACTGTTGTTTATAATATTAACAAGACTATGAAGGCAGACCAAACTACTAGAATTATTGATCAATTCTCTGAAGCTGCCAAATATATTGAAGAATCAGTAGCAAGGAAGAGAGAAGTTACAGAATGTTGGAGGTTATTGAGTTTCATGATCAATGAAAATAATGTTCATGGTGAAATCTCACAAAAGGACCTTTTACGAGGAGCTAAAGAATATATGGAAACTTCCTATGTTCAATATATTAAAGATTTATTAGGTATTGAAGGAGAAGTTCCTGATAAATTGAAGCTCATTGAACAATTTGTTGCTGAAACAACTAAGAATATTTTACCGGAACACCTCGGAGAATCTATTAATGGAAATTATATTTGGCCAGTATTATTTTATTGTTTAAGATGTGGTTTCATAGAAGAAGCTCTTAGATTCACCAATGACCATATTGCCTATTTCTCTCAAGTCATTATTAGTGCTTTGGAAAATAAGAAGGAAGCTCAAACTTCTAGCTCTTCAAGCTTGGAACAACAATTGCACGAATTATATAGAAAGATACCACCAAATAGATTATTCCAACATGCTGTATACTTGGTTTTGGGTAGATGTGACGTGAAGAAGACCATTCCACAGATTTTCTCTAAAACTGAAGACTTTATGTGGTTGAAACTTTCCATAATAAGAGACGATTCAAATTATACATTACAAGATTTACAAAAGATTGTTACATCACATGGACCAAAACATTTCTGTCCAAAGAAGAACTCTCTACTCTACTTTAAGCTTTTGTTATGTACTTTGCAATTTGAAAGAGCCATTCAATATCTCTGTAGTCGTCAAAGTGAAGGATATCACGTTGAAGCTGTTCACTTTGCATTCACCCTTTACTTCTACGATCTCCTTAACGTTTCCGAAGACACTAGTGCTCCTCTTTTGACAGAGAAGGATGGTTGTCAACTTAACTTCCACTTCTTAATCAAAGATTACATAAGAATATTCGCCCATACTGACCCATGTATTGCTGCTTCATACTTTTACATTTTCTATAAGAGAGATGAAAAGAAGAAATACTTCAAGTCTATCAAGGAATTGATAATTGAAGGAAAGGATGTATCTGTACTTTTGGGTCATGTAGATATTGATGGAAAATTGAAGAATGGATTTTTACACTACTTCTTAGATTCTTTTGATTTCCTGGAATTGGCCGAGTCATGTGCTCAATTATACAATGAAGCAGGTAGATATAGAGATTCAGTAGATATTTATTCAATGGCTTTATTATATAACTTTAGTTTAATGCCAGATCTTTCTGTTGATACACCAAATCGTTTGAAGAAATATATTCATTCTATTCTTGCCATTATGATTGATGAATTGAGTCAAGTATTGACCGGAGGTGAAAATAGAGAAGAAGTTAAGCAACTTGCCTCTAAAGTCTTTAAAAACTTTACTGATAACAAGATTCTTCAAATTATTGAACAAAGCAACAAGAAGAACTTTGAAACTTTCAAGATGCTTCTCAGTCTTACAAAAGTATTTGACAGCTTCTTGAATAGAAATTACGATCGTACTCTTGCAGATTTACAACAACTTCAAATTGTTCCATTCAAAAAGCAAGAATTGGAGAGTATTTCATTAAGACAACTCGATAAGAAAATACAGAAGAAACTACCAGATATCTTATTTGTAGCTATGTGTACTCTTTGCCATTTACATTCTTCATCCAGATCTCACTCTCAAAATGAAATCAAGGATATGGCCTCGAATGTAATGTCATTTGCTGGTCTTAATGAAGAATTGGTTAGCAGTGATGTAACTACTCAACTCTTGCAATTCGTAAATAGAATGAAGTAAAAATAATTTTATTTACTTATCCTTTAATTTCTTTTGGTACAAAACATTGGATGTCTCATCCAATGTTTCGTGTTGGTCTCGTTTTCTTTTTACATTTTCTGAATCTTCTTCAATGTTATTTACATCTTGATTGGAAATATTGTTAGTGTTGATTGTGTAGTTTGGTGGTATTGCCAAGTAAGGGAATTGATTTGTGTAAAAATAATATTGTGGTATCATTTGTGGTGGATATGTAATAAAAGATGCTTGTGTTGTGTCTATTGAGCTATTACCTTGATTTGTAAGTGTGTTTGTTAACACACCTGATGGATTTGGTTGAGTAGTTGTGTATATTTGTTGTGATGGTTGTGTCAAGGCCCACTGAGCATACGGAAAAACAGTTGGGAATGTTGTAGCATTGGAAGTGGTAGTGTTTTGTGAAGTATTATAAATACCAGTTGTAATATTACTAGAAGTGGTTGAGGTAAGTGCATTTGGTGGAATGGCCATAGCAACCATTCCATTTGGTAAAACAGTTGTTATAGAAGAAGGTGGTGTAGATGTGTGAAGTTGATGATGTGGGGAAAGTGTTGGTGTGTTTAAATTAAGTTGATTGAGTTGATGGTGTAGTGGAGATGGTGGTGCTGATGTATTATTTCCCATTATCATCATTAACTTGTTTTTGGAATATCCAATAGGTGATTTTGAAGGGCTTACTTTGATTTGTTTGACACTTCCTGCAATTGTACATCCACTTAATCTTAAAGCTCTCAAAGTACTTTGCTTATCTTCGAATTCAATAAAACAAAATCTTGTTTCGTATGATTCTGTATCTCCAGCCATAGCAATTCTGTGAATGGCTCCACATAATTCTTCAAAAAATGCTTTAACATGATCTTGTGATAGTTTTACGTCAATGCCACCCACATGAATTGTCCTCTCGACTAGGTCTCTATATTGTTTATCAATTAGTGACTTCTTAGGTGGTGTTTGAATGGCAGTTTTTGAGTGAGATACCTTGAGTTTAGATTTTCCCCAAAGTGAACCATTAACCATTATAGCCTTAAGTGACTGTTCAGTTGTGGCATATTCAATGAAAGCAAACTTGGTTTGTAGTTGTGTGTTAGAATTAGATGATTGTTGGTCATTATTACACAGTCTATAGTTAGTAATATCGCCATATACACTAAAGTAATCCAATAATTCATCTTCAGAAAATGAACTATCAATCCCAGAAATGTGAATTGTTCTACTTGCAGCAGAGTTAGCATCTACAATGCTACTATTTGATATTGGAGAAAGTCCACCCAGATAAAGTGACGATGGGCTTGGTGGCAGATAATTGGGTGGGAGAGTGGAAGTTTCTGGTGATTCTACCTTCTTCTTTCTGATCGGATCTGTTTTCTTCTTGTTATTATTTTGAGGAGTAATTAGTGGGGGAAACACAACTGGCTTTTCAATAAGTGGAGTTAAATTGCCATTATTACCATTGTTATTATTATTATTTGTGGAGGCAGAATTTTGTTTGCTATTAAAATCGTGTTTAGCCATAGAGATTTTCAAATTTTGTCCCATAAACTCGGTACCATCTAAACTTAGGGATAATTTAGCTTGGTGATGATCTACAAATTCAACGAATGCAAACCTCTTAGCATAGGAAGGATCACCAGCTAATTTAATATTTGTTACTTGACCATATTTTGAAAATAATAATTGAAGTGATTCTACGGTCGTATAACTAGAAATATTTCCAATATGTATTGTTCTTGATGTGTAATTATTTGATGATGATGATTGATTATTCGATTGGTGATGATTCTTTCTCGTGTGACTGCTGGAATTAAAAGATTTGTTATGATTCATTTTTTTGTGTAATTTCCCGCCAACAATTTCTTGAATTCTTTTACTGGGCATTAATTGTTATCCGATTTCTTCATGTCATTTGTGACCGTACTAATCATCTTAAAGCAACTCTTTTCAATCAAATTTGATGCCTTGCATTGATTGTCGTCGATAAATTGGCAAAGTTCATTTGTAAACTGAAATCCATTTGAAAATTTGTAAAAGGTGAACTCTTCTCAACACAAATTGTTCCCAATCTATGCATAATCAAAAAAGAACTCAATATTACGTAGCTGATCCTTATATATCACTGGAACAACTGTTCTTTGTTCTTGTGTGAATTATGGAATCAAAAATTCAAAACTTTATTTCTTGATATAATAATTTAAAAATGTAGGTACATGAGATAAAGTGATTCTCTCTGAGATGAATCGAATAACATCATATTGATGAATAATACAATTTCCAGTAAATACAGAATATTAAAAAATGAAAAATGAAAAACTCAAATCGTCATCGGATCAACAAGTTTTTAATTTATCAAAAATTGATTTAAATAACAAGGAATTGATTAAAGCTCTGGAGAGATTACCAACTACAGAACAATTCATGACAAATGTAAAGCAAAATAATATTGAATTTATAATTCCGGATTTGAGAAGTATTCATAATGTGGTGAAGGAATTATTGCCCAAACCAAACAAGGGATTGTGGGAACCACAGTTTAATTTGGATCCATTCATATTGTCCTATATGGCTTTGTTATATCAGAATAGGGATAAGAAGAATCAACAAGAAAAGGATCAACAATCTGGTAAACAAGAAGAAGGAAACAATGTAGAGGCTAAGCCTTCGGAGGACAAGAAGGAAGATACTACACCACAGAGAATTTCAAAGTTGTAGAATAATAGGCTTTTAGGAACTATTCTACAATTTGAAACAAGAATAGCATTGGTGTAATTAATTACATCAATTAATTGGAAGAGAAATTAGGTTGCATCAGAATATTTAACTGTTCGAAAAACTAGAATATCATGAGAGTGCTCCAATAATATTAGTGCAAATTCACATCAAATAATCATCACGATTATTTAATTGTTTAATAACAAATTCACTTTATATTATTTATTAAATAAATAAAAAAATGTCATCAGAAACAAAAGTTGTATCGGATACATCAGTGCCACTCTATCAGGTCGATGATACCAATAAATTGCAATGCTCTACACCAACATCATCAACTATTCACTTGTTCACCAAGTCAATATTAACATCAAATAAGCAACAAATAATTGGTGATTTAAATAGTGAAAGTACTACTCAACAACATCCTATTGAACCTGGTAATATTCATTGTAGTAGATTAGCTTCCGATTTAAATCAAGCCTCCACAGTATACTTTATTAACAAATCTAAATTATTCAAAATTAAATATGAATTACCTAGTAGTGAAGTAAATGTATGGAAACCAACCAAGAATGCTAAATTACCTTATCCTTTACTTATTTCCGATATTGATGTTACTAAAATTTATCAATCCACATTAGATGTTAATTTCCAAGGTATTGAAATCGATAAGAATAGAATTGGTTTAACTGATGATATGGGAAATATTTATATTTTAAATAACACATTTTCTACTAGTAATAATGAGGAAGATGATGAGGAAACTGATAACAGTTCAAAGAAGAGAAAAGTTGACGAAAAGAGTACTATTCAATGTGTTTACAATAATATTGATACAATTAAATATCATGTTAAAGGTCACACTTCACTTAAATTCCATCCAACTAATGAAGCTGTTATTATTAAGAGTACTTTTGAAACTAAGAACGTTTCTATTTTTGATATCAATAACCAAAAGAGCATATTTTCTGTTAACACAATGCAAAATCCAACCAAATTGCATACCTTTGAAATTCCACAATCAAATAATACATTATTAGCAATTGGAGAATATAACAATGTTTCAATTTGGGATTTCAGAACAAACAAACCAGTTAATAGACTGACTAGAACTAGAGGAATTGTTTATGATATGGATATTACAACCAATGTTAAATGTGGTAAAAATAATTCTAATGCCTTATTGGGTGTTATTGGAAGTGACAGAACTGTCTACATGTATGACACTATGAAATGGTCTCCAATTCACAAGTGGCAAAATTGTTTGAAATATGCTGTAAGTAGACAATCTTTTGAAAGATTCTTTAATCAATGTATTATTATAGCCATCTTACTTATCCTTCTCAAATATTAATAAGGAATTGTGCTACGTTGCTGGTTTTGATAATAGTGAATTCAAATGTGGTAATTTCGTTGATCAAAAACAACAAAGAAAGGGTAGAGGTCATGGTCTCTATGCTGACAATAGATGGATTGGTATGACTAAACCGAATGCGCAAGATACTATCGTTGGTATTAGTATGAATGGTTCTTTATATGTTATTGAACATCCACACCGAATGGCTCCAAACTTGAATGATTTAGTTCCTTCTACAGAAGCTCAAGATGTCATGGACGAATAAATCAAACTATTTATTTCTATCAATCCAGCTTTTTCATTGATAAGTGGTTAAGCAATTCCTCAAAATACCTGGAAAGTTTTGAACACAACAAAGTTTCCGATAGTTCTTTTTCTTTGATAAAGCTCATCAATCTTTCAATTGTATCCAATGTATTGGTTATGTAAAAACCTATATCGTCAAAATAGTTCTCATGTGTTTCAAAGTTAGCATAAATTATCTCAAAATCTTCTAAATTAGAAAATAAATTAAAGATTTGTTTATATAATTCGCATGAATCACATCGGGTTTCCTTTTGCATTGTGTAGGCTTGCATCGTATGCAATATGAATAATTGTGCAATGTTATGAAAATCACTCGTTTAAGCAATAGTGTTTTGTCTTTGAAATCCTCTGCTAGCATTTTTCTATTATTAACAAGCACACAATTCCACCAATATTCAAATTTGGTGTTGCAGAGCAAACTGAACAACCAGAATTATGAAGTGTAAGCCAGTAATAATATATTGGAGTGAATACACAATATCATCTGTTGAAAGGCAATTTCATTAGACAGGGTGAGCTTGGGGTCATGCAAAGACTTTCCAATTCAGAAGAAAGTTGATATTACTATTTATTTGTTTTGGTCTTCTATTTAAAATAATACATTGCAACTACCAAGAAAAACATACTAAGTAAGGTTACTTGTAATCTGTTATTTCCATCCACAATTGCTTCTAATAACTTATCATTGCTTTCTAATAACTTATCATTGCTTTCTAATAACTTATCATTGCTTTCTAACAACTTGGCATTGCTTTCTAACAATTTGGCATTGCCTTCTTCCATAGTTTCTTTAAGGCTTTGGATTTGGGCTCTAACTGAGTGGTTGGATGATCCTCCTGATGAACTGCTTGTGTAGCCTTCCATTTTTTTAAATTAAATATTATTTAAAAATAGAGAAACGCTCAAAACTTACCTTCTTCTTAAACACAATAAACGATGAGGAGTTGTAATGAAAAACTTACATCTTCCGAAAACATATCACCATTAGCGTGAAATGCATCAAGGTGAGAAGAGGAGCCCATTGTTGCAGAAGTACTATCACTTCCAGTAGATGATGTATTTTGGTTGTTTTTTGTTGTTTTGTTGGGGAAGGTTGTTCCTCAATAACTCACATTTAAGCAAAAAAATTCCACATCTAATGAAACACATGATGAAGCATGGATGTTCCAACGACGCTATTGAGCAACTTTACAAAATCCACATCCAATTAAAACATGTTGTTTGTCTTCCTTACAATCGCTGCGAGATCCCTTAATATAACGCATCTGGTATCCTCACTGTTTTCACTTATCAAAAACGATTTTACAAGTCATCCACATAATCAAGGCAATACAGCCAACCTTAAAGACTCGGGAGGAATGGTAGCATAAATAATACTGCTAATACAAAGAAATGCTCAATGATCCTATCATTGTGTAATGACACAAAAATATGAAACGCAAGACTTAAACCCAACATATTTAGCTATAGCTTCCTTTTAGTGCTTTAGAAACGCGGTTTGGACATTCTCGCTTTCATAGGTTTCTTAAGGACAAAACATTAAGCTGACACCTTGACAAGACTTCTCTTTCTTGATGGTATTTTTTTTGGACTTTCTTTTAAATATTAATTTTTACAATAAATATTTGTATCCTTAATATCCTTGACAGGAGCCAAAGGGCAAATATTTTGAGATGATAAATTGCCATGCCATTAAATATTATTTAACTTCGAGCTTAAGGATTGTAGTTGTTATCTGTGCATAATAGGAGACCGAACACTGCTATTATTTTGATTTGAAGAATTATTAATATTAAAAAAAACCTCATCAGCTGATTGGAAAAAACCAATATTCTTTCTCATTAATAAGAATACTCACTCAAAAAATTCAAAGGGGAAACGATGTCATAAGAGTTATTTTTAGTTTTTAAACTTTGTTCATATTAAATACTCGGTGAAAACAAAAGGAAGAAAAGTAAGGCAAGCTAAATTACTGAATGTGAGTATTACATATCTTAGAGTTTTACCAAGTGTCGTTTTCCAAATTCTACCAAGTTTTACACCCACTCTTCTAAAATTTGATTAAAGACTCAGGGAAAACGATTCAAGTGATGGATTATGGTATTTGTGAAACGTACCCTAACTTCCGATAAAAGTGAGCCAATTCTATTGAAGGAAAGATAAGATACACTTGAGTTTGATTCATGAGAAGCTTTTAAGAAGGTTGATGAGGTAAATGAAACTAGTTTTGTTTCCAACGCACACTATTTTAGCCCACTCACCAAAAGGTTGGTAATTTCACCGAAACTATGGTTTTCACTACAAACTATTTTTAAGGCAGAAATGTTATCTCTAAAGATTAGAAGAATATCTATATTTATTCACTTTTTTGGCCTTCTATTTAAAATAATACATTGTAATCACCAAGGAAAACATACTAAGTAAGGCTGCTAGTACTCTGTTATTCCCATCCTTAATTGCTTCTAATAACTTATCATTGCTTTCTAACAACTTGGCATTGCCTTCTAACAACTTAGTATTGCCTTCTTCCATAGTTTCTTTAAGGCTTTGGATTTGGGCTCTAACTGAGTGGTTGGATGATCCTCCTGATGAACTGCTTGCACTGTCTACCATTTTTTATTAACTATTGTTTAAAAATAGAGAAATGCTCAAAACTAACCTCGTGGTCTAGTCCACGCACCTTAAATTGTAATGTAGGCTTAATTATTCAGTAATATTAGGTTCATCCATTGAAATATAATATTGAATGCAGTGACAAACCATTTGTTTCGCACACATAATTTGCTAATTAACCTGAACAGAAACCCATATCTTAATCTATTATTTGAATACCTGAAATTTGCTCCGTTGTGATAGAAAACAATTCAACTGATCCCTTATAGTTTCAATTTTAAATAAATCATTAACGATTTTTTAGTAAGAAAGGTTAGAACAAAAATTGGAAGAATATATTTATTCAGTTTGTTGGTTTGGCCTTCTATTTGAAAAAATACATTGCAACCACCAAGGAAAACATACTAAGGAAGGTTACTTGTAATCTGTTATTTCCTTCCACAATTGCTTCTAATAACTTATCATTGCTTTCTAGCAACTTAGTATTGCCTTCTTTCATAGTTTCTTTAAGGCTTTGGATTTGGGTTCTAACTGAGTGGTTGGATGATCTTCTTGATGAACTGCTTGTGTAGCCTTCCATTTTTTATTTTAAATTGCTGTTCGTGATGTTCAGCTTGTAACTTTACAACTTATTTTGCCAAATACTTACAAGTAATATCGGAGTTAGAGAAGCTCAATCTTAACACTGTTTTAATACAATTAGTAATGAAGGAGCCAAATACTTTGAAATGAAACAATTTACAAAACTTTATATCTCCAATGATATTCCTTAATTGAACCAATTCTTTACAAGTGGATGATGTAAATCAATTTAATTAATACTTTATTGTAAACTAACACCACTAACCTTTTGTTAAATTTCCTCTCTATTTGGTTCGACAGTATCAACTTTTCGGACCTCAATCACTGACACAAATCGAAACTCTACTGCACACAACTAAATTATCCGCTCGAATGTTATTGATAGCAAGAAAAAAAAACTTTTCACATGAAAACCCTATTGTCGTTAGCAGGCAGACTAACAAGTCTCACCATGCTGTTATTCTTATATTGTTTACTTGTTGCTTTAAACAATTCGACAGTAGAAGCATCCATTGATCCACTCTATAAAATGTCAACATTTATTGGTGGTGGCACATCACCCATTACAAATGGCATACTCACTACAAATGCTACACTCTCTAGACCTAGTGGTTTAGCTTTATACAGAGGAGAAGTCTATCTAGTAGATTCTGCAAGAATTCTAAAAGTTAACAATCATAACAATTCCCTTACTATTATTGCTGATGTAAATGCAATGTTGAATAATCCATTTGGTATTTGTTTGAATGATGAAGGTGAAATTTTTATTGTTGAGCGAGCTTCACATGTGGTTCGTAAAATTTTGACAAATGGTACAATTATTGTATTTGCTGGAATTGTTAATCAACAAGGTTATTCTGGGGATGGTGGTTTGGCTGTAAATGCAGCTCTTAATTGGCCATATGATGTAGCATGTGATTTAAAGACTGGTGATGTTTACATTTCAGATAATGAGAATCAACTTATTCGAAAGGTGTTCAAAAATGGAACTATTACAACAATTGCTGGATCTAGATCTGGAGGCACAACACAAGATGGATCTTTAGCCACCCAAACTGTAATTAATCGACCAATGATGATGTCTCTGAGTTCGAATGGTAATCTCTACTTTACTTCAAATATTTGTACAATTCGAAAGATCAGTACGAATCAAACTATTTCAACAGTTGCTGGCGATGGTCAAAATAATAATTATCGTAAAAATGACATTCTAGCTACATTAGTAACTCTGGATGTACCATTTGGAGTCGATGAAGGTCCATTTGGTGAATTGTACATTGCAGAAACTTACCTTAGTGCTATTCGAAAGGTTTCTCCAAATGGAATAATTTCAAAAATTGCTGGAACTTTCCAATCAGGAGTTTCACTGAATACCGTTTTAGATGCTTCCAAAGCTCAAATAACCGATCCATATGATGTCATAGTTGATCCTTCTACTGGAATAGTTTACTTTTCCGAATATTCATCAGATGTTAAACGAGTTGCTAAATTGGAGCCATACTGTACATTTCCTTTTGAATTAATTAATGGAACATGTACTTACTCATGTTATGGAATTGGATATGATGATGCAAGAGTTTGTGCTGGGCATGGAATTTGCCTTTCGAATAATACATGTCAATGTGAATCAGGATGGAAAGGTAATAATCAATGTTCCTTACCTTCATGTGAATTATTGAATAATTGTACTGGAAATGGAATGTGTATTTCAAATAATACTTGTGAATGTAATTCCAAATGGAAACATATTGATTGTTCCATTAGTATTTGTATTCCATATTTGAATTTAAATAGTCAATTACAATGTTCTCAAGATTTAAATAGTCAATTATTAACATTTAATGAATTACAATCAAATATTAATTTAAATCCAATTAATTTAAATGAAAATCAACAAATTACTTTTATTTTAGGTAATAATTTTACAAATAATTTGGAAAATTCAAAATATTTTATTAGTTCATCAATTTCTCAATCAAATTTACAATTTTATTCAAATGTTACAAATTTAGTTTTACAAAATTCAAATTCTACATTCATTCAACTCCAATTATCAAATTCAATTCAATTCCATTTCAAAAATATCGACATTGAACTGTCATCTTTCAATTATACATGTTTAAGATATGACTATTTGTTAAATAGATGGACAAATGAATCAATTTCTACAATAATAGATTTATCCGTGAATGAAATTACATGTTCAACTAATTATTTATCTACATCAATTGTTATTCAGAGATATAGAATTATTGAAGTAGTTCCATCAAAGTCAAATGTCATCCCAAAGGTATCGAATAGTAATGGTGGAACTGTTGTTAATCCAAAAGAATCTAATAGAGGAATTATTAGTCATGCAATTAGACTTGTCGGTTCAACAACTTTGACTGTTGTAATAATGATGATATTTAACATTTTGTAAATAAATCGAGCAAGGATTGTATAATACCTCGACTTCTTGTGATGATCACCTTGAGATTACAACTCACGTTTGGAAACCAAATTGTTACAAAATCACGTTTCAGATTTCATTTAAATTCAACAATAGCATTCTACCTAACATTCAAAACACAATTAAAAAATGGCCTTTAGAAGTTTCATTTCCACATCCTCTATTACATTATTATCACTTGGAAGTTTGTATACTAGTGTGAATACAAGTGAAGCCCTAAATGCAACTAGAAAGTATTTAGAGACAACTGAAAAAGTTGCCACAACTCAAAATACCATGTTTGATAAAACAGTCAATGCATTACAAGAGGTTGAACAGTTAAAGAACATCCAATCTGAATTGGTGAAAAAACTTAGCATGGAGTCAACTCAACTTCTTTCATTAGAAGAAGAACTTGCTTCATTAAAAACTCAAAGAATAGTTGATGTTTTAGCCCCTTGTTTGATTGCAGGAGGTACTATGTGGGCAATCTATTTCATTTATAAATATTTCAGCAAGTCAAAGAAATCAAACTCTGAAGAGGAAAGAAATATGCCAAAAATACTTTTGACATTCTACATTGAGAAGGATCATTTCTCTGATTCATTGGAAGAAAAAATTACAACTCGTTTAGAGGCAGTTCAACATTATGGATTCCAATTCAAAAGAACATTTTCTTCACAAGGTTCTCACTTTACAATCGTTAGTAGTGAAAAACAAGTTATTGAAGATTCTAGAATTTTACTAACAATTGGAATGAAGGAAGAAGAAGGTTCAAATGAAGTAGCAGTTAGAAAGGATACTTCTGGAGATGTTCACTTCGATACGAGAGTTGTGAATAAGTTGATAAGCAAATTGCAAATTTAACCAAATAACAAATTGTTCAATGATTCAAAATTTTGGAAGTTTCTTGTAATCATTTCGTTATCTTATTGAATAGTCTACCACAATGAATAAACCATAAGAGAAAAAGTTACTTCTTTACATTGCTTTTTTTCAAATTGTTTGGAGTGATGTAAAAAGCAAAGTAAAAGAATTGCTGACGGACGGGATCGAACCGGCGACCAATGGCTTATTAGACCAACGCTCTACCGACTGAGCTACGCCAGCTTAAATTCATTGTGAAATTTCTTAATAATTCACTTATACAATAATTAGCTAATCGAAATCGTTCAAGATATTTTCAGAATAAATCTTTAGGAATAATCTTTGGGTTGTGCGGTACTGATACTTCATTGAACAGAACATTTGGCACATCTTTTAAATTTAGGAAGAGATGTTACAGATTCGTGTGATGATTTTGCAAGTTGTGTTGGTTGTGAGTAATCCATCATGAGGGTTGTGTCCTCAGCCACTAATTGCTCTGCAGCACCATCTTGGTCTTGAATTGATTGATAGAGTGGAGAATGCATGTTTAGTGTTTGTTTTTTGCTGATGGTGTTTTTCAAAATTGATTTTCACACAGGTTCAAGTTGAAATAAATATTCGAAATGGAAGGTAATTCGAATAGTGGAGTATTGATTTCCAGAAGAAAGTTGAAAAAATCCTTCATTAACAAGCTTAAAACTAAAATTAAATTCCATTCAATATTGAAAAAAATGAGTCATTCCTATAGCGAAATTGAAGAACTAGGCAATTTGCCATCCGAGCAATACCAAACCGAATCATTCAGAAAATTAATTAATCAGTTTCTTGAATTGTTACAAAAACATCCTAATCTTTCACCTTTTCAGGTACCTGCATATTTTGATAAACAATTCTTTTGTTGTTTGTGGTTGGAACTGAATAAAGTACTTACTCCAGAACATCAATACAATGTCTCTCGATCGAGAATGAAGAGGAAAGACATGATTGAAATGAGTGCTAAACATAGAGAAGTGGTTATGGAAGAAATGAGGAAACTTGTGAAAAAATTGGAATGTGAGGAATATGTATGTTCTCATACGGTGAAGGAAGTGGAATCGAGTGGAATTCGTGGAATGGTGGATTTTGGAGTGAAGTTTGATGGAAAGATTGTCAAGATTGGAACTGCTTTTGTAATTAATCCAAATTTTGAGGAGGGAAAATCATTGATTACTGTTATTAGTATGCAAAAGGGATGCTATCCATTCTTGCCCCCTTATGAATTTAAACCCCATTCAATTATATCATATCCATGGAACTTGATGAGAAGAAGTACAGAATCACAGAAGGAAATTGAGGAAAAGATGGAAAATTTCTCCAGTGTTATACCAGATCAGTCAGATGTTGGATATCTCGATACTTTCATAAAGAATAATTCCAAGAAACGTTCGATTGAAGATTTGGATGGAAGTAAACTGGTAGAAATGAACAGAAAGCTACTGAAACTGTCAAAGGATTTAAAAACAGAAAATGAAGAGTTGAAAGAATCTAAAAAAGCTCTAGAGAAAGAAAATTTAAAGCAAAAGAATTTACTCCTCGCTCTAAGGGCCATGATGGATGCGTCTAGTCTGTAATTTTAATAGATAAACCAGTTCTCCCCTAATTAATCTAGATTCCACAAGCTCTCAATTTTCTCAAACTCAAAAAAAGGATTACAAAATCTTTAAAAAAAATGAATCAAAACCTCTTCAGCTCGGAATTACTTTCCCTCCTCAACAATACAAACTCAACGTTTAGCGATGAAGTATCTTTGGGTAGTAATTTAAATAATAATACAAAAAATGCAATAAATATTGATGATGAAGAAGAGGAGATCGGATTTCAAGACTCGGCAGAAAAGGAATTTATTAATAATATTCCACAATTAGGATTATATTTCGAACCAAAGGAAAAGATTTCAAATAATTCATCAATACCCAATGATTTCCTTCAATATAATTTTATTAGAGTTCCTCCCATTATTTCGGAAGAGGAAAGGAAATCGTCTCTGTCAATGATTTGTGATGGAGAAATTATTAAAATTTCAAAGCCACAAGATGAAAAATCATCGGCAGATATTGAATTGCATAGTATGGAAAGAATGAAAAATAATTTATATGATAATTTTGGAGTGGAAAATAATCAGCGAGCTAGACTTGTATCATATCAAGAACAAAAATTGTAAAAATAATTGAATGAATTAATTTTGGAATTTACAAAAATATTTCAAGTGTAAAATTTAGAATTTTTAACAGTTAGCCTTAATATTTATTAAATTTTTTAATTATTTATTTACTTCTTGTTTGGTTGTTGATCTTCATAGACCTTAGTGACGATACCGGCACCAATGGTGAGACCGCCTTCTCTGACAGCAAAGCTCAAACCTTCAATAATAGCAACGTGGTTAATCAAAGAAACGTTGATCTTCTTCTTGTCACCTGGCATAGCCATACACTTTTCACCTTCAGCGATATCCTTACCTTCTTCTGGGTAGATCTTCATCTTACCAGTAACGTCGGCAGTTCTGAAGAAGAATTGTGGTGAGAAACCATCAACGAAAGCAGTACGTCTACCACCTTCTTCAGCAGTCAAAACGTAAATGTCAGCATCGAACTTTTGACGTGGCTTCAACAAACCAGGCTTACAGATAACTTGACCTCTCTTAATTTGCTTCTTATCAATACCTCTCAACAAGATACCCAAATTGTCACCAGCTTGACCTCTATCAACCAACTTGTGGAACATTTCAATACCAGTAACAGATGACTTGAGAGCAGTTGGAGCAAAACCAACAACTTCAACTTCAGCACCTAATTTGAGTTGACCTTGATCGACCTTACCAGTGGCAACAGTACCTCTACCTGAGATAGTGAAAACACCTTCAACAGGCATCAAGAATGGCTTGTTAATATCTCTTTCTGGTTCTGGAATATCCTTATCAACAGCATCCATCAACTTTTGAATTGCTTGAGTACCGATTTCAGAGCTGTCTCCTTCCAAACCCTTCAATGCAGAACCTCTGATAATACTAATGTTATCACCATCAAATCCGTATTGTTTAACAGTATCTCTAATTTCTTCTTCAACCATTTCAATCATTTCAGCATCAGGAACCAAGTCGACCTTGTTCAAAAAGACGACAATATGCTTGATACCGACTTGTTTACACAACAACAAATGTTCTCTAGTTTGGAGCATAGGACCATCGTCAGCGGAAATGACAAGGATGGAACCGTCCATTTGAGCAGCACCAGTAATCATGTTTTTAATGTAGTCAGCGTGTCCAGGACAGTCAATGTGGGCATAATGTCTAGTAGCGGTAGCATATTCAATGTGTGAAGTAGAAATGGTAATACCTCTTTGTTTTTCTTCTGGAGCTTTATCAATTTGATCGTAGGCCAAAAAGCTGTTAGCCTTTGGATCCAATTCATTCAAATATTTAGTAATAGCAGCAGTGAGTGTGGTTTTACCGTGGTCAACGTGACCGATAGTACCAATGTTGATGTGTGGCTTGCTTCTGTCGAACTTTTCCTTAGCAGCAAATCTAACTTGGTTAGTGTTCATCATTTTAGAACCACTCACCAAGACATTGGTCTTGAGTTGTTGTTTGATAATGTTTCTAGATGAAGAGAACATGGTTGGAGCAAGAAGAAATATTTTTTTTGAGGTCGTTTTTTAAATTTCAATCATTTTGTGTGTTGGTGTGTTGACTTCAAACTTTTGCCGCTCGTTTTTTAAATCGCTAATTGAAAATACTAGTTGTTTGTAAATTGAAGCAAATGGTGTATGTGTCGGAATCATGTTGTGTGTTGTTGGATAACAATGAGTAATTATATTGCTTGATGATATATTATTTGGATAACAAATTATTTTTCTATTGGGTTTTTTTGGAGGAGTTTTATGTTTCTCCTTTTTGGGAACCTCTAAGTCTTAAGACTTAAACAATCCAAAAAAATCATTGTTGAATAGTCATCCTATGAGTTAAATAATAACTTATTCTGAATGGCCACCTTCCTTACTTTACACAATTTCTTTGCACAGACAGTTAACTGTTAAAACAAAACAATTCTCCCATGCCGGGAATTGAACCCGGACCTCCTGGGTGAAAGCCAGGTATCCTAGCCATTGGACTACACGGGAATACATTTACAATGAAAATATTTCACTGATGAACAAAACTGTAAATGACGGATATTGGAATTGTTTGCTTAATAATTTAAAAAATAATATTAGGGAATATATTTGCTGGTATGTTATTCAAAAATCAATTAAAAACTGAATGCAGAGAAATTCATTTAAATATTATTATTTCAGATGACAGTTTTCAATTTTGTTGTTTATTGTTTGTGAAAATGAAATCTCTACTTATTTTCATCATTTTCCTCAAACTCAACATTATATTCTTCCATTCTTTCCTATAAATAGAGCAAGACATTTGCAACAAAATAATTTTCATTAAATAAAAAATGAACCCAAACAATCGACCACCTCATCCTACAACAGCAGGAGGTTATTATTCTTCATCATCTGGAAATAATAATAACGTGGTCGGCGGTGGTGGTTTTAATCAACAACAAAATCACTCTTCATCAGGAATTCCTCCACATAATAGACAAGGCTTTCCTACGGGACAAGGAAGAACAAATCAAAATGGCCCAATTGTACAAAATAGACAACAACATCCACCAAGAAATGTAAATAATCCTAATACAAATCCAAATAATATTCCATCAACAATGCAACAAAATAGAAAAAAACATCCATCAGGTAGTCAATCCTCATATCCAACACAACCTCATCAATCATATCATAACAATACAACAGGAAGTGGATTTAGTACACAAGCTGGACATAAAGCAACGTTTGGAAAAAAAGGTCAAGAAGTTGTTGTTGAACAATTATCAGCAAAATTAGGATTTCCGGATGTCTTTCTATGTGAACAAAATTCTAGTAGACCGGTCATGGAATTGTCTTTTACACCTAGTACTGCTCGTGATGGTTATGTTGACAAGTCATTTTCATATATTGATCGTGAACCAATTGATTCTCATGGAACTCACTTCTTTAATAATGATTTTTATAATTTATTAGAAAAATCTGAACAAACTTTAAGGGATGAGTACAAGACTTTTTCAACAAACAAAACAAGGGAAGAAATGAAACAAAGATTCGAAAATGCCTACAATTCTTGCAGTTGTACAGCTAATAATTCCTTCTTCCCAAAACTCACAGATACAGGTACTATGTTCAAAGCCCTTGCTGGAAGACCTGATGAGCAAAAAAGATCATCCCTTGCATCTTCAAGAACATCTCTTAGAGAATTGGCATCAAAACTTTCTAGATATTATGTTAAACCTAACTTCTTTGAACTTTTAGCACAAAACAATATTCCATTCTTCAGAGCCTTATGGTACACTAAAATTCTTATTAGAGACATTAATACCAACATTACAAATGTAAAGGATCTAGCACAAGATTTAACAACCAAGTTTTGTGACTACTTGCTTACATCTTGTAACGATGACAGTACAGATCCTAAAAAGAAGAACTCAATTGTGTATACCATCAACTTTTTATCCTATTGCCTTGAAGAGAATTTATTGAATGAAAATGTTTTAGGACAAAGGCTATTAGAAATTTTAGAAATCAAGTTTGGTATCAAACCAAAAGCAAGCAAGGATACACCTCTCATGGATGCATACTTTTTCTCATTACTTTATGTTAAAACAAGTGATCAAATTTATCAACAACTGTCAACTACAATCCAATCATCTAAAAAGGTTGGCTCGGTGATCAAATTTTATGTATTACAATTATTTAAATTATTTATGATGCATTCTTCCGATCCAAAATTTACATTTGAAATTTTTAGAAGACTAAATCCTGGACAACAACAACTTTCATTAGACAGTGTTAAAAATCTATTTTGCAAAATTAAGGATGATATTTATGCCATCAATGTACTTGATAGACATAATTGTAACATTCCAGAGTTATATAATATTCTCTTGAATAACAAGGAAGTTGGTGTTCAACTCATATCTACCATTTGCAAGTGGGCTATTACTCCAAAACGATTCCAAAACTATAGGCCATATATTGCAGGTACCTTGGTGAATAACTTTATCAAACAAAATCCTACAATGAAGAAACAAGTAGAAGATACCTTATTCAAAGAAGTTCTAAATTATTCAGAGGAGCCTACTCCAGATACTTACAAAAATATGTTGAAACTATTCAATGAGCTAATTCTTCAAAATAACTTTTCCATTAGTGAATATATCAAATATCTTACATCTAGAGGTTTTAATGTAGCTAAGACAGATGAATTTAACACTAGGCACACCAATATTCTCAAAAATTTGCCCTCATATGATCCTAACACAAAGAATAAGATTTACTCTAAACTCTATGGCACCAAACATGAAATTGTGAGGAAAAACCAGCAAACTGAAACTGAAATCCAAGAAAATATTTTCAAACTTATTAATGGAGGCAGTGATCATAATATTTCCTCCATTATTGAAAGTATGACTCTTTTACCAGAAAATGGAATGCAGTTTGAAATTACACAACAAATAGCTGAGCATGTAAAGACTATGGATCTTGCATATTTATCGGAACAAACAATAGATAGTATTTTGGCAATTATGATCTCAGTATCCAATCTTAGAGCTTTTAGAGATATTGTGTATAATATTACTACCAAACTCATCTCTGGAGAATTTAAATCTCCTAATCTAGAAATTAAGATGTTTTCTATTATTAAGAATAGTCTCCAGCTCTTCATTTCTTTAGACGATTCAGATATCATTGATATATTCCAAAAACGATTCAAAACAACAAACAACAGAAATATTCAATCTATTATCCATAGATACATTACCGAAATATCAACAACTCCAAATGCTGACCCTTTCAAAACAAAAATAACCAAATTTACCAACGATTGTAATGTCATTCCTGCTCCAATTAATATCGAGCAATCGCCTACAATCCACCCATTTACACAGTATATACAAAGCCAAGATATTATTTTGATACCGTCCAACATCTTGGTTTCCGAATTAACCAAATCCCCTACCAAATTCTCCAACGATCAACTTAAACATTTAATTGAGGTACTATTCGAAAAATTCCAAAAGCATAGAGTAGACACTTACATAACAGTCTTGAGAGATATGTATACATTTAGTCATCTATTATCTGATACTTCAATTATTGAATGCTTTAAGGATTTCATTATTTCAACACTTGACAGTACTCAGTACATTAGAGAAAAGCACTCTTCACTCATTCTATTCTGTATGAAAGCTGTAACTTGTGGTGTTCTCTCTGGATACACCTTCCTCAATCATATATTATTTAACGTATTTGATAATCTCAAGTCTAAGGTTGCAACTATTTCTAAGCCTAATCCACAAGTCCAAGCCATTACATCTATTCATGCTATGTTATCATCTACAAAGACCAGTATCTTCCAACATGTAAACTTTATAAGAGTTTTCTCGAACTTTTCCAGATGCTTATCAAAAGAAAGAATAACTACTCTCGCTAATAATTGTGGTATATCTGAGGAAGTGGAAGCTGTTGACAGAGAAATTTATGAAGACGTCAAGACCACACTTCTCTATGATTTCCTTGGCCCTATAGAAGCAAAAGAAACCATCCACAAGATGTCAATTTCTTGCAAGAGTATTCATGATAACGTCAAATCAAGCAAGAAAAGTACAAAAGATATCTTTGCATTCAGTTCTCTTGTCTATGAAGCCATGATAGAAATACTATTGGATTATCTTTCTAATGAAAAGTCTTTGCAGGACATTAGTCGTACATTGTCCTACACTCAAGATTGTTTAGGACCACTTTACGAACTTCCATCTCTTCAAACCAAGCCAAAAGAAGGGGATGGCACAGGTAAAAGCAATTCCAAAGATAGTGATTATGGTAACAAATATCAAGCCATCACAACTTTGGTTGCCAACTTGTGTAAACCATTTTCAACAATCAGAGATATGGTTCCTGAGAAGCTATTCTCCTTCCTTAGTCAAAGTACAAGTATTAATGACTATCTTCAATTTATAATGTCTCTCTCCAATCAGAGTGACAAGTGGAGAATAGCGTTAGACTCCCAACTTTTATTCTTATTTATGTTTACTTGGAATAGAAGAAAGGCACTCACAAAAGAACAATACCATCACTTTGTCGCAAGAAAAGGTCAGGAAAATTCCTTCTACTTTTATGCCAAATCACTTTTACTTACCTCATTCTACCCACCTTTCTCTGAGCTACAAGATGTTATTTTAGATCATTTCAAATTATCAATCAACTATAGCGAAAAACGTCAACAAGATATTGAAGCTCTCTTACCTATTGTTGAAGAGCTTATTCGACTCGATTTTTCCAAAGCAGAAACAGCCTGCAAATGTATTCTGGATGCCATTCAAGCCATCTCCAATCCCTCCTCCTCACAATCCTCTACCCCTGGCACTCCTACTCCACATTCATTCCCTTCCACTCGTGAAAGACTTACTACTTGTTTATTATGTCTTAAAGAAATTATTTTCTCCTCTCCACTTTTGGAATCACATGAAGATAAATTTGGAGAAAGAAAGAGAACCACTACAGTTCCACAAATCAAATCAATTTTAATTAATTTATGTACCAACAAGATTTTGCCATCAGTATTTAACACACCTATCCAAAAACCAGAAGACGTAGCATTATATGATATTTATTATTTAATTTATGGAATGTTAGCCAAGTTAAAGATACCCCAAGAAGAATTGAATAAGGAATTTGAAAAATTATTCCAAAAAGAGAATAATCTACAAGTCTCTAATCCAAGAACTATACAAGTTGGAACACCTGTCAGCACACCAACCTCCAGTAGAAGAACTCCAACACCTGGTGGTGCCAGCAAAATGTCTCCAATTATTAGCCCTCAACAATCACCAGTTCCAATGTCTCCACAAGTTGCTACCGTTAGACAAGAGCAAAACAGGGTCATCAGCAGCTGGTTTGTAATTGAGGATTACGTTTCCAATTGTTCTCATTGTAACTCTTGCCATGGTAATTTAACTCCTGCACGTTTCCAGGGTAAAGTTGTTAAGAAGACTGAATTGATATTTGCCAAAAAGCCAGAAACCGTCAACTCCAGCAATCCTTTCCAACCACATTAATGGTGATAACAGTTCAAAGAAGAGAAAATCTGAATCTCCAATAACTCTTGACAATCATATCAATGAAGCTTCTATTGAATTCCCTGATAGTAAAAAGTTGAAACAATAAATAAGCTTAATTGTGTGGAAACTATTTATTAACAAACTGTGGTCACAAGTCTTCACAATTTGAAATTATTGGTGGTGTCAGTCATACTTCCTTAACTAAACCTGATATGTGTAAACATTCCATTTACTTGGTAAATCTTAGCTACTTAAACTGGTTTCAATAAAGTTGAATAAATAGGAAATAAATTCTTGGAGTATTATTCTAGAAGTTCTTGAAGATTTCATTCCCTGGAAAATATTATTGGTTCATCATGATTTTGAATAATGACAAAATATATAAAAGTAATATTGAATTTGCTCCACTCCTTTTCAACAAATTTCATAGAAGTCCGATGTTACTAATAGTTGTTATTAATCCCAAAAGCTTAAGAGAAGACACGCCACTCAACTCTCTCAATCACCAATTCAAAATATTGCCAAAAGACGATCAGTGTAACAAAGTGATTAAAGTGAGAAAATAATTGTAGATGAATTAATTCTTAGTTGCTATTATCGATCATTGCTGTTTTGTGTGTTAATTGCTCCATCATAAGACTGTTGTAATAATGAACACAGCCAAGAAATATTATTCATGTTGTTGTTTTGGTGATTGAAGAAGACGTTCGAGGGTTGAAGTTTGCTGAATTTTTCACTTCCTTGTTTTTCAACCACAGAAATTATCAACAAGCCAAAAATGCCCTCTCAAACTTTTGTTGTAAAATGTGTTTTACTAGGTTTACTCCAACAAAATTTTAAAAAACTTGTTGAAAAAAAATACGTCACACTAGAAAATGACTGCCGGCAAAAATAAGAGAGTTGTCAAGGGTAAGAAGACTAAGAAGATTACCGATCCATTCGCCAAGAAGGAATGGTTCGACGTCTTTGCTCCTCACCCATTCAACAAGAAGAAGACTGAACCATTCACCAAGACCCCAATCAATAAAACCGCTGGTACTAAAATCTCCACTGAAGCTTTGAAGGGAAGAGTCTTCGAAATCTCTGCTGCTGATTTGTTGAATGAAGAAGAACAACAACATCAACTCATCAGATTGGCTGTCGGTGATGCCAAGAGTGAAAATAAGAAGGCTTTGACTGTCTTCAACGGTTTGAGATTCACTGTTGATAAGCTCAGATCTTTGGTCAAGAAGTGGCACACACTCATTACCACCAGAATTAACGTTAAGACTGCTGATGGTTTCCAAATGAGAGTTTTCGCTTTAGGTATTACCAAGAGAAGACAATTGCAAACTCACAAGAGAACTTATGCTTACAAGTCTCAAGTCATGAGAATCACTGCCAGAATGAAGGATGCTATCAACAAGAAGGCTACTGCTTCTCCAGTCAATGAATTCGTTGAAAAGGTCGTTACTGGTCAATTGGGTAAGGAAATTGAAAAGTCCTGTGCTTCTATCTTCCCAATGAAGGACGTCTGTATCTGCAAGATTAAGGTCACCAAGACACCAAAGGATCTCGCTTCCGCTCTCCACTAAATAAATTAAATCCCAAAAAATTAAAATTCATTTAAAAATTCAAAATTTTATCTTTTTACAAGATTTTTAATTCTTGTAATCCATAAATATCTATAAGTTCATAAAGATCTCTCGTATGACTCTATTCCTGATATCAAGACTGATATTTTACTTTAAAGTAAAAGTTGAAACACAAAATTGAAACTCAATTGAGAGAGATGTAATGATGTGATGTTGGTTGAAGTAGAGATTGAGTTTGACTTTATTTACTTCCATCATCAACACACCACATCACAATGTTATTGAGGGCATTGCCCAAAAATTGAGAACCGGACTAGGTTTAAGTGGTACACCAGAAAAAAACTACAGCCGTTTGTGTCTTCTATTAAAAAAATATAATAACGTACTGGACTGGAAATTGAGTCGAATATGGGCTGTGGCACATTTTCCAAAAATTTGGTAGAGGACAGGCACACCCCAATAATTAGTAACAAAAAGTCATCATCAACGGCGGATATTCCACCAACAACAACAACAAATAATCCTTCAGAAACATCAGGTTCAGTCGATATATCGAATAGAAGAGTGTCCAAACAATCTTCAGTGAGAGCAAGTAAGGCTTCTACACTAGCCGAACAACTTTCTTCTCAGCAACAACATCAATCACACCAAGAAGAAGAATATTCTTTCGCGGACCACCAAGAAGAGGCTTATGCTTTTATTCCGTGGCCAGAAGATATAATGATCAGTCTCGCTACTAAGGGATCTAAATTTGAATTAAGAGAAGTATCACTTCTTCTACCATCGGATGAATTAAATCAAAAACCTCTTCTTAAATATGTAAAGGATAAGAGAAATAATTGTCAACAAAATATAATAGATTGCATGTATACAATCATGAGTAGGGTTCTAAACTTTGGAACCAATTTACCTTTTCCTGTAAATACTGAAAACCAATTTGATCTTGCCGTTGATTTCATTGCTAATGGCTGTCCAATTGGAAAACAACAATTTACCTTCTTTTCTCATAAAGAAATCCTCCTACACAGAAGTGCGTTCTTCAAAGGAGAGTTATCAAAAGATAACGGAGCAGTAGATTCACTAAAAAGAACCCTTAGTAGTGCTCATGACCTTAGAAAATCGATGGTAAAGGCAGAATTCGCTGATAGAAGAAACACAGCAGGTGATCCATCACAGCTAAAACGAACGTCGAGTCATATAACATCTCAAGGTCCTAGATCGAGTCTACCTCCAATGCCCTTACAAAAACGACCTTTTAATACAACAAGCTCTTCCAACCTCCTTCAGGGTATGGGTGATCTAAGCAAATCTGGATCTTCATCTTCGATAACAAGCGTTGAAGAGGGAGGTAATTCAGAGAAGGAAGAATTATTCTCCTCACAAGGTAGTTTATCAACACTTTTACTAACAGAAGATTCTAGGAAAAAAGGACAACGAAAGCCAAACAACCAAAATTTAGCAGTCTCCATTTCTAAGCAAACAAAAGCAAATCTACAGCCAAGTAGGTTAGAGGTTGCAATATCTCCTCTTGTAAAAGATCCAGAGATTTTGTTGTTAGTTTTTGAAAATATTTACTCTGGCTATTTCCGACCTGAATACGTTCAAAAGATGAAATCTTTGGATATTGAAAGTTTAATTCAGATATTAGCACTAGGTTACCAATTTAAAGTTCATTCATTGAGAGCAGTTTCAAAAAGTTTAATCAGTCAGTTTTTGTGTACCCACAAGGATAAGTACACATCTTTGGAGGAGCTCATCAATGGAACTTGCAAGAATATAACTGTTGAGGATATTCAAAAAAACAATATGAGTATAGTTTTAGAATTGAAGAAAATTTTCATGGACTCTAAGAGTAAGTAATTAATCTAGAGAATTTCTAACATGCATTTTAATAGAATCATTACAAGAAAATTTCATTTCTCTATCACAAGAAAAAAGAACATTCCTTAAGGATCTAGATTTTATGTTTGTACATAGTAATATGAAGAAGAACCATATGGACTTCAGTGACATGAAGTTAACAATACAGGTTGAAGAAAAAAAGGAAGAAGAGGAAAAAGAAGATGAATCCCCCAAGAGGTCGTCGTCTTTCAGGGATACTTATGAAGAAGATGTTCAACCACTAATAAGTCAAAGAAAGAAGAGGACGAGCAAACTTCAGGACAGTGTCGATAAGAGTCAAACTAAGAAAATATTTATTCACAACTTTATACTGAAATCAAGAACAGATATTACAAATCCTGAAATATTTAATCTATACAGCACAAATGTTGATGTTGTGAAGACTTTTATTCATTACCTGTATACAGATACTATACACAGTGATACATACAATGTGAGTAAGAAGAAGATAATACCTCTTGCTGCTTTGTTCAAGATTGATAGACTGAAATATGAATGTTTGGCTCATGCTATTTTCAATTTATCGGATGAAAACATTCTCAGGAAGTTTAAGAAAGCTCAAGATGCTAAGGAGACTGTTCTTGCCCAAGCAATTTTCTACACAATGTCACACATGTATCCTAAACTAGTCCAAAAGAACTATGAGGAAGGAACGCCAGAATATAATATTCTCTTCTCAATAGATGAAAAGCTTAGGCATTTATATCAGAGAATGAGTGGGCAATTCCTTATTAGAAGAAGAATATTTACAGAAAGTAGGTTGGCGGAGATAATACCGAGAGCTGATGTTTCTAAACTTTCTCCTTCTCAAAAATCTCCAAACCACAAGATTAATGTTCAAATATGTGGCCTTCACGGCTCTGGTCTTAGTACCTTCGTAAATCAAGCCAAACCTCTCATCTCTGAACTTCATTCATTTGAAGGAGTTGACAATATTGAACTCAATATTTCTTCCATGTACATATCAGACAGACCATTTACTGCAAATTCTTTAAAGTCAACAGACGGTGTAATTTTTATATTTTCCATTGATTCAGTAGATTCCTACCAAACAATGAGAGCTAAGTATGACGACTTTAGATTCTATTCCAAAGTTCCAGCTGTAATAATAGGAAACAAATGCGATTTGATACTTTGTAATTTTGAAACAGAGGACAAGATTGTTGATTCAGACAGAATAGTGAAAGAAGTAACTGAAGATATGGCTTGCCCATATCTTGAAATGTCTTCTAAAAATTCAAGTGATGTTAAAAGATCGCTTGAGGAATGCATAAGAGAAGTGTTGTTTTATAGACATATCACTTCAAAGATACCAAGTCATTTCTTAAATACTATTGCTAGGGATCAACAAGGATTGGAATCATCAAGTAACATTTCAGAGGAATAATAAATATCAAATATTCCATTACGCTTTACAATTGCTTTTAGAAACATGAAAAAAAATGTATCCAAATAGAATGCTGGGGTTTACTTTCCCTAATTTTCCTCTCTTTCCACCAAGTAAAAATACAACACCACAACGGAATGATTTCAACGATTTATCAATTCTATGTGTTGCAAAAGAAGAACAGAAATCAATAACTGGTACGATCGATGATTCGTCTTCTTCCTGTTCCGATCGCATCACAAAGAAACAAACAACAAAAAGAAAGAGATTATTTTGCAAGGAAAGTTACATTACATGTCAAGTAGGTTTTAAAGAAGATAGTTTCTAATCTAGATTCGGAATAGAGCAACTCTCAATTATATTCAACAATACAAGTTGTGGAGGAGGAAAATATTCTAATTCAACTGAACAAAATTCTTGATGCCTCCAATGACGAGCAATATTTTGGAATAACAATACTAGGAAACAAATATAATGTTAAAAAGACATCACATTTATACAGATTAAGATCCAAATTGGAGGTGAGGAGAAGGAAAAGATTAATAGGAGACTCTTTGGAGTTGTTTGATCTTGATCATATTTTACAACAAGTATCACTTCATTCACAAAATAATCATTTCAAGCATCACGTTGTGAATAGCGATAGTATTCCTTATGTATTAAAATCTAAAATTCCAGTGATTGATAATTTTTCAAAATCAGAGAATGAAATCAAGAAGGAATCAAAACCAGTTCCAATTCTTCCCAAGAAAATACTCCCTAAACCTATTGTAAATCAAAAGCCATCCCCAAAAAAAGGAAATACTCAAACTCAACAATCACTAGGACTGCCATTTATTGGTGGATATAATAATATCTCATTGCATTCTCCACTCATGTTTTTAACAACATCAAGAGAACTTCCAATTACTTCACAAGTTATGCAACCACCCCCAACAAATATTCCTTTCAAAAACACATTTAATACGGACATTCAAATTACAACTCAAGCTTCTTCAAACAATGAAAAGTCAAAGAGACAAAAGATTGAAACAATAATTCCATTCAGTCAAAAATTACTAGGTTCAACAAAAATTACTGATATACTTTCGACGCATGATATTAGCTCATGTAATCTTGTAAAGTTATTCAAGGATATCACAAAACACAAGCAGAACATTATTTCTAACATACAATTGTGTAGAATCAAACCAACATTGTTGAAACAAATTAATTCGCTCCTACAAAGATGTTTTTGGCCCAACATTGATGTAGAGAAATATCTCGAGCAACCAGATAGAACTATTGTAGCCATGTACAATCATTTGGTTGTTGGATTCGGAGTTGTGACAAGTGAAGGATATATTCATTACTTGGTTGTTATGCCACAGTTTAGAAATTATGGAATAGGTTCATTACTAATTGAACAATTATTGAAATGCAACAGATCTTCTGAATTCACAATTCATATTCCACTGGAAGACAAGAAAACTATTTCATTTATGAAGAAAAGGTTTGGATTTAATTCTAAAGCTGTACATTGTGATTTCTTTAAAAGTTTGGTAGAATCTCCCAATAATAATATTTCTCTAACACAATATCAAACTAATATTACAGATTTCTTTAAAGAGAAATCTAGTGATGCATTATTAATGGTACGATCTAATTAAATTATGGTGTAGTTTTTTGATGTTTTTCAATATTATTTACAATATATTTAATATCATTGTTGATGTGGTTGGCCCAATTTTCAACATCTCCCAATTCCTTTACACATTGATTTAACTGTTGGAAAGTTTGAATCCATTGTGTTGTTTGTTTGTTGAATTTTTCTACTTGGGCATGAAGATGTTTGGCTTCATTTTCGATCATTTGTTGATTTTGAAAAACTTTGATGACATCACTATTTGTTTGATCGATCAATTCATGACTGACCGATTGCAGACTATCCTTGGCTTTGTGCCTCCTCTTGTCATTTTCCTCTCGGACCTTTTGTTGGCGTTGATTGTGTTCCTTGATGAGATGTGATAACATTTTTTAATATTTTAAATAAAATCTTTTCGGAATAAAACAACACTACGAATAATTAAACAAAAAATTATTGTGAATGAAAATAATTTAGTTTAATTTACACATCTGGGATTGTTTGATACAAGGCATCTATTTCGTTTTTGAAAACTTCTTTCAACTTTGGTCGGATAATCTTCATGGTTGGTGTTGTAACTCCGTATTGTTCAAATTCCTTTGGCAAAAGTTTAAGGCCACGAATAATTTCAAAACCTTTAAGCTTGGCTTGCTTGGCGACTGCGACAATATCAGCAAGTACTGCCTTAACAATATCTGGATCTTCACACAACTCTTCAATCTTATCAGCCAATTGTTCCTTACCATTATCTTTGGCATATTGTTGCAAAACTGAAATATTAGCAACAGCAAAACCTATAACACAGCTCTTGAATGAATCTCCATAAACCCAAATGCCAGTAATAAACTTAGATTGACTTAATTTTTGTTCAATATTTTCAGCAGCAATATATTCACCTTGACTCAATTTGAAAATATTCTTCTTTCTGTCAATAATTGAAATTGTACCATTTTCATTTTCCTTTCCAATGTCACCTGTATGGAACCATCCTTCAGCATCCCAAGCTTCCTTAGTCTTTTCTTCATCCTTATAATATCCCATTGAGACTGATGGACCACGTACACAAATTTCACCAGACTTATTTAGTTCCATACTATAGTTCATTTCAGGCACATCATCCAATTTAACTTCAACTGATGGGACAACACAACCAATATGACTTTCAGAATAGTCATAAGGAAGTTGAATCAATGCAGCAGCACATGTTTCCTGAAAATTAGTTAGATTAAACAACATTCACAAAAACTTACAGTAAGACCATAACCTTGGACCAAACTACATCCGAAAATGACTCTCATGTATTGTTGAACTTCAGGACGGATTGGTGCACCACCTGAAAGACAAAATCTGATACGTCCACCAAAGTTCTTTCTGATAACACCCAAAACAACATCTGAGATTGGAGTAGATTTACCAGAGAGCATACCTTCTTCCTTAGATTTAATGGCCTTACTAATGGCCCATTGCTTTAATTTACCTTCCTTTGAGATCTTTTCTTTAATACCATCATATAATTTATCAAGAACTCTTGGTACAGCAGGGAAAGCAGTTGGTTTCAAAGCAATCAAATCATCCTTCAAATTCTTAATATTACCTTCCCAGAAACCAATACTAGCACCTGCTTGCAAAAAGACAATTTCAACCATACGCTCCAAAATGTGTGCAAGTGGTAAATATGAAACAACTTTCAAAAAATGTATCAATTCCAAAATCTACTATACTTACCACAATCATTTTCATTCAAATCAATAATATTGTGGGCAATACCAGCACTAGCAGCAATAAAGTTCAAATGGGTAATGACAACACCCTTTGGCATACCAGTGGTTCCTGATGTGTAATTCAAACAAGCAATACTTTGAGGAGTTGGTGGAACATCTTCAATTGGGTTTTGTTTACCGAGTTCCATAACTTCATTTAAGGTGTATGACTTGATGTTAATCTTTTCCAAAGTTGATTTTTGTTCTTCAGTGATAGCATCAAAACAGATGACTGATTTAAGGTATTCAGCCTTTGGTGCCAATTTGATGACACTACCAAGGGTTTCTCCAGAACAACAAACTGAAACAACTTCACCATGATTCATAATGAAATTTGATGATTCTTCTCCGAGAGTGTCATAGAGAGCAAGACTGACAAGAGATTGCTTATTGCAAGCCTCAACTGAAATTTGCCATTCTCTTCTATTCTTACTGTAAATAGCAATATGTTGGTTTGGGGAAATACCAATATGTCTCAAACCACAAGCAAGATTTCTGGACATATCATCAACTTCTTTAAATGTAATGAATTCATATTCCATTAATAATTTAGATGAATCTGTTGGGTCTCTCATTCTTCTACCCAAGCAAGGTCTATCTGCGAATTTTTCAACACACTTTTTGAATGAATCATACAATGTGGAAATGTCCTCATATTTCTTAATAATCAAGGCATCTTGGTGGCCATTCTTTCTCTTGATACGAGGATCAGATCCACCAGAGACAGTTTGATTAGCTACTGGAGGATATGATTTAGATGAAGATGTAGTTGTTTTAATTCCCTTCAATTCCGGAACAAGGAATAAAGAAGCATCGGTCTTTGGTTCACTCTTTGGAACAGCCTCTACTGGTGGTTCCTCTTCCTTTGGTGGGGTTGTAATTTCTTCAACAAAATTATTAATATCCTTGTTTTCTTGATCTTTTTTTCTTTTAACCTTTTTCAATTATTAACAATAAAAACTCACCTTCAACTGTTGAAATATTTTCCTCTGTTTTCAAAGTTTCTGTGGTTGCCACTTCTTCAGTAGTAGTGGTACTACTTTCAATCTTTTCTTCTTGTTGCTTTTGTTCTTGTTCCTCCGTAACAGCAAGGGAATCGGCAAATGCTGAAAAATCACTCATTTTTTTTTGATTTTAATGTTTGGTTGGGCAGGGGTTGGTGTGCCATTCAAAAGATTTGCTTCGGATTAATGCTCAAACAGCACACTCCACTTCTTGTGTTGTGGAGGATTAAGAGAGTCACATTAAAGAATCTTTAACAACTGTGTATATCCTGCAAAAAAATAAAATTTAGTAAATGAGGTGGATATTTTGAAGGTTCAATGGTTGTAGGTTAGGAAAATTTTGCTTGTTTACAAAGAGTTGGAACTTGAGTGTTCTGCATATTGAGGTAAATGGTTGTATAAACTATTCAAATTATCATTGTGACTATTGAGTCGAATTAAGGTGAATGTACCATTCGAGGGATTTCATATTTGAGATAATAAGGACAATATTGAGCGGCAATTTGTTGGCTTTTGGTTATTTTTTCTACGATCTATTGGTGCGACGTCGATTTTTTGTCCTTCGCACAAATGATTCACTTAAACAAGACATAAGTATTTATTGTAAAGTATTATCTTTGCTTGAATAATCTACAGTTTATTAATCACACTAGAATTGAATCCAATTCTTAGTTGGAGGTATGGTCAATCAAGTTATACAATTTACCAACAACATCCACTACCTCCTTCACTTTCGTTTGGTTCACTAGTTGAAATATTTACATTATCAGTTGGCTTATTTCTGACTGGTTCAGTACTTTCGAGAAGATTAGTTGTGTTGAGTATTTGATAGACAACTTCCTCAAATGCCTTATCAACATTTTCTTTTGTTTTGGCTGATGTTTCAATATAGACCATATTATTGGATTTGGCAAAGTTTTGAGCGTCTTGGAGTGAAACTTTTCTTTCTTCCTTCAAATCAATCTTGTTTCCAATCAATAATTTTACACATTCCTCAAATGTTGAATATAAATCACATTCCTTAAGCCAATTCTTAATATTATTAAATGTTTCCTCTCTAGTAACATCATAAACAAGAATTATTCCATGAGCATTTCCTAAATATTTTGATTAAAATATAAATCTCAAAATACATACTATAATAACTTGATGTAAGAGTTCCTTAAATTTTGTTAGAATTGATCAGTGAATTTTGGAAGCAAACTTACTAAATCTCTCTTGACCTAATTCAATTCTTTAGAGAATTCTGTTTCTTATTTATACACTTACCTGCAGTATCAAATATCTTTATCAATTATTTAGAAAAATTCAAATCTATTATTTTACCTACAGTCAATTTTACTTTCTTCCTATTTACATTCATAAATTTAACCTTGCTATTTATAAAATCGTCATCATCATATTAAATCCAAATTCAATAATTATTCATTAAAAACATACAAATCCACACCAATTGTTGGCGACATTTGTTCTTTAAACTCATCCTCAGTAAATTGTGTAATAATACTACTCTATCGGAATTAATTATCTTCATCAATCTTTAAAAAAACAAACCTTTCCTGTGGCACTATCACCAACAAGCTATTAAATCCCGAACCGAACCAAACCAAAATAATCGATTCATCATCATCATCGTCGTTGCAAATACTCTAATAAATTGGAAAACTCACCACAAGTTTGAAATTATGATCAAAAGCCTTTGAAGTCATTTTTTTATTTTTAGATTTCTATTAAGAAACACGTTTGCAGTTTTTGTTTGAAAGTTCTTCCCAGTGTCCAAACAATCAATTGAATAATATTGAAAAGAAATTGAAGAATTGAATCGATAGCAATGGTTTATTTACAAAATTTAAAAAAATCAATTCAAATTGCAACCAATTGCCTTGTTTGTTTGCACCTTAATTGAATGTAAAATTGGAGTTAATTTGGCAGTTAACTTGGATGGAACCTTTCCATTGGCCTTTTTTGATTCATCCATCAATAATACCAAGTCAACTGGAATTGCAACTATTGGAATGGCACTTTTAATCATCAATCCTGTTAAACTCATAATACCTGTGTGGCCATTAGTCAATCCATCAGATTTATCCAAATCTTGATGCTTGTGGCCTGTCAGAGATTCAACAAATTGAAGAACGTTGACATTTCTATTACCAATTTTCATAACTCTACTATCAATGTATGGATCAGTCAACCTTTGTTCATAAATCTTTCTAATCATTGCATTTACTGCTTGAGTATCCCTTTGTAAGAGTTCTTGAATGGACTTGGCTGATTTCTTGGCATGTTTCCATTCAGCAATTGATGCAGCAACTGTTGCTGTTGTTCCCACACCAACACAACCAATACCAGCACCTGAGGCAATTAATGAAACACCAAAAGTGAAAGGAGCAGCTACGATACCACCAAGAATCAAGGAAGCTCCAACAATATTGGTTTTTGTACCTTTCACTTTGGTCTTTGCTGTACTTTGTTGTTTCTTTTCTAATGATTGGATTAAATTGTCCAGCATTTTAATGATTTCCAATCGTTGGACAAGCCACTCATTTGCAGATTGTTCAATGACAGCAAATCCACAATTTGGATTATCAAAATTGGTACTTTCAAATGTTGGGGTTTGAGGAAGAATTACATTGGTCTGGAAATTTGTTTGTTGACCACCTTTTTCATAGCTACTATTACTGGTTGTGGATTGAATTGGTTTAAAGTTATTGGTTAGTTGTAATGGTTGGGGAGTTATTGGTTGTTGTACAAATTGAGGATTAGAAGTGATAACTGGAAAATATTGAGCGTTTGGTTGTGGATACATGTATTGAGGAGGATTAGGTGGGTAAAGTTGATATTCTGGTGGTTGATAATTCACTCCAGGTTCTGTAATGTTTGGTTGAGTAGAGAAATGTGGATATTGAGGAGAAACTTGTTGATGCATTTTGTTTAAATTGTATTGAATAGAAAATAGATCATGAGTTTCTGATTTATTCTTTTCCTCAATTCCTTGTTTTGTTTCGAATTGAGGTACACCAATGTCAAATCTATAATTCGAAACCCGACTTCAATTTAGAAGGTTGACTCTCGATTTCAAGGAGAAATAAATTTGAGCGCAAAACAACGACAGCCGATATCTCTTTCTAAAACTGCGAACTTCAAATTGTCCACATTTGACTTGCAAGAATCAAATATTGTTTCATCAATGAATGCATGATCATTGCAATTCAGTTTTATCACAAAATGTTAACAATTTCATATTCAATGCAATTATTTTCTTGTTTTATTTTGTTCATTGTTGAACTAATTGATTTGATATTATGTACATTTGATTTTCTTTCTTTACTACCACTAATTATGTCAATAGTTTCAAATTCAGATAATAAACCATGGTAGTTATTTATCTTATCAGTGATTGATTCTTGTTTGATGCTTTCCACAGTGAATGTTGATTCGTCTTGTTCCGATTCTTCTTCTTGTTCTTCAGAACATTCAGGGAAGCATTCATCAAAGATAGATGATGAAATTGAAACACAACTCAATGGAGTTTCTTCATCATCATCTTCATAGGAATAGACTGAGTAGACATCGGATGAATTATCTTCATCAGATTCTTCGCATTCATCGTATTGTTCATAAGTAGTAGAACAATCACTATTGTTGTTATCAATCTTTCTTAAACTATCAATGAGCAATTCTCTTCTCATATATTCAGAGTCGAATGAATCACCAAGATCATTCTTCCAAGACATGATGATATCATCAACTCTTTCAATTTCTTCTTCCATATACCAGAGATCCATTTCTAAGTTGTTTGTTATTAGGAAAGTCCAAAATTTTCTATGTATATTTGATGATTTTGAACTAGTGTTCGAATATTCTTCTTCATGCAAAAGCCTTGTTATGCTATTTGAGTACAAGTAGACTTGATGTTGTCTCTTTTTTTTTGATTTGTATCGTTGCTTGAATTTGCAGTGAAACATTTTAAACCTACGCTCTGTTGCATCAATAGCGCGGACGAATGAAATTGTTGAACGTGCTTTGATGAGCTGCTTCAAGTCACATCATCAAACCAAGAGCGCAATTTTCTTTGTTCCTTCCGCACTGTATTTTACCTCGTGAGGAAGCGTTGATGGCTCACTTGCTACGTGTTTGCTGAGGTGGATGAAACGTTTGAAAAAACACGATCACGTTCTATTAGAGGTCAAATTGATTGTGCTTGCGCAGCAGTAAAGGACTTTCTCGTTGGATTCTTAGTTGCATTGGCGATGTTATCTTGGTATGGAAAACGTACGATCATGTCTGAGAATCTCAAATTGATAATCGTTTTGATATGATTGAGGTTAAAGTGTAATAATAGTTTGTAAAATGATCCACCTATTTTGATTAGATGAACTAAGAATCAGTTCAATCAAATTGAATATTGTAGATTTTCAAATCATAAACAGATGGCAACTTTTGATTGAGCATTTTGATTCTGAAATTAAATCACTTCTTTGTTGAAATTTCCAGCTTGTGATTTATTTTCCAATCTCCAATTTTTTTGAGTTTGGACAAAGATACTCATTGGAAGGTCAATATTCGAAACTCATCTAATGATACAGAAATTCAAAACGGAATAATTCAAATTGTTGACTATCTTATTACAATTATTTAAAAAAATGTCGCATGCACCACAAGAAGAAACACTTGTGAACACAAGCAGGAAGGCTACAAATTTTCTCTTCCTTACAGATTACTTGATTGGAGGAGCTTCTCGAGCCATCGGAAGAACATTAACAGCACCAATTGATCGATTCATGATTCTCCTTCATCACCCAGAAAAACCCAAGTTTCCGCAAGCTTGTTTCTTGTTTTGGAGAGGAAATTTACTCAACATGATCAAATCATTCTTTCCAAATACTGTGGTTTTTAATTTTGCCATCAAGGATTTGATAAAGAGGCAGAATTATTTACCATTTCAAGCAGTTGATCAGAGAGGATATGGATTTGTGGTGAATCAGTTTGTGAGTGGTGGTTTGGCAGGTGCTTGTTGTGAATTTGTGAGATTCCCTTTTGATAATATTATGAAATTTAGGGTGGGTCAATTGGGTAGTGGAATGGAAAAGTATTTCGGATTGTTTAAAGGGGCTGGTATTTCAGTAATGAGCGCAATGGTTTATCGTTCGTTATATTTTGGATTAAATGATTCATTGAGAGAAGTGAATACTTACAGGAACGATTTGGGAGTGAAAGGAGTCATATCTAAATATGGGATAGCTCAATTAGCATCAGCAAGTGCTTGGATTATGAACAGTCCAATTAGCACCATACATAGAAGAATGATCATGCAACAACAATATTCCCCCAATCAATGGCATTATAATTCCTCAATAGATTGTTTCAAAAAAATACTACGAAACGAAGGAATTTCCTCCTTCTTTAGAGGCTTGAGATTTTCGAACACTATTGGGCCTGCAGTTATTTTGACTCTCTATGATCAAGCCCATTGTTACTTATTTGAACAGGAGAAGTAGTCCATGTTATTGTCTAGTAAAGGTTGTCTTCCTGATTATACCAAAAAAGTCCACAATAAGGTGAAATGTATTGAGGAGTTAAGGTACAGTTCGAAGAGTTTGTTCAACTTGAAGGATTAGTAAACAATTCTAGGATTTGCCATGTTGAGTAAGTGTCCAAAGAATTCCAGCCAGAGTTGTATTATTATCTAGTTTTTGTGTCAAACCTATAGTTCCATTTCCATAGCTAGGTTCTACATCAGGTACAAGTACTCCAATAACTGAACTTCAAAATTGCTGAATACTGTTAACGAAATTTAGTTAAATTGTTACTATAATCAGATTTAATCTGGATTGTCTCTGATTATGTAGTTTTTGAAAAGAAGACAAGTTATTGAACTTTCAGAAAGACTGGTTTAAATAAACCAGTCCAATAAAAATGCCAAGAACACTTTTCTCTGCACTTCCACACGAAACACTTCAACACATATTATCTTTTGGAGTTTGCAATCTATCTTCTTGCAAAAGAGAGGAACTTTATTCATGTATTCGATTTGTTTCCAATTTTCAATCTTTAAACAAGCAACTTTCTTCCGAAATGCAACGCTATTTTAATGAATTTTGGTGGCTAGTAGTAAAGAAAACAGTTGGATATAATTTATTATTAGAAACTGAGTATAATCAATTAAAAGAGAAAATGATTGAAATTGGAGAATTAAAAAGGAAGGCATTAATTGCTAAATATATTACAAGAAATGCTCGTACAAGATATTCAGATGTGAGATTGTTAGTATTTGGCTATAAAAAAGTTGGAAAATCAGCAATTACCATTCAATTCTTACAAGGAGTTTTCATATCAGAATATTCATCATTATGTGACGATTCCTATCGTAAACCATATGAAGTAGATGGCCATTACGGATTACTAGATATTCTAGATTGCTCTACAGATGCTGATCCATCATCTGCATTGAGGGATGGACATGTAATTTCTGGAAATAGTTATTTAATTGTTTGGGATGTTTCCAATACAGAAAACTTATTGGAAAAGACTGACACCTTGTTAAGCCAATTATTCGAACTCAGATTCATTAGGAATACTCAGGTTATGAATAACTTTCCAATTGTATTTGCTTTGAATAAGACGGATTTATTAGAGGATTCCAATGGAAGTAATGTTATAATTGAGAAATGCAGAAATGCAATTAATGAAGTTATCAGAAAGAAAGAGTTGAATAATTGTGCAATTATTGAATGTAGTGCTAAAAAAGGAGAAAATATACATTCTTTATTTGAAGAGTGTGTGAGAAGAGAGAGACTAATGACTGACCAAGATCATTTATCTTTATTGAAGAATGTTTTGACACATGATTCGAAATGCATTCACCGAAGCACTAACAAATCATGCACCCTTCATTGACTTGTACAGAAATAACCTGTCGTTAACTCATCCTTAATCAATATCAAGATAAGAAAAATCATTGCATCTACCACGACTGTCCAATATTGTGTTTTCAAAATCAAGATTGAATGTTTCAACAAGGTATCAATCAACAATCAACATATAAAGTGATTTAGTTGCCTACCACCAAGAAAAAATGTCACAACATCATCACAACAATACTAGACCCAATTTATTAGAAAATATTCCTTTGGAAGTTTGGCAGAGTTGTATTTTTGAATATTGGCTCGGACCCATTCATGAAATCAATCAGTGTTTGGATAAATTGAATATTGATGAAATTGAAAAGTTTAAAAATGTAATTTATTCAAAGATTATTGATGGATTGGATTTGATGAGTGTGCGGAGTGTTCATAAACTTTGTTATTTGGTTTCTAGGAGATTTAGAGAATTGTTTATAAAGGAAATGGACGAGTTTTGGTTGAAGGTATCGAATATGTTGGAGATGGCTGTTTATTGGAGAAGGTATGAAACTTCAAAAGGTGCTACATTAGCACAGGGTGATATTACGGCCATAGATTCTATTCCCTATGTGCAAATGCAAAAATTAATTGAGGCCACTGAAATGAATCTAAATAGAGAATATACTGATATTATTGATCCATCCATGTGTAGAGAACACTGGCATAATTCAAATATTAAAAAAAAGAATGATGTAAATACGGAGCTGATGCATCAGGAATTTGTAAAGAGATTTGAAAAATTAATCATCTCTCAAGAAAAATACGAAAAGATTAGAAAAGTAACTCAACTCGATAGCTATGATTTGTTTTTACACAAGTCATTTATAATATCATTGGACATGATTTCATATTTCGATAGTGAAAGGTCTAATTCAGGTTATTCTAGTTTTAGCACTGAGACTCAATGTCAATTATTCAATAAGGGGCTCTTTTCCTTAAAACCTAACCCTAACTCTCTTGGATTAATTATTTCACATGCAGAAAACTCAGAGGAAGTACTTAACATTGATTCAAAATTCATAGCTATTTCAATTTCAAACTCTGAATGGGCAGAAAAGCAGTTTACAAACATTCCAAATACTGTACAATATCTATGTCTTGAATTCAATCATCACTCCTATTCAGGGTATAAGAGCTTGATAGATAAACGCCTATTTGATGAGAATGATCCTGTATTTCCCAATGTTCGTGATCTAACCATTAGAATCGGATATCCTGAAGATGATGACTATTTCCTCCACAATTTAGTCATTGAAAAGAATATTCTTTCTGGAATAACAAGGACGAGATTTCCAAAATTGATAAGAATTTCAATTTGTGGCTTTGGATCAATGGAATCTCTGTTAGATTGTGAAATTTTGAGCCAATTACCTTATGTGGAAATTATTCAATTCTCTCATGGATATGATTACGAATTGACTCGTCATTGGTCAGAAAGAAAAGTTCATGAATTAGTAACAAGACATCAAGATTCATTGATTCATCATTTGGTAGTTCATGCATGTATTAGTAGAATCAATAATGATGCTGATTATGGTTCAATTAAGGAATATTACAATCTCAGTAAGCCAAAGTTTGTGGCTTCCATTTCTCATTCCTCATTCAATGAATATTACGAAAATTGCTTCGAATAAATTAAGTGGCTTGATTAGAATAGTAAAAACTCATATATTTGTATCAGTAAACAATGGTATCCCAATTTTCAATTTTTTGTTATCCTTCACAAATTAGTAAATTGTGTAATTTTTAATTAAAAAAAATTATCGCTTCACCACCCACTCGCATGATTCTTCATCAATTAGTGTAATTCGGAATCAAATAATCTTCACACAAAATTATCATAATCATCGGGTGTAAAAATGGAGCGAACATTATCATCGACAAATTGGAATAGAAAATTTAATTGTTCCGAACAACGACAACGATCATCAATTCATATTGTAAATTATTTAATAGTGATAATTATTAGTTTTATTCTCATTAGTCATGGAATTAATTCAGTGATGGGAAAGATTAGATATTTTGATACAAATAGTTTATTTGAACAAAATTATGTTCACTCAACGACATCAACAAGTGCTTCTGATGATGATGATACGGATTATTCGGCCCTATTTTCAGATACATCACCACAACTTTCACTATTTAATATTCACAAGATTATTTCAGCGAGATTTGTCTTTTCAAAATTTAACGAGTTTATTTATTTACCATCGAAATCTAATTCTACAATGGTGTTTTACTTTTTGACAGTTCTTAAAGATGGATTTGTCAAAATTGATTGTGATGGTGTTATTAACACAAAGGATTCAACAATTTCAAGTACACTTGTAGTTGGAAAATATAATTTGGAAGAAGAAAAAGTTGTTTGGGCTGCCAAGCAAGAAATTCAATACTTTTTCGGTAAACCATTTGCATACGTAACAGAAAAAGATGAGATTATTATCAGTTGTAATATCAAAGATGATCAAGGTATTTTCTCAAAAAAGTTCTTTTCAGTGAATGGTGTATCAACAAAACAACCTTCATTCGTCAACAAGAATACTGCACGAGAAGTCAACATTGTCATGGAAGGTAGTATTGATCGATTTTCTACTATTGGTAATCAAAGTGAAGGGTTTTTAGTGTTTGGTGCTAAAAATTTGAGAAAAACAAACTCTCTTTACGATTCTAAAAAGGAGACTTTGCATTTAGAAACATCTGTTATGGCTTCTTTTTATGCTGATGGATCACCTAGATGGAATGTGAAATTAGGTATGTGTTTAGTTTCATTTTTATATTCATAATACTGATCCAAGTTTATGGAAATATTGAGTTTTTTGAGCTTCTTTCAGTTAAAGTAGTTAGTTTATCAAATAACACTATACCCATTGTTGCTTGCTTTAATTATCTTGGAAGTGGCAGCCTAAAAACTTTTGAGAGCCTTCAGGATACCTTTGTAGCACAAACAGATTCAGGATTCGAAAATACTAATTTCAGACTTTTTTCAAAGTACTTTTCAGCTGGAGTTTATAGTATTTCTGAAACAGGGGTGTTTTCAGAACTATTTTCATTAAGAGCTTATCCTACAGGTGATTCAACAAGTGCCAACATTCTTGTTAAAGGGTTTTACTATGACAAGGACAAGAAAATCTACATTTTATTAATTTATATGAAAGGATATCTTACTTTTTCTAAAACCAGTCATGGAGGATCCAATATGGAAGGAAATATAATTTACACATCTACCAACAGAACTGGAGATTATATTCTTGTGAAATATACTGAGGGAGGTACTCCAGTATGCGTTCCTACATCATACATTGGTGATGATCCTATTGTAACTACAAATTATTTTATCAATAAGAGAGTTTCTATTGAATCCTACAATAGTTCAAAGCTGCATTTGGAAGTGATAGATATTGAAACAGGAACTATCAGGGATAATTTGGCAATTGACATTCAATCCGAAGACCCGTATGGCATTCAGTACGAATTATTTTATGAAAAGAGAAGATATTTAATTGTAAGAGGAACAACTCAAAATAATGGAACAATATTAATTAATAACAAGTTTTATGTAAAGCCATCAAAGGGTCAGTCAGAATTGGTATTTGTTCTGTACTTGAATACTCACCCAGAATATGGTAAACGTGAATTGGAATGTGATCAACAACTCAAATGCAGAGCGGTAAGTTTGAATTTTCAATCATTTTTAATTGTTCGATTAGAATGCAAATGACAAGATTTGTCAAGCACATGGTATTTGTAATATGGAACAAAAATGTGAATGTGATGAATTCTATATGGGAGATTTTTGTGAAACATATTATAGAAATACTTTTATAGCAGTTATGGCAACTGTAGGAGTCATATTGATTACTCTGACAGGAAGTGTTTTAACAGGCATCGGAATGTATGCTTACAGAACAATAGCTAAACGTCTAAAGCGTTTGCAGAGCAAGGTTAAGGCTGAACAAGAATTGGAACAAAAATTATTGGAATTTGTTGGACTTAATATTAACGAAACTACGTTTAATTTCAAAACATGGCTCATTCCATTCGAACAATTAACAATTGACAGAGAAATTGCTAGCTCTAATGGAAGAACAATTTTCCAAGGCTCATGGAAAGGAACATCTGTTGCCATTAAGAAGGTTAGACTAGAAGATTCCTTTGATTACCATGAGGATACTAAGGAATTGAACCTGGATAAAACATTGGAAAGAGAAGCAGCCATTTTGAGTAGAGTTAGACATCCTAATATTTTGAGATTCTGGGGTTTGGCATTTACTCAAACTGAACAATTTTTAGTGAGTGAGTTATTTACCTTGAGTATGGATCAAATTATTGATGAGGCAAAAAGAGGAGATCTCTACATTCCAATCCTTTGTAAACTTCAAATTCTACACGATATTGCATGTTCAATGACCTATTTACATGAATTTGATCCTCCAATTCTTCACAGAAATTTAAAACCATCCAATATTATGGTAAGTTTTCAGGAAATTTTATTGATTTTCCTTACAATTTCAAGTTGAGTGAAGACGTCAGATATGGAAAAATACTTTCTGCTGTAAAGCCAAAAATCGCTGACTTTGGATTGTCTACACACTTGAGAGAAGATAATGTTCTTACGATGCAAATCGGTAATGTTCTATACTCAGATCCTCTCATCTTTAAGGGTGAAAGATATTCTGAAAAGTGTGATGTTTACAGTTTCTCAATGATAATGTACGAAATGTTTTTTGAAACAGAACCATACAAAACTTCAGATAAGGTTGGAGAAATTAAGGAAAATTATAATCAATACTCAGTTCTTCCAAACAAGATATCTGAAGGGTACAGACCAAAGATTCCTTTCACAAAAACTCTTGAATCGATTGGTGATTGGATGGAATCTAATTTAGAGTTAATCAATGAACGAATTACAGATCCAGAAAATTTAGCAAAATGCATCCAATCCTATTCTGAACTAATGAAGAAATGTTGGTCTGGTGATCAAGATGAAAGACCTTCTTTCCGTGCCATCCAAGTTTCTATCCAGCAAATTATCAAAGCTTTGGAAATTAAATAATAATATATTTAACACTCTTACTGTGCCTATTACATACCTTATTATAGCAAGAATACCAAATTTACCTCATTACAGCTCGTTATCATTAAGGAAGAGATGAAAAACTGAACATGTCTGCTATTTTTATGTAGCAATGATATCAAAAATTAAAAGGGCACAAATCAATAAAATATATTTTCTTATCATTTTTTAAAAACAAACGCTAAACACAACAGCACTGCTATTTTTCAGCGACGTCTTGGACTTTTGGAGAGGATCCATCATCATAAAAGCAGCAACAACAACAATAACAACAGTATATAATAATTGAAGATGCAGGCATTGTTGAAAAGGAAGAAAGTTGCCAAGTTTAATTTTAAAATAACAATTCTCCACTTGATGAAATTACCAAAGAGTGGAGTTATATTGTATATAACATGGAAGAGAGGAAAGAAACATAAAGGAGAAACAAAAAAAGCCTTTGCCAAAGATAAAACAGCATCATGGGAAGAAGAAATTGAATTTAAAGGAACATTGTTTAAAAATTCTAAAGGAAAATATAAGAAGAAGTTTTTGGAATTACATCTTCACCAAGTAGGAGATAAAAAGAAGAAGAGTGAGATTGGACACTTATCTATTAATTTAGCAGATTATTCATCTTTGCAAATGGAAAGTCGATCCGAAACTAGAACATTTACTGTACCTATGTGGGGAGGATCATCAAATGGTGAATTGAAAATCAAGATTGAAAGTAATCCAAGATTGAAATCCGATCCAAATGATTTAACAACATTTACTGATAATACCACCATGACTGATGCTACTGAAGATAGTGAAGAAGATAATCAAGGAGGTTTTAGATCGAAAGGATTTAGAGAATATGGTGAGGATGATGATGATCATTTCGGAGAGCATGATGATGAAGAAATTGTAGAAAATGAAGACTTTGATATGGAAGATGATGATAATAGATTTAATCGTGAAGATGATGATGTAAGAAGTGGTGGAAGTAATGACCAAGCTAGTGATAGGGAGGATTTCAATAATTCACCTCCTAGAGGTTCTTCTTCAAGAGTGACCAGGAGCAGAGATGATTTGAGTGATGGTTTGGATGACGACATGGATGAAGACTTTAATAGTGGAGATGAAGAATTGGATGAAGAACCAGTTGCCAAGAAACCAGAACCAAAACCACTTTCAGGTGTTAGTGCCTTTGAAAGAAGAGGTGTTATTGGATCAAGAAATAAGGACAGAAGACGTCAAAATATGAGTTTAACGAATGAACTTGATTCTGATGCCTTCTTGAAGAATTTGGAAAAAACCAATGAATCAATTCAACAAAGACAGAAGAGAAAAGTCATTGAAGAACCTGTTAAAACAAATACTAATAATAATAATGCTTCTGATGATGAAAACAGTATGACTGGAGACGACCAATCAAGTAGCCACAATGAAGAATTGGAAAAAGCCAAGAAGGAATTGGAGAAACTTGAAATTAATAGACGAGTAACTGAAGAAAAATTAGCAAAGGCTCAAAAAGAAAACAACGAGAAGAACCTTGTTTTTTATCTAATTACAGACAAATTACCTGAATATTCACGTGAAATTCCAGTTTCTGCTCCATTGATTTATAAGGCTCTCAAACATTGGGATTCTTTCAAGCCAGAAAATAATTCATTAATTTCCAAGATTATTACTGCCCTGACTTCTGTCATTAGAAGTAATGACACTAAATTTGATACATTATGCTATTGGTTATCTGTCATGTTAAGTTTACTCACCCTTTTACAAAAAGACTTCCCAATTACTCATTCCCACGAACAAGGTGTTCAAGTTGACTTACTCAAGGATTTAGATTTGTCTTCAATCAATGTTGGTAGTAGAGGTATCCTAGATGATGTTTTGCCATCAAAGGAAACAACTGTTGGATATATTGAAATGTTAGAAGCAGTTGTTAAAACAGTATTAGAATTGGATAAGGAAAAGGGTATAAGAACAACTAGCATTTCACTTGTTGCTTCAGATAATGGTAATGATGATGACAACTCATTTGCTTTTGAGGGTCCTGTTTCTCAATTCAAAAAGGATTTATTGGAGTTAATTCATAAGATTTTTGTGATTCTGTACCAAGATGTGATTCGTAAATTACTTCCACTTCTTTTTGAAGGTTTATTTGGTAAGAATGGGCAACCATCTTCAAATGCTGATGCAAACAAAATTGGAAAAGTACTTGATGAAACATTCAAGCTATTCAAGAATAACTTTATACCAAAGACATTCAGAGAACAATTTTTCGGACAAGTATTCTACTTTATTAATTGCTTTGCTTTCAATGCAGTGTATTCACATAAGAGAAATTACTGCAATATGAGTTCTGGTATTATGTTAAAGATGAGCGTCTCTATATTGGAACTATGGGCTGAAGAAAGAAACTTTGAGTTTTGTACTTCCAAACAATTCACACAAGGAGTTGTTATTACAGGAATAGGGATGCTTTTCTTGAGACAAACAGCTGACGTGATGATTACTGCCAAGTCTTCACTTGTTGATAAATCCTCAAGACAATTGGTTTGTCCATTGCTTTCTGATACTCAATTGAAAAGAGCTTTGGAAAATTACAAGAAGGACGATTTTGATAATGTTGTTCCTTCATCAGTGCTGAATAATATTCACTCTGATAAGAGTAAGCCAAAATATTTATTGAATGGATCCCTTATCTTTAAACCAAACCTCGAGTACCTTTCACAAAATTCCTCATCTCTTAATATTATGAACGATGCTATCTTCCAAAACAATATACCTGCACAATTACAGGACGAGGAATTCGATTTCCTCACCAAATAATTGTTGTAATCAACAACAAACAATGTATAAACTATAATTTATAATAATCTATTAATAGATGTTTAAATTGTAAATCACAAGAATAAAGTTAATATTGGAAATTGCTTTTAATGATATAAATTATTTCAATGAATTAATCAACGACCAAAGATTGATGAGAGCACAGTGTTGTTTCTTCCTTGCTAGGCATTTAGAATAGTTTTATTTTGTAATTTACAATCATGTTTAGAGAGAGTATGATGAACAAACCTTCTCGCACAAGTCAACCAATTCATTATATAGCTCCTTATTTTTGGTAATTGGCAATGGTTCTTTAACTGCACATTGATCAAAGAATTTACCAGAAATTCCAGAAACATCTTTAGAACAAGCCAAATGGAGGGTGTTTTGACTACCAATTTCCAAATCTACAAAGAAAAAATATTGAATCAATGAAATCAAAGATTGGAGACCATAAGGAACCTCTCTCGATAATTCTGATTTGATAGCTCCTGGATGGCAAGCATTTACAGTAACTTTGCAATTTGGAGTATTCTTGATACGTTCATTAAAGTAATAGGTTTGATAAATATTACACAACTTGGTAAAACCATATTGCTTATTCTGGTTGACCAAGAAAAAATTAGAGAATGGTGTGACTGGCTTTTGTACACGATTCATCAATGTATGAACCTTCTTCTCAGTATTATAAAACTCATAATCCTTAATAAACATGTGAGCATATGAGGAAACAATCACAATTCTAGCTCCATTAGGATTACCATTCATATTATTCCACAACAAGTCAACCAACAAATGATGACCCAATACATTCGATTGAAACATCTCCTCATATCCTTGAACTGAATACCTTTCCCCTTTTATGAAATTAATTTACCATAAATTCAATTATTAACAAACCTACCTCCTACAGCACATCCTGCATTATTGATAAGAACATCCAATACTAAACCACCGTGTAAAAATTCCCTAGCACATTCTCTAACACTTTCCAAATTATTGAAATCCAATTTAATGAAATTCAAAGATCCTCCCTCATAGTTTACTTTCTTTTTCTTAATTTGTGAAATTACCTTTTGTGTCTTTTCTTCATTCCTACAAGCCATATAAACTGTAGCTCCCTGTCTATACAATGCCTCAGCAGTATAGGAGCCAATACCTGCACTTGCACCTCTACAATATTTCAAATTATTCACAATGATGACAAATTGACCAAAAATTTAAATCATCACAATTACCAGCAGATTTTAAATTCCCAATCAATCAATATTATTATTACTCCATCACCACACAAATAAAACAACGTACGTTATCAAGCAAACCTTTCCTCTCATATCTTCCTTCTCTCCATTAGTTCTCACTCCTCTCGTCATGAAATATTTCAGGAGCATGAGTGAGGATCCGACAATTCCTACTGCTGCTGCTGCTGTGCAACCAATGGCAAACTGATGCTTTTCGAGTAGGGCAGAGTAGTAACCACCAGTAGTACTAGCGGCGCCTAGAAGATTGGAAAAATTGAAGAGCGGCATTTTTTTTCTAAATGCGCTCGAAAAATTGCCGCTCCAATAATTGATTTCAGAAATATGAAAACTTTATTGTGTCAAACTAACTAAACAACAGGATTTTCTTTGGATTTGATTCTCCTTCTCAAAACCAACACGATTACAACAACTGAAATGACAACAATCACCATCAAGCCACTAAATCCAAGAACTGAACCAACTATTGCTCCAGAAATTACCTCATTTTGGTCATGTGTTGAAAATTCCAACAAACACTGACTGTCCCATGCTTTACATTCAATTTGCAAATAGACAGGAACATGCTTTTCACTCTTTTTACTTTGTGGAATGTCAATATATTGAGAAATGGTATCAAATCTTGAGATTACCTTTGTTTCCAACTTTGGATCATCTTGCTTATTAAAAGTATATCCAATGTTGAGTTTAATTGGTTCATATGGATAGTCATTCTTCACATCAATATATGTTTGTGAATCACCCTTAATTATATTTGAAAAATCCAATCTCAACATGCAATTTTCACACATTAGATACGGAGAATTAAATTGAGGTATCTCAAAAACAGGACTGATGGTGCAATTGACACTAAATTCCACATCTGAAGAGAAAATCAAATACCACGGTCCTCTATGCAACTTGAGGGAAAAATTGTTGACACTATCTCTATTCTCAATAATGGATTCCCAATTAAATGTCTCATTATTAAAGACATTGTGAGAGCTGTACAAATTAACACGAGTACTAGCATTGAAATTTAACAAGTAGGATCCACCACTAATACCCTCCTCCTTTTCACTATTGATTAATTTATAGAACATGTTGGAGCGTGTGGAGGAAGCAGCTACTCCGATAGATGATGAGCATACACACAACAGTAATAGAATGGTCAGCAGTAATAAAGAAGTGGTGCAGTTCAGTGATTTCATTTTCTTTGGTTAGGAGTTGTGATGTGAAATTTTGCTATTTAAGGCGGAACTTTAATTTTCACTCCAACTCCAACGATTAATTGTATCTCACCAACGTTGTTACTGTAAAGGAGAGTTGTTGTTGTTATTGTTGGATTCCATTACAATTCATTGGGGTCTGGATATAGGAGATGACTCATATATACATTAATTCATTATTATAATAACAGCATCTAAAACAACAATTACCAAGTGAAAAAAAAAGAATTGAAATCTATGCAACAACTACACTTGTTGTGGAGTTGGATTTATTTGAGGGATTATGAAAATCAAATATTGAATTATAAAAATTGACAACTATTTGTTTATGTGCTCTTTCCACTTAATATGTTGTTTTTCAACTTTAACCAATTTCTCTAAAATGGCCGATTTATAGGGTTAGATAGATGGGAACCCCAGATTGGGGTAATGATTTAACACTCAACTATGACACTTGCAATATTATGTCACTCACACAAAAACAATCAAAAAAAATGAGTAAACGAAATAGACAAGATTTGGAAAATCAATTAATTAATTATTCGGAGGAAAATAATATGGACGAGAAAGCAAAAAAGGTTTCAATGCAACGACAAGAAATATTTTCAGATGATGTTTGTTTTGAAATAATTTGCATGCTCGATGATTCGTGGTTTATTTTGAATAATTGTTCATTGATTTCAAAACAATTCTTTAATGTGATCAAGGAACGTTCAAAACTTGTTATTCAATTTAATCAAAAATTTACAGAAACAAGAATTGAATTATTCATGAAAAGTCAATTTATGAATAGTATTGTTCATCTTAAATTTTATAGAAGCTCGCTTGACTCTATAGAACAAGTCAAATTAATAAGTGAAATGAAACAATTAAAATTACTTGATATTCGTGGAATTCAAATAGGAGATGAAGGAGCCAAATTTATAAGTGAAATGAAACAATTGAGATCACTTAGTATTTATAACAATCAAATTGGTGTAGCAGGAGTCAAATCAATAAGTGAAATGAAACAATTAACATCACTTGCAATTTGTAACAATCGAATTGGTGATGAAGGAGTCAAATTTATAAGTGAAATGAAACAATTAACGTCACTTACTATATGTTACAATCAAATTGGTGTTGAAGGAGTAAAATCCATAATTGAAATGAACCAATTAAAATCACTTAATATATCTTACAATGAAATTGGAGATGAAGGCGCGAAATCAATATGTGAAATGAAACAATTAACATCACTTAATATATGTGACAATCGAATTGGTGTAGAAGGAATCAAATCAATATGTGAAATGAAACAATTAACATTACTTAATATATCTAAGAATCAAATTGGTGATGAAGGAGTCAAATTCATAATTGAAATGAAGCAATTAACGTCACTTGACATATGTTACAATCGAATTGGTGATGAAGGAGCCAAATCCATAAGTGAAATGAAACAATTGAAATCACTTGATATTTATAATAATCAAATTAGTGATGAAGGAGTCAAATTTATAAGTGAAATGAAACAATTAACATCACTTGATATTAGTGCAAATGAAATTGGTGTAGAAGGAACCAAATCAATATGTGAAATGAAACAATTAACATTACTTAATATATCTAAGAATCAAATTGGTGATGAAGGAGTCAAATTCATAATTGAAATGAAGCAATTAACGTCACTTGACATATGTTACAATCGAATTGGTGATGAAGGAGCCAAATCCATAAGTGAAATGAAACAATTGAAATCACTTGATATTTATAATAATCAAATTAGTGATGAAGGAGTCAAATTTATAAGTGAAATGAAACAATTAACATCACTTGATATTAGTGCAAATGAAATTGGCGTTGAAGGAGTCAAATCAATAAGTGAAATGAAACAATTAACATCACTTAATATTAATAACAATGAAATTGGTGATGAAGGAGCCAAATTTATAAGTGAAATGAAACAATTAACATCACTTAATATATGTTACAATCGAATTGGTGTTGAAGGAGTCAAATTAATAGGTGAAATGAAACAATTGAAATCACTTAATATTAATTACCAAAAGACGAAATCTAAGGATTTGGTATGGATTACAAATGAGACTGCTTAATCAACCTCACACTTAAAATAACTATTAACATTCTTCCCAATATCTACGGTCAGGTTCTCGACGGAATTGCAACCGATTGTGAATTATTTACATTGAGTAAGGTTTGAGGTTAATGAGAGGCTAATAATAATAAAATAATAAAAATAGATTAGAATTATAAAATAATAAAAATAGATTAGAAAAAAATGTCTGATGATCAACAAGAGGACCTTTCACCTTCCCGTCCGACTGAAAAAGAAGTAAAACCACCACCCCTTCGAAAATATGGCAATTTGAATGATGTGAGAGAGGCTCATTCGTTCTATGCTGTAGGAAATATGGCAACAATCTTTGTTTTTATGGCACAGAATAATGCAGATAGTTTTGAATTGATTGCGTTGGAGGGAGAACAATTTCCTGACGAGGTACGTGATAAGCGTGTGTCGTTGATCTTATCTGGTGGGAGAGCAAGTGGAGTTTATTCAATATTTATGATTAGAGGATTGGAAAAGAAAGGTTTCTTGTTGGGAAAGGGAGTTGTGAAATATTTTACATACGAAAGGTTGATGAATGATGTGGATAGTTCAAAATCGAGGAGATTTAATCGATGTTTGGCTTGTTGTGAGGGATATGTAATTTTAGAGATGGAGGATGAGGAATTGTATATATTTGAAATTGTGGATGAAGTTTTAAAACCATTTAAATTGGAAAAAAAAGTGAAACTAATTGCTCACAATATGATGTCTAGCACTGTTGCTGTGTATTTTACAGATCATACTTTGAGGATTGTAGATTTGACAAATGACAACAAGTTGGGAAATGAAATTGAGTTAATTAATAATTCTCCAATCAAAGTCTTGGCGAAATATGCAGCAGATTTATTTATTTTCGTTCATCAGGATGATTCCATGTATATTTATAGAAATGATGAGGAAAGTGATGGGTTTGTTAGTATTCCAGACAATGTCACTACTCAAATCAAAACTGAGTTTTCATCTCCAATCAAACAATTGGTTGCTGGTTATTCACATTTTGTTGTTCTACTTGAAGATGGAAAATGTTATACCAGGTAGGTTATTTTGTAAATGATATAGTTGAATTGAATGCTAATTCTCTTTTAATAACCAAGAGGGATGAACAATTATGGTCAAATAGATGGTAAAATGGGTGGTGAGGGCTCTACAGTGACTCATTTTCATCCAATTCTTCACAATATTGGAACAGTGCTCTCTGTGAATTGTTCTTCATTATCCACAACTTTGGAAACAGAAAGTGAAATAGTTCTTGTCGGAGAAGTTTCTCAAACATTCCAAAAGTTAAGTTATCCTTATTGTCAGGGAATGAATAGCTTTTGGGTTCATAGAAAAGAATTCTCAGATGAAACAACTAGCTTTGGACCTTGGCATGGATTTATTTATAGAGCTAGTTTCCATAATTTACCTTGTAAGACATTACAATATTTCAAAAATAATTTGAGAATGTTGGTAAAGGTTCCTAAACTTTCTGATATTTCCATTCAATAATTGCCTATTAAATTAATTTTACAGCTCCATAAATTTCAAAACTCAAATATTGCGGAAGAACTGTTAAGGTAAACAACTTACTAACCTCACTCTAACCATGCAAAAAGAGTTTTATTTTATTGTTGTTTTATTGATCATTCCAAAGAAAATCATTCTTCATTGAGGTAATTCCAATTGTGAGGATCTGAATTTGGACATTGTGAATTCAGGACAATCTTATCAAACTTTAAGGTGATCAATTGCTGATTAGAGTTAATGACATGCATGATATTTGGTTTAGTACAGAAAGATCCAAGTACCCATCCAACTGTTTGATTGGCCTTTTTGAAGGATAGTTCGTTGTGATCGAAAAGAAGAACGTGGCCCTTTCCTTCATCTCCAAATCCAAGAATGGCCACAGTTGAGTCATTGATTTCACAAGCTGATTGAGGTGTTGGATGAATTCTAAAGTTCTTTGCCTCAAATGCCAAAGTAGGAATTGATTTGTCTGGATAGATTATTTTCCATGTCTTTTTCTTTAAATCAAAACAATGAACTTTTGAAAATGATTTCGTAGAGTCACTACCACCAATTATCAAAAGTGAATTCTTTTCTGGCAAATGAATGGCTGAATGCTGAGAGAGGGGATCAGGTAAATCGTTATGATCCTCTTGTTTAATTTTCTCCCATGAAAAAGATGATAAATTCAATAGATACATGTCGTTGAAATATTCGTAAGGACCTCCCTTACAGACTTGTCCACCAAATATCAATATACTATTCAACTTTGCTATGTAAGTTGCAGAGTGGAAGGCACGTGCAGATGGAACTTCTCCTTTGGTTTTCACATTAATGAGAGAGGCAGCATTGATATCATAGCAAATGACATCATTGTACTGATATTGAGAATCAAAACCACCAAATATGAAAACCATATCATTGACACATGTGGCAGAGTGTCCCCACTTGGTTTCTGTGACAAATTTCCCACTCGTATTCTTCAACTTTGGCACAGAAACATTTCCAGTATTTACATCAATGAATTGAATCATTTGTCCTGCGGTAGCTCTTGGTCCTCCAATTACAATAATTGTATCTTTCCATTGACAAGTGCTTGAGAATATTCTATCACCAATGGCTGCATTATTTACAGAGCTAACAGAAGAAACGAGCTTTTGATTTCTTTGCTTGGTAGTTGGCAATCTCATAACTCCTCGTACTTTAGGTTGTCTAATATAGAATTCATCATCGCTTGGACATACATTTGTGGTATGATATCTGGACTTACATGAACCACATTCCTTAATGGAGTAATAGTTTCTTGTTTGGCCACAAACCAAGTAATAATATTTGAAGAATTCAGGAGGTACTGGATAGAGTGTTTGTTTGGAACCATAAAATCCACCACCAGTTTCCAAAGTCCTTGGTAGATCGTCCAAAGATTTGATTTCTCCAACTGGTTCAGTACAATACAATGAAGATGGTCTACCAAATAAACCAACAGTGTATGAATCAGAATCATCAGAATCATCTCCAATCCACCAATAATTTAGAGAAATAGAATTTCCATCTGAGAGTACCATGTGTGGCCATCCTTTTGGGATGAACATAACATCACCAGGATTCAGTGTGACACGAACAGGATTTGATTTGAAAAAGTTAGGGAAATTCAGTGCGATTTCAGAAGGTTCCTTAGTGAGATCGATACGTGTTTGTCTATCACTGGTTGGATGATCTTCCTCATTGAGATAGAGTAAGGATTTTTCCTTTGGCTCCCATAAAATCATGTGTTTCTTTCCAAATATTTGAACGAATAAATTATCTGAATTATCATAGTGAATTGGTGTCAATGATTGATCAGAAGAAATCCACATATTTCTATAAAATTGTGAACTGCCAATCAATTGACTTTGTAAATTTTCCACATTTCCCAATTTTGATTTGGTTTGTTGTAATTGCCAAAATGCATCTCCCAACACCCGAGTGTCCATTTGATAAATGTAGTGTTTCTCATTGGGAGAGAGGAGAAACATTGGTTCCTTTTGTAGCTGTCCTCTCGTTCCAAAGACAAACGAGAGAGCTTGTTCCAAACTCATTGAAACAACCTTCCTTTGTGGCGATTGGACATTCTTATATCCATGTCCACCAGGAAACACACCATCAGTGGCAACATATAAATCAACTGTCTGTCCACCCACTTGTGATCCATAATCCTTCACCAAATCCATAAAATCCTTCATAAAACCATCAACATTAACCAATCCATCAGTCGACTGCTGATCAATCACATGTGGTACAGCATGTAAGACCAATCTTTGCAAATTGATATTCTCTCCCCTTTTCTGTTCGGAATTGAAGGGATGAACAGAGAGTGGTTTGGCAGAACATTCGAGACCTTGCCCGGTGAATTGTTCTAAAAGCCATTTGGAGAGTGAGCTACTACCAGTAACACCTTGATTGGTTTGAACCATTTTTTTATTATTTAAAATTATGTTGATCTTTGGCTATGAGAAAGATTTCGCAATGAAATTCTGCAAAAACGAATCACAGATTGGAACCAAGTTGGAAAAAGTTCACCGAGTCAGTGACGTGGTTGTTCTGTATTCATATCAATGGTTAATAATCTTTATTACAAATTCTTTTGAATGGCTTCTCTCATAACCTTGATGGTTTGTTGAGGTTGAGGAGATTTGAAAATTGCAGAACCAGAAACAACAACGTTAGCTCCTGCTTCAGCTGCTGGAACAATGGTTGTTTCAGTAACACCACCATCAACTTGAATATTCAAATGTGGATACTTTTCACGTAAAATCTTGACTTTTTCCATTTGATCAGCCATAAAAGATTGTCCACCAAATCCAGGTTCAACACTCATAATTAAAATCATATAAATGGATTCAGTATGATTATCCAAAATAGGGAATAAAACATCAACTGGAGTCTTTGGTTTGATAGTAATTGAAGTTTTGCATTGTTTTCCTTGTTTTTCATTTTCTTCTTTAATTAAATTCATAACTTTTAATGTAGATTCCAAATCACCATTTTCCGATTCGTAATGGAAAGTAATATTATCAGCTCCTGCTTCAATAAAATCATGAATCCATTTACTTGGATGAGAAACCATCAAGTGGCAATCCAAAAATCCCTTGGTATGTTTTCTCAATGATTTAACTACTGGTGCTCCGATAGTAATATTATTAACAAAATGACCATCCATCACATCAACGTGTAACCAATCGGCTCCGAAATCTAACATTTGATTGGAATCGGCAGCGAGAGTGGCAAAGTCAGCACTAAGAATTGATGGACAAATAATGGCTTGGAGTTGTTGAGACATTTTTTTAGAATTAATTTATTAATTTATTAGAATATTGTGTTTAATTTGTTTAATTTTAGAAGGCGAATTAGTAAACATTTTAGTAAATATTGTCGGTACGGGAAATAATTGTACAGTGTGATTTATTAATGAAATTACAGTTTGTCGGATTGCAATGTGAAACGAGGGAAGTTAATTCTAGGATAAGGTGTTTGAGAGAGTTTGACTTTGGAGGCCTTCTTATTGGCAAGGAGTAGTGAGGCAACTTCCTTTTTCCAGTTGTCTGCTTCTTTTTGTAATCCTTCAAATTCTTCTAAAGCTATTGAGACATAGATAATTAAATCTTTTGGAATGTCGAGGGATGGATTGTCGCGTACGAGATCATTAAATGATTTGGAATCTGCCTGAACTGATTTAAGTGTTTGAATAAATGTTTCAACCTTGCTCTTCAAAACTCTAAAATAATTTTGTTTAAGGATATATTGAATTAAATTCTCAATACTTACAAATCAATTGATTCTTCAACTCTTTGGAATTCACTATCAACGGCCTCTTCAGCTTGTGCTTCCTTCTTCTTCTTTTTCAATATTGAGGATGATCTAATCTTTGATACAGAGCTGTAGGAAACAATAGACTCAATACTTGGACGAGTTCCAGATATTGAAGTTCTTCTTGGTTCCATATCCAAACTACGACGTATGCCTGTATCTTCAACTGAAACTATTGTTCTCTTCTTTTCATAGGCTGGTGGCGTAAGTGAGTTACTGTTAGATCTGTCTCTTCCAACTATTGGAGAACTTGGTTTATCCTTCTTAGGTTTGTCTTGAGGAATGGCAGAGAGTGGTGCAAATTCTGAAAATACTGACGAAGAGTATCTTTGCAATTTGAAAAGAATAATTCTTTGGAAGATGCTTCTAATGTCTGCACTCCAATGAAGGAACAAGTGATAGAATCTATCTCTCAACAAGTCATGCCCAATAAATTTCATTCTTGCCCTTCCGTTGAACAAGTCCAGAATATTATACACGAAAATTAAAGTTCTCGAAACAATTTGGAAATGGTCTGTTTCAAGAAGTCTCGAAATTGCTGTTTCAAAGAACTCGAAATTGAAGCTATATCACAAATTAATTCTTGATTAAATTTTCTAGTATACTTACTTCTCAGGTAGTGAACCAATAAATAGTTCAATATTAGAGTCATTAGATTCCAAGTAGAAATAGGTATGTTGATGTTTTTGATTTCTGTACAGTAAATATTGTTGGAATTGGTGTTCCAAGTGTCTCACTTCTTCGAACCACTTGTCCGTCCAATCTAGAGTGTAGAAAACTTGATCGGGGTTATATCCGTTAGTGTTTGAGAAGAAAATTTCCATCAAAATGTTAATCACTCTAGGGTTACGAAGAGCAATCAGGGAGCATGACAACCATTGCTTAAATGCGATGGATTCGTGGCCATCCTCACCTCTTGCTGATTCTTCTAATCTTTGAATTTTTTGTTCTTGTTTGTTAGTTGTATCAGTTGATGAAACAATAGCATCGCTAAAGTTAATATTGATATGTTGTTTCAAATAAATTTCACCCAATTGAGTAAAATGAGTTACAAGAGTAGTATATCCGGGCACTAGTTGCCAATGTTTGTTTGATGTATCATGTTTCATAATCTTACTGATTTGATCCACAAATTCTGAGAAGAAATAATTGAAAAAGTCGGCTGAAACCTTTGATGTTGGTACCCACACAGATGCATTCTTCATCCATTCACTCATCTTGATTAGAATAGACTTGGTATTTGGATCATTGAGTGGATCAATTTCAAAGAAGAATTTAAAGTAGCACAGAGCTGTCTTGAGTACGAATAATTTTTCCTCATCCTCAGCTGGCTCTTCTTTTGTCTTTTCTTCTTCATCTGAGTCATATTGTCCTAGAAGGGTCGAGAGACTGGTCATTGAAGGGACATACTTTAAGTTTTTAAAAGACTTTTTCTTAATGTCCAAGTTAGTGTTCACAATATCAACAGTTTCAGGTTCCACAAAATCGGAATCAAATTGTTTCAAACAAAGGCTAGCAACAAACATCTCAATTTGATCGACCGATAATAATCGGAAACAGTTTACGGCCAGAACAGAAGCACAAAATCTCATCAATTCAACAACGATATTTTCATGCTTCTTCGTCTTTAGTACTTGGTTGATGACGAAATCTTGAGTTCTCACCAGTAATTCCTTGTATTCCAATAGGACCTTCTTTGATAGTTCATCATTACCGTCGGATTTCTTCATAGATCCTAGTAAAGAGCTTAGGAAACCTTTCTTTTGTGGTTGGTTGTTAGGATTAAATGTTGGACTAATTTTCAAGAATGATAGATCTGTTTCTGTAGATGATGAGAGATCGGCACCAGTGTGTGATGGAGAGACCTCCTTTGTTATTTGATTCAAAATTAGGTTTTGGAAATACTTTGGGTGAAATTCTCTTCTCTTGATCAACAATAAAATTAACTTGTAGCAAGGTAATCTATAATTAATGCTGATCATATCTATTCTAATAATCAAATACTTCCACACATCCAGGAATAGCTGTGATGCTTGGAGTCTCTTCTTTGTAATGTTGTGTGTTTCTTCCAATCCAATAACTCCCACATTGTTATCAATTGTTAAACCTCCGAAATCAAATCTTGGATCTTCTTGAAACATTTCCAAGAGTTGAGATAATACATTCTCTTGGATCGTTTGTGATGACAGTAATTGTTTACACAATTTCTCTTGCTTTCCTGTCCACTTTACCAGAAAATCCCTTCTGCTGGTAAATTGTTGTGTAGGGTCTTCTATAGCGCTCATCAAATTTAAAATTGACTAATATAAATATTAAAATATGATGATGATTAGTCAAGATTGCCAAAGCTGCCTGATGATAGCAAATCTGATGATATGAAAAGAAAGGCTTTTTTTTATTTTTGGAATTTTGAAAATATAGGCCTTATTTGTGAGTATGAAATGACTTCAACCTTCTCCGACCAGCCGTGATGCAACGGCTCTTTGGCATAATTATGGAAGACATTGATCCAATTTTAAATAGTGGTGTTTCATCAATCTTCCAAAGATTTTTGTATTGTCGCTAAAACCTTGTTGGCTGATATATATTGGTAGGAAATCATTCTTGTTATCAATTTACAAAGACAACAATATCTCTGTTTGTGTAGAACGTTTGTTGGTATGAATTATATTGAATGTTTAGAAACCAATTAATTTCCCTTATCTCGGAACATTAACGAGGTCTGGGGTTGAAATTTTCTTCTTGAAATGCTTGAGTGATTAATTTGGTGCTTACAGTTGTTGATTGGTATTATTCATTCGTTGTAAATATTCGTTCAATCTGAGCTGAATGACAAACTTATTGAGATGATAGACAAAATATTCGTCAGAGTTTTCCATTTTGATTTCGTGAAGATCTTTGAGTTGAATCCAAGGTTTGGACTTTTCTATTGAGCTGAGCTTGTTCATGATCAGTTGATGGTATTCACTTCGTTTCTCTTCAGAGGGAAGATGATTTCTCACCTTCATTAATTGATCTCTTTCCTCAGAGCCATTTTCAAACCAGATACGTGGGGGTTTTCCTTGAATTAATCTCTCAGTTTCGTAACACAATCTTAGTGAGTGGTAGTAATTCTTTTGGTAACCTCGTTTGATTTTACCCTCTCCTTGTTGTAATTGTCTTTTAGCAAATGCACAATGAGATGAAATAACCTTCTTATTTAAGAATTGAATGTTTAACTTTTTCAAAGGTTCCCATTCTCTTGATTGATATTTATATGGGAAGAAATCTGGAACGAATAATGTTTGAAATACGAAAGGATTTCCATGTAGACACAATTCCAAATATTTTCCAATTTCTAATTAATTATTAGATTAATCCAAATAATATAAATATTAATATTATTATTTTGTTGTAATTAATAGTAATAAATTAATAATAATTATTATAATAAATAATGATCTGATCAAAGTACACAACCTACCAAAACATGAAATATCATTTCCATCCTTTGTTACGGTACAAATTCCCTTATCAGCCAAATTCAACACCTTTGCCTTGGCACTTCCAATGCTACTAATATCAACATATGATAATTTTGGTTCATCAATAGAAAAAGAAGGCATTGATAGGAATTGCTCACACGGTAACATGTAAATCATGACAAAATCAAAATCACTCTTATTTTCATTCTTTAAATTGTAGAGTGTTGATCCGACAGCTGTGATGAACAGTAATTTAGCCTTTGGTGAAACATTTTCCTTCAGGAAATCCTCACCCATCAATTTGATAGAATTTTCATCGAATTGTTTGTTGTTCATTTTTTTTAATCAAATACCTAAACAGAAAAACCTTAGAGTACTTGGCCATTACCCTTGGGATGATACTTTGGTAACACAAGACATCCAATCCAAGATAGACAAATTCACAAAATCATTAAGATTTTTACCATTATTCAAATTACAGCCAACAAACCTTAAAATAATTATGCATGCTAAAGCAATCAGCCTATTCACTCACCTCTCAAAAATCAATATAATCCCTTTAAAGAAAGCTCAGGAAATAGATCGTGCAATTAGAGGTGCAATCAGACGTAAATTATTAATGGACAGAGCAACTCCAACAAGTTTCTTTCACCTGCCATTAGAAGAAGGTGGATTAGGATTACCATCAATTGAGGAATTCTCTGAAAGAATGAATTTAAGAACTATGAATTTAATCGCCAATAATAAGAATAAGTTAATAAGAAAAGCTTTCAAACATGGTATCAAACATTGTGAGGAAACTAAAGATAATATTTATGCTAAATGGTTATCTGTACTTAAAGAATATAATCTCACATTTGTGCAGAATGATACGAAATTTAGAATAGCCAAAATTAAAACAGGGAATAGTTTCGATATCCATACAGATGGATCTAGAATTAATCAAAAGACAGGAATGGGTATTAATATTTATGATACCTCAAATAGATCAGTTCCTTGTAAAACTTTATCCCTCAGAATCAATAATCATTATTCAAATAATATAGCCGAAATATGCTCTATAATAACTTCTATTAATGTAATCCCACGAAACTCTAAAGTTACCATTCATACTGATAGTGAAGTTGCAATAGAAGTTCTCAAAGATAGATACAAAGGAGATTTTCTAACATTAAAAGAAGCCTTCTTTAGAACAACCAAAAATAGAAAAATAGAATATGAAATTAAGAAAGTTGAAGCACACAAAGATAGCGAGAATATCAAGGTTGATTTAATAGCAAAGAATGCTACAACCAGAGATGATATTTTTGATATTCGTAATTTACTCAAGAATCAACACCTCCTTGTTAAGGATGGTGTTGTCATCTTCAATCATAAGAAGATGACCATAACAAGACATTTAAGTGTAAGACATAATAAGATGAATGAAAACCCTAACTTTATTCTAAACCAAAGTTGGTATTCTCTTAATGTGCAATACCTTAAAACTCGTCTTACTCCTAAAACTAAATACTTTATATGGAGAAATTCCATCAATGCCCATATCAATTTTGGTAAGGGTAAAAGTTTCTGTTACGATTGTGGTACAGAATCTGATTTATTCCATTACATTCATGAGTGCCCTGGCTTGGATAGTGCCAGGTATTTTTGTCAGTCAAAGATATCTGATATTCTTGAAGGGAGAGAGTGCTTACTTTCTCATTTTCAATTCAAACCAGAAAAGCATCACCATGCATTACATTTCCATCATAACGGAATCACCTCTTTCGAAGATGGATACATGCAATTCCATAAAGACATCGCTAAGAAGTGGCCAGAGATCCAAGGTGCCATTTCTAACTTTGTCGGCCGTTCCTATTCTAACTATTATATTGACTCCAAATAATTTATATAACCTATGAGAATCTGAATAGATTCGTTATTGTCGTAATAAAAGATTTTTTTTAATCAAATTCAACAACGAATCTTGTTATTTTTGGATTTATTACAAAATCTTGGAAAACCGATGATGTTCATTAAGGATATTCTTAATACTATAACAAGAAGCGTCGATGGTTTAGTGGTAGAATACGGCGTTGCCATCGCCGTGACCCGGGTTCAATTCCCGGTCGACGCAGCCATTACTTTTTTATTTTATACTCACAAAACCTCAATAACTCAACTTTTTGTACATAAAAGTAGACATGTGCTACTACCTATCACTGAAATTTCATCCTTCCATAATTTGTAATCATCGAGAAAATAATCACAGTTTTGCTGCCATTTTTTTAAAAGAAAAAATATTAAATAAAAAATTGAAATCCATCAAAAATAAATAATATGAATAAACATTAAGAGTTCATCAGAGTGGTCTGATGTGTTACATGATTTCTTGAGGAGATGAAGGCATGTAAATTAGATTTCCTAACTCCACTCTTGAGTAAGATTAGAGCTGAAAAGAAGAAGAATATTAAGGAGTGATATTGGACTCCAAGTGACAATGCTCAGAACAGTACAGAACAGAGTAGAAGTTTAATCCTTTCTAATCATCTCTAGTGAATGAAAAGTTTCTTCACACTTAGAAACTTACTCCCATGGTTGCTGTCAATGAAAATTATTGCACTGTACAATTCCTTGCACACAACTTTTTTAATTACTTGTTAATCAATTACGCAATAATAATCTATCAAAATTGTGTTTATTTCTTTCCACAGAAAGTCATCTTATCGGTACGACATTCATTAAGTCTTTCCAAATTAATGAATTGAACATCTTGCTTACATGAATTGGTTTGCCAAATACGTTTCTCTGACCAGGTTGAATTACATGAGATGGAGTAACTTTCAGCACCATTAGAAATGCATGTATTCAATGGAGTTGCAGCAATTGATCTAACAACATCATTTTTACAATCAACCTTTCCATTGAAATTAACATGTCTGAAAGTCCACAACATTGCTGGATAATCATTGAAATTGAAAGAACCACATTCGATGGTGTAAGGTTGCTCTGGATCACTACAAGTTTCATCTGGAGTATAAATATTATCACCTTCGGTTTCACAATTAGAACAATTACTATTGCACGATGTTCCCCAGGTGTATCTGACCTTACCTGGAGCAATTTGTGTGCATTGGGAGATTGAATAGCCATAGGTTGGATCACTAGAAGGAACACACAGATTCGTCTTCTCAGCATAGATAGATTGGACGGTCCCAATGCATGAAGAACTACCTTTAGCATAATATTTGAATTTCACATATTGATTGTCTTGGTGAGAGTGGCAGATGGTGATGGCCAAGAAGAGGGTGAGGAGCAAAAGGGAATTGAATAATTTCATTGTTTTTGTTTTTTTTAACGAAGAGAATGCAAAGATAAGATTCGGCCAGTTTCGAACCGGCAAGAGCTGTTCCCTTCAGACTCTTTTGGCTGCCTAAAGCAGATAGAATTTTGTGTAGTGGAAGATAAGTTTGACAGCCCCTATCTATTTCAAATTTGACTAGGTTACAGAGAAACACCACGCTTGCTAAGTGTTCACCACAACTTTACAATATTCGAATTTGTGGCTGTAGACACTTCCATTAATAAACAAGTCCATTGGCTGCATTTCAAATTAACTTAGCAACATGATGTTTGTTCTTTTGCTTTGTATACTTCTTGGTTGCAAGTGCATTGCTACTCGATACTTCATATGGTGCTTTGAGAACTCAATATTTGTATCAGGGCACTGGATGTCATTCAGGTGATTATTTCATGAAGTCCATTCGTGGTAGTGTTGCAGGATGTAATGTAACTGAGTGTGCTCCATATGTTGCCGAACCAACTGTTCTCTCAAGTATGAATGTCCAACTTCATATCCAAGTAATCCAGAGCTTGCATTTGGTGGAATTCAACATCTGATGATCATATCAGAGAGTTATTGACACGAGCAGGATACGACTCACCACAAAAGATTAACAGCACTGGAGCATTTGGTACTATATTCAGGGTAGAAGATTCCATTCTAAAAGTTCTAAACTATTATAATTTAATGTCAAGTTTGCGAAAGATTCTAATTAAGGAGTATTATTTGGGAAGAAATGTTAGGGAGGAGGGAGTTCGGTACTATGGACTCATGTATAATGATGTCAAGAAATCTATTGTTGATATTAAGAGGATTATCATTCTCTCCAAAAACTTTGTTGCTCTCGAAATGAAATATTACAAATTTGGAGATTTGAGAAATTTGGTTTCTCCAAAATTGGCACTTCCACTTTCTACTCATATTTCCAGAAAGATTCTTAAAGATGTTTCGAAAGGATTGCTAAAATTGAAGGAGAATAACATTGTCCATTGTGATGTCAAGTTGGAAAATATTTTCATTGAGAAACTCGATCAACAAGAGGCAAGAATTAGAGTTATTTTAGGAGATTTTGGTGTTTCTACATTCGGAACTGATGATGAAACTCATCTTAAAGGTACAATGAAATATTTATCTCCTGAAGCTCAATATGAACATGATTATTCATCCAAGTCTGACGTTTATGCCCTTGGTGTTGTAATGAAATGTTTAACTCAAAACGATCCACATGTCAATAGAGAATTTCTTGACAAGATGACACATCCAATTAAGGGTGAACGTTATGATATTGAGGATGTTAGAAAAAATCTTGATGATATCATCCTAATCAAGAGACATCCAATAGATGTTCTTTCAACAATCAATGATGAATGTGAAATCATAGGCACATCAATTGTCTTGAATGGTTTCAGATATTCTGCCACTGAATACTTGGAAATCACCAATTTACAAACTGGAGAAACTTCTATGCGTTACTTCAATGAGTATATCAAATTAGCCAATTGGTGTCGCAGTAGAGATAGTGATATGTTCAATGCAAGTGATTACTGTGGTGCCTTGTTCATCTTTCAAAACAGTAAGAATGTAATAATCCTATTCCAATCCGCCTATGACAAGGGTTTTGCTGTTTTTAATTTGAATTTTGCATTGACTCAAATTATTGTCTACCCGACATACTTTCCAAATACTATACTCGATATGAAAGTGCAGGAAGAAACCGTTTCAATTAAGACAAAGGAGGAAGATGGTGATGAAGAGTGGGTTGAATATCCACATCCGTGGTGGAATTCTGAAATGAGAGAAACTATTTTCAGTAATGAGGATGACAATTACAACGAGAACAGTGATTACACATATAGGCATCAAGTTGAAAAATTAGAAACCTATCTCACAACAAGTCATGATGAACCTCCAAAATCCTTTGCAGATGAGCTCAAACTATTCTCAAATTTTCCTTACAAAATTGAAAAACTTGAAAAGGAAACATCATATGGAGTCAATATCTATTCATTCCCATTAGAAAACTGTTTTGCAGGAGTGTGCATCCTTTCAAAGAGATACAAAATATTTGAATACGTTGTGAACAATGTGAATGTTGATCATTTTAGTGATCCTGCTTTCCATCAAGCTCTAGAAAGAAAGAAAGCTGTTGTTGCTTGGGAATTCCTGTCTGATTACATTGTTATGATTTCAAATGTCCAAAAGATGACTCAAATAGCCGAAACCAATGAAACTTTGATTTTTTGAAAAATTTATTGGAAAGTATGAATTATACCTCTAAGGGTGTGTTTTCATCTTCATTTGGAGGTTCTTTATATCAATGTGCAAATAATGATGGAGATGATAATGAATCATCAAATAGGTGGAATGACGTATAAATATTTATAATTTTAAATATATTGATTTTTTTTCAAAATAAAAATTAAAAAAAATGGGAATTTTATTTGGAAAGATGTGGGAGCGATTGTTCGGGGATGAACAAGTAAAAATTTGTATTGTTGGATTGGACAATGCAGGTAAAACAACAACTCTCTATAAATTGTATGTTGTTTATTTGTGTGATTGTGTGGATTGAAAAATTTTGAATGATCATCGTGATGATTAAATTACTGATGATTATTTTCAATAATTTAATATTAAATATTAAATTATTATTGTGGATATTTGTGATGATCGGAATTTAATCATCAACATTTTTAATTTACTGATGAATTATAGACATTTGGGTGAAATTGTAGAAACTCAACCAACGATCGGAAGTAATGTCGAAGAAGTCAACTATAAAAACATCAAAATGCAAATGTGGGATTTAGGAGGACAAAGTTCACTGAGAGCTAGTTGGCAAATATACTTTTCCAATTCACAAGGAATTATTCTAGTAGTTGACAGTACAGATAGAAATAGAATTTCAATTGTAAAGGAAGAATTATTCAGAATTTTGGAATGTGCAGAATTGAAAGGAGCTTCAATTCTGGTTTTTGCAAACAAACAAGATGTTAAAGGGGCCATGACAGCAACAGAAGTGTCAAAAGCTCTCAATTTACAAAATATCAAGAGTCATGATTGGCATATTCAATCATGTTGTGCCTTAACAGGTGATGGTCTTGGTCCTGGAATGGATTGGTTAACAGAAAGAATTTCCAGCCACAAGACATCCAAATAATTCACTCTCAAATAATGTACATATAAAAAATAACTCTTATTTCAACAATTTATTAAAATTATTTATTAATTATAAATTAGCCGTTAAATTTTTCGCCAATTTTTTTCCACGACAAATTTTCGCCGCTGTTATTTTGGCTTATTTGTTGTTTGAGGTTTTTTGATGGTTTTTTCTTAAAGAGCGCAAAGAATCAAAGTTTCATTCCATACAATCATAAAACAAATACAACAAAACAATGTGTTATCAAACTACTTGCAGGTAAGTTGTACCAAGAGAGTACTTGTAGTACTATTATTGCTTAGTAAATGTGGAAAAAAAACCTGGGCAGGTAAGTCATCGAGCTCGGAACAATTCGTATTGAATTAATTTTAATTTTGATGATTTGATGATGATTTATAAATTAGGATGTGGAATGCACAAGGAAAGTGTCATGTCTCAAATTAAACCAGAAGAAAGATGTGCTTGTCCTAGAAATTAATTTACATCATCACCAGTAATAATAGATTAATTTTGAATTAATTATTACTGTTTTTACCTAGTTTTGTAAATAAAGATATGTTTTTTGAAATAAAGTAGCAGTATATTCATCGGAATTGGTTCAATAATTAGATACTGATCCAGGGAAGATGGTTATGATGGTTTTCAATGAATACTTGCTAGTAGATTTGAACAAAGTACCACTAAAAGAGTTGACATTCGAATAGGATTTGATTATGAAGAGGTAAATGACAAGAGATTGCTTGTTAACTGACTCTCAGTTGAATTTCTTTTCCGTCTGGATTGGATTCTTTCGTTAATGAAAGCGGACGAAATACAGATATTGATCTAGGTGATTTGAATAATTATTCACCTGTAGTTCGAAAACACAATAAGAGTAACCTCTTAAAAAGAGCATACGTGTATCCAACGCATTACCATATCATTATCCAGTGTTTATTATCGAGAAGATAAATCAAATCCTTTGAATAGTTGTATTACGTCATTTTTTTTAAAAATTTAAAAATTTAATTAATTATCTAATTTTCATCATTTGAAAAAAATAGCATAAATATCTTCTTGTGTTATTGTTGTGTTTCCGGCGTTCATCATCACAATATTAAATCGATTCTATCAAGGCTTTTGCTCAATAAGAATCGAGTAGAATAATAATACACGGATATTTTGGATTTTTTTCAAATTCTAGAACAATTTTGATATAAACTGGTTGATCGGAGAATGATCAATACAAATTTAAAAGGCAACAGCACCTCTTCGTTTGCTGAATCACCTACTGTTGCAACAACGAGCAGTAATATGTATAATTCATCGAGAGAAATGGCTGGATTTCCTCTTCAAAAATTAGTTTTAGGAGAAGTAAATTCTCTCATTCTAGCCATGAGAAATATTCATTCAATGAGATATTCTAATAGATATAGATTTGTATGTATTGTTATTAGTTACAGCTTTGAATAATATTTTAAAAGCAATATGAAAACTTACCAAGACAAGGAGGAAATGAAAGTCCTGTCCTTGTGGGAATGAGAGCTTTACGAGAAAAAATCTGTAGTAACATTGGATGGCAATCCATGACTAGTTTGGATATTCTTCAACCTTTCTTTTCAATTATTAAATCGGAAGATACTGAAGGAAGAATAACATCAATGGCCTTACGATCCATTCAAAAATTATTGGAATCACCAAGTTTTATTTGTAGGTTTTATTGTTTTATAGTATTATTCTTAAGGTAAAAAAGCTCCTTTATCTAATTTAGAAGAAGCCAAGACGGCCATTCAAGAAATTGTTTCTGCTGTTCAACAATGTCAATTCGAGTTTAACTCTACTGATTCTACTTCATTGTCAGAATCGGGAGGACCTATTATTTTGGATCATTCTCTTGGAAGTGGACTTGGTTCTATAGCATCAGTTGTATCGGAGACTACACTTTTGGAATCTGTACTCATTCAAATAATTAATACATTCATGTGTTGCATTAAATGTGAAGCTGGATTTTTAATACCAGAAGAGATGATTCTTGAAATCTTAAAGAGTGTTTTGAGAATTGGAAGAGAAACAAGACCATGCACTGATTCCTTGAGAAAAATAGCAGAAATGACAATGCAAGAAATTGTTAAAATTGTCTTTACAAGATATAAGAATATGGCTACCTCATCATCTCAGGCAGTCTATGGAGGAGAAAAGATTTTTGAATTTATTTGCGACATGTGTGATATTTCTTCTAATACTTCAACTGAATCACCATCAACAGCAGCCATCAAATTAACTTCTCCTTCAACAGGACCTAATTCTGCTGGAGTAAATAGTATTGGTACTAGATATTTGGGAATTAGTCTTGCTTGTCATGCGATTGAGCTTATTGGAGATACCATTTCCAAAGATAAGAATAACAAGATACTGAACATGATTTGTGATCAACTTTTTAGAGCCCTTTTGAGAAACACCAACATTTCCTATCAGACAATACTCTTTATGGCCAATGGTGAAATGATGTTCAGTCCAACTGTCCAATCTGGTATGGGGTCCTCCTCACCAATCACTTCTGCAGTTTTAATTGCTGCAAATGGTGGTAATTTACAACCAACCCATGCAAACTATGGCAATAACTTGATGCTCCTTTCTGCTGTTCTCAAATGTACCATATCCTACTTGGCAAGCTTACCTAATCTGAGATATTATTTGCATGAACAAATTGCTTCTATTCTCCTCACATTATTACAACATTTACCATCACCACAACAACAATACGGATCAAACAAGAAGAATTTTTCCAATTCTCCAATTTTAGGAAGTAATAGTAATATTTTCCTTCCATTCGAATTACAAGAATTAATTTTGGAATATTTGGTAGAAGTTTGTAGAGATTCAAACTTTATTACCTTCTTGTATAGAAACTATGATTGTTATGGATGCTTTGTAAAAAATAAGGATAACTTTATCGTCAATGTAAATACTATACCGAACCTTTTCGAACACATTTACCTCTATTTGAATAGTTATATTGGACTAAACTCAAATTCAAACTCATCAAACAATAGCCAAAATAACTTCCATAATAGTGCTTCTATGGGAAATACATCAAGCCAATTCAATAACTTTTCCAATCCTTCCTCATCTGGCTCTGGTAATTTGCATACTTTGCACGTGTTGGCATGGGTTGGCCTTTTGAGTGTTGTAAGGTGTCTTGCCGAACGATGCCAAGAACAACAAGAAAGTAGACAAACTTTGGACATGCAAATTGTTCACACTAAAATGTCAGAATTGAAAACTTTCAAAAAACAAAAGCACAAGTATATGGAAATTGTTGCCCTTTTCAATAGTAGTCCACAAGAAGCCATAACACAATTATTGCAATTACACAATATTAGCATTCCAAAAGATTTGACTCAATTCATCAAGAGTGACAGCTCAAACGAACAAGAAAGCACAACTGTCGACTGGAATGAGGCTATAGTTTTATTGCAAAGAGCTGCTGAAAAAATTTCTAAATTCCTTCTCGACTATAATATGTGGCTAGATAAGCAAAAAATTGTTGATTACTTTAATAGCTTCTCTTCTCCACCTAGTACAGTAGTGGATATTAAAGTAAATATGGGATCCATAGTAATACCAGAAGATCAACTCAATCACAACACTTATCTGATTCCAATTTTGAGTAAGACAAGAAAAGACCATCTCAGAAATGCCCTTCCTTTGGAAGTAATGAGACAATTTATGGATGGGTTTGATTTTTATGGAATGAGAATGGAAGAATGTATGAGATATTTCATTAATAGATGTAAGATTTCAGGAGAAGGACAACAAGTAGAAAGAATCATTAAACTCCTCGGTGAAAGTTACTACAGAGACAACAATACCCACTTTGCTTTGGAGAGAAATGATTCAAGCAAAAATCGTACCATACCAGCCATTCCTTACATTGACAATGGAGAACAAGCTTGGATTTTAGCTGTAGCTTTAATGCTCTTACACACAGATCTTCACCATCAAAACAATAGAAACAGAATGAATTTGGCCGATTTTATGAAAACCATTGGATATCACGATGAGTTAAAGGGTATTCCTCAAGAAGAACTTCACAAAGTCTATCACTACTTATTGGCTAATGAATTTGAAGTCATGACAGGAATGACCGATGCCTACAAGACTGAAGCAATTTGGAAAGAAGTTATTGTTGACAAATCCTTTGCATATTATGATGAACATTTGAGTAACAAATCAGAAACCTCTGAAAATATCATTTCCTATGTTTATGATATGGACATGTTCCAAAGTATGTTTGGTCATGTAATTCTTGCAACTACGACCATATTGGAACATACTGACGATATACAATTACTTGAATTGGCAATTAGAGGATTTTTGGATAGTGCTCGTGTTGCTGCAAGCTATCACTTGCATCATGTTTTTGATAACTTGGTCATTACTCTCTGCAAATTTACCACACTTATGGACGGTGTAACTCCACCTTCCATCTCTGCTGTTAGCTGTCCGAATACAAGTGAAAATACCACTTCACCACCAACATGGCCTCTCAATGCCAGTACTGCAACCTCAATTATGACTCATGATGGTGTTGTTATTTCAACAGTTAACAGTTCTGATCCTAACAGTTCAGCTTCTTCACCTTCTACAGCTCAAAGCTCTATTTCATCTAACAATAAGGGTGATGTTTCTCGTAACGATAAGAATAGATCAATTCTCATGTTTGGCCACAATGAAAAGGCTAAATTAGCTTGTCGTACCGTGTTTGCCATCACTAGAAAATATGGTGATAATCTCAGAGAAGGTTGGAAGAATATTTTAGATCTTATCTGTAGAATGAGAGAATTGGAACTTTTACCAGAATCTATTGTTGAATCAAGACTTGTTCGTCAATTAAGAGAATTCCAATTCCCATCTTCTAGTGCTGATTCTGCTAAACTTTCCTCTCCAAGAAAGGATAGTAATGATTCAACCATTTCCAGTGTTGCAACCAATCAACTTTTAACATCTGGTTCTTCCCTTTATAATCAAGTTATATCCAGTCTTTCAAAGAGTAGTACCAAGAAATCCAAGCCAAAATCTCAAAATGGAAGCAATGCTCCAATGAAGAGTGCAACATTCTCACTTCTCTCAACCATGTTTGGCGGCTTTTATGGCAGTGCTGACGACTCGAATAATGAAAAGAAGAAGAACTTGGACGAGGAATCTGATGATGAGGAAGAATATGAACAAGGACATGTCTCACAAAACTCTGAGGATGCCCACTTCTCTATTGAAATTAAACATGCTCTCGATGAATCAAGAAAGTGCATTGAACAATGTCGTATTGTAGAGTTATTAATGATGGATGCCAAGGAATTGAGTGGCAATTCATTGGAATACTTGTTGAGTGCCCTCATCAGAAATGGTAAGCCAGCAGGTATTTTAATGACCATGCACATTCCTGCTCCTCACTTGTTCACATTGAAAACAACCAAACAACAACAAAATGCAACTACCTCAACCTATTACTATTATGAAAGAGACTTAGATACTTCCCTCTTCTGTTTGGATTTATTGTGTGATGTTTTGATTAATAATAATTTGAATAGAAATACTGGTTGCGAAAGATTGAAACTTATTTGGAATTATGTTTACAGCCACGTTTACAAATTAATGATTTCCATTTTGCAATTATACCAACCAATCAGCACCATTCAATCCATTTACCAAGTTAATAATGGACCTAATAGTGCTCCACCATCTGTAGGTTCATCCAATCCTTTCGGTACTAGTTCTGGTAGCGATAGAAACAGCCCACTCCCAGTAACAAATAATCAACCACTCAGAACAAGAATGACCAAGCAACATTACCACGTCTTGCAAAGATGTTTGACTTGTATTTGGAGATTGTGTATGGATCTTTCTACACCATCTACCCAATTCAATAGTGTTGAAAATCAAGCAGAATGGGAGATTGTTCAAAAAGAAATGCTCTCTGTCCTTATTGATAACCTTGGTAAGCAATGGAGTGAAACTATGTTGGGTGTTTTCCATAATAGTTTACTTCCTATGATTCACATGTTCTTGTCGAGACAAGGTGAAACTCTACTCTCACCAATGGCTACCAAATTCATTCAAGATCGTACAAATGCTACCAATCTTAATCCTTCCACAATATTTACTGATAGCTCATCAAGACTCATTGTAGATTTGTGGGATCATTTAGTTTTCAAGATTTTGAGAAGTATTTCCAACGTTTCCTCCTCATGGATAAATAATAATCCTAATAGCTCACTCTTCACATCCATCAAACCTTCACAACAATTACAATTAATTACCAGATCATTAGATGTACTTACTCTCAGTTTACAATACTCTACATTACAGGATGATACTACTCATTTCGGGTTATGGTTTGTTGTTCCTGATAATATCCCAACATTTGTCCAAAGTATCTTGTCCGTTTTGAGTTCTTCCATTACAACAAATGTAAATATTCAAAACACCTCCAATGGAAGCAATAGCTCCCAACAATTTGTATCCACCCTTAAAAAGCTTATGGCTCTCACAATGGACATTTTAATCATTTTGGAAAATTTGGTTATGGAAATTTTGAAGAGAATTGTATCCATTGCCTATTCATCTGCTAACTCATCCCAAAACGTCATCAAATTGGATAACAAGTGGATCAATGCTTGGCTTTCAATTCTTGAAGGTATAGCAGTATTGTGTTGCACTGGTGGCATTAACACTAGTGGACCGGTCAATGTTCTGAACTTACTAATGTCACAATTGAATAATAGTCAAATTCAAATGTTGAGCCACCTCCAAAGAGATATTAGAACCCAAGCACTTTCAACCTTACAAAGATCTCTTGTTTATAGTTGTGATTTCAGATATTCATTCACTGCCAACCAAGAAGACTCACAAAATCTAAAATATCTCCTCAATGATCAACTCTTAATGATGTGTATGGATCGTGTATTGCTCAAGACATTTTTCCAAACTCTTCTCACACTCAAACCAAAGACAACTGAATATCAAACCAATCACAATACAGAAATGGATATTTCCTCTTTAGAAGAGCTTAGGGTCAGAGCCAACAACTTACTTGCTAGAATATTCCTGCACTTTTTACCAAGAATGTTCCCTGTGAATAATACTGAAAGTCAACAAGATAATGGTTTCTCTTCATTGTGGCTCACCATTCTTCAAGTTATGTACAACTTTTTACTCGTCAAACCAAAGAGTGATCATTTGAGGGAGGCTCTTCCAGAATTGTTGAAGAATATGATACTTGTAATGAATAATATTGAAGTATTCAGACTTTCTCCAAAGTTGTGGGAGTTAACAGAGAAGGAACTTTCTCAATCTATTCCAACCCTTTTGGAAGATGTCAAACCCAGGATAATCAATACCATGACACAACCTGCTGCTAACACTAACATTACAACACCTGTTGATAGTAGTGCCACAAGCAGTTCACAATCCAATGCAACTGCAAATTATACAACTGAATCAACAGCCACCACAGCTGTTGCACAAGATGATAACCCAACAACATCAACCGAAACACCATTTAATTCACAACAATAAAAGGAGTTCACACCTTAGGATAGAATGGGCAGAGATTTATAAATTGAGTAAAAAAAAAGAGTAGAATCTTAACAGTTATTATAATGAGTGTGAGGCAGAGTCTGGCCAAATCCTTTTTTTTGGATTTTACTTAAACATCTGTTGGTTATGAATACTAAGTGATTTTAATTGTTTCATTTCACTTATTGATTTGACTCCTTCACCACCAATTTCATTGTAACATATATCAAGTGATGTTAATTGTTTCATTTCACTTATGAATTTGGATCCTTCAGCACCAATTCGATTCTTAGATATATTAAGTGATGTTAATTGTTTCATTTCACTTATTGATTTGACTCCTTCATCACCAATTCCATTTCCACCAATATTAAGTGATATTAATTGTTTCATTTCACTTATAAATTTGACTCCTTTATCACCAATTTCATTGTAACATATATTAAGTGATTTTAATTGTTTCATTTCACTTATTGATTTGACTCCTTCAACACCAATTTGATTGTTATAAATATAAAGTGATGTTAATTGTTTCATTTCACTTATTGATTTGACTCCTTCAACACCAATTTCATTGTTATAAATATTAAGTGATGTTAACTGTTTCATTTCACTTATATATTTGGATCCTTCATCACCAATTTCATTTCCACCAATATCAAGTAATTTTAATTGTTTCATTTCACTTATAAATTTGGCTCCTTCATCACCAATTCCATTTCCACTAATATCAAGTGATGTTAATTGTTTCATTTCACTTATTGATTTGACTCCTTTATCACCAATTCCATTTCCACTAATATCAAGTGATGTTAACTGTTTCATTTCACTTATTGATTTGGCTCCTTCATCACCAATTCGATTGTTATAAATACTAAGTGATGTTAATTGTTTCATTTCACTTATTGATTTGACTCCTTCATCACCAATTCGATTTTCACCAATATTAAGTGATGTTAACTGTTTCATTTCACTTATATATTTGGATCCTTCATCACCAATTTCATTTCCACCAATATCAAGTAATTTTAATTGTTTCATTTCACTTATAAATTTGACTCCTTTATCACCAATTCCATTTCCACTAATATCAAGTGATGTTAACTGTTTCATTTCACTTATTGATTTGGCTCCTTCAACACCAATTTCATTGTTATTAATACTAAGTGATGTTAATTGTTTCATTTCACTTATTGATTTGGCTCCTTCATCACCAATTCGATTGTTATCAATATTAAGTGATGTTAATTGTTTCATTTCACTTATATATTTGGATCCTTCATCACCAATTTCATTTCCACCAATATCAAGTGATGTTAATTGTTTCATTTCACTTATGAATTTGGCTCCTTCAGCACCAATTCGACTGTAACATATATCAAGTGATGTTAATTGTTTCATTTCACTTATTGATTTGGCTCCTTCATCACCAATTTGATTTTCACCAATATCAAGTAATTTTAATTGTTTCATTTCAGTTATGAATTTTACTTGTTTAGAGTCAAGCAACCTTCTCGAAAATTTAAGATGAACAATACTATTCATAAATTGACTTTTCATGAATAATTCAATTCTTGTTTCTGTAAATTTTTGATTAAATTGAATAACAAGTTTTGAACGTTCCTTGATTACATTAAACCATTGTTTTGAAATCAATGAACAATTATTTAAAATAAACCACGCATCATCGAGCATGCAAATTATTTCAAAACAAACATCATCTGAAAATATTTCCCTCTCCTCCATATGTATTACTATTGATCACAATTATTTTAATAATATTATTATTATTATTAGTATTCTTATTTGATAGTTTGTTGCTTTTAGACTTGACACCTTCTTGATATTTGCTTTTAAATATTTTTTTTAATGAAACAAAACTAATCAATGGATTGGATGATGTGAAGTTGGCAGCTAACTTACGACGTTTGATGCTAACTTTACAACAAAAGAAAGACTAATAATTTATTGAGTGCTAATTTACAATGTTTGTGGTGGATACTTTTCAGTAAGATAGGTATTGATAGCAGGTAAATGTTTAGAAAGGAATTTGGCATTCTTTTCAATAGCTTCCAAAGTATTCGAATAATGCTTCATGCTCAATTTTTCAATATTTGGAGCAAAAAATTGAATCAATTCATCCCTTTCAAAGATATTAGTGAATAGAGAACCAACCCCATATACTAATCTATTACTGACTTGATCTTGTCCGCATTTTGAGAGAATGGCATCATATCTAGTTCTGACAAAATTCCAAGCAACGTTTGGTCCACTTGGTACATTTCTTGCAACTTCTCTAATAAGGAAGATACTATCTTGTGGCTTAACATGTGGAGAAAGGGCCAAATCCAAAGTCGTTTGCAAGAGTGGAATTTGTTGAGTGTATGCAAGTGCATACATTAACTTGGTTCTTTCCACAGAATCTTGCTCAGCTTTGAATTGATTCAAAATTTGATAATATTCACGTTCTCCACCATTAGAAACAACAGCTCTATAAACAGCATTACGAAGAATTGGAGGAATAATGGTTGAGTTTCTTTCTTGATAACGTTTAAAGGCTTCAGTGACACATTCAGTGAGACCAAAACGACAGGCCAAATTGAGAACAAATGGACGTAACTCATCAAGATTTTCCTCATCTTCATCTGCTCCTGGTACATTGGTCCATCCAATTGATTCATACTTGTTTTTAACCAAATCTTTTACCATTCTAGAGAATGAGTTTGAAACACTTTCGGCGGCCAACAATTGATGAAGTTTGAGAATGGATTGATACATATTTTCCCACAAAATACTAGTGTCATCATTCTTCAAAGCAAGAAGCATTTCAAACATTAAAGAGGAATCAATATTTTCAACAGTTGATGTGGCAATAGAAAAAATGTCATTGAAAAGATCAAATCTATCCTCAGTGTCAAAATCTTCAATCTTGGCAATTAAATTCTTCCACATCTTGGTTGAGTAATTGACACGGTAGAAACCAGTCTTGTGATAGTTAAACTTGTAAACCTTATCAGTAATCTTCAATGATGGAACCTTACTGGACATTTCAACCTTTTTAACATCTCCATCAGCAGAGGTTACATATGTTAATGGAATCCACCATGTTGAATTTTTAAATTGGTCAACTTGTGTTGCATTTGCATATGAAAAGAATCTGTTTTGTGAGAGAGAAATAGTGCCATCAGCATTTTCATTGACTTGAACGATTGGCATACCTGGTTGATGTAACCATGTACCAAAGTTGGTAGCAGTTTCTTGAACATTTTGTACAGGAAGAAGTTCCAATAATTGCTTAGTTTCAGCATTTTGATTCTTGTACTTGGCAAAGTAGGAACGAATCCATTGCACGAACTTGTCTTCTCCCAAATAATTGAAGAACATACTCAATACAGCACCACCCTTGTCGTAGGTAATGGAATTGAACAAGGAATCAATTTCATCCTTAGATTGAATCTTGTCATATAATCTCACAATAGGATCAGCACTTGGAACAGAATCAGCATCAGCAGCATAAATAACACTATTGGTGAGCTTTTTCAAACCTCTCTTCCAATCAGGATAGGTCTTATCCAAGGCGTATGTTTCCATGAATGTGGCAAAACCTTCATTCAACCAGAGGTGAGTCCAAAATGCACAAGTGATAATATTTCCATTGAATTGGTGAGAAATTTCATGACTCACAACTTCAATACCATTTTCCTTATCGAGTTGTGAAGCTGTAGCATTATCGAAAATAATATAAGTTTCACGATAGGTAATTAATCCAAAATTTTCCATAGCACCACTTGCAAAGGATGGAATTGAAATGTGATCCATCTTGTTAATTGGGTATTCAACTTGATAGAGATCTTGGAAGAATTTGGTGACCTTGATGGAAGCTTCAAGAGCAGCTCTACCTTGTTCTGATTTACCAACAGGTGTATAAATTCTATGTCTAATCTTTCCATCAGTTTTTTCAATATAATCATATTGTCCAATAATGAAAGCAATCAAATAGGTAGACATGAGTGGAGTCTTGTCAAATTTAACTTTAACTCTTCCATCAGGGAGGTTTGTTCTTTCAATTTCATCAGTGTTAAATAAAACTCTTGTTTTTTCATCCTTCAATTTTGTGGTAATTGTCATTTGATAGGTAGCTTTGAATTTTGGTTCATCAAATAAAGGAATAGCAGCTCTACCATCTTCACTTTCAAATTGAGTTGACAATACAGTAGATCCATCTGCTGCCTTACTAGAATAAAATCCTCTCATATCAGTTCTAATTGGAGCTTGATATTCAATTCTCAAAATATAAAAAGCTCCCTTTTCAAGATTATTCTTTGTATGAACTTGAATCTTTCTATACTTTTCCAAAACTGCAGTTGAAAATCCACTTAATACTACTTCTGAAGATGTCTTTTCACTCTTAATAGAAATACCTGCTAATTTACCATCTACTGCTGGAAGAACACCATTTTTAGCATGTTGCTTCTTTTGATCTTCTGTTGCTTTGATAATTGCCACGAATTGCATTTCCTCAGCACTCAACTCTACAACATTAGTTTCTGTAGTAACTTCCAATCTAATAGAAACCACTCCATTAAAAGTAGTAGCACCATCCAACAATGCTTCAATTTCAATATCATAATGACGAGGAAGAATAGTATCGGGTAATCTGTATGGATAAGTCTTTACACCATCATCTTCTATAACTCCATCCCATCCACGAATTAAATAGGTTGCCCAAATGGTTACACCAGCCACAATTATAGTCAGGATGGCCACCACTACAATGGAAATAATGGTCAATCTCCTCTTCTCTGCTACATTTTCCTGTCCAATACGAGTCGCATCGTGATGACCCGAAGAACTCAACATATTGTTGTTTATGTTTATATTATTAAAAAAAACTATATGTGATCAATGATGATCAAGATTAACTTTCCAATGTTAATTATTTAAATGGCGATGGATGAAAATTAGCGACTCAACAACTAGAGATCTTGTTACGATCGGAATAAAAGAATAAAAGGTGATCGGTAAGAGTTGGAGAATTTTTTTTGTAAATTTTTTTTGGATTTTGAGAATCGATAAGCAGCCGAGTAACGAAATTTGTGGATTGAATCAATCTGAGGTATGCAATAAGTTTCGTATTGCTATAAATAACAAAAATTGTGTAAATTGTGTAAATTCAAACATGTATCCATGTATTTAAAGTTTCAAAATGGCATTTTTCAAATCAGTAATGAGATCTTTAGGTGATTCCAATCCAATACTTAAACGGAGAAGGGATGGTGGAGAGAAATTATCCCATTGGAATCTGTAATCAATGGATGATTCAACTCCTCCTAATGAAGTTGCATTCTCAATGATGTTTAAGAGTTTAGGTAATTTTCTGGCTTCCAACGGATCAGATAATTCGAAAGAGAGAATTCCTGGACCTTTTCCATCCATTTGCTTTTCACAAATTTCATAATTGGTGAGTTTTCTTTCATTGTTGGATGGTTCAGAAGTTTCCTCAATTGGTTCTTCTGCAGATTTTAGTTTAGGATAGTGAACTTTGGTTACTTTCATTCTAGTTTCCTCATTTCCAATTTGAGATTGCAACCAATTGGCAACAATTTCAGCAGATTGTGATTGATAATTCACTCTCACATTCAAAGTCCTCAAAGATCTCATCAGTAGATAAGCTTCCAAATTTCCCATCACTCCTCCCATCACTGATCGATACGATTTCACGCTGCTAATCAATCCATTCGATTTTCCAGTAATCATTCCACCCAATAAATCACTATGGCCTCCCATGAATTTAGTTGCACTGTGTAATGCAAAGTCTGCTCCCCATTTCAATGGTTGTTGAAGAGCTGGTGAAGCAAAGGTTGAATCAACAACCACAAGAGCACCCATTTGTTTTGCCTTTTTAGAATAATATTCAATATCTTCCAGGTCACATGTTGGGTTGACTGGAGTTTCCAACCAAATAACATCTCCAACATAGAGTCCACTCTTTTTCTCATCAAGTGGTTCCTTTTCTAAATCCTCCAAATCATGCAATTCCAAAAACATATTTTCCTTATCAAGTTCTTCATTCAATTTCGTATTTGGATTCGAATTTTCTTCACTTTCCAAATTTTTCTTGACTTGTTTTTTCAAAATTCCAGAATAGTGTTTTGCAAATGTTCTCAATAGGTCCATAGCATCACTGGTGCCAGAATATCCAACTGCATCATCACTCTCAGTAAATTTCTTTCCAAATTCCTTATCATGAGGTTTCATTCGTTTAAAGATTCGTTTCGGTCTGAGTGTGAAAAGAAGTGTGAAAGTTGCAGCTTGTCCACTGGCAAAGGCAACACTTTTGTATTCTTCACTACCTTCTAGGTTTGCTACGAGGGTTTCTAATCGACTTCTTGTTTTGTTATCTTGTATTTCTTCTAGTTTCGAATAATGATTAGTTTACTTACGAACACGTGAATAAATATTTCCATCATTTACATCAGAATCGAGAGAGAAAGTTGTGGAAAGATGAAGAGGAGGTGCCAAATCACTAACCTTCTCTACTTTCCTATCGGAACAAATTGCAAGAGTAGAAAAGCTCAATTCGTTTGCATCATTCGAAACTTTGGACGAATCTAGAACTTGTTTAGGTTCGGAAATTGTAGCAATTGGTGAACTTATCACAGAAGCAGTTGGAATTTGTTGTTGCTGTTTGTGTGCATGATTGCTAGAGGAGCGGTCATCAACTTCCTTCTTTTTGAACAACTTGAGAAACGACATTTTTTTTTTGGATGTTTTTTTACAATTCAAGTTCAATGTTCATTTGATTCAGTTTCACTCAGTGATCAATTGAAAACTGTAGAATTTTACAACGAACCATTATAGAAGATTCAATGTTGTTTAAGATTTTTTGATAATTTTAATAACTCTTTCGGAAGACTGTTTGGTGATTGGAAAGCAACAAACTTTCGAATAAAAAGTCTTGAAAGTTTGCCAAGATGTTTTATTGTGAATCTGAATTACCATAAAGATCTCAATAGTGAAAATTGGTATTTTAAAAGTGAATGGATAATTTTCATCTCTTTCACAATCAACAATTAATTTCTAAATTTGGAAATTAGACAACATGGGTAATTGAGTTTCATCTTCACAAATCATTGAATCTCTACCATCCTCATGCTGAAATAGTATAAATACGACCCTCAGAAGAAACATTGACTTTCAAACAAAAACAAAAAAAAACAAAACAAAATGTATTCGAATAACAAAACTATCCGAAACACCTTGAGCAACTTGTTGCTCCTCACTCTCCTTTCATTGACATTCATTAACTGTTCCTCAATGCAAAACAACCTCTTTTCATCCAACTCGAGAGGAATTAACGTTGCTGGAGGCACATCAGTGTCATCTGCCAATGAATTTCCACACATGGTGAGCATTCAATACTATTCCAGCTCATCAGTTGCCACAGGAATCCACTTCTGTGCAGGAACCATCATCTCCCCACTCCACATTGTAACTGCCTCTCACTGTGATATTGGTGTCACTTTAGATAAATTGAGAATCATTGCTGGTAATTCGAATAATCAATGCACTGCTAGTTCTACCTCATGCACCATTCGTAAAGTAACCAAATTCACCAGACACCCAAGCTATGACAGTTCTACCATAAAGAATGATATTGCAATCATTGAATTGGATCAACCAATTCCATTGGATGGAGTTAGAGCAGTTGCCGCCAAAATTGAAAACTTGACTTTGGATCAGTTTCTGTCATCTAGTACTAGCTCAATGGTTAATATTGCTGGTTGGGGAAGGACTACAACTCAATCGAGTGTTCAAGTGATTCAGAAGGCTATGGTTCCAGTTTCGCCAATTTCTGTTTGTAATGCTAAAAATTTGGGAGTTTCTTCTCCAAATCAAATTTGTGCTGGTAATGGAAATGGTGTTGATACTTGTGGTGGTGATAGTGGTGGTCCACTTTTCAGAATTATTGCTGCAGGAACTGCCAACAATAATTTGCCAATCTTTGTCTTGACAGGTGTCGTTTCTTATGGACCTCCTGGATGTGGTGGCTCAAATGTTGGTGCCTACACCAATGCAACTCAATATATCTCATTTATAAGAGACCAAGTTGGTTCCTCATACACAGTTGAGAAGTACGGAGATAGTTCAAAGCCAATTACTCCAACTCCTGTACCAACTCCTTCTCCAGTTACTCCAGTTGTTCCTGTTCCTTCCAATAATAATCAATCTTGTAAATGCAAGTGTTATTGTAAGAAGGTTAGACAAATGAGGGAAATGAGATTGAGAGGTGGAAATAATGTTGATGAAAGTCAGTTTATGAAATGGATAAAGTTAAATCCATTCAAAGCATTGTAAACCATGAGTTTATAGCATAATATTAGAGTTTTCTACAAAAAGTGTAGAAAACAATTTGTAAATTAATAAAACACAATTTTGCCTAAACCTTTACTTAGTGTTATATGTTTCATTTGAAGAAGTCGAACTGTTTATCAATAGTATTTAAAACACTATCAACAGACATTAATGTCCAAAGTTTTTTAAACGCTCCACTTCCTCTGGCGTGAGCGATAATTCTTCTTCTTCTTCATCCTCATCGTTTTGTTCCACCTCTCTTTTTTTGTTGTTTATAATATCATCCATAAGTTGCACAATTTGTTGTGAGTTAATTTCAGGTTTGGAAGATGGAAAGACAAATGTTGTTGGAGTTATGTTAGGAGAGAACGATGGTGAGGGTGAGCATGACATTTTTTATGTAGGAAAGAATAAACGAACAATGGAATCAATAGAATATTACAGATTTAAATATTTGACTTGAAAATTTATTCATAAATTATATTGCTTAACAATAAGAAAATTCAAGGCATCCTTAATGTTATTCCTTAATAAAATACAACAACTGCCCAAAACCGTTAAAAGATCCGATGAGACGGAATCGAACCGCCGACCACAGGATTACAGTTGTTTCTTGCTACAGTCCCATGCTCTACCAGCTGAGCTATCATCGGTTACGTTAGTTTCATTAAAAATCTTTTTATCAATAATATTACATGTTGAAGTTATTGAAAAATTAAAACAATTTTTTGTATGTACTGTCGCAACAATTACAACAAGGTTACTACAGTTCAGGAAAATTCACCTTCCTTTTCTCAATATTCTCTTCCAATTCACGATTCTTCCTAATGCACATCGCCGTTAATTGTCAACAGTCACCAAGTTTAAGCAAGTTTCTGAACCATTTCAAAAAAAAACGTAATCTTATTTGCAATATCATTGTTGCTCTTATCTTCTTCAACTATTATTGCTTTTCTATCAAATATTTTCTTCTCTACATCTTGAAGATAATTTGTCTCCATATTTACTGTGAGCGGTCATTATTCGAAACTCTGTCACCTGTCCTTTCAAAAATGATGGTCATTATGAAAGCAAAACAAAAAATGTTCGAACGAAAGACTGCAACTTCAGTAACCACTTCTTCTGAAGCACACGATTCCAACAGCAATAATAACTATACAACAACAAATCAAGCACCATCTCTCTCCATCAATAGTAGTGTAGGCCTTCCAGAACACAACCACCATCAACAACACTTTCCTTCCTCATTATCGTCATCCTCTTCTCAACAACATCAACAACCTCTGACTAATTCCCCTTCCAATTTATCAATTTTGCGAGATTATAAACATCATCAACAACAACAAGGTAATACTCACCACAACAATACCTCACCACAAACACCACCACACTCTCCCCGCCAAAATTCAAACAACACCACCACCAACGGTAATGCATCACCATCTACGGCTAGTAGCACCACCAACACCACAACAAACACAAACAAACGGCTAAGTATCAAGTTAGCCTCCAACTCGAGTAAGCGTCTCTCGGTAAATTTGCTGCTGAACAAGCTGAGCGGCGTAGGAGGTGGTAATAATGATAATGCTGCTCTTCAGCATCACTTGCAACAATATTCGTCATCCATGATGAGACATGGCTCTGGAACTGGTGGTGGTGCTCAAGGAGGAGTAGGAGGAGGATCGAATAGTATTGCTCCTGGAGGAGGAGGTATTGGAAGTAGTAATGCATTGATTGGAAATATGGATTCAATGAATAATGCTCTGATGAGTAGGGAAGGCTCACAGATACTATTGGGTGTTCCCTATAAGGAGGGATTGGGTTATAGAAAGACTTCTCACTGGCCCTATCGTTATAATAAGAGATATTTCGTTCTGAAGAATCATCACTTGAGAATTTATCGAGCCATTAATGACTATCAACAACATCAACAGTATTCATCCATTGTCAAACATGCACTCAAACAGCAGCAACATGGAGATTCGAATATGAATGGAAATGTTGTGGCCATTAATAACATCATTAATCATGATTTGTATAATTCTAGGGATGACAGTAATAATTTGAGTAATCATAGTATTGTCTCTCCATATTCTAGTTTTACTTCTAATATGATAACCACTCCATCTGGAGATATGATACCTAAAGTTGATACTTCTTCATTCATGCTCTACAAGATTCCTCTCAAATACTGTAAAATATTCAAGTTTCATACTACTAATACTAATGAATCGACTAATTTGGACTATAGAAGTAGTGCATCCGAAATGAATGCAAAGGATGTACCAAGTAAATCATTTGCTACCACTGATAAAAAGGACGAAAAGAAGGAAGATGACGAGGAAGAAGAATTTGAACTTCATTTCCTTCCTCCTCCTACATATACTGGACCAGGAGTTACAGGACAAAAAGCTTACAAATTACATGAAAATGAGGAGGGCAATACAAACAATATGTCGTCATCACCTTCATCGGTAATTCATGGAGATGAAGTGGCTTCTGGCTCTGGAGCTAATTCAGCCATTTTCAAGCTGAAATTTAAAGGAACTGCCAATGATTGGTTCAAATTATTGGATAAAGCCATCTTTTTGGCCAGTAAAACTGGAGATAATGAGGAAGAGGATGTTTGGAATCAAGAACAAAAGAAGGATTTCGATGAGGAGGAATGGTTGTCACAATACAAGAAGGAACAACAACAAGATATGATGGATTTACCAGTCTTTTTGAGACCACTTCAAATGCAAATTAAACAACACAATGATGAAATGCTAATTGACCACCAAGAAAAACAAAAGCAAATTTCTGCCGAGAAGAACATGTCTCTTAAGAAACGTCTCTCTCAATACTTCTCAGGAAGTGGTGCCAGCAATGCTAATTCGAATAACAATAATAAGAGAAATTCAGGCAATTCATATGCATACGTCTCTGAAAAACCATTTGATTTGAAGAGTGATAATCTTGTAGATAGTATTTCCGAGTCAACAACAAGTCACAACAGTAGTAATGAGAAGAGAAAGAGTGGTTATGTTATTGATGATTCGATACCCGACATTACTGACATGAGTCAGTTACAGGACTTGATTAGACAACACGACGATGATGATTACTCTCAACCATCTCAACCAAAGTTTGCATCGGATCATAAGACTACTAACCATGCAGTCTCCAGTTTAAAGACAGAAGAAAAGAAAAATTCTGCTCTCCATCGTTTATCAACAAACCTTAGCGAACTATTTTCGAAAAAGAAGCAACAATCAAACACACAAGTGCCAGATAACTCTGACACCATCTCAGTCGATGGAAAGAAGGAAAAGAGAAAGAGTGTATTCGGAAGGCTGTTGAACATCAACAAGGAGAAATAAATCCTCTTCATTCAATAATTTTTCAATAGGATGTTACAAATACAAATATAAATATTGAAGTCTTGTCTAACAATTTTAGAACATAAAAGGTCAAATTGAACAAATCCTTTAATTAAGAAATATCTCCAACTGAAATCATATCTTCACCTTGATCCAATTCCTCCCAACAAGCATCCTTTGAATTTCTATCGAGAACACTCAAATTGTTGTGCTTTTCAAAAATAGTGGCATTGAGAACTTGTGGTGTTGCTGAGCCAATACTACTTTGGAATGTAAAATCATCCACCTCTGATCCTATATCATTCTCAGTGTCCAAGTCAGCTTCCTCATTATCACTTGCAATAACCTCGCCTGGATATGATGAATTGGTGTTAGTCACAGCTGTAAAATTGTGTTCAAAAGTGTCTGGCACTGATGATGATTCTGAGGCCTCACCCATCAAGTCATTCTCTGTTGGATCTTCAAGGTAAGGGTTTTCATCATCTTCAATTGGCTTGGAAAGAATGTTACTATTATTTCTCTCGAATTGAGGTGAAAAGGTGTCACTTTGATCCATTAAATGTAAGCTATAAGGGAAAAGTGGCATATTCTTTCTATTATGGAAATAGGTATCTGACATTACATCTCTATTGTCATCTGTTGCACTGATTGTATCCTTAACTCCAACTTGCTTATCCTTCTTGTTTTTCTTTTTTGGTTTCTCTGACATGATGAGATTATCAGCAATTTTGTGCCATCTGAAAATTTCGTCTTCCTTCTTCTTTTTCTTTTTAAGATTTTTGAGAATCTTTTCAACAGGTGGTTTTTTAGAGCTTGGTAAACTTTCTTCCTTCTTTGATTTCTTGAAAATCTTTAAAATTCCAAGTGGAAGAGCTGTTTTCTCAGATTTAGTTTCAGGTTTGCTCTCAGGTTTATGAGAGGAAAGACTGGCACCACTAGGAGATGCTGTTTTTGGAAGGGTTTGTTCTTCTTCCTCATTGACTGGTGGAATAGGTTCATTTGGATCAATTTGTGTTTCCTTCTTCTTCTTGGCTTCTTCAGATTGTTTTGCATCGGTGGTTTGTGATGGCATGTTGTTCAGGGTTGGAGAAGTAACTTGTGGCTCTGATGGTTCGTGACCTGGTGATACTGATCCAGATAACACTGTTGGAATTGGTGGTATTACTACTTGTTTTGGTTTCAATGCTTGACTCAACTTTTTTCTGTAATAATTCAAGCAATAGAGACGATAGGATTCAAAAAATAGTTGTGGAATATTTGTTCCCAGACGTGTATCGAACTCTACAATGGTCAATCGTTGATTCTTCTTCATTTGGAATAATGGTACAGCTTTTTGGTGGAAATGATAGTAATGTTTTGGTTTTTGAACAAGACCAACGTTGGCACTAGAATCCTCAACACCTCTTCTGAGAAGAGCAACTTGTTGCTTTGTAGATTTGTTCAATTCAATATGACCAGCAAGAAGGAAATTACCCTGTGACAAAAAGTCTGGATAAATTTGATTAATTTCCTTCATCCAAGTCATGGCAGTATTTTCCAATGAATAATTGGAATTGGTGTAACTATAGGCAAAAATTACAGTTGTTGGAGCAATGGTTTGATTGCCCTCTGTGGTTTCCTCCAAAATCATTTGTTTGTACAAGGCCTGTCTCAATGAAAGTGCATGTCTAGAGCCAGTGTGACAAACTCTGAACATTATCTTTCTCCTTTCATTGGTTGACGTGCGGTTTTGTTTCTCAAGAACTGACTCGAAAAACTCCTCCTCATCAATTGATATTAAATCTTCCAAATTAATACCTGTATTGAGTAAATCATTGGCTAAACTCGAAATTTGATTTACTTCATTCTTTTCCAAAAACTCATCAACATGATTTAAATAATCCAACGAACAAACTTCTTCGATATACCACTCAGTGACTCTCTTATTCTTTCTCAAATAGTAATTGAGCTTGTGTGGACTTTTTTCCGTACTTTTAAGATTCGAAGATGATGATGAGCTCTTCTTGGCACTACTACTCAATATATTTGTTGTTGATTGTTTGTGAGTATTGTTACCAGATGGAGGAGGTGCTGCTACAGATATTTTCACTTCCTGATTCTCATGAAGAACCAACTGTTGATGAATATGTTCTTGAATATTTTGAATATTTCCTTGAGAGGAATCTTCAGTACTTGCTTTTCTTCTTGAAGATTCTGAGCCATTAGGAACCTGGAAGGAAACGCTCAAACTTCCACTACTCGATTTATGATGATGATGTTTGCTAGCACCACCACTATTAGAACTTCTATGATGTTTTGGTCGTTGATGATTTGGGCCATGTTCTTTGTGAATTACATTTTCATCATCATCGGATTCAATATTCTCTGATTCCTTCTTATGATTACTGGCTCCACCACTGCTACTATCATTCATTGGACTCATTTCATCCAATGAATTATCTCCTGTGATGATAATATTCATGATATTGGTATCCGAAAGTTCCTTTTTTGGCTCGTCCTTCTGCTGATGAGAATGTTTTTCATTGGCACAACAAGGAGGTGATTGCTTCTTCAATTGTTTTCCAGTGGTATAATACCTCAATATTTGATCAACCTCCTTTGGAAGAGAACTAACAATTAATATCGGAACCACTAGCCATTCATCGTTTGATTTGTTATTTTCCAAATCATCTGTTAAAGTAGCAGCACCAGCAGCAGTTGTTGTTGTATTGCCAATGTTATTATTCTGAGGAGAGGTTGAAGATGAAGGTTGTTGTTGTTGTTGATTAATTATATTTAAATTAGAAGAAGGTAAAACGGAATGTGGTGGTAAATTATTTGAATGATTAGAAGAGTTTGAAAGTGGTTGATAATTAGAAGCGTAGGAAGACAAAATTCCATCACTCACACTTCTTCTTCTATCTGAAGAAGGTGAAGATACTCCAACAACTGCATGAGTTGATTGTTGTTGTTGTTGTTGTTGTTGATGCTCAGAAGATCCCAGCAGAGGAATTAACAAATTGGAGGGAGAATGTGTTGATTGTCCTCTTCTTCTATTAGTAATTGTCGTCGAATGTGTTGTTGTTGTATTATGAGTACTTGTATTATTGTTATTAATTAATGATGATGAAGATTGTTTATCATCATCAAGAATGGCAGTAACACTCGTTAAATTCATATTATTATTATTATCCGCCATCACTGTGCCATATTGTTCTTCTTCTTCTTCTTGTTGATGATCATACTGATTATTATTATTATTAGAATAAGAAGTATTATTATTGGTAGGAGGAGAATTTGATGATGATTTTGATGAGGTAACAACAAGCGTTCGGGGCGATTGTTGTTGTTGCATTTTCTTCGTAAATGTTGTATTTGCACGAATGGGGATGTGAAAGGAGAGAGAAGTGATTGGTTTTGGAAATCTTATTCGAGTATTGAACAGATTTGGTGAATGGGATTATGTTCATTAAATATTATGAAATAGTATTTGATGTTGGAAAAAATACTTGAAGAGCACATTTTAATATCTTTAACTGATTCGAATTATTTATTAGAAAGAATTCGAAGCTCAGAATCTATTTGAACAATATTCAATTGACCAAACACAACTCCAATTCTAACAACACCTCCAACAGCATTTTGTAAAATGATATTGATTTGCTTATTCACATTATCAGCAACCACAAGATTTGAATTGAAACTATTTGGATAAGTGATCGAAGGTTGTTTCGAATAACAAACACTATACGACTTATAGCTGTCATCCTCATGAGACAAATCCTTCAAAGTAATGGAAACATTAAATCTTCCCACAGATGGAACATTATTCCATTCAAGAACTACTTGATTTTCCTCGTTTACAATATTATCAATGACTTTGCTATTCTTTGTGTTTGGAACGAAACTAAACTTTGCTTGGAATCCCTTAAAAGTTCTGCCAATGAATTTGACAGAATTCTGTTGAACTGTAGTTGGGGCAACATTAAAGTAAATTATGAAAAAGTTTGTGTTTTCGTCTGGTCTTGTGTAGGGAATAATAATGGTGGCATTGTTTCCCTCAAATGACCATGTGAAATTATTCTTATTTGGTTGACCAGTTGTAAGGGAAGCAAACATTGTCAATGGAACGTCATATTTGCTTTGTTCTGGAACAAAAGCATATTCCAATTCCATAGGTTTACCAACTGGCAAACCATATACTGGAATAGTGGTATACCAATGAGGTGTCTTTCTGTCAAGTGTATAAATTTCATTCTCATCATCATTGATATCTGGTTCCCTTGCATCCTTTGGTGTGTCAGCTAACAGACAAACAGTTTGATCACTATTAGTTCTAATAGTTGGGCATTTGACACATGCCACCATTCCTTCCTCAGGAGTAACTGTTCCTCTAGGACATGGATAATTATTACCATCTCCTGGACAATATTCTGCATAGAAACATTCATGACAAGATGGTCTGTGCAAAATCTCTTGATAATAAGTTCCAGGTGGGCATGTACTAGCATCAATGACAACTGTTAAAAGTTGGAGGAGGATGAGAAATAAAACGACAACAACAAGGAGGTTTGTTTTATTCATTTTTATTATTCGATTTAGTATGATTGTTGGAAGAATCTTGTAGAAAGAGTCGTTCCACTACGGAGAAAGATAATGTTACATAGCACAGTGGAATTGCTTTTTTTAAATCAATTGGATCGAATTCATCGAAATTAATTCCTGCTTTTTCAAAACGCAACAAAATTCAAAAAAAAATGAGCAAACAAAAAAGACAAGATTTTGAAAAGCAGGAATTAATTTCGGAGCAGCTATTGGTGATCAATAAGATGGAAGAGAAAGCAAAAAAAGGTGTAAAGTTTGAACGAGAAATATTTTCAGATGATGTTTGTTTTGAAATAATTTCCCTGATTGATGATTCGTGGTTTATTTTAAATAATTGTTCATTAATTTCAAAACAATTCTTTAATGTGATCAAAGAACGTTCAAAACTTGTTATTCAATTTAAAAAGAAATTTACAAAGAAAAGAATTGAATTATTCATGAAAAGTCAATTTATGAATAGTATTGTTCATCTTAAATTTTCAAGAAGGTTGCTTGAGTCTTTTCAAGTCAAATTCATAACTGAAATGAAACAATTAAAATCACTTGATATTGGTGAAAATCAAATTGGTGCTGTAGGAGCCAAATTCATAAGTGAAATGAAACAATTAACATCACTTGATATTATTTACAATCGAATTGGTGCTGTAGGAGCCAAATTAATAAGTAAAATGAAACAGTTAACATCACTTGATATTGGTGGAAATCAAATTGGAGATGAAGGAGCCAAATTCATAAGTGAAATGAAACAATTAACATCACTTAGTATTTATAACAATCTAATTGGTGCTGTAGGATTCGAATTCATAAGTGAAATGAAACAATTAACATCGCTTGATATATGTTACAATGAAATTGGTGATGAAGGAGTCAAATCAATATGTGAAATGAAACAATTAACATCACTTAGTATTTATAACAATCGAATTGGTGATGAAGGAGTCAAATTTATAAGTGAAATGAAACAGCTAACATCACTTGATATTAATAACAATCGAATTGGTGTTCAAGGAGCCAAATCAATATGTGAAATGAAACAATTAACATCACTTAGTATTTATAACAATCAAACTGGTGCTGTAGGAGCCAAATTTATAAGTGAAATGAAACAATTAACATCACTTGATATTAGTGTAAATGAAATTGGTGTTGAAGGAGCCAAATTTATAAGTGAAATGAAACAATTAACATCACTTAATATATGTTACAATCGAATTGGTGCCGAAGGAGTCAAATTAATAAGTGAAATGAAACAATTAACATCACTTGATATTGGTGGAAATGAAATTGGTGATGAAGGAGCCAAATTCATAAGTGAAATGAAACAATTAACATCACTTAATATATGTGAAAATCAAATTGGTGATGAAGGAGCCAAATCAATAAGTGAAATGAAACAATTAACATCACTTGGTGCTTATAACAATGAAATTGGTGTTGAAGGCACCAAATTAATAAGTGAAATGAAACAATTAACATCACTTAATATATCTAAGAATCAAATTGGTGATGAAGGAGCCAAATTAATAAGTGAAATGAAACAGTTAGCATCACTTGATATATATTACAATGAAATTGGTGATGAAGGAGTCAAATTAATAAGCGAAATGAAACAATTAAAATCACTTAATATATCTAAGAATCAAATTGGTGATGAAGGAGCCAAATTAATAAGTGAAATGAAACAATTAACATCACTTGATATACATTTCAATGAAATTGGTGATGAAGGAGTCAAATTAATAAGTGAAATGAAACAATTAACATCACTTAGTATTTATAACCAAAAGATGAAATCTATCAATTAAAATCCAAAAAAAGGATTTGGCATGGATTATAAATAGTGATATTTTGCATACAGAGCTCTACTTCAATGTTGTTGCTGCTAGTATGAAGCGTAGATCAGTTACAGATTTTTATTGTCGTCAGATTTCATAAATCCACTAAATTTACGATTAAACAAATAATCAGTCAGTTCATATTTGTTCAGATACTACAAAAGTAATTGAATAGTAATTAAGAGGATATGAATAAGTAAAATTAAAATCACAGGGGGCGAGGGGGAATCGAACCCCCGGCCACAGCTTTGGAGGCTGCGATGTTACCATTACACCACCGCCCCTGTTTCATCATGATTAAGAAGATCAGGAGTCATAAACCTACACGATATGGTTGTATCAATGATTCTTAGTGTTTCCATACCTCAATGGTTGGCCATCCTTTTCTAATTCCGAAGTTCGCTCCACAAGAACACTCGCCACATGTCACGGTATTATCATTTGACAAGTGTACATACCCAATTGTAACTGTATTTCCTTTTGTTCAGTTCGTGTGCTGTTACAGAGTCGGTTTGATTTAAACCATTCAGTTTCCAATAAAGTATCCTACTGATTTGTATCCGGCAAATAATATTATTAAAAAAACAAACTCTAATAACACACATTGTATTATTAAAGATGCCAGAGGTTGTCACTATTGGTAGCACTACTGCTGCCAAACAGACAATGGGCTTCAATGTTTCATTGTTGGTAAGTTATGGCAACTGACATGTAATCCTTAATATTAAATTCTCTAATTCACTTCTTGATGTTTGCCTATTTGCATGCTCATTAGAAAGGAGGTACTATTACTCAAACAATTGTAAGTTTCGAATAACAATTAAACTAAACATATCCTAAGGTTGGCGCAATCATCTCTGGTATGGTTATTGCTTCCACAGTTGCCACCATCTTGATGGTTTCCTTGATTTCCTACCAAAATCCAATTGCTGTAGATGACACAGCATCCACCTACAAGAACGTTGCTCTTTCCATTAATGTTTTATCTAACGATTATGATCCAAAGGGAAATAACATTTCATTGGTTCAAGTTCTCGTGTCTCCAAGTTATGGTTCTGCTTCAATTTCCTCTAATAGTCTCATTGTCTACAAATCAAATGGTACTTATGCAGGAAATGACACTTTCAGTTATCAAATTACAAATGGTTACTTGACAGCTAATGCAACAGTTGTTGTGAGTGTGGTCAATCGTCCTCCAGAAGCTATTCCAATTGCTGTAACTGTCAGTAAGAATGTACAAAACACGCTCATTAACATCTTCAGTTATGTTGGTGATAATGATGAGCAAATTAGTGATCCAGACAGTGTCGATATTCTCTCTGCTGTTTCTTACTCGAATCAAACTATTGTTAGTGGCACAGAAGGTGGTTACGGAACAATCAAGATTGATTCATATAATGGTTATTATTATAGTCCAGCAAGTGGTTTTAATGGCGTTGAGCAGTTTGTCTACACCATTTCTGATGGTTATGATACATCTAGTTCCACTATTACTGTAACTGTGGCCAATGACGCTCCAACTGCTGTTGATGATTCTTACAAGATTCCAAAGTATGCATCATTGGTTTTGGATGTTTTGGCCAATGACTATGATGTCAATGGTGACGATTTCAATATTACAAGTGCTTTGGGTACTGGCTATGGTGCTGTTAGTGTTTCTGAGAAGTCCATTACCTACATTACTGCTGGTTCTGTATCTACCAAATACACCGATTCATTCGAATATACAATTTCAGATGGAGTTGCCACTTCATCTGCCATTGTAATCATCTCAGTTTACAATCAAGTTCCTGTTGTCTATTCCAAGACTGTTACTGTTGCCAAGTCATCCACTAATAATTCAATTTCAATTGATTATTATGATGCTGATAGAAGAGATTTAGTCACTGTTAGTACTATTTCTCCATCATTGTCCTCTATTTCACCAATTGCTTACTTGCAATTGACCACCAGTTACAATCAATTATTCTTTGATTGTTGTGAATGGCTCACTGTTGAAACTAACAACTATACCATTCTTTTCACTCCAACTACTGATACTGTTTACACTCAAACTTTCACAGTTGTCTTGTCAGATGGCGAAGGTACTGGAACTGGCACAATCACCATCCAAGTGGTCAATACTCCACCTGTTGCTGTTGATGATTCTGCTCAATGTAATAAGAATCAACAAGTTTATGTCAATCTCGTTGCCAATGATTATGATGAAAACAGTGGAGACACTGCCAAGATCAAGTTGACTTCAACCGGTTGGAATTCAACTACACTCTATGGAGGTTCTTTAACTATTTTCAATTCTACACATGCTCTCTATGTTGCTCCAAGTGGTTTCTTAGGAACTGACTCTGCCACCTATGTAATTACTGATCAAAGTGTTGATTCTAGTGGTAATGCTGATTCCACTTCATTCTCTTCTGGTAAACTCTATGTTACTGTTATTAATAATGCTCCAACTCCTGTTGATGATTCATTCACCATCTCAAAGGGTGTTACCTCTACTTTGAGTGTATTAGATAATGATACTGATCCAAACGATGGTTCTGGTTCAATTTACATTATCAATTCTGTTACTGCCTCTTCTGTTAAGAATATTCAAGCTTCTATTGTTGCAACAAGTGGTGCAAGAGATACATTGTCTTATGTTGCTTCCAATGCTGAATATACTGATTATTTGACATATGATGTCAAAGATCAAGATGGTATGAAATCTACTTACAAGGCCACTGTTACATTGTATGTTATCAATGATGCACCTGTTGCTGTTGATGATGCCTACTCCACTTTGTGGAATAGATCAGTGGACTGCTCTGTTAAAAGCAATGATTCTGATAAGAATGGTGATCTGGATGATTCTACCATTAGTATCACCACTTCTCCATCTCATGGTACAGTAACCATTTTGAATAGTGTTGTAAGATATACTCCAACCAATGGCTACGTTGGTACTGATACCTTTGCTTACAAATTGAACGATGGTAGCTCATTGAATGCTGACTCCAACATTGCAACTGTAACCATCACAGTTTACAATAATGCTCCAGTTACCGCTGATGATTATATCACTACTCACTGGAGAAACCCAAGTGGTGTATTGGTAACTCCATTGTCCAATGATAGTGATCCAGATGGTGATGATTTGATTGTTGAATCTACAACTGCTTCTTCCTCTGTTGGTACTGTCACTGTAGCTGATACCACAACCATCAAATTTGTCCCAACCACTACTTCAGCCACCACAGGAACCAAATCATTCACATACTATGCCTATGATTACAATAAGAAAACTCTAGGCACTGTCTATGTAAACATCACCAATACCAAGCCAACTGCCAATGGTGAATCTTATACTCTCCATTGGGCTGCTTCAGCTACTTCTTTCTCAGTTATGGATAATGATGTTGATGCTGATAGTGATACTATCTCTTTATACTCTGTTAGTGGTAGTACTGCTGCTGCTATCAGTGGATCTTATATCAAGTATACTCCAAAGAAGGATGGTGTCACTGATTCATTCCAATACGTGATTACTGATACTGTTACTCCATCAAATGCTGCTACTGTTACAGTCAGTTTTACAAACAGCGATACTCCAAGTGCTTCTAATGTTGCTACTTCAATCCATTGGAGAACTTTGGCTTCTCAATCTAATTATCAAGATTTCACTGTCATGAGTTCGACAACTGACGCTGATGGTGATTCTCTCACTTTGTCTGTTACTACAACTGCCTCTGGTTTGTCTGGATCTTCTTGTTCCAAGACCAGTGATTCTGTTCCAAAGGTGAGAACTACTGCTCCAACCAAGACTGTTGGTACAGTTGCTTGTTCTTATTCAGTTTCTGATGGTTTGGCTTCTAGTGGAACCAAGACTGCAACATTGACCATTACAAACAATGCTCCAACTTGTTCAAACATGACTGTTTCATTCAATCCAACCTATGTTTCAACTGGTCAAAACTATTCCATTTCCTCCTATGTCACAGATGCCGATTCCAATGATATTCCATATTTGGTGCCAGGAAGTGCAACCATCGTTGGCTCTTCCTATTCTGGTGATTCATTCACTATAGTTGGAAGTTATTTGAACTTTAAACCAAACAGCAATCTTGGTACTCGTACCTATGCCTACACAGTCACCGATGGTTTGGCCACATCTTCTAAATGTTACATTTCCATAATTGTCAGCTCTCTTAGTAGCACTAATTATTACCAAAGTTATGATGTCCATTGGAATGCTTCTAATTATGAAGTTCCAATCTTGACAAACTTGCCAACTTCAACTATTAAGGCAATTGCTTCTCAATCTTACTCAACTGTCACTTTGTCAGGTGGAAAGATTTACTTTACACCATTGAGACAAATCTATGTTGATACCTTCACTGTAACTGTCACTGATACTGGTGTTGATAGTCCAGTTTCTGTTACCATTACCACTTACAATAATGTGCCAACTGCCAGTCTCTCCACTCAAACTATTACTTGGGGAAGTTCAAAGACACTCGACTTGTTGACTAATTATGCTGATGATGACTATACTGCTGGTAGAGAAAGCAAGGGAACTGTCAAGAGCATTGATACTTCATCTACTTTAGGTAGTGTCTCTTCAGTTTCTGGAAGTTCAGTAACTTACACTTCTCCATCTAAATATGTTGGTTCTGATACCTTTAAGGTAACTGCAACTGATGGTTTGGCAACAGTTACTTTCACAGTAACATTCACCATGACCAATACTGCCCCAGTTACCAATACCAAGTACTTTAATGTTCACTGGGCTACTCACAAGACTGGTTATCAAATGGATTTGAGTACTGGTGTAACTGATGCAGAAGGAAATACTTTGACTTACTCAGTTACTTCATCAAGTATTTCTCCAACAACTGCTGGTTCAGTTGCATTGTCTACTTCTCCATATGCTGTTGCTACTGCTTCCAGTACTGTCTATTTGGGTGCTTTCACATTCACTTATGGAGCTAGTGACTCAATTGTGTCAACTCCAGGTACTGTTTCTGTTACTGTTTATAATAACATGTCAACTCCAGTAGCAAGTACAGGAAGTTGCCATTGGAAGCAAACTGGTGTTACTCTCAGTCCATTCTCTACTTTTGCTCCAACCTTAAAGGATGGTGATGGTGATAGCTTGTCGCTTGTTAGTGCATCAGCTCAAAAGGGGTCAGTTTCAGTTGCTACTTCAACAATTACTTATAACGCTCCTGGAACTTACGTTGGTACCGATGTTGTTACATACAAATTCACAGATGGTGCTCAATCACTTCAAAGTACTGACACAGTTGTCAATGTCAATGTTTACAACACTGCTCCAGTATGTGTTGACAAGACTGCCACAACTCTTTGGACTACAGCTGTAACAGTTGACTTGTCCAGTGGTGCTTGTACTGATGCTGATACCTTGGATACTGCTTACTTTAATGGAGCTACTTCAAGTGTTGTTGGTGGAAGCGTTTCAGTTTCTTCCAAGAAAGTTACCTATACTCCATCTTCAACTTCTTTGACATTTAGTGGATCAAGTGGTTATTACACTGCTACTGGTTCATTCCAATTCCAATGTACTGATGGTATGTCAACTGCTGCCAGTGCTGGTAAGGCTACTATCACTGTATATAACAATGCTCCAACTGGTACTGGTAATACTGTATCAGTCAACCGTGATTACACTACCTCCACTTATGATTTCACATGGGCTACCATTGCTACTGCTACTGATGCTGATGGAGATTCCATTTCTTATACTAACTTTGCCTCATCTGACTCTACCATCACAGTTTCTAATATTGGTACAGGAATCAGATTGACCACAAGTAACAAACTTGTTTCTGGAACCAAGTATATTACATTCAAACTCTATGATGGTCTCCATTACAGTACTTCAACCTTAACATTCACTGTAACTTTTGTCAATACAGCTCCAGCTTGTGTTGCTTCTTCAGTTGCATTGAATAAGAAGGGGACTGTTGATTTGTCAACCTTGTACAGTGCTACTGATGCCAACAGTGATCCAGTCACATATTCAGTTGTTTCTAGCTCAGTTTCAAGTACCTATGGTTCATTGTCTGGTACTACTTTCACTGCTTCTTCCACAACTAGTGGAAGTACAACTATTAGTTACACTGCCACAGATTCTCAAGCCACAACTACTTGTTCCATCTCGGTTGTGATTAGTAACCAAATTCCAGTTGCTGATGATATCACTTATCAAATTGTTCCAGTTTCAACCAATTATGTCCACAAATTCACATACACTGCAACAGATGGCGACTCTTCAGATACATTGACCTATTCTCAATCAAGCACAACTTGTTCATCATCTTTGGTTACTGCTTTGAATATCACCACTGCTGGTCTTATTACCTTTGTTAGAAAGTCAACTGCAGTTAGTGGAACTTGTACAATGACTCTTTTGGTTGTTGATAACAACTCTCCAACTGCTGGACAAGATACTGCTGTTGTGACATTTGTCATTTCTTCATCGTCTCCCGCTGCCAATGATGACAGATTCTCAATTAACCAAGGTCAAACTATCAGAATTTACAATTGGCAAATCCTCCAAAACGATTATGATGAATTTGGCTCGAATACCACTTTGACCTTGACATCTATTTCATGCCCAAGCTCCTCCTATTGTCACGAAACTCCTAGACAAGTTACAGTCAATGGATTAGATGCTATTGAACTCGATTCGGATACTTCCACTTGTCAAGCTGACTCATTCCAATACACCATGAAAACTTCTTTGGGAACCACCAAAACTGCTACTGTTTACGTTGAATTCAAGAATTGCTACTGTTCTGCCAAGATTGACTTCCTTTTCTTGCTTGATTCTTCTGGTTCAATTGGTTCCACCAACTTTAACAAGATGAGAAGTTTGGCAAAGAGTATTACAGGTAGAATGTCTATTTCTTCTTCTGCAATTATGGTTGCCATTGCTAAATTCCACTCAAATGGTACCTTGGCTTTGGCACTGTCTTCCGATGGTACTACCATTAATAATACCTTGACTAATATGGCCTATGAAGGTTAGTATTATTTTCTTTAAGGATTTCTAATTTGGTATCTAATATTATTGAACAGCTGGTAACACTGCAACTATTCCAGGTTTGAGAGTTGCTGTCGATGCTTTGAGACCTGCCAATGGTGGTAGAGCAGATGCTGATAAGGTTATTTTCAGTAAGTTTCTTAATTTCAGATAATCTAATTATATTCTAAATAGTTTTGACTGATGGTTTAGCAAACGTTCCTTGTTCATGTAGTTCTTGTGTTAGTGAATACCAGGCAAAACCTAGTGTCTTCTCAAACTCTATTCAAACTAACATTTTAGGAAAGTATACAGGTTCTGCACTTACAACCCAATTACAAAATCTTTGCAAATATCAATACACAGATTCGACCGTATTGAGTGGAACTACATGCAGCTACTGCTCCACTAGTAAGACAGCTTACTGTTTGCCATGTTCTGATGCAGTGCCAATTGCTGAAAAGATTAATACATGGCAACGTAATTCTACTGGAATAGTTCCATATGATTTGGATAATCCTTACAATGGAAATAATAATGTCCAATGGAAGATTGTTGCTATGGCCGTAGGTGATGCCATGTCCAATACTTATGGTGCTAGACAAATTGAAGGAATGAACTATGATCCAAGTAGAGCTATGACTGTTTCTTGGACTGATTTGGATTCAACAATGAGCGAAATCGTTGATCAATCTTGTAATCAAGTTTCCACAAGTGACGCTAGTTAAGAACATGGTTAAATAGATATCAACAATGTAATAATAATGTAATAATATAATATTAAATAAAAAGTGTAAAATTGTGAGCCTTTTAAAACTCTTCCGAAGTCAAGTATGCAACATTTGATATTAAATGATTTGTTTTTGTTCATCAAAAAGGTTCTTCCCGCCTTCATGAACGTTTCTTTTCATTTTTTAAAAAAATTATTTTGAAATATCGGAATAAATTAGAGATTCTTGTCTGTTGGCTTAGTGAATAATCCCTTAAAAAGAAAGCAAAATAGAATACATTCAATTACCTTTTTTTACAAATTAAATCAATGCTTTGGTAAAATTGACTAAGCAGTTCTCTATCTTGCACATGATATTGTCTGATTGTATCTACTTTTGCTCCAATTTTGTTTTGCATGAGCGTAGTTGCAAATTGTTCTGGATTCTCTTTGGCAATTTCGATAGCAATTTTAACAGGTATTAGAGATGATTGACTGTATCCATTTGCAACAACTTCCAACAAGGTACCAAAAACATTATCCTTTGGAAGAGCCAACAAGTTCTTGTGAAGTGAGATTACATGTGGAGGTAAAGTCTTGGAGAAGAGTTTGGAGAATAAGGGCGCATAAGTTGCTACTAAAACAAGGTTTGGTGAAGATGCAAGACATTGGTATTCTTCCTCGCTCAACTCTTCAATAAATAATGGATAGAATGTCTCCAACACTGAAGAATAATCGCAGGGCTTCCATATTGCGTCTCTGTGTGCCACAGCAACTCTTTGGAAAAGGTAGATTAGAGGATTGTAAGTATTGCGAACCATTTGGAAAATCACAGAGTGGCATAAAGTGCATTCTCATCTTTTTCAAACATTGAACTATTACTGAACTTTTCTTTTTAAAATCCGTGATTGATAAGCTGGTATCAATAAATGTATGGAATGGAGAAAAATTCAAATAGTCTTTGCTTAATTGTGAAAGTTTGTTTTTTTGAATTCCCATAATAAGATCCAAAACATCTCCTCTAATATTCTGTATTGCACTGATGAAAATAGGTCATTAGTATTGCAACAAATTTCAGCAGAATTTTTTCCATTCTTATTTAACATCTGCTTCAAAATAGTTGAGGATTCAATAGATTGAAGCACCTTTACAGAGCCAACAGGAATACTCTCATCCAAGTAAACAATTTTGATAATTTGATCTGAATCAAATCCACATTCCTTAATGTATTCAAATTCGGTAGATATATTAGAGTAATATTTTCTGTCAGATTTCAATACTGGGTATTTGGCGATTTGCTTTTGAATAAATCTTAAGAATTGTTTCCATTCCAAATATGTTGGTGCATCCCATATGGGATTTGGTTTTTTCGAACGTTTTCCATGTACCCAACTTGGAAATGCAAAACTTGGTTGTGTTAGAAAAATTTGGTAGAACCAAATTGGTTCATGTCTCAATCTCAATACTGCTGAATAAACAGGCTCAGTAAGAACGTACTGACTTGCTGGAAGTATTTGAATCATATCAAGAGAAATTCTTGAGTTGGAGAGTACTATATCAGGATTTCTAATACATTGATAGAGACTTTCCCACATCAATTTTACAATCAATAAATCATAACAATCATCAATGAGAAACGAATAAAACACCTTCTTTGAAACTCTAATAAGATTGTAAAATTGAGAAACCAGTTCATCAATAACCAATTGTCTCACAAACAAGCTTTCAGAACCAATAAATTCTTGTCCATTATGATTAGTTCCATACATGAGATATCCAGAACAATATTCTTCCATCCACTCAATAACCCTTTCATTTGAAAATATACTATGCAACACTTGACTCAGAACTAATGTTGACTTTTTGCGATCATTGAAATCAATATTCGAACCACAGGTAATCTTTTCAAAATGTGAATAAAAAGGTAATCCAGCACTTGTAGCAACACTTCAAAGGATAATTCATGAAAACGAGTCTTGATCCGTTCCTTCTTGGTCAATGGAAGATGATGAGATTTTGAATGATTTTTCTTTCGTGATTGTTTTTGTTTTTCATCATAATCGGAATTATTTTCATCATAGGATTCATCATCTGTGAAATCGCCCTCTAAATATTCTAGTAAAGCAGAAGCTGAAACACCTTTAAACATTTTTTGTTTTCTTCTTCGAAATTGAACAACAATTACAGCAATCTTGGTAAATGATGTTGCATCCCTCCACAAAAAACCGTTAATAAAATTAATTAAAAAATAAAATTCAAAAGAATAAAAAAAAGCCTTTTTCGCCATCACATTGATTTTATGTGCAGCACAACAAAATACGTAAAATAATTAGGCTTCACTTACGCCCTATTACAATTACCATCACATCAAACAAATTATCATCATTTGTATGAATACACCCGCGGAACCCATCATAAATTAAAGCACTGTAGCTATCACACGAATATGTTTGGAACATGTAATACAATCTTCATGATGCAACAGCTTATTCTGGTCTTTAGAATGGGCTGTCGTCATTATTATTCCAATATTCATGAAGCTGGTTCACTTAATTTTAACACTTGACTTTCCGAGTTTGTATTTATTAACAATTATTGCATACGATTGGAATGGACAGCTCACTTTATTAGGGCTTGTGCTTGCCTTACATGAAAGGTGTGTTATTGTAAAGCAAGTGGACTTTCCATTATCCAATCGTTTAGTTTGATGATTCGTCTACAATTAGTCAATACGGTTCACCTTTCTTCCAGTTTATGATACCGCAACACGATCTATTTGGTGTGGTGACTACAAACAATACAAGATCTAGTGAAGAATACTGCACAATGTTGGTGCATAAATTGAGTGAATGGAAGAGACACTTTATTTCTCACTTTGAAAAAAACAAACAATATGTATTACAACAAACATTGTAGTACAAGAGTAATTCTTTCATTAATTAGCACAATTTTATTGTGTGTATTGATTGAAAGTATTATTGTAGAAGGTCAATGTCCTCATCAACAAGTTGGTTTGGTCAATTTTAACACATTAACTGGTTGGAATGTTGCCAATTATGATATTGTTATTACAAAAGCTGTCAAGTTAAATATTTCTCCTCCAAACAAATTACGTTCAATCACTGTTAAATCAGGTGGTTCTTTAATTTTTGATAATATTGATCTCAATTTGAATTTGAATTTCATTAGAGTTGAATCAAATGGTAGTTTTATAATGGGTAGTTCAAATTGTCCAATCACTTCAAAGGTTATCTTGACATTGTATGGTGATCGTGTCAATAGTTCTATCAATGATCTTGGTAGTGATCCATTCGATGGAAGTAAATTGGGTTCAAAAGGTGTTGCTTTCTTGAGTGGATCTATTGTTCAAATTTATGGTAAAGTTGATGGACCAAGTTGGAGTGAAATTATCAAGAATTCCACCAAGGGAAGTTCACAACTTGAATTGAAAGAAGCTGTTCAATGGAGAGTTGGTGATTCAATTGTTGTTGCTTCAACAGATTATGGTGAATTATATGATTATAGAGTTGAAAAGAATGCTTCATTGGGTTGGATTCGTGGTGAACCATTTCCAAATCAAAATGAAGAGAGAAAGATTATTCAATTATTGAATGGAAACAAGACCATTATTTTAGATAGAGCATTGAATTATACTCACTTTGCAAGTGTTGATGGAAAGATTCGTGCAGAAGTTGGTTTATTGACAAGAAGAATTGTTTTCAGAGGTGATGATTCATCTGAAAGTTCACTTTTTGGTGGTCACTTTATTATTCGTTTGGTTGATAAATTTAATATGGAAGGTGTTGAAATTACAAGATTTGGTCAACAAGGTTTAATGGGAAGATATAGGTATGTTTGGTGTTGGTAATCATTTTTATTTAACTTGTATTTAATATTGTTTTTAATGATTTATTTAACTATTACTTATTATTCATTAATAGTTTCCATTTCCACTTGTTACAAAACAAACCATTTGGATTGAATTTCACAGTTAAGGATAATACAGTTCATCACAGTTTCCAAAGATGTTATGTTGTTCACGATACTAATTATATTTTATTGAAGAATAATGTTTGTTATCGTGCATTTGGTCATATGTACTTCTTGGAAGATGGATCTGAAGTAGGAAATGAATTTAACAATAATTTGGGAGTTGATCCAATTCCAATCTCAAGAGAAAATCCTCGTCAAATCATTTTATCTGATTCTGATGTTTCAGTTTTTTGGATTACTAATCCAAACAATACATTCATTGGAAATCATGCAGTTGGTGGTCGTTTCCCATTTTGGTTTACAATGCCAACATTCCCAACTGGATTGAGTGCAAATAGATACGCAGCTGGCTCTATTAATCCAAGAACTGCTCCTCCAAAACCATTCGAAAACAATGTTGGTCACAGTTCATCAGGAAATGCTCTTCACATTGATGATATGGAAAAAGCTGATGGAAGTACAGAACTTGCTGGTTATTTTCCTTCAGGTGTTGTTGAAGCACTTTACAATGGATTTATTGCTTATAAGAATAGAGGATATGGTGTTTGGGCACGTGGTGGTTTACTTCGTTTCAAAAATTTATTCTTAACTGATAATAGAATTGCCATGAATTCTCCACCAGGACCAAGTATCATTCATGACAGTACTTTTATTGGTGAATCTGAAAATGTTGGTGAATTTTCATACAGACCAAAGATTGATCTTGGAAATAGAACAAGACCAGGTCAATATGTTAGTTCCAATTTGGATTTGATTAAGGGTTATGAAACTTATGATAATGGTGGTCCACAATACTTGAGAAATATCACTTTTATCAACTTTGTTACTGATTCATTCAAATATGCAGGTTCCTTATCTTCATTGAATAATTACTTTAAACATCAATCCAAAAACAGATATGCCAATTTAAAGTTTGTTAATGCAAACAGATATATGGTTTTCCCTTGGAATTATCCAACTTATTATGATAATCACAAGGCAACTGCTTTGATGGATGTGGACGGCTCAACCACAAGTATTTCATCAATTGGTGGTTGGATCACTGGTAATGACACAACCATGACATTCACACAATGTCAAGCAAGAACTGAATGGAATGCCTATCAATGTCCATTCTTTGGTGAATCTTTTGCTCAATTCAGAGTTGTTAACTGGAATTTAACAAGTGTTAACACAACTGGAAGTGATGGTATTAGTAGACCTGATATTATTAACACTGGCAAGAGAGTTCCAAGAATGATTCTTGTTGATTTATTGAGAAATCGTGAATCCAATGTTATTGGTGCATTAATTGGTGCTACTCAAGAATATTTCATGCAAAGTAACCTGATTGCAAGAGGTTTCTATGGGCTTCGTTGGCCATACGACATTCCAACACCAAAAGATTTGAGTTTCTTCCTTGATTCATGTGCATCAAATGATTGGATTGTTGTTTCTGTTCAATATCCAAAAGGAACAATTTTCAACATTAGATTCTACATGAGTCCAACAACAATTAACATGACCAGAACTGCAAACTTTACAACCATGTTGAGTGAGCCGACCAAATATTATTATTATGATGATGCCACTGAACATTTGTACTTGAAGATCCAAAATAATGCACCAAGATCCTGGTATAGAGTTGTTGATAGCTTTGTTGATTACTATTCAACTGGTGTTGTTTATTTGAATGCCACATGTCCGAGAGGTATTTGTGCACCATCAAAATTCTCCAATCCAAGCAATGCAGGAACAACATATAAGACATTAATGAGAGAAGATAGATTTGTTGGAAGATTGGAAACATGTCAACAAGCAAGTGTGAAATCATTGGCTGCCAATTCCACAAGTGGAAGTGGTTATGTTTTTGCATTCTTGAATTCCAAAACAGCTTCTCTTGATTTTACTGTTCAACACAATTTGAACGATATTGTTACATCAATTGATATTGGATTTGGACTTGCAGGAAAGGAAGAATACATTTCCACACCAACCTCAAAGATTATTCCCTATACTCAAAGCAGATTTGGTTACACCTTGTCATATGAAGAGTGGAATTATTTACTCCAAGGTAAAATGTTTGTGAAATTATCAACTACTCAAAATGCAAATGGACATTTGAGAGCTCAACTCTATATTAACAACGCTACATCAACAAGTTGTAATTTACCACCTTTGGTTTCAAATGTTAAACCGTGTGATGCTTTGAATTTGAAGAATTCTTCCCATGTTATTTCAATTTATAGTGAAGGTCCAAAATTGACAAATGAATGGTACATGTATGCCTATGTTCCAGCTGATATTAGAAATACATTTGTTAATGCTAGTTATGCACCAGCTATTTGTGGAAACTCATCAATGCATTTTGGTTTCAGAAAGGGAAATATTTCATTCAACAAGATTGGTTCCAATAAGATTTATGTAGATACCAGTATTTATCAATACTTTGAATTCTTTATCAAGACTGTCAATAATACTGGAAGTGTTCCAAGTTTGACAATTGTATTTGGTTATTTGAATGATACAAAGGTTGTTGACTTTTCTAGAATCAACACACAAGCTAATCACACTCAATATTTAAAGATTGATGGAAATACAGTGACTCGTGTGAGAATTCCACTTTCTGAACTTGGTTTTGCACCAATTCAAAACATTCACAGAATTATCTTGTACTTGCCAGATCAAACTAATTTCATTGAATTCTTGATGGATAATATGAGATTTGTTGGAGCACCAGCAACAGCTGAAAGCACAGCAAGAACCATGACTGTTTCTCAATGTAAATACTTTGGTGGTGTTTCATCATGTGGAAGTTTGGTAAATCCAGATCCAGATCCATTAGGTATTAGAAAATTGTAATCCAAATAAACATTATTTCATCTCTTATTACAAATTATTTCGAAAAAATATTAAAAAAAATGGGAAATCAAAAGAGTAAGGGAACTTCTCATCCCTCCATTCATACAAAAGACATCAAGACTGATACAAAATTGAGTTCTTTTCGGTTTTTCCCACTCAAGAGTTCCTATACTTGTGGTAATTCAATGGCAAGGTTGTTACCTCCTCGGGATGTAATTTGCAAGTTAGCCTTTGATTTTTTGGAAATTTATGATATTAATCAATTGGCCCAGAGTTGTAAATTAATTTATTATTGGTTGGTTTGTGATGATGCGAAAAAGGGTGATGGCGGATTTTGGAAGAGGATTGCTAGACGAGATGGATTTTCTGAATTTAGGGAAGAATTATCAGGTGATGAATGTAGGAAAATGTATTGGAAATTGATGGAGAGTAGATTGATATTTGAGAAGGACTTGAATTGTTTGGAATCACAAACATACTCAATTCGTAATCTTCATTCGGAAAGTTATGAAAAGTTTAAGGAATTTGTGGCTACTATTAACCATGATTTTGGTCAATTGTTGTATATTTTAAGGAATACTAGGAGGAATGTATTGACTAGAGCATATATTGCAGTTTTTGGGCTTGTAGATCATTCAGATAGTTCATACAATGAAAAACTGGAGAAAATGGCAAGATTAGCCATGTTGGTTGAAGATGGAGCTATCTTTCAAACAAATTTACAATATTTCGGTTTGGTAAAGAGTAATATTGTAGCTTGTTTGTTTAGCAATATCTATCTACGGTCAAATACTGAGCTCGAAAATCATTTTGTGATTACTACTGCATTTAGGACCAATTATCCTTTGGAATCGAGTGCAATGTTTGTGGAGAGTGCAATTATTTTGTTAGAAAAAAGATTTAAAGAAACCCAAAGTGATACAGACCAGTTTTATAGATTATTTTGTACAGTTTTGGGGAATCCTGAAAAGAGAAAGATCATACGGAGGATTAATGAAATGAAAATATTCGTTCAATTGTTTTTACAATACAAAGGAGGAGATGAGATGGTTGATATTATTTTAACGTTGTTACTGTGTGAAGACAAATGCGGACGCGAGTCAATCAGCTCAATTACATTTTCAGTTTTACAAGAATCAATATTTGTACATCCTTTACTATTAGAAGGATTAATGAAAGAGGAATTCTATTCGAATAATTCATGCCATCCTAATTATTTAACTGTTGTTGGGAAATATATTTCCACTCCCGATTTGAATATTGATTGTGGATTAAGAGAAAGAGCTTTAAACCTTATGGTAAATATGTGTAATATTAAGAATAATAAGGATGTAAGAGATCCTTTCCTGTATTTCATTCCTTGGGCTGAGATCAGAAAGAATCAAGCCTTTCCAATTTTGGAATTCAAAGAAAATGCCCTCTCTGAATTGAATGATTGTATATTTGATTGTATTAAGAAAGATTTAATTGTTTACTACCTTGGTATTGTTATAGAACTAGCTGAACATGATTTGAAGAAAACTGTGGATAGTATGCTGGATATTAGAAACTTACCTTCTATTTCTCATACTTTTATTCGGATTTGGTCGGAATTATTTAGAATATTTGAAAGATATTCCAAAGTCGTTGAACCAAATGAAACAGAATTATTCTTTTCTCGATTGGTTGAACTCCTTCATTGCTGCTGCCAAGAATCAATGTATCAACAAAATATAACCTTGTTGGAAATGATAGAAAAGCAATTGAAATGGATAAATCCTAAATATTCCAATACAGAACATGTAGAAAAGGTGTTGATATCCATTAGAACAAAGTGAGCTTTCAAATGGTAGTATTTTGTAAAGTGTTAAACAATCAAAAAAAAATGGATGAACATGATAGGAAGGCATTCCTTCCTTTTTGCTTTCCTACATTTAAAACGCTTCCCTGTAAATCATCAGATGGCGATCAAAATTCCGATGATGAAGAAAAATCTATGGAAAATAATTCAACGGTGATGAGAGAAAGATTTGATTTGAATGTTCTTTTACATAAAATTGATCCGGACTTGAATATATCAGTGGATGGAGCTAGAGAATTAGGACATTGCTTAATGATGCAAATGTGGTATTTAGTATTGAAATGTCCGGAATTATTTCAACCAAAGAAGGAATTTGAAAAGGACGCCAGCTTGTTGGAGGACTATGTTGTTAAGAGACAACACGAGTATTCGAATCAAATATTTTATGATTTGTTGTTTTATGATGATTCTGTGAAAATGTCCAAGATGAAAGGAGGCGAATCAAAACAGAAAAAACAAAAGACCCAAAAGAAGGGAAATCAACAAACATTGAAATCATATTTGAGTGATTTGTTACGCTGTTGTTTGACAAGTGAATTGGCGAAAGGTGCTCTGGAAACTTTTGAACAATCTCTTTCGCTAGACCATAATATTTCTCCTTCTATCAGTCCAGAAGATTTGAAGGAATTAATATTGCAAATATTTACCTTCAATAATCCACCAAACATGAAGCAATGTAACATTGAGGATGTGCTTTTGTGCTTTGCATCAGTAATGGAATATTTGGCATTAGAAGTGTTGGAAGGATCTTGCTCTCTTACAAATCAAGCTGGATTACAATTCATTTGGTATCCAGCCTTACAACAATCCATATATATAGATGAGGATTTGGCTTCTACATTATTTAATCATATTGGACTTATTCCTAGGGTCGATTTAAGATATTTTTACGGAGCTAATACTCGAAATGAAACTGTAAATTGGACTGGCATCTCAAATGATATTGTGTTTGAGATTTTATCTAAATTTGACAGCATGAATGACTTGATGCAGATGAGATTGATCTGCAAGAGTTGGAATTATACAATTTTGACAAACATGCTCATTTGGAAGAATCTCTCAAGGAACGTAATGGTTAGAGAGGCTTTGTTTTCAGTGTGTGATACTAGTTTTTCTGCAGAAGAATTGGAAGAAACTCTAGGCAGAGCACAAGGTGAATTACCCAAATCAGCTCTTTCAAAGTTCCTCCTCCAAAAGAAAGATTGGTCAGGCATTTATTTCGGCAATGTCCACAATCATTTACAATTTGTAAAGGATTCTGAAAAATTACTTGAACTTGGATTTGAATGGCTTCCAGATCCAGGAGACCAATCATTGTCATATAGCGAGTTGAAAGAGGTTTTCCAAGAGTATATTGCAAAGGTTAGGTTCGGAGCTAGGAGTGATCCCCTAACTCAGCAACCTGAGGAGCCCAATTTTGAAAAAATCATGGTACCAAAATCTCACTTTGACGAATTCAACAAAATTGGAAGAAACTACACATATCTTGGAATGATGGATTTTTCACAACTTTCATCCTTAGTTTCGTGTAGAAACTTCCCAAAATCTGGTTTATTGTATTGCTTTTATGATTTTACAACTGAGATTGGATTTACACCTTTCTGTGAAGAAACAAACTTGATACAATTTACAATCAGCGATACTACCTTCCAAGTAGCAAAACCATCAGCTACTTCTTCGTCTTTCATGGATTCAGTGATGGTCAATTCCATTCCTTCTCATCCACTCTTATGGATGCAGTCACCATTCCTCAATAATTCAAGGAGTCATGTTTTCCCAAGTTTTGCTTTCGTTAAGAGTACTCGAATGGAAACCCTACCTGCAGATATTTGCCTGCTTTCTGATTCATTTTATTTGAATAGTGAAGACGAGGATGAGGAGGCTACTTGGACATTCGCAGTGTACATTTCACAAAATGATTTAAGAAACAGAAATTTCTCAAAAACAACTACCTTAACAGTGCCACACTACCAACAATTTTTGAGGTAATAATCAACTACAGTTTTGCTTGTTAAAAAAACAAAATAAATCCATTCATGGCAACCATCGTTGGTCTCTTTATTGTCATTTTGATTGTAAATAAAGGAATTAGAAGCCACTTGTAAAACTTGTGTACAACAAAGGAACTAGTTCTAGATAATGGTGAGGTACTATGCTCACGTGATGAACCATGCACCAATGGACAAACTTGCTTATATATCTATGGTAAAGCTGGTGTTTGTGGTACTCCTAAAAAGGATGGAGAAACATGCTCCCACAAAGCATACTGTCTTCCTAACAGGAAGTGATTCAGACACCAAATGCATGTCGATTGGTAAGATGGGAGAGTATTGTGACTCTCAAGCTGATTGTGTTGGAGGTTTGGAAATTCCATCTGGCTATTGTGAGAGTGGAATCTGCAAGGATTTTTCCACTCTGACAGGATGCTCTTCATGTACAAATGTTCATGTGGAGGCGATAAATGTGTTGATACATGTTTAGGACCACAAGCTGATGCTGAAATGTGTTTGTACAACATGGGAGCTGCCTATTTGGTGGGAGCTGACTATAGTTTCTCACTCATTCCAGGAATTTCTACTTATCAGTGGTATGATGAAAAGTCTTCCCTATTCAAAATTGCAAACCTATTTCCAACATCATAAAAGCTGTATGAAGGCTAAATTGGCAGCAACAGGAATTGTTGGTTTTGAATTTGGATAATGATGAGGGAGAACCATTGATGCCACTTCAACATATACTCCTGATCAGAAGGCTTCTAGTGCTGTTGTGCTTAGTGGTGAATTCATATTGTTCGCCTTGTTGTTATCATTGATCCTTGTTGGGTTTGATGAGAGCTACGAAGTTAACTTTGCCACATTTTTTTCTAATTATAATTAAAAATTAAATTTGAAAATATTTTATTCAAATAAAATTATTTTAATGTGTAACGGTTATGGCGGCAATTTTCTCCCCAACTTTCCTCTGTCGATGTAATTAATTTCTTGGAACTGTTGCTGCATCAACAGTAAATTCCAATGACTTTTCAGGTGTGAAATTACATCTGCAAACATTAACTCCCAAACAATCAGGATCTACAGCCTTTCCACAATTACAATCACAACCATCGTTGGCTCCCCAGAATGTTTTATCACATGTCCATTCAGATGGTGCTTCAGTATTCTCGTAGAGACAGTTTCCACTTGTATGAGAGCATCCACTCACAAATTTTCCTCTCACATGTGGACAATTTTGGATACTACTCAATTGAACTAGATCACAATCTGGATCATAGGCTCCACAATTACAATGACAAATCTTTCCATCAGAATATTCCTCATGTTTACATGTCCATGACTCTGGCACTGAAACATCATGCAAAAATCTCGATTTCTTTGATAAATTTTCAGAACTGTAATACTTTTCAGTATTCCACGATTCAATCAATACTGGTTCTGATGTGTTATATTGATATCTTTCAATGAGATAGGCAATTTCCTGACCTATTGTCTCATCATGTCTATAATAAATTTTGATATAATCATTGGCTGATCCATCAATCCAAGAACCAGAATTAACATAGAGAAAATCAGGTCCCTTCTTACTTTTCAATTCCTTGACAAGTGGAATGTGAGTGTGACCTTGGAGAACAATCTTGTCCATGTGAGGATCAATGTTTCTATGCAAAATGTCATCATAATTGTTACAACTGGCTCTGACCATATCGTCCACTTCCCCAGATGAATAATCCTCTCTGTATCTACTTCTTAAATAGGAATATTTCTGATTGGCTAACTCAACTGTGACATCTACACTTGAACATTCTTCACAATTAGCCCAAAAACAGGCACCTTTGAATATTGTCGAGTCATTGTGTGGATATTCACCAAAGGCTTTCTCAATAGCCGAAACTCCAAGAATTTCACCAACTGGACCACTTGCCAAACTTCCAATAAAGAATGGAACAAAATCACAAATTTTCTGGAAGAATTCAGGAGCTGAAGTAACACCACTTGTAATACTTGCTCTTGCAATGAAATATCCAAAAGATCTGATTTTATCTGGATGTGGAGCATTGAAAAAATCACTCTTGTGTCCATGTTCAAATCTCACTCCCATATCTCTGTATTCCTGACTTGTATAAATCATATCCAATCCATATTCATTTTGTAAAATATCCACATCATGTTCTGTGAGTTCCATATCATGATTTCCTTGAGTGAGAATTAATTTTGCTCTATTAACATCTAGAACATTTTTCAATAATTTAAGAATTTTTGTAACATCAACTCCATAACGATCTTTGCTTCTAATCAATTCAGAATTCTTGATTGGCATCTCATCAATGTGATCTAACCAAAATTCAAAAATATCACCATTAATCACAACATCCATCAAAGGAGGTCCCTCTCCTCTCACCTTTGAATTTGGTTGAGCCAAATCTTGCAGAAAATGTGTTAACAATTCATGAGAAGTTTTCGATTGAAACCAAGGTCCTCCGATATGCAAATCACTCACAACAATTGTTTGCCTGTCAGCAATCACCAACACTGTCAAGCAAAAAATCGCAATCAAGAGTGAGTATAAAATATTCTTCCTCATCATGTGTTATTTTTTTTCAAATATTGAAAACGATCTTTTTTGGCGCCAAACTTGATAAATAATTGAACTTGGAACTCTGTGGCACAACTCAAAAAAAAAATGTCATACACGATATCAACTTCCATGGCCAACACGCTCGAATGCTCCATTGACAACCTGCCCATGATGGAAAAACATCCACATCACAAACTCACCATCGTCCACATGAGCGATAGCCACATTTCTCATCAATTTTTAAAATCCATTCCTGATGGTGATATTTTCATTCATAGTGGTGATATTTCGCATAAGAGTGAATGGTATGATTGGCAACAGAAAATTGAGAAGGAATTGGAGAAAAATCCAAATTTAAATAGAGAGGAATTGTATGAGTCAACTCCGAGTATTAGTTCTTTTAATGAATGGATTGGAGAATTACCTCATCCTATAAAGATTGTAATTGCTGGAAATCATGAGATGGGATTTAATGGATTAACGAGGAGTTTTATTAGGAAAAATATACTTCCGAATGCGATTTATCTTCAGGATCAAACATTGATCATTAATTATAAAGGACAGGAATTGTTGAGATTATATGGAACACCTTGGACAACTAGCTCAAATATGGGATTCTCAATATCAAGACACAGAATTAAAGACAAGTGGGAGAAGATTCCAATGGAAACAGACGTTTTGATTACTCATTTGCCACCATTTGGTATAATGGATCTTGCATCAGGGAAGGATCCAGCTTTTTTCTGTGATTACTGCAAAAAGGAACACAAATATAGAAAACATTGGGGTAATGTAGAGCTGAGGAATAAGGCAATTGAATTAAATTCCAAAGGTTGCTTACAGGCCCATCTATATGGGCATGTTCATGAGTTTCATGGCACAACTGTTGAGCCAATTACAAAAGATAGCTCACGACCACTCCTCTACTCAAATGCAGCATCTGTTGGCTCTCATACTGATAAGAATATTTTGAAACCTAATGTTATAGAGATTCTCCCACGCAAATTACAATTAATATAGTTCAAAAGATTATGAAGGAATTAAAAGTGGAACAATTTTTTGTCATGCAATTCGAATGATAGCAATACGAGTTTAATTTTATGTATGTTGTTTATTTACAATGTTAAAGAGAATGTATTATCGTATAATTGATATTCGAAAGTGAATGATGATGGAATAATGTGTTGATCTAATTATTGAAAGTTTTCGTATTCTGAGCTGTCACTTTCACTTTCCTCCTCTTCTAGTTTGTCCAATGCCACAAAATAATGTTTCAATTCAGGTTCATTTCGTAACTCGTCTGAAGCATATTCAATTAGGAGAGGATGAATTCTAACAGCTTCTAATACGACCTCCTTATCAGATTGCAATCTATTCGAAACATATTCAAGTATTTCGTGTTTCTGCGATAACAACTCTAAAACGAATGGTTTGTCATCTTTCAATTCATCACATGCATATTTAAAGTTGCTACATTCAACTTTTACAATTTCTCTTATAATTTCCTTGTTAGAATTCAAACATTCTTTCAATCTCTCAGAAATATAGGAAAATATGTTGCATTTCTGTTCTAACAGCTCCAAAACGAATTCCTTATCAGATTTCAATTCATCAGCTGCATATTCAAATAGATATCCACACTTTTTAACTGATTTCTTAACAATATCCTTGTCAGATTTCAATCCATCTGACACGTATATGAATATTGTTTGTTTCTGCTCTAACAGTTCCAAAACGAATGATTTATCATCCTTCAATTCATCACATGCATATGTAAAGTTGCAACTTTCAAGCTTAACAATTTTTCTTATAATTTCCTTGTTAGAATTCCAAGTTTTTTTCAATCTCTCAGAAATATAGGAAAATATGTTACGTTTCTGTTCTGTCAGCTCCAAAACAAATTGTTTGTCATCTTTCAATTCATCACTGGTATTTTCAAAGTTAACAAATCCAGCTTTTACAAATATCTTCTCGACTTCTAAAATGTCTTTGTGTGATCTCAGTTCTTGTGATCGATAATGGAGTAAAGACGGATCAGTGGTTTCTAATGGTAAATCACTTTCGAATTCTTTTGGAATAATCTCCACAAGTTTTATATTAAATCGAGGAGAGGAGATCAACTTTTGAAGGAGAGGTTCATAATTCCACAGCAAGAACACCTTTGCCATATTTAAAACCATATCAACCGAACACTTTTCCATCATTTTACAAAGAATTGAGAATGCAACCTCTCTATTAGCCATCAAAGTTGCATAATTCCAATTCAATTCACGATCAAGATAAGCTCTTCCACTAATCACGATCCTATCTGATGAATCAGATCTTGTACCGAAAGATTTGACATAGCTCATTGCCATGATCATGTCTTTTCTAGTGAGTCGTTTGGGGAATAATTTCTGTTGTAATAAGATGGATTTGTAATTTTCATCTAGTAAGAGAATGAAAGTGGAAGGAGTTTTGGTATTTTGTACCAATGGAATGGTACTTGTGTTGTTGTTATTGTTGTGCATGAGAGTGGTTGTATTAGTAATATTGTTATTGTTGTTGTTTGAGATGAGAGTAGTTGAGTGTTTCATATTTTTTTTGGTTATTTTTTTTTAAATCAACAATTTTTTCGGTTTTTTATTGCATAAGAAAGCAAAACTTTTTGCTGGGAGCAAAAGAAAATCCAAATTGTAAAAATAGATTACATTGTATTCGAATAGAATCGATTCACCATTTATTTTTCAATTAAATATGTTGATAATATTCTATTTGAAAGTGATGTTGATTATTTCCATAATTAATCGAATTGCTCAATTCCTTCTTTCTGTTGTTACAAATTGCACATGAAATTATTCCACAACAAACAAGAATAACAATAAGAATGACAACAACACTAACAACCAATCCACCACCTCCAAAGAATAAAACCATGAATATTGTTAATAAATCCCAAAAAGGGGTGTCAGGATTTGGATTTTCAGATTTGGCAACTGTCAAGGAGTACAATTCAATAAAGTCACCTTTTTGACCTCCACCTTTTCCATACACACCAATGTAATAAGTTTGATTTAGTGTATTGCTAATGGAAAGAATGGAATCACTCTCTGTCAGTAAATAATCATATTCGGTCAGGGATGGTTTCGAATTGACTTTAATATAAACATTGACGATGGATTCATTCCAATTAGTGAATGAAATGTTCACTACTTTTTGTGTTTCTTCCACATTGGTGTAATATTGATTCATTTGGCCTTTTACTACAAAGCTGGAAATAGTTTTGAGGTTTCCCTTAATTTCGTCCGGAGTTTGTGCATTGGTTGACCAAGTTGTGAATGTCATCAGAATGACAAGAAGTATGAAGAAATTGTTGGCTTGGTTGTTGATGAACATTCGCTTTTTTTTTCTTTGAATTTCGAATAAAACAATCAATGACCTTTTATTAAGTGCCCAATTGACTTGCCATAAGGAGTTTCACAGGAGGTATATTAGAATAACAATCACACAACTTTGTGACTGGGGTGCATTAACTTGGATTGTGTTTAGAACAAATTTCGAAACATTAACATTCCGCAATTTCAGCGCAGGTTACACATTGTTTGATGGACTAGAGATTTTCACCCTCATATCTTCCTCTATTCTTGAAAGCCATTAATTCCATACTGAAGAGAAAATAAAAATACACAATCCTAGTTTTAATTTCCGGGTTTACATGTAAACCTATAAAAGCAAGTTTCAAAGTGGATCCAATTACAAAATGTAACGGTAGTGTAGCGGTAACATTACAAACCTTTATTAACATGTCGAGGTATCGAATCTCGTTACATTCAAAATTAAAATGCCAACTTGTGTAACTTTTGTTTGTGTGTGTGGTAGTAAGTTAAATTCAAGACAAGCAAAATATAGGCATTTGAAGAAATGTTCTTATTTTGATAGAGCAAGACAATTTATTCGAATTACCATTCCCCAAACAACTCTATGTAAAATAATTGATCCACAAGTTTCGAATAATATTGCCACATTCGATTCTGATAAACCTGATCCACATGAAGCAGCATATATGAAGATGGGAAGAGCTGTTGTTGGTGTTATTAAAGACCTCCCAATTACCTCGCCTATCAGGAAGCCATTGATAGCCAAAATTTGCAAAACGGTTAGACCAAAGGATGCCAGAGAAATCTTGAATTTGGATGAATCAACAATCAGGAAAGCCAAGAAGAACAATGATAATTCTATCCTCATGATGAAATGTAAGCCTAATTGTACAAGAGAGAAAATTACCAAGAAAGAAATTGATCAGATTCAAAGATTCTGGCTTGATTCGTGTCGTGTTTCATCTACAGAAGTTCTACAAACAACAAGAAAGAGAGGTGAAACACCTGCCATTACTGTTCCAAAATATTGGCAAGATCAACCTACATGTTGGATCTATAAACAATATGTTGATTATTGTGAGGAGAGAGTGTTGGTACAATTTTCAGTTGGTACGTTTGTCAAGTATAAGCCAAAGAATATTAGACCATCCAAAAAGTTGGAAGGAGTATGTCCAATTTGTAAAGATTTCAATCAGAATGGCGAGAAGTACCAACAAGCTTCTGAATTATTACATCATGTAAGAATTAATCCAGACTGTGAGTGTGAGAAGTGTCAACATTTTGCTAATTGCTCCAAGACAGAATTATTAGCACTTCAAAAGAAATATGATAAATACTTACTGCATGATAAGCTGGTCAAAGATAAGGATCAATATTGGAAAAAGGTAAAGGCCGAACTAAAAGAAGATGAACTCATCGTTGTGATGGATTTTGCCAGTGGTTGGGAGGTTGTTGATAAAGCCGTAGAGACTACCAATGAATTCTTTGAAAAGTTTTACATCAAGGATATGATTGTAGTGGTAATCAGAAAATTGGGAGATGAATTCGAATATTATTACATTGATATTCTAAATGACAATCATAATTCAGATCATCATTATGTAAGAGAATCATGGGAGTATTTGTTATCTAATGAGGAGATATTTGCTGGTAAATCAAAACTATTCCTGTTTTCAGATGGTGGCCCTGCTCATTACAAGACCTGTAAAACGGTTGTTATGGTTGGCGAAATGTCTCGTAAATTTGGTATTCCTATTGAGTATAACTTCTTCCCATCACATCATGGAAAAGGACCTTGTGATGCACACACTGGAGTAGGTAAGAAGTTTATCAAAAACAAAGTACAAAGTAGACAAATTGAAGTGCAAACTCTTGATGATATTCAACAATTATTACAACAGCTCAAGAATACAAAAGTCATTCATCTGGAGGACATTGAAACATTTGATGATTATAACGTGCAAAAGGTTGCTAATGTTAGATCATTCCATCAATATACTTACGAATTTGATTCTGAAGGTGAAATGGATCTGCTTTGCAAGATATCTTATGAAGATGAGCATATAGAAGTCAAATCAGCAATATTGTTATCAAATTGTGGTGTGCAACTACAAGCAAATCATTGTCTATTCTGTAGAGAGGAGGGGCATAATCACAGAGTGTGTGATTTGATGGCAGAAGAATATTTAAAAGAAGATTTTGATCCTTCTTATTACGATTTCCTCTCGCGAGAGAATGATTATCTTCCAGATAGAGAGGAGGACGAAGATGAAGAGGAATATTCATCCAGTGATGATGGTGAAGATGATACAGACAACGTTAGTGAAATTAGTATTGAAGTTGAACCTACCAGAGAAAAAAGAAACAACCGTGGCAACAGATGTGCCTCATTTTCTATTAAATAAACAATAAAACAGGATTGTTTATTTTTACTTTCTCGAAGTAATATGATTTTGATTCATTTAATCTTACATTTAGCACTATGATTTATAGTGTTAATGCTGATGCAGAACCTGTTCAAAATTGTAATTTAAATAATTTGAATGTGAAGTAGGGGTTCCCGAGTGGTCAAAGGGGGTAGACTCAAGTTCTACTGCGCAAGCTTCGTGGGTTCAAATCCCACCTTCTGCAAATTTTGTTTTTGTTTTTTCTGATTGTCCAGTTTTAAATATTTTAATATTTTCTATTACCCATTGAAGTCTACTACAAGATAAAATTTGAATGGTAGTGTGATAATATATCTTCATGGAGAAAATAGCCTCAGACTGATTTGTTCCAATTGTCCCTCATTTTTATCCAAAAATATTTAACAAAACAAGTAATCTTTGAATTACTCTCCAATCACTGATTTTCACAAAGTGATATTTCTACATTCTATCTACCATGCACCAATCTATCACCACACAAATTTTCTTTTTATCACCAACTTGCACAACAACATTATCCATTTTTCATTCACATCAAGTTTTAGGATAGGTGCTCAAAACGCACATTCCAAAACAACGCTCCTGCTTAGAACGTTAGAGGTTTTCTTCCTTTCCCACAGTTTTCTGAACGACCCAAGTTGAAGCGACAGAACAACGGAGCTGCCACCTTTCAAAAAAAAATAACAAACATGTCACTCTCTGTAACATCACCTAAAGGTTTGTGTTCTTCTTTTATTCAAATCCTCATCATTAAAAATACAAATCTCTCCCTTCAAAATAGTCATCATTATTTTATTAATGATGATAATTAGCTGTTCATGTAATTTGATTATTGACAGGAATCCGATAATCACTCCTGGAATGCCAAAAGTTTTGGCAGATAGATTACGATATCTAGAATCCATTAAAAAAGCCAAAGGTATTAAAATTGCTAATGGATCAAAAGCAGCAACTAACGAATTTCCATTTATGGTATCTCTTCAGTATCAAGCAAGTAGTTCGAGCGTTCCTTATCATTTCTGTGGTGGATCAATTATTAATAAGCGATATATCATGACAGCAGGTAAGTTTTGATATGACTTTTGACATTTTTAACATTGTGAACTAGCTCACTGCATGTTCGATGACACTAATGTAAAATTGACACCTTCTACCATTGTGGTTCTTGCAGGAGTCAACTATAACACCATTTCTACATCAAGTTTATCTGGAAATTACGCAAAAGGCAGCTCAATTACAGTTCATACAAGTTTCAGCTCGAAAACACTTGCAAATGACATTGCAATTATTTATTTAGATAGAGATTTGACAATTGATGGAACAACTACACGTCTGGCTTACATTGAATCAGGTTCAGTTCCAATCCCAACTGCATCCTCAAAGATTCTCGTAGCTGGTTGGGGTTACACTGACTCAACTGAGGTTGCTTCTGAAAATTTGTTAAAAGTTAATATTCCAATTGTTTCTGATACGATCTGTAATTCATATCCATTGAGTTTGGATATGGCTAAACCAAGACAAATATGTGCTGGTGATGGTGCTGGTCACGATTCTTGTAAGTTGTTGATTTTTACAAAATTTAATTGTAAAATATTTTGAATTTATTACAATTATTGGAAATTGTTGGAAAATAGGTAGTGGTGATTCAGGAGGTCCATTGTTTAGAGTAGTCAATTCAAACACCAAGGACTTTGCAGTTGTTGGATTGGTAAGCTACGGACCTGATGGTTGTGGAACTGGATACGAAACTAACAGAGGTGTCTATACGAATACTACCTATTATTTGAATTCGTTTATTAGAAGTGTTGTTTCATCGGTTCAAACTGATACCTACAATTCAAATTCAAGCTATGTCTATACCGGAACAAGTGGTGGTTCAACCAAATCTGATGCAAGTTTAGGATTTGATTTGAAGAGTTTCGTATTTATTGTTGTAATGTGTTTGGGAATGATCTTTTATGCCTTGTAATATAATATCAATACAAATTTTTAGAATTTTATTGATTCCTATTCCAATTTGAAATCTTTATGGAAATATTCAAAGTTCATCATGTGAATGCTTGTTGGAATAATCAGTTGATGGAGCATGAAAATGATTACCATTTTGGAATTGAGATAATTTAGTGGCACCTATGAGAATTGGATCGTCAATGGAGTGTAAAATATTCTTACCGAATTGATGTTCGATAATTGAAGAAATTGTTGGAAAGGAACATGTCGAATTGAAAAGGATAATGTGATCTATTTGAGAGGGAGGATAGGATTCCATAATCTTGTGGAGATCTTGTTTGAAAATATCGAGTAATGGAGAGGAAACTTCAATATATTCTTCCAAGGTAATTTCCTTGAGTAATTTGCTATTCGAAAGGTCAGTTTCATGATCAAATATTTGGACTGGTTGTTTCTTAGCTAGTTTACATCTCAATTGCTTTGGATCTATTTTCAAATCAATTCCTCCAGGCCAATATCTTTCGAATAAGGAATCGAATTCATTCCATCCTATTCTTGGATCTGACTTTTCGAGTAATTTCTTTAATTTTTCATTAGAAAAATCCCAAACACCAACTTGCAACTCATAACTATTCCAATTCATTATCAAAATCTTTGAATTCTCCTCAGGAATCAAATCATATCCTTTTATAGCTAAACTTTCCTCATCCACCAAATCAACTTGTAAATCCTTTGGCGCCAAATCCAATATTTTCCTTCTTTGTTGCTTGGAAAGTTGACTTGGAATAGAAATTATCATTCTCTCAACAGTTTCCTTCAGAAATTCTTCTGAACTTTCTTTCAACTTTTCGAATACTAAAATGGAAAATGCTTCAATCGGATCCAACAACTCAGTCGAACCATTATTAAACTTTAACTCCACAATTGGATTACCAGAATGATCTTGGATAATTTTACTTGGATAATCATCTATAAAATCTGTTGGTAATTCATCAAATTTGTGCTCTAAAAGAAATCTGATTTGGTCAACTCTGTTTGAGTGTTGAAGATTTGCTTGTTCTCCAAACATAATTTCTCCATTTTCCATAATTGCAATAGAAGTATCCACTCTGTCATGTCCATTTGTGGTAATTCTGAAAAACATATCATGCTTGATGGTTGCAATGGAAATAAATTCGTGAGTGAAATGAATTCCAACGCTCGCTTGATGAGAATGCAAAACAAGGGAAAGGATGAAAAATAGAAATATTAGCACCGCTGGTTGAATGGTTTTCATTTTTTTTTTAAATATTATTTAGAATTTGTTGGAAGACTTTTTTGGAAACTTGCCAAAAATAGTGGATTATTTAAGTTTCGGTAGTTTCGTCCAAGATTAAGGTTAGATGGAGAAAGTGAAGATATTTAAGCCAACAATTTAAGGCGAAACGTGATCAAGTCATAACTTTTTTTATTGACATCTCGTGTCAACTTGTTCATCACGTTTCTAAAAAAAATGGCAGAAAATACACTGGTTTTATGTGAAGAAGACTATTCTTTAACTAAACAACAATTTGCTGAAAATGAATTCGAAGAAACAAATTTAAATTGTGAACAGAAACTAGACGAAAGTGATGATGATCAGTATATGGCTCATTCACCCAATACTAAACCAACAACAGAAACAAAATTGGAAGATATCGCTGTAGGTGATGTTGAAAATTCCAACCATTTTCGTGTGAAAGCACGATCATTATCAATAACATCAATAGTTGCAGTGATAATAATCATGGGATTGGTATTTATTCGAATCGAGAATGAAAAAAACACTACTCATGTCAACAACTTGTTGGAAGAAGCCAGAAACGAAATTTCCAAATTAAAACACGATATGAAGATGACACTGGAGGAAAAGAACAACCTTAAAGAACAATTTTACAAAGTGGCTCTCCAGGTTTTACATTTAGAACAGAAAGAACAAGAATCGTCCGTAAAGCTTTCGTCTATTCAAAAGCAAAACGAGAAAATCATTTCAACCTTGGAAGAACAACCCAAATCAGACTTGATAAATGGTTCAGATTTGAAGAGACAGCTTTCTGCGTTCCAAGAATCAATTATCAAATTCGAAAAGATAATCGAAGAAAAGAATGAGGAAATTCAAAACTTGAACTTTGAAATCTCTAAAAATTCAATTGCTATTGAAAAATTGACTGATAGTAATATAGGTTTAAAGAAGGAAATTGTAAATCTGCCCCAACTCTCGCTGAAGAAGGAAGAATTAATTGAAGAAAATCAAGTCAAAGAAATGCATTATGAAAGCCTAAACGAACCGAATGCAGTTGATGATTTATCAAATAATGTTGAAGAAGAACATTTATTGTCACCACTACTGGTCATATTCTTTAGGGTTATTGAAATACTTGTTTTTACTTTTTTTGTCTTGATAGTTGGGTGCATATGTATTTTTGTTATGAGTATTAAAAAATAAGGCTTTATTTGAGGGAAGTTACAACTTTCTAATACCTAATGGATCTGGATCTGGATTTACCAAACTTCCGCACGATGAAACACCACCAAAGTATTTACATTGAGAAACAGTCATGGTTCTTACTCTGGTTTCAGCTGTTGCTGGTGCTCCAACAAATCTCATATTATCCATCAAGAATTCAATGAAATTAGTTTGATCTGGCAAGTACAAGATAATTCTGTGAATGTTTTGAATTGGTGCAAAACCAAGTTCAGAAAGTGGAATTCTCACACGAGTCACTGTATTTCCATCAATCTTTAAATATTGAGTGTGATTAGCTTGTGTAGTGATCTTGGAAAAGTCAACAACCTTTGTAACATTCAAATAACCAAATACAATTGTCAAACTTGGAACACTTCCAGTATTATTGACAGTCTTGATAAAGAATTCAAAATATTGATAAATACTGGTATCTACATAAATCTTATTGGAACCAATCTTGTTGAATGAAATATTTCCCTTTCTGAAACCAAAATGCATTGATGAGTTTCCACAAATAGCTGGTGCATAACTAGCATTAACAAATGTATTTCTAATATCAGCTGGAACATAGGCATACATGGACCATTCATTGGTCAATTTTGGACCTTCACTATAAATTGAAATAACATGGGAAGAATTCTTCAAATTTAAAGCATCACACGGTTTAACATTTGAAACCAAAGGTGGTAAATTACAACTTGTTGATGTAGCATTGTTAATATAGAGTTGAGCTCTCAAATGTCCATTTGGATTTTGAGTAGTTGATAATTTCACAAACATTTTACCTTGGAGTAAATAATTCCATTCATCATATGATAAGGCATATCCAAATCTGCTTTGAGTATATGGAATAATCTTTGAGGTTGGTGTGGCAATATAATCTTCCTTTCCTGCAAGTCCAAATCCAATATCAATTGATGTGACAATAGCATTCAAATTGTGTTGAACAGTAAAATCAAGAGAAGCTGTTTTGGAATTCAAGAATGCAAAAACGTAACCACCTCCACTTGTTGAATTGGCAGCCAATGATTTCACACTTGCTTGTTGGCATGTTTCCAATCTTCCAACAAATCTATCTTCTCTCATTAATGTCTTATATGTTGTTCCTGCATTGCTTGGATTGGAGAATTTTGATGGTGCACAAATACCTCTTGGACATGTGGCATTCAAATAAACAACACCATATGAGTAGTAATCAACAAAGCTATCAACAACTCTGTATGATGTTCTAGAAGCTTGATTTTGGATCTTCAAGTACAAATGTTCAGTAGCATCATCATAATAGTAGTAATTCTTAGGTTCACTCAACATGGTTGTAAAGTTTGCAGTTCTGGTCATGTTAATTGTTGTTGGATTCATGAAGAATCTAATGTTGAAAATTGTTCCTTTTGGATATTGAACAGCAACAACAATCCAATCATTTGCAGCGCTTGCATCAAGGAAGAAACTCAAATCTTTTGGTGTTGGAATGTCGTATGGCCAACGAAGCCCATAGAAACCTCTTGCTACCAAATTACTTTGCATATAAAAGTCACCACTGGAGCTTAATGCACCAATAACATTGGATTGGCGATTTCTCAATAAATCAACAAGAATCATTCTTGGAACTCTCTTTCCTGAATTGATAATATCAGGTCTACTAATACCATCACTTCCAGTTGTGTTAACACTTGTTAAATTCCAATTCAAAACACGGAATTGAGCAAAAGATTCACCAAAGAATGGACATTGATAGGCATTCCATTCAGTTCTTGCTTGACATTGTGTGAATGTCATGGTTGTGTCATTACCAGTAATCCAACCACCAATTGATGAAATACTTGTGATTGAGCCGTCTACATCCATCAAAGCAGTGGCCTTGTGATTCTCATAATAAGTTGGATGATTCCAAGGGAAAACCATATATCTGTTTGCATTAACAAACTTTAAATTGGCATATCTATTTCTGGATTGATGTTTAAAGTAATTATTCAATGAAGATAAGGAACCTGCATATTTGAATGAATCAGTAACAAAGTTAATAAAAGTGATATTTCTCAAATATTGTGGACCACCATTATCATAAGTTTCATAACCCTTAATCAAATCCAAATTGGAACTAATATATTGACCTGGTCTTGTTCTATTTCCAAGATCAATCTTTGGTCTGTATGAAAATTCACCAACATTTTCAGATTCACCAATAAAAGTACTATCATGAATGATACTTGGTCCTGGTGGAGAATTCATGGCAATTCTATTATCAGTTAAGAATAAATTTTTGAAACGAAGTAAACCACCACGTGCCCAAACACCATATCCTCTATTCTTATAAGCAATAAATCCATTGTAAAGTGCTTCAACAACACCTGAAGGATAATAACCAGCAAGTTCTGTACTTCCATCAGCTTTTTCCATATCATCAATGTGAAGAGCATTTCCTGATGAACTGTGACCAACATTGTTTTCAAATGGTTTTGGAGGAGCAGTTCTTGGATTAATAGAGCCAGCTGCGTATCTGTTTGCACTCAATCCAGTTGGGAATGTTGGCATTGTAAACCAAAATGGGAAACGACCACCAACTGCATGATTTCCAATGAATGTATTATTTGGATTAGTAATCCAAAAAACTGAAACATCAGAATCAGATAAAATGATTTGACGAGGATTTTCTCTTGAGATTGGAATTGGATCAACTCCCAAATTATTGTTAAATTCATTTCCTACTTCAGATCCATCTTCCAAGAAGTACATATGACCAAAAGCACGATAACAAACATTATTCTTCAATAAAATATAATTAGTATCGTGAACAACATAACATCTTTGGAAACTGTGATGAACTGTATTATCCTTAACTGTGAAATTCAATCCAAATGGTTTGTTTTGTAACAAGTGGAAATGGAAACTATTAATGAATAATAAGTAATAGTTAAATAAATCATTAAAAACAATATTAAATACAAGTTAAATAAAAATGATTACCAACACCAAACATACCTATATCTTCCCATTAAACCTTGTTGACCAAATCTTGTAATTTCAACACCTTCCATATTAAATTTATCAACCAAACGAATAATAAAGTGACCACCAAAAAGTGAACTTTCAGATGAATCATCACCTCTGAAAACAATTCTTCTTGTTAATAAACCAACTTCTGCACGAATCTTTCCATCAACACTTGCAAAGTGAGTATAATTCAATGCTCTATCTAAAATAATGGTCTTGTTTCCATTCAATAATTGAATAATCTTTCTCTCTTCATTTTGATTTGGAAATCGTTCACCACGAATCCAACCCAATGAAGCATTCTTTTCAACTCTGTAATCATATAATTCACCATAATCTGTTGAAGCAATAACAATTGAATCACCAACTCTCCATTGAACAGCTTCTTTCAATTCAAGTTGTGAACTTCCTTTGGTGGAATTCTTGATAATTTCACTCCAACTTGGACCATCAACTTTACCATAAATTTGAACAATAGATCCACTCAAAAAAGCAACACCTTTAGAACCCAATTTACTTCCATCGAATGGATCACTACCAATGTCATTGATAGAACTATTGACACGATCACCATACAATGTCAAGATAACTTTTGAAGTGATTGGACAATTTGAACTACCCATAATAAAACTACCATTTGATTCAACTCTAATGAAATTCAAATTCAAATTGAGATCAATATTATCAAAAATTAAAGAACCACCTGATTTAACAGTGATTGAACGTAATTTGTTTGGAGGAGAAATATTTAACTTGACAGCTTTTGTAATAACAATATCATAATTGGCAACATTCCAACCAGTTAATGTGTTAAAATTGACCAAACCAACTTGTTGATGAGGACATTGACCTTCCACAATAATACTTTCAATCAATACACACAATAAAATTGTGCTAATTAATGAAAGAATTACTCTTGTACTACAATGTTTGTTGTAATACATATTGTTTGTTTTTTTCAAAGTGAGAAATAAAGTGTCTCTTCCATTCACTCAATTTATGCACCTAACCATCTTGGTTGTGTATTATTCCTCAAATCACAACAGAACGTGTTGTTTGTGGTCCCTTCACCAAATACATGAAATTTGAAGATACTGAAAGGTGAACCATATTGTATAATTGAAGACGAATCATCAAACTAAACGATTGGATAATGGATGTGCACTTGCTTTACAACAACACATCTTTCATTTTAGGTGTACCCAAGCCCTAATAAAGTGAGCTGTCCATTCCAATTGTAAGCTGCAATAATTGTAAATAAAACTAAAGACGGAAAGTCAAGTGTTAAAATCAAGTCAACCAGCTTCATGAATATTGGAATAATAATGACGACAGCCCATTCTAAAGACCAGCATAATACGAATCATGATTACTTCCTATTGAGTCATTGTATTAACCGTGTTCATAGCATATTCATTGGAAATCTTCTCATCTACAGTTGTTTGTCATCTTCATCACAAATGATTACAGTAATTAACCTATTCAGCATGGATATACTGTTTTTCCTCATATATTTTCTCATCACATAATTAATTAATATTTTCACCAATTAATTTCCATCCAATCAATTTACTAATCGTCGAGTAACAAGGCAAACTTTGATTTTCGCTGTTATCCCTTCTCATGATTAGTCACTCCGAAGAATCTTCCTCCTTCTTCTTTATTATTTAGTAAAAAATATCAACAAGCTCCTTTCCTCCTTTCTCTCCCAATAATTGACCAAGATTATCTTCTTCAAACAAGATATCATTCAATAATTATCATCAAGAGAAAGAATCATTCACCATAAAACAATTATTTACGATAAAATATTTTGGCGCATTTTTTAATTTGGACTTCAATTATAGCAAACTCGATTCTCTTTATTTTTCATCATCCACACAATTAGTAAGCAATATAATTTTCATAACCCAAAAGAAAAAAAACAAATGACATTATCTTCAGCAGCAGAAACATCAGCAACATTAGAAATTTCTGGTAATTTGATTAAAAATTCATCGGAATATGTGAGGGAAATGATAAATAATTTCGGAAGCACCAACAAGACAACACAACTATGTTCTATTGGTGGTGGATTATTGGGAAGTTTATTCATGTTAAGGTGGATTGTTGGAGTTTCTAAAAAGTCAAAGGAAAAGAAGAAGGAAATTGAAAGGATTTTCAAGGAAATTCAACAAGATTGTAGACAACAAGTCAATGAATTGGTCAAGAAGGAAAATGTCTTGTCAAAGAAACAGAAAATTGGTGTCTTGATTGTTAATTTGGGAACTCCTTCACAAGCCACTCATCATTATGTTTACAGATATTTGTCTCAATTTTTAATGGATGGTCGTGTGATTGATGTGAGCTACTTGTTGAGATTTTTATTGGTGAGAGGAATTATTGTTCCATTCAGATATAAGAGATCGACTCGATTCTATCAAGAAATTTGGAAGAATAAGGATTATTCAAATTCAGAATGTTCTCCACTCAAATATAATACCACTAGTTTGGTTTCTAAAGTGAGTGAAAATTTGAAAGGATTGAATGATGACAATTGTGAATTCCAAGTGGAAATGGCCATGAGATATCAAGAACCTTCAATTGAAAGTGGTTTGAAAAAGCTTGAAGGTTGTGCACATATTGTAGTGGTGCCACTCTTCCCACAATATGCAAGTGCAACCACTGGATCTACTCATGAAGAATGCATGCGTGTTGTAATGAAATGGTTGACTATTCCAAGTTTACATTTTAATAGTACATTCAATTTGATGGACATGTTTATCAAATCCAATGTGAAGAGAATTCAAGAAGCTCTTCAAAGAACCAAGACTGAAAGAGAAAATCAACCATTCGATCACCTCCTTCTCACTTATCACAGTCTTCCAGTTCGTCATGTCACTCAAGAATTCCAAGAAAAGAAGAGTTTACAATATTCCTACTATCAACAATCCTTTGAGACTAGTGTTGCAATTTTGAAAGAATTATTCAACTGCACAGCAGAAGAATTAATCCAAGATGAAACCAATGTTGGATGGTTTACTTACAAGAGAAGTCAATCTGATTCAAGTGATGACTATTCCTCCAATTTCACACCAACTCTCCAAATTTCCACATGTTTCCAAAGCAGATTAGGTAAGGAACCTTGGCTTGAACCTTACACCTCAAAAACTCTTGGACTCTTGGCAAAACAATCAAGTCGTGTCCTCATTGCTTGTCCATCATTCACTTCTGATTGCATTGAAACAGATCACGAATTGGAAATTGAGGAAAAGGAAGAATTCTACTTGAAGGGAGGTAAATACATGGCTGTTGCTCGATGTGTCAACGATGATGACCTATTTGCCAATGGATTGACTGATTTAATTGCTAAATATAAACAAGTTTTGTAAGCTTTATAACTCATTCGAACATTTTTTACAAAAAGTGAAGGTAACCAGTCCACAATAATCAGTTTCATTTCAAATTCAACTTTGAATCAAATAATTTAGCTTTCATTTTCAAATTTAAAGCAATGAAAATTTTTCAAATTCAGAAATGAAAAAAATCAACAAACAACAACTAGCTAACGCTTCTCATCATACGAGAGCGAATTACAATAATTTTAAATAATATTATTGGTTATTATCAACTAATAGTGTATAATAGTGTACAACAGATACGTTTAAATTTGTTAATTATTATTAATTTCGAAAAAGCTGTAATTTAACAAGATGGGCAAGAAATCAAACTCTTCATCATCAGGCTCCTCCAGCAATTCTACTATTGGCTCTGTTCTTGGTATTTCCTTCTCCTCGGCACGTAATTCCTCTTCAAAACCTCCACGAGAAATTATTCCTGCTCAAGAATACTATGAAAACATTCTCAAGTATACTTCCTCCACTTCAGAGGATGAATTAATTCAAGCCTTGAATAAGTACTTGTTCAAAGCCTCTGATTTGTACTTTTATTATTATGAATTTAGTGGATGGAGGGATTTTACCAATGTAAGAAGAGCCTTCCATAAGATGGTGCAGATGCAAACTTTCCTTTCACTATTGAGAGGAAAATACTATGTAGAAGTTACTAATAACAACAATAATAGTAGTAGTAGTAATAGTAATAATACTTCTTCAAGTAATCAGGAAGCAATTAATAATGAAGAAGCACCATCAGTAGAGAGTAAAGTCGTCCATATCGATTTTAATGCTCTGAAGAAGTCTCTCAAGTCTACACAGAGGATTGATTGTTCTTCACTTTCTGCAATTTCTAATATGGGAAAACCATCTGTGAAATCTTCCTCTAAATCTTCATCATCATCATCAGACTCTAAGAATAATCGTGGAACAATCTTTCAAGTGGTGGAATCGGATTGTCTTGATGCAGCTGTTGCCTTAAAGACCAAACTCAAGTTGAATCCACTCATGTTGGTGAATGGAAGTTTGTCTCATCCTGGTGGAGGTTATTTGCAAGGTTCTTTTGCACAGGAAGAAGATATGTGCAGGAGATCTTCATTAGCTCTCTCATTGGATGATCCTTTCAAGATGGATGATGGTAGATCATGGTCCTATCCTTTACCAGAATTTGGAGGTGCTTATGTAGGTGATTGTTTTGTTATTAGAAAATCAGCCAAGGATGGTTATCAATTTTTGGAGAGTATTGTAAATATTTCAATGTTATCTATGGCTGCTTATGCTAATCCACCTGTGGAAAATCGAGTAATTGGAAAGGATGAGAATGGAAAGGATATTGTGGAATGCTTTTTAGATTCAAAGCTCACATTAAGTATGAAAAAGAAGATTTCATCCTTTATTGAGATTGCTCTTCAAAAAGGTCACGATTCTTTGGTGATTAGTGCAATTGGAGCAGGTGCTTATTCGAATCCAACATTTCACATTGCTACTCTCTTCAAAGAAGTTCTCTCCAGTGAAAATTACAAGGACAAATTTAAGATTGTTCTCTTCTCTATCATTAACGATAAGAATGCTGCCAATAATGTGAAGAATATGTATGGCACCTCACAGAAAACTAATCTTTCAATCTTTTCCAATGTTATTCACTCTAAAGAACCTCATCTCCTTCCAACATTGGAAGAATTCATCCAACAACAAAAGTAAAGAGATTTATCATTTCTCTCTTTTTATTCAAAGTTTAGTTTGCTAATCGCGATTTCAGTTTTCTGTTCATCGAATTTAAATGAAGATTCGTCATCCACAAATGATGATGCATACAAATTTCATAAACAGAGATATCAAACTACTCAATAACCATTCAATCTATTTTAGCTTCCCTCCAAAACTTGTTTAAAAACTGTCAAATATCATTCAAAAAAAATATGAGTGGCACTTCCTGCAAAAACAAACAACTGACAGCGAATTTGCTCATCTCAGGGGAGTCCATCTCTAATGCTGTTATTTCCCATGAACACAGAGCAATTGCAAACGAACTTTGTCATCAAATTTTACAACAGGAAAATGTTGACTTGTTACAATTATTGAATTTTCAAAGGAATACAAATAATTATACAACAATGAATAATAATTGTGGAGTTTCGGAACAAATAGGTGATGATGAAGGAGTTTCTAATCAAGGGGAGGCTCTAGTTTCGTCCAATTTATTATTGGAAGAAGGTAGTAGAAATTCGAATAGTATTGATGGAAATAATGCGAATTCTGCTTCATTATCGTCGGAAGAATTGGATAGACTCGTCATGCCACCTCCTTCCATCAAATTAAGTCAAATTAATAGGAAAAACACTCAAAATTCCATCACGACTCCTTCATCTACCCTTTCGAATAATACTTTAAATTCTGTTGGGGCAGAATCTTTAAAACTTACATTTTTAAATGAAAATTCTAATAGTGGAATGATAACAGGAGTGGAAATATGCATCTTGTCCAATACGAGTAATGAAATGATTTTTGTGGATCCAAATCTTGTCAAGTATTCGACAAGATTGCAAAACACATCATTGACAGGTGTAGATTCGTTAAATTCACCAGGTTTTAATGATAAGCTAATGTCTCCTCAATTTACAGGACCTGTAAATGAGAATTCTCCTTCATTGATTGTTTCTCCTCGATTGAAGAATCAACATTCTAGGTGGTCAACTTATTACACGAGTGGAAGTACAGTTGGATTGAGTGATTTTTTGAACACTTCTGTAAATTATGAAAATAGTGCTCTTTCCATTACTTCTTCCAATTCACTGAATAATAGTGCAATTAACAATGCATCAGAAACTAATCAGATTGTGCCCAGTGCATCTCTAATCAATTCCACAACTAATCAATCACCACTAGTGTCCCCACGAAATGGAGCAAACAATAGTTTCACATTCAATTCTTCTACTAGGAATTCTATAGTTCAGGATGAACCAAAGACGTCAACAGCTCCAAAACATCATCATCACACCATTAGCAGTTTAAACAAGAAGGAATTTCAGCAATTTCTTCCTAGAGTCAGTTTACCAAATTATGGAGATATTTCTAGTGTTTTCAATTATTCAAATTTAGAAACTTTGAGTATGAGTGGAAATAGAACTTCATTCCATCTGGCATCTTCATCAGGAGGTGGCAATAGCAGTAGTGGACATGAAAATAACTTTTCAAAATCTTCATTCTTTAGCAAATCATTCACTTTTGGAGGAGACAAGTATTCGAATGTTTCTATTGGAACAACAATGACATTTTCATCCATGATGGTTCCAAAAACATCACCCAGAGGTCAGGAAGCTAGAAGATTATCGAAAAATAACTTTTCCTTCTTTGGAAAACAATATATGAAAGAAGGTCAACAACAGCAACAATTAATTTCATCCACAAGTTCTGCAATTAATTTGAAAAAGGAAGAATCAATGCGGGAATCGATTGTGGAAGCATTCAGCGTTCAAGATATCATGTCAAGGAGATTTACAGATGGAGAGAATATTGAAAAATTCATGAATGGCAGAAGATCGACCACTAGTGAAATTCCAGATCATTCAGAATTACCTAGGAGAGGTTCTTCAGCAACTCCACTCCCATCTTCAACTGCTACTCAACCATCTACTGCCAAATCTCATATCAAGACTCTATCAACAGATGTAAAGAGGCAACACGAGAGAACTCCTTCCTCTCCTTTGGAAATTAACACTAGTCTGCTGGTTCCATCGAGCTCTTCTGGACAAATTCCTAAAACTCCAGAAAAGAAGAAATCCTCAAATATGTCCTCTAAGGTTAAGGAATTCTTCTCATCAATTGGTAGAAGATCCAGAAAGAAATCGAATGCAGATTCGTTTGATCATTCTAATGATAGTTCATTACCTCCATCTCCTCCATTGAATAGTACAACGAAAATGATAGGTCAAGAAACGAATCAAAACAGCTCAACAATGATGACTATTCCAACTTTACAGAGCTCAACTGATTTGATGGGAACAAGTCCATTCTCCAATCAATCTCATAGCTCAACATCAACACCTCCAGTTCTATTGGATGGAAATATTCTCCTTTCTACAACACCAACCAGTACTGGATCAAGAGGAACTCTTGCAGACGATGAGATTTCCAGTCATCATACTTTGGGAGGAAATACTCAATCAGCTCCTGCAATGACATGTACAACTAGCACTTCATTATCATCATCGCCACCTGCTTTATCGACATTGAATGGGGCTACTCCTCTCATCGATGAAGTACATATTGACATGACAAGATCTAGAAGAGGAAGTGAAATTGAAACTCCAATCTCACCCAGTAGAAGAAGATCATCAATGAAGAAATCACCAAAGAGAAGAGAATCAATGCTCAGTAATCATACACCAGTTGTTTCTGAAATCGATCAAGGAAATTTGAAATATCTAACCAATTTGATTGTCGATTTCAAAACTAGCTCACTTGCCTTTTCTAAACTTGTAGAAGAGTTTTCATTATTCGATTCTCTTGAAAAATCATCAGTTGATCCAGCATCTATCGTTCAGAGTCCTCTCTCAGTTGTGGAGGCACCAAGAGGAACCAAAAATCGAAGACCAACCTCAATGCACTACATTTCCAGTTCGAATACTCCAATGGGAAGACTTTCGTCTGATTTATCCTACCTCTCTCAGCAACAATTACTCACACCAGTCACTTCAAATCCAACAATTTTCCATTGCATTAATGAGAGAAGTAGTAATTTTTCACTCATCATTTTGAATGATATCACATTGTGTTTGTGGTACACTTTGGAAAATCAAAATCATCATGGAACTCTTTCAATCAAACAAAAATCTCTTTTATATGGTGGAAGTTTGGATGATAAATTGAAAGAAATTGGACTAAAGATTGAATACAAATTGAAGGAGGCCTTTGCGGCCAGCAAAGCATCAGATCACAAATCGTTAGGAGCTTTGAAGAGTAGCAAGTCAATGGAATTTAGTTTCTTCAATAAAAAAGTTCAATAATAATTTCTGCAATATTGCATTTTCATAGATCTTTTCGTATTTTATTCAAATTTAATTTTTATAATTATTTAAAATCCAAAAAAGAGCAAGTATGCAAGACAAAACAATAATGGAATCTATTTGGAAATCAAATAGATATCACCAAACATGTTGTAATTTAAAATAAAATTCTGTAAATAGCCCACAACCAATTTCCTCAAAAAAAATGTTCACAACCAGCTCAACCAGTCCTATTTATGTATTGCTGCTCTGCGTCATCTTGATGATGGCAAGTAGCATGGTTACAGCTACATCCTTCCTCGGATCCACACTAAATGTAATGAACAAGATCCACAGTTCAGCCATCAAGATGGATGACTTTAAAAACTCTACCTTCCCTGAATATTCCTTCATCATGGGTGATTTCCAAACCTTTGATATTCAAGATTCTAAATGTGTTGACGCCAATGCAACCTTTGTCAAGCTTCAAAGTTCTGGCAATTCCATTACCATTGCAACTGTCTACAGACCTAATGATAAAATATTGATTAGAAATTGTGTGCAAGTGAAGGAAGATTATCATCTTTGTTCCATGTCAGTTGGTGCTGACTCAACTCCTGCATGTTTAAAGATTGATGATGATATGAAAAGTGATGGAGAATTTAAAATGGCCATTAATTTGAATCCAATTGCATGTTTGGATCCAAGTTTTGATTTTAAACCAAAATGTGAGCTCAATACTTTGGATGTAATTTCAATTTACAGTTATCCAGGAGAAAGTGCCACCAAATTGAGAAACTTTGTAGTGGTTGTTGTGTTGATTTTAGTATGCTTGTTTGTTTGTTGCATTGTTACGTGTGGTCTCGTTTTTTACTGTTGCATGATTAGAAGAAGAAAGCAAAAACTCATGAAAGGTAATATTAATGCTAGTAGACATGATGCAACTGAATTGGTCGATGAAGAATAAATTATTGATTTGCTATTTCATATTATTCCTCGTTCTCTTCTTCTTCGTCTTCTTCGTCTTCCTCGTCTTCATCACTTGTGTTATCTTCTTGTGTTTGTCCAACATTGATTTCTTCATCAAATTCCTCTTCCTCTTCTTTAGTTTCATGAGGCGTTCTTAAAGAATTGGTAAGTAACACATCCAATTCCTTCAAATCACTATTATTCTTCAAAATTCTTCTACTTTTCAATAGAGAAGTGGTGATTGCCTTTCCATATGGATACGACAATTTAGTAATCTTGCAATTTGGGAATAAATATTTCAGAACTATTGCCATTGCCTTGTCGGCTTTCAATTTAAGGAATGAGCAGTCAAATTCCACTTTCTGAACAATATATTGATCAGCATTCTCTTCCTCTTCTGAATTCTCCATAACAGAAATAGTCACTGATTTTAATTGTTTGGAATATCTTGTCACAATCTTGTATATTTGACTAATATTCACACAGAAAGCATCTGGATGGAACATTATCCTACCAAAATTAGGACTACAACTGAAAATAACATCCAACGATCCATAGACATTTAGTGGTCCATTCTCAGAATATCCATAAGTGGCATAAGAGAAATTCTCAATTACTTCCAACTCAGTCAATGCCAACTTTTCTTCACATCCACATTCTAAATCTGCAAAATCAAACACTCTCAACACCTCCAAGCTCGGTATCTTTTTCACAATCTTCCAAACTTGGTCAGAAAACACATATCCATAATACAAGTACTTGAGCTTTTTGAAATACTTTTCAATAAATGGCAAAAAGTAATAATCATCCATAAGCGGAATCCTCAATCTTTCCACTCTATTCAATTTACTCAAATTTTCATCATCTTCCTCTTCATCAGGAACAAACTCCCTCGCAAATTTCAAACTCCTCACCAAGGACATATTCGGAATGGCACGTTTCAATGGATACCTGACAATCACATCATTAAAACACTCACTCTCCGGATCAACCATTACTTCATGAAACATTTTCGAAACATGAACCAAATTGCAAACTCTCGTCTCCTTCGGAACAAATTGCAAAATATGAATCAAGATTTCCCGAGGAATCTTTTCGATGAAATTATTAAATATGACGAGGTTTTCATCGTCATCTTCATTTGCTTTTGATTTTTTCCTCTTATTCGTTGGATTTGTTGTGCTTTCACGTTTTTTCATTTTTTTTTATTTTTTTTTTGAAATAAATTTTGGCGGGAAATTGATTTTGTAACGGAATTACCCTTAATCATTGTTATTGTTGGAATTGGAGATTGTACAATGACAGAATAAAGATTTGAGAAATATTCAAAGTTAGAGTCCATCATCTTCTCCATCTTCATCATATTCTTCCTCTTCCTCATCATCCTCCTCTTCATCATCATCTTGATCGTCTTCATCTTCTGCAGCTTTGACGAGTAGATTTTCCAAAATTTGCAAATCATTCTCATGTTTCAAGATCTTTCTCTTTTCCAAAAGTTCTCTTGTAATTTTCTTTCCTTTTATGCTAGATTCCAAAATTGTAATTTCACAATTTGGAAATAAATATTTGAGAACAATTGCCATACTCTTGTTGGCTCTCACCGCGAGGAATGAACAATCGAAATCTATTTTTTGAACTTGATTTGGTTCAGAATCTGTATTAGGATCGACATCTTCCAAAATGGAAAGAGTTATCAATTCCAATTGTTTCCAATGATCTGTAATAATCTTGTATAATAAACTTAAATTGATATAGAAAGAATCAGCATGGAATTGAATTCTTTCCAATTTAGGACAAGATTTGAATATACTTTGCACTGTTTTGTTAAAATTCAATGGTCCATTTTCATCATATCCATAAGTGGCATATGAATAATCCATAACGACTTCCAAATCAGTCAAATTTAAATTTGCATTTTCAAATTCTGATTCTTCCAAATCTACAACCTTTAACACTTGCAAATTTGGTAATTTCTGTAAAAGTTTCCATAATTCATCATTAAGTATTTGTCCAAAAAATAAATATTTTAAATTTGAAAAATAATTTTCTATAATTGGCAAGTATTCGAAATCTTCTTGAAGTGGAATGTATAATTTTTCAATATTTAGTTTTTTTAAAGCTGCAAAATGTTTCTTTTCAACAAGAAAATTCTTTTTCATTTCCAAACATTTCACAAGTGAAAAATTAGGAATTTTGTATTCGAAAGGAAACAAGACTAAAGTTTGATCAAAGAAACTGTTTTGTGGATTGTAGATTATTTGATGGAAATTCTTGGAAACAAAAACCAAAGAATTTGTTAACGTTTCGGAAGGAACAAGACGAAATATTTCTATTAAAATTTCTTGTGGCACAGTTTCGAATAATTTTGGATCAAACTTGATGAGCGGTTCATCATCATGGTTCAGTTTGGCTTTTTTAGAGGATTTTACATTATTTGCATTGTTTCGTTTCATTTTTTAATAAATTGTAACTTTAGAATATCTATCATCAATATTGCAATCAAGAAGGGGCTGATCTATCGCTGCTTACATTTATGTTGAATTGATTCTTAATATCCATTTACCTAATTGAGATTTCATTCATTAGCTAAACCTCCATATTGGATGACCTTCTAAATGAAACGAATCTGTAGTAGAACTTCTTTTAAGGATTTTCGGTTAGCTAGTAGAATTTCCCAAATTATTGTAAACTGTTTATTCGAAAGTTTATTCATTGACAAGGACATTCGGCAGAACCAAAGATTCATTTTGTAAAGTTTCACCTTCGATCGATTTCAGTAATTCACTCATTGAAGGTAAAATAAAAGAATTGGAAAGTTGGGCATTAGAATAGGAAAATGGCTTTCGAATAATTGTCGAGCAGCTGACCGATTGTTCGGTAATAATGGAAGGACTAATTGGTAGTACGTTAGTTGGCAATGATAATTGTTGTGGTTTCTCACAGTTGAAACAACATTCGAATAATGATCTTGCTTGACTCGTTTTGGAGGAGACGAAATTTGACTAAACTCAACAACTGTTGGACTATTATCTACTGAACATGCACTCATATTGGAAACTGATGTTGCAACTGAAGAATTAGTCTTGTTTCGTTTACGTTTTTCTTTTGCTTCTTTCTTTCTGCTGACAACTAACTTTCCATTTTGGTTAACTTGACAGGTCTGCACATAGAAAAGACATTGTTTTTGATTTGATATTGGAGCTGTGAATGTGTTTGTTTGTTGGATTGTGAAGGTTTGATGAGGTGAGGAACTGCCACTTGTCATTTCTCTTCTTTTCAGGTTAGTATTATTTGATGGGGAGGAGAATTTATCGGTGGAAGATGTGAAACGATCTCTGGATGTGTAATTTGATGGCATTTTGTTATTAGATTAGGTTTCGAATAATTAGTTAGGTTTAGTTTGCAATACACACTAGTTTACCAGATTCTTCTTCTGATTCGAAATCGATTTCCTTGCTATATGAGAAAGGTAACAAGCAAGTGCTGTTGCGTTTGTTTTTTTAATGTTGTTTCTCACCGAATTTTATTCTAATCTAGTATGTATTGTAAGTCGACCTTCGCAATAATTTTAAATGGATAGTTCTGCAAATGGACTTTTTAAACAACCGAATTATTCCTCTCAAAGAGTTTGAGAATACAAATAAATGGATAAATAATTTGGCTTAGGAAAACAATTATTCGAAAGGTTTAGGATAAGACTTTGCAGTGACTCGCTCTGGTGAAAATTACTGTTGTATAAACATCTACTTTGGTCACTTAACCATAAAATAGCTAGATAAAAACTAAACTTACCATAAAAAATTGACGAAATAGTTACCTAAACAGGAAGTGTATCACTTTACAATCCTGTTCAAAACAAATAAAGATTAAAATTGATAAAGCGGTGGTGTAGAGAAAACCTGCCAATAATAATGGTGATATCCTTACTTTGGAAGAGAAACATCACTACAGTTTAGTTTGCAGTGAAAAATTATCAGAAAGTGATTCGTATTCGAATGCTATCACTTCAATATCCTCCATGAATTTTGAAAACGAATCCAAACTTTCCACCTGAAAAATTGATTCACCGCTTTTCGTCAGTGCAAAAATCTCACACTTGAAATTGATTCCACAAATTCACGTCCATATCCATATTTGGTATTGTTCATGGTTGCCCAAAAATACTAATAGTTTCCCATTCGAATGATAAAATATTTAAAATGGTTGACGTTTGCAAAATGACCTTTTTTGGTTTCTAACTTTTTAGAATTCATTTAATTCAATAAACGGTTATTCACTGTAGTTTTACAATTTTCTTTGAACTTTATTTAAATTTTGTTAAATAACGAACAAAATACAACCCAAAACAAAAATTAACACTGCTTTCGTAACATTGCAAGAGGTAGCTGCCAATGAAACTGTTGGTATGATAATCTTTGGTAATTCAACAGTAACTCTTTCAATTGAAGTTCCATCGGCTGCAAATGTGGAAATTGAAGCAACTGGTGTTGAGCTAGTTCCAGAATTAACCTTAACTTTCATTGTGATGGTGTAACTTGCTGGTGAGAGAGTTTGACCGAGAGTTGCATTCAATTTGTTGGAGGCATCAACATTCATTGAAGTAAATTGAATGACAATACCTTTTGAATCTGTTATAATGAAATTATCTGAAAGTGCACGTTTACTTTCAGATGTAAGTGTGAATGCTGCAGGAAGTGACATGACCAATGAACCTCCCATTGGAATTGGCTTTGTAATCACCATGGCTGTCTTGACACTCACCATTCCACCAACAGGAACATAGGCAGTAGTACTTGTTTGTGGAGTAACAGGATTAATTGGATTGGTAGAATTATTGTTTGTAGAATTTGTGTTGGAGGTGTTATTGGCAATGGTTGAATTGTTGGTGGATGTACCATTGTTAACTACTGGATTAGTGGATGAATTAGTGGAATTGTTTCCATTATTGTTAATGACATTGTTGTTTGGATTTGTGGAATTTGAATTGGTAGTATTGGAAGTGGATGTGTTGTTTCCATTCATTGAATTATTTCCACCAGAATCTGTTGTATTAGTTGTTGATGTATTATTTGTTACAATAGAACTGTTACTATTTGTGGAGGAATTATCAACATTTGTACCATTACTAATAATTGAGTTATTTCCACTTGTTGTATTATCAACATTAGTATTGTTACCATTGTTAACATTTGTATTATTACTGGCATTGGTATTATTGCTAGATGTAGTAGAATTGTCTACATTTGTGCTATTATTTCCATTGTTAACGTTAGTATTGTTATTGATGTTAGTGTTATTGCTGTTAGTAGTAGAATTATCAATATTTGTATTGTTATTATTATTAACATTAGTATTATTACTATTTGTGGAGGAATTATCCACATTAGTATTATTATTATTAGCATTGGTAGAATTATCAAAGTTAGTGTTATTATTACTACTACTTGTTGAATTATCAACATTAGTAGCATTATTATTAAGACCTGGATCAGTATTATTATTCGAAGGAGAATCATTGACTGAAGATACAGTAAAAGTACCAGTGCTCTTAACAGTTAATATATAACTACCACTGGATTGATCTTGTGTTGCAGTGCAGGTATCATCTGCAACATAATCACCAACAGAATCGTCCCATTTCAAACATTGATAAGTGGTTGTTGAAATTGTTCTCAATCCACGCAATTTTCTTGTAGAGCTACTGATTGAGGAATCAATTTGTAACTCGGCAATGCTTTCGGTATGATTCACATTCAATGCTTGATTCAAGTGTGAAATGACAAATTCAACAGCATTGGCCAATGCCTTGGAACAATTTGGTTTGAAAACATTAAGAGTAATATCAACTGAATCAGTAACATTGGACAAAGTTTGTAATAGATTGAACTTTTCACTCAATTTGAAACCATTTTTACCAGATATAGTTTCATTCAATCCATTTAAGAACGACTTGGTAACCTTTCTTCCGTAGGCCTTAACATCCTTATTAAGTAAAATAGTGGCTGGCATATCTGGAACCTTTTGATTTGAAGCAATATTGACCAATGAAGTATAAACTTGTTTAAGTTTTTCAGTTGGTTTCTCAGTTTTCAATTTTGAAGGTAAAATAGATCTGACACTTGAAGTAGTAAACAAAGTATCAGCTACTTGTTGAGTTTGTGTAAGAGTTTCATCAGATACTGGAATTGAACTATCCAGAGCTGTTGTTGTAGTTGAAATTAAAGTATCAGCAATTAAATTTGAAGTGTTTGATGACATCATGTCCATATTTTCAGTTGCAATATCCAAAATAGTTGCTGTTGAAGCAACAAGAGATTCGGTTGGACTAGTAATAGATGCTTCTTGTTGAGTATTATTCAACATGGTGTTAATAACTGAATCAGCAACTTGAGCCAATTCTTGTTGAACCGTTTCACTGTCATTTGATTGAGAGTAATTAGCATTGGCAATGGATTGAATTAAAGCAGCACCATCTGAAACTGGAATATTACTTTGATCAGCAATAGCATTTGCAGTTGCAACAGTTTCGTCCAAAGTTGCCTCGGTAACATTTACAGTTGTAATGGCACTCGAAGAAGCACCCATTGCATCATAGACAGTTACTGATACTTCATTCACACCTACGATACCCAACTTTAATGAATAGAAACTAGTCTCAGAACGTGACGAAACAATGGTCCTTACTGAATTGGAATTTGGACCTCTTGTACTAAATTCATAAGTTAATGGAAGTTGCGCATCAGTCCAACCATTACCACATGAAACCTTAAAATCTGTCAATAGGGAAACACCAGAGCTTGGCTCAACGAGTAATTCACCAACTGTTGGTGGTGAGTTCACAGTGAAGAACACTTCAGCAGTACCTTCTTTATCGATAGTTGTGTTTCCAATAATAACAGTATCCTTAATGGTAATCTTCATTTCATTGGAGCTACCTGGAGTTAATAATTTTGATGGAATGATAATGTATGCCTTTGTTACTTCCACACCAGTTAAATCAATCGATGAAGATTCCCATAAGAATGATTTGGAATCACTGAGTACAACTGGTTGAATTAACAATGCTCTCAAAACCAAATCCTTTGATGGATTGACAACTGATAAATCAACGCCGTCCATAGGCATAATTGACGAGGTAATAACAGTGTCCTTTGAAATTTCCAAAACGGTAACCTTAAGAGAATCAGTAGCAGTTCTGTTTTGCTTTCTATAAGTAACAGTGAAAAGATAGGAACCAGGATCCATTAATTGACTCATTTTCATGGTATTTGTAATATCGAGTGGGAATGAACCATTTGTACAAACGTCACCACTGTCCAAATCAAGACAGTCAATTGCAATGGATTGTACCTCATTGGTTTTTGATGGATCTTGAGCAATAACTGAGAGTGAAACTGGATCTTCCATCGATTGAATTACATCTCTCAATGTAAATGCTACTTTCAATGCTGCAGAGGAAGCAGTTACTTTAAATGGCAAAGAAACATCTTGAACTCCGTCTTGTCTTGCAGTGAGCATGAAATAATATTCACCTTCCATTGGAAGAACAGTTCTTCCAGGACCAATAATTAATCTTCCATCCTCAACAATGAAATTAGTAATGTTAGTAACACTGCTATAATCACTATTCATAGAGTAAATGAATTTAACACGACCTCTTCCCTTATTGCAAGCTCTATTGGAATAGGAAATGACTGGTGTAATGATGTTTAATAATCCCAAAGTATTAGAAATTGAAACTCCTTCCTTAATTGACAAATTAGGAATAGAATCTTCACTGACAACAAAGGAAATTGTTTGAGTTGAAGTAATTTCTGGAGCCAATGGACTACTGACAGTAACTTGAATAGAATAAGTTCCATTACTCATATTATTAGTATCCAAGATTAAATTTGGTTTGTTGAAAGTGGAAATCAAAGAGCTGAGGGTTAAAGAATCATCGGTGGTTGGTGCAGAAACAACTTGCCATGCGAATTTCAATGGTCTTCTATCGAATGATTGAGAATTGGCAGCACTAATGAACAACTTATCGCATCCACGTGACACAACTGATTTTTCAACGTTGATTTGTGCTTCAGGTGATTGTGGTTTGAAGGATCCTTGCTTGATGGTTATGGAAATAGATTCAGATGATTGTGGATAAACGCTTAATGATAAATTTTGACCAATTGAAATAGATGAACTATATCCAAGGATAATAGTTAATTTAGATTCACCATTCAACATACACATTGCTCCCTTTCCAATAAAATCAATTGAATCTGGTCTAATTAAATCTTGACATGGAATAATTGACTTGATAGTGGAATAAACAGTACCATAGACTATATCAGCCTTTTCAGATAATTCAAAGTTATCAACAACGCTGAAATCACATTTGCTTCCATACCATCCTTGGGCACATTGTGAACAATTTGCACCAATTGAGTGACCTGAACATTTACAAGTACCATCATTCAAACAAATTCCTCTATTAGAACATGTCAATGCAGGAGAACATTGAATTTCACAATCAACACCAACAAATCCATTTGCACATGATTGACAGAAAGGTCCAGTAAATCTCTCTTCACATAAACATTTCAATTGTTGAGTACAATTACCACGATTATTACAAGTGTCTGAACTACAACGTGGAGTTTTACATTCTTCCCCATTGAAGGAAGGTAAACAGGTTGAACAATAAGTGGAATTATCATAATTACCATAGCAAACACATTGATCCTTAGCAATACATTTTCCTTTTTTGGAGCAGACATTAGAATCATATCTTCCAACTCCATTACAAGTAAAAGTAGCACAATTTGGACCAGTATATCCATCAGTACATGCACATGTATTAGGTTGTGTACAAATGCCTCTTCCACCACATACATTCTTATCATTAGCAGGCAATTGACCACAAATTGGAATTTTACAATCAACACCAGTATATCCATCCTTACAATTGGAACATGATTGGCCTTCAAAGTTACCAGTACATGTGCATTTGCCTTCCATTGAACATTTACCACGGAACGAACAACCACCTTGAGTTTCAGTTCTTCCATTACATGTTGGAATATCACACATTTCACCTGAAAATCTTTCTTTACAGATACAATTGTCTGGTCCAATACATTTACCATTTCCAGAACACACTGATGGATCAGTGGATGCTTTTTGGAAACAAACTAAGCTTTGACATCTATCTCCTGTATATCCTTGATTACAAATGCATGTATCTGTACTACCACATTTGCCACGACCTGAACATGCAAGTGGATTTTCTGAAGGTAAGCCAAAACATTTAATAGCTTGAGTGGAATTGGCTGAGAAACAATCATTGGTGGAATTCAGTGTTGAACAATAATCGGTAGCCATGTTAGAAGATAATCCCATTTCACTTGTTACAATATTCTTACAAGCATTGTTACACAATGGTTGAGATAAAACATTGGTTGAATTGATTGAACAAGATTTGAATGTTTTCAAACAGGATACTCTTAAAAGACCCTTTTTGCATGAATCTCCACAATTCTTGTATCCAACACTGTCAAGTAATTCAGAATTCTTCTTGTAAAGTGTTGTAATTTTTGTGGAAACTGACAAGGCCATTTTAGATTGAAAATCTGCTGGACTTGTTGAAATCACTTGACTCATTAAATCATCAGTGCTAATCATGTAATTAACATGATCAGAACATCCACTTAGTAAAGTCTTTGGAGGAATGATACATTGAGCAGCAGGTTTAAAATATTGACAATCTGTACCATAATAATTAGATGGACAAATTCTTTGACAAGTTGTTGAATCATCAGACAATTGGAAACCTTCTGCACAATCAGTACATGGTCTATTGTTTCCCAATGTAGTATAACCCTTAGTACAAGTACAATAAGGAGTATAGGCAGATGAATAAGAACATGTACCATTTCCACAACCTTGCTTTCCACAATTTGGAACCTTTGTAATACATATTCCATTAGCATATATTAAATTATCAGAGCATTTCAAACAAAGTGGATACACCATTCCTTCGATAGCACATTTATCACAACTTGCACCACTATATTTGGTATTAGAGCAAGCTGAGCATGGAGCTGACATATTCACAGTCATGTAGCCAGTATTACAGACACATTGAGCAGTTGAGAGTGTAACTGCTTTACAAGCACCATTTCCACAATTAGGTGTTGGACACACTGGTAATTTTACATATGGTCTATCTAATACATTTGGTTTAGGTGAATAATTACAAACAATCAAGGTAGCTCCATTCAATTCTGGCTTGTTGAACACTTTTGCACAGGTAGCTCTGGAACACCCGACTTTGGTGGAAGCTGCTGAGACAACTTGAATATAATGTTGGCAATCACCACTCTTTAAACATAAGCTTCCTTAATTGTAAATCATAAACACTTACAGAACAATAATTATTTGTAAAGTCATATTTAGAAGATTCTAAAGTCCATTCATTCACAATATCCACCACTGACATATTTCCCTTCATACTGACATGAATATTTACGCCCAAATTGAGAGAATTACTTGATGGTCCTGCAGCACATTTAGTAAGCCAAGAAGCTGCCCTAGATGCCAATTCATCACTCCATTCCAAGGCTGCTAACTTGTTAAGTGGAGTCGGAGCCACTGATAAACGTGCGGAATTGTGGGCATTCAAAATGGCTGTCTTTTCTGAAGAAGTTAATTCCGCAGCCCTTACTTGTTGTTGTTGATTCATCATCAACATGGATACAACCAAAAGCATCACCAACACAAGGCTAACTTTGTGATGATGGTGCGGATAAATGATGTTCATTCTTTTTTTTTGCTGATTTGAAGATTAATATTTTTGGCGAATTTTCTTCCTTAAACACTTGGTTGAAGAACAGCTGTAAAAAGTTCTGTTTCAAGCATTGAATATTGTACTGCTCAATTTTCATGTGGCGATTGTTGAGAATGTGTGGCTAGGGAATTGAGGTTGGTGGTTGGTGTGGAACTTGGGAATTAAGGCAATACGGAGAGTCGTTATTGAGAGATAATCTGTCAGGATTATTAAATTACAGTTCGTTGAGTGAAAATCATGCATTTCCACAATTATGTGGAAAACTTTTAATTAAATAAAACCCGATACAATTCCTCCAGTTTGACAAAAATCAAAAAAATGTCTCAACAATCAAACACTTCATTCACACCACTTACAACTAGTCAATTGACCTCCACTCAACGATTGATTTCACCAACACTCCATCTAGGTGTACACTACCAAGCCGACATTATCAATGGCAAGATTTATTCTCTCACTCAAATTCCTGGAGATTATTTGTGGGGAAGAGAGGGAAGATATCCAGTGAGTTTCTTCCTGTTGGAAGCTGTTGTGGTGAATAATATGGTCGGAAAGGATTTTAAAACTGCCTTGATAAAGTTGAAGGAAATTATATTGAGTAGCATTGCTAGACGATCGTTTAATGATGATGATGAGGCAGATCAACAAGTTACTTCTCGATTGGAGGAAGAACTTGTGCAAGATTTGGATGAATATTTGAGTTTGAGTTATCCAAGTGATTATATTCAAATTGCAATTGTTGAAGAGGTTGCATTGAGATACATGGATATTCAAACTCATAGACCACTTGCCTTTTTTGAAGGACCTAGAGCAGATGATAAGACCATTCAACAACAAAGAGAAGCACTCTCAATGCTCAGTGCCGTTGAAGCTCGCTTAAAAAACAAATAAACTTTGTCTTACTGAACTCTATCTCCCATAAAACTCCTCAAAAACTCCTCTTATTCGGAGCGTTTCAAGAATCTTCACAATAAAAAAAATTACAAAAAAATAAAAAATTTAAAAAAACCCTGAAAAAAAAATGCAACTCTCTTCACTGCTCGTTGCCGTCGCATTGATGATTGCGTTGATGATTTGCGGATCATCGGCTGATGCATCATCATCGGAGAGAGTTTTTTTATTAAAGAGAGATCCAGTATCCATGCTCTCTAGAAAACAATCCAATAAGTCTACAAGAATGGCCTCTGCACTTCCACCATACAAGACTTTATATTTCGATCAAAAATTGGATCATTTTGATTTTACCAATGACAAGACTTTTAAACAACGTTATTTGGTTTGTGATTCCTTTGTTGGAAAGATGACACCATCTACTCCTATCTTTTTCTATACTGGTAATGAGGGAGATATTGTGACTTTTTATGAAAATACTGGATTGATGTTTGACACTGCTCCACAATTCAATGCCTTGATTATTTTTGTTGAACATCGTTATTATGGTGTCAGTAATCCTTTTGGACCTGTTAATTCATTCACTCCTGAGAATATCAAGTGGTTGAGCAGTGAACAAGCTCTTGCTGATTATTCTTATTTCATTACTGAAATGTTTGGATTGGATGAAAAGAGAACTAACCCAGTTATTGCCTTTGGAGGATCTTATGGTGGTATGCTGAGTAGTTGGTGGCGTATGAAGTACCCTCACATTGTGGACGGTGCTATTGCTGCTAGTGCTCCAATCTTCCAATTCACTGGTTTGACTGCTCCAAATGTTTACAATCAAATTTGTACTGAAGATTTCAAAAAGTCAAGCAATTTGGCCAAGTACCATGAAACTTGTGACGCTGTCATTAAGAATGGTTTGAGCATTTTGAATCAATACTATCAAAACAATAATCCTCAAATTTTGCAAAAGCTCTCTTCTCAATTCAGGATTTGTTCACCTGGTATTAGAACTTCAGCAGATGTAAATCAATTGATCAGTTGGTTGACTCAAGCTTACAATACCTTGCCAATGATTGATTATCCATATCCAGCCAACTTTTTAATGCCTCTCCCAGGTTATCCAATTCAAGTTATTTGTGACAGAATTAGTACCATTATGGCTTCTGAAAAGGTCACTACTGATACCTATCTTAAGGCTGTTTTGGAAGGTGCCAATGTTTATTATAATTATACTGGAACTAGTACTTGTAATAATTTGACTCAACCAGATTCTCCAAGTTTGGGTGATGACGGATGGGAATATCAAACATGTAATGAAATGGTCATGCCAATTGGTAATTATCCTCAAACTGACATGTTCATTCCTGCTCCTTGGGATCTCCAAGCATGGATTTCTTATTGTCAACAAAAGTGGAAGGTTACTCCAAGAACCAACTGGGCTATTACTAACTATGGTGGTAAGAGAGCTATTTTGGAAGCTACTAATATTGTCTTTTCAAATGGTGATTTGGATCCATGGCATGGTGGTGGCGTTTTGCCAGGAATGAAAGTTAATGAAAAGGTTAAGGTTGTTTACATTGAAGGTGGTGCTCACCATTTGGATCTCAGAAGTTCAAATCCTTTGGACCCACAAAGTGTCAGATTGGCCAGAGCTTTGGAAGTTAAGGAAATTACCGCTTGGCTCAATGAATTCTCTGCCAAGAGAGGCCTCAAAATGAAATATTAACTTATTTCTTAATTTATCTATTTATCTAAATAATAATAACAACTTGTTATTGAACATTTAAACATCCAAATGGCTTTTATTTTCAATGGTAATTCCTAATTGTTTTGCTTTTTGAATCAATTCATGAATTGCACCTGTTGGTCCTTTTTCAATGGTGGAATCATCCTTTCCAATAAGAGTGAAAGCATGCTTGCATGGTAGGGATTCTAAACAACCTCTCTTTATGATGATTTTCTTTATGGTTGACAAGTCAACTCCTGCAACTTGGTTTGAGCTCATTTTTTATCTTGTTTTACAGTGTTACCACTCATCTCAATAAAAAGGAAATCCTGATTACAATGATAATATTATTTTTATTTCTTTCTCTTGAAACTTCCAACCAATTGCTTAATATTTCCTCTAATCTTTCCAGCATTCTCCTTCACAATCTTTCCATTGAAATTCTTGGCTGCTTCCTTAAATTGTGCAATAGAACTCTTTATATCTTTGAACTTTTTTGGGAATTTCACATTTTTGAAAGCTTTGAATTGTGAAATAGTTCCCTTAATTAAGCCAATTGTTTCCTTAATCTTTCCTGAGGTGTTCTTAATGAACGGAATGACTTTGTCCTTTAATTTACCTTCGAGAGGTCCTAATTTAGTTGAGGAGAATTTTTGAATTCCTTTTCCCAAGTCGAGAGCAAAATTTGCAAGTTTGGGAAATCCAAGGTTTTGTAATTCTTGGGAAATGTCGGTGGTGAGTTTGGAACCAATGGAATTGACCTTGTCAGAGTAGGTACCGATATTGTCTATGAATTGACCTGCTTTTTCATTCCATGCTTGCTGAGCTTTAGAGACGAAACTTTTGGTTTTATCTGAAACCTTTCTGAAAGTATCTTTGAATTTTTTGCCGATAAAGAGAGTTGAAGCCCCACCGTTCTTGTTTCTTCTCATCTTTGAGGACTTTCTTGAAGTAGATTCTTTAGAAATGTCATTCAAGGAACCTTTCAAAATGTCAGATGTTGGATGTGAAGACTTCTTTGTCAAACTCTCAATATATTTCATAAGTTTATCCTTAACAGCCTTTGTCTTCTCTTCATCAGGAATTGCCTTATACATGGTATTGAGTTTTTCAGCAAATCCCAAGAAATCATTAGCAATTCCAGTTTCAACCTTTTTTGGAATTACTTTCTTGGCTTGTTGAATAATATCTTGACTTTCTTGCATAATTTCAGGTGATTTGAATGGATTGGTTTTCAACCCTTTGGTATAAACAGGACCCTTATGAACAGTTACTTTAGGTTTACCATTTCCAAAATGTAATTGAATTACCAAGTGAATGTCATCTTGATCATGTTGAGAGATTATTCTCTTGGATTCTGATAATTGGATACAGGAGGTTAACAAGGTGATTAAGAGGAGAATGGAAAAAAGTATGCTTGTTGTTAAGGATTTCATTTTTTTATGTATTGTTTCTTCTGGTTTCTTCTGAATTGCTTTTATTCTGAATCAAGTGAAATGAAATCACTGAGTCAAGGCGGCTCAGTCAATAGTGTGATGCGTGAAGTAAACTATCGAGAGGTCGGTTTTCCTTATAAGGTGGTCATATTCCAGCCAACTTCCTGGAAGTCATTTATTCAAAAGCAATTACATCTGACGCAACAAGATTGAGTTTTATTAAAACATGGAAAGTTCAGAGTAATTAATTTAATTTATGTTTTACAATTGTTTTCTTTCAATATTTATTTACAAACTCTCATTATTCGAATGATTCTTCATCAATTTACTCGAAAATGTTTCACGACTCGATACTTGGAAGGATAATGTCTTCTCTCCTTCCCTGACTATAGTTCATTTGAGAAAACATATGGCACACCATGCATGATGGTTGGCACTTGTTCCATTTGGCTTGACTGTTGTTGGTGAGGTGTTTGAAAATAGTGGAATGTCGGTGTATCAGTGAGTCCAAAGATTTCTTCCATAGAGAGTGGAGTCTCAACAGTTGTTGTGGTGGTAGTTGCAGGTGAGCTCGACACGCTTTCAACATGAAAATGTGCAACTGGTGTGTTCATTATAATTGGAGAGTCATTGCTATTCGAATCTTTCATCATTTCAATGAGGAGAGAAAGTTTTTCTTCCAATTCATTCTTCAATCTCATCTGCTTCTCTAATGTTTGTTCGAATTCAAGCTTTATCTGCTTGACTTGCTCAAAGAGATCATCAGAGTTACTTGATGATTCAAGAGAATGTTTGGTTCCACTCTTTGGTTTACATATTTCATCTCTTGTTGCACTTTGGAATGAGTTACTCTCTACCCAACACAAAATTGTGCCATCTTCCTTTTCCACTTTTCTGCTTCTGTACTTGTTAAACTTTCTTGTGAAATTCAAGGTGTCTAACACAAGATATTTGGTCGAGACAAGTACTCCTAGTCTAAAGTTTGGTTTGGTTGGTTTCTTCTCGTTTCTCTCAATCTTTCCCAATTGCTCTTCAACATGATAGGAGTATTCTCCACTCTTAACTTTGATTTGCTTGTGTTTCAGCAAGCAAAACACTTCAGAGCCGCAATTCAAGTAGAATTGCAAATAGAGATTTTGTTTCTTCTCATTGATTGCTTCATCAACCAAGTATTGACGTAAGTTGACTATTATTGGGGAAGGAAGCTTTCTTACTCCCTCCTTGATCATGGATTCACTCCTGCCTGCCATTGAACCAATGATATACTTGTAGTTTGATTCAATAGCTTGCTTGAAACTAATGCTAATATTATTACTTTCGAATAATTGCATCTCCTTTGATTTCTCTCTGTTGTTCTTGCTGTTTTTTTCTAATTAGAAATATTTCATCGGCTAGCTCTGGGAGCTCTATTATTATATTAAATCAAATAGTAAACAACATTAGATTAGAAGCTACCTAGAGCCAAATGGATAATGAATGGAAAACAAGTGTTATCACAGAATCTTCGTTTTGTTATGGCCAAGTACATTGCAACTTCGCCTCTTTTTCTCTTGGCAAAGCTCTCTCCACAGTCAACTGTCATTACTATTTTTGTGTTCATTGGGAGCAGAACATGTAATTAACAAGAACTTAAAGTACTAAACACGTATTAAAACCATGTTGTTCTGTCCCTGAAAACATGTCCAGAAACCAAGAAGAGGAAGGGAGTTGGAAGATAGTACTCGGAAAGACCAATTCTTTCATATTTTGATAGAAAATCTACAGTTTTTCAATGATTATTGCTAGCTTATTAAATATTCACCTTCTGATTCTTCTTTGTGTATTACATATCGCTTAATCCATCAACCTAAAAGCCTTCTTCTCAATCCTCTCAATTCTTCTTCTACAAACCTCATCACGATTATTTTAATATTTTTTTTTTAATAAAAAATAAAAACCACAATTTACGAGGCGCCACTTTTTGCTCTCCAATTCGAGAGGTAATATCATATATTAGATCTTATCCATTGTGAAGGCCCATGCAAACTGCAATGTTATTATTGTTCCTAACATTGTGGCTCAATCGAGTTCTTCTTTAGTAATTCCCTCATCCTTATAATCTTGTATCTGGCGGCTCGATCCTCTGCTACACTTGAATCGCTTCGAAACAGGTTATACATCTTACGTTTTTTTATGTTGAAGGTTGGGGCAGGAACAAAACGTGTTAACTTTGCAAGAAATATCAAACACGTTGTGTGATTAACCAGCCGTTACACAACAGAATTTGATTTAAAATTATTTTTATAATTTTTCAAAATTAATTAATTTAAAAAAACAAAGCAATATTGGATAATGTCATCATGAAAAGATTAAATATTTAACAGGTAGTCATGCACTCCTTCACAACAACCACCAAGATAAAGGATGATACATTGATGAGCCTGACAATTTACTGCACATGATTGTGAATCTCCATTTTGATGGTTTTATTCTTTCTACCATAGCTGAAGATTAGCACCTCCTCTTTTATTGGCAGGACCACGAGCACCTCTCTTGTAACCTCTACCATCTTCTGGTATAGACCATGGCGATGTCATCTGACAATTCAGCAAATATTCCTCCAACAACAATTTGTTTGATAGCGGTTCAAGAAGGTAGATGCACAAGAATAAACTATGAAACATGATTTTTGTTTAATGCTCTTTACAGCAGGCATGTTTGTGGATTATCCAATCTGCCTTTTGACATTCTGTACTGCAATATCTTACATTTTCACACCTGGAACAAATCTTTGTTCCCTTCTTTCTGCAATTTTGACAATTGCTGTCAGGGATAAGATCATTATCATTTCTAACAATGGCATCATCCGTTTTCAACTGGTAACTGCACAAATCTTCAGTAAAACCTCCAGACAAGAGCTGCTTCATTGTGATGGTATGGAATGTAAAGTCAAAGTATGGAGTGGATTGCTGAGAGCACCAATTAATATATGTCTTTAAAGTTTGGACTGTTGCTGAATTATTGAGAATTTCAGTATTGGCATACAGAATTGCTTCAATAAATGTGGTAATAGATTGAATTCCATGCCTGTAATACTTCATAATTCCTTTCAAAATATTGATGAAGAGTGATATTCCTATTGGACTCCTCTTGAGTACAAGCTTGAATGAAACACCATCAAAGTCATGGAAATATCTCACAACTGATGAGCAATAAACAAAAAAGCTCGCCTCTTGTTCTGAATGTTCTTTAGAACTAGAACTCAAATAAAACATGATATCTGTTATGAGCTCGGTAACTTCCTTGCAATATTCCCTAGTTAAGAATTGGTGGAAACTCTTGTAACAATAACCTCTCAATAAACATTCCATGGCCTTTTGGAGTACATTGATATTTTCCTTTCTGTAATTTTTCAAGAGTGGTAAAACTTTAGATTGGTAGTGATTGTCCAATTCCATTTGTAATCTGAATGCTCCAGTTTTGTTAATGGTCGAATATGAAACAATTGCAAGTGCATACTCTTTAAACTTGGTATATGAAAGAGTTGGATCCATATAAAGTACAGCAGCTCTGATAATTCCATGTCTATATAAATTATGGTGATGAAAAGAAAAGTACATTAATGCTACAATACAGTACAGAGCTGACGGGCATTCTCTTGTTTCAATATTTGCAGCATATCCTTCCAACATTTTCACCAAGTGTGGTATGATAATTTGCAATTTCTATTAATTAATTCATTATTGGTATAATTGATTATTAGTTCATATGAATTAATTAAATACTTACCACTGTGATGGCATTCAGAAATTGAGCATCCTTTTCGATCAAAGGTGTCATCAAATCTGTTAAATTTCTAATAGCAAATTCCTTCATTGTCATGTCAACATCTTTGTTGATGAAAATGTAAGCAAACATGTTAAAGAATGGACCAAACTTGTAATTTGGTAAGGTAACAATCTTATCCATATTTCTCATTGATGAAAGAATTGCAAAGATGGCATACAGTCTCATTGAAAAACTTTTAGATTCCAATAGAGCATAATCTAATATATTGTTTGGAATATTAAGACCCTTAACTGATTCTCCAATATTTCTACAGCCATAAATAGAATTTCCAAGTAATCTCAATAATTCAGTAACATTATCATCAGATACACTCTCATACAATGCCAAACAGTCCAAAATAATTTTGGTTGGGTGATAATTGTCTCTAATCTTTGCAAAAAGATCATTTTCTGCATAAATATTATTCAATATTCTGCATTCTTCCTTGATAGAAACTTCCTTATCGGTACCTGTCAACTTATTCTTGATAGTATTGAGTAATGCAGTACTATTCTCAACCACTTGTCCTGCTGAATACTTTTTCCATTCCTTCACAAGTGGTTCATCAAATTCTCTTAATCTAGAATCTCTAGGAGATTCATTTCTAATACCGTCATCCTTCATCTTTCTCTGAGATAGAGCCATCATGCACTGCACCAATAATTCTTGTAATTTTGTCCTTCCTTCTTCGGAATCAAATTGACAAACTTCCAAAGCAGTCCTACATGTATTTTCCATTTCACTCAATCGATCGTGTTGCAAATGAGCCAAAGCCAATCTCAAATACCCCTTCCACCATTTTGGTTTTAATTTGGTACACATTTGAGCGTCATCAATTGCTTCCAACTCTCTTCCCAAGCACAAATTAGTAGCCGATCGATTTGAATAATATTCACCCTTCTTCGGATCAGCTGAAATTGCATTAGAATAGTGTAAGAGTGCTTGATCGTAATTTTGTGAGCGGAAGGCCTTGTTGCCCAACTCTTTTTCTGCCTCTGCTGTTTCCTTATCTCGTACCATTTTGCACACAATGGGTGTTTTTTGATTTTTGTGATTTTTTTAATTTGTTACAACGTGCTGCAGAAATGCCTGTTTTGGAAAGTTACAATTTAATAATAGAATAAAAATGTTGCTTACAATGCAATGTATTCATGATGTGTGAAGACCAAGATGGATGGAGCAAGATCGTGATATGGCCGTAGCCATCAATTACATGTGTTTCAATTATTGTAGAGTTCCCTTAATATTTTTCACTCGATATTGATGGAGGTAATTAGCAAAATATGGAATCAAAGTAGAACACTTTACAGGTGTCTTATAGAATGCAATGGGCAACTCATTGGAGAATGAGAAGTGAACTTAATGATGGTTAAGGAATCATCATCCTCACTTTTGGAAGCCTCAAATTGATCCTTTGTTACTGCATTTCCTTCCATACACTCGAGTTGAAGGAAGCATCTTTAGCAAAGGCGTTAATAATACAGAAATTGCTGTTCACTAAGGAATGTAATTCTTGATTCTATGGCAGAGAATGTATTCTCGAATCTCTCTTTAACAATGAAAAACATTAAATCTTCACTCTCATCCACATTATCAATAAAAGCCTTAAATTCGGATAAACTTAAAACCTTTCCATCTTGTACTCTCAAACCAATAAATTTCCCTTTAAATATACTCTTTTGGAGCGAATGTCTTGATTAAATTCCAAATATCTGCCACAGAGGAGTTCTTTAGTTGTGGAAAGGTGAATGGATGTCTTTTAATGGAGTGAACATTCAGTAGGGAAGAAATCATTTTCAGATTTATCGTCTTCCATGTAAATCGTATAACATTGCGGTTTATACTGTGCTTGCTGAGTTGGTATTAAGACAATTTCTTGGCTTGCTTCATCGATGATTTTTTCAATCATATGAGAGGTTTTGAGTTTTCTCTTTTTTCCGAAGGAATCGCTGGGATTAGACATTGGTATTTTTTTAAGGTATGTTGTGAACTTGAGGAATTAACACATATGTATATATTCAATAAATTGATTGTTCTCCATCAGGTTCGTTTTCATGATTATATTCCAAAAGTTCTACAATAACTATTGATAATATTAAGGCAATTGTTTGCTTCTTTAACCCATGTATTCGGTTCCTCAATTCTGTAAGTAACTATTCGATAAGGAAGAGCTATTTTGGTGGTATAAATTGGAATTTCACAATTAATAATTGAGCAAAAATCCAAAATTTGTTGATTTTTCTTCAATTCATCTGGTACATAATCAATAATGTTTGCATCTTGTTTAAGAGCACTTATAATAAATTCTCTATCATATCTCAATTCATTACTGGCATATTGAAATGCAGATCTATTTTCTTTAATAGCAGCCATCACAATTTCAGAATTATTTCTCAATTCATTACTAGCATATTGAAGTGTAGATCCATTGTGTTTGATGGCTGTCAAAACAATTTCAAAATCATTTTCCCATTTTTCAAAGGCATATTGAAAGTAAGTACTATCTTTTCCAACAATTCTCAATACAAACGATCTATATTGCCACAAATTCAACCATTCAGCCAAACAATTAATTGCATTAATATTCGAAAAACAAGAGGGAAATAATTCATGTTCCATGAAAGAAGTAATCAAATCCAAATCTCTAACCACATCAATCCGATTCAAATAATTAACCTCATCATTCAAATTAAAATCTTTAACCATATCAAACCGCTCAAAATTAGGATACCTATTATTCAAATAATTATCAAGTTGTTGTTTGATCACTTCATAGGTTGATTTTTTCATAATCTTTCCTTTTAATAATTCCGAATAATTTAATGGAGTGTCGCCATTGTTTTGATTACCATGAGTAGTAATTATGATTAAATCCGTTAAATGACAATTCGTTATTGTTGCTGTGTTTTTTTGTTTCTTATCCCAATAGAGTTGACCACAAGAAACTTTTCTCTTCATTTTTTTGTGTTTTATTGGCAAAGAAGAACAAATTAGTGAATATATGGGTGGAATGAATGGATTTGGCCATCAATTTTTCACTCGATACTGATGGAGGTAGATTTATACACATTGAACGTGTCATGAAATCTGTTAAATTTCTAGTAATTTCAGTAACATGTAAAGAAGATTCTGAAAGAATTGGCTTATACACTCGATATTGATAAGAGATAAAGTCACTCTTTCCATATTCCATGAATTTCTTCTCGTTGAACAATAAACAGTCCAAAAACAGCTCGATGTCAGATGTGGAATACAAATAAGTAAATTTGAAACACCAATTCGTTGGAATGGACTTTATCAGAACTTTTATAGATAATAATGAAAAACACTTGTGAAATCTACAAATTCATTCTCTTTTATTCTATATAGAATCTTTTTTACTTCCTTTTGTGCAATATAGCATCTTTCATATTGTTGTATGTTATCAATTCGATATATTAATGATGATGATCATCTAATGTTGTATGTTTTTCATCATCCCGATCATAGTGATGATTGAAGGCTTACTGTACCATCCATCAGCCATTACCATTATCTACATTGTTTAATTCCATTCAAGAGAAGATCCTTCTTCTCAACAAGTTGTTTATTTCATGTTGCTGATTGATGGAACAATTCTTCTTGTTTGTTCTTTTGGATTTCTGGATTGTGATTCGCGCCTTTTTTAGATGGCACGAAAACTACATTTTGCTTTTGGATCATACAAAAAAAAAGACACAACACACAACACTCTATAGCATAAAATGGACTTGTGGTTCGCTGAAGAAGAAATAGAGAGGGTTGACCAATTGCTTGAACAATGGGAAGAGGAGATTGGAAATATTGATTACAAGACGATGAGAAGTGAAATGTTGATTGCTTCTTTGAAAAGTGTTGATGATGAAAAGAATGAATATATGGAAAGTTGGGAATGCTGTTCTGATTGTTCTGATGATCAATCAAGTGTTTATTCCTATGACTATGAAGAAGAGTGTGATTCACCAATCAGCACTCTATCTACAAGCTCTTGTTACAGCTTCTTTGATGAGGAACAAGAGGAAGAAGCCTTCGAACAAAGATTCGAATGTTGCAATTTCGTCGGAGGCTTGCTTGGTGACTTTGAAGTCATCGAACAAGATGAAGATGAAGAAGAATCAGATGCTGATGACACAGCCTCTGAATGTACCATAATTACCTGTAATAACAATAATAATAATGAGGAAGAACCTCAATGTATAACAATCCATCAATTGTACATTAGTGAAATAAAACGAAAAGAACAAGTTTTAGAAACAATCTGTTTAATATTCATTTGCTTTATTAAACTGAACATCAAGCTATGTGTTAACATTAGAATGTTGGTATTGAACAATTCCATAAATGTAAAAAATCAAATCGCTCAAAAAGGTGATTTTACAACTTTCCAAAACAGGACAGCAGCGCTAAATAATTTTTGGCTATAAATTACATTAAACTAATTGGAATGATAAAAATCATTTTGGTTTGTTAATCAAAGTCAAAGTCTTCCTCTACATATGTAATTCCATTAACTAGAATACTTCTACAAATGAACTTAATGTATTGTTCAGAATATTGTTCCTTTTCTGGTAGTTTCTTATTTAGCTCGATGTAATGTTGTTTTTCATATTCAATTTCTCTCCTTCTCTCATTATTACAACCAAAATTAAAGACTTGAGAAAGTATAGTTTCATTTTCATCAATATTTTCAAATTCATTCAAGCTCAAGGATTCGTATTGTAACTTGGCATCGACTTTACCTTGTTCAATTAGTTTAGAATAGAGTGTCTTGTTGTTCCTACTCAAGTATTCAACAATTTTGCTCCTGCATGGTTTAAATATTTCACAGTTGGTTATTGTTTCACTTTCTGAAAATGAATAATGTCCCTTAAATGAAAAGACAATAAAGGTTTCGCCATTTTCGAATAGAACCTTATCCACAACCAAAGTGGCATCACTTTCCTTATGTTGGTACCTTTCTCTTGAAACATCAAGAACTATTCCATCACATCTTTCCAATATTTGCCTTAATCTGACAAATTCTTCTCCTGTTTCACGTTTTACTTGCTCGAGAGGAATAACCCTTTTTCTAACTTGTTCAATTGTTGGTGGGGAAGTAGTGGTGATGAGCTTAATTGAAACCTCTTCATTAGTCTTGTTGTTTGCATCATAATGTTGCACCAGTTTAATCCACCAACCTTTTTCCATCAACCTGTATTGTTCATTGTCGTAATCATAGAAAATTTCTCTGTGTGAAGATTTTCCAACCAACACAAAGAAGGGTTTGATCTGATTGTCGAAATCTTCCTTGCCCATAACAAACGAATATTTAGTTTTCATGTTGGGATCATGTTTTAGAGATCTACCTTGTAACAAATCTCTAGGACAGCCATAATAATAAACTTGGTTGGACAAAGGAGATTGATCCATCAATTTCAATAGGTGATCATTAAGCGTCGACATTTTTTTGTGTTGTTTCGGTTATTGGAAAATTCACTTCCACCTTGATGTAAAAACTTGTGTATTATTTATTAATGTATTACTTTTTCTGATAGGAAAGAACATTCTTAATATTTTCAATATTACCATCTGTTATAGTGGATGGTTTAATTTTGAGTAATTCGGCAATTAAGGAGTGAATATGAATATTTTGTATCATTTCATATGCTTTCACACCTCCTCTCTTCAATTTAGGTCCAATTCCAGTAAAGAAGGCATACATTTCATCGATATCATTTCTATAGCCATGATCACCTCTTTCATTCCACCAAGCTGAAGAATCCAATCCACTATAATATCCAGGGTCTGATATGAGTAAAATATCAGGAATTCTTTCATTCTTATTATAATGATATTGGGCTGGAATTTCATCTCGTTTGTAAATGGTACAATTCAAAGAATATCTCTTGACAGTTTCTTGAAGATCAGTATAGAGTTGATTAATGGTATTCCTTTTCAATACTGCATCAGTACTATTGACGAGTACATTCATATCTACCAATGTTCCAACTGTATTACTGGTCACTACTGATTTGAAATCAACTCGATTGGTTGGTTGGGTTTCATTGTAATATTTTTCCAACATGGTTCTAATCCAAACAATTCTATCCGCGCTCAAATTAAGCATTCCATGATCTGAAACTATAAGGAAATTAACTCTCGATTTCATTCCAAGTTCATCAATCTTTTTCATAATTCCATCAATGAAACCATCAGTAGTTTTGAGAGCATTATAAAATACAGCACTATCATTAGTGGTGCTATCATCAGTGTCTGGGACACCGTAGTAATGAGCAGCAGAATCAACCCAACTCACATAGTACATGATGAGAGATGGAGCTCCAGGGACCTTATCCCTCTTCATTTTCAAATATTGTTCAATTTTTCCAAGACGTCTCTCAAATCCACTTTCCTTAATATAGACAGGTTCGTAAAATGATGGATAAATTCCTTGAATTTTCACGTTACCTCCTGGATAATCATAGGTAGCAGTTGAAACATTTTGTTTTTCTGCAGTGATCCAAATAGGTTCTCCCTGAGACCACCAGTAAGGATCAGTCAATGTTTGTTTGAACAATTTGTTAGCAAATGGAGCATTTCTATCATAGAAGCTATTTGAAACAAGTCCATGATTTTCCACATATTGACCTGTTGCAATACTGTAATGATTAGGGAAGGTCTTTGTTGGAAAGCAAGGTTGCATTCTACCAACGGTCACTCCCTGCTTTCGGAGCGAGGACAAGGCAGGCATGTATTTTGCAAATTTATCCACAAAGTCATATCTGAAGGCGTCTATGGATACAAGAATAACAATTGGTTCAGGTGATGAATCAATCTATTTTTCACAAACATAATTTCATACATAATTGGAAATTTTTACATCGTTATGAAATAAATGCACAGTCCAACAATGAAAGGTTCACAACAATTTTCCAAACATTAAAATCATCAATTATTCATTACATGTTTCATTATCAAATTGAAATACGCCAATTATTATTATTTAACAAATTCCTTCTCTCACTAACAAAACTTACCAACAAGATGCACAAAATCAACGTTAAGAAAGCAATAGCTCCCATCAATATGAACAGCAATGCAAGGGCCACAAACATTGCAAATGGATTACATTGTCTCACTCCCACTATAAAAGTTTGCAACTTTCCTCTCCTCTTATTCTCTTGATGATGATGATGGTGCTGCTGACGATGTGAAATACTCGATGAGGAATCATCCTCCTGACTCATCCTTGAGTAACGAGCATCAACAGCATTCGATGAGTCCAAGGCTGTTCCACCAACCCCCGAATGACTACCCACGAGGTGTAATTCAATGGACATTTTTGAATTCTTTTTTTCTAATGAAGAATTTCCTCTTATTGAGGAAGAAGTAAATCTTCTTGAAGATGATGACGGAGTGGAAGTGAATGGAGGACAGGAGGGATTGTATTCTTCAGAGTAGTAATTGGAATTGAGGGAAGTTTGGGGTTTGAGACGAAGAGTTGTTGTTGTTGAGGAATTGTGGTTGTTACTTTGAGAATTGTTGCCTCGGAGAGATGATGAGGAAAGATTAATGGTAAATTCATTATCATCATTATCCAATATTATTGAATTATCTATTTCATCATTCCCATTAAATTGATGATGAATTAAATTATTATTTTCCAATAATAATTCATCATCATCTTCATCATCATGATCACTTAAATTATTAATTATCGGATCGTAATTTACTCTATCGATTGATGATAATTCTCTTCCTCCACTCCTAATGATGGATTGTAAAAAGTTGATCATCACGTTGTAGTTTCAATTTAATATAAAAACTTGCTGATTCAGAAGATGGCTTATCAGAAAAGAAGGAAAATTCAATCCAAACCATGCATGGGTAATGAATGTAAAAAACAATATCTTGTTTTGTGTTCAGATTGGTAGAGTTTCGAAAGCTTTCACTTTTGGCCTTTTTTTTGATTTGTGAAATTGGATAATCCTTTGGATTCTCAAATAAATTCAAGCAACAATGATGAAAAATTGAGATGAATTTCTTAAAGTCCACATTAAATTCATTGTAAACTTGTTAAATTTACATCAAAAAGTGGTTTTGATAATTCGCCTCCAATTTTTTCAAATTATTTAAAAATTTAAATTTGCAATGTTTGAAAAAAAATTCTAAAAAAAAATAGCAAAAACACTATCAAAGTAACAAAGCCACTAAGATTACATTAAAGAATGGGATTTTTCGGATTCGGAGCAAAGCCTAAAGTTGAAAATGAAATGTTGGAAAATTTATTTGATATTGAAACATTGAATAGAACTTCGTGTTGGTTTATTACTCGTCATTTGTACAAGACAAAGGATAGACAAATGAAGAATTACTATTACTCATGTTTGGATACCATGTTTAGGAAATTGGATTTATATCGAACGGATAAGCAAAAGAGTTACAATTGGCAATGTCAAACTTATCCCGATTACTTTATTGTACATTCGAATTTGATTGGAAAAAAGACAGTAATTAATCCAGAAACTGGAAAAGAAATGAGTTTGGAGGAAAGATACATTTCGATGGCTGAGTGCCAGACTTGTGAAACATGTCCAAAGAAAAAACTCAGAAAGGATGTTGTGGACGACAAGCTGAAACCTGCCTTGAGTGGTGCATTTCTCTCAACCTTCCCACAGGAATGGATTAAGGAAATGAATGATAATTCCAATACCGATAAAGCCTATCTTCCATTGAATAAGAAGGAGGAATTACTGAACTCTTCTTATTGTAACCAATATCGACCAAGTAATCCAAACTTTGTGCCCTATGTGCAGAAAAACCCAACAGATTTTTACATTCCAACTAAGGAAAATTTTGAAATGGAGAAACAAGTTTTGAAATATCAATATTGCATCAATTCAGTTATGTGTGCCAAGACAATTCAAAAGTGTTTGAATAATTTGAAACAACACTCTGAGAATGGAATTATTGAGAACAAACATCTTTCTCAATGTATGACCTTTGATCAAGATACTATTAAATGTATAAATTCAATTTGATTTTATCTAATTCGAATTATTTGTTACAGTTTTAAAAATCAAATTAATGTCAAACATCTTCCTAGCTCATAATAATAAATTGAATTCTTTTAAGAGAATTAATTTTTTAATATATTTTATATAATTAACTAGGTATTAGATAAAAATTGTGTGAATGTGTGTGTTGTCGATTGTTGGTAATAAATTGGTCATTTAGAACTTTCCTCCAAATTTGCCACCTCCTCTAGAAAATCCACCTCTGCCACCTCTATCGCCACCGAATCCACCACGGTCGCCACCGAAACCTCCACGGCCACCACCACGACCACCACCGAAACCACCACGGTCACCACCGAATCCACCACGACCACCTCTATCTCCACCAAATCCACCACGACCACCACCACGGCCACCTCTATCACCGAAACCACCTCTACCACCACCTCTGGATCCACCACGACCACCGAAACCTCCACGGCCTCCTCTTCCACCACGACCACCACCACCGGCCTTCTTTTCCTTTGGCATGAGTCTGTATGTGAATAAGGTCAGAAAAAAATTGAACGATTTACAAAAATACTTACGGATTCTTTGGTTCTGGAGGAATGAAACGATCCAATGGTAACAATCTCTTTGTATTCAGATAAGCTTCAGTACCCTTAGCAACGTTTCCTCTAAAGTTAGCATCCTTTTCCATAGAGAAATACTGTTGTTGTTGTGATTAGTTAAAACGATCAAATTTGAAACATACCACTTGGTTGATTGGTCCCAAAACTTCCTTCAATTTACCGATTAAGGTCTTATCTTTAGTATATACATTGGAGTTACACAATGGAACGAGCTTTTCACCATCGAGAACAGACTTGAACAAGAATTCTGTTCCAGCAGGCTTTTCAAATTGACCAGCAACTGTATTTCCACAACCAATAACAATTTACACATTTTGAAACATTTCACAAAATAATTTCATCAACATCAACAATAAATTTGAACACATTTTCAAAGATTTGATACTAACACTTAATTTCTTCTGGTGGGAATTCTTCACCTCCTCTTCCACCGGAGCCACCAAATCCACCTCTACCACCACCACGACCGCCTCCACGGCCACCACCTCTACCACCAAATCCACCTCTACCACCTCTATCACCACCAAATCCACCACGACCACCTCCACGAGAACCTCCTCTGAATGACATTTTTTATATTTTTTTTGAAAACGAAAAATGAGAAATTTTTTCTCAAAGAACAAGCAATTTTTTGCTTCAAGAAGAATTTTGAGAAAAATTTAAAGAAGGCTTTGATTCAAGAAAACATCACATCAATATTATTATTATCATGAAGAATAATAGACAACGTATTGGAGAGTAGGTTTTTTTTTCAAAGTGAATCATCGGATGATGATGAATTATTGATGATGATTTGATGATAATTTTGATGATGAAATTTGTTGTTGTTGATGTGGTGATGATGAAATTATTCAGATCGAATATTAATTGGGTGGAAGCTGCTTTGGGAATTGGTAAGAATAGAAGAAAGGTTTGTTATTTCATCTATTTTATCTCTAATCTTTTCTTTAATAATATATTAAATAATAATATTTAATTATTAAATATAATATAACAATGAGAGGATAGACTGTCGGATTTGGAGCCTACAATAAGAAAACAAAAGAATATGAGGATGAATTCTACATTCGTGAAATGTCCATCATTGATGCAGGTATTGGATGTGCCTTGTGGGATGCAGCCATCATCATGACTCGATACATTTATGAATTTGGAGATTTGATATTCAAGGATCGTAAAGTAATGGAATTGGGAGCTGGTGTTGCATTGTGTGGAGTTTGTGCAGCTCGTTTTGCATCCACTTGTTATATTACTGATTTGCCTCACTTGATGGATAATATGAAATTCAATTTGAAGGCCAATTCTGATTTTGACGAAACTGATGAGAATACCAAATGTAAAACTGAGAAAATTAAGGAACAAAAGGAAAATATGCAAAAAAGTGGAAAAGTTGTAGAGCTTGATTGGTACAAGATTTATAATGAAATTCCAAAAGCTATGGAACAAATTGCTAGAGGTGAAACACCAATTTTGGAAGTACCAGACAAGTGTGAAATTATTATTGGAAGTGAATTGACCTATACAGGAGATGAAAAGACAGTAGAGGCATTGATGAAAGTTATTGATACATTTATGGATGAGAAGGGAGTCTTTTTGGAAATTTTGAGTGATGATCGTGATGGTGTTTCATATTTTGTGGATCAAATTACAAACCCTGAACGATACAATTATGTAATCAAGGTTTTCAAAGTTCATAGTAGATATATGGGTAATTTTGGAACTGGTCAAAGAGATGAAACATAGTAAGTAGTAGAATGTTGATCATTTTTTTGCTAATCAACTATTCCAGTAAATTTTATCTTTTAACTAGAAAGGAAAATGAAAATGGTGAATTATTCCTCAAGATGTGTGAGACTCTCCAAAATGATCAATAAATTTATTTACATTCCTTGAGCCTTGAGAATGAGATTATCTTGATTGGCATCTTCGGCAATTTCTCTTAACAATCTAATCAAGTTGATGTACTAAATTAAAGAAATGTTTTTAAAGAATGGAAATACATTTTTGGATATAATTTGAGGTTCTTTTTGATTACTTACATTTTCCTTAGATGTGACACCAACAACTGATGATTATTAATTTTAAATTTCAATATTCAATAATTAATGTCGTCAGCTCGTATTGGATCATGAAATTACTTACATTTGGTATCTTCGTCCCATCCATTTCTTTGAATAGAGACTTGCTTTCCTTCCCAAAAGAATACAATGGCAGGACAAGCCTTTACATTGCATTCCAAAGCAAATTGAATATTTTCTGTTGGATCCAAAATAAATATTTGAGCATAGCTCACAGAATCTCCCATACGAATTTCCTCAAAGCCTTATATTATTTAAATAAATTATTAAATTCCATCATTGATTATTATTTTTAAATTCCAATAATATTAATGATTTTCATCCCATCATTAAATTCTCCAATTTATGGTTCGATATTAAGAAAACCTACACTTTGCTAATCCTCTAGAAATTGGAGAGAATGGTTCAGCAAAACAACAAACGATCAATTTCATGTCTGATTTTGAGAGTAGCGAATCCCGAACTAAATCAGAGACATCCCACCGAATAGAAACACTTTCTGTCATTTTTTATTATTAATTGAGGTTCTTTGAGATGAAAAGTGTACAATTTTGGCGCCAAAATTTTGGAATGAAGCGTTTTACTAAGGCCAAGTAAGGAATCGATTCGTTCTTAATGTAATCGGGTGTGGTAGCATTCCAGACTGTCACTCTGGCGACCCGGGTTCAATTCCCGGCACTCGAGATTAATTTTTGACACTATCTACAATATTTAAATTTTAACTTTTTCATAATAGGAGGAATGATATATGATCTAGCTAATTTTCAATTATCAAAGTTTCAACTTTTAAAACCATCGAGAAAATAATCAAAGATTTGCCACTTTCATTTTCCGTAACAATATCACAACTCGAAACAATTCTATCCACCAATCTTTAAATTGTCTCAATCCTACTCTCGATGTGCAAGTTCATTCAATAAAAAAACACAATTTCCAAGAAAACAACTATTATTGATTCAAGAGGGTATAAGCTTTATGAAAAACAAATATAATAGGGTTATAATTTTGAAATATTCAATACATTTAGTTTAAACGTTTATTCAATTAAACACTATAACTTAACATTTCCACTTGAGCGTTAGGATCCCCAACTACTGGAACCTCATAGACAGGACCCTTTCTTCTCTTACAACAATCCCACTTCAATTTTAATAAGACAACAATAAAAACAAAGACTGTACATAATAAACAAGTGAAACCAAGAATTGTTCCAAGAATTATACCCAAATATCGATCTTCTGCTATTGGTGTGGAAACCTTTACAACCTTTTCAAGAATATTTTCAATAATCATAGTGCTTGTTGTAGAGTTGCATTTACAAGTTGCGGTAGAGTTGGAGCTCACCACAACAACACAGGATGGATCAACTCCAACAGTGAAATTCTTAAATGTTCTACATAATAATTCTGAAGATCTATACACTTTTGTAATTACATTTTTGTTTGATTGAGTGGATTTAGTTGTGGAAATCAAAGAGTTGCTTGGATAATTCTTGACGTTAGATATTGTCATATTATAAGTGATTGGAGTCAATACATCTGCAGTGGATTCCAATAATTCAAAGAATAAGACATTGCTTCTAAGAAACATGGTAGAAGATATTGATGTTTCAATCTTAGATGTGTTCACAGTGATGGTGCTATCACTTAACACCACCTTAGCGGCAACAGTGTCAGAAATACCAAATATATCGTTGGAGGAAATTGAAATAAAGGAAATAGACTTTCTGTTAGATTTTTCGCTCAAGTAGAGAGGCATTTCTGGAGGCAACAAAACAACAGCACCTTCAAGTGGTGATGTTAATCTTGATTCAAAACCTGCTCTAAAGAGCTTGTTGGATGAAATTGAAGCAAAGACTGTCTTCAATTGTAAATCTCTTTCACCAATGTAAATACCTCTCAACATTAAATTAGAAACACGTTTCAGCATTGTGTAGAGAGAACTGAGTTGGTCTGATGCTTGTAACTGATTGTATGTAATATAATTGTAGATAGAATTCAAGATATTGGTCAATAACTTGTCAACTCCAAAAGGAACTCTAAGCTCCTTATTATATTCGCAGAATTTAAGTAAGGTGTTAACAATATCATAGGCCTTTTCCATACTATGTCCATCCAATTCATCATACTTTTCAATCAATGAATCCAAACCGTATGCTTGAAGAGTCAAGTAGGTTTCTGTAATAATTTCATATGGATTTCTAGCGTCGAATGTTTGAATAAATTCATCCATCAAGGCAACTCTGATTTCCTTATAGGCAGCAAAATCTTCCTCTGTAACACTGCAATCTGCCTTTTCAAATCCAGATGCACATGAACATCTATTGGTTTCAGTAATAAGAGTTCCTCCATTTTGACAAACGAGCTTCACATCTCTTCTTCTTGCACCACTGGTAATCTTTGTTAGCATACCATCAGCGACTCTTGAAATTGTTGCAGAGTTGAAAACCATCTTGGCTGTATCACCATCTTTGAGTGAATTTTGAATTGTACTGTAAGAGGCAACCTTCTTTTTAACTTCCACGACACTCTTTACAGCTGCAAGATCAATGGTAATGTCCTTTTTGATTTCAGTGTAGGCACCAGTGGATTTATCTGTTATTCTAATGTATGTGGTGACGATCTTGTTAGAAAGTGGTGTGTATGAACATGGCAGCTTGGTTGAATAGACTTCTCCGTTTTGATAAAGTGGAATATTAGCACCTGATTTGTCATCAATAAAACCATAGACCACTTGAAGGGTCTTTTGAGCGTTTTGACAATTGGTACATGCGAATGAGAAACTAGTTTCTAAGGCAATACCTGATGAAGGAGAAACAGTGCATGGACAAGCTTGAGGTGGAGCAGCAATTTGGAAAGAGTATGAATAGACAGCACTCAATCCATTTCTAATATCAGTTACCTTCAAGGACAAGACATAGGTAGCTCCATCTTCCAACGTTGCAGGATCAATAACAACAGAGTTGGATAGTGTTGGGCTGGAAGTCATTTTAGAGATAACTGCTTCACCATTTGAAAGTATCTTTGAATTCAAAGTCCATTCTCTGCTAATATACTGATCAATTCCAACAGATTCTCCATTGGCAGTGACTGCAAGTTGCAAGTTAACAATATCTTGTTTCAAAATGACAGTCTTAGTTGGGACAACTGAAATAAGTGTAACGGTTGGAGGAACTTTCTTACTTTCAGGGAAAACAAAATCAAGAGTAGTTTGAACTGATCTTATTCCCTTAACAACCGAGAGGGTTAATTTAAGAGTTGGCATCGAGTTGTAAACTTTGAGGTCAGCTGAGGAAATTAAAGGTCTAACAGTTCTATCATTTGAATACGAGATAAGGGCAGAATCAATAGTTGTTCCACACCCAACATTATTAGTTGCATCGAAGCAAGACCATGTCCATGTTTCAGCCTCAGATGTGACATCAGGATCAACAAGATTGACAACAATAGTACCCATATCGGAAGATACTTCATCACTATATAAAATTAAGCTCAAAGGGCTTGGTCTAACAGTAATCTTAATGGTGTCGGATGCAGTCGAAAGAGGATTCACCACTGAAGTTACAGTGATTTTGAATTCATAGACGGCTTCAACCAGACCAGAAAAGTGGGTGACTGCCAAGTTGTTAAACTTGTCTGTTTCAAAAGTTGTAACTGGACCTGATAATTGTTCCCAGACAATGTTTAATTGTTGGTTTGGATAGAAGCAACTTGGAAGCTCCAAATGCTTCTTAATGACAACAGGAGATTCATACTTGATAATAGTTCTGTCATTGAAACCAATAATGTATAGCACTGGAAGTGGAACGGCTGCCTTTGAAACACTCCAAATACTCATAGTACTGACCTTTCCAGATATTGAGCTTTCTACTTGAAGACCGAACTTGTACTCACCAGGATATTGCATTGCAATGTAATCAAGAGACAAAACTGAGGTGTTAGGCATAGAGACAGAAAGGAAATTACTTGGAGAAGAAACAATTGTCCAATAATATTTCAATGGCTTTCTATCTCCAGAATAAGAAGCAGAGGCATCCAGACTAAAGTTATCGCAAGTACCAATATTATTCAGACCAGAAAAGACGACAACTGGTATTGCTGGATTATCGGCATTCAAAACATATACATCTTGTAAATCAGTACCACTGGCATCAAATACCAGTCTATTCATTCCAACAACTGCTCCTGGCATTAAGGAATAATCATCTCCAAAGAGAATTGTAAATTCACCACTACCTCTATTTGTCCACATGCATACAGGACCAGTACCAAACAAGGATAATTGGGAGCTTGAAATTAATCTTGAACAATCAACTTTTGATTGAGTATAAGAAGCAGGACCAATAACTTTGAAAACAATGCCATTAAACATGTCCAAGAATTTGGCAGGACCGAATATTTGAGTTGAACATTGTGAACCATAATAACCAGTTTGACACTTGTTACAATTGGATCCTTCCCAATACCCTTCAGTTGGACTAGCATAACAAGAGCATGTTCCATTATTGGTACAATCTCCATGGTTAGAACATGTTGTTGATTTTTCACAAAATGTTCCACAATCAGAATTAGGATTGTAATAGTTGGTCTTGCAAACGGAACAGAACTTTCCGTCCCAATTACCATTGCAAACACATTGGAGAGCTGAATTACAATAGCCATGTTGGTTACAAGTAGTAGCAGGATCACACTTGAGCTTCTTACATCCTGTTAATTCAGTTTCATAGTCAAGTCTACAAACATCACAATAGGTTCCTTGCCAATAACCATCTTGATTATTTTGATTGCAAGAACATGTGTTGTAATCTGTACAATTACCCTGTCCACTGCAGACACCAGATTGATCGAACCTAATATTATTACAAGTGTAATATTGACAATAATCACCAGAGTATCCTGTACTGCATTGGCATCCAGTGGAACTACAAATACCCTTTCCATTACATACTCTTGAGTCTGTTGAAACAACAAATGTATTCTCCTTACTCAAACATTGAAGATATTGACATTGATTTCCAGTGACTTTAGAAAGAGCAGTTGGAGCTGGGCAATTACATACATTAGGTGATGAACAGACACCTTTTCCACTACAAACATTGGAATCATTTGCAGGCTTTCCAAAACAAACTGGAATTTCACATGTGGCTCCAATGTATCCATTATTGCAAGAGCAAGTATTTGGAGCTGTGCAGGTTCCATTTGAGCTTGAACAAACTTTTGAATTATTAGCTAAAATTCCAAAACAGATTGGAATATCACAAGTAAAGCCAGTATATCCTGAAATGCATTGGCAAGAATCTGGAGCTGAACAAATCCCTTTTCCTGAACAAACTGAACTTGAATTTGACAGAATGTCATAACATTTTTTGTGTTCACAGGCCTCTCCTGCATAACCTTGTTTGCAGGTGCAATTGTTTTGACCTACACAATAGCCATTACCTGAACAAGCTTGAGGGTTCAAGCTTGCGATTCCGTAGCAAGTAAAAGTACCTGGAATGATAAACTCACAATTATCTCCATAAAATCCTGCGAGACAACTGCAATTATTGACAGATACACATGCACCTCTGGATGAGCAAACAGAAGAAGAATTGAACATGGTTCCATTGCAGGTATGATGTTGGCAGTCATTACCAGTGTAGTTCTTGTTGCAAGAACAAACACCAGATAGACAAATACCATTAAAGGAACAAACTGATGGATCTTCGGCTGTTTTACCATTGCATTTCACATTTTGGCAATCATTTCCGTATGTTGAGGAATTACAATTACAAACTCCTGAAATGCATTGACCTGCATAAGAACAAACAGATGGATCTTCAGCAGTCTTTCCATTACATTTGATAAATTGACAGTCATTACCATAGTTGGAGGAAGAGCAGGTACAAGCTCCTTGATAACAAGTGCCATTGGAGGAACAAACACTTGGATCGACTGCTGTTTTTCCATTACATTTCATGAGTTGACAGTCAGATCCGTAAGTGGTGGCGTTACAGCTACATGTTCCAGAAATACATTGACCTGCATAAGAACAAACAGAGGGATCTTCAGCAGTTTTACCATTACATTTGATAAATTGGCAATCATTACCGTAGTTAGTTGAAGAACAGGTACAAACACCTGAGGAGCATGTTCCATTCGATGAACATACTGTTGCGTTTTCTGCTGTTTTTCCATTACATTTCAAGAATTGACAATCGTTACCATATGTAGTTGAATTACAATTACACACTCCAGAAATACATTGACCAGATGAGGAGCAAACAGTGGAATCATTAATCATCTTTCCATTGCACTTCAACATTTCACATTGGTTACCATAAACAGTTGAGTTTACACAGGAACAAACGTCCTGAGCAATGCAAGAACCCATTCCACTGCAAACACTTTGACTACCGGCAGAAATTCCAAAACATGTAAAGAGACTTCCTGAACAATCATTTCCAAAGAATCCTGTATTGCAAGTGCAATTATCAGTTGAAATGCAAGAACCATGGCCAGAGCAAACTAGAGTTTCATTGCTCATGACACCACTACATTTCCAAACTTCACAATCAGATCCATAAAAACCAGAAGAACAATTACAAGTGCCAGTTAATGCATTACAATCACCACGTGAATGACAAACTGAAGAATCATTGGCAAACTTTCCATTACACTTGGAAAACTCGCATTCATTACCGTAGAAATCAGATCTGCAAGCACAAGTGTCCAATCTGATGCAATCACCTCTGGAATTACAAACTGAAGAATCATTGGCAAGCTTTCCAAAGCAAGATGGCTTATCACAGAGAGGACCTGTCCATCCTGGCTCACATTGACACTTATCAGTGCCAACACAAGAGCCATGTACACAACCTGGATTACAAGACAAACTACAATTTGCAGTTATGATACCATCTTCACATTGACACAAATTATTGCCAGCACAAATACCATGACCACTGCAATAATTCAAAGCGCTGCAATCAAATTGATCACCAACATAGAGAGACGCAGTTGTAAAAGCAGCATTTTCACAAGCATACTTGTAGGCAAGTTTTCTTCTTGGATGGGAGCAAACATTTGTTCCCTTTCCACCCATTCCATGATAGGCACCTGTTTGACTTCCACCAATACCAATGTAGGCATCAAGTTTTCCACTCTCAACACAAGAGGCATTTGAAGAGGTTACAACACCAAATCTCACTTTCAAATAATTACTATTTCCCATGTTGAATCCAATTAATTTGTTGGCACAATATTTGGCAGATGTGTAATCTGGAGCTAGAGAATAGAAATTTCTAGCAGTTCTCAAAGATCCTGGAACTACTCTGGATTGATAAGTTTCATCAGAGAACGCTTCTAACAATGACTTTTTGTTAACTGTAAAAACAGCAGTATTGGTCTTGTTAGACTCGACAATGAATCCGTCATGATCCAAAACAAAAGCTGTCTTAACTGTTGTCATTTTCAAAGAGTGAGCAACATGTTTAGTAAAAGCCAAAGTCTTCAAATTAGTATATTGATATCCAATACTTCCAACTGTGGCGTTATTGGTCCAATATTGACTAGAATAGGAGAAGGTTGCATCAGATCCATCCTTCAAATCCAAAGCAAGAGCCCAAGCACCTATATTTTAACACAAAGGAGCCTTGTTAAATATGAAGAAGGAATAATAACATACCCTTTGATGAAACATCAAACAAGCACTTGGTTTGATAAGTAACCTTATTGTTATTTCCATCCAAAAGGAACAAGTAGAACAAGTTTCCAGAGATACTTGACACTGACTCTCCCTTACTCAAATAATAATCTCTGATGGCACCACAACTTACAGCAGCGGTATCAGCAGAAGATCCATTAGAGACTTTCAATTTGAGTGTAGTAAAAGAATCAATCATCCACTGACCCAAATTATCGGAAGGAGAAGAAGCAGCAATTATAGAACAGTTAAATAAAACAATTAATGCAATAATGGCCATAATCATGGAGGCGCTTAATAAATTGGAGAATGATTTCTTCAACCTATTGAAACCACCATCATCATCACAGCGTTGAACTTTGTTGCTCAAATGAGGACACGTAAAATGTCCCCTCATTGAATTCATTTTTTTTTACACTTGAATCTTTGCAATTTGCGCGGGAGGAAAGGATGCAAATGTTTTTGGTCTTAATTTCCCAAAGGAAACATACTTGCTGAATATAAAGCATGGAGACGAAGAAAGATTCTGAAAAAGTTAAGGCTGTCTTGTTTCTTGCTTCGTAATAATCGTTGAAAAAATAACAACTTTTTTCCTTAATTATTTTGTGTACAATTAAGAACTGAAGGTGATTAAGGTAAGCTTTACTTTTATAATGGACCCTCCTCATCCCGCCAAAATACTCTCTAATGAAAAGTCATCATATGCGAGTCTTAATTAAAAAAAATACCTCTGAGAGAGTACACCCACCACAATCAATAATATATTTTCATACCTCGCGAAATTATGCAAATATCATCACGGAATGTGTTTGTTGTGGTATTGTTGGTAATTGGTTTATTGTCCAATAATGTTTATTCCTTTAATGCTTCAGTGTGCCCCACTTTCAATAGCCAAGCGTGTAATGGTGCCGCCTTATTGAATCCGTGTGCTTCTGGTGGTGAAGAAACAAATTATTGTGACTGTTTTGGATTTGGGAGTGGCGGGTTTTCAGCCTTTTATGGAGGTGTTGCATGTGAAACCTTTCAATGCTATAAAGTAGACATGCATATTGGAATTGGTCTGTACGACCAATATATTTGTTCAAATAATGGAGATTGCATTGGACCCAATAGTTGTCAGTGTAATCAAGGTTATACTGGTTACAAATGTCAATACTCTATTGCAGATATTTCTTGTTTTAACTTACCCGCAAATAGTTCTACTGTCTGTAGTGGAAAAGGAAAGTGTACACATCCGAATGAATGCCTTTGTAATAAGGGATATGAAGGTTTAAATTGTGAAAAGTTTAGATGTTATGGTCATTTGAACTCGGATTCGAATGCTTGTAGTGGGAAAGGAAAGTGTATAGATTGGAATGTCTGCGATTGTGACAACGGAAATTCTGGAAAAAATTGTGAACTAGTGTCCACTGTTGGTAGCTCCATTCAAAGAGTATGTTTTGGAATACCTAACACTAACAATTCGGTCTGCAATAACCGTGGTGTTTGTGTTGGACCTGATTCCTGTGTATGTAATCCAGGATATTTTGGATCTGAATGTGAACATTCCTTCTGTTTTTCTATTCCTCAAAATGACTCATCTGTTTGTAATGGCAGAGGCTTTTGTAATGAAAAAGATTCATGTAATTGCCTTTCTCAACTCTCAAATGTTCTGATTTCAGGAAGTGAATGTGAATATTTACAGTGCAAGGGAACTTTTGGCCAATACTATTTCTCTACAGATAGTACCAATGTATGCTCTGGAAATGGAATTTGCACCCTAAACGGTTGTAACTGTACTGAAGGGTACTCTGGAGAATTTTGTCAAGATTATTTCTGTGGTGGTGTCCCAAATTACAGTCCATCGTCATGCTCTGGACATGGTAACTGTATTGCTCCAGATGATTGTTCTTGCTATACTAATTCAACTCATGGTTTTTGGATAGGATCTGATTGCAGTGTTTGTGATTCATCTCACCATGGATCTGACTGTTTGTCCAGTGTCAACTGTGACAGATATGAAACTTGTAATGGCCAGGGAAATTGCTCTTCAAATCATACATGCCTTTGTGATGATGGATTCGAGGGAGAATTCTGTGATGAATGCTCAAATGATAGATATGGTTGGGATTGTAAGCAGTTTTGTTCAAGAATTTCAAGCTGCTATGGTCACGGTGAGTGTTCCAGAGATGGCCAGGTATGTGAATGTGATTATTCCCAAAGCACTGGTTTTTGGAAAGGAAATAATTGCTCCTCTTGTGCTGATGGTTTTTTTGGAGACGATTGTTTGACAAAGGTTGGATCAACCTTTGAGTTTAATTCCCTAGGAAATGAGATTTACTTTGATTTGAATGGTCCTTCAACCTATCTTGGTGGTGTTGTTGATTGTTCAACCCTCTTATCCTCTTCCTCTTACTCATCTATTGGAAGTTCATTAGCTAAATGTATTTTCAAAACTCCTTTAATTCCATCAAGAATTTCTATAGAGCTTGCAAGCACATCAACTATTAAGCCAGGCGACTCCTTGGAGGTTAATTTGAAAGTTTTTGATGCACAACATCTACCAAGATCTCTCTCCACACTCTCATGTTCAGCATCTAATATATCTTCTCCTATTGCTGAAATTGTTTACCACAACACCTTAGTGAGATATTCTGAAAATTTGGTTCTTACAGGAAGAAATAGATTAGGTATTCCTCGTGAACGCGTATTGTTCTATGAGTGGACTTTAATTTCAAGTACCTCTTCTTTTAATTCTCTTTCTAGTGTTGTGTCGTCAGGATCAGGTCTAGGAAAATCAGTTCTCAATATTTCTAACACGGATTTACCAGATAACAATGCATTTGCAATTCAACTTAAAGTGAAACACCCAGACTTTAACTTGTGGAGTAATTATGTAATCGTTAACTTTACAAAAGAAGATCAACCAATAGTTCAATCACCGTACAAAAAATATGAAGTGTATATATATCCTCCTTTAGACCCCTATTATGTGACAGAGTTTGTTTTTCCAATCACTGTTCCGTATCAAGTTTTGGAAGATGGTGTTCCAGTGGATACTTCTTCATTTACTGCAATTAGTTGGACATTTGATCCAGATATTCAAGCAAGTGGGCAGAGTATTTTTACAGTGGATACAACAACAAATGGTGTACTTTCTTTTGATGCAACCATTAGTGAAATGGAAAATACTATTGTCACAGTTAAATGTGACGTTATAGAAAACAATGTTGTATTAACATCCAGTTCTTTCAAAATCAAATCTGTTGCAGAGTATAAACCTTCTCTCAAAACAAATGAGACAGATTATGGGGTTTTCTTTAATATTGGATCTTTGAAGGGAATGCCATTACAGCAGAGCTATTGGGAATGTCACGCACCAACACAGCACCAGGGAAAATGTGAACCTGAAATCGAGGCTTTCTTCAAAGATGCAACTAACAAGAAAAGCGTCTTTATTCCTAATGAATATTTATACAAGTACAAAGTACTTTATTATGCTCGTGTTTCAATGGTTGTTAATGGGGCTCATTATAAGGGACAAGCGGATGCTTTTGGTAAAAAGGGTTTAGAAATCTTAAAGATTGGAAATGAAGATGTAAAGCATTATGTCTATTTGAGTAGAACGCAACAAACTAACTACATTTTGTACTATGACAACACAAGACAATCAATGACAAGCCCTCCTTCATATTCAATGTTTGATGAGCTTGGAAATAACATTACAGATATTCTTGTTTTGGATGCAACAAACAAACGTATTATAATCAATCCTACCGCAATACCATCTCAATCAACTTTATTAACCTTGTCCCTTACTGACACTTATGGAAGCATGATTTATAAGAAAAACCTTCATGCATTTGTTGACATGCTCCCTAAATCAAATTGTACTGTTAAAATTGCTGAACATCCGGTTACAGTTAGTGTTTTTAATGGAATACTCTACTTTTACAATATTACAGTAGCATGTGTAACTTCTTCAAAATTGCCAACAGTTAAAGTGTATTTGAAGAACCAAAATACCGAACTATTCGTATGTGATTTTGATCCACTATTGCTTCCAAGTCAATCTTGCTACATTCTACTTCCAGAATTGATTGGACCAACAGATGTGTTTGCCAATGTTACTCATGCAACCCAGGAATTGGTTGCCCTATTACCTGTTGCAGAAGTAAGTGAATTGATTCCTATTGGAAGTCTAAGAGAAAGACAAACAACTCCCTCAGCAGATATTGATTCTCTTCAACAAATGTTCTACCAATATTTTGCCAATCCAAGAGATGTTGAAAACACATCTATGTTACTTCAAACTCAAATCAAAAAACTGCTCTACTTACACTACCCAGAAAAGGAGCTTTCGTATCCAAATCTCTAATCATAAAATTTTAATTGAATTCATTATTGATTTTTCTCTTTCTTGAGAATATTTCTGCATCTCTGGAAACAAATGGAAAAACAGCAAACCAAATCATACACAATAAACAACTAGAAACCAAACACCACCCAAGACCTAAACTGAATGCAATCTCATTATTATCACTAACAATACTATCGTCATCATTGAAAGAGAATGGGAATCTGAATATGGTCTCAGTAATCATGGTAGAAATCAACATGGCCGAGAGAAGCAGAGGGGCAAAGTATTTGACTAAAAAGCACCAAACCCACAAAACTGTCTGTGTTGCCAAATCAGTGCATTTGTAAACAAATGTATTCTCAGTGAAAATATTTTCCTCTCCATCTTCATTCTCCTCAGTAGCATACTTTTGAATAATCTTTTGTTTTTTAGCAAGAATGTGGTTTTTAAATCTCTCAACAGAGAAGAAGGCCGCTCCTTTCCAATATTTCTTTGGGTTGTTTTTCAGTTTTCTGAATGCATGTGTGAGATTAGGGCAGTGAATCAAATATTTGAAAAATACCACAAAGTGGGTGGCCATGATTTTACAACGTTTTGTAAATCTTGCACACACAGAGGTGTCTCCCTCCAAAACCATATCAACTATTCCCTCCTCTGATGGCTCTATCATTTGAATCATTTCTTCTTGCCATTTTTCATGGTTAGCTGCCAAAGCTTCATTAATCTTGTTAACGATATCCTTCTCTTCCAATTCACTGCATTGACTTTCAAACATTTTACTTCCAAATGCAAAATATCCAACAACTATACACTCAGCCAATCCCATCAAAACTAGACAATAATTTGAAATGTAGTGATCCACAATTCTAATCAAGTAGTATCCATTATTAAGAGTGAACGGCAATCCTAAAATGAAGCCAACAAGGCAAACAATAAAAGTTGCCACGTTTCTGTTAGTCAACATTTTGTAAGTGAATGGCATGTCTGGTACATTGTCCTCATGAAGCAAATCTTGCTTCTCTGGAGGAAGATTAATAGTCTCCTTCTTAATAGCCACAGGAGAAGATGAAATCACATTGGATGAATCGATGGTATCCTCCAGTGGTACTTCATGTTGAGCATCAACTGCTTGTTCTGTCATTTCATGTTCATTGTGGAAATTCTGCATGTAAATCTTTTGAACATACTTCCAACGTTGAACTTTGAGATTCCACTGCATTGAGAAGTGATCCATCAGGGCACTTGTTACACATTCCACACAAGCAAAGGCACTATCTAATCCCATTGAAAATATAGTGGCAATCAGTAAGAGAGCAGAAAAGTGAGGAACTGGCAAATAGGAAACAGCTTGGAAGTAGACAATAAAAGCCAATCCCAATCCTGAACGAACTGTATCACTAGTAAAGAGCTTGTCAAAATCTGCAAGAGCTGTTTTCAAATAATATTATATGAATATTAAGGTAAAAATTAATATTAAAAAAGGTTTGTGAAAAAACTTACCATTCTCACCAAACTTGTCATGAGCCATAACACCCAAAATTGAAAAGATAGTAAAGCCACTCAAAAAGGCAATAAAGCAATTGGCTGCCACCACAACAACTGAAGCAATGATAATATTTGATTTTCTACTCAAATATGAAGAATAGGTAGAGTTGGTTCCATTTCCAACACCAACACTGAAGAATACCTGACCAGCAGCCGCCAACCAAATTTCAGTTTTCAGCAAGACACTGAAATCTGGTTTGAAAAAGTAGTACAAACCAGAGCTACTTCCCACTTCGAACAATATAGTTCTCAACAAGTAAATGGCCAATAAACAAATTGGCAAAGGTACTGAAATGAAAACTACAAATTTGATACTGCTCACACCCTTAAAAACGCACAAAAAGTTGAAAAATACCACAACCAGTAAGCCCAATAAAATTGGCATGGAAACAAAGTCTACTCCATAAAAATTCGATGGATAATTGCTTATCAATGTAGTTGGTCCAGTGGATTTTCTCAAAACTACAGAATTGAAGAACTCTTCAGCCTTCCCAATCCATGGTAATTCAGCTTGGAATAAGTTTACAAAATAAACACAAGTCCAACTCAGAATTACATTATAATAACTCAAAATTAATAAACTTCCAAAAACTGTCATGGCCAAACCAACTCCACAAGCTCTTCTATTCCACTTTGAAATGGATAATATGGAAGATCTTCTCGACATGACACCAAGTGAAAATTCCAACAAGGTCAATGGCAATCCCAAAACAACCAAACAGAAAATGTAAGGAATGAGAAATCCACCACCTCCATACGTATAAACAAGATATGGAAAACGAATCAAATCTCCCAAACCAACACTCGAACCAATGGCTGCAAATAAAAAGCTAATAACTGATCCAAAATGTTGTCTCTTATCATCTTCCAATCCATTCGATCCATCATCCACAAATTTGAAACATTTCTCATTGGCAATACTTGCCAAATCCAAAGAACTCGTCTCTGAAACATTATCTGCATAATAATCCATACTAGAAGTGGCAGATAAACTTTCCTCTTCAGTTGTTGTACCTTCCTCTGATTCGAATGCTTGCTCTTCACTCTCAACTTTTGGACCCAAATCTGAATGTCTATGAATGTGATGAGAAATCTTTGGCTTGTGATTTGGTTTTCTATGGTGATGTCCATGATGACGATGATGAGAAAGTCCCCTTGTGGCATTAAGTTGTTGTTGCTGATGATGACCACGAAGATTATTACGAGAACTTCTTCGAGAGGAATCTCTCTTCACTTCTTCCATCATTCCAGCCTGATGTTCCCTCTCAACATCTTCCATCATGATTGTTTCCTCCAACTCTTCTGGATGATGATTATGAGTGCCTTGTTGTTCTTCTCCTTCTCCAATCATTCCTCTCTTATCAAAGGCTAGAGATGATAAAGTTGTTGGAGCAGCTCCTACTCCGTAATGATGAATGTGTTGGGAGTAGATGGATTTGAGTGCTGAATTATTTACAACTCCAATCCTGTTGCCAATCAATTGGCTATTATCCAAACTTCTTCTCATATTATTATTGTTAATTATATTTAAATTATTTAAAGTTTTGGAGGGTGGATCCTCTCCACTACTACTACTCATCGATTGTTGTTGTTGTTGAATGAGAAGTGTGGATGGAAGTTTGGGCGAAGAGGGTGAATTGTTATTTGTATTAGAAAATTGTTGCTGTTGTGATTGTAAAATTCTGGGTGATGACGATGACTGAGAAGAAACTCTCGGAGAAGATGTACCTGAATTATTGTTCATCATTTCCTTCTCAAAATTGCTGTGAAAATCTTCACAATGGTTTGTTTTCAATTTTTTGGTTGTTGTCCAACAACTGAAAATTTGGTCACAACTCTGAGATGAGAATTGGTTTTGGTTAGTACTTGATTCCACAAGAGTAACAATAAGAGAGTTCCTTACGAACAGTTGAGGGTAAGAGAGCAGATTGATAAGGAGATTGATCTGTATTCATCTTCTTCAATCTTGGATGATTCCTTGGTAATCCATTCCTTATTACGGACGAGGATTTCATCAGGATTCAATCTGGTAGCCTTGATTTGGGCAGTGTAGTGATTCAGATTTTTCATAATAAAGGGTATGTACAATTTAATAATGTGAGTAAAATCAATGTGTGTGAAAATTAATTCTTCTTATTGTCTTTAAGGTCTTGATTATTCTTTCCACTTCCAAAGAGTTTTGACCAAATGTTATCATGAAGAATCCACAATAAGGTTGAGGTGAATTTAAAATAGAGAGCTGCAATGTATGGAGGTTTCATTTTGGATAAATGTGTCACAATCATGACCAATGCAGGGAAAATAAATAGTGGAATAATGCATGCAGCAAATGAGAATCGTCCTGCATTTCTCAATGAAAGACCACCCACAGGGTTATAAGGTTCCAAAATTAAATTCAAATGATCTTGCCAAACCTTTGCAACACCATACTCTCTAGCTCCCTCTCTCAAAATATTCAAATATCTAGCACTTGGCAATGCATCAACAATATCCGGTTGAACTGCTTGCAATGCAATTGCATCAATAGTTTGTCCAAACCATGAAGCATCCTCAGATGCCTTTCTATACTTATCTACAAAACCATCATTCGGATAGAATGGTTCATAAATCTGAGCCTGAACAATAATTTCTCTATATCCCAAATCATCATGTCCATTTCCTCCCTCTGTTCTTCTAATATGATCCATTTGTTCTCTCGTAATTTTATGCACAACACCATGACAATAACCAATCGATCCAATAGCCTTCTCCGATTTTGAAATTGAAGCAAAAGCAGGTTCAAAGTAAGGAAGACCCTTCATATCAAATTGAAGGTCATATCCATTAACAATGCAAGGATAGGACTCGATTGGTTGTACCTGTCTTCTTCCAATAAGAACTTTAGATGCCATATTAGCACCAAAAGCAAAATACCAAACAATTTTATCTTTTGCCGATGATGATGAATCTGTTGCAGAGTTTGAAGCCATTTTTTTGATTGTTGTTTTTCAAAGAGAATGGATAATACAATCTTTAAGAGCAAGAGTAGAAATACTCCACCAAGTGTTGATGGACTTTTTAAAGTGCGCTTCTAAGAAATAATAAGCATGCTCGTTGAAACACGCAATAGAAACAAGCGGGCGTATTAAAGCAACTTGATTGAACCTCATTGAAAATATGACCGTTTCATGATTTTTAATATTTTTTTAATTAAAAAATTATATTGTGAATTTTATTGAAAAAAAATAACCCGATGTTTACAGGGAGCGCCTCATGAGTCTGTGAACTGTGCTCCTCTGCGATATCAAGTACTGCTTGCCATAGATGACGAAGAATATTACTCCCCAAAGAACAGTAATAATTTACTGGAGAAATGAACCAGCTAGAAGAACCATTCATGATCTATAAGGCTCCAGTAATCTGACTCAATGATCGTGAAGCCTCCTTTGCCCATTCATGATGCTTCCTTTTCTCTCCCTTGTTCCCTACTAGTAACATTTCCAAGCATTTCGGGCACATAATCATCATCATCTTCCTTGTGTCTATCATCAGTGATGATAATCATACGCAAATGTGCACTTACCAATTCTGAAAACACGCTCAAAAAATGAAAGAAGACACAACAGAACCCACCGCTGCTGGACGGTCATCATTAATTAATCAAACCATAGTTGGCTCGTGGAGAAGGTTGCTTTCAACAATGTCGTTGGGAGGGAACAATAAACAATCTACTACTACTACTACTACAACAACAATACCGAATGAGAGTAATAGTAACAATATGATTACTTCTCCACTTACAGTACAGGAAGATTCTGTGGAGCACTGCTCTGCAAGTGACTCATTGGCTTCTTCAGTGAGTACTTTTCCTACAGTATCCTCCTCCTCCTCGGTAGGAGGAATTGAAGGAACAATAATATCATCATCAGCTACTTTGAATAATAATAATAATCAACAAGGAGGGGGATCTGTTGGTGGTGTTACCACTAGTTCTGGTTTAGTAGATCATTCAGCCGCTGTTATTAGTAATAGTCAGCCATTTAATGTTCCATCATCATCATCAGAATACCATCACTTTAATAACAATGTTTTTAAAAGTAGTAGTTATTGTAATGAGAGCGTGGGATATCCATTACATGACCACTACGGCCCAGTTAATACTAATGCATCGTCGTCTGTGGAAGGAAACGTAAGGAAGAAACCAAATGCTATCATGATGAGGAGAAGAAGATCTCCAAAGAGAAAATCGAATGCCATGATGGATATATCAGATGATGAGGAACAAACATCACCACCAACAAATTCAACAACAACTGCCAGAAATCAACCAACAACTAGTCATTCACCACAGGGTCAACGTACCAACAATATGAGAACTAGATTGGAACCACTCTTTAGACCTAATATTGGCAATCATCAACCAGTACAACATCAACAACTTTTATCTACTTCACCAAATAGTCAACAACCATCAACCTCTCCAAAGAGTGACGAAGACACAATGATGAATGATCCAAGCAGTTACTTTTCGGATACAGAAATGTACGTCAAGAAGAAGGATGTTTTGGAATATTCAAAACCAATCCCAGCACACTTTTCTGGTGCTAACACTGCTGCAACTCCATTCCAAAAAGTATTTCAAAAATCAACAAATTTCAAACCAGCAACACCATGTCCATCACCGACAAATCAGACCGAGTTTCCATCATCACACAATTTTACTTCTTCAGGAAGAAGAAACAATGATATTCCAACAGCTTTTCATAATTTAGGGCTTGTTGGTAAATTGAAGGAGTTTTGTGCATCAATACCCTCATATTCAATGACATCACCAGTTATCTATTCACCTTTGGATTTATCTGCTAGTTTGGATTCTCTGGATACTGTCTACACATGTTGTGGTAATAATCTTCTTGGTCAATTGGGTTGTGGTGATAAGCAGAAAAAGACTCTTGCTTTTCAGAGAAAAGCCAAAGGTTCAGTCAAATTTATTGCAGGAGGAAATGGGTTCGTTCTCATAGCAACCGTTAATAATGAGCTGTACAGTTGTGGAGATAATTCATATGGTCAATGTGGAGTTGGTCCTATTACTAAAAAGCATTGCCCAAATTTTATGAAATCTGTTTGGGATAAGAAATTGGATATTAAGAAAATTGCTTGTGGTTATCATCACAGCATGATTTTGACAACCTGCGGAAAGGTATATAGTTGTGGAGCTGGATGTGCAGGTGCTCTAGGTAGGTTTTTTTAATTGATTATTTATCAATATGTTTCTTATACTAATTAATAGGGCTTGGAGATTTTTTAAATAGAAATACTTTCCAGAGAGTGAATATTATATTTTTTGGAGATGAAGTTGATAATATTGTATGTGGAATGCATTATTCAGCCATCATTTCAAAGAGTGGCAGACTGTTTGTCACTGGTGTAAATATTGCAGGCGAATTGGGTGTAGGAGATTATGTGAATAGAAATTTATTTACATATGTGAGTGAGATACCTCTCCAAGCTAACCCTCAAGTTGATTTGATTTCTTTCAGACCAGGATTTTCAATAATTTACACAAAATACAAACAGGCTCTTATTGCTGGAAGGACGTTGGGAAATAGATATGCCTATGTGAATGGTTTTCCTAACAATGTAAAAAAGATAATTTTCGAAGGTTTACACACTATTATACTGTGTGAAAATGGTATTCTATACAAGTGTAATGATGATGATGTAGAATTTGACTCCTTTCAAATGCCATTTTTCAATTTTAAACAGGTTCCAATACCCTCTCGAGTTGTTGAAATTTACAATGGTATTGGATATGCTGTTGCAGTTACGGAAGATAACAAATTCTATGCTATTGGGGATAAGTCTTGGATATTTGCTGTCTTGAATGGAAAAGATAAGACTGATGAACATCCAAATCTTGATGAGTTTACAAAGATTAGAGTTGATAATTTCCATAATTCGGTAGCATGTGGAGGAACTTTCACTTACTATTACACCAAATCAAATAAGATTGTGAATAATAATTCCCTAATTGATAGAATTCAACCACTCGATCCATACCAAGACATTGTCATCAAGTTTGATACCAATAAGAGAGTCAAAACATGGTCTTTAACAAGTGTAGTTTCTGATTATATATCAAATCAAAAGAAAAAGAGAAAAGTGGAAAGTAGTGATAGTGATAGTGATAGTGATAGAGGTGATTTGGAAGATCTTGAGGAATTTAGTAATTAGCATTACTGAGAAAATATACTACAAGTGTAAATATTTAAAGATTAAAATAAAAGAGATTTACTTGTATTGCTTCATGAACTTGTCGTGGAATTTGGCCAAAGTTTGGACAACACCTTCAATTTGTTCTTCGCTTGGTAAAATGGTAGTTCTAAAGTGATAAGTACCTGGCTTTTGTTGGAAACCAGAACCTGGAACGACACAGATACCAGTTTCTTCCAACAATTCCAAAACGTACATCAAATCTGGAGCAACACCCATTTCCTTAGCCTTTTGAATGGCCTTTTCTGGGAGAGTAATTTGTGGGAAAGCATACATGGCACCTTCAACTGGTTGGCAACTAACACCTTCCAAACTGTTCAACATCTTGACCAACTTTTCAGCTCTTCTCTTCAAGCTATTCAAAATATTGTCTCTTTCAGCAACATATTCTTGGTATGAGGCTTCACCTTGAGATGGTGGACGAACCATCAAATCAACCATAATTTGACCATCAGCATTTGGACAGAGATTGACACTACTAATCTTGTACAATTCTTCCTTAACAGCTGGATCAATAGCTTCACTCAATTGGAAGTAACCACCTCTTCTACCACATTCACCAATGAAACCCTTAGAAACACTGTGGAAACTGACCATTTCCAATTCCTTTTGAAGTCCCATTTCATAGGCAATCTTGTTGAATGAGTAGAATGGCTTCTTACCATTAGTGTAGTTATTTTCTTGATAAACTTCATCAGCCAACAAGACAACTCCCTTATTGACACAGAATTGAATAATTTGTTCCATATCCTTTCTTTCCAAAACTTGACCAGTTGGATTACCTGGGTTAATAATGACCAAAGCACGAACATTTTGACCATTCTTAATAGCTTGTTCATAAGCTCTTTCCAATTCTGGCATACCCAAACCCCATCCTTTTTCTTCTTCAAGATAGTATGGAACTTGAGAACCACCACACAAATCAATAGTGGCAGAGTAGAGTGGATATTGTGGAATTGGAATCATGATACCGTCCTTTTCATTTCTAATGAGCATCTTCAAGCACAATTGAACACCTGGAGAAGCACCATCAGTCAAGAAGATTCTATCAGTTTGAATGGTTCCCTTAGCAAGTCCATCTCTATTTTCAATGAATTCAACAACATCATCACGAACAAATTCGTAACCTTGAGAGTGAGTATAAGCACCAGTTGACTTGGCATCAATGTGGCTCATAATTCTTTGAGCTCTATCCAAAACATCAGCATTGAACAATTGAGACAATTGGCTTGACTTGGAAGAATCACCCATCAAGTGAGAAGCAGTCAACAATGAGAGAACATTACGATGGAAAGACAATGGCTTTTGCTTCAATTGTTGTGGATTACCAATGTTGCAGTAGACAATTCCTTGGAATGGGAATTTGGATGGATTTGTCTTTAATTCGTGTTCAATTTGATTAGCACGAATGACGACCTTACCACGGACAGCATAGGAAGTCTTCAAAATGTTTTGATTGATATTTGAGGTAGAGAGGGCTTTCTTAATACCTTGCATTTCTGTTTAATTTAACATTATTGTTAGTATTATGATGAATTGATTGCATATGTGAGAGTATCAAGTTCATGCAGTATTATCAAGTGCAATGCAATTTAAATACAATTAGTGTTCGGGATGAAATTTAAAGAATGAACAAGATGATTAATACATTCACTATTACACGAACAATCAGCTACATACCTATCGTATTTGCAGAATAATTCATATTTCAATCAATATATTAATAACCAATAACAACAATTTTTTTCAATCATAATTGTTAATCATCATCATCCGATATTAAATATTTAAAAGTATAAAAATAACATCATATCCATCGCACCATACATTTCAAAAACCATCGGATCATCAGTAAAATTAGACGATGCAAAGAAGCAGCGAAAATTGTTTATCGTACAAGATCGAAAAAAATTTATCATCATCAAACCATGAATAAAAAAATCGCAAAAAGATACAGTACCTTCTTTGGTGTATTTTTTTTAACGCTTTTCTTGTTTGTCCGCTGATTTGTTGGTGCAAATATTGGCTGTGAATCTGGCATGAAGATTACAAAAAGTTAAAGAGGCAAAGTCGGAAAGGAAAGGATCCGTTACAAGATGTGAAACTGTAGTGTCGGATTTTTTGGATTTGATTGGATGTAGAGTACCGTTCGAGTCAATTGAAACCGAGTTAGTGATCTATGTCAAATTTTAACAAATTGTAAAACAATGTGAAAATCAGCTTTTTAAATTGATTATTACTAAAATTTGTATTATTTTGTTATTTCTTATAATTATTTACATTAAAAGACACTTTTCGTCCTTTCCACCTGATTTTTTAACTTTTGCAAAAACTTGAGAGGCACAATCATTAAAGATTTCTTCCACATTCATTCTAGTCTTGGCACTTGCTTCATAGAATTGAATTCCTCCAAAACGTTGACATAGTTCAGTAGATTCCTCTTTTGTAACAGCTCTGTCACTTTCCAAATCTGATTTATTTGCAACCAGAATAATGGCAATGCTATTCTTGGCATTGGAATATTCAGATTCCTCAAGTCCTTTAGTTTGTAAAATGTGATCAATAAATTGGTAAGCTTCTTCAAAACTGGAACGATTTGTAATACTGTAAACAATTATGTATCCTTCTCCTTGTCTGATATACTATTTGTTTCGAATATGTAAGAATATGTAAAAAAACAGGGAAATTAATAAAAAACAATAAATTGAAAGAATTTTTCATGAAAATTACCTGATCTCTCAAAGTGTGAAATTCTCTATATTGTTGTTGTTATTGTTGTTGTGATTTAAATTATGAAAATTAAAGAAGAAAGGTCATGGTTTCATATCCGATAATATTGTCCAATTAGTTTCATCACATGATGATGAATTTAAAACTTACTCCTGACCAGCAGTATCCAAAATATCCAAAATTACTTCCTTTTTATCAATTATAGCATCTTTACGATAACTTTCATTATTCGAAACTTTATCCTTCCATTAAATTACTTACGAATCTTCCAAGGTTGGGTCATAATGTTCAACAAAAACATTTTGAATCTTTGCAAAATTAAATTATTTTCTAATTGATGAATGATAACTAACCAACTGAACAACATTCGTATAAATTATTATTCGAAACTTACTTGTACAATTAGAGCACTTTTCCCCACACCACCCGAACCGAAGACTACGATTTTAACTTCTTCCTTGCTTTTTTCCTTCTTCTTCTTTTCTGCCTTTTTGACAGGTGGCATTTTTTATTTGTTTTTGTTTGGCAAATTCACAGAAGGAAACTTGACTGTTGGATGCACCGACTTGTCAAACGATTGAATCACAATATCTTGTTGTATTAATTTCATTATCTTCTATTGAAAATCATACATTCGAACAATGTTTCCAATAATTTTGAGAAGATTGTTTACAATAAACAATTTATTCTTTTTTTTAGACTTGCTCCTTTGTTAAAACATTCAAATCATCAATTACTCGTTTTTCAAACTCCAATAGAGGCACAACTGCCAAATGTCGTTAGCAATCCTTTTTGTTCATGTCTCCATCATGAATTTACTTTTCCAATTCTAAATGAATCTTCTCCAAAACAGAATCATCTTTTCTTTATATAAACAAGAAATGGGCAATCTCGAAAGATAAAATCAAATAATTATTAAGTGCGAAGTTGCTGTCTCACAATAAACCATTCAAACTATTAAAAAAACAACAACTCACGAATTGCAAGATTTTCTTGTTACTCTAATCTGATTCTCTCTACCTGCCACCTTGCAAGGTACTAAAACACATCACTGACAGTTGGCAGTTTTCACGTTACTTATTCAAAGAGAGATCTCCAGTTACACAACTTGCTACTACTAACCAGATAGGTTCATCAAGACACATTGTGAAAGTAAGTGTTTTTCTTCATTTTGTTAAAGAAAAAAACCTCAAACTATTCTTCATCAAACTTGCACACAAATGAAAACTTCAATAAGAAAGGAAGCAAAATTTCCCGCCTCTTTCTTAACAAGTAGAAATCATCATCATCACCAACCCAAAGGAAAGGAAGAATTATCTTCAAGAAGCAAAAGACAACGAAGAATATCTGAGGGTAGTAATACTTATAATAATAATTGTATTCTTCAAATATCAACAGTATACAAGAAGAGTGAAGAACCTCCGCTCTTATTAACAAGCCTTTCGAGTGATCAATTACTTGCAGACAACGCAAAAAAGCCTGCAATTTCTTCATCATTAACAATTGAAAACAATTTGGAGGACAATATAATATCCAAATATAGTCATCAGGAAAATATTCAAGAAACCAGTAATAATCGTTCAACCCTTAATCATCAACAACCCATTGCAAGTTTGCATCATCATCAAGAAGAAGAAGATCATTTCCAATTTTCATCAGCCTTGCAAAATCTCTCTCTTCCACAACCTCCTTATCAACAATATCAATATAATATTAATAATAATATCAATAATAATATTGAAAATTCTCAACTATCAAATAGTGTATCATATTCAAATCAAGAAGAAGAATATCAACAACCAATACTTGTATTCACTTCAGCTTCACCTCCTGTAAATTTTCAATCTTTAGATCTGTATCATCAATATCAATATTATCATAATCAACAACAGAGATTAAGATCACAATCCTTACCACTTCCAAGACAGCAACATCGACAAGTAATTAAAACTTTTCAATTAACTTCAACTCTAGACGAAAGAAATATTCAACAATTTCAACAAGAACAAAAACTTCCAACCCAATTACTACTACCTTTGAAAATCATGTCCAATACTACTGATACCCATTCGAATCTTGAAGTTATTCAACAACATGACAATTCATCAGTTTCGGTGAGTCCACTGTCGCCAATGCCTCTACTTGCAGATAGTGGAAATCTAGATAATTATAAGGATCAATTTATAGCAATTATAAAAGAGGGCTCTTCTGAATTGTTAGATAGTGAGAAAGAATGCTTTGACATTCTTGGAACGTGCCCAAAATCTAATACGAAAGCTGCCTATTGGTATGGTAAATATGGTGGCCCATTCACATGGAAATATACTGGTGTGCCAATAGACGATTTAGATTTGGTGTGTAGAATGCACGACCAGAGATTACCATTGAAATTTGTAAAGAAACTTGTAAATCTTATTCGAAAGCATTATGGAGACAAACAGTTAAGCAAAGATGCCCTGAGCTACATTAAAAAGATAGATGGCATAGGCTTTAGAATAATAGAACCAATTTACATGACATTCTTTGGCTGTTTCTAACTTGAGCTCAATGTTTCGTCCTTGCATTATTCGAAACGAAACTATGAAACTTCCACAATAAATTCACAAGATCACTTGATAAAATATCTTTCATTTGCCACTAAATGGAACCTTCTTATCAAAAACAAAATATGTCTGTACAGACAACTAACATGTTTCCAAATTTATAATTACATCATCCGTTGTTGGGAACTGAAGTTTGAGCAATCTCCCTGCACGTAAAACTTTCATAAAAAAATTGAAAGAATCATCATCAACAATCTCTCACTTGTTATTGTGTCAAGTTTCGAATACACATTCTATACAACAATCTATTATTCGAAACAATAGTATTGTATCACATTGTGTTCATCCAACAAGAAACAAAATCACTCACCACTCTAAAAAAAAACCGCCAATTTCGAACTGTAAATTTCCGTATTTTTTTCTCTTGTTGGAAAAATAGATAACTTCATCATCGAGCGCGAAAAAGATTTTACAATCAATTTTGTTGTACTTTGAAAAAGCATCTTTATCATCATTATATATTTTGGATATTATATTGGATCGGGAAGAAGGCTAAGATTCTACCTCTTTCTCTCTGATCAATTTTTCATCTTCATATATTGAATTAATTTTTGCCTGAATGATTTTGTAATCCTCAATAATAATAATAATCAGAATTATGGAAAATCCAGAACATTTAACTATTAATCGAATTAATAATAATAATAATAGAGGCTCATTGATGATGATGAGGGTAAATTCATCCCCATTATCGCCCAATACTACTACTGGCTCAACAGCTTCAGCAACATCACCATCGACGACGTTGAACGATTCGAATTTATCTTTGGATGAACTTGATTCGTTAAGTAGTGCATCTTCGATGCATTCGAATACAATACTATTGAATCAATTTGTGGCAGCCGCTTCTAAAAAGACAAGAAAGAGTAGACCTACTAGTAATGACAGTATTGATGGGTTACCTCAAATTGGAATTACTAATGAATTTGGAAATGTAAAGAGAGTAGCAAGTCCTCAGGAGGATGAAGAAAGTTTTGTGATGAGTGATTCTTCAAAGAGTGGAATGACCAGTAATACATCGAGGTCTTCCTTCTCTTCAATGAATTCTTCATTCTTTGAGGAGTTGGAGGCACAATTTATGAATACATCGAGGTCAATACACTTGATTCATTTATTATTGCATCCAGTGACAAAGGAATTATTCAGACAATACTGTATCAAGACGAGGGTTTGCGAGCTCTTTGATTGCCTGGAGGAAATTAGATTGTATTATGTGGCAATCGATACATTTAAAACACAATCTCATAAGAGAAAGATTGAGGAAATGAAACATTTACTCAACACGAATCAAAATTCTCCCAAGATCAGTGCCTCCTCTGAGAATATGTCTGTTTCTTCTAGTACTGATTCTCTTAAAAGGAAGAATAGAATGTCATTATCAGCGAGTGGTACCAAACTCTTTTCAAACAAACGTCAATCAGTAGCTCTCCTCTTTAATAATAATAGTAATTTGATGGAATTATTGCAGGAGAAAATTCATCAGGATAAGAATATGGATGAGGAAATTTCATTTATGGGATTATTTTCACTTGGAACACAGGAAAAGGATCAAATTACAATAGAAGATATATCAAAAGAGGAGAGGGATTCCCTCAAGGAAAAGGCACAGAAAATATTCGACTCTTTTCTCTCTCCCAAATCAAATAGAGAAGTCAACATTGATAGCACACTCCGTTCTTCAATAGAGACCAACTTGAAAAATCTCGATTCAGACCACTCTCTGTTTGAGAAACTTTATGAGGAATTACGTCTATTAATTCTAAGACAACTCAAAACTGACGTGTTGTTCAGGTTTGAAAAATCATCAGATTGGACCACCTTCCTCTCTGATACTCATAATGTTTCAGTGGTGGAACAAGTTATGGATTATAGTAACTCTGTTTGGTCAGCCAATGCAGATTTTGGAGGATTTAAACGAATGACCAAGAGGGATTGTGTCAGAGATTATGTCAAAAAGGAAGACTTTTCATTCATGAAACATGTTTTATTTGCACCTCTTCCACATTGGAAAAATCTTACAAATACCAAAGCAACCAATTCTCCCTTCTCAACATCCTACTCGAAGGGAAAGTACTTCATTGATCAAGAATCAATTCGATTGAAATTTGGATGTCTCAAAGAAACAGCCACTCTTCCTTTCAGTGCTGAGGAAGTTTTTGCAGCCATTCACTCTAAACTCTTCCAATCCATCACAGATGACACTCTCAATGTCGATGACTCGATATTTTGTCTCAAGAGCTTCTCTCACCGTGTAGTAGAAGGTATTCTACCAACTGACATAAGCAAGTTTTCTTTCAATTTGCCAATTCCACTTTCAAATCAAAGAGGTTGTTATCAAGCTCACTCTACAATTTATGAACCAGAGTCGAAACGATATTATTATTTCAGCAAACCAATTCTATTCAATGAAAATTACTCTTTCGAAAAAGAGTCTGTACAGTGCTATTCATTCAATATGGTTTGTGTGGAAAAGGTTGATGACAGAAATTGTAAATACTACAGTGCTTTTATATCCAACTTTGGAGGAATTTTGAAACACTTCTCCACCAAGGTTTTTAAGAGAATTGCTTGGAAACGATCGAGTCAAACTCGAAAGTCTATGATAGAAAAGCTCACTGAAAATCGAGATAGTTTATACAATAATACTAGAGATGGCTACGACACTTGTCTGGATAATCTCAAGAGGTATCAATCATGCTCCAATATTTCACTAGATTTCCCAAAAACCTTTTCAGAGTTTCAAGAACGATTTTGCAAATACTATTAAAAATCCAACAATCTTCCAAAATCATGAATTCTTCTTACAAGCAGAGCCATCAAGGATCTTCCTCTCATGAACACAGATGTATCGTTTTGACAATTTGAAATGATGAGATATCTATTATCTGCCACAGTTGCCAAGAGTCTGAACTCTTCGTCTCCAACATTAAAAGTAGCTCTCCACACTGAATATTGATCGTAGCCCTTCTTTAGGAGCATTAAAACCATTTCCTTCTCTTCTGGAATTGTACATTCATGACCAAGAAGTGTTACTGTTGCAGGAGAATTTCCCTCGTGTGGTCTTAGATGTATTGTATTGAATAACTTGGTAAGATCTTCTTCGGAGGGTATTTGTTTCTCCTCTTCTGCATTTAATGGTTTTGGCCAATAGCCTAAAATTGCATGTTCCTTAGAATCGAATATGAGAGCTTGCTTAGCTCCACTAAAATCACCTGATTTGATCAAGTGATTCTTGAGGAAGATTGGATATCTTGAATGAGCTTTGGCATCATATTGGTCTACAGAAAATGACTTTTCCAAAGTTAATTTTACACTCACTGCCTCATTAGGATTAGAAACAAGTTTTGGATCACCATCTTCTGCTCTTCCCAAGAAAACATGAGGTCTCACATCATTTCCATCACCAATTCTAAATATCAAATCTTCAGTATTTGAGAGATTGATATCTTCTGAACAATTTTCAAAAGGCTTTGATCTCCTCACAATATAAACTTCCTCCTCTCCCTTAGCACAAACATAATCATGAACACAATCCAAAGTATGTCCTTGTTGCCCTGCAACAACCATAAAATCTTCCGATCGTATCTCCCTAAAGCAAACAGCTTCTCCATACCTAACACTTCTCAAGCCATCAGAAAGCAAGCCTCCAGGCAAGGTGATAGAAAAGCACAAACCCTTAAAGTTGATGGTATCATAACGTTCAAAGAAATACAACTGCTCGCCTCCCTTACCAAATACAAAATCATTTCCTAGGTTTGGTTCCTTACCGGGAGCTTCAAAGAATTTGAGATGGACACTTGAGCCAATTAAGAGTTCTTGTGGAGACATTTTTTTTAAAGTTTAATAAAGAAGTTTTCCCGCCAAAATCGTAAATCAACAAAATATTTAAAGAGATTTCTATCTGCCTAGTAATAATAAATTCTTGTAAAATCCCACTAAAATTGAATTTCAAACAATTAAACTCAATTTCCTCCTCGTTTATTACATGGTTTCATTAGTTTCGAAAAATCAATGTAAAGCCGTCATAGCTCAGTTGGATAGAGCACAGGACTTCTAATCCTGGGGTCGTGGGTTCGAGCCCCATTGTCGGTATCTGATTTTTGTGCATTTGTTTTTAAGTTTTCAAAATATCTTATTATTTTAATTTCTTTTTCATATGATTATTATTCAACTTCACTAATATTGAGTGGTTCTAGCCATTATTAGCCAATTTTTTCTTTTTTTTATGAAAGAAACAAGAAGCAGCATGGAAGCTAACAAAAGGATTCCTCTCCAGTTGGTTTCCAATATTAGTTCGCCCAACTGTTCTTCACCCATAAGACACCAAAGGTTACCTTTAATGAGTGTTCAATAATAAGGGCTTAGGTTCGTTCTCTTCTCATAAAAAGATGTTAAACAAATGCTTAGCCAAGCAGCTTTGAAAAAAACAATGCAACTCAATTACCTTTTGTTTGGAAAGCAAAGTGGTGTTGACTTGCATCCACTCAAAGTTGTTACCAGCGATGGTTTCATTCAGTTTAATTCTGCATCACTTTCTAATAACAATGCTCATCATTCGAATAGACTATTCTTCTCTTCACTCAACAAAACCAGAATAATAGTTTCAATTCTAATAGTTGTCATCCTCTTTATTCTTCTGAGACACTTCACCTCTCCAAAACATCAACAACATGCCATCTTTCTAGAGTTTGCCAAATTATTAACAAATCCTTCAAACTCAATTGACCAAACCAGAGAAGGAACCTACGCTTGGTACAGGTACCAGTTAGAAAAGAACAATAGATTGGGTAACACACTCTTCAAAGACCCAATCATGACAAGATTAGGTTTCCAGTCAACCTCCACAACAAGTAAAGAGTTGTTTCACTACTTTCGAACATTTAAAACCAAAGAAAAGTGTTCGAAACAACATACATGTAAAATTTATGCAGACAAGACAGCTGGTGAGTTCTTAGAAGAAGGTGTACCATTGGATGCTGTTCTTCATCATTGTTTCTATGGAGAACCTTTCTTTTTGAATTCACTATTGGATGAAGCATCAATTGTGAAGGAATTTCAACATGAAATTGTGGATTCGAATGGAAAATTGAAACGAAACGAAATGTTTACTCATGCGCAGGATATTCTATTACATTCCCATAGGATGGACGAAAGCCAAGGCGAGAAAATGTGGAGAGGAATGAGAAGATTGTCACTTCTCATGTGCAGTGAAGCTGTCGTTGTGAATCAACTTGAAAAATTATCACAAAATCCAAATTCACTCCTTCCTCAAATGTCAATGGAAAAATTTGCCCAGTCAACTGCAGATATCTCAATTTGTTTTCTTTCTACATGCTCTGTTTGGGTTAATTATCAATATAATTACATGTCTCTTTCAAATTCTGATAAATTTGGTACGAAACCCTTCTCCAAAAATAAGGGAATTTGCTCCTTCATTTCCAATTGTGATAGAGGAGGAACAGAACTCAAACAACGTTATGAACTATTGCAATATCTTTCCAAGTACATTCCAGTGAAACAATTTGGCAAATGTGGCAAGAATTCACAAGAAGGAAAAGGCGGGAAACCTTTCGAATTGGAAAATAATTGTCGATTCTATTATGCAGCTGAGAATTCCATTACAAAAGATTATGTCACTGAGAAATTCTTTGAAGGAATCAAAGCACTGGAAAATGGAGCTAGAATGATCATGTTGTATCGTGGGGCTCCAAATTTGAGAATTGATTTCGGATTTCCAAAGAGTTTGTTTATTGACCAATCGGATTTCCAATCTGTTGATGAATTGGGAAGATTTTTGAAGAAACTAAATGAAGATGATCAAGCATTTGAGGAATATTTCAATAGAATGATTATTCAGGAAAGAAGCAAAGTCGATAGTGCACTTGCTGGTTTCGAATATCGTTTAGGTTCGAATATTCCATGTAGAATTTGTAAGATAATAGGACAAATGAAATTGGCAAGATATCTATTATTCAAAATTGGATTCCAATCAACAAATAGACCAAAAATTAATTTGAAAGAATGGAATAATTTCAAATATCAAAGATTTTCATCTTTTTCAGCCGAACGATTGAAAATTCTTGATGAAATTTATTATTATGGATACGAAATCTTTCATAAGGAGAATAACAATCAGAATGAGTTTGGTCGTGGTTGGAACTTTGATAATTAAAGTTTAGTATTAACTATTTCACAAACGAAAGCTCAATAATATTAATTCAGATTACGTTTGCTTTCGAAATTTGTGTTACACTTTCTAATCTTGTCAATGTTTGAAAATCAACTCGTCCCTCTCTTTCTCTCCACTCCTCCAATACTATTCGAATCTTTTCATTCGACTGCCTCAATCGCTCTAAAACATCCTTCAAAGTGAGAAGAGTTTGAATTTGAACCTCCTCAAACAATTCATCAGATAATTCATCATCACACATGGCACTATTAATTTTCAGCAAGATATCCTCCCTAATTGCATTCATATTTGGTAAATTCAATTCGTACACTCCTCCAGGTGTCAAGTAACAATTGATTATTTCCAGAGCCACTAATTTCCTCTTCTTAAAGTTATTGGCCTGTTTAAACTTGGAAATGTCCTTGTATACGAGAACTCCTTCAGGACAGAATGATCTCCTCGAATATTCCAATAACATTTCACAAGTTTCATTCTTATTGAGAATGAACTCCAATTCATTACTAAATATTTCAACTTTTCTCAAATCTTTTGCAATGGCATACAGAACTGGTAAGGTCACCGTTATGAAAATCTCAATCGTACAATACGAAACCATAACCAATCCTGATGGAAACACATGATCAATCATTTTGAAGAAATCCATAGCCAAACACGTATAAATAATAGCTGCACTAATTTGAAGAACCATTGTAACAATAGTCTCCACTTTGATATAGTAGGTATCCTTTTCAGTTTTCAACAACCAAAAGAACGCAAACAGTTCAATTGCTATGTAAATCACATATAGAATGAGGATGGTTATGGTGGTTGGAAATAATGTGTAACAACCTCTTAGGGAGATCATGGCAGCTTCTTGCATGATAAATCTTGCATTTGAAAAGAAAGATTCCTCAATCACTGCAAAAACAAACCAAATCAAAGTTTGAATTCCGTAAATGGTAATAAATATAAAAATTGACCACTTTTTTGAATGTACTATATAATGTGCCTTTCTAAGTAAGAGTTCTCTCTTGTCAATATTATTGTGTAAATCCAAATATTGTTTAAATTCCTTCAGTTTCTGTTGAGGTACTGAGATTAGTCCAGTTGGACTTGTAGGTGAACTTGTGAGCGAAGATGGACTAGTTGGAGATCGTGATAGACTTTCCACCGAAGGTATACTATTCAATTCTTCATTATTCCTATTCGATTCCTTACAATTTTCATCCAGTTCATTTTTTCTCAATTCATTTTCCTTAAAATTTTGAGCTTTAAACCAATTTACTCTCCACTGTGTATAAACTCTCACATTTCTCAAAGTATTTGGTACTGTATAACTTGCTGGCATTACAAAAAACATTAAACTATAAACTAAACATGGAAACAAATCTCTGCCAATCATGTATCTCAACGAATAAACACTCACTATTGAAATACTCGATGCAATTGTGAAATACATGCCTGCTGTTGATCGTGCAATGATGTGAGTCGAATTTCTCTTCCATATGAACCCAAAAATTGAAAGAGTCACTAAGCAAATGTAAAATACGAAAGCAAACCCTGCAAGAATGGGAACCGAAATGGCATCCGGGCATTGGTTAGGAATGTTTCGTTGTCGAGGGACAAGAGTAAGGGAAAGTAACCATGATTCGCATTCTGTAGCATTGCTGTTGTTTATAATTGTATTATTGGTTTGTTGCCTTGTAGAATTGATTTCGTATATTGTTTCTAATAATTTGCTTGCATGTTGATTCATCATTCAAGAGATGTTGTCGTATTTTATTTTAAACTTATGATATCATTGATAGTATATCTCTAAGCTTCCAATAAAAAAGGAGTCTGATTTACTCCATCAAGAAACACATCAATTCACGTAATGAGTTTTTGACGTTTTTATCTCTTATTCGAAACATTGAAAAAAATGTTTCCACATTCACCCTCAAAAACAGTCATGGCCATGATTCAAGGGGGTGATTTAAAGCCAAAGAGTCCTCCTCCATCAACGTTAAGAGGTTTAGTTTCTAATAATTTTGAAAATGAAGTTCAGGAGGTCACTGCAAAATTCATTCAATCTTTGCAAGTTATTCGAAATGAAACTATTGAGCAAGCTAAACAGCAAATTGAAGTGGAGAGACAAGAATTGGAAATGGAAAAGAAAGAATGGGAAATGGAAAAGGAAAGATTATTGAAAATGAATCCAATTCAAGATGAAATTGTTTATTTAGATGTTGGCGGGAAATTGTTTACAACAAGTATTCAAACTTTAAAGAATTGTTATCCAATTCTGGATTGGAAAGTGAATTGAAAGGTAATTTCTTTACCAGTATGTTTTATGGAAGGTTTTCCTTATCAAAAACGAATGAGGGAAGAATTTTCATTGATAGAGATGGTCAACTCTTTGAATATATTATGGAATACTTGAGGAATGGTGAAATTCTATTGGATGATAACTTGCCAGAGCATCAAATATTGAAAAAGAAGATTCTGAGAGAGGCTATGTTTTATAGAATGGAAGATTTGATTATTTATCTGAGTGGAGATTCATCACAGCTTGATTCGAATAACTTGAAAATTGTGGAAGTGAACCAAAAATTTAAGTATGTGAGTGATTTTGATGAGAATGGGTTGTTTTATTGGATTGGAAAGAAGCATTCTCAAAGAACAAAGAAAGATTCTTGGTCAAATCCGTATGAAGGTAAGTGTGAAAATTAACAATTTGTAAAAACTTCAAATTCTTCTTGCAGCTGGATTGGTAAATATCATAACAGATGCCAATTATTACTGTGTGCCAATTCGGGGTGATTTAAATTCCAATAATTTGGCCTATATATTTGAAAGACAAAGTGTCAAATTCAACCATTGCCTCAGCAATTGGTTCTTCATTTGTAATTGACTTGAAAACATTTGAATTTCAGCTTGAAAGAGTGACCCTATCATGTAATTATATGCCAGCTCACTGGTTTAGAGAGATTACAATAGGAGGATCAAACGATGGTGTAGTTTGGAAGTATGCTCGATTGAGGAGAGTTTCGTCCACCTTATTAGATTCCTCTACTTTAGATTCTCAACCAATTAAGAACTGGATCATCGAACCAAGTTCAAATACGGAGTCAGCCTTCAGTTACAGATATTTCAACATTCGTTCATTGTCTCAATCACAAACACTCCTCTCCTCCATTGAATTTTATGGAAAGATTACTACAGTATTACAGTAACTACGCCTCCAACTAACTTCCAACTTACTTCCATTACAATAAAAATCCAAGTATTAACAATGTCATCAACAGCCCTTCACAAAACCACCCCCAAAATACATCCTCTCTATATTATCGAACTTTCCATTTGATTTCCTCAACAATTCACTTCACACAAAGCCTCCTCTCAACTCGATGTCAAATCCAATAAATATCCACCAACAAAAACCTCAATTTCAAAAAATATCCGATTAAAAAAAAATGTTGTACGGTATTGGCACCTCACCTTCATACGGCACAACCTCCTCACAATATCAAGTCAGTTTTGACTCGATGAGTGAGAAGTTTAATGAAAACTTCCCGATCATTTTGCAACAACGTATTCATCCGCAAAATTTCTCTGAAACGATGAATCATTGTTCAAAGATTATGAAGGAACAAATGGCAAATATTCAAACCTCTAGATGGATGGGATTGTTGGTCTTTTTTGTTGTTTTCTTCTGTACTCTTGCATTGACTGGTATTCCATTGTTGGTTTATTTCTTGGCCTATGCTAATAATGATAATAGTGATCCGACTGGTGGTATTGTAAGTTGATTATTTGTTGATCTGATGATGAAATTAATTGAATTTAATATTGACTTTAATATTGAAATAATGATGATGATGATTGTAATTTGATGAAATATAATATATTGTGGAAATTAGTGGGTATGGATTCTCTTCCCACTCTTGTATGTCTTTTTTATTATTGTCCTCATTATGTGGTCAGTTAGAAGAAGACGTCAAATCATCAATTCACATGCTCAATGTAAAACTGCTCTTACTAATTATTTGGAACATGAAAATCAAACAATTTATAATAGAGCTGGAGTTCAATTAGTATTGAGATATGATACCAGAATTATTATGACAAATCGTTATACTATTGCTTTGACTTACAAGTATTTGATGGTATTGCCTTGTATTGATGTTTATATTGCTGGAAACACACCTGTTGTTGTTAATCAAATTCAACCTGTTATCCAACAACCTATTGTCCAACAACCAATTATCACTCAACCAGTTACTTATGATCCAAATGCTTATGGTGGTTATCAACAAGCTACTACTGTTTACTCTCAACCAACTCATCAATATGAAAAGGTTGACAATCCTAACCAACCATTATTGTAAATTATTAATAATACATTTTTATTATTGATTTACAATTTTAGTAATTTTCCTTAAATATATGAAACCCAGATCTACGTAGATTCAACAGTATTGAAAAGGTGAAATTTCATTGTTAGAAAAATGTTTGGAAATGAAACCGTTTCGAGTATGGAGGACATGAATGGCAGCTCAACCAACAAACCAACAGTCGCACAAGCATCATCATCAACTGATAAGAAGTTTTCAATTATTGTAACGAATGAGGAATCAAAAACCTCAACAGATGTGAATCTAATGGTGGATCCGCCACTTTATGAAATTGCAAATGAGAATAACCATCTACATACTACCAATATTGTCAACTCGAGAAGACCCTCTAATAACAGCACTACCTCATCAATGATACATCCCATTCATGCCAAACCACATCCAATCTATGGCAGAAGGGATACCATCTTTACCTTTGATGAGGTAATCACTCATTTGCCAGAAGGAACTAATCAAACTAATCAGCAGCAGCAACTGCCAAGCATTGAAGTGAATGAAAAGCAAAATCCCACACCAGGCAGCAACAATAGTGGGAATTTATTATTTGGATATTGTGGGAGAGGAGTGAGGATTAGTCATGTACTATTAATTCTGTTCATCATTCAAGGATTGGTTGGATTGGTTCCATCCCTCATTCTCATGTACACGAGTGGAAATAGTATTTTGGAAAGAGTTTCTAAATTCCAGGCACAACAAACTCAAACCTATGTGAATTTTGAGATTAGTCGAATTGTTAATACTTCACAATTAGTCATTCAACATATCAGATTTGAGTTGGAGAATGGATTTACACTTTCAAACCTCACAGAAATGACTTTATTTGCAACTTATTTGAGGAATCTTTATGTGAATAGATCTCCACTCACGGCTGTTCAATTTGGCATGTTTATGGATAATTATGTTGGTACATTAGATATTCCTCCAATTTATCCACCAGTAATTGAATATTTGAATGGGACTGGAGATTTATTGTATCACTATAGATTAGAAGAAGATAGCATCGAAAATCCCTTGCAAGATCGATACCTTTACAATGTTGAACCTTTCAGATTCAAACCATCCCATAGACCTTGGTATGTGCCATTTACTCTCCCAAATGCAACAGAAAGAAGATGGTCAGAAATTTATGTTTCCACATTTGGACAGCTCTCTATCAATACTGCAATGCCTGTCTTTGTAAAGGAGAATATTACAGCTGCAGTATTGTCAGGGAAACCAATTGATCAGTTTAATTTTCAAATATGTGATTGTAACCACCCTGATCACTTGTATGGAGTATTTGGAGCTCTGTTCGCACTCAAAGGACTCAATTCATTCCTCAATGACACTTCAAGACCTTACAGCTTTATTAGTTACAGTTTTATTATGCAAAGAAATGGATCTGTCATTGCATCGAGTAGACATAACACGACCACATCCAGTAGCATTCTAGAAGAAGAGGAAGAGATTGATCAAGTTGCAGCCTATATTATCAATCTAGGTCTATTCAAAAATAGTACAATTCCAGGTGAATGCACTTTCAAATTTAGAGGAAAGAATGTAGCCATAACACCAGTCTATGATAATTATGGACTTTCTTGGGCTATTGTCATTGGATCTAAGGATGCAGATATTTTAAAAGAGCTACTATCGAGTGGAATGACTTCAGTTGTGGTTTTTATTGTCATTTTAGTTGCAGGATCCTTAGCATTATTTGTGACTGTACAGTTGTTTGCTCAGCCATTAAATAACGTGCACAGAAAGCTTTCTAAAATTTTGAGTGACAAGAATCTATCAAAGGATTTGTCAAATCCAAAAATTACAACTGCTGGACTGATTTTCTTTGATATTGGAGAAATGGAAAATGGAATTAATTCGCTCAAGAGAGGAGTTTCAGCATTTTCTAAATTTATTTCACCAACAATAATGAAAAAAGTTATTAGAAATGAACATTATTTGGATGTTGGAATGATAATTCAAAACATGTCAATTTTGGTTTTAAGTATTAGTAATTTCTCTCAATTAGCAGAACAAACTGATATTTCTACATTTGTTTCATTAATGACTGATTATTTTGGAAGTTTGACAAAGGTGATGGAAGATCATCGTGGATTAATTGACATGATTACAGGCGAAAGATTGCAAGTAGTGTGGAATGACTCATCCATGCCTGTTGAAGAACATGAAGTGAGAGCATGTAAAGCTGCAATGGAAGCTATAGAAGTTGTTGAAGAATTGAATAACACCTGGATAAAGGAGAAACATTTGGAGATGGATTTTTCAGTGTGTATGAGTATTTCGAGTGGAAATATGATGTATGGTAGCATTGGAAGTGAGCATCGATTGAATTTCACAGCCATGGGAGATGATGTCAATATAGCAGTAAAGTTGGCAAATCTCAATCCACATTATGAGGCCGATATTCTCATTACTGAAAATACCTATCAACATGTAAAGAATGAATTTGTTTGTTACTTTGTGGACTATATAATATTGAATGGAAAGGAAAGTCCAACCATGATCTACAGTTTGGAATGTGAAAGAAGTGTTGCTAGTGACCTTCAGGTAAAAGTAGCAACAGATTTGGAATTGGCACGTAACTATTGGTTCCAAAACAATTATAGAGCCATGTACGATATTTGTGAAAGATTGAGTCTCATTTCTCATTCAAAAATAATTAATAATTTATTGTTAAAAGCAAAAAGAAAAATTACACATAATTAAACCTTATTAGATTTGGAAAGTAGTGTTTGATTTTCATGAGATTCTTCCTCAGAACCATACGATAACTCAGAGTCATCTGTGTGATGGTTATTGTTACTGGTACTGTATTGAGAAGATACAGGACGACGAGCCATTTGAATATCCATCTTTCCAATTCTATTTCTTTCTTGTTCAAATTTCTTCTCAGCACGATATGCATTCACATTATCAACAATGGCCTTGATGAGCAGGGAAATCAACATGATAGCAATAATGGGTCCAAACATTGTAACCATAGCAACTGGAACATTAGGATTATGAATGGTTGTCTTGCAATATTGGAAAATCATATTGGTTGCAGTGAATCCAGGAGTAAATGTTTGCATACTTTTCAGTTCAGCACCATTCTTGAATAGAATTGTTGTTTCAGGACCTTCGGAACTTGATTTAGCTGATCCACCTCCAAAAGTTTTGACATTTGAAAGTAAACTTGTTGGATAAATGACTGAAACTGAAATGTCCTTAATTACTTGAGCAGGATCATTGCCTACAGACCATAGGAATTTTGTTGAATTTTTAAACGAGAAGAAAGGTCCTCTAATCGAATATTTGTATTCGATTGTAAAAATTTGCATAGTATCAACTTGTTTTGAAAAATCTATCTGAATGTAGTGATTCTTGCTGTTTGTTGTCGATTTATACACGTCAACATCAACTATTTTGTTACTTGTTGTTGAGACTATTATTGCCGAAACTTGTTCCACATTATTTCCAAATGGCATACCCACAGGCAGATTTCTAGTAATTGTCTTGGTTTTACTATCAAAAATATAAGAAACTCTTTCTGTTACTTTCGCAACACACAACAAATCACTATTCAATTTAATTTCGGATTCAAATTTTGTTATTGAATAATCTTGTTGTGTAGAATCTTGTACGAAAAGTAAAATAATTACTAGTATAATACAAAGAGAGAGAAAACCTCTTGTTCTTCCAATGATCCGATCATCATATTTTGAAAAATGTCGTCCCCTGATGATGATTGTAGACATTTTTTTAAAATGATGAAATTTCAGTGACTTGTCCTGACATGATTTTTGGAGGTAATTTGATGAAAAACTCTCAAATCACTCCTCATTAGTCAGTTGGTAATTTTGGCTACAATGCGAATATCAAATTTAATTCATCATGTTTTTATTAATATTAAACTGAATTGTAGTGTAAAGTGTTGTTTTTGTTGGATGGTGCTACAATAATAATCAAATATTTTCATCATCAAATGATTATTATTATTTTAATTAAAAAATTAAATATTTTAATCATCGGGATGAAATAATCAATCAAACGATAAATTGATCAAACCTCATATCCGTGAAAGACAAATCAAGTCCAAATAAGAACAATGGATATGCGTTCTTCACAGCTTCAACCTTTGAAAAAAACAAGACGATTTGCTTGCTGAAAATCTTCTTTGCTCACGGAATCTTTAATTTATTATTTATTATGGCATCACATTGGCAACAATATATTGAAAGGTAAGGAATATTTGAATTCTATGATGATGGATGAATATTGTAAAATTATTACAAAATATTTAATATAATATTATAGTAATATTGTAAAATCTAGGTTTTTTACTCATGGAGCAATACACGGACTGAATGGAGCTAAATGGGCACAATCAGATGGATTGGAAATTACTAAAAAACAAGTGAAGGAATTGTTAAAGATTTTACAAGATGAAAAGTTGTCATCACCACGATTGATTAATAGTTTGGTTTCGAATTCACAAGCACTTACTAATGTATCAGAGAAATCTTCCATCTTTTCAAATTCAGGTGATTTATCATTAGTGGTGGAAAATGATGAATTGAAACGAAAATTATCAAATCTGTCACAGATCAGTACATCACTGGGTAATGTGGGATTGGAAATTAATTTCAATGGAAATCAAATGTTTAGAGTTGTAAATGTTGACAAGTATTGTGCCTTATTAGCTTGTTGGAATTTTGGAGATTCGGATAATGCTTCGTCAATTCCATTTTGTAAAGTATTTAATGTAGAAAAGGGAGAGTTCTTAATACCTCCAACTCATGTATTTTATTGTGTAACCACTAGTATGTGTATTCTGATAGGTTTGGTGAATAATTCATGTGTATTACCAGAAGATCATCATAATAATCAAGCCATAGAATTGACAAATTTTGATGTGGCTATGAAAACATTGGACAAGTTTGCAGATTACTTATTGGAATCTGGGTACTAAAACAATTTGGTACACTACTAGGAAACTAATTTATTAAAACGACAATTATTTGTTGTAGTTTGATGCAAGATCACATTAGGTTTTTTAGCAATTACAATAATTACAATGTATTGTGTCCAAGAATTCTAATGGACAACCACGGTTGATTTTTACTAACACTTAAAGATCTAGATTACTCCCTCTGTCCAGAGCTGCCTGCATAGCACATTCACTGTCAGTTTTCAATTGTTGATGGTATTTATTGTTCGAATATGGCAGGGCATTCAAAAATTGTAATTTGACGATTCGAAGGGTCCTTTAGAAAGTCTTATCCATCAAGAAAAAAACGAGAAAAGATCTGTCACAAGGTTTTGCTTATCAACCATATCACAAGCAGTACAGTCGAAATTTTCACAACTGTAGGTTGGCCAACCATGATTTTTTGTTGTTAATAATATTTGATGGTTTCTTTCGGATATAATTTGACAATGTGGATATTGACAATCTCTCTTCATGGATTAACAGTTGGAAATGATGAGAACACCATCATCTCCACCGACCAACAGCAACTCACCACAACAAGCTAGTATTCTTCTCAACAACAATATTTCTACAAATGTTTCCTCTTCGAATAAGAAAGTTACTATTTCATCATCAGCAGAGCCAATAGCAATGAACCAATCACAAGTTAATCTTGCCAATCCGAGTGAAAGTGGCAAGTCAGGAAGTTCGTTTAGTCAAAGTAAGATTACATTTCGTACATGTTGTGGTGTAATTGAGCTGACTTCTATGAAGTTGGCTTGTTTATTTGGAATGTTAGTCACTGTTATTGGATTATTAGTTTTGGCTGGTGTTGCAGTTGCAGCCTTTATTACTGCAACTTCCAAGTCGACTGAAATTTTAATTTCTGTTGGCAGAGTTACTTCACAATTCGAAGGTGCTAATGCCATAATTGTCAGATATGTTTTCGCAGGAACAGCTGAAACATATTCAACAACTTTGGCTACTTATAAGAAATCCTATCTTGCTCTTCAACAAAATTTGACAAACATTCTGGCAAATCTTAATGATCCTCAAATAGAGACAATTTTCAATTCCACAGCCATAACTGCTGTAAATAATGTGGATTCCCTAAACACTATGATGATGTATATGGCTGGTGGAGTAACTAACACTCAGCGATCTGATGCAATTGAAAAACTCAATAGTGAAGTTTACAAAAATTATTTTACTACTTTCCGTTCAGGTTTGGATGAATTAGTGACCTATGTGCAAGAAAAGGAACAGGTAAAAGATCAGAATATTTTGGCAATCACATTGGTGCAGCTCATTATTATTGTACTTTCATTATTTGTCATTTTGCCTATCATTATATTTGTGTTTACATATGCCATTAATCGTGACTCGTTATATTTGGAAAAGATTCGTCGTGCTAATGCAGTCATGTTGATGGATACAATTGAGGATGAAGGTTTGAGAGCTCTTTTCAAGGTTCATTGTGAAAAGGAAAAGTCGAGTGAAAATTTCCTACTCCTTGAAAAGATTCAATATTATCGTTCTTTGTGTGAACGTTCTATAGATTTACAAATGAGATTATTTGGTCAGGATGCCGCTATAAGTGATGCTCTGAGTGATATTTCGGCAGATTCATCTCACTCCTCAAAGAAAAAGAAGGAATCTCCATTAGAAAGAGAATATAACGAATTGGAGGCAAAGAAGTATGAAGTTGCTTTTGAAATATTTACTGAATTTTTGGAAGTAACTGGTGATATGGCTGTCAATGTTTCAAAGGTTCTTACAGATTTTGTGAAGGATAAACTTGACAAGTTCAATGACAAACAAATTGATACCCTGCCAGAGGACATGTTTGATATTTTAGGAAAAGAAACATGTCTTGTCATGATGGATACTCACCATAGATTCAAACAATCTCTTGCATTCCAACGTGAAATGAAGATTGACAAGATAAAGGTAGACCAGATAAAAAAGAAAAGGAATATAGAATTTTAAAGAAATTATTAGTTGTACAAATTTAGAGCTAGGAGTTTTGATAAATCAATTGACCATAATTAATTAATTCTAGTTTCATTATGAAGTTCTCTCAGTGCATCCCACCAATTTGTAAATGGTGTATCCATCTTGTCAGCATTGAATTGAGGAATATTATCCTTGATTATTTTTTGCATATGATTAAACATGATTTGATTTCCAAGAGGAGACATGTGAAGCCCATCACTGAAAGGATGTCCAGTTGTCCACTCATGCATATCAGTCCACAAATCACACAAGTATACATTTCCTCTTTGGTCATTATTATTTCCACTTGTAACAATTTCTCTAACAGCTTGAGCATACATGGCAGTGTGCTTGTTATCTCTGAAACCTCCTTGAGGTCCAGAAGTTTGATTCCATTGAGTTGCATTCATTGGTGGTGGAGTGGTGAGAATAATGTCAATTCTTGATGACACCATTTTCTTCTTCATAATTGAAATCATTTCCTTAATATTCTCAGTGTATCTCTCCACAGGAACGTGTTGTTGTGTTGGAGAGTCTGCGAAACAAGCATCATTAGCTCCCATAGTAAAGATGACCAAAACTGGTTGATTCCAACTCTGGGTTGGTTGTAAAAATGTCTGTTCAAAATCATTCTCCATAATATTCACCAAAAGGTCAGTATTCCATCCAGAAAATCCACGATTAATAATATCTACCATATTAATATACCATCCCAAGAATAAATGTTGAAAACCGTTCGGTAATGATGAAAATTGAGTAATCGAATCACCAACAATATACAACATTGGACGATCCCTAACAAAATGATAATCCTTTGATGTTACTATTGTTGATGGTTTGACCTTTCCGATGTGAATCGCACCAATGCATGGTTGAAAATTCATCATCATGATGATCATCAACAGTGCTGTTATTACTAACATAAAACTCTTCAGTTGTTGCATTTTTTTTGTCGTATTGTAATTTTGTAAAAAAAAAACCTTTTGGCTTAATGGAGAAAATTCGGGGAATTCATTGTTGCAAATAATTCCTTATTAATATTTGGAGGTTAATTTAATAACAAAAAAATGGCGAAAAGTCAAGTCAGGAGTACATCATGCCTCTGTTGATTCTTGGTGTAATTTCACATCTATTAACTCCAAGAATTTCACCACATCATCTCATCATGATTTAAATAATAGTATTAATAGTAATTTTTGGAATTCAATCCTTCAATCATGATTTGAAATAATGTTATTTTTTGGAAAAATTCAAGTTGGTACATCATCATAGGAACAACCAACCATCATCATTGTTATTTATCATACACCATTATAATAGCAATATTTGTGGAAATAAATCTGATAATAGTAATATTTTAGTGAAATTTAATATTTTCACTAAAATCATCACAGCCAATCTTCTTAAACATTAAACTTTTGTCCATTCCATAAACATTCGGAATGAATTCAACATCTTTTCCCTTAAAACCAGCTAATTTTACAATCTTCATTAAGGAACCTTAAAAAAAATGAGATTCGTCAGAGAGCGTCTTGAAGTCGTTACCTGTTACATTCCTTTCAATGGTGAGGCGGTTGGTGATAACACTTCTCAAAGTTTACAGAAGACTCCTGGTAAGAACCATTATCCATCCAATGCTTGCTTTAACGTTTTTTGGTATCAACAACCAACATGGACACCACCTTTCTGCAAGTATCTAATAGAATATTATGATACTCTCAAATCATTACCAAGTGCTTCGGAAGGTGCTAGTGCTGTTGTTAGATTAAGTTCCACGAGGCAAACTGGTAACAACTCTTTTGTTCGAAGTTCAGGCTCTGGATTTTACCTTCTTCCCAACACAATTATTACAACTAGTCATGTTGAAGCTGAACTTGAGAGAATTGGTGGTAAAATAACTGCATTCAGCAATGCATGGAACAATAGCAATTCAACAATTTTGCCTACCAGGATCAGAACCTTGCATTCTGGGAAAACTATCAAAGATTCCCAATTGGGTAATTTATTTCCGGTCACTTATAGTTGGGTTGGAAGAGATCCTATCACTACCAAAGTAGGAGACTTTGATTACTTTGATGTCACCGCAATGGACTTTACTACTGGTTCTCTTGGTAATAAGGTTTTTTTCATTCCTTCTCCAAGAATTTTGCAACCTAATGATGAAATTATTTCTCTTTCTTATCCAGGAGACAAGCATCAACAACCTCCTTATTCTAGTAGCCTTACTTATGTTGATTGGGCTCCAAGTGAATCCTTTTTGAAGGACAATATCTTTAATGGCTACGGAAAGTTATGTGCAAGTGTTGGGACGATTATGCACCCATACAAATTGTCAGAAAATGGATTTGTAGAAAAAGATGAAAACTTTCGTTACGATTCGTCTAATCAAGAATGTTTGGCAAGCTCTGAATGCTTAATATATGGAAGTTCTGGTGGTGTTATGATTTCAAAATTCTCACAAGTGTATCAAATTGGAGAGTATACATTAGTTGAGTTTAATGCTATCCACACTGGTGGAGAGTTTGTTCGATGTTCAGATTGTTTGAAAGAAAGTTCATCTGCTTACATAATTTCTCCACCAGATTCTTGGAGATTGTGTGGAACTTGTGTTAATAATGTAAACATTTCTTTCAATAATGCAATTACATACTCTACAAGTATTTCAGTTCATTCAAAGCCATTTGTTGAATTTTATTCAAGTGTTATTCTTCCACAACTTTGTAAACTTCCACTCACAACAATTCCTGATTCACTTATTGAATACTGTCAAATGCATCAAATTAATATCAAATAAATAAACATATTTTAAAGCTCTCAAAGACAATTCCGAACAATACTTTAGGATCCACATAGCATTGTTTCTTGTGGCAATACAAACAGAGAGGAATCATTTTTTAATTAATAATTCGAAATGTTTAGTTTATAATTGTTAAAAGTGGAATCTAAGAATAAACTACATTTTGGAAAGGTCTCTTTCGAATACTCTTTCGCATAACATTCTTCCATTAAATCTGCTCACTCTATTAGTTTGATAGGTGAGATAATTTCTCGAATCTCTCAATTCGAAACCATTATTTCCCAACAATTCCCACAAGGCATGAGTACTATCAGTCATGGCATAAGGAACTGCATACGAATCATCAGTTTGACTCATATCCCTCGCCCAAATCAAATTTAATTCGAAATCTTCAAAGACAACTTGAGCAATTTGTTGACCTTCCAAATATTCTGAATTATTTGGATAAGAAACTCCAAATAATTCCTTAAAAACTGATGGAGCAATTCTTAATGCTTGGAAAACATCTTTTGGTCCAATAATTTCTCTCACATTAATGTACTGTTTCGTTGACTTTTTTGCCTGAATCTTATTGACCTTTCCTCCAATCACTGGAATGGAAACTGGATCTTGAATCATTGGAGAGAATGATCCAGGAGGTGGTGGAGTGCCTCCTCCTACTTTGAAAGAACTGTTTATTCCAGGAGGTGGTGGTGGAGTAAATCCTTGAGAAGTACTAATATTGCTATTATTGCTTGGTGGAGGTGGTGGAGGCATTTGTTGGTTGACTTGTTTTTTTGAAGTTGGTTTTCGGTTGTGTCATGTTATTGGACTCGTATTTATAGAGTTTAGTTTATCATGATAACATGGTACAGTTGGTAAAATGGAATCAGAAATCACGGTTAAATGAACTCCAAGGTTCTTTTGTTACTTTGAGTTGAACTGGAAAGAAGAAGAAAAGAGGTGCAACACGGCAATGGACTTGGATCTATCCTACCATTTCAATGAATCGTGTTACGAAATTACTATAAAAGGTGCACTACTTTTATTTCTATTGTTTTTCACAATATTTTCCCATTTCTTTAAAAAATTTAAAATATTAAAATGAATTCGAAATTTAACAAATTATTAAATATCCAATTTCCATAAATGAGACGAACAATCCAAACACACACATACCAGTTAGCAGAACTCAGTTAAAGCACTAGTTCTCACACATTTCACTCTATCACCAACAATTAATTGTGGTAATTCTACGCCATTGCCATCACTCAAATTCTTATCACTTTGTTTGAAAATGTACATTTTCAAATTGGTCAATATAATTTTCTTCTGTGATGCAATTTTCTTGTTGATTATTCTTTCGTTTGGAGAAAAGAGTTTCGTATTGGTATAAGAAATTGTTTGTAAGAGAAAATCCGAATTGTCGACAGGATCATAAAATATATCCATTGATGGATAATAGAAAAGAATGGATGAATGTTGATTGCGCAAAAATCAGGAATTGCCATCTATGGTTTTTTTGAGATATTGAAATCTTTAGAAATATCCAGAGGTTATTCACCAAATAAATATAACTCCTCTTTATATGAAACAAGGAGGAATTCATGCTATTATTATTTGGAAGAGCCACATTGATTGTGGATACTATCTGAACTGAAATGAGGTAGAAAGAAGGCTAACAATATTTAGACAAACGGACATCCATTTGTTAATGACAAGTCAACAGCTGGCGAAAAGAACTGTATTCCGAGAGATGACAAAACTCCCATCAACATCTGTATCTATTGAACATTATTTGCATGTACATTTTCCTCTTGTTATTTAATGGCAAATGACAAGTCCAGATGCTACAATTGTATTGTTCAATTAAGGACTTTACTAAATATCTCTTGGTCTAATGACCGAAAAAATTTAAACGAGATGCATTTAGTATTTCATCAACCTATTCTTAATACTGGCAACTAAAAATGCATGATGATTGAGCATCAAACAAGCTCAATACCCAATAGAAAAAATCATAAAAAATGAAAGAAACGACACAAGTCATTCCTGTCAGATCCAAGCACGATGCAGAAGATAATACTCAATCTATCGAAGATACTTCAAGCGATAATTTTCAACAAGAAGACGCAAGAAAGGTTGCATTCTTTGGTTCAATTAAAATGTGGTTGATTCTAATTATTTCTGTAATTGTATTATTGACAGTTTTTATTCTGTCAGCAATTTGGTTGAGTAGTTTCATTCCTTCAGTTGTTGAATATAGCAAGGAACTAAGAGATTTTGAATTTGATAATATTGTTGCATTTGTCAAACAAACAATTAGAGAAGTAAAAATGACAAGTGAAACTGGTAAACATTTAATGATGAAAACACTTGATTTTTCGAATAGAGATCAGATAGAAGTGTTGATTTATCAGTTTTTGAAACAGCAGTGGACCTATCTTAAAGGTTTAGTTGTTACAAATCACATTGGTGACAATGAAGGAAGGTAAATACTTTACAACAGTTTTAATCTTTACAATATTGCATTAATTTCTTTAGACAATATGGAATTATGGATTGGGGAGGAAAACCTACATTATTCAACATCACCACAAAAGATCAACAACTTTATTATTGTAATAATTTTGATGAACTTGATTATTGTAATAGAAGTTCAACTCCAGACATTCAATTAGGATTTTTTGATTTGACAATTTTGATTAATGCTGGAAATGCACATCCAGGAAAACCAACCATCACTAATAGTTTCATAGATGCATCACAACCACAGTATACTTTCATTACAATGGTTAATTCTATTGAGTTACCTCAACCAGATTTGAAAGGAAACAAATTTAAATATTACTTAGGAACAGATTTGTCTGCTGAGACTATTTCTCAATATTTGGCACATGTAACGTTGAAATTGAGTGGTTCTAAGAGTTTTATTATTGAAATGGCAACTCAATACATTATTGCAAGTAAGTTTTATAATGAACAAGGTAAAAAGTTTACAATAATTGAAAGATGACAATTCTAATGCAAGGGTGGCAGTTGTTAATTCAGATGGATCTGTCACAAGACAAACCTATCTCAAAATTGATAATGATGAAAGAGTTTCGTCAATCGCCAAGGTATTGGCTTCGGAATTGGGAACAGAATTGGATACTATTGGATGTGGAAACAAATCATTAATTACATCTGCAACTGATTACATTTCAGTTTATAGATTATGCACAGATACTGATGTTGATTGGTAAGTTAGCAAATCAATTTCGAACTCTATAATAATTATTCGAAATAGGTTGTTTGTGTTGGCAGTTCCTCAATGGAATTATATTAGTTCAATTGTTATTGCTGTTGTTTGTGCTACTCTTGGCGCATGTATTATAATTTCTGCAGGTGTTATAACATCTGTCATTATTTCAGTCAAATTAGTGAAACCATTTTACAACTTGATTGATTTATTCGAAAGTGTTTCTCATATGGATTTGGATAATTTAGTAATTAATGATTCCAAATTTACAGAAGTTAAACATTTACAAAATCATTTCAAAACCATGACAGACAGAATCAAACTTTACAGAGCTTTCATTCCATCGCATTTACTTTCTCAATTAGATCAAGGAGGAGATCAAGTTGACGCCAAAAAGAAAGCTCATGAAAACGATTCCATTTCTATGGCTTCCTCTCATAAATCCTCTCAGAGATCTTCGAGATTAGACTCCAAACAATCTAGCTTGAGTAGAAGTCATGCCTCTAGTTCACATCGAAGATATTCGAATGATTTGGATATTTTCTCACTTCATTTGGATCGAAAGAAATTATCCATTGTTGCAATTCATATTGAAGGGTTGAATAGATTATTCTCTGAAATATCAGCAGGAGACTGTGTTGATTTGTTGAAAGATTTCTTTGATCATTTGGGATTAGTTTGTCGAACAAGTAATGGTTATTTGGGAAATTTTGAAAATGATTTAATTTCAATTTCATTCAATGCAAGTTCAAATCAATCGAAACATTCAGAAAAAGCAGCTGCTGCATGTGTTCAATTAATGGAAAAGTTGAACACAACCAAATCAAAGAAATGGCCAAATCAATTTAAAAAGAAACCTCACTTGATTGAAATTGTTACATTCAGATTTGCAATTTGTGTTCAAGAATCATTATGTGGAAATTTAGGATCGAATGATTTTAAGAATTTCACAGTTATTTCAAGTGCCAAATTCAATTTGGAATCCATGTTGGATGTTGCATCAAAATTGAATTTGAATATTGTATTATCTGATAGAGTATTTGCAAATTTAGAGGAACATTATCAAATGAGATATGTTTATACGAAAGAATTAATTCCAGATTCACATTATTCATCTCCATTTATTCAACACAAAGAAAATGAAAGAGCACAAATTGAACCAACACATATTTATGAATTGGGTGAAAGCTTAAATGTTGGAATGGATGGTAAGTTTACAACATTTAACTTTACAAATTTGATTACGTTCTTTTTTATTAGAATGGATGTATGAATTACAAGAAAAGGAAAAGAAAGCAAAATGGACCAAATACAATCAAGCTTGCAAACTCTTCTTCTCAAATCAATTCGAAGAAGCTAGAGAATTATTCCGAGAATTTCATGAACAAAACAATGATGTGGCAGCTGAATTGATGATTAAAAAATGTTCAACTACAACACCTATTAGTGAATTGTAGTTTCTTTTACGTTATGGGAAGAGACACAAATTACTGTTACAAGTGGGGAGGAGGGGTAGAAATCTTACTTTTTATTTAGGGGTGTTGGCCAGAAAATTACGAAATAATTGGGGGGGTAAACAACATTATTTATTTAATTATTTCTTCTTTCGTGGTCTACCAGGCTTTCTCTTTACTGCTTCTTCAACTTGAGATTTCATTGGTTCTTTGAATTGTGATTTCTTTGGTCTACCACGTTTCTTTTTCTTTAATGGTTCCTCTTCTTGTTCCAATTCTTTCTCTTGTTCCAATTCCTTCTCTTGTTCTTGATCATAAT